GGGGGGGCTACACGCGGTAGCAATGAATGACTGTTTTGCTAAAGAGTGAAGGAATGAACTCTTGTGTAAAGGAATGGATGGCTTCAGTGCACAGCACTAGGTTGAGGAATTGAGGAAAAGAGTGAAGTTATTTCGACATCAAGTCGCAGAAAGAAAAGCAAACCCGCCAAAGTGAAACGAAGGCACAGGCATCTTGTCCCAGATGTTAATACTACGTACTAAGTAAGTGCGTGGCCACAGGCGCTATCGCCCATCAGGCTAGAAGCAATACGAAACACCCAAGGGCAAGGACGAGAATGATTGGCGAGCCATCAGTAGCTTCAAACGTCGCCAGCGCACCGAGGCGGCGCTAGCTCGGAAGGCGTACGACCAGACGAGTCTTTTTTTTGAGATGGCTGATTCTAGTATGGGTCGCCGGACCAAATTGCAAATATGAATCAGCCAGTCATATCCACAGTTGGCTCCCCCTTTGAGGATTCCAGGCAGAATCCTAAGCGCGGGCTCAGGAGTAATGCAAGTGGGAAAAGGAAAAGGAAAAAAAAAAAGGCTTACGCAGGCGCGCCGCGTCAGCCATACGCCCTTAGGGTTAGCTGACTCTGACAGTCATACTGTTTGCCGCACCATTGAAATTTTCAGGCCTTCGACTTGGGGCCATAACATCCAGTATACCCAAGCACATAAAGCAGTCACTTTCATGGCGTGGCGACTTCCATACGCTGCCTTACTATTAGCAAATGCCGAAAAGCGTTGCAAACGAGGCAGCCATCTAACTATGCATGCCCAATGACCCCGAAGATATACCTAAACTGATCGCGTGGCTGAGCGTGGATTTTATTACTCTGCTGTAAGCGCCCTCACAAAGCAGCGCCGCTGAGAAAGAGAATGCGGTACGTATAGACTGCGTATGTATGCTCGACAGTTGCGTTGGGACATTTCAATCTCGACAATAGTAGTTCTATATTCATAAAAATCATGCAGAGTGTGCAGGTGTCACTTTTATGACGATTTTCCCCCTCGCCCTATGGCTCCTTAATCTTTCAAAAGCCTTGATGGCGTCATCAAATTCATATACCCCATCGATAACAGGCTTCACTTTCCCTTCCCGAATCAACTCCCCAACCTCCTCAAGGTCACCATGGCGATTCTTGAAAAACACCAACTGATAAGGCCGCTGTCCTCCGCCCAAAATCCTCGGGGTCACGAATCGCCCGGCAGTCGAAAGATGCGACTCGTTCCCGACTTGCGCAAAGGCTTTGCCGGGGAGAAGGAAGTTGTGGCTTTCGCGATATAGCTCATCTGGTTTCCCGATCATGTCAAGAGCGAGGTGGTACAGTGGGCCCTGTTTGCGCAGATACTGCACGAGATCTACGGCTGTGTAATCGATCACTTCATCGGCGCCGAGATCTTTAACCAGCTCAATGTTTCGTGTGGAACACGTGGCGGTTACTTGGCATCCCAACGCCTTTGCTATCTGTATTGCGTAGGTTCCGACACCACCAGAGCCACCGTTGATGAAAACATGGTCGCCCTCTTTCACCTGGCCCTTGATGACCTGGAGCGCAGTTTGTCCCGCGATCCCCACCGTAGCGGCATGATCAAGCTGCACTCCCTCGGGCAATAGCACGACAACATCATCTCTCGCGACGACGTACTCGGCCAGTGTGCCATACTGATTCGGCAGGGGTACACAGCCGAAAACCAGCTGGCCGATTCTCACACCCGTAACCTTTGAGCCGGTGGCGACTACTTTCCCACTAAAGTCCATACCAGGCGATGCCGGCGTCGAGACCACACATTTATACAGGAGCCCTATTTCTGGCACTTTGTAGTCTGCCGGGTTGATGGACATGGAAATCACCTTGACTAGCACCTGGTTGGGCCGCAAGCTTTGGCCTGGTCTATAGGCGGTGTCTGATTTGACGAGGTTTTTCTCCATGCCGCCGCTCGTGCTGGTCCAGAGCCACGCTTTCATTATGGAAGGAATGGTTGATGTGTTGTTGGTCATGGCGGATGGAGTGTCTATCAGAGCGAGAGTCTTGGGTGAGACGAATTGTATTGATACATGAATGAAACTCTCAGCAAAAGACGGTGATGATCGATCGGTACGCACGTGCCAGCTTCCGCTTGATCACCGTAGGAAGGCCAGAAGCAACCCCGGAAATTGCCTATACGTATGCCAATATATCTCGAGACACGCCAGAACAAGCAGATCGTTGACAAACTCGCTGACAGCAAGTACAAATTCGGATCCGACAGCGAAAGAAGCTTTGCGTGGTGGGAACTCCTGCCTAAACCGGCCTAGCGCAATGCTGTACACAAATGACATCATATCAGATCGCAAAGCTCCTTCCTCCTTCCTTCTTCCCTCTTCCTCCTCTTCTTCTTCTTCCCAGTCCAGCCATGGCGAGAAGAGCTTGCTTTCTTTCTTTTTGATTATTACTGTCTCCTTTGAATTGCTTGTTCGATTCTAGCATTCCTTGGCTCGTTTTATTCTTGTGCATTTCACTGTTGACATATCTGCTCGTAAGCCGAGAGCACCAGTTGTATCGTTATCGATATGCCCCTGACTACAGCCTGTGTCGGGGCAAACGTCACCCCGACGGTGATATCGACCTGGTTTGCTCATGTAAGTCTACTTGCGGTCTTCAGACTGACATGTCAAGAACTGTATGTGAATGATAATCCAGTATATCGATAGAAAACCCCGTCACCTCAAGCCAACTGCCCATATATCCTACGACGAGGGCCTCAATGTCGTCCGCGCTTTCCTGAAGCATGCTGCGTACCACACCGTTGAGGAACTGCAAGCTTTCACCGCCCAGAAAATCCCCTCTCCAACATGGGTCAAGATTCAAGAAGAAACTGTTCCAACGGAATACCTGTCAAAGGCAGCTGACAACGTGAATGCTCAATTGGGTGAGCGTGGAATCAAACGAGTCGGTGGGAAGACTTGGTGGCAGTGGCGCGGCCATTACGGCGACCTGAAATGCGAATGGATAGAAATGAAAAGCGACTACCGAGCGAGAAAACAAACAGATGCGCATTGTAGACGTGTCATGCTATATGTGCACGGCGGTGCTTATTATTTTGGCAGTCTGGAGACACACCGCTATCAGATCCAGCGCCATGCTCGAAAGCTAAAGGCCCGTGTTTTTGCGCGGTATGTATAGCCTTCTCACTACATGTTGATTCAGTTGACTGACCTTTTGCGATATAGTAAGTTGTTATCTCCTAGCTAGACAGCTTGTTCTATCTAATTCTAGATTATGATTAGCTTCGTACCGTCTTTCGCCGCAATTTCCATTCCCATGCGGCTTGCAAGACTGCCTGGCGGCTTATCTCTATTTGCTAACTTTGCAGGATCCCACGGAAATTGTGGTAGCAGGAGACTCTGCCGGGGGTGGTATGGTAATCTCGTAAGTTGCCTCTCAGACTTTCCATATGTTTATATCTATATCACTCGACTAACGGCTATAGTCTCTTGGTCATTTTACGTGATCAGGGAATTCCGCTACCTGCCGGTGCTATCCTTATTTCGCCATGGGCAGATCTCACTCACTCCTTTCCTTCTGTCGCAACTGGAAGTAAATTTGACTACATCCCCGAGCATGGCTTCATGCATCGTCCCTCTCGCGGCTGGCCTCCGCCGAACTCAGAGGATTTAGCTTTTATCTACAAGACTGCTAATGAGAATAAATCCCCTGCGAAGAAACATAACCACGATCAAAGCAGCAACCAGAACTCCGAGACGGTCAATGACCGTGATCAGCAGACTGCAATTCAGGGATTTGTTGTAAAGGAACAAGATACCGAAGGTGCCAAACACACCTATCCCGGTTTGCAGAGTGGCATCGAGCGAGTTGAGACGGCGGACTTTGGGACAAGCCAGGCAGATACGCTTGTTGTACCCATGCCAAATAATACCGTGGTTGAGATCAAAGACCAAATTCAAATGTATGCCCCAAACCAGATGCTGTCACATCCTCTGGTATCACCAGTCTTGCAACCTTCACTGGGTGGTCTACCGCCATTATTGATATTAACTGGCGGCGGGGAATTGCTCCGAGATGAGCAGATATACCTGGCGCACAAAGCTGCAGATCCAGCAGCTTACCTTCCGTCGGATGTGTTTCTAGATGAGCATGATCCTGATAGAACCATAGTGAATAAATATGGACCAACAAACGTACAATTACAGGTTTGGGAGGATTTGTGTCACGTTGCTCCGACTTTAGGGTGGACAAGACCAGCCAAGTTCATGTATCGTTCCATTGCACAGTTTGGTGCGTGGGCACTAGCACACGCCCAACATAAGGAAATCGATATCCCAGAAGACGACGTATCGTCAATTTCGAGTGGGTCGTCGTCCGCTTCTGACAATAACCAGGAAAGGAACCCGACTGCATCCATCGGGAAAGCCGGTGATTCACTGCCACCTTTTCGGAAACATATGATCCGACAGAGGGTGGATAGACATGGCATGGTATATCATCTAGATCCGCCAGATTCCCTGCCAGGTCTTCGGCATCCGCGTGAAAAAGTTGGTGCACTCAATTACGACATTGTCAAGAAGTGGCTAGGAGCTAAGAAGGCGTGGGATGAGAAATTCGGGAAGGAGAAGCTCGCTGTCCAGCGTCGCCGAATCAAAGATTTTGAACAGGGGTATTTTGGCTTCGATGGTGAACTACCTCCAGCATGTTCTTTGGCTAGTAGACGAATGGAGAATGATCTTGCTCCTCCAAAGCCACGCAAGAGCTATGGCATGATGATGTGGTCTCTTCTCGCTAGCAAACATGACAAAGCAATGGTCGAAAAGGAGCAAAAAGATGGGGATCTCCAATATGTCAGCGCTGACAAATCTGTGGAAAGCATGCAGAGTGAGGGAGGTAATGACATTGCCGAGAATAATACCTTGCAAAACGCAAGTACTCCTTTGTCAGACCATGAAAGGTCTCGGAGTCGCTCACGCAGCCGGTCGAGAATTGTCAGCGATATCGGTCAAGCGGCAGAGAACCACCGAAATGGGCATCAATCCAGCAACTGCGCCATTGTCGATGTTGAAGAAAACCTAGAGTCGAATTTGCAATCCCGCCATTCGACACCTCGGCCCAACAACGGCAACACACCGGTGTTACTCATTCCAGGTCTTGATAATTCCAGTTCTGCTCAATCTTCGAACAGAAAAATAGAAAACGCTAGCACGATGGCAGTTGTCGATGCCGAAGGTGTCATCAACGCGGCGGATGGATCGACACTGAACTCCGTCAATGCGTCCTCGCTTTCAAGCTCTCTCACCCCTAAAGCGGGTGCGTATGAGGAAAGAACCAAAAGGCCAGAAATGCCAGGCCGAGAAGAATTCACCACCGCTGAAGAGTTTCATGATCCGCAGGCAGCGAATCTCTAATTTACTTGATATTCAATACGAACACGACAATATACGGAATTGTTTTGCTGTTTTGTGTCGTACGTTTGACGTGAATCTTATTTTTGAGATATCCCTTCCCATTTTCCGGCTGTTGAATATGGACTCATAGACATACTGCATGTCTGCGTTTTCCTTAGATTAGCCCATGTTGCATCTTTTATTGTTGAAATGCATGTGCCACTAGTATTATAGCTTGTTATCTGAATCATTACCTGTTTTACATATGAATATATCGATATAAAATACGTTCTATCAAGCCAAACTCCCATATGCAGTCATCAATATAATACATGAAAAAAAAAAAGAAAAAGCACTACTTCACTTCCACTCTATCCCCACAGATTTTGCAACCTTTTCTGCTACAGTCATGAAAGCTCTTCTCCGCGCACTATTCTCATCGCCTTCCTCTGCAACAACAGTAGGCATACCTCGATCAGCATCTTCACAGACTCGCGCATCAAGAGGTATGTCACCCAGGAAATCAACACCAAGCCTCTTGCATTGAGCAACGACACCGTGTTCTTGGTTCTCGTTGCCATGAGCGTGGGAGAATATCTTGGTCTCATGGCCGCAATTCGGACAGGCAAAGAAAGCCATATTTCGCACCATCCCAAGTACCGGAACATCCATCTTCTGAAACATGCCGAATCCGCGAACCGCGTCGCGCAGCGCAATGTCTTGCGGTGTTGAGACTATGACGGCGCCGTCGAGGATGATTTCCTGGCCAATGGTCAACTGCACATCGCCGGTGCCGGGAGGGAGGTCGAGAATGAGTATGTCAAGAGGACCCCAGGACACTGAGTGGAGGAGTTGTTGCATCGCCTTTGTGACCATCAGTCCCCTCCAGCTTATCGGGGTTGTGTCCATGGGCGGAGGCGATGATGGGTCGGCGGTGGTATTGGATTCGTGATTGGATGCGTGCGGAAGAAGATACCCCATTGACATGGACTTTAGGCCATAATTAGTTAACGGAAGAAGACAATTGTTGCTGTCGAGTCGCGGTTCGCCATGCAGGTTCAAAAGCGTGGGGATGGAGGGCCCGAAGATATCGGTGTCAAGGATACCGGTGCGAATACCACGGCGAGCTAGAGCGAGCGCAAGATTTACTGTTGATTTGCGAAGAAAAGAAAATAGTCAATTTTTAGCACTCTTTCAATCTTCCTTTCTTTTTTTTTTAAACTCTTAATCTTTTCTATGAAAAGGGGGTGTTTGACGCTACCAGCAATCGTGGATTTTCCGACTCCGCCTTTGGCCGAGGACACCGCGACAACTTTTGCGACATCACGAATCTTGCGTTTCTGTGGCAGGCCGCGGCGGCTTTTTAATGTGGGAGGCGTCCCAGACTGCGGGAGGCCCTATTATTGTCGAAGAGCATTGAATATTAGCTGTCACTGAAGGGATGTTATGATGGTCGCCTGCGTGGTTGCGTACTAGCGGGTTGTCATGTTGCAGAGCCCGAAGAGTCGAAAAGAAACGCCGGAGGCGCATTATTTTCTGACGTTCAGCTTCTGAGCAAATTCACAAAGTAAATAAGACAAATCTAGCAGCGATAGATCTGCAATTGTAAGAGAGGATACAAAATAAGTCTCAAGAGGTGAATGAAGTCAAATGTTGGAGAAAACATGTGACTACGTAACCCGCAGGCAAGCCACCAATTACATTCTACCAGCTTTTCTTAATCCGAGTAATAAAGCCAAGCCTTCCGAACCTAACCCTGGCGGCCCCACTTGGAATGGGAATTTTTCCCCGAGTCTTTGGCTCCGATCTTCAAATAAAAAAAAAAAAAAAAAAAATTCAGACTGACAACAGCTTAAAAACTCTGCTTCTTTCAGCAGTCATGCCGACAAAAACCTCTTCACGAAGCAAAGGCTTCAAGAGTCTTGTTGATCAGCTTGCTGATTTGGAAGATCCTACACCTAAAGGTTTGCGCCCATGGAAAAAAAAGCAAAGCGATTATCGCGACGCTGGCTGACGGTGCTGTTATTTATTTAGATTTTGATCCGGAAGATCCAGATACTGGCCACCAAGACAGTGATGACGAGTCCGAATCGGAAGTCGATGAGAATACCGGCCGTGAGCACTATGAAAACGTTGGGTAAGTGGGATAGCTACTCTTTTCCGAAACGGCGAGAACACTGACTTACAATCGATATTCTACACAATTAGCAAGAGCAAGCTTAGGAAACCCGAGACTGTCATCTTAGGAAAAGAGTATGCCGGGTCACGTGTGAGTAGAGATGCGTTGGAGGATTTGAGCGACGACAACGACCCTTTTCAGCGCCTCGATTCCGACGAGAATGATGATGACGAGGAAGAGGGTATAAGCGAATCTAGCGAGGATAAAGAAGAACAACATGAAGGAGATAGCGAAGGTGATTTGTCGGACGATGATGATGATGATGATGATGATGATATGTCTGCATCTGATCAAGATGACAACGCAACCAACAATGGATCAATGTCAGACGAGCGTGCAGAATTGCGGAAATTGATGGCTACCGACCAGAAAACGGTCGCTGCGACTATCTCCGAGGCCGCTAAAGCGGATGCAGCAAAGGGATTCGCTGTGAAGCAGCAACGAGTGGCCTTCGATGCTCTGCTTAATGCCAGAATAAAGCTGCAAAAAGGACTCACTGCTATTAGTGACTCGTCTAACATCTCGTGGGAGACAGAGGAAGAAAATTCAGACGCTATCCAGTCCGCTGAATCGGCCGCCCTGGCATTGTGGTCCTCCCTAGAGGAGTTGCGTGTGGCCCTCGCTGAAGTCCAGTCCAAGGAAGACTCAAAAAAGCGGAAGAGATTACCGCCGGTTTCCCTTGACACGTCTTCCGAATCAATTTGGCAACGAATGCAGAATCTGGAGACAAAGTCCCAAATACACCGCCGCGCCGTGCTGGAGAAATGGAATCATAAGGTCCGCGGCACAAACGCGAACCTTCCCAATGCCAGAGGCAAACTTGTCGCAAATTCCGGCAACAATTCCATCATAGCTGTCCTTGAAGCTCACGTCGCAACGGAGGTCGGTGACCGGGCTACCAAGAAGCAGCGTACTAGTGAAGCTTCCGGGTCCTCCTACGATGACTCGGCCTTCTATCAATCTCTTCTCCGTGACCTGGTGGAGCAGCGGATGTCTTCCTCGGACGCGGTGACCAACGGGCTTGATGCATTACATTTGCAGATTCCCGCGCATTCTGCGTCGGGCATGCGCAAGGACAAGGTCCACAAGAATGTCGACACTAAAGCATCCAAAGGCCGCAAGATGCGATATAATGTGCACGAGAAGCTACAGAACTTCATGGCACCGGAGGATCGCGGTACTTGGAGCAGTCGAGCACGAGACGAATTCTTTGCATCTTTGCTCGGCAAGACTGCTAGTGGCCTGCTCGGGGAAGCAGATTCAGAGGATGAGCCGAATGGCGTCAATGGAGCCGCGTCAGATGAGGAAGACCTAGAAGAAGGCGGCCTGAGGCTCTTCAGAGGGTGAAACATGTAGTTGCAGTGATAGTGATGGGTAATTTATTTCATGTTTCTCCCAACTTGACAGTTAGTATGTGGTAGGAAGGAGAGCCTTATGTAAGCGGGCGCGTAGCCAATCACAGGCCGCAAACTCAACTACATCACATCAGCCAGCCTTACAGCCTCACCACAACGCCCTCGATATGCGGGCGTGTTTGGCGAGCTGCCTGCGTATTTAAGGGCTCGTAAGCTGTAAGTAACAATAGAATCGCGTGCCTCGTCGCAGTCTCGAGGGCAGAGAACAAAGACAAATAAAAGACGTCCTCGCAGCTGATTCGCCCGCGGGCCTTGGACAACAAGTTTCTCTTTCGGACTAGCGTGTTTTTTTTCCTCCTTCCCGTTGCTTTTCCCATAATGTCTTCAACCATCATCGAGCATCACCGCAACAAACAGCCCTTCTCCCTGCCTCCCCCCTCCCACAGCCTCACTCATTCATTCCTCTCTTCTTCGCTCCGCTCATTCCGCCTTGCATCGCGCTTTCGGTGCCCTTTTTAAATACCCGCACATAGCTTTCTACCGTCGTCGTAGACCTCCGTCATGGCTTCTGTAAGTGCTCGCTCAAGCTCCGCAGAAACCCCCTTGGCTAGCGATGCCCGCGCTGCGCCCTTCCAGAGAATGGGGAGGCGCTCTGGCGTGGAATCCCCTCCCCAAGTCTTGCTGAGCAGCGTGCTGATTATCATTTTATTGTTCCCAATCTACAGCCCCGCCCTCACAACTTCGGAATCTCGAGTCCTCTTCCCAACGGTGCTGCGACGAGCGGCCCTGTCCCAGGCGCAACTCCTCTCCTCCCCAATAATGGAAAAATCATCCAGAGCGGGCCGGTGAGGGTTCTTTGTGTCGCAGATGTCAGAGGTAGGTTCCCATCAAAAGACCGTTCTTGTTAAGAGTTATATCTGTGCTGACCACCTCGCCATCATCATAGGCAACTTGAAATCCTTGAACGAGCTCGCCAAGCAGGCTAACGCTGATCACATCATCCACACTGGCGATTTTGGCTTCTATGATGATACCTCGCTAGACAGAATTGCTGATAAGTGAGTTTTTGTTCTCTTTATGAAAAGGAGGGGTGGCTAAGAGACCTCGTGATGGCTAACTGATCCTGAACAGGACCCTGAAACATGTGGTTCAGTATTCGCCTCTCCTGCCAGACCACGTGAAGCGCACAATTTCTCAAATTCCCCCACAACAGCCAGTCAAGGCACGCTTTACGCCCGACCAACTTCCTCTTTCAGAGCTTCCCCAACTTCTCGACAAGCGACTCACCCTCGATGTCCCTGTTTATACCGTGTGGGGTGCCTGTGAGGATGTGAGGGTCTTGGAAAAGTTCCGTTCAGGCGAATATAAGGTCGACAACCTTCACATTATCGATGAGGCTAACTCTAGGCTTCTGGATATCGGAGGCATCAGGCTCCGTCTTTTGGGTCTAGGCGGTGCTGTTGTCATGCACAAGCTGTTCGATAATGGGGAGGGCAAGACAACGATTGCAGGCGGCCAGGGAACCATGTGGACTACTCTTCTGCAGATGGGTGAGCTAGTCGACACAGCCAACCGTGTCTACGACCCCTCTGAAACTCGTGTCTTTGTTACGCATGCCTCGCCGGCTCGTGAGGGTATGTTAAATCAGCTTTCAGTTACATTGAAGGCAGACTTCTCGATATCTGCTGGTCTACATTTCCGATACGGCTCATCCTACAATGAATTTTCCGTAAACCCTACATTGGATCATTATCGTGGCAAACTCGCTGCATCCAAAGCATCATTCAACGATGTTTGGGATACCGTGCGTGCTGAGGTAGAGTCTGCAATTTCCTCGAACGAGGCTCAGAAGACTTTGTTGGACAATGCTTTGGACATCGTTGAGAAGATGCCTTCTGTAGCTAATGGCGGAAACCCATTTGGTGGCCCTGTCGCTGCCGCCAATGCTGGAGGTCAAGTGGATGAGAGTGCTTTTAAGAACATGTGGAACTTCAACTTGGCTGATGCCGCTTTTGGTTATCTTGTGCTTGAGGTCGAAGGCGGTCGGATCGGGACCGAAATGCGCGCCCAAGGATTCAACTTCTCTCACAGGACTGGCAAGCCCGGTGCTGCTGTACCTGCTGGTCAGCTCGGCGGTGCAACTACCCCTCAATTTGGCCAAGCTCCTCCTGCTGGTCGAGGCGCACCATTCCAGCCTTCCCCAGTGCCCCAAGTTAAAGCCCAGGCCCCGCCAGCTACAACTGTGTCCCCAGCTCCTGTTATTCCCAAGTCTGCTACTCCTCAGCCCGCTTCGACTGAGAGAGAGGCCAATGGTAACAAGGAAGCAGAAAAGCCATCAGAATCTCCAGCCCTCAAAGGAGAGAAAAAGCAAAGCAATGGTCTTTTCATCTCGAATGTTGAGAACGAGCAGGCAGCTCGAGACCTTTTCCCGGAGGAGGACCAAGGGAAGATTGTCAAGGTTGAGAAATGGGGCAAATTTGGTCACGTCGTAACCTTTGGTACAGTTGAAGAGGCCAAGGCTGCGTTGGAACGACAGCCTGCTGAGCACAAGAAGCCTACACCACAGGGTCAACCTCGCAAGCCGAACGTCAAGTTCTTTGAGGACCGTGGTTCTCGCCGTGAAGGTAATGCGGGAACATGGCAAGCTAGCTCCCGTGGTGGTGCTTCAGCACAGCCTCGTGCCGGATACCAAAGCGGCGCCAGTGACAGCGAAACTGGACGTGGTCGTGGAGGCTTTGGCCGAGGTCGCGGTCGCGGCTCTGACCGTGGCGGACGAGGTCGTGGACGTGGTGGATTCAACAGGTCTGGCGACTCTCCAGCTTCAAGCGAGAAGCCTGCTGCCACTGGCGGTGAATCTTGAATGTAACTCGATGATTTTGTGACGAAAGGTCTTTTTCCTTCCCCTTTCTTTTTTGTGTGTGTATCTTGACGTTTCCGACCCTCTTCTCTTTTTTATTAGAAAACCTGGGCTGCTTTCACCCAGGTTTTACCGATCCCCCCATTCTTTCTACTTTTTTTACTCCCGCCCTCTTCATTGTCTCTTTTTTTAAACCACTTTTTGAGCGAACTATATGTCTACTTACCCATTACCCTAAACTTTTTTTTTATTTCAATGTTTGAGTAAAAAGTAGTTTCATTAAAACCCCATATTCTTCTTTCTTCAATCTATTGTGGTGTGCCTCGAATGTATGTACAGTAGCTACTATCCACCAACACTATCTGTTTCTACATGCGAAAAAAATAGCGTCCACTCAAGTCTTTCTTTCTTCCTTTTTGTATACTATCCTGGTATTCCCTGCCCCTTTTTTGGTTATGGGGAGGGTGTTTTCGTTTCCTTTTTCTCATACTCGTCTATGAGAAAGGGGGGGATCGATCCCTCTTTTCCTGCATGCAGATTATGTGTTTTTAGTGATTTGGTATAAAGGAGATGGAAGAAAGTGTAATACAAGGGGGAGCAAAAAGAAAAAGGAGAGTAAAAGAAATCGAAAGTTTTTAGGGACGAAGATAGTTGTGTACATTTGTCTCGAGGAGGTACCAAAACCACCGTAAATAATAAACTATCATAGACGAGCGGTCTCAGTACATACATACTATACTGATACAGACTCAAACCGACAAAAACTAGTCTCGGTTTTCAGGCAAGAGACAAGAGATTACCCAACTCAGTAAATAGAAATCAAGATAGCAAACTTGATTCGACTTTAACATACATATAGGACCCCAGCAAGAAAGAGGTCAGTAACGATACTAAACCAGCTACAACAACCGAGAATGAAGATAAAAAAGAAACAAGGATAGTAGAAATGAATGTAGTATGAGGCCAGTATGAATCTCTTCCGCGTGTCAGTGCAGAAGAATTGATAATTCGTGTGGAATACATTAGGAAAGAAGACAATGATAATCAAAAAGAGAGGGGAATAAATATAAAATAGAAATCAAGATAACGAGGCCTGTCTCCCACGGGCTCTAAGACCCAAAAAATTTAAAACATCGATTAACCATCAATCGATACCTGAAGTCTTTTCGCCTTGTACCACACACCATTTCTCCATTTTCGATGCATGCATGCTCCACCAGAGGTGAGAAAAAGATCCTAACATAATAAAAAAGAAAGCATAAACACAAAAACGACAGTGTTCTAAAGTGAAAAAGAGACACCTCGGGGAATAAAAGCTAAGATAAATATCAGATAGAAAGATAAGGCAAAGGCAGTTATTGTTTCCATTTCCAATCATCTAGGTCATCAAATGATCATTTTGTTCAATTCATTAGGCCTTGTTAGATGTTTCGTTGCCAGCCCGTCCCATAATGTCGTCCACGTCCTTTCGGAATACTACCACGCCGCCTTCTGAGCAGCGTGCTTTGGTACGTAGTTCCGAACACAGTGAGTCAATGTCGATCTCGCCATTTCGGAACTTCTCCATAGACTGAAGACGATCCCTGTAACCGAGTCAGTAAGATGAGCTATCAAATTGAGAAAACAAGGATAGAAATACCAGATATTAGTGCATGACAAGATCTGCGTCTTGTCCTCGCCGGGAACCACCTCCTCGTGTTCACTTTGCTTCTGTTCAGTTGGCGGTGATTGGTCGTTCTTTGAAGCAATAGGCTCTTTCGGGCTAGCGACCTCGTTCGCATTGCCAAATGGACTACCGAGGTCAGGCAAGGGAAACGCGTCATTAAAGAACGCCCCGAAATCCTGCGAGAGTATGGCATCCTGTGGCTCGCGGTAGTCGTTGAATAGCACTGGGTCGAAGTTACCACCGTTTTGTTGGGCTAGCCAGTCGAATGAGAGAGATTGATCTGCTGCCGCCGGTTGCAATTGGCCTAACATTTGTGTATTGTCATTATTCTTATTCAGGACCGCCGGCATCGGATTGTTGACGTTGCCACAGGCCATGCCCAGCTTCTGACAGAAGGATTTCTCACCATCAATGGCGCCATAATGTGCAGCATCATTACTATAAAAGCCCAGCCCGCTATCGTTCGGTTTGCCAACATTTGGCGAGTTTAAGCTCGGTTCCGGTGAAGTGCCAATTGAGGAAGCCTGGCCATGCTGAGAATCCGACGAGGCACTTGGAGAGTCAGTATTGGACACCACCGAGCTAGCACTCGTTTGAGTTTTATAGCCGTTTCTATTAGTTTGGCCACCGGGCGTGCCGTTGGCTCGTCCGGCTTTGGACAAGTTCTTGCTATTCAATGAACTGTGACTGAAATCGCCGGGAAGTTGGGTGGCTGGTGACACACCCGTCGTTGAGGGCGAATTGGATGACGTCTGCTTATTTTGCGCATTGTTGGCGGTGTTTTTGAAGATATGGTTTCCGGGCAAGTCTCCAAATTTAGGGAAATCAAAATAGAAGTCGTTATTGTTCAGATTTCCTAAATTGCGGGAGTTCATGTTACTCATAGTAGCCATAGTTGAGAAACCATTCCCATTGCTGAGCCAAGAGACTCGTTTCCGATATTCCCTCAATTCCACCTGGAGTCTCTCCACTTGGGCTCGAAGGAGACCATTCTCGTGGTTAGCGTTCTTTGAGGCCTTCTCGAGTTCATCAACTTTAGTTTCGAGATCTTTCAAGTGCTTTTCCTTTCGCTCACGGAAGGCACGCTGAGCAGCGCGATTCTGAGCTTTTCGTTTCTGCCACAAGAATTAGCTTCTCCACTTCCAGAAAAACCAAAGCAAATGCAAAGGAAAAGCGGATGCAATGCATACAGTAGTAGGCTCTGAAGTGAGTGGCTTTCGTCCCGGCTTCTTAGCAGACTTGTCTTTGTCATCGCTCTCGCGCCTCTTCTTGCCGTTGCTGAGGTCTTCTTCATTATTCCCATCGATAGACTTTCTTTTGTCCCGCTGCTCGTGGTCATCCAAATCAGGTAGATCACCAATCAATTCATCGGTACCTTGGAAGTCAAAATCGACTTCAGGATCAAATTCGAGGAACGGGCTTTCGTCTGATCCAAACCCTAGATGACCAGAGCCCGGACCGTCTTGTATAAGTGGTGACTCGAAATAACTTGACGTTGATGGATCAAATCCATTACCCTGAGACGGACTAGTGTTGTTGGAACTTGACTGTGTGCGAGATCTGCTAGCCGTGTCCTTCTTGTTGTCCGTCTGCTTGTGTGAAGGATTGTTAGAATTCAAAGCAGCCATTAATAGATTCTGCTGCTCCGGTGACAGGTAGAGGTTTTGCTGATAAAGAGAATTGAAGTCGGCCATGGCGAATAATGAAGTGACAGATATCTAAGTATTGATGCGTATCACGTCGTCGATAGGGTGCCGATTGAATTTCTCTGTGTTAGAAGGGGCCGGGCTTCCCGCCCGTTGCGTTTTCAACACGAGGGCTTGACTTTAAACCGACAATAGTAGTCAGTGAAGAGGCAGGAAATTCAGAACCTCTGAGCGAATGTTGGGCTGATGGAAATCACGGTTTACTAGGACAGAACGCTTGATTGAGTTATCAGTCTAAACCCGTGACTCGGCAGTGGAAATTTCCCATCGTGACTTGTGTGCGTGGAAACCACTGGCAAGAAAATGGTTGATAACATGATTGTCTAGCTTACCGGTTGACATGTATGTATCAAGTCAAGTAGCAGCGACCAATCCAGAACCCAACTCTCGGTGGCGAGAACGGAGTTCGACGAGAAACGTATGTGTTGGAGTGCGAATTGGATTTTTCTGAGGCGTGACAATGAGCAGATTTTGGGGCGGGGCGGAGGGCCTGGCAGAGGATGGTGTGTAATATGTATGACTAAGGCAGGCGAGGGAATAGTAACTAATGGAAAACGCGAAGCTAAAGCACACTCCCTCTGTCTCTGTTTCAGCACAGGGAGGAAGACGGACAGGACGTTGGAGAGCCAGGTGGCAGGTAAGGTGAGGAGAGGTGATGTGATGGGATGGGATGGGATGAGAAGGTGGAGGGAGGCGAAGGTTGGGGGGGCGAGACTCAGAGCGCAGGATGATCAGGACAGCCTAACCCAACCGGGGTAGCCGCAACTAACACTCGGCAGGCAGCAAGGCCGATCTCCTAAACTCCGTTAAAGCGGCGGGCGGGCCACCGCCGGAAAGGGCGATGCCCGCGCCGGACGGGCCAATGGCAACGCAGTCACGTGGCATGCAGGTATGGCGGACCTCTGGCAGCTTCCACTGCTTATAAATATCAAAACCGGCCAGCGCCAATCACTTTCCACCATGTTCCAGCTGCAAAAAATAAGCCAGAGCTTAATGCGTCCATTTTGTCCTATTCTCCGCCATGCAGCACGGGAACCTGGAAGGATTGCTTTGAAATTTGAGTACCTCGTGGTCTGATTGACTACACTATACTATATGTAGTAAGGACTATGCTAGGTATTAAAATGCTAGAATTAGAACCCTAGAAGAGTGGCCGTCCGACGTATGACTTGAAAGCCCCATACTCCGTACCTTTCGAAGGGGGGGCCCTTTAATTGTCACCGATGACGCACGACACATAACATCTGCGTAGGGCGTGTCGGGTTTCTCGGAGGTACACGTGTTTGCACTGTTTGCACCGATAACGGGCGATGAGTGCACGTGACTTTTTAGTGCACTCTCCTTTTGGGCAGGTGGAAGGCGCAAGGTCAGTAAGTGTTAACAGAGCAATCAATACCCACCACTCGCCATACTCTATCTCTCCAGCGCCTGCTGCAATATCTCCTACGCGCGAATCTCCGGGGCTCATTTGCCTGTCTGCGCTCACTGATGGCTTCCGATGTGGCGGCTCTCGAGGCGGAGGTAAAAGAATTTAAACTACAAGTAGGTCAACCTCTTACCACGCCTGTCGAGGTTGTGGCATGGCACTAATAGCAATCGTTCGTCATTCAGCTCGAAACAGTCCAATCGAGCTTGCAGGTAGATCCCGAAAATGCGGAGCTTCAAAGCCTAAAGGCTGAATTAGAAGAATTCATCAGCTTGACTGAAGCATCCATTGCCGAGCTCAAACCTGCCACACCTACCCCGCCAACTTCCAAACCATCCCAGCAACCCACAAAAGAGAAATGGTCTAAAGAGAGTCATCCTGCCTACCAATCTGGCTATCGCAAAACAACCGATCCTGTCCCATCAGAAGAGCCGCCTGCACCTATCTCTTTCTCGGTCAATGATAACGTACTCGCGCGGTGGAAATCCGGGGATGGATCCTTTTATCCGGCTCGGATTACGTCGATTACTGGATCCTCCAGCAATCCGGTCTATATTGTGTCATTCAAGTCGTATGGAACGACAGAGACACTGAATGCGAGGGATATCAAACCTATTTCTAGCAGTGCTGATTCGCGGAAACGCAAAGCTGATGAAACGCCAGGCATATCTCCTTCTCAGGCCGTGCCGCAAAATACTAGTATAATATCAGCTGCGGCTGAGATAAATCCCACACTTGCCAACCAAGCTCGCAATGAGCCGAGCAAAGTGAGTGACGGACCACCACGACCGAACAAGGTTCCGCGCAAGGTCAAAGCCAACAAAGAGCTCGAGGCTGGGAAGTCCAAATGGCAAGATTTCACCAGCAAATCTAAATTTGGAAAGGGTGCTAAGAAGGAGAGTATGTTCCGGACACCAGAAGGAGTAAATGCGAGAGGTATGTCTAAGTATTGATCATCTCGGTATATTTGTTGCTGACGTTGTATTTTTCAACAGTCGGCTTCACTGGTTCCGGCCAAGCAATGCGTAAAGATCCAACCCGCAGCCGTCACATTTACCAGCAGGCTGATGACGAAGGTTACTGAGACATAATGCGACATCCAAAAGATCTATATGATGGGACACGCTGGAGGACTAGTTTTTTTCTCTTTGGTCATTGTTCTTAAACTTCTCTTCTTCCTTATTTTACTACCTACTTCTGGTCTGATCCCATGGCTAACTCCGGTGTTGGTGGCGCAGGCGTAATTCATCTAGTTGATCAAATGAAGACTTTACATGAGATACTAGAATATTTTGGTAACACCTGTCTGTCATCCTTGTTTGGCTTTTGTGTTTTGTTGTTTGAGGAGAAGCTTTTTCTGATGATGAGCCTCATTCAAAGATTTGTGCCTTATTGGTGTGTGGCCCAGCTTGACGCGGGAATGGTGAGTACTGTAGTCCGAATGTTCGTTGTTGCGCCAATTTCTAGTAGAATATAGGCAATACTCAGCGCAAAGCTGCTCTGCTCGCAGTGCAGGTTGTATAGATTCGGTATTTCCAAACAGAAACCTCTAGTTTTCAATGGATTTCAAAAGTTCAGGAGCTTCCGGAAGTATTCCGATATAGCCGTTTAGCCACATTCAATCAATATCGTTATCATCGCACAAGATTGGCCTTGTTCTGCTCTGGTATTTCACCGGTGGTAGTGACGCAGTGGCAATCGTCGCGGTAGTATGCTCGTCTTGATCATCATCCACCAAATGCTCAAATTGTAACTCCCTCAGCATCCATCGATATACAACGCCGCGTTCGTCGTTTATTGCGTACCGCCGCATGGGTCGCCAGAAGATGGCGTTGAGAATGGATTTCGCATAGGGTTGGAAAATGGGGTATAATTCGTGGGGGAATGCGTCGAGGAGGTTTTTGAGCGTGTAGATGCTGTAGAGATGCGTCATTATGCAGAGCTGGATTTCGACGGGGAGGTTGAGGAGGTGGGTTTGGGGTTTGAGTTTGGACATGGTTTTTGTTGTTGTTGCTGTTCGTTGTTTGCTTGAAGTTTGTTTTGGAAATTGGAGATGTCACTCCCTGAGTTCCTGGCGGTAGTGGATCACGGGATGGATGTTCTAGGGGATGGCAATTGATGCATTTTATTGGCCAGGCCCTCCACTCCCTCCTTAAAATAATCATTGTGATGTGAGATTCCTGACTGACGAAATTCGAATATTCACATGGTTTTTTAATAGAATATTATACATGCAGTATGATAACTGATTATCCACGTTACAGAAATAGACACAGCAGATTCAACAGTCAAGTTAAACCCGCAAGATGAAGAGCAATACCATCACGAAGAGAACAGAACAGAAGAGCAACAAATTAGATATCAACTACTCGTCTCTACCTTTTCCACAATGCAAGCAGTTCCATACGCACATATCTGCGAAAATCCTCCCATATCAACCACATCAAACCTCACCGCCACCAGCGCATTCCCTCCTCGAGACATGCACTCGCCCACCATACGCTCCACCGCTTCGTTGCGAGCTGTATAGAGCATCTTCGTAAATACACGTATCTCGCCGCCGACCACCGAGCGCGCAATTCCGCCTAGTCCAGCGCCCCAATTGCGCGAGCGCACCGTCAGGCCGTAGACTGTGCCGAGCACTTGGTTGACTTTATAGCCTGGGATGTCGTTCATGGTGCTTGTGATAACGCCGTGGGTATCGGTGAAGCACGAGAACATCTCGCTTTCGGGAATATGTTGGCCTGAAGGCATGAAGTTCCTGCTTTCTAGGTTTTGAAGTTCCAAGGTTTTGTTGTGTATAGACTGGAGGAATCTCGGTGTAATTAATATAGATAGATAGATAGATATACCGAGGGGCTTCCAATGAATCAACCCTTGAACCAAGTCAATGGCAATTGATTGTAACCGTATATGATTCATATATCTGGCTTGAAAGAGGTTATATACAGTTGTGACTCTACAAGGCAGATCTGATGGGTCCTGCGATCGTATTTACGGCGCGCTTATTGGTGGCCATGTGCCCCGGGCCGCTTATAAAGGGGAGGTGAGGCTTTTTTTTTGGATCGGCCAATGATCGATCGACATTTTCAGCGTGCATGCAGATTTGAAAAAAGGATATGCCATTGCTCGACTGTATGCTAGTTATTTTTTGTGCGGATGACTGTTGTTCTTTGCGTCTCTGCCGTGAGAATCAAGGGGTACGTCTATCTATGTCTTTAAGAAGACCATAGACTTCCAAGGGTTGGAAAATATAGCCTTAATATCATTATTTGTGCATCAGCTTTTGGTAGGTTTGCTCGTCACATTGATCTCGTTTCCTATACAACAATCTCAGGAATCCATGCATGGTAATCAGTCATCTCGAATGACGTTCCTTGGCTGCATCTTATACCTAGCCACTTAGTATCATCAGGATAATCTATTCCGCGTGGCTTCCATCGTACATTGTGCTGAGATGATGTCAGGTCGTGGATAGAAGCCAGCTCCTACATGATCAGATACAGCTGCCAGTGCTCCTTTCGTGAATGCGACTTTTATATCATAGTCAGCTGGTGATTATGAACCTAATTTCTTAAATACTTCTCTATTCCCTATGTACTAAATTTACTACAAGGATCAAACCGAATACAGAGAATTCCAAGGTTCATTGTTCCCCCAATGTCCACTTAACCGCAGACTATCAATACAAAGGAAGCTGTTAGGGCATGTTAATCCTTGGTAAAAAGGATGAATGGCATTCTACTCCCGAGGTCAAACGTTGCTGTTTCCTTTCTTGGAAACCGGATCCAAAAGACCCAAGGATGCGCCTAGCTATCAAGTGGGTATATTTGTGAATAGCGTAAATACTCAAGCCGGTCCGCATGCCATAGCAATTCAATGCTAGGATAAGTACATGCCTTTATTCAGATTTTTTCTTATTCCCGGCGATATCTTGATATATGTCCCGCATTCCGATGCCAGACCTAATACAATTGGGGAAATACGAGTTTTCGAGCAGTGATCGATTCTAAGGCATAAACAAATGTTATGTATTCCGAAAATATAAATCCTCGTACATGTTGGCGTGCCGGTTAGCTTAAACTATCTTCTCTAAGAGTCTATAACCATCTGTTTATTCCAAAGCCACACTTCCAAGGATATTATTACATTCCTTCCAAAGTCAGAATTTCTTCGAATAGTGAGTTAGACGAATAACGCAAGCAACTAACAGGTGTCGTATAGGAAGATTAACTATTCGACATGTATTTCAGAATCCAATCAGCTTTTCTCGTCACGCTATTGGTGTTCTTAACGGGCTCAGTCAATGCTCTGCCGAAAGTATGTAGCATGCCTCCACGTCCATCGTATAATTAGAACCAGAACTCCCTAACAAAAGCTGCACAGGATACAAACCCTGCAACAACCCCTGCACCTAGATCTGACATTAATCATGGCGAGATGCGTGTAATGACCCAAGTCTCCCACCCGAAACCAGCTACTAGAAGCACTTCTTGGGCGGACTCTGAAGCTGGGGACAGCAAATGGACAGCAACAGCAACACAAACCGCAGCGACTGTGACTGTGACTAAAACTGCTACTTCAACGGCTTCAGCAACGACCTCAGCGACGGCTGTGGCTCTCGATGTATTGTCTACCGTGTCGAGTCTATTGAATGGACTCGCGGGCTTGTTTGAGTCTTGATGGGTTATGTCTATTCAATCAACCTAACAAGTCCTCGCGTCGTTATCTTGAGCATGAAGGATTGCTTGGCTATATTTATTTGGACACTATAATACGGAGATTGTGGAAAATCACGAACTCAGCTATGAATATTTTCCGTTACTCCTCTCAGCGTATGGAAAATGGAGGAGTTGTGTCAAGCGTCGAATTAGGGCTAGGGCTATATCTTGGTGGCGTTGGTGGCATATCTAATTTGTTTACTTTGTCCATGTACCTAAGTTCCAGGCTATATACGATTTTGATTAATACCCAGAGAATTTCGTATTTGATACTCAATCGTCGCCTTTTTCCATTTCCATCAGATGACGACCTTGGGCAGTGAGCTCACGGAGAGCCATTTCCGAGAGTCAAAAATGACATCACGTCTACCTATCTGTGGATAAGAAGATACATTTCTGGCTTTTATCTATTCTATTTGTGATGCTTACTCAAAATTTCACCTACCTCAATAAAGCAAAAAAGCCCACATTCAATAGTTATCATGTCGCGAAACATCTGTGTCACCTCGGTTGAGGGGTACACCGGCTTCCTCGTAACACAGCTTCTGCTCACCGATGCAGCTTTCAAAAAAGACGCGAGCAAAGTGACGGGACTGACCCTCAACCCGGCGAGTCCGTGGTGCAAGGAATTGGAGAAGCTTGGTGCAACTATCGCTCAACACACCCCTGGCCGCGTCCGCGATACTGTCCGGGTACTTGAGACCACAAAAGCCGACACATTGATGCTCATTCCTCCAGCAAATGCCAACAAGACTGACATCTCATTGGAAATTATCGAGGCTGCCAAAAAAGTCAATATTGCCAATGTGTGTCTCCTGAGTGCGGCTGGTTGCGATGTAGCCGACAGGGATGTCCAGCCGAGGTTGAGGGAATTCATTGATTTGGAGGTAGCGTTAATGAAATTGAAGGGTAACACAAGCACGAGAACGGGGTATTCGTCTTGTATTATTAGGTTTGTGTTGTTTTCCTCCATTTACTATCGTTATTCTCCATAGGCCTGCTGACTCTGAGTTACAATGTAGGCCTGGGTTTTATGCAGAGAATCTTCTTCTGTACACACCCGAGGCCCAGGAAGAGGGCTTATTGCCGATTCCCATTGGACGAGACCATAAATTCCCTCCTATTGCTTTGCATGTTAGTAAATCCTGCATTCATATCTGCTAAAGAGCTCGGCAATGAGAACATGGTTTAATGAACCTCAGGATGTCGCCCAACTAGCTGCCCACATCCTCACCGGTAAGGGCAAGCATGGCTTCAGTGATCAACACCGTGGCCAACTTATGACCTTGACGGGTGAGTTATAGTTTTTTTCCCCCAAAGACTTCTTTTGAGAATCTAACCCGACTGCTCTCATGTAGGACCCATGCTTGTCAGCGGTGACGACCTCGCGCAGATTGCCAGCAAGGCGCTGGGCGTCACTTTGAAATTTGACGATGTGTCAGAGTAAGTTTTTCTGACTTCGTTTATCGACCTGCCTTTGACTGGAGAGATCATTAACTGGAGAGGGGTTGAACAGAAATGAAGCACGCCGCCTACTTCGATTCCAAACAACGCACGAAGAAGCCGAGAGGCAGTATCTGCTTGAGTATTACTCCCTTGTGCGAGAGGGAAAGACGAACTACATCTCGACCAACTGCTTCCATGACGTGACAGGCTCTCATCCAATCGAGCCGCCACAGTTCTTCCAGACATATAAGAGCGAATTCATGCCTAAGATGACTGTGCAGAGAACAGCTGATGGGGTGTGACAGAGATATATAAGCCGTGAAGGATGTTTCACATTGAATTTCTTTGAGTAGTCTGTCACAGGGGAGTTGTGTCCAGAAAGAAACAATGCATTCATTCCATAGCCATTTCTTGCAGTCACCTGATTATAATAGCCCCGTGACGTATAGCAAACCGACTAGTAGCATGTATGTCCTTGACACTTGATGAAGAACGCTCCCTCGCTCTCTGTCTATCTAGGTACTGCTGGGTTGGAATATGCCATATCGAGATACCTACTGATTAATTGGAAGCCGTTATGTGTATAAACCTAACGTCCCCCAAGAGAAGGCCACAGCTACCGCCCTGGCTCCTATGGCAAAGGAAAAGGAGAAAGAGGCAGAGACTGCTGACAGCATAAGTGATCAAATCACATATATAAATAGCGTTGTCAATTGGCTGATTGGCTCATTATGTAAAGACGTCAGGATACACACAAACCAAGCAAGCAGGTAAAGCGGGGACCCCGCTCTGCTAGATAACATATATACCCTACTCTTCTATCAGCTATCTCCCGCGAGTTATTTCGTTCTGAGATACGCTTTCCACGCCAATGCAGAAAATGGCGGCTTTGAACGAAAACACAGAGATTCCTCTGCCCCCTGTACCGGACGTCAATCCCAAAATGCCATGGATACAGCTGGGGGAATTCGAGTCAGCATCCTCCAAGACGCCGCCGCCACAAGCCTATTCGCCGCATAGTAAGCCAGCGGAGCGTGCAGCCGCGAGATTTGGAGTACATGGAAACGCTGTTTGTATGCGGAAGCCCTCCCTTCTTTATTATGGCTCTTGGCTCGGCGGTTGAAGAGTCAAATATAGTCATCCAAAACTAACTTCATACAACATTCTACAGTGACCGGCGGCGCCGGAATGCTCGCTCTGGCTTCAGCTCGCGCCTTACTGGAACATGGCCTCTCTGGTCTTGCGCTGTTTGACCTACCCAGTGCAATTGAAAAGGGCAAGAACAAGATTCAAGCGCTACGGACCGATTTCCCGTTAAGCAAAATCATCACTCAAGCTTGCGACGTGACCGATGAAAAGGGCATGATAGCAGCAACTCAAACCGCCAAAGAGCAACTGGGTGGTGACCTTAACATCCTTTGCTGCTTTGCCGGAATGGTTGGCTGTGTTCCATCAGCAGAGCAATCCGTGGACCATTGGAGAAAAATAATTGACGTTAATACAACGGGATGTTGGATTGCAGCCCAGGCAGTTGGACGGTATGCTGTTATTTTTCCATCTAATAACCTCGTCGTACTTCTAGGATATGCGTATAATATGCATGCTGACGAATTTGTTTGACAACAGGGAAATGATAGCTAGTAAGCACGGAGGAAAAATTGTCTTCATTGCATCGATCTCCGGTCACCGCGTCAATTACCCGCAGCCCCAAGCGGCTTATAATACTTCGAAAGCTGCTCTGCTACATATGAAAAACAGTCTGGCAGCCGAGTGGACGCGCTACGGGATCTATGTAAACACAATATCGCCAGGGTATATGGATACCGTGCTTAATCATGGCGATGACTTGGCTTCATGGAGGCGAATATGGGCGGAGCGCAACCCAATGCGTCGTATGGGTTCGCCGGAAGAGCTGACAGGGCCCGTTGTCCTACTGTGCAGCGACATTGGCGGGAGTTATGTGAATGGAGCCGATATTGTGGTTGATGGCGGCGGTCTGGTTTTCTAGTCTGTAGATCTATTACCTGCTAGATAACGTGATTTTTGCGGCCGAGGGCAGTTGTTGGGCCAGGCCACGTCGACAGACATCATCCTCGCAGTCTAGAATTGGAATTAACTTTGGCAAGGCAGGAATGGTAGACTGCGACTGAAGAGGTAGATATTCCGGTGTAGTACAGCCGGTGTAACCGATGTGGCTGGTAGGTCCAGGTAGGCATCGAGAGAGCAAGCTCCTTGCAGCTGCCAGCTTGCCGGCTGCTGGTTTTTGCGGTCAATTCGCTTGTCGCCATCTGATAAAGGCTTTTACCGCCGTTCCAGTCTGGCGGTACACGTGGCGCCAATGCAGATCAGGCACAGCTTGCAAGTTGTACTGCAGTTCAGTGGCCATGGAGAGGACGCTGGGCTGTCCAGCTGACTGCCATTGCTTTTTACCGTCACATCAATGGTTGGGAACAAGGCAGGCAGACAGGCAATGGCAATCAATGACCGATTCGGATAGCGAGGGAGCGCGTGTGGAATGGACGCATGATTGACCGGGGGAGTGAGTGAGTGTGGTGGAATGTCCCCCACGGAGGAGTTGCCGGCCACCGCGCTAGGATGCCTTGGTGGCCTTAGGTGCCAGGCACCCGCACCAGCTCCTCTTCTCGGTGTGCCGTCACCTGCCATCATCTGCTGCCTGTTGTTCATTCTCGGACAACAATATTACCAGTCTTCACTAGCATTAGGATCCCAGCATATCTTTGTTCTCTTTGCCCCATTGTCATTGTGCGACTCATCAGCTTATACGTCATACGTGCCTACGAGCTTGGTGCCTACTACCTACCTAAATACCGATCGCGACTACGTCAACTCCCCAGTGCGCCGGCGCTCGTCCGTGATCATCCGGTCTCCCACCGTATTGCATGACGGCTTCCTTTCTATGATATAAGGCCGCAACGTGCCACACTTCTGCAGGGGCAGGGGAAAAAGAGCATACTGCCGTTCGTCGACTGCCCAAGCCCGGCTTGGTCACGAGCTACCGGCTGGACAGGATGAAGGGCCTCCAGATACCAGCGTTAGCTGCAGGCTTGCTGTATAGCGCGCTGTTTTCCACTGTCGCGGCCCAAGGAGCGACTGCTATACACGAGCCAGGTCGGTGTGCTATTCGCGGTCACTGTGGAAAGAAGAGCATATTTGGCGGGGAGCTGCCCTGTCCCGACAATGATCTCGCGCGTGAGCCTGATGTTACAGTCAGAGAGAAATTGGTTTCGCTATGTGGAAGTAAATGGTCTGAAGGTCCTGTGTGCTGCGAAGAAGAACAGGTAGGAGGCACGCTCTTACAATACTGTTGCCTTGATTGCTAACAAACCTCGTTTGCAAAGGTCGACGCGCTGAAAAAGAACTTGAAACTTGCAGAGGGAATTATCGCCTCGTGCCCCGCATGTGTGAACAATTTCTTCGACATATTTTGCACATTTACATGCTCTCCGGATCAATCGTTGTTTGTCAATGTCACAGAAACCGAACCGAAGGGGAACAAACTCTTGGTGACCGAGCTGGATAATCTTTGGTCGGAAGAATACCAGAGCGGCTTTTATGATAGCTGCAAGAATGTCAAAAACGGTGCATCTGGAGGCAAAGCAATCGATTTTATTGGTGGAGGAGCAAAAAATTACACACAGTTCATGAAGTTTCTCGGTGATAAGAAGCTGCTTGGTAGCCCTTTCCAGATCAATTACGAAACGGAGCCTCGAAATCCAGACCCTCTCGGCATGCAGGCGCTCCCAATGATTCCAAAAGCCTGCAATGATTCAGATCCTGCCTATCGATGCTCGTGTGTTGATTGTCCGTCAGTCTGCCCTACGTTGCCTGAGGTCCAGTCCCAAGCCTATTGTCATGTTGGACTTATGCCTTGCTTATCCTTTGCGGTTATCCTAATCTATTCGGTATTTCTATCTCTTGTAGTACTGGTTTCGAGCTATGTCACCTACCGAGAACGACGATATCGCAAACCTGAGCGGGTTAGGTTGCTGCAGGATCCGGTGCCTAGTGATGACGAGGACGACGGCGAGATCGTCCGTGGCTCTGGATACCTAGAGACTCCGCGAAAGCACTACGGATTGAACAGTATTTGCGATAAGGCATTCAGTCGACTTGGCGGTGTCTGTGCCCGCTTCCCTGCAATTACGATATCTATGAGTATAATCATTGTTGGATTGCTGAGCTTGGGTTGGCTGCAGTTTGCCGTAGAAACCGATCCCGTTCGTCTTTGGGTTAGCCCTACATCGGACGCAGCGCAAGAAAAGGAGTTCTTCGACAAAAATTTTGGGCCGTTTTATCGTGCTGAACAGGCTTTTCTTGTAAATGACACAGGACCTGTTTTAAGCTATGACACGTTGAGCTGGTGGTTTGATGTCGAGAGCCGAGTCCGCCGGGTGGTTTCCTTGAAGCAAGGCTTGACCCTCGATGACGTTTGCTTTAAACCGACAGGCGATGCTTGTGTGGTCCAATCCTTTACGGGATACTTTGGAGGTTCTCTGACTGGTGTCACACCCAAAAATTGGCGTAAAACACTGTCCCATTGCGCTGAGTCTCCCGGTGATGTCAGCTGTCTCCCCGACTTCCAGCAACCTCTTCAACCTACGATGATTCTCGGTGGATATGAAGAGACGAACGATGTCCTGGACTCAAAGGCTATTGTTGTTACATGGGTGGTAAATAATTATGCGCAGGGGACGGAAGGTGAAAGCAGAGCAATGGACTGGGAAGCCAGCTTGCTCCAAGTCTTAGAAGTTGTCCACGAAGAAGCACGTGAACGCGGTCTGCGCCTATCTTACAACACAGAGAGCAGTTTGGAAGAGGAGTTGAACAAATCTAGCAACACCGATGCCAAGATCGTTGCTATCAGTTATGTCATAATGTTCTTATATGCTTCCATCGCATTGGGATCTGGGGCGCTCACTTTGCGAGCACTGTTGACCAACCCATCCAATGCTCTGGTCCAGTCCAAATTTACACTAGGAGTGGTCGGAATTGTGATTGTCCTGATGTCAGTTTCTGCCTCTGTTGGATTGTTCTCCGCAGCTGGCATCAAAGTCACTCTGATCATTGCTGAAGTTATTCCATTCCTCGTCCTTGCCGTTGGCGTGGACAATATTTTCCTCATTGTCCATGAATTCGATCGTGTCAATGTCAGCCACCCTGACGAGGAGATTGATGAACGTGTTGGTCGTGCGCTTGGTCGCATTGGACCTAGTATCCTTTTGTCGGCCATTACTGAAACTGTGGCTTTTGCTATGGGCATATTCGTCGGCATGCCCGCGGTGAAAAACTTTGCTGCATATGCAGCCGGCGCTGTCTTTATTAACGCTATACTGCAAGTCACCATGTTTATCGCTGTCCTTGCCCTCAATCAGAGACGAGTGGAGAGTCTTCGCGCTGACTGCTTTCCTTGTTTGACCGTTCGCCGAGCAACGTCGGCTGGCTTCCAGGACAGCGTTGCGTACGACGACATGGCTGGCGAAAGTTGGCTGCAGAAGTTTATTCGACGTATCTACGCACCGGCTCTGTTAGATCGAAGGGCAAAGGCCGCTGTTATAGTGGTCTTTCTAGGCGTATTTACCGCAGGCCTCGCCTTAATACCTGAAGTTCAGCTGGGTCTCGACCAACGCATAGCGCTTCCGAGAGATTCATATCTTATACAATACTTCAATGACCTTGACGATTATTTCCAAACTGGCCCTCCAGTGTACTTCGTCACACGCGGTGTCAACATAACCGAGAGACCACATCAGCAACAAGTTTGCGGTCGATTCTCTACATGCGAAGAATATTCGCTTTCGTTTGTATTAGAACAAGAAGCAAAGCGCCCTAATGTCTCATATATATCCGGGTCCACTGCCAGTTGGCTGGATGATTTCTTCTACTGGCTGAATCCTCAGCAGGACTGCTGTAAAGAAAATGGGAATATCTGTTTTGAGGATCGCAGTCCTCCTTGGAACATTACATTATCCGGGATGCCTGAAGGACAAGAATTCATCCATTATGCTAAAATGTGGATTGGATCACCTACTGATGCGTCATGTCCTCTCGGAGGCAAGGCTCCATATAGCAATGCGCTTGTGATTGACAGCGAACGTATCACCACAAGTGCAAGCCATTTCAGAACGAGCCACACTCCGCTGAAGAGTCAAGCCGATTTCATCAATGCTCAATTATCTGCCCGACGGATTTCTGATTATCTTTCCCATGAGCACAACATTGACATCTTTCCTTACTCCAAATTCTACATTTTCTTTGACCAATACGCTTCTATCGTTCGTCTGACTGGAACTCTCCTTGGTGCTGCTATTGGGATTATTTTCGTTGTGAGCTCAATATTATTGGGTTCCCTTGCTACTGGTGCGGTCATTGCCACCACCGTTGTTATGATAGTGGTGGATATCATAGGAACCATGGCAGTTGCAGGCGTATCGCTCAATGCGGTTTCTCTTGTCAATTTAGTGATCTGCGTGGGTATAGGAGTCGAGTTTTGCGCGCATATTGCGCGGGCATTTATGTTCCCATCTCGCAATATGCTTGACAGAAGCCCTAAGCTGCGCGGTAAGGACGCAAGAGCCTGGACCGCGCTCGTCAATGTTGGCGGCAGCGTCTTCAGTGGCATCACTGTTACAAAATTACTGGGAGTCTGTGTCCTTGCATTCACGCGCAGCAAAATTTTTGAAATATACTATTTCCGCGTTTGGCTGGCTTTGGTGATCTTTGCCGCGTCGCATGCCTTGATCTTCCTGCCAGTTGCTTTGAGTTATTTTGGCGGGGAAGGTAAGTTATTCAGACTTCGGCATAGTTTTTGTCTTTGCTAATTGGCATTTTCTGTTGTAGGCTACCTGGATCCTGAATCAGACGGTGGGTTAGAAGAGAATCTGGCTGCTCGCGGATACCGGTCATTGCTTTTGAATGATGACTATGACTCGGAAGAGGATGATTAGTTCATCCTATTTTCTAACATTGTATAATGCCCGTTTCCTTTTTGTTATTGAGGCGGGACGAACAATTATGAGAATTTAAACGCGATTGGCAGTTATTTTTCCCTCTTATACCAATGAATTTCTCTTGAAATAGAGCCGGTACTGAATCCTTCCGTTCGGCTTGGTGTATGAAGTTACATCTCCTTTCTGCCTATCGATGAGCGACGGACGTATGTATATATAGTAAGTACCTAGGTTATATCTAATCCATCTATGAATGTGGAAGACTTCAGATCCAAGGACTGGCTTCGCCGTACGCCTATACTGTTATGTAGGTAAGAATAAGAGAAATGATATTCGCATTGATATAGTCAGTCTTGAGTGTCAAACGATAAAGGGAGAGTAAACTATCTAAAAATCCTACCATCAATCCAGAACGCAAACAGTGTCGGCATTATCAGATAGAGCGGCTAACAGTCCTCACCTCCAGGTATCGTCAACAGTCGCAGTTGCACCTACACACCCAGTAGGCACCGTATAGCTGCGATTCGGGTCGCTTTCCCACTTGATAGTGCCGCTGGTCTCTATAATGATGAATTTATACTCGAAAGACTCGCCGACGGGGAGGTCGACAGTGACAGTCCAGAGCGGATCGGAGGCTGTATATTCACTTGCAGACAGGAGGACGGCATCGCTAGTATCCCAGGATCCGAGCGCGCTGATCGAGCCTGCAAGATAGACTTCCTCGCCATACGTTGTGGTCACCACTTCGTTGAAAGTGACGGCGATGGTGGTCGCGGGCGTACAACCCGTAGTGCTGTTGGTGGTAGTGGTTGTATTGCATAGTCCGCTGCCGGAGACTGACGATGCTGGGAAGAATACTCGTGGCTCTCCAGAGGCCATGGGCACGGCGATGTCACCACTGGAATCGACGGTTACGTTGGTGCATGTGTATACCTCGGTCAATGAGGTGCCGGACGAGTAGCCGCTTCCACTGAGTGTGAGTGTATATTCCTCGCCGTCAGCTCCGAGGTTGGATAAGACGGTGATGACTTGCAGGTCTGATGTCCCTTTACGCATGGCGATGGTGTTGGAATCTTGGTATATTGGGGAGTTCTAGGTAGGTTCGTTTGGTCAATGAGAATAATCTATCAAGATCAATATCGGACGCCATACTCACCTGATAAGTCAAGTAGCCCGTGTCAACGGTCATGGCCAGAGTACGAATTTCATTTGTCTTCGCGGTATGTGTGTATAGCTCGGCGGTTGTTGAGTAGTCTGTCGGCCAGAGAGCTTCGCGATTGTCAGGGACGTCTCCGCCATCAAAGTGCTGCTCTTGCCCATAGTACAATATGGGAATGCCGTCCGACAGAAATATAAATGAAATGACGTTCTTGGCCTCCGAGTAATCGCTGGTATAACTACATGGAACAGTGAAGCGTAAGTATTGTCTCCGTACTAATGTGTATTCTCGGAAGAAGAACCAACACCACCACCAACCACCTGACAAGATGATTGACTAGGTGAGAAAAAAGACTCACTAGGCGAATCTGGGATTGTCGTGATTCTCAATGAAGTTGCCCAATAATGAGGTGTCTGTGCAGTCCGAAGCGACATCATTAATCATGTTATAGAGGTCGCTGATGCTGCCGCTGGAGGATTCAAAGGCATAAAGCAGTTGATAGTACCTAAGCGAGGTCGGTCAGGACCGACCCTTTGTTCCTAAACATTTCAACAGTTGATGTGGAAAACAAGGTCCTACTTACATTGGGTAGTTCAAAACTCCATTCATGTAATCCTGATACGGACATACATATGCAGGATCGCCGTCATCAACTTCTCCGATACAGTAAACACCTGATGAAGACTGGAAATCTGGGAAGAAACCCTTTTGCATATGCGCTGCAGAGTCGATACGAAGCCCGTCAACTAGATATTCATGTCAGTATAGTCACATAAGGCCTTGCCCTTGGTATATGATATTGGAGAGCTGTGCATCGTACTGGAGTAGTTCGCTACAAATGCAGCAACCCACTCATTCCAGGTATCCATCACATATGTTTGCGTGGTGTTCAGATCAGGTAGAGAGACAATAGTGTCTCCTTCCCAGCAGTCTTCGACATTGGTCTGGTTGTTGTAGTTGGTGATCAGACAGTAGGGATGATAGTATTCCTCGGCTGGGAAGGGATTGAAAATGCTGTAGTCGACATCGGTGCCGGCTCCATCGTATGCCTAGTTTCGTTTAGCTAAGAATATATTCTTGCTCACATGATTGCCGTGTCATACCATGTTGTTGACCACAATGTCAACCATAAGGTACATACCCCGGTCATGAAGTGCGTCGGAAAGTGCGATCAAATCTTCAGCGCTACCATACTGAGTATTGACCTCGTAACTAGAAAACGTGGCAGAATTAGCATGCATGTCTCCGTTATATAGAGTTAAAAGATGTAATACGCATTCTGCTGCCAGTAACCATGGTAAGATTCACCATCGAGAGTATCGCCCAAGAAATTCTCGGTCACCGGTGTTATCCAGAGAGCTGTAAAGCCCATGCCCTGGATATAATCGAGCTATTGTGAGCTCGTCAGTACTCGTCTTAGAAATAACTCCTTGGGTCCGTCAAAAATTATGACCGTGAAATCCTTACATGGTTGATGACTCCCTGCCAGCTGCCGCCACAGTACAGCTAAGGGCGTGTCAGGTAAAAAGTAGCTCATAAGTAGCTAAAAAAAAGAGGCCTCACATTAACATCACATGAAGTCGTGGTCGAATTATCAGTCAATGCAAAGCGATCTGTAAGCAAGAAATAGATTGATTGGCTACGCCATTCGTCCGCAGAGAGGCCCAGTGCTATGCTCGCAAGGGCACTACAAGCGAGAAGAATGGCATTCATTGCGAAGGCAAAATCAAAAACTTAACGACTGAAAGTTTCGAGATTAAGTTCGAGGGAGGGCCTCTATGGCGAACGGATCATCGCTTCCTTAAATAAATTAAGACACACCGTGCAGACAGGGATAGGATGCATGACAGGCCGGTGAATCGCCGCGATCAAGGGTTATATTTGGGGGCTGGTACTACTAGTCACACCAACTAGCAACTTAACGCTCTTGCATGAATGCTTAGTTCTTGCCTACACACCTGACTAGCCCTAATATGCGAAGGTGATGTTTCATTTTTCATTGCCGAAACGCACTATGCCGAAGCCTTCTCGGTTTGTTATCGGAGCAATGCAGGCTAAGAATCAAGTAGGATACTGAAGATAGCATCTAGATACCCAAAGGGAAATGTAAACCTTGATCCGTGACATCCATGTGCAGATTGTTGGCAGAGGGTTACATTCACCACAGATATACCGAGGGAAGTACAATACCTTGTAGGCATACACACCACGTATTGATGATCAAATACATGCTTGTAACTAATAATTGAGCTTTGATTGCTAGGTAATTTACAATAGATAACAGCTTTCACAGGCAGAAAGCCGCACGTCTAATAGCAACCCTGGAACCTTGGATTGTCGCTGCTGCAGCCCAAGAACAATATACAACATCACCACTCAGGTAGGTAATAAACATATTCCAACTTCATAGAGTCAAAATGGGACCACCGAAAAAAACACATTAACGATCTCTTCCGAGAGTATTTACTCTGCGACCTTCTCCTCCACCTCTGTAGATACCTGCAAATCGACTTTCTCTTGAACCGGTGCCTCCTCACCAAGCAGAGCAAGTAGTCCGATTTCTCGTTCAATGCGCAGCTTTGTCACGGCATCCTCAGCGGCAATACCAGTCGAGCCAAAGATCTCGTCCATCTCTTCCAAAGTACGGCCTTTCGTCTCGGGGACCAAGAAATACACATACAGTGCTCCGATCGTGGTAATCAGACCAAAGAAGATGAAAGCACCGTAGCTGGAAGCGGAAATAAATGGTGATGTGGAGATTGCAACAGCAAAGTTGTTGAGCTATACGTGGGTTTCGTTTGTTAGAGAAGCCGAGCGTGAGAGTGGTCAAAGAGAAGTAAACATACCCAGTTTGCACTGCCGCCAATGGACACACCCTTTGCACGCATGCTCAAAGGGAAGACTTCAGACACCACAATCCAAGCACACGGCCCTGCAAGTAGAAAACAAAAGCTGTCAGCAGGTGCCATCATCAGGTGGTGAGCTCTAGGCTCATCATGGGTTCTTACCCCAGGAGTAGGCAAAGTTAATTGTGTAGATCCAGACGAAAACGACAGCAGCCCAACCAGCTGCGCGATGACTGGCCCATTCATTTGTGTAGCTTCCAATAATACCAGCAACAATGAAGTGGCAAATGGCCATACCAATAGCGCCAGCAATCAAAGTCTTCTTGCGTCCGATCTGGTCAACCCACAAGACAGCAGGAATTGTGAAAAGGAACTCCACGACGCCGACGACTCCAGTCGCTAGCAAATTAACAGAATTGCCGGAGAGACCCATATCCTCAAAAATGAAAGGACTTAGAGATGTCAGCGAGATTTGAGGAGAGGGTTTGACAAAAAGGGGCAGAATAGACCCACGCATAGTAGTTAATGGCGTTGATTCCATTCCATTGCTGGAAGGTCATGATGAGGCACTTTGAACTGTTGGTTAGACTCTTTTGCACCACGTAGAACTGGACCAGATTAATACATACAGCAACTGTCACTCGCTTGAATAGGGATTTGTTGGTTATGAGACTTGTGTAATCGCTCAAGGCAATCATGAAATTGCTTTTCGCGGAGCCATCTTGGTATTGAGGATATTTGCGAGCGGACGTCTCAACCTCGAACATACGAAGAGCTTTGATTTCAAGAAACTCGACGCGCACCAGAACATCATCCTGCGGGCGACCGCGAAGTCGAGCCAATGTAGCCAAACACTCATCCTCGCGGCCCTTGTTCATCAAGTGTCGCGGTGACTGGGGCATGAACAAAAGCATTCCGGCTGCAAGAACTAAACCTGGAAGGATCTGGATACAGATAGGGATAAGCCACGCAGCGTCAGATTGACCTTCTCCCGTACCTCCGATATAGTTGGTGCCGTATCCAATCTAGATACCCCGGTTAGCTGAACACCTACCTCGATTGGGAACTGAGAACATACATACCCAAAAGCTGATCATAATTCCAAAAGTAATCGAGAGCTGCTGGACAGCTACAAGCGAGCCACGAATTTCTGGAGGTGCCTGCGGTAGGGTTAGTAAAAGGAACAACGCCGCGTTGCAAGTGTTTAGGTACGTACCAGTTCGGCGTTGTACAAAGGCACAATCATACTCAAGCTGCCGATTCCCAGACCAGTCACGAAACGACCTCCGAACACGTAGTCCTTGTTCTCGGTGCAAGCCTGCACAATGACACCAACGGTGAAAACGACAATAGCAATACAGACGGTAGCGCGTCGCCCGGCGGAATCAGCCAGATAACCGTTGAAGAGGGTTCCAACCCAAGCACCCAATTCCAGAATTGACGTCAAAAGACCCTGGCCGATACCGGTGGAAGCAGCGTAACCTTGTGTCTGATTGTGTAGAATGGTATGTTAGCAATTTGACTGTGCTGAAGGAGAAAGGATTTGGCATAGTCACCCTGTTAACGAAAGAAGTCATGGTTAACACCTGCGCGAACATTCCCTGGTTGTCTGCATTTGGTTAGCCAAACAATCCTTTTCTTTTTTAAGTATACTCACATCCATAGACAAGACCGCCCAAAGATGCGAAAAGACCGATGAGGAAGGTTTTTTGATTGCTGATTAAGCCTTTGAAGCCCGACGGCCCAGCAATCTGTTCACGCTTCCGAGACAGGTTATGTTGTGGTACATGGATTGCGGCCTGAGCCACGGGATTAACAGAGACCTCCATCGTGTTTCGAGTCAATCTATAGGGCGAGAACCGGCCACGAAGATGCCCAGGCGTGGAGTTTAATACATAGAGGCTGAAGAAGAAAACGTTGGGAAAGTGCCCTGTTTTAATAGTCCGGGCCAAGCAGATGTGATCTCTTCCCCATGGGACAAGCGGAGTTCCCCCATACGTTGTTTCTCCGCACCGTACTAGGTACGGTGCTGGATGTAGTCGCCTATTAAAATCAAAACTGCAGTGGCTAAACCATTAGTCCTGACACCGCCCCATTTCTGCGTAGCTGATCAATGATTATTAGCCTAATGTCAATACACGAGACTTGCTCCGTGCCATGTATGGCTCAGCTTTTAACCACCGCGTAACGAATTTATCCAACGATAGCCCTAACTCTCCGCTTCTTACCGGGAATGACGCATGCTTGTCCTTTGGTGAAGTAAGGCCTCCTTCGTGTAGTCTGTTTATTTTCTTGGCAGTCTCTATCTAGTATTGTCATTGAACAAGGCTAAGTCGCGTTATGCCTAGCAACCGCGTAAACTTGACATCCGTATAACCGCTAGCCATGTGCAGGTGCTATGTGCCTGTATTTAAGTAATCGCAGTTATTCGTTTGAGGCAAGGTTAGTCTGTCTTCGCTATGGTAATTCTCCAGAGGGAAAAGGAAAGGGGCCAGCCCACCTTGTTCCTAACCATGTCCATCAATCACCTCAACCAACGAGATGATACCCCCTCTAGCATACCCATGCGTATTGAGGTTCTACTGTATTACGAACAGCAGAACGGCTGGTTGATGGCCTTCAGCTGATCGCTGCAGGAAAATGAAACAACTTGTTTCTAACGCTACTTTGTACGGGGAAATATGGAAAATTATGCTTCTTCTTGAGGTCGACCTCTTTTGCCCATACAATGATGTGTTCTACCGGCCCTTGGGGCCAGTATCCAGGTGCTATCAAGTTGGCCCCGGTGGACACATATGTACTCTTCGTCGCAAAAGCAACGGATTGTGCTCCTTTCCATTTTCACGGTAATTTCGGCCTCGACGAGCTGTCTGGTTGTGTCTGGAGCTAGACCGCATAGAAGCCGAGCAGAGCGACTTTGCACCACAGCTCTACTGAACATTTTTGTTGATGCTCGTGATATCTTCACGAGAAATATACACAAATGTAGATGAAAAACGAGGCTCGGATTGATACATGGCGATGAGAGTCAAAGTATTGACAAGTAAAAATCTCGTTTCGAATTTCCTACGTCTTTTTCACTGTCCCGGGGGCCCGCGCCGGGGGGGGGGGGCGCGCGGGTTTATACCCTGTCCGAACTATCGCTGTCTTGATCATCCAGGTTAATACTATAGTAAATAGTTAAAAGTTAAGCCCTAACATGACTACAAAGAGTAGACTAATTACAGAATATTATCCAAAAAGAGTGAGATTCTACCTAATCGTCTCGAGAAATCATATGTTGACAATATTATCTGTTGCCACTTGGCCTGTAGTTAGACCGTTGAAGTAGGCTCTCTATAACTATAGAATTAATACTAGGCTTTTAGCTACTTCTACGGATCATAAAATTCCAAAGCGAGCTTAACTAAAGCTATAGTTTTGGATTTGATGTCACTCTCGCGCTTTTATGCTAAATCGGGTATCAGGTGTCTATCTTTCCGGTTATTTGTTAATTAAAACTAGGTATACAACAGCTTTATCTTAGATGTTCTAGTGGTTTAAAAATAAATTAATTTACTTTTAGGATCAGATATTACCATGTCACTTACTCGCTCTTGGGTTTGTCGGCCAGATCAGCCACTGAACGGTGGCGATACTGGGCTGAGAATTCAGCAAACCCCGGGTTTGCAGCCGTCAATCCAGCTTTTAGTCGAGGATATTGCTGCTGCTTGCTATATCACAGTTTCGGGCCGATACTTATGCCATATTCGAGGGCTAACTATATGCAGGTAGTTCATCTGAATACATCACTTAACTAGTTAGTTGCTAGTTAGATACTAATCCGTGAGTCAGATGTTAGGCTCATTCAGCCCCCAACAGGCCCATAAACAGCCAAATACCCTGTAGACATTGACTATTGGGATCGGCACTCTCGCAGTATGTTGGTGCCCGTGTCCGTGTTGGCTCCGCTCTCATTTCAGCTGATGAGCGATTGAAAATCTAATAATGAGTAACTTACTCCGTACCCTTCATTAACTCAAAAAGTCTCCCACTCAATCCACTCATTGCGCACCATGTGGTGTACGCGGCTCTGGTTATGCCTTGTACTAGCCCTGGTGCTGGGGGTGTATGGCGATGTCGACCCGATTGTCATCCAGGTGAATATCAAACAATTGTCTGTCGAATAAATCAAAAGGCCACTCCTGCTGAATCAACTGTGGCAGGGCTCCAAGCTCTTTTACAAAACGAATGGCACACAATTGTGAGATGTCTTCCTATCTCCCATGTGCTTGCTAACTACTGCTACCAAAGTCGCTCAGCCAACGCTAATGTTGTCCAGTTTCATCAAAGGCCTAGCATACCAATCATATTCCGGGGATACGGCGACACTCGACATCTCATCCACAGACTACTTGGCAGTGCAAACAGCGTGCAGTCGCGATGTACCTGTGTTTCAAGAGCTCGGGATCAACACCATCACTCTCTACAACGTCGACGCAACACAAGACCATGACTATTGCATGAATCTGTTACAGGAAGCCGGCATATATGTCATTCCGTATCTGCGAGAATTGAATACGGTTGGCATAAGTTCATCATGGACAGCCGAGGATTTCTCGGAGAAGACCGCTATTGTCGACGCGTTTGCCTCGTACAACAATGTTCTCGCATTCCTCGTCGATGTGGAGACAATCCAAGAAGACAGCAATACAACTTCGACCCCGTTCTTCAAAGCAGCTGTGCGGGATGTCAAGGCATACATCGCGAGCCAAGGATACCGAAGCATCCCTGTGGGGATCGATTCCGATTCATTCCCGGAATGGGGACAGGACACTTTGGATTACTTCAACTGCCAAAACAGCTCTGACTCGGTGGACATTTATGGTGCATCTCTCTATACATGGTGTGGGAACGCAACCATGGAAAGCAGCGGCTGGGACGAGTTCACAGATATGATCAAAAACTACTCTATCCCTGTTTTCATGGCGGAATATGGCTGTAACGGCCAGACAACTTTTACTGAAGTCGCTGCCCTCTATGGGACAGAAATGACACCGTATTGGTCGGGCGGAGTTCTCTACACATACGCAGGGGTTGATTATGGTATCTTAATCCTTTCTTCTTCTTCTTTTTTGTCTTTTGCTGCAAATTGCTCATGGGATCGCTCTAACTTCTACCGGCGCAGGCCTGGTCAACGTCAGTGGTCAGACAGTCGACAAGGGCGAGACGTATTCAGCGTTTTCAAGTCAATTAGCCAGTGTGACACTTTCTCCAACGAATGCAGCATCATATACGCCCAGTAATACCGCTACGCCATCATGTCCATCGGTGGTGTCTACATGGGAAGCATCGCCGACACTCCCTCCGCAGCCAGATGCCGACTTCTGCGACTGCTCACTTCGCCAAAGCTACTGTCAAGTGCAGCCGGATCTCAACAGTACAGTACAAGATGAGATTGTATCCTACATATGCGGAACGGATATCAACCTGTGTTCGGGGTTGCTTGTCAACTCAACCATTGGTGAATACGGTATATACACAATGTGCAACACCACGACAATGCTGTCGCTATTGATAAGCAACAATACACAAGCAGCCTCAAGCACGGATTCGGACGATCAAGACTGTAAGGTAGGTGGTTCAGATACATTTGCTACCACGAACTCAGCGTACACCAGTGCTGCACAGTGTACGTACCAAACGCTTGTCGCTGCGGTTACTAGCACATCGAGTTCCGCCGGATCTACGGGATCAGGTAAATAGTTGATATTTCCTTGTCTTTCTTCTTTCTGCTCTTCTTCCTTCGATCGACACGGGACTAATCTTATATTTTCACTATACGTAGGTGCCGCTTCTGGGTCAACGAATTCTTCCAGTGGCTCAAGTAGTAATTCGCAGAGCAGTGGAATCAGCAAAGGAGCAATAGCCGGAATCGTCGTCGGGGTCGTAGCTGGTATAGCAATCATAGCAGGGGCAGTTGTAATTGTGGTCCGCCGACAGAGAGCGAGAAATGGTGCGCAGCAGGAGAAGAGCACCGACAACACTGGTCCCCCAGAACTGCCAGCTGGGGGATCATATGAGACTGCTGAATTGCCTGCCGCTCAGCCAGTAGCTGTGGAATTACACAGCGATGCTCCTCCTGTTGAATTGCCCGCTGAAATGCCTGCTGGGCGATAATAAACCTGCAGGCCACCAGACACCTAGGTGTACACTACCTAATTTCCATGTATATGTTAGACATGTTGAATGTATATAAGTTATACCTCGTCTCTTGAGCTCATAGATAAGCTCATAGAACGGTAACAACTACAAGAGGAAACGAGTCTCCAAGAAAGAGCATTATTAGCCCGTGAACTATACAGTGAGTATTTATTGATTGATATTGTCTAATCATTATGAGCATGAAGTGGATCGCACATTTCCTTCATGTGGATGCTTACTTACTATTTGAGAGCCTAATCAGTGACACCATCGGGGTATATAACCAAGGGGTTTATTCCACGACGGTTATCGAGGTTCGAAGGTGGTTGACAGCGTGTTTAAGTTTAGGGTTATACCGGCCATACTTGGGAGCGCCGGTCAGTAGACTGTCTGTCTGCCTGGACACAGATCAATTTTTAACTAGTCAAAAATTGAAGTAAAACGTCATCTAGTAACTCCTCTGTCCTATACCTGCTCAGAATAAAATGGTTAGAAAAGAAAACGTGATTGGAAGAAATGGAAGATTTAACCCTAAGAAAACGAACGTTTTGGAGGGGCAAAAACAGAAAAGTGCGGGGTGGAGACGCGTGGGCGCTCCTGATTGGCCAGACTGTTCTCGAAAAACGCTAGTCCCGATCAGGACTAAGAGCTCGAGTGGGACATCCGCAGAAAAATTTACCAAAGTACTTTTTTTTTTTTTTACTTTTCGCTTCCCATTAACGAAAAACCAAAACAATTTCCTTTTTCTCTTTTTCTTGCGTTTACGTTGCTCTTGCTCTTGGGGAGCTGCTAAAGAGAAGTGCGGAGTCTTTTTGTGTCTGTTTTGGAAGACTTCATTCTGCAGCCCCGCATCTCCTTTCACCTTTACGACGCTTTGCGTCGGCATCGAAGCATATAAACCAAAAAGACAAGGAAATCTCTGATTATATTTGCGTGTCATGGATCAGCAACGATTCCTGCAGCAACTGCAGATCATCTTGAACCGTGAGAATCCCTATTCACCTCCATATGATCCCTCCGTGAAGCTAACCCATCAACGATGCAGCTGCCAACGGCAACTTGAAGGATGCCACTGGTGTCCTGCAGAAGGAGTTCTACAATAAGCCCGAATCATTCCTCTTCCTCCTTCAGATTGCCACTACCCACGAAAATGAAGACCTCCGTCAGTTGGCTGCTGTCGAGGCTCGAGGCCTCGTGGGCAGGTTTTGGCTGAAGACCCCTGCAAACCAGAAACCTCAAATCCGGGAGCAGCTATTGCGCGGAACTATGAGCAGCAACTCCGAGCTCGTCCGCCACGCTATTGCTCGCATTGTCTCATCGATAGCCAAGATTGATCTTCCCGATGGCGAGTGGGCTGATTTGCCAAACTTCTTGCTCCAGGCCGCCCAAAGTGGAAACAAGGATGAGAGGGCGATTGGCGTCTACATTTTCTTCACAATCCTCGAGTCTTTGGGAGAGGGCTTTGAGGAAAAATTCAAAGATCTGTTTGCCCTCTTTAGCAAGACCATCCGTGACCCTGAGAGTGCCGAGGTTCGCATTAATACTCTGTTGGCTTTGAGCAAGCTAGCTATGCACCTCGACTCGGACGAGGATGTGGCTCCTGTCAAAGCATTTCAGCAGGTCCTCCCCGATATGGTGCGTGTTCTCAAGGACGCCATTGACAGCACCGACGAGGACCGCATCATGCAGGCCTTCGAGGTTTTCCAGACCCTGCTTGGATGCGACCCAGCCTTGTTGAACGTCCACTTGAATGACTTGATTACTTTCATGAATGAGATTTCTGCAAATACTCAGCTGGCTGAGGATACCCGTACACAGGCAATCAGCTTCTTGATGCAGTGCGTCAAGTACCGCAAGATGAAGGTCCAAGGCCTCCGTGTCGGTGAACAACTCACTCGCACTGCCCTTCACGTTGTCACTGAGCTCGATGACGACGATGACGAGGATGAAATCACTCCCGCTCGATCGGCTCTTGGATTACTCGACATGCTTGCCCAAAGCCTGCCTCCAAGCCAAGTCGTTGTTCCTCTTCTCCAGGCCCTTGGTCAATACTTCACTAGCGAAAATCCTGACTACCGTCGTGCCGGTATTCTGGCTTTGGGTATGTGTGTTGAGGGTGCTCCCGACTTCATCAGCAGCCAGTTCGTCGAAATCTTCCCCATGGTTCTCCATCTCCTCCACGACAAGGAGCCAAAGGTTCGCCAGGCCACCCTGCACGGTGTTGCCCGCCTTGCCGACGACCTCGCAGAGGATGTTTCCAAGGAACACGCCAAGCTTATGCCACTATTGGTTCAGAACCTTGCCAGTGCCATGCAGAACTACAATGGCGAGGAAACTGGCCCTATCGTCAATATCATGAAGGCTGCTGTCAGCTCCATTGATGCTGTTGTCGACGGTCTGGATGAGAAGGACGTCATCCCTTACCAAGATGAAGTTGTTCCTCTTCTACACAAGCTCTTCCAACACCCCGACTTCAAAATCAAGGGTCTTACTGCTAGTGCTATTGGATCGCTCGCTTCCTCTGCCGGTGAAGCTTTCCTCCCATACTTTGAGAAGTCGATGCATCTCATGCAAGAGTACGCTACCAAGAAAGAGAGCGAAGAGGAACTTGATTTGCGTGCCAGCATTATCGATGCCATGGGCGAGATGTCCGCGGCTGCTGGTCCTCAAAACTACCAACCATATGTCGAACCTCTCATGCGTGCTAGCGAAGAAGCTCTCCACCTGGACCACTCTCGTCTTAAGGAGAGTACCTACATGCTGTGGGGCTCAATTTCCAAGGTTTACGGGGAAGACTTCAAGCCATTCCTAGACGGTGTTTTCAAGGGCTTGAGTGCTTGTATCGAGCAGGAGGAAGCCGATCTTGAGGTCGAACTTGGAGATGCCGCCAAGGATCTCGTTGGTCAAGAAGTTAGCATTGGCGGTCGCAAAGTCAAAGTCGCCGAGACTTCTGACGATGAAGATGGCGACATTGAGGATATTGACCTTGACGATGAGGATGACTGGGAGGACTTCACTACAGTTACTCCCCTGGCCCTCGAGAAGGAGATTGCTGTCGAGGTTATTGGTGATTTGATTAGCCACACCAAGGGCGCCTACATTCCATACTTCGAGAAGACAATTGAGCTGGTTCTTCCCCTCACTGAGCATCCCTATGAGGGTGTTCGCAAGAGCACTATCAGCACCATCCACCGTGCCTACGCTACCTTGTTTGCCTTGGCTGAGGATAACGGTCAGATGCCAAAGTGGCAGGCCGGTCTTCCTTTGAAGGTTCAACCTCCTGTCGAGGTCAAGAAGTTTGGCGAGATTCTCATGACAGCCACAATCAAATTGTGGGCTGAAGAAAGTGATCCGTACGTACACCTTGTTTTCCTTTGTGTTTTGATAACATTGCCAAAATATGCCACTTTCTCCCATCACTGGTCAAGAAGATCAACTTCATATGATGACAACATCGTTACCCAGCTCACTCAGACATGCCTTTTTCAAAAGCATGATTGATGTCAACAGCGTATTCCAACGTAACCTGATAAAATTTATTTTCTGTTGCACATTTTTGTTTATCAAACGTGATGGCACCATGCTAACTATGCTAAAACTCCAGGGCAACGGTTGGTGATCTCTGCGGCAACCTTGCCGAGAACCTTCGCTACACCGGTCCGGCATTGATTGCCGATGAAAAGGTTCTTACCAGTGTAGTCCAACAAGTCACTGACCTAATCAATAAGAAACACCCCTGTCAGCAGGACTTTGCTGAAGATGATGAACTTCAGGAGACTATGGACGAGACATCAGAGTTTGACTGGATCGTTATCGACCGCGCTCTTGATGTGGTTTCTGGACTTGCCGCCGCTCTTGGCCCAGACTTCCCTCAACTCTGGAAGATCTTCGAAAAAAGCGTCCTCCGGTTCGTCAGCAGCTCTGAGAACATTGAGCGTGCTACCGCCGTGGGAGTTCTTGCCGAGGTGATCACCGGAATGAAGGATGCTGTCACTCCTTTGACCGGTCGTTTCTTGCCTTTGCTTCTGAAGCGCCTTGATGATGAGGACCCACAGACCAAGTCCAACGCTGCTTACGCTACTGGACGTCTGATTGAGGCCACTAATGATGCATCTGTTATCTCTCATTTCCCCACCATTCTCCAAAAGCTGGAGCCCTGCCTTCAGCAGCAAGTGTCCAGGCTGCCAGACAATGCCACCGGCTGCTTGTCTCGTATGATTCTCAAGCAGCATGACAAGGTCCCGGTAGCCGACGTGCTCCCTGCTATTGTTAGCATTCTTCCATTGAAGAACGACTATGAGGAGAACGAGCCTTTGTACAAGATGATTGCCCAGCTTTGTAAGTTTCATAAAATGGCCTGTTTCTTGATGGTGTAAGAATTGCCTACTAACTTCTCTTTTCCTCTAGACAAATGGGAGGATCCAACTGTCCGTCAACTGACTCCTCAACTTCTTCCCGTCTTCCAGTCCGTTCTCTCTGACGAAGATCAACTTGAGGACGAACGGCGAAAGGAAGTCATTGAACTCGTTTCATGGCTTAACAAATAAATAACTGTCTTTTGCTTTACTCCACAATATAAATATACAAGATGGAGCAGACAAAGGCAGAGAAACGGCTCAATTAAAAAACAAAAAAACAAAGAGGTTTTCACACACATGACGAGATATCATGACGGATAGATGTAATGATCAAACAGGCGGAGGGCAAAAAAAGATACCCCGGGATTTTGATGACGAGCGAAATGACCAAAGAAACGAGAAAGCGAGAGAGAGAAAGGAAAACCAAGGAAATTTTTATTCTGAATGGACTGACTGGCTATCTCTGAAACTTGAATGACTCAAAGAAACTCGGAAGACATATCATATTATTCTAGTCAATGAGCGTGACTAATTTATCATTTGTTCGACGTTTTCTTTCATTCTCGATCTTTCTTTTGTTGATACGTATATAGCTTTTTTTCATTTTATCATTTTGAATATTGACACCAGACAGTATATAGAGATTCTTTCATTCTGAGCATAGATTGTGGCCTGATATAACATAGTAACCAGGACCCAAGTTTTCACTGATCGTAAACCCAAAGCCCTAGTGCCAACTCATCCTGCGTCCGATTCGGGAAATATCGTACATACATGCATCGATTTCAAAATGCGTTATCTCATCTACCTACATATCAGAGCCCAGCTCATGTAAAAATTATCCTTGAAAAAACTTCTACTGAATATTGGTTTATAGGCAATTATATCATATTCAACTAACGAGCGATACTGATGTTTGCCTATGATGAACGCTTTTCTGAGTCATATTCGTGCCCGGGAATTTGAATCTTCCATCGAGCTACTCAAAAATGTGCTAGAAGCTTTCATGTTGTCACCCTAGACAAAACCTAGGGCCTTACTTCTGTAGAAGAGAAGGGGGAAGAAGAGTTTTGGGCCTTTTGTTGTTTTTTCCGTGCAGGTAAAGATTGTCCACGGAATACTTCCGCATACGTGATGATTCCGAGAATGATTACTGTACAAAGACCTAAGTGGAATTCACAGTAGGCCGACATGCCTTGTCAAGAGTCGAGACCAAGGCCCGGATGGATACATGGAAGCTCGGATATACGTTTTGGATCCGGATCGTATGTATTCCGTACGCATGTATGCGAATTAGATACAGCTAATGTGCAAGTTTCTATGTGTAGACCAATGCTCGTGAACTTGTCTCTTTCTGCAGTGTTTATTTGCTCTGGTTTACGTATGGTTGACTTGTCTAAGTTCTATGAGATCTACTGGGTAGAATAAGTCCTCATTGAATGCTGCGTACATGAGCGATGTTCTTTATTACCTAAGATTAGGGTGCTCAAGATTAGATATTTGAGTGGACGCCTGTACTTCTGCAAGAGCCTATCAGACTAATATATGTATAGACCGAGACGCACAAAGAGCGCGAGATTTCCAGCTCGGCGTGGTTGTTACGTTGACCAACTGGGCCTTCTGATCAGTATTAGTTTGGGCCGGATATGATTGATTAACAAAAGGCTCGAATGTTTAAATGATAAGCCTAAACCCATACCGGACCGTTAATTTGCGCGGCGATATGGAGGTTCTGTGTCGGTAGTATGCAGAGTCGTGACTCAAAATTTTAAGTCCAGAGCAACATGCTGTACTCTTCTAAGTTATTTAACTCGCTGTTAGAGCTACATTTTTGGTAGTATCGTCTCCATCTAGTTTGCTTCTGCAGGGTGAGATGTAATATCAAGCCATACGTGATCGTGATTTCTTCGAGATCTTGGAGGGCCTAGCGTGCCAAATACCTAGATTACCTCGGAGTCGACCAATTACCTGATGGTTCTAATCCAGTTTAAATGTCCAAAGGCATCAGGATAAGACTCCGGCGGGTTAATACGCGTACCTGCCAACTGGTGTTGTTTCAGAAGAGGCGCATAGCTGATGTACGGATCTATGGGAAAAGTGCGTTATCATGATTAACCTAGATAGGTATGACTCATCCTAAACTTACAGCATTTTATCAACTTAGAGTGTCAGTTAATCATACGAAATAAAGAGTGAAAGTTCCTCAGGGGCCTATGGGAATTGCATAGGGCAGACGGAATTATGCGGATATATCCGGACGTACGGATGTACGGATGAACTCTGACAATCGTGGGAGAACGCGTCTTGGGATGTAGGTTAGTAATAAGAGAAGACATATTTATATGTAATTGACCTGGAATGGTATAGAGACATATTCTGATAGGCAGAGCACTTTGCAGTATATACCATTGTGAAGACCAGCGGCGTCCACTTAACTATCCTGAATACGAAGTCACTGGACTAGCAAAGCCCTAACTTGTCACGGCGAATATAACCAATACGAGTGACAAGACCGCCGGCAAAATGGGATCATCAAGCACCACACCAACGTTGTCTGATGTCGAAGAAGGAAATCCAGGGATCCAGAAACAGCTGACCCTTACATTTCGCAACCTCAATGTTCATGTCACAGCATCAGATGCGGCACTTGGCGATAACCTATTATCCGTGGCGGATCTACGACAGTTCTTTAATGGCTTTTTCAAGAATCAACGTCCAAAGAGGGTAATTCAAGGATATCAATGTTTTGAAGTTGCGCGGAGCTGACGACCTATTGCTTAAAGAGTATTCTGAAAGATGTCAGCGGCCAAGTTCGGCCCGGAGAGATGGTAGGTTCCAATTTGGTGCTCCATAACGTTTATGAATATAAAACGAAGTGAGAGAGAGGAAACATACTAATAAGTAATAAATATTAGTTACTCGTTCTTGGACGGCCTGGATCAGGGTGTACCTCTCTCCTTCGCGTTCTGTCTAACGACCGCGAATCCTTCGATGAAGTCAACGGCGAAATTCATTATGGAAGCATGGACCACATCGAAGCAAGACGATATCGACAACAGATTATGTTCAACAATGAGGATGACGTCCATTTCCCAACCCTGTCCGTCGACGACACTCTAAAGTTTGCCTTGCGGACGAAGGTCCCGCGGGAGCGACCAGACGGCATGGACAAGGCGAAGTTTCTCGAAGATAAGCGAGATACAATCCTTAACTCGCTCGGCATACCCCATACGAAGAATACAAAAGTGGGAAATGAATTCATTCGTGGTGTATCTGGAGGCGAGCGAAAGCGTGTATCTTTAGCTGAGGTTATGGCAGGACACGTAAGGCTCCACGCCTCTGTCCTCAAGATGAGCGAGCAATGATAAAACTAACTGCATATTCTTTTTTAATCTATAGAGCCCGATTCAATTTTGGGACAATCCAACTCGGGGTCTGGACTCTAAGACAGCCGTGGAATTTGCCCAGCTTCTACGCCAAGAAGCAAATGATTTCGGCAAGACTATCGTAACAACAACCTATCAAGCCGGAAATGTGATATACGATCAATTCGACAAAGTACTCGCTCTAGCAGACAGTCGAGTCATTTACTACGGACCTCGAGCTTTAGCTCGCTCCTACTTTGAGGATATGGGATTTGTCTGCCCCAAGGGAGCCAATATTGCCGACTTTTTAACCTCCGTGACGGTTTTGACTGAACGAATAATCCGTGAAGGGATGGAGGAAAAGGTTCCTAGCGGGACCAGCGAATTTGAAGCGGCTTACCATGCAAGCGGGATCTATACACAAATGATTGAGGAAATTGTGCCTCCAGAGAAGCTGGAGAATGAAAAAGATGACCTGATCACGGCGGTGACGAACGAGAAGAGAAAATCGCATATTCCTCGTGGACACAGTCCTTATACTACGAAACTAATGGAACAGATTGCATCATTGACTGTTCGGTAGGTACTAATTCCAGCCGGGAAAAAAGAAGAGAAGAGAAGAAGAGGTGACGGGTGATAAATGTTTGGTTACGACAGCTAATCAAAATTGTAGTCAGTTCCAAATTATGATGGGCGACAAGCTGTCCATGTGCGTCAAGGTCGCCTCTGCAATCATCCAGGCCTTAGTGTGCGGTAGTCTGTTCTACGATCTCAAGGATGACAGCTCGTCCATTTTCTTACGCCCAGGTGTCCTTTTCTTTCCGGTTCTTTACTTCCTGCTAGAATCCATGAGCGAGACAACGGCTGCTTTCATGGGCCGTCCAATTCTTGCACGGCAGAAGCGGTTTGGATTTTATCGTCCGACGGCATTCTGCGTTGCCAACGCTATTACTGACATACCCATCGTCCTAACTCAAGTCAGCTGCTTCTCGTTGATCCTCTATTTTATGTCTAATTTACAGATGAACGCTGGAAAGTTCTTCACATTCTGGATTATCGTCAGCGTAAATACGCTTTGTTTTATGCAAATGTTTCGTGCAATAGGCGCATTGAGCAAAAGATTCGGCAATGCCTCTAAAGTCACCGGATTGCTATCGACCATCTTTTTCGTTTACGGAGGTAAGTTACATTTCTTCCTTTGTTTTTGTCTTTCGCGCTTTGCTAACAAGAGATTTAGGCTGTAAGATTCACTTATTTGATCAATTCAGTCTATCAGTCTGCCCTTTTCAGATGTGTATGGAAACTAATAGTTCTGGTCATATAAAACAGATTTAATACCATTTTCAGACATGAGGGTCTGGTTTCGTTGGATCTTCTACCTCAATCCGGGTGCATATGCCTTTGAAGCTCTTATGGCCAATGAATTCCACGGCTTAGAGCTCGATTGCATTGCGCCGGACTATGTCCCCTACGGCAACGGATACTCTGACTCTCAATCTCCTTACCGGGGTTGTACTGTTGTCGGCAGCACTGACGGCGTGATCAATGGAGAAACTTATATCGGCGACCAATTTCATTATTCGTATCACCATATCTGGCGCAGTTTTGGAGTGATTGTCGGCATGTGGTTTTTCTTTATTTTCCTCACTTCAGTCGGCTTTGAGCTACGCAACAGTCAGTCAGGCTCATCAGTCCTCCTCTATAAACGAGGTGGTAAAACGCAGACTGTAGACGAAGAAAACAGTCCTGACGCATCGTCGGATACCAGGGTCATACTAAAGAACTCCGGCAAGCAGTCTACCTTTACCTGGAGTCATCTTGACTATCACGTTCCATTTCATGGAAGCAAAAAACAGCTGCTGAATCAAGTGTTTGGATACGTGAAGCCAGGAAACCTGGTGGCGCTGATGGGATGTTCCGGTGCTGGAAAAACGACGTATGCTATTTTGAACTCTGAACATAACCATAGCTAAGATGCTTTGTGGCTGACATTGTGACTTTTACAGTTTGCTAGATGTCCTCGCTCAGCGCAAAGATAGCGGAGAAATTCACGGCTCTATCTTGATTGACGGTCGTCCACAAGGGCTCAGTTTCCAAAGGACCACTGGATACTGTGAGCAAATGGATGTTCATGAACCTACTGCTACGGTTAGGGAAGCCCTAGAGTTCTCAGCACTTCTCCGCCAGCCTGCACATATCCCACGCGCGGAGAAGATTGAATATGTGGATCAAATAATCAATCTGCTAGAGCTGTCTGGTATCCAAGACGCTTTGATCGGAGGTAAGTACCTTCTGTTTGCATATCAAATAGTCTGTCCAACGCAAAATGGTCTTACTAACAGTATCACAGTTCCTGGGGCTGGTTTAACCATCGAACAGCGGAAACGAGTTACCCTGGGCGTCGAACTTGTTGCCAAACCCACACTTCTCTTTCTCGATGAGCCTACATCAGGCCTTGATGGTCAATCGGCTTACAACATCGTTCGGTTCCTGCGAAAATTGGTTGATGGCGGGCAAGCAGTTCTGGTCAGAATAATTATTTTGAATCACTTCACATTTGTATCTACTTCTAACTATGAATAGTGCACTATCCATCAACCCTCCGCCGTGCTATTCGATTCCTTCGACTCCCTAGTTCTACTTGCAAAGGGTGGTAAAATGGCATATTTTGGAGAAAGTGAGTGGGTTATAAAATTTCCAGAATTGGATGAATATTAATCTCCCATTAAACCTTAGCTGGTGAAGAGTCTGCTACTGTATTGGAGTACTTCTCCAAGAACGGCGCTCCATGCCCCCCGGATACAAACCCAGCCGAGCATATCGTTGAGGTGATTCAAACTAACCAAGAGGGAAGTGTTGATTGGGTCGATGTTTGGAACAAGTCAAAAGAACGTCAGGAAGCCATTGCTCACCTAGAATTCCTCAACAATGAGAATGCAGCCAAGAGCCAAGAGGACAAAGACCAATCTGACTATGCAACCTCGCACTGGTTCCAGTTCCGAATGGTCTTGCAGCGACTTATGATTCAGCTATGGCGGTCACCAGTGAGTCGTGTTCTTCTTGTTCCTAGTAACCATATAGCTAACCTTGATTGTTTTTGCCTGGTAGGATTACATATGGAACAAGATTGTTCTGCATATCTTTGCAGCTCTTTTCAGCGGATTTACATTCTGGAAAATTGGAAATAGCTCTTTTGATCTACAGCTCCGTCTTTTTGCTATCTTCAACTTTATCTTCGTTGCTCCTGGATGTATCAACCAGATGCAGCCATTTTTCTTGCATAATCGTGATATTTTCGAAACCCGAGAAAAAAAGGTTTGATATACTCTCTCTTTCCCTTCTCTACGTACACAGAGGGCTTATAGACTAACCCTATCACAGTCGAAAACATACCACTGGAGTGCCTTTATTGGCGCGCAAGTGGTGTCTGAGATCCCTTACTTGGTGATCTGCGCTACGCTCTATTTTCTGTGCTGGTATTACACTGCTGGTTTTCCAAACGCTTCCAGTATTGCTGGCGAGGTTTACTTGCAGATGATCTGTAGGCGTTTGCTCTCCGGTTATTTCTTTTTATATGTAGCGCTAACTTGACCGAACAGTCTATGAATTTCTCTACACTTCAATCGGTCAAGCCATCGCTGCTTATGCTCCTAACGAATATTTCGCCGCAATCATGAACCCGGTCATAATTGGTGCAGGGATGATCAGTTTCTGCGGTGTTGTCGTGCCTTACGCGGACATGCAGGACTTTTGGCGCTACTGGCTGTATTACCTCGACCCGTTTACCTACCTTGTGGGTGGTCTCCTCGGCGAAGTCCTCTGGGATGTGAAAGTGGAATGCACGCCGTCCGAGCTGGTGCAATTTGCAGTCCCCGCAGGCCAGACATGTGGTGAATACATGGCAGACTTTTTGTCGTCGGCTACCGGTTACGTTGTGGATGCAAACTCAACCACATCGTGCTCTTACTGCCAGTATGCCACCGGGGCGGATTATGCAAAGACATTCAATTTGAAGGAGAAATATTACTCCTGGAGAGATGTACGTTATATGCCATACCGACCCTCTCCGACCAATTACTAACTGCATCAAAACTAGGTTGGTATCACTGCACTATTCTGCTTCTCTTCCTATGCCACAGTCTTCGTAATGATGAAGCTCCGAAGCAAAAAGACCAAGAGTGCGCGATCTGAGTAATTCATATCTTCCAAGGCTTACGTGGAGCTACACATTTCGGTCCCAATGCGAGCAAACCATATCTTACGTTCTTACCATTCTAGTAACCGATTCTTCCTCACAGCTGTTGAAAAACTTGTACATAGTGGATTCCTTGTTTGACAACTAATAGGCTAGCGCATAAACACATAGTATAGGCGGTAGTGTCCTTCATTCAAATAGGCAATATCACGTATTAGATTTCGTCTAGACATACCGGATGCAGCCGTTGGATAAAGACTAACGAGCGTAATCTGCCGCTAAAAGGTGCATAGAACACTGTCGATATTGAGCTATATATAACAGCTAGTTAAGAAAGGTCTTATAAGACAATTCTTCGTTTGATATCCGACTATACATGGCAGTCAGATGTGGGGTACTGAAAGAGGATGTTTTGATTGATATCACGATAAGACGTCTCAGCTAGGCGAAGAGTATAGCCGCATTATCGATTGCGTTTACGCAGAAGTTCCTCGACTTCTTCAGGGTGTTCGAAACCTCTTTTTATTGCGCCGGAATGAATCGCAACTTCCACAGTAGCATTTGCTATCGATATAGTTGGCCCTTTTTTTTTTCGAGATTGATAGTGCAAATTTCGCATGAGCTTGGGGGTTGTCTTCTCTTCCTTCGTTCTATAACCTTCGCGAGTTCCTCTGCCGAGTGATATCGACCGTTGCGACGTGCGTACTGATAATGTCGTGACCGACGAAGTATCTTAGAATCGCGGCCTGTCCTTTGTAAATCAATAACCGCATAGTCCACTATTCACAAGCCTCGCATTTGGTGGACTCGTATCTTACCGTATTTTAATACCAGGGCCCACAGTTCAACGGCCGTGCAGATCATGCCCCACATTTATTTTGGGAGGCCTCAGGACATCCAAACTCGGCATTGTTTGATACGTTTGCAAGCCCTGACCCTTTTATGACCATTGATTATAAGATACTGGAGGTCTTAAGACATAAATGTAAAAATCCATTAAGTGAGTCATCTATACCTTTCAGAGATAGCAATTATATAATGGACTATCTAAACTTAACAAATTAGCCAAACTTCCATCCTAAGAGAAGAATTTAATGATATTAATAATGAAGCTAAGATCGCCGAGAAAAATTTAGTCTACGTAGTTCATGAACAATTAATTCCCTTTGTCTCTCATCAACTATCCAACGTCTTGTAGTATCCTCGTAGTAATATCTTAGTTGACACGCATCATATCTCGCTCACCAATGCATATCACATCGCTAGCCACAAGATACACAAATCGAAGTGCGGTAATTGCAACAAGCATTTTTGACCGTGGAGATTGGAGTAACTAGATTTTAAGTCGCGAGCATATAAGAACTCACGATCCTTCTGATTCCGAGCAAGATTCTTTGCTATTGGGCTATCGCGGTGGTCTGCCTTCCAACATGTGGGCACCAGCAGCGGCTGCCTTCTCCTTCCTCCCTCCTGTCTTCTTCCTCCTTCATATCTCCTACCTGATGGTGCTACTTTCTCCATTTTTTTGGCCAGTAAGTGTGCTATTGTGGTATCCAGGCTGTCAACTATCATGCATGGTACTAACGTACTACGTATCAAGCCATGAACACGTCAAGCCCACTGCTTTCTAAATTGCCGTTTGGACTTTGACTTTATTGATCTTCTTCGCTATCCAGACCGGGTTCGAAAAGTCTCTTTTCTTTCTCGGAAAACAATGGCGGAAGGAACAAGCTGGCATCACTTTCATTGACCTCAGCTGGTAGACCGTACGTGGATGGTGTGATCAATCTCGCTCACCCTGGTTTCAACATCACCAGGCGTGAGGTTGAACTACAGGTCAACGCGTATCTAACTACGAGATTTCCCACCCGACACAGAATATTTGTCAGTGCGATGTTATAATCATAAAGGTCGGAAAAGAGCATGAAAACCCGCCACCCCGTGCGAGGAAGCTTGTATAGGATTCACCTGCTCACAAAAATAAGTACAAACAGATTCTTTTCGATGGATCGAAGCTTGCTTGGCGCGTGATATACTCTAAGAGTTTTGGTCTTACTTTTAAAAAATAAATCCAGGTCCTGCATAAGCTATAATGACTCCTATAGTATTTTATTGGAACTCTCTATATATCCTAGAGGAAATAGCAATGGAAATATACTAGGCTATCGCAAGTTCAAGAGTATAAATCTCTAGATTCTTAAACAGTGGCTGCTCAAAAAAGGCCTCTTTAATGAATAAGTTCTGGAGGCTTTGAACTTTCTTGATCACCTCTTAAGGGAATGGCCATCTACCAAAATCATGCCGATTAGACGAGCCTTCTATGATTAAAATGAGCAGGGTCAGAATTCAGACAATTCCATTGATATTCGCAAAGGCTTCTACCAGGCCATCAGACCTGCTATGGGCGGCTGACTTGTTGTCAATGTCGACAGTGTTCTCTGCACCTTTTAGCGGCAGGTTACGCTCGTTAGTCTTTATCCGATGGCTGCATCCGGTGTTTTCTTATTAAATGTATCACGGACGTCGTGATATTGGGCATAATCATTCAACCTTGAATTATGCCCATTAGTAATTGTATCGCCCAAAGATTTCATTAACTAGAAACAATCTGAATGCATCTAGTAGCCTTCTACAGGCACCTATTGCCTCATTTTATCGGTTACTAAATATCGATCACTACCTTTTGTAGCTATGAAATTGGGTCATCGAACAAGAGTCAAGAATCCATTCCCATCCGCGCTAGAAACAGAGAATGTGACTTAGAAACATGTGTCAGGAGGTGGTGTTCTGTCGCCCTCCTTTTTCAACAAATACACGTAGTCGCCAATCGATCCATCATCACCGTGCACAAACTGCCAGCCCAGGGCAGTTTCATTGTAAATGGTCAACTTGGCGAGACCGTAGTGCACCTGGTCAAGGAACGCGGTTATGTTCTCTTGCTTTTGCCCATCGGTAAGAGTGCTGTGGCTTTCGACGTTGCCTGCCATGCCGTTGACGAAATGGGTGAGGGTCTTGCCGGGGTTTGTATAGTAGGTGTTGTAATCAACGATTGAACTGTTGTCAACGACTCCCTCCTTTGTGAGAGGGTACAAACGCTCATACCAGTGGATGTGACTATTTCACAACGTTAGTCAAGAATAGAGTAAAGTGGTGGAGGAAGAGAAACTTACGCTCCAATGTAGACATCAACCTCGTGCTCCAACAACAGATCTTGCCAGGCATTCTGGACATGTGTCATGTATGAAGCATAGGCAGAAGAATACATGGGTCTGTGGCTCATTGCAATGACCCATGGAGTCTTTGAGCGGTCGACCTTTTCCAAATCGGCCTTGAGCCACTGATACTGCTCATAGGCCTCGTTATCGTAAATGCTGCCATCGACATAACCAAAGGGGCCACTGTCAGTAATTTCGGTTTCGTTTTCTTGAGGAAACGTCTCGTTGCCAGAGAGGTCTCGAGCAAATGGCCACTCAGGGCTGTTAGCGTAATCGGTCTCGCCATCGAGAGCGATGAAATGTGCCAGACCGTAGTCAAATGAGTACCAGAAATTTCCAACACCGCCAGTCTCGTTACCAGGGTTCCAAAAACGGTGCTGGTAAGCAGTAAAGTTTCTATCGTGACAATCGGTTAGTCTCAGCGGGCGCGGTTAGGTACGGGAGCTTTCTTTACCTCTGGGAAGGAGGACAGCTATAGTACGTTAGGCCTTCGACAGGAGCAGTGCTGTTGGGCTTATCTTCATTCAAGTAGGCTGTCAAAACGTTGCCGGGCCCATCAAATTCAGCGCAGGCAGCATCGTGGTTTCCGGGAAGAGTCATGTAAGGAATTTTGGTAGTGACATTCGAAAGCCATTGCTGCCACAAATCCCAATTGCTCTCGTAGAGAACTGACATATCGCCTCCCTGGGGACCTCCTTGGTTGGCGGTCTCGCCTTCAGGCAGAGGTTTCTTGTACCAGTCCGGGATAGGACCGGGAAGCTCGGTGTTGGATCCATTGGAGCACACATCCCAACTACTCTGGCAAGGCAGGATACCGTCATACCAGTCCTACATCGTTGTTAGCTGCTTTCTTTCTCTTTTCAGGTTTCAATTAGATGGCATACATCGGCGTAACTAAGGTCACCTCCATGCCAGACGAAGGCGGTTCCTTCGTCGGTCGCCTTCTGCAGCTGCTGGAACGTACCACCGGCATTGGTGTAGCCCATGTCGTTCATGACGACCAAGTTAAACTCTCCCGGTGTACCAGCGGGACGGGAAGTCGTGAAGCTAAGCACATCGGATTCGGTGGTGCCATTGGCTGCGGTGATCTTATAATAATACTTGGTGCTTGGGAGTAGATCATGCAGTTGGACTTCGTGGAAGAACTGGCTGCACTGAGTAATGACAGTAACGAGGGAGCATGGAGGAGTGCGGTCATATCTATAACACCCATTCCAATTGGTCAGTTTAGTTGTTAAGTCTTACAAATGTGTTTATACGTTGCGTTATACGTACGTGTGCGAGTAACCGACGGTTTCGCGATCCAAGTGATGAGGATGAAGACCCCACTTGACCTTGGGGGGTTCTCCCAGTCCAAATGGAGTTTGGTAATGGATGTTTATGCCCCTCGGAAGGTAGGCCAAAGAGATTACATTGACATTGTTGGTGGGATTTTCGCTCTTGGGCTGAACAGCCGGAGGCTCAACCAGACGTGGGTAGCCTTTGCCGTTACCATTGACAGTTGGATCAATCCAGTCGCCTACGGGAATTGCAGGACCTTTGTAAGGGTAGGTTTCGTCGACGACGGGGACAGCTTGCACGGCATTGAAGGTTGTTGTCGCCGAGAGGGCGGCAAGCAACACGGAGGCAGTGGTGCTCTTCATGATAGCCAAGATGAGACGGATGACCTGTGCAAGACGTCAATGGCCCAGAGCTGCCAACTCAGAGAGGGAGAAAGGCATCGGGGGATGATCCGCTTATATATGCATGTACCGCGCACTCTGTACCTGGATCGTACGCAAAACTTAACTACTAACTAGCATGCTCCATAATCATATCGGAGCTCTCCGTTGCCTGAGCTATCGGCACGTTGGATTAGCCTTGCTGGCTGTAACGTTAGATGCAGCTTTAGCCTTATACGTGATTGCTGTGCGGGTGCTGATTGGCTCGGCAGAGGCCAACCGTCTTTTATATGAGATATGCCGCATGGGGACTAGCGGATCTCCACCGCAGGCGCACCGCAACCCAATCCTCTCGCGAAATAGTAGCATGTGCTGCAGCAACGGAGTAACCAGGAAACCCTCAAATTGTGATAGAATAGTACATATCCATGCTTATAATACATAGTCGCACTCCGTACAGAGTCCTACATGATCGAGGGAACCCTGCGGATGAATCGGGTAACTGCGTGGGACACTGGAAATATGGAAAACGATCGAACATACCCGATTGGCTATCCCGTGCGGGGCAGCTTCCACGTTCCTAAGTGGCTGCCGCATTTGCTCTTTCCATTTTGAGGAAAGTCTAACACCACGAGAAAAGCTTCTTTTGAGCGTATCAATAATGGGTCCAGCTTCAAAGTAATTCTCTGTTTTTCTCAAAATGACCGAGTCAAAATATACCTTTGAGGCTCAATTATTATATCTTACATAGCATATTATTATCTTGCAGTTAGGCAACCACACAAAGAACTCTCATTTGAAATATCAGCGGTGTCCGGAGATTGACTGTATGTATTATGGGCATGCTAGGGGTGCCACCAACAGATATGAAATGGATCCAAGACATCTCACATCCACAACCCCACGAGAGATTACCGAGGCATTTAAAAAGGAGACCGAGGGGCAAATTTTCACGCTGACAGCCTACGCGGAACTACACAGCATATGTATGAATTTGTAGAGCTTGACTGGCTGTTGGTCCTGTAAACACCACTCTGCAGCTTTGATTTGTGTAATGATAACCCAACTGTGAGCAAGCCAGTTTGACATATAAACGAGCAGACAACCAATCGGTCCTCCGATTGGTCAACCCGGGCGAGGTGGATTCTGCGTCTCTGAGTGGCCGCTGGAGCTTATCTAATACCGTACCCAGCCTCAACTTAACTAACCTCAAATAGTCAACTCACTCATTGAGGGGAAAAAAGTGACTTCCTAAAGATTCCTAAAGAAAGCATAATTTTGACGCTCAACTCCGGCATAATAACCAACCAGAAGAGCAAGGCTCTGTCCATAAGAAGGCGACAACACGCCTCCGCTGCGATGGCAGCCAACTAGCACTAAACAACAAAAGGACAACTTGACATGCTAGAAGCCTCCAAGATGGTTCCGCGCAAGTACGGGAAAATCATCTTGAACCCACCAACACCGTCAGAAATTTTGGAAGATGAACAGAAAACAAACACTGATGACGAAAATATCTGGTCGCCACTTCAAACTGCCTCACGGGATGGGGACTACGAGGGTGCACGTCAGCTCATTACATCATTATCTTCAACATCCTTACCAGATGTGGTGAACGAGTCACCGCATGGCTGGTACGGACAAACCGCACTTCAGGCCGCCTCTGCCAATGGCCATTTGAAAGTTGTCAACTTGCTATTAGACGCCGGCGCGAATGTCGATGCTCCAGGCGGAAACAATGGCGGCCGTACAGCTCTCACGCTGGCCGCACTTAACGGCCATCAGACTATCGTCGAACGATTACTTGAAGCTGGCGCTGATATTAATATCCCAGCACATAGATACGCGGGCCGGACTCCTTTGCAAGCAGCAGCGGAACTCGGGCATGTCGAGCTCGTAAAGTTGTTCCTAGATAAGGGTGCCCAGATTAATGCTCCGGCGGCGCATAATAACGGCCGCACTACATTGACAGCGGCTGCAGCAGGCGGATATAGTGAGCTAGTTAATTTTCTCATTGAGGCCGGCGCAGACGTGAATCCCCGGCTGATGCGATACAAGGGACTGACACCGCTGCAAGCAGCTGCTTTTGGCGGCTATCTGAATATTGTGGAGAGTCTGATCAAAGCCGGTGCGGATGTGAATGCAGACGGTTGCCATTACAATGGCTACACTGCACTGGCAGCAGCAGCTGAACAGGGACACGCTGATGTTGTTGAGAGGCTACTTGCCGCGGGAGCCGATGTGTTGAAGAGATCAGGGAATAAGAATTGGACTGCGTATCAGAGCGCTTATTTCGTCGGCCAGGAAGAGATAGCCACGAGGCTGTGGAAACTGGAAAATCTACAGAACGCTGCTGGACAGAGATAAATAGAATCTTAGAATTGAGTTATTTTATTGTCAAAGTTGGCATTCTATGACATCATCGAATACCAACACGTTGCTACTTCTAGTGAGTCGTGCCTTATCTCAGGCTCGTTATGAGAGTTCTAATCAACCAGAGGCAATTGCCTGAAGCTGTGCCTCATCGCCATTGAAAATATCTGAGTCCCCTCCGTAGGCATAACTATCCGAGTTCTGCCATATAGTCTGATACGGCCACCCACCCGGGATCGAGCCAGGCTCACTATTATAACTAGCCAACACCAATGGACACGTAGAACTAAACTTCTCTGAGTTCCCCGTACAGGTACTCCACCAATCATCCGTGGTATAAATCAACGGATAAGCACCTGTCGAAGATTGGTATGTGCCGACAAAGTCGCTGATCCAGCTCACCATCTCGCTGGCTGAGAGACCGTAACACGTGCTGCCGTCGGGATTGTATTCGATATCCAGCATTCCGGGAAGCGTGATGCCGTCGCTGGTCCAGCCGCCACCGTGGGAGAGGAAGTAGTTTGCCTGATATGCACCGCTGCTTTCGTCGGGATGCGCAAAGTGGTAGCCGCCGCGGATGAAGCCTGCGTCTGTGGCGCCGGTGTAGTGGCTGGAGAAGGTTGAGTCGACGTAGTCTGTGCCCTCGGTGGCCTTTTTTTTAAAAAAGATCTTTAGTATAGGAATCTATGAAGATTGACGATTTTAGGTGTACCTTGATGATGACGAATCGTGCGCCGGAGCTGTAGGCTTCGCTCCAGTCAACGCTGGATTGGTAGTTGCTCACATCGAAGCCTTGGACGGTTGCGCTTGCGAGGCCGAGGAGGGAGGCTGAGGCGATTGCCTTGCGCATTTTGAATATTTATCTCTCAATAATAGCAGACACTGTTCTTCCAATCCTTTAAGATGACTGAGGTAAGATAGACCTGTATTTAGCCCTCCCATCTACCAGTACTACCATACAACGTCGAATGGATCAACATCCATAGATCTAAACTAGTACTTCGAAAAAATCATTAGGATCAAGAACTTAAGCTCGTATAACCTAGGTGATTGACACACGTCACTCGCTTAAGATCTCTTGTACTTGAGATCTGCTTGGTCAATTCCTCGTTAACGTCGTATCACTACTCATAGCTCAAACATAAACCAAAGCTTAAGCGTTAGAAAAAAATCTATGCTGGGTACATGACAGTACGGATGCGGACATATAAAATGTCTTGCTTGCGCTCGTGCCTGTATTTTACAAGTAAATAAACGAAACTAAGTCATAATTGGAAGCTGGGGATTTTTTTTTTTCGTATCGATTTAGGATTTTGATGCGATCTTCCGGTCTATTCTCGATTTGGAAGGTACGTTAGGACTGCTTGCTGGATGAGGTTAAGTGACGTCGCATCGCAGGGTGGCTGGCATAGCATAGTTATATTCGAGAATAAATGAACTATGCAACACTGTACGGAGTATATATATATATAGGTTAATATTATGTTCTATGATATTAAATGATCTACATGGCTCAAAACACGTATGTAGCGGAAATCGAGATATATGTTAGAAAAAGGCAACGCTCAAAATATCAGGTACAATCAAGACCAACTTGATGGCCCAAAAGTCTGGCCTGCTGCCAGTTGTCTATACGGCGTCCCGAGGCCATCTGCCGTCTTCTCATAGACAGTATTTCCCCACCATGTCAGACTGGCGCCGGGCAGGGTGATGCAGAAGAAGATAATCACAGTGGAGACTGCGACGCCACAGTCAAGCGCGGAGGCGAGGATATAGTCTGGTGAGATGGCTGGTTAGTGATCGAGGTTCCAACAATTTAATTTAATCGAAGATTTGGAAATAGACTTACTATATTTAGTCCACCAAGCCCCTTTGCGTCGCTTGATGATACCATTGAAGATCGCGTTGAATGCCCACCAAGACGAAAAGTTGATACCAGTAGCCGGCGGCACAAGAGTCATGCCACCAAAGACCACAGGCCAGGAAATGTAATTGAAGAAATTCCACTTGCGTCCAAGGGTCCATGTCAAAAGCACAGCGAGAGGGCCGACAAGGAAGAACCAAAGCAAATTTCCGTAGATTTGCCCTGGCGAGTAACTATGGCTGGGGCCCAGAGCACCTAACCATTATATTTAGAACAGAGTATGAGTAACGGAAATTAAACAGCAGCTTACCCCAGATGAGAGATGAGGAATATGTGACAGTTCCATGTGGACAAGTATATCCGTTTGATTGATTGGTGCACACGTTGGGAACGCCCTCCAGAATGCCGAGTGTCAATCCCGCTTGAACCAAAGCTCCTACCAGAGTGGCAAGGCCTTGTGCGAAAAACACTGTTCGAGGCTCGATGTGGAAATAATGACCAAGTTTTTGGTCCGAAATGAATCTGTCACATGTTAGATACTATAGAACATGACAAGGAGAGAAAAGCACGTACTCCAATCCTTGCGCAACACCAGCATACGTAAGGAATTTGAATGACATATTAGCAACGGGTACTCCCTGGAAAGCGTAACCTCCAATAAATTCGGTAATGAGATTAATCTCATTGGTACTGATGTTGGTCAACGCTTTAATGATTCCGATTGGCATGAAATAGACGAGAGGCAGGACAAATCCAACAAAGACAGCCCACACTGGCAGACCAGTACTCCAGACCTCGTTGACGATGATATTTAACACCCACATTATGACAGTGACAATGGCAAACCACCACCACGGCACCTGACGGTATGCTGCATTTATCCGCGCGTGAATGTCTTTCTTTCCTTCGCCTTTCCAGATGGTCCATATCTCCTTGCCGTGGTAGAGAGCAATATGAACGAAAATTCCTGTTAGATTTGCAAACGCAATACCATAGGTCAAAGCATAGCCGGCGGGTAAAAACATGGGTGAATAGTTGTCGTACGCCTGATAGTTGACTGTAGCATCCGCATTCATAATCCTGGAAGTGTTGTACACGCTCCCGGTATTATCGTAGACATCGGAGCTCATCATAGGCATGTACGAGGAATACCACGTGTCGGTGTAATAGAGAATGGGGCATATGAGCCAGAAGAAGAAAACGAAGCCACCGATAACATTCAGGCCCGCCCAAAGTGGCGTTAACAACGGGTTTGCGTTGGCAAAGACGACCTATTACGCGATCAGCGTGCACGCACGAGTATTCGGGAAAAAGAGACGTCATACCTGGCTCCAATCAAACGTCAGGACGGACATCCCCAAGCCGGTCACCTGTCCAAACAGCTGATTGACGACAACATTATGCGGGACAATCCAGCAGATAAAACTGAAATAACTCAGTGCCTTGAACAAAAATCCCGGCAGGAAATACCAGGCAAATCCAACCAAAAAGACCACAAGGAAAAATTTCCTTCGAGATATAGTCCACCCATCTGCAACGGCGTTTGCCCTAGTGTGAAGTGCCATCAAAAGGGCAGAGTTGGAGAGCACGCCTGGCCAAATCATTGCTGCGGGCTGAACTAGCCACCGCTGAAACAGGCCAGCGAGGCCGAAACCGAACAGCTGTGTTGACAGAGTAAATAGAATGCCGAATCCCGGATTGTATCCCAGGTTGTAGAACTTCGTCATGGCCTCGATCACCTGTGTGGCTGAGGCAGATCCAAACGACACGTTAGCCATGATTGTTATGAGCGCATGCTCTTTGACGTTGAAGTTGCGATCCGGGTTGAAGAAGCCAATAGGCACAACGCGAGCCCAAAAGATACCCACGGGATACGCGAGCAACTGGCCAACAAAAGAGGAAATGGTGACACTAGGCTGTCGCAGACTGAACAGCTGATTCAAGGCGCTTCCGATCTGAAATTTGGCAAATTCATGTATCAGCCTCCGGTATCGGGTCATGCATGCATTTGACAACTTACTATTGTGAATAGTATGCCAATAATCCACATGCGTGATGTGTTGACGGGCATGGACGGATCATCCTTGGGCGATACCACAGCGCGTACCTCCGGGTACGGCGAGTCGTCGGCCTCGAAGTCGAGCGTTTTGCGTGCTTCATCATCATCGATAATTGATTCATCACTGCTACTGCTGGTCGTGACGTGGTTATGCTCTTTTGACGTCGAGGAATTGAAATCAGCGTGTCCCTACAGAAAGCGTGTCAGCTGAACCACACCACCGATTCATGGGCCATCAGATAATCGCCATACCTCGTCTTTCTCTTGGCTGAAGCTCTCCTCCCCACGCAGAGTTTCCACCGTCTGCGGAGCGATTCTTTCGTCCATGGGAGCTGTATGCTGTTGGGTTATGTTGTGTTATTGCGCTTTCATGAGCAGTCATATATGGGACTCAGCAATTCACTCCAGGCATTGTCCGAACAGCGAACAAGGAGGGTTGCAGTCCATCCGAGCGTCGTGCAATGGAAGAAAATAGGTCAAGGCATTGGTTGCAGAAACAGGAAAAAGATCAGCCTCGGCCTCTGGCCAGTCTTGCTTGCATGCAGTACGGAATAGTATTTAATCAATTCTGCGGCGCTGTGCATGCTAAAGTCACTAGCAGTCGTTGGTGTCGCACATCTTTCTAGAGGAACTCAAAAGGAACTTACGTAGGATTTGCCTGGGAAAGGCGCGCTAGTACGGCGAAACACTGCATAATACGAATTTTAATTACGACTAATGGCGCGATTAGTGCTGTTTATTGGCTCTGGTTATTGGGGGCGCCCCCGCAGATCGTCGTCTAAGCTAATCGTCGACGAATTACACGTCGTTTTACGCGCTCATGTCGGGCTCTGGTTGGTTACCTAACCTCCGAAAAGATGCAGGAGCCCCAATGTCTAACCGCGTATATGCATCCTTTCAATTTATTAAGCTTCTACTAACGCTCCATATAGTTTAAGATTTACGGCTAGTAGTATTCCTTACGGGTACCATGGTGTACCATACGGTAAACTGCGTATGAATATACGGACCCTGGTACGTACCTGTATCAGGGTAGTATATGAAGGGTGCCCGATTATTGAGGCGTTCAACAGCTATCCACTCAACTCCATCTCATAGCTTGTGCCATGTGTTTTGAATCTAGAGCCAATATAGTACACAAACTACGGCCAATGATTGGTTGTCAGCTACAGATGCACTGACTACAGAATTGTAGAAATAAGAAGTCGTCATCTAGAGTTGTGAGAACCTTAACGAGGAACTGCAACTAGAATTATGAGCTCGCGTGGGTACTGATAATGTTGTGACCGATGAAGTATCTTCGAATCGCGGCCTGTCCTTTGTAAATCAATAACCGCATAGTCCACTATTCACAAGCCTCGCATTCGGTGGACTCGTATTCATCGTCGGTGTCATCAAGTTCTTCCCTTGCAACGCGTATATGATTGCAATTCGAGGTTTCGGTTCCACGACACTTCCGCTTAGATCCCGATCGAGCCATACTGAAAGAAAAATGGCAAATAGCAGAGATGAAAAGGAGAAATACTGATAAAAAAAAATGAAGCTGTTCTGAGGATAGGGTGGAATGACAAAGTTTATCCAATCGTCTCAACCATTCCTTCCTGCTTCTAGAATTGGGATTCTCCGACTGCAGCCGGGTTTAGGGCTCGATATGCTGCCGATATCTCGTTCTTGACCGCTATGCGACATGAAGCTGGACACACATACAACGAGAATGACCCTGTTTCATCTTTCGCCAGCTCCATGAGCGTTATGGCCACCATTGTCTTCCCTAGCCCCATCGCGTCTCCACAAATGCCCCCACGGATAGGCGAGAGGAAGAGTTTGTGAAGTTTGGCTGCTCCACGGCGTTGCCAGTCATGGAGTTGTACCGGGAAGCGTTCCGATGGTAGGAGTATCGTTGATGCTCATCTGGGTAGAGAACTTTAGCCAAAAATCATAACTTGGTGCATTCATACAACATACAATGAAACGTTCCACCCATTGGTGGCCTAGGTATTGGCGAATGGGGTACTGTCGGGCTCCAATGTATACAAAGCCAGGCTTCAACTCGATGACCATAGTGTCATCGATAGTCATCTTCCTCTAACTCGTTGTCAAAATAACAACGGGGATATTAACCAGTCAGCTACCAAAAAGGGACCCCTTAATGGGGCTTTTGGTAATGCTCATGTTATTTGTAAATAATGCCTTAATATTCCGCTGTCACAAGATCCGTCCAGTCCTGCATACAACCATGATCTTAGTCGGTAAGAACACAGAAAGCTGCGGGAGAGATAGAGGGGTGGCATACATCAAAGTAGATGGGTCTGCGAGTTGCTTTCAGAGGAGGTCCGAAATCAGCTGTGATTTTGCTGTAGGCTTTTTGTATCTGCGCTATCTTCGCAAATGCAGTGAGGAGAGCTTGAAGCCTGCGGTCATTGAAAACCCCTATTCAGGAACCGTCAATATGACTCAGGGTATCTCTCAGATGAAAAACAATATGTTGCAGCACACGAAGATGGGCGTGAGGAAGAACGCGGCGAGGAAAAAATGGGAGCGGCGGGTGAGGAGAGATGAGACGAGGTGCTCACCGGGCAAACAGACCTCACCTACCCAGCTCTCTCCCTTGCCATTTCTTGGAAGTCCAATTCAAAATCTCCCCCATTGCCCCCCCCTTTGTTCTTTCGGCGCCCATCTTTGACTATCCAACTTGCCATTACTCTGAACCTCGGGCGTACTCCCATATGGAATATCGACGACCCTACGTCTTTGATAACTTCATCTTGCTCCCAGCTAATGCTTGCATAACTGCTACAATCTCGACTTGAGAAATTGACGGTGCTCTTTTCCATAGCATTCACCATAAACATGCCAGCGAGCGGTGAGAAATTGGTTTTTACCGAGAGGTTGCTAGTTGGGAGCCTTGGATCATCTCCGTGTGCTTCTGCACATCGAGATGGATGAAACGAGTTGAGAGACCCTCCCCATTCTGCAGATCGGCATTTCACACAGCTGTAAGGCTTGGAGGGAAAGAAGGAGGGTACGGGGCAGATGAGCGCGGCGTATCCTGTTATTGAATCAAGCATGCCCAGTGTTCACTATCATTCTCAGTAACAAACAACGCTAGTCTAAATCAGGGGGAAACAGGGCCAAACAGACGCTTAACGATATGACGTGATGAACAGAGCACACGTGACACGAGGTTGCCTACGTAGTTGCCTGCTTTTCCGCTCTATTCTTCCTGACGTGGAGAGGGACGTCTCGCGAGAATATAGACAGATGGGAAATGCCATTGTGGCAGAAATGCTACTTTTCTGCTTGCCCGTGAATATTCCCGAATATGGCTCAAAGCCCATATTCACGGTTGGCGGCACTAGAAGACGTCTCACCTCGAAGACCACATTAATCACTTCATGGAAAGCAAGCCTTGGCCACATTTGTACGATCAAAAGATGCTGGCAAGGCATATTCGCAGATTTAAAACTGGCGGTTGTGATGAAAATGATACACTAAGCCTGCGAAAAGTGCTTATATATCGCATTAGCATGACCATGTGCTTACCTCTAGTCTTTTTGTGCGTCCACCTTGTGGTCCATAGTATCTGAAGCCATTTTTCTACTTGGCGTGGGGAGCCCTAGAGGCAGGCATGAATGAGCAGGAGTTTCTTGAAGCATTGTCCAGATTATCTGATTCAAGCAAGAGTGGCATGGCAGCTTCAACATTCTCAAAGTTGACGGCACCCACTCGCTTTTCTAAATCATTTAGCAACTTGAAAACACTGCTGAATCGAAGCTGGAATAGATCAAAGGCTCAGAGAGGCATACACGCTCGCAAAATTATTTCGGATATCAATGGGGCCTAATGGCTTTGCCTCTCTCTCTCTCTCTCTCTCTCTCTCAAAAAAAAAAGCATCTCATTCTATTCGCTTATTCTTACAGTACCAGGTACATGTATATCTTGTACTCTGGATACTTTTCATGTTCGCTTGCTCACACCCAAGGTAAACTACTTATTATCAGTCATCCAGTCGCAACCTAGTGATAAATTAAAGGAGTGATATTATATTATAGCGCAAGAGCTAGAAAAGAAAGATAAGCTTATAGAACCTCCCTTGGGACTTTTGTATAGGACGGAGAGAAATATCTAAATATGCTGAGCCATAATAAGCTAGCATCCAAAATAGTAAAGCCTGAAAGCTAACAATGTAATAAAAGATTACTGCTCTCAAAAATAATGTAAAAGGATAATATATAGTAGAACGGAGGCGGTGTTGGGGATCATAACACCACGTATCAGATTGGCAAGTCTGCACTTTATCTACCCTAGCCCTATCGCTCTTTCTCAACGTCAGGCACTCCTAGGTAGCCAGCAATGCGAAAGACGTAATTTCCACCGACAAGCAGATTTCTTAATTCATATCGGCGGCGCCATGATCGTTGTATCTTTCTTGCCAGGCAGGTCCGGGAAGGAGGTGTGCATACGTGGTCAGTGTGTTTATAGGCCTATCATTTTAACTATATCAACACGGCTATTAATAAGTTGATAACAGATGTCTCAAATCTAGTCTCGACTGTTGGCTATCTAGGCGGGGGAAGACCTTAAATCATATCGAAATGGTGGGTCATAAGCCCATGAGCATTGGCATGTGCCTATCAGCATGCGTACGGAGCACTTTCGTGCCGTCGGCCCAGGGGTGAGACTGAGAACCAAGACCAAGACCGAGGATCCGCTCTGTGCGGTGATTTCTTCGCTTGGGGAGAGGAATCTTGTCCATGCCATGTATTTCCTTTGACGTCTCCAATCCGTACATAAGTGATTATTAGGTATATAGTTAAGAAGCATGTCCTAACAGGCCTACATCCACCCTAATACCTAGGCATAAGCATGAATGGCCAAGGAATGCAGGGCATGACTCGAGTATGCAGGCAGGACGTACAACTCCATAAATCCAACGGCATCCTGTAGATATACAACGGTAGCGTCGGCTCCAATGCACAATTGCATGCATGAGGGGCGATGCACCTTATTTGAACATACGTATCATCAAAGCAGCAAAAAGACTGCGGAATTTCGGAGTACTCCGTGCCTGCTTCAGTTCTCCTTTAAAATGCAAACAATAAGACCCTGTAGCGCAATTAGCTGAAGGATTAAGCGTGCGGCTAGACACAAAGAGGCAGCTGTTCTCCTCAATATTACCCGAATAGGCAATAGAGGGCCTCTGCTGGGCCAGCTGGGGAAAGCAGGCGGGACAAGCCGCTTCGGCATTCCGTTCCAACTGCAAGCCCGATACCTCTTTTTGCTCGCATATGCTCTGTTCATTGGCTGTAGACTATGCCTAGGCTGACTGCATGGCACATCCACAATCACATTCACGTTCGTGTTTACATACTCCGGCGCTGCCAAATGGTCCTCTGATCGGGCGAAGTAGCCGGAATAGGTTTAAAAAAAAAAGAAAAGAAAAGAAGGGAAAAAAAGGGAAAAAAAAAAAAAAGAAAAAAAAAAGGCAACGCGGGAGTATGTGCGCAAAACTCGAAGAGGCGACAAGCGTTGAGAATGGAGCATTTGGCCGCGGCGGGTAGAGCCGACGGGGCAAGATGCTTAGGGCCGCCATCAACTGAGCTGTATGTATATATATATATAAATTCTCCTCAAAGGATTCAGTCGTCGTCACCACCAGCAAGAGCATCCGCTGACTGACCGGTTGAACCGGAGTCTTTTTTCTCTTTTACGTGATTTTGTTCGTGCTTGATACCGAGATATTTCTACTAGCCACCAGAGCACACACTGCGAATACGGGGGACTAAAGGGTGTGTGTATCTTTGACTCCTTTCTCCCTCCTCTCGTCTCACCGACTAGGCGTCTATCATGGCTGTCATGGCTATTGACACCTCGCGGTCTCACCTCGCAGAGAATAGCAGCGCGGCGCCTTTCTCTCAAAGACCCATTATCATTCTTGGAGCAGGCATCATCGGCTGTGCTACTGCCTTGCAGCTGCTGCAGAATGGCTTCCAGGTCACGCTTGTGGGCGAGTACCTCCCCGGAGACAAGAGCATCCTCTATGCCTCGGCATGGGCGGGCGCTGCATGGCATGCTGCAGGCGGCATCACCGACGACCAGAAATATATCCAAGCCGTTACGCACCGCTATCTACTAAAAATGGCCCAAGAGGACCCGTCGTCAGGCGTTTGCATTGTCAATGGCCGAGAGTACCTTGAACAAGCACCTGGCAAGAACTCATCAGTATGGGGAGAGAAAGTACTGAAAAATGTAGGCTTTACCACCTTTATTCTTCTAGCTGTCGTGACATGGTCTCTGACAGCGTTATCTCTAGTTTCGAACATTGGAGCCCGGCGAATACCCATCAACCTTCTCCACTGCATGGGAGTATGAATGTCTCGTAGTCGATCCCACCTTGCACATGCCCTGGGTAGGTGCGAAGGTGCAAGCACTCGGCGGACAGTTTGTGCGCCAAAGAGTGAACTCTCTGAAAGAGCTGTACGAGATGTACCCGGAATCTAGGATTTTCATCAACGCCAGCGGCTGGGGTAGTAGAGATTTGACCGACGTGTTGGACCAGAAGTGCTTTCCTGATCGAGGCCAGAATGTCCGTTTGCGCACTGCGGAACATCACACCATGTACTTTCGAAATGGAAAGGAGTACACATACATCATCCCTCGACCTTTGACGGGGCACGTTATTCTCGGAGGGCATAATTCAAGGGACAACTTGTGAGTACCTAGACCACCACCACCACCACCACCACCACTACATGTATGGAGAAGGAGAAAGGGCTTATCAAAAAATCAGGAGCGGAGAGCCGGATCTAGATGTTGCTAAGGACGAAATCCGACGTGCCCACATCCTCGCGCCCGAGATTGTACCAGCTGAACCCGCAGAGGCAGATGTAAGTTACGTTATCGGCATCCGGCCGGCTCGAGAGGGTGGATTCCGGCTGGATTCGGAGAAGATTGGGGATAAGACGGTGTTGTCGGCATATGGATTCGCTGGCGGTGGATATGCGTTCAGTTACGGAATTGGCGATGCGTTGGTCAAGATGGTTCAGCAGGCAGAGTTTGACAGTGTGATAGCGCCGGGGGTTTAGCATGGATGTTCTTTGCATGTCTTTCGAGGAGACTTTATATATATATACCGCTTGCACTATGTATGTACATATGTTTTTATATCTAACACTATCTAGGCATTCATATGACTATACTATGAAATGTGGACTTAACTGCGCCTGAATTATGTACTGTATCTCGACTAGGCTATAAGGAGCTATAGTCTCCCTTATTATTCCTCACTATTTCCAGGGTCTTGACAGCATCCATGCCTTCTATCGATATCCATAGTACGTATAAATTACCGGTATTGAATACATAGACTCTGGCTGAGCTAGTAAGTAATTCGAGATACCGTATTGTTCTCTGCGTATGTAATAATCCTGCGCGTAATAATACTCCGTTACATGCCTAGCCATGCACGCTCGTGCCGTCGAGTCCTCGGACATGAACTCCATATTATTCAGGCATGCTTCCAAGCATAACGGTGTGGCAACCCTTTTTCTAAAAGCACACAGATTTTCCTTTTCTAGGCATCAGCATGTAGTGATATATGTATGTATATCTATTCTCTCCGTGCGCTTCCGGCTGCCGAGACTCGGCGGTATGAAAGGTACATCGTTACTAGCGCGCCCCGAATCCACCAGGATGCGTACTACGAACGTTACAGGTATTGAATACGGCCACAGTGGGGCACTCGCACCAATCAGCGCGCGGGCTTCCCCATCGCAGATCCTCATCTTTCAGGCTCTCTTGTTGGATCTGCGCCTTCTTGCTGTCTGTCTGGACTTCTTAGTACTTACTCTTAACTACCGCTGCAGTCAAACATTCTCGTCTCGCCTCGCGTCACAGCCTTGCCTCACTTGGCGACGACCATCTATGCGCAACACCAACTCCCTTCTCCATCCGCCCACCTTGCCGCTCGTTGATGCTCCGCCGCGTTGTCTGGTGGTCAATCCCCTTGTCCACTCTGTCCCTCCTGCTTGGCCTTCGGAAGAGCTCTCCGTTCCCCACACGCCTCCCCTTACGCCTGTCTGTCTGTGCATCATCATCATCATCATCATCTCGACCATGACTTGGCATCCGTTTTGATTTGGTCCAATACTATCCGTTTCGTGTGTTCAACGCCACGTCGTCCCCCCCCATGCTGAGCGCAGGATCGCCCGACCAGGCGTTGCTTGCGGACCGAACATCATGACAAACAGCGCGGCCGGCAAACGTCCCTCGGAAAAGGGCAACTACCGCGGCCAGCTGGGCCGATTTCGACTGAATCCAACGGTGTCTTCGTCGCAGAATCCGACCTCCTCGCCGCAACAGAGCAGTAATAATAATATTATTATTAGTAACATTTCCACCCCGGTCTCCCAGCGGGCAGAACCGGCCGCCAGCTCGGTGTCCTCGACCAGCACCGCGACTTTGAGGCGGCGTGCTTCAAGGTCAGACAGTCTGGAGAATGGCAACCCAGCCATTGATCGCGACACTCACGTTTCCAAGAGCAAGCGGGTTTCGACGGCGTGCGAGTTCTGCAGGAAACGGAAAAAGAAGTGCGACTTTCGATATCCGAACTGCTCCGCTTGCACCCGCGCCGGTGTTGTTTGCACTGTACTCACCCTGGGCCAATCTGTTGCCAATCAGGCAGTGCCCCGAGACCAAATCGAGAATCTTGAAAAGCGAGTGGAATGGCTGGAAGAATTGCTGCGAACGCAGGCCAGTTTAGATGTATCGGGAAAGTCGACAGGCTCGGCAGTTGAGGATAGTATTCAGGCCGAATCACCACATACCGAACCGTGGTTTCGTGTTCCAAAGATGCTCACGCAACCCCGGGCGGGAATTGGCTTGACTGCTGCAGACGATACCGCCGAAGGTCCCAACTCAACGACTTTACCGTCTTTGGAAGGGGGCCAGTTGCCCAACATTTCCGAGATATTTCGCGATAAGTTAGAGAATCGCCAGAGCATTGTTCCCCGTTCCTCAACATCAGTCTTACCCCAAGTGCGTCGCATGTCATCCTGGGACGAAGCCGAGGAATTAGTGAATAAATACTTTGATGGCTTGGGAACCCAGTATCCGTTTCTACACAAACCCGACTTCATACGTGGGATGAGATGTATATATCAGAATCAACCAGTTGCCCCAGATGTGCAAAATTCGTATCATATCACGTTGGCTGTTGCCCATCTCACGACCACCAACGACATTCAGCAAGCCACAGCCTTTTATAGGGTTGCTAGTGAGACGTTAACCCCTACACTACAAAACGAAGACCGTGTCTCTTTGCAGGCACTGCTGAGTCTAGCATTGTATTCTCTTTCGTCTCCTGCGGGACCTAGTATATGGCAAGTCTTGGGGACAGCCATGAGGCTCGCCACTAGCTTGGGTTTACACAAGGCTCGACTACCGACGACCAATACAAAGGATATGGTCGACTATGAAATGGATAAACGTGCTTTTTGGAGTCTCTATAATCTTGACCGTCTAATCTCGGTCACGCTAAGCAGGCCATTGGGAATATCAGACGACGATATCACAGTAGACATGCCGTTAGAATTCGATGAAAACTGGGTCGAAGCACCACGGAATTGCAACATGTCGATATCTGTGCAGGTTGTCAAATTGCGTCGAATCTTTTCAAGGATTTACCGATGCTGTTAGTTTCCTTTTTCTCTCTCCTGCCCATAAATTTCCAAGGATGACCACTGACTAGACTAGTATATAATCCTCATGCCGAACTCGCTACGGATGTTACTTCAATCCTAGAAGCGTTCCAGCAGGAGCTTAACGACTGGCGCACGTCCGCCCCTGTTATACAATCATGTCTACATTACTCGACCAGCTACTACGACTTTCTCTACTACTCAGCCCTACTACTTCTATACCGCCCTTCCACTCTCAACCCGAACCCGGACAGCACTTGTATTGTAGGATGCGGCGAGGCCAGCATCCTCGTCATACAGTCCTTTTGGGACAACTACACTGCCGGTAAAATAAAATGGCTTTGGATTACCTTGTCCCACGTGTTTACTGCGGGTGTCACCATACTCTGGTGTCTCGAGCAAGACATTCGCGCAGTCCGCCACGGCATGCCTCCGCTCTGGGGCAACCCACAGGTATACACAATGCTCGACTTTGTACACACTCTTCTTGACGAGTTTCGAAAGAAACGACAAGGCGCGGATCGATTAATCAGCCAATTTAAGAGCCAGAGTCAGCAAGTTACCTATCGTATGGCCCAGGCCACCGCAGAGCAGCAGCGGCAGCAGCAACAACAAGCGCTGGAGACGATCCAGCAGTTACAGACCACTGCTACTTACATACCTAGCACCATACCCACCACCATACCAGCCACTATGCCGGCAGATCAGATGATGATGGTCCATCCGATGTTTTATAGCTATGGATGGGCAGGACAAGAAATCGCATCTTTCTACGGATTGTAATGATTATGACGAAAAATATAGTACACTATCTCAGTGCGAAGCTCTATTATGATGCAAGTCAGCGTTCTTTTATTATTTTATTTGGTTTTTTTTTTTTCCCTTTTTCACATATTCTAATTTTGTTTGAGATACCAATCAACTGTTCTGGGCCGGGGCCGTGATTTCGCTCGAGAGACAAAAATGTATATACTCTTGGTATATCGTGGTATATCGAATATGATGAATATAGACTTTGTCCAGATGGCGTCATATTGTTGTGCTACCGTAAGCACCCGAGCGGAGGGAAACCCCCCGCAGCACGCGGGGCATGTGCTTCCGCGTGTCTCGCTGTATATCAGGTAGGATTGAAGGCAATGCAACGACAGAAAAGCACAGCAACAATGGCCGCAACACCCGTCCAAGTGGCCGTCCTAGACGACTACCAGGGCATTGCAACGCCCAAATTCGCCCACCTCGTCGACCAGGGCAAAATAAGCGTCACTTACTTTCCCAACACGCTGAACGTGCGCAATGCCGATGAGCGCGAAGCGCAAATCAAGCGCCTGCAGCCCTTCGAGATCCTGTCCACAATGCGTGAACGCAGCCTCTTTAACGCAGACATACTAGGCTCCCTGCCCAATTTAAAGGTTCTCTTGACCACGGGCGCTCGCAATTTTGCCATCGACCACGAATTCGCTGCGACAAAGGGGATAGTCGTGGCAGGCACACAGCGCACATCAGAGGCCGCCAACGGGCCCGACCCAACCACCCAGCAGACATGGGCGCTCATTCTGGGGCTGGCCAAGCACATCGCGCGCGAAGATAATGCGTTGAAAACCGACAAGTCCTATTGGCAAGGGCAGGATCTGGCGATTAGTCTGCCCGGCAAGACGCTGGGGTTGTTGGGGTTGGGGAGACTGGGACAGGCGTCGGCCAAGATTGCGATATTGGCCTTTGGCATGAAGGTTGTGGCGTGGAGTTCAAGTCTGACACAGGAGAAAGCCGATGCCGCCGCGGCGGAGATTGGGTTGCCTGCAGGAAGTATTCGCGTGGCGGCTTCCAAACTGGATCTGCTGCGCGAGGCGGACGTCGTTTCGTTGCATTATGTGCTCTCAGAGCGTAGTCGGGGCCTGGTGGGCAAGGAAGAGCTGGCTGCTATGAAGCCTTCGGCGTTGCTGATCAATACATCGCGGGGCCCGCTGGTGGATGAGGCGGCGTTGTTTGAGACGTTGAAAGCAGGCAAGATTCGAGGCGCGGCCATCGATGTGTTTGATATCGAGCCGCTACCAGCAGACAGTCCATGGCGCACGACAGAATGGGGGAAGAATGGGCGCAGTGAGGTGCTGCTGTCGCCGCATATGGGATATGCTGTGGAAGACTATATTGGCAGCTTGTATGACCAGGTGGTGGAGAATCTGGAGAGACATTTGGCGGGGCAAGAGTTGCTTGTGAGGTATAACTAGGCAGCTACATCTATAGTATATAATTCTGTACCCTAGTCAGCATTTCCTGCAAGTATCCAAGGAAATTCCCTGATGTAGTTATACAAGACCGATAAGCTTATCTCTCAGCTCTCCACCCCGCACTCCACCTCCTCAGATCAGTCAAAATAAACACCACGCAAAATTTCTGCCCTTGCTATCAAATCGAGAAGGATCACTATTGCACTCAAGTAGAAAATCTTAAACAACATTGGACAAGCTGGAAATGGCAGAGCAAACAATACCGCAAATGCGCGGTCTACCACTGGCCTTGCACGGCACTATCATACACACTTTGGACGCCAGCACACTTGAAATCCTACAAGACTGCCTTCTGATAATCGACAGCGATGGCAAAATTGAGAAAATATTCAAAGACACGCCCGCCGACAAAGTCAATGCCTGCATTTCCCAAGCCGGTCACTCTCCAGACGTCTTCCCCGTGAAATACCTCCGCAGAGGGGAGTTCCTCATCCCGGGCTTCATTGACACGCACTACCACGCACCTCAGTATGCGCAGAGGGGTTTAGGGCGCGACCAAACGCTTCTAGAATGGCTGGAAAACGTCACATTTGCGCACGAGCGCAAGTTCGAAGATGTCGCGTATGCCAAGAGGATGTATACGGCCTGCGTGCAGGCGGGCATTAAACAGGGCGTGACGACGGCTTCGTATTATGGAAGTGTGCATGTAGAGGCTACCAAGATTCTGGCTGAGACCTGTCTGGAGCAGCGTCAGCGAGCCTTTGTGGGCAAGTGTAATATGAATCGCAGCTCGCCGGAATGGTATCGAGACGTATCGGCTGAAGAGTCCCTGAAGGAGACTAGAGAGTTGGTGGCGCATGTACGCAGTATCGACAGCGAGGGGAAGCTAGTCAAGCCGATCCTTACGCCTAGGTTCGCGATTACGTGTGATGACACGTTGCTGTCGGGGCTGGGGCGGATTGTGGATGAGACTCCCGATATTCATGTTCAGACGCATTTCAATGAAGCTGTCGATGAAATGGAGTATACCCGCCAGTTATACCCGCAGTTTCAGCACGAGGCAGATTTGTACGATGAATTCGGGTTGTTGGGGCCGCAGACTATTCTCGCGCACAGCATTTTCTTGAAGGAGGAGGAAATGGACAGGATTAAAGCCAAGGGATGCGGAATTGCGCATTGTCCCATATCAACGGCAACATTGGGCGAGTTTATGATGGCGCCGATTCGGGAGTATCTGCGACGTGGGATCAAGGTTGGCTTGGGAACTGATGTTGGCGGTGGGTTTTCGAGCAGTATGCTAGATATCATGCGACATGCGTTTATTATTTCCAAGGCGCGCGAGACTTTTACCAAGGGCGCTGATCCGGCGTTGAAGCTGAATGAAGGGTTTTTTTTGGCTACGTTGGGTGGTGCGCAGGTCTGTGGCATTCATGATAAAGTTGGTAACTTTATCGAGGGCAAGGAGTTTGATGCACTGGAGATCCATACCATTGGATCGGAGCCATGTGGTAGCCTGGGTGTGATGAGTCCGATAGAAGATGAGGATTCCATTGAGGCTATTTTTGAAAAGTTTCTAATGACTGGTGATGATCGTAATATTGCCAAAGTGTACATTGCTGGTCAGTCGGTTAAGGAAACTGCATGAACTTTGAGAACTCATTTTGAGTTTATTATATACACGACACCTAGGCAGCTAGAGCTAATTCACATTTAGTAGACTCTATCAAAACAACATATCTAAAAATCCCCCCATAGCTTTTGTTTCAAAAACCTCTCCGAGAATTGCGCCCGTCTTATAGCCCACCAGCACTCCTTCTCTGGCAAGAGCCTGTTAACCATTCGATAGAAATGATATAGGAGAGTGAGAAATCTTGGGTCATTCTCAGATAGCATGTCTATCAGGGTGGGGTGGAACAAGACCGGGAATGAATATGCCACTCTAGAAACATCCGGTACCAAATGCGGATGTGTTTCCAAAACCGTGTGTTCTTCATCTCCATCGCCCGGTAACAGGGATAGTAGTACTGAAAGACGCCTGGCCACATCGATATATGCATCATAAACTCCCATTGATGCGTACGTATCAGATGCCCTCACATCCGGCTGTAAAGGATTGCAGATCTGTTTGTTTATTGGTTTTGGCAGCTCGCAAAATCTCTCACTGACAAACGGACCTTGCTGATGGAAAAGATCTTCGAAAAATGGCCGGTAGCCGTAGCAGTCGCGTCTAATGGTTGTGAGAACGTTTTGGATGGCATGGATAGGCCGATACCCTAATATAGCGTGCAAGACGCGTAAATTTCCAATGAGAGGTGGTATTGCGAGGGAGCATACATGTTTCATGCCTTTACTGAACGTATAAAGTTGGTCCTCGGGTATGTTGTACGCCGTGCTGCCGACTATAGGTAGGATTTCTGGATCAGACCAGGCCTCGAAGTAGAGAAATAGCGAGGTACAGAGAATAGAGTCCCGGTTGTCATCGGTGATGGGACTGGCCAGGGCCGCGCGGTAGAGATTTAATGCATGTGAGAGATGTCTCCGTGACAGATTCAAATATGTAATTTCACTTTCAGGTAATAAAAAATGGAGATGCCGAGCTGCAAAGCAGAGTGCTGCATGCATCAGATACTCATGCTCGAAGGCCATTGGAATAGCGTGTTCCCAAAGCTGAGCTATGATGGGAAGGGTATGGCAGGTTGATGTTTGAAAGTGATGAAAGAGTTTCAACTGCTCAATATTTAGTGGTTCGTCCTTGGGCCCTATCGGTGTTGAGATTGGCGATGCCATAAAATCTGCTTGTTCATTATTGGCATGTCGTCTCGGCCGGCGGCGACATGTATCTCCTCTCTTCATGCACCGGTGACATGACGGGTAGTTCTCATCGCACTGCACACAGTTGAGCTGTATGACCTTGCACGAGGAGTAAATGGCATACCTTGACTCTCCGCTCTTTACACGTCAAACAGCCATTCCGTGACTTGAAGTGCGGCTTTTTCTGTCTGCTACAAAATGGATTCTCGGACGGCTGTTCCAAGTCTAGCTTGTCGACGAAGACGTTGATGAATTGCTTAGACATGCTAGATCAGATTTAAGATATGCAAAAGAGCTTTGGTTTTTGCTCTTGTTGGTATGGATGAGAGGAAGGTGAATGGCGATGAGTGCAGACAAGGTCGGCTTGAGACTAGTCGGCTTTGGGTTTAGCTTGCCCTCGCATTCCGGAATAGGTAAACGACTTCACATCATTGTCGGCCTGGCGTCACAATGCCTTGTCTGCGTTCCATATTTAAGTCCATGTCTAAGTCTATATCTATTATCCAGTCTGGATACCTGACCAGATGCTCATGTCGGAGTGCAAAACAACTCAGTTTTATAAACCATCCGATACAATGAACTCGGCTTGGAAGAACGGTACGTGCTGGTATAGCCTTGCACTATCAAGCCCTAGTGGGTTTTTTGCAATTTTCGACAAGACCGCTTTCTACGCAGACCTAGCAATGAGCACAAGGTGTGTCTGATATGAGTTAAATCATTCCAAGACATTCTTTGTTTTCCATGACGCATAGATATATTTGCAGAACATATTCAGCTTGCATCTTATAGCCCAGAGACCGAAGCAGTTCAGCACAGCTGTGGTAATGTCCCCCGGAAAAGTTTACTCGTGCAGCTTTGAAAAAACTTGTTTTCAGAGTCAATCTCATTGCTAAGTTCTAACATCCCCGTGTCTGCGAAGGAAATACGATCGACACATCAAAGTCAACCCAGACAGGGTGCTTACCTAAGCGGATACAAACCAACAACTTACAGTACTGACTTGTAAAACTTCACGCAACTTAAGCATTGTCAGGAACCTCAAGACCGATTATCTTGCTAATCAAAATAAAGCCTCTCTTGCTGCTTGATGTCAATCACGGTGATCATTTACAATAGATTAAAGTCTAACGAACCTCTTTCCGACTAACTCTTCTTGCAAGAACATTTAGTCCGAAAGAGGATTAACACAACTCCTCTGCATGCAAGATGCTGGCTAATCATATGCCCCTGAGTCATGGGCTGTATAGGGTCTATTAAATAGCGATACAAGAAGAGCCTTTGACACCTTTTTATTGCAGTGCCCTTACGAGAACATGATGGCGTTTGGGAAATTTACGAGGATTCTCAAACACAAGACCTTCCCATGAACAACCCCGAATGATAATAACTTGACTTCATCAAAGACATATTAGGGTTACGGAGCGAATAGCCCTAGATATGTAAGAATTGACCCAATGAAACGGTATAGATAAAACAAGATTTCGCTATATTGTAACTAAACCTATCGATATGTATGAAATCAATTAATAAATGATTGTTACCATGTTACTTTCCATTCGATCCACTGACACCGAGCTAATCAAGCCAACAAGTTCAACACGCACCGGGCTCCATCATTATTACCAGAAGCAGGGCCCTGCGAGACCTCAAACGGAGTGTCGCCTGACACTGGGAACTGCCAAATCTGGCCATTGCCATTCTCCGATGCATACAGAGTTCCGTTGTTCATTCCATATACGGCACCCACACCGATCACGCCGAGCGCGCCATAGTCGGCAACAGACTCCCATTCATGCGTAGAGAGATCGAAACGAAGCAGGGCTGTTTCATTCATAGAACTCACTGAGCCAACTGCGTACATGTACTCGCCTGCGTCCGGAATGTACACCCAGTCTGCCACCGCATAACCAAGCGTAGAAGTAGTCCCGTTCGCAAGCGTCTGGCCATATGTCGCGGACCCAGGCGCGAGATCGATCTGAGCCCAGGTTGTCTCTGTACCAACCCAGTAGTGCCCGTTTGTATCGACATCGCCGATGTTACTGCCAGCTGGAGGCGAGTCGGCGTCGATAGTCACCGTGGTACCATCCGCGCTGATCCGAAGAATCGTCCCTGTGCTGGACTGATATCCGTAGATGTAGTTGTCTAGGACATTGTATCCAATGGAGTTGATGGAGGTGTTGTCGCCGAGTCCCGTGGAGACCTGGGTTGTATCCCCGGTGGTAAGGTCAACCCGGTATAAAGTTGCGTATTGGATTAAGTATCCGTAGGGGTCGCAACTGAGTGTAGCTGTTGGGGTTGTAGGCACACAAGACGTTGCTGACTCAGTGATGGTGGCAGTCACAGTAGCAGTTATCGTAGTCGGTGCACTGGTAGCAGGCGGCGTCCAGCGACAAGTGCCCGTCGAAGAGGAACTTATGCATGGATCCCACCACGTTGTCGTGAACGAGGTTGAGGTCGAGCATGGGTAGGTAGTCGTCTTTGTCGTCACCGAAGTGATACACATCTCGCTGGCCTCATGGGCAGTGACAGTCGCCACGGAGGTGCCAGATGGCACAGTATAGACCCCAGCCGAGGGGACCGTGGTTGTGGCAGTAGCGAAGATTGGGACTACCTCAGTAATCTGCGGTGGTTCAAACAGGTCAATAAAAAGCCCGACCTGAATGCCGAACGGCAGGCAAACGTCCACGCCGATATCGAGCGGGACTGCAGCAGCATAAGCGCTGACATACAGCGCAGTGCCAAGGGCATAGAGAATGTTCCGTGGAGATGCCATGGTATGCATCCTATGCAGAATAAGCAGAGAAAAATATTGAACCTTTGAGACTAGAGAACGTGATTGTGAGCATCTGGATTACAGTGAAGTTCTCGAGCGGGCAAAGACCAGTTTATATAATATTCTTTTGGCGAAACTTATGAAGTCTTTACACTAGTTGAACACACCACGATAGGTCTGACACCTCCTCGTCGAACGGAAATCTTGTGGCTAGCTGAACACAACGAATATTGGCTATGAAGGCATCATTCTGAATTATTCCTCGTCACGAATTACTTGATCAGGAACTGCGAAGTGATCGGCCGTTGTCATGTTGCTAGAGTTGCATAAGCACATGGGCCAAGATCAATAGTCTGTTTCCCCGCATAAAGTTGCTGTCATGTAAGAGATCATTACTTTTTTTTTCACCTTTGGCATAGTTTGCAAGGCCAGTCCGCTATCATAATGCTCAAATGCTGTAGGCAAAGTCTTTAGTCTGAGTTTGAATAGGCGGTTTTGCTCATGCTGAAGTGCTCTAACACAGCTCCCGGAGAAAATGGTTTGGAGGGAAGTAAATACAGACACTATGTTTTTTCTGGAACTGCAGTACGCTTGAAGCCACAAACTACTCCGTATGCAATGCAAGCTAATGCACGACGGAAAAGTTGCACCTCAATTTTCGGACTACAAAGTAGGATCGCCTGACGAACGGTTCATGCACGCTGTCACTAGCTAATTAAAAGCATATTAAGCAAGCTTCTTGCATGGATGCTCTTTGCTTGATCTCAGCTCGCCTATTTCTTTGGCCATCGGAACATTTAGCCCTAATCGATAATATTCATACATTCAGCCAGGATTGCGCACTAGCACGGGTTGATCGACATGCTGCTTTGCAGAATATTGAAATCTAATACTCGCGGATTGGCTGGGAATTTATTCCAAAATTTGTTTGCTTACAGGTAAAGTATATCTAGCTAGATACAATGTTTTCTTGCCCCTGCCTTTGGCCTGAACCGGACCGCTCGATCGAATGACAAAAGGCGCAATTGTATGATCGCTTCAAGGTTCAAGAAGTCTAGCCTTTACTGCAAAGTTTCTGTCACAACTGTCTCCTCGTCGCTGGTCACGCCATTCGCCCGAGCGCGTTTCTTGCTATCACGCTTCTCTAGAAATCGGAGCAGAATCGAGAAAAGCACCAGCGCCACACCCAGACACGAGCAGCCGATAAATGCCGCATGGAAGCGAGGGGACAGGACGGTCCGCCACACGGTAAGTGTCCACCAGATGGACTGGATGTAACTGAAAATATTGGACGCGGCAATGACAAATCCTCGCATCTCATGGTCATGTGGGATCAATTCAGAGTACCAAGCATAGTAGATGCCGGGAACGCCAGCGCAGGTGTAAGTCAAATAGTATGCCGCGTATTTCAGACCTAGGGGCACATCCCAGCAGGCGAGCACGATGCAGGCGAATATGGTTGGAACTTGCATAGCTATGAGCATCTGCCAGCGCTTGCCACGGAATAGGGGAGAGTCCGAGAGAATGCCCGCTAATATCTGCACCACTGCGCTCACGGCGTACTGGCCTGTCGGCCAGACATTGATTTCGTAGATAGAGTGACCCGTTGCCTTGAGCCAGAGGGCAAAAGCCGGCTGGTAAATGGGGTAGCTTCCTTGGACCAGGAAGTATCCGACAGGGAGAAGCCAGAATTGCCACTGGGCCATGATACGGAAGATTTTGGAGCGATCCCAAGCAGACTCGCCCAGAGGCTTCATGCCATCGTCAACCAGCCGTTTTTGCGCCCACTCAATCTCTTCTTGTGTTAAATAAAAGGCGCGGGTGGTTTCGGGAAAGTCGGGGTAGAAAAAGAACCCGAGGAAGGCAATGGGTAGACTGATGATACCGCAGATTATGAACAACCATTGCCATCCTTCGTGGCCCAAGACACCATTCAGTCCATTGTATGCCCCGGCCTGCAAGTATCCACTGAACATGCCAGCGAAGCTTGTGGTGGTATAGAATATGGTCATACGTTTGCCGCGTTCGCGCCTGGTATACCACGAGCCAATGATATACACCATAACTGGAAAATACGTTCCCTCGCAGATGGCAACTAGGAATCGTATTGCATACAGCTGTGATGGGGTCTTGACGGCGGCCGAGCAGAATGTGAAGACAGACCACAGGACCTCGACGGTAGGGATAAGGATCGATGGACGCACCCGCGTAGCCAGGATGACTGCAGGGAATTGGCCGAGGACATAGCCGGCCGTGAAGACGTTGCTCGCATAGGTCAGGTCGCTGCCTTTCATCCCGATGGCCTCTTCCATTCCGGACACATAGGCATTGCTGATGTTGGCTTGGTCTAGATTCTTGCTGAAGTAGCCGAGGCAGGAGATGGTGAGGAAGAATATATCGAGCTTGAACAAGAACCATTTTTCCTTTGCCGGCTTGTCGGGGTCATCCCAGACATAACGCTGGATAGACCTCAGATACCGACTGGCGGTGTTTCGGGCTGCCGGCTGAGACTCCGGCAGCGGATCTGTCTCAATGGCATATTGCGCTTTCGACATGGCGTGTCTTGTCTTTGGTTCTGTTTGTATTTTGTTGCATCTGCCAGTGCCAGCACATGCCTACATAGGTCAATTCCTGCTTATCTCGCTCGGATCGCGACATCTGTACGCCGTATTGAACATCGCAGCACGGCGAATGGACACGCTTCAATTCTGTATGGCGTGCTACATGATATCGGCGCGTAAGTGCTGTAGACTAATCAGCGTTCTGCAAAGAAGGCCGCAAACACCAAAGCACGCATTGCTAGTGCAGGGATGAGACGGTTCGGATTTCAAAGCGCGCAGACTAGCGATGGCGACATTGGCCACGAGCATCACAACATGCGCATAATCCGTGATGTTAATCCCCTCACCTTCTGTGTATATTATCGATGGACTGTGTCTTACAACTCCGCAGAGCCCGAGTAGATTCAGCGAACAAGCAAGAAAAAATGTCTGCGACAACCCTAGAGCCGACCCCGGCTGACGTTCACCAATACGACTTCAGCCGCCTCAAGCCCTACCAGCACCCGCCAGAATCCAAAGCCGACTTGCCCTGGGCTGAATTGGTCACTCTTGACCTCGAGGACTATCACCGATCAGGAGGCAAGGAGCGACTGGCCAAACAGCTCGAGCATGCCGTCCACCACGTTGGCTTCTTCTATGTTAAGAACTTCGGTTTGACTCAGGAGCAAGTCGACCAGCAATTCACCCTCGCACAGAGCTTCTTTGAACTGCCTGTCGAGGAAAAGGAAAAGTACGAAGTCAACTATGCCGCCGCGGACTACAATGGATGGCGCCGGCCAGGCCGACACACTCAGGGCGGCGTAAAGGACAATATCGAGATGTACAACTTTGCCAAGTTCACCAAGGACTTTGAGGGAAAATACCAACATCCTGACCTCCTCAAGGCCCATCTGCCTGAAATAGAGACTTTCCATCGTGCCCTGCATGCGAACGTTGTGCTGCCGCTCTTGCGCCTGTTCGCCATTATCCTGCAGCTGCCTGATGAAGAATACCTGTCTAGGCAACACACATACGAGGAAAAGAGCGAGGACCACTTCCGGTATATGCTATATTATCCACGGACAGAAGAGGAATGGAAAAACAGTAACTATGGCAAAGGTGGTGGCCATACAGATCTCGGAACAGTCACGCTCCTCTTCCGTCAGCCGGTGGCAGGTCTGCAAATCCTGGGTGAAGACAATAACTGGACATATGTCTCGGCTCAGCCGGGCACTATTACCGTCAACCTTGCAGACACCATCTCTCACTTGACCGGCGGTTGGCTCAAGAGCTCTGTGCACCGTGTTGTTGCACCGCCGGATGACCAGAGACAGTATAAACGGACGGGGCTGCTTTACTTTGCACGACCACATAATAAAACAGTCTTAGCGCCAATCACGGATTCTCCAGTGCTACAGAAGGCTGGAGTGCAGCCTAGATTTGATAAACTGGTCACCATGGAAGAGTGGGTTAGGGCCAAGCAGACGCTGCAGCTCAACCCTGAGATTGCAAAGAAGCGTTGGGCCGAGAAGGGCGATGGTACTGTAGAGGTGCTTGCAGGCTTTCACGACAGAAGATATAAGGAGTAGGCCAATGCCTTTTAGATCGGCACTTGGATTATGACTTCCAGCTAAGTAACACTAGGAATCTACCGAGGCATGTACTTACGTCTATGTATCTCTCTTTTACAATGCACTTTGCAATTTTAGCCCTGAAATGACGGGGCTGCCATTTTGAATACTACTTTGAATATTCTAGGGAATACCTAGGTAATTACCGTGCGAAGTACAAACACGCGGTGCCCGATATGGAACCGCGCAACTAGCCGGTAGATTGTTGGGCCATATCAACCACCATTGTCTAAGGCGAAGCCCGCCAATACAATAGTATATTCTGGATCCAAACAAATATAATCGAGAGGCGCACTTCTGGAATCCTATTGGCGCACCTGGGGCCGGGCACCGTACTGTCACAATCTGTTATTGCTGCCTACCTCGAGACCTTTTCTTCGTCCACAATATTCACTGCCAAAAGTTGAGTTATTCCATTTCCTACATCTAGCTCCTTCCAGTAGTACATCAAAATGAATGGAGGTTGATATTTTCTTCAAGCTCCCAGATGAACGGGAGTTTATGCTGAAGGTTTTGAACAGTTTGACCATAGGAGAGCTCATAACCATCGTCAAAAATAAGACCGAACATTATGATATTATTCTTACATGTGCGGGAGCTCCATTGCCACCTGGGAAAAGCCTCGAGGAGTTGGATATTCGTTCTGGATATGTCTTTGGCATTGAGTCTGATTGGGAATCACGGGTGAAAGCCATTGAAGAAAAGGCCAAGGGACTTGCCAAATCCTCGACGTTACCTCTCAGATTCTTACTGCCTGCGCGATGTTCCATGATACGAGGTGTTGAAACAGGGCCCATTCAGCTTGCTGAGCACCTGCTCAAAGAAATACAGAAGGTTCATCTAAACGCCAGTGATATTAGCCAAAAAAGAGTCTTGGGAATATTCAGCATCGGTGTTAGTCGTGAACTTTTCACCGTCCCAGAACGAACGTTGGAAAATTTTCAAGACTTGCTGAAGGCTGGGTACGATGAGAACAATGAGCCGTACTCTAGATTACGAATAGATATTCTTATGATACCTGCGATGATACAGATTCGGCAGAATTCAGGCATACCTTATCAGTCATCAGACTTAATCCAATCTAAGAAACGGAAAAGAGGTCAGAATACCCCACGAAAAGATCTGAAAATGTTTTTCGAATATGAGCTGCAAACAGAAATTACCGACCCAGAAACTAATACAACTTATGTACTCACTGGCCGCGCTGACTGGGCGGCGGGACACAGTGAACGAGGAACTTCAGACTCTGTCTTGGTCTGTGTCGAAGCCAAGAGGAGTGACATGTTTAGCACTGTCGAGGCGCAGTTAACGGCGTATTTGGCGATATGTCGCCATGAGAGATTGATAGCCGAAAAGCATGTTGTGGCTGTGCAAGGATTCGGCAGTGATGGTGACCGATTTCTGTTCCAAATTTTGACATCGGATAGGATTCTCTACCAAAGCAAGATCTACGATACCAGGGATAAGAATGACCTCGAAGTTGTGTATAACTTTATGATATATCAACTTGAGGCTGCAATTCACCTGTCCCCAACATGCACGCCCGTCAAAGGCTCGCAAGTGATCAAAAAGAGATCGGTCAAGGAGAAAGGGACGGATCTATACTCGAAATTCGGCCCACTGCCCATTATCGACGAAGGTACAGCAACGGTGCCAGACGATGTTGACTTCAAGGCCTATCTGAAGAGCACCTATGGCAGTAAATATTGATTCTAGCACAATGGAAAACCAGGTGTACTTCATTATCAAAAGGATACTGGAAATCTGTAATAAAGACCTAGGTGCAACTTCAATGTTAGCTAGCTGATCTGAATTATGGTTAAACATTCCAGTATTGATTACTGCGTTCGATGGGGTGACAAGAGTAACCCGCTCTGATTGGCTGCACCGAGGATGGAAACCCCGAGCCAATGATTGGTGCCCGGACGAATTCATCCGCTGTGGGGCTTTGCATAATCTCTATATAAACAGCTTACTTCAACCTCTTCTCCTCTTGATTCATTTGATTCATATATATACATGGCTCTTGCTTCTACTATAAGCAAGATCTATTAGCAGAGTGAAAAGTGAAAAATGGTTGCAATTTCAGATATCCGTAGGAATATCGCCTCCGTGAAAAACCTCGGTTCTGGTCTGGTCGCAGTGTTTGGTACGTAATCGATTTTTCTCTTACAGTTACACATTTACTGCCTATTCAGCTATTAGCCATTAGCCAGGTATCAGGCTAATACTAACATATAACCTAGTCGGCGGAACGAGCGGCATTGGCTTATCAACAGCCCGTGAATTCGCTCGCTACGCCACTGCACCTCACATCTACCTGATTGGGCGTAACGAGGTCCAGGCGTCTGAAATCATATCCGAGTTACGCTCAATTAACGACGCTGCCACAGTGGATTTCATCAAAAGCGATGTCTCTCTGCTAAAAAATGTCGATGTGGCTTGTCAGGAGCTTCTGAAGAAGGAGACAAAAGTCGATCTGCTGTTTTTGTCTGCTGGGATCTTGACTATGAAGGGGAGAACGGGTGAGTTCCCTCGAAATGAGTTTCAATTTGCTTGCCTCATACTAATAGCACGAAATAGAAACCATTGAAGGCATAGACCGAAAACTCAGTCTGCACTACTATTCGCGCATTCGCTTCATTCAGAATCTGTTGCCAACATTAAACCAGGCCGCAGCAGCATCTCCAGGTAGCTTTGCGCGAGTAATCTCCGTTCTCGGCGCCGGCCATGAGGGCAAGTTAGTCGACGGAGACAAAGATCTCGATCTGCAGAAGAACTACAGCTTATCCAACGCAGCCAATCATTCCATCACCATGACTTCCCTTTCGATGATCCAGCTAGCCGCTGCCAACCCACGCATCAGCTTTATTCACAGCGCGCCAGGTGGTGTGAACACCAATTTTGCGCGAGAGTTTCACCCACTCACAAAATATCTATTTAATGCTCTGTTCTTCGTGTTATCGCCTTTCAATTCAGTAATTGGTCTTGTCCCGCTGCAGGATTGTGGTGAGAGGCATGTTTATCTTGCTACGAACCCTGCGTTTGCGCCTCGTGGTGGTGACAAGGTTGAGACGTTGGGTGCTGATGGTGAGAAAGGCAGTGGGGCGTATAGGCTTGGTCCTGCTACCTCGATTGTCAGTCATTCTTCGCTGCTTCAAGGGTATTTGGATAGTGGGATGGGCAAGAAAGTGTGGGAGCATACGGTGGAGATGTTTAAAAAGGCCACTGGTACCGCGTAATCAGAAGTATTTTCATCTCTAGGAAAACTGTGGTGTATGTAATAGGTGTTATATATATGATAATTGATAAATCAATCTCCGTTTCTCGTTCCTTCATTCAAACTCTTGACAGCTGTGTGTGTAAATATGTCTTTGGGGTTGTATTTCCCCAATGTCCATAAATATCCACAGTTTCTGTTTAATAATACTTGTTGGCCTTTGCCCAAATATCCCCCGAAGCAAGCAACGTGCTCACACTCATGGCGAGGCCCACTTGCGTCGGCGACGCTCGGATCCATCCCAGGAAACTTCCCGGAACCAATATGTCGCACGAATCTATAATGAGGCTCTTCACGATAGGCATGAGATCTCGCCTGGGAGGAATTGGATCTTCTTGTTTTTTCTCCTGGCTGTTCTTCTCATTGCTTCCTTTGGCGGGCTGCTTGCTGCTAGGAGATACTTTTGAAACTGTTGGAAAGAAAATTTCAATGGTCGACCCAATGATGCCCAACAGTATGGCGTAGAACCACCATTTGTGACACTCGACGACGAGTACTTGGGACCAGGGTGTTACCCATAATCCCATTGCATCCAGCTTTCATGGCAGGTCAGCAAACAAGCACAAGGTCGGTCTGTAACGGAAGGGTGGTTACAATAGTAAAGTCCTCCAACAAGAAATAGATCCCCAAGAAAGACCATTTCCCCACAGAGGCTATCTTTTTCACCGCATCAAACTCAAGTGATGCCGGGGTCAGCCAGGCCGAATATCCAGCGTCAAAGGCATCAATGAATCTGAAGAAACGTAAATAGCGTCTCGCTGGAAACATGCCGAATCAATTAGTCTTCAATCTGACACGAATGGCTCACAAAACTGAGACTTAGGAAAGACTAACCCAACGCAATCTGACTCCTCGCAGATGCACATTTGAGTGCATACTCAGCATTCGGTGCGTACGAGACAAAAATGCTAGAAGAAAGGACTGTGCAGATGGCTTGTATAAACCGAAGAGTCTTCTCGATGCCCAGTGGATGCGTGTTTGTGAAATTGGATAATTGCTTCCACAGCGGTGGTGGGAGGGACTTTTGCTGTCTCGACATTTTTATTTGTTTTTCTTTTTTGGGTCTTGTCTATTGGATATCCAAAAATCGGGCCGGTAACTAAGCTTATCGGAATCTTATCGGTGCCGGCCAATCACGACTTCCTAACCTAAGCATGACAGCCACGTTGCTAAATGAATAGTCTTGTCTTGTCTTGTATGTATTGATTGTATTGTATGTGCAGCTAACTTGTCAAAAGTAAATCGAAGGCAAAGTGAGTAACAATCATCGTCCCTTCCCACCAGAAATATCCTGTCCCAAGCGATACCCTCCAACCCTCTCCCATTCAACCTTCTGTCTTGTAATAGGCAACTGTCGTCGCAAGCTCTTAAAAGCACCCTCGGCCAGCCGGCTGAATGCTCGGTTTAACTCTTCCTGGTGATCGCGCTCGGCAGTGCCGATCTTGGACATGATTGCCTCGGCAGAGATGGACGATAAGGGAATTGAGACCGGCTTGGTGGTGCTCAAAGCAACATTGCCGTCTTCGTAGTAGTGCACATCAACGTGGATATTGCCGGTAATAGTGGCGGAAGAGGAGGAAACGGGGACTTGGTAAATGGCACGATAGCGACCGTTCCTATATACGATAGCGGATTAACCTTCTAGACATAAGAGTTCAACTAATGAATCATAATGACTTACCAGAAATTGCTCGGAGAGTAGCGGTTGGCTACCAATACGATAGCAACCGCAGTGTCGTTCTCGATGGGATACACCCCATAGGCGGAGTTGGGGTAATGCTCAGTCGCGTGGGCAGACAGGGACCGAAGTAGTGATTTCCTAGTAGTTCATGTAAGTAACTGCGGTTGTATCTACACGAAATGCCAGGTTTGAGAAACATACACAAGATCACCGTTCTGAGAGTCGAGGGGGTATGATTGTGCCGCGGAAGCTGTCTGTTCGGACGCAAGACCTCAGATTAGCTTAAAATAAAACGAAAGAGATATTGTTGACGAGCCTACTTGTGTGATATGGTCAAATTCAAAGGATGTCGAGCTCTCAACATCGTAGTACCGGTCTCCGTCCAGTCTATTGAATTCGCTCACAATCACCTATTCAACCAGCACGTTAGTAAGTGCTTCCAATCTTGACAATTCGGCAAATTTCAATCACCTCCTGGCTGCTCCCGGGAAGCTTCACTGTAGCTAATTGCTTCTCGTTATAACTTTTGAACGCAGGTTCGAGATCTGGGATAATGTCCTGTCCATCGGCGGTAAGGGCCTTGATGTCTAGCAAAATGGTTGTCCTGTTAGCGACTATGTCGAGCGATTCAGAATTAACAATAGGCTTATGTCGTACCTGCGACTACATCGGATAACTATTTCAGCCATGAGAATTAGTATCGATTATCAATTTGCTGCATCACGATGCGCTTGATGCGAGCTGAAACAGGAACGGCGTACCTCTCCGGGGGGAGCTCCCTCGATGAAGGAAGATGCAATTTCGACTGTGGAACTCATGCTATTTGATCGGTGAGATATTTTTGAATGAGCGAATGGCAACCTGAGTAGCAGGAACTATAGGCGTGGTGGCGGTGCTGTTTTGATTGTTGATTTTGCGGGGTCGCTGCTGCGTGTTGACACTTGAAGGCGGTCAGGCACATCCTAGAGACGTCCCGCTCAAGGCTTTACTGTTTACGTGCGAAAGATTTGTTGACAATCAAAGTAGAATTATTTATTGTATGGTTTCGTATTAAAAGATATTAACATGCGACTTGCGCTGAATACATTGATGGGTATAATTGGGTAACAGTGACAACTAAAACAACAAACACCATACTCCAGCTAATCGACCTGAACTCGGAATATGCGAAGAGACTCATCATAAACAGATTTGAAGTTTTGTTTCGCCTCGAGGTCAAAGGGCTGAATTGTTCTCCACTACGCCTTCAATGCGATGAGGTTGCGAGACCAGCGCATAGTAGCACTGTCTGCATTGATAGGGCGTTTGATAATCTCGCTATTGTTCTTGAGACTGATAATGATGACCTGAGGCGCGACGAAGAGGATTTGCAGCCATGCGACTCGGTGAAAAGAAAGAGTCAAGCCAGAAGTATCGCTCACTCAATACTCATATTCATCAACCCGTCATTCGTTTCATTCATTCCTTGTAAGCCGATTCGTTTCAACCCGGTCGGAGTAGCTACAGAGCTAGTCTGTTCACTCAACAGCGCAGCAGCTGTCTTGGGAGGAATAACCCACGCACTACTGTCTTTGACAGCCGAAGCCTGTGATAAAACTGGACTGCTTTGAACGCTCATGCCGGGTGACACGGCACGTCTCTTGAAGGACTCTGCGTCGAAGCCATCATCACGCCGACGTTTGCGAGAAAGTTCACTTGCCAAAACCTGATTTACCGCCTGCGGTGCCGGAGAACGCCAGTCCACATCTCGTCCAACAGCTGACTGCGGGGTTTCCATTGTCATATCTTCGCCGACAATGGAAGATTGCGTTGACAGGCGACCTGCCGGTGGCGGAGTGCGATAACGACCATCAAACGTGTCCCAGAATTTCGCGCCGCCTGAGTTCAAAGAAGCCTGGTTGGAAAAGTTGGTTTCAGGAGCGCTTCGAGTTGATGTTTCAGACACTGAGGTAGTAGAAGTAAGTTCTTCTAGTTTCTCTAAAGGGAAACCAGGAGTCTGTGTTTCGACAGTAGAATCGCTTTCGCGGACCTGCCGGATGACCTCGGCTTCTCTTTTTGCTTCGCTATCAAGAGGCGTGCTTTCTTCCATCAATGCTGCACGAACACGAGAAAACATTTTTGGTTTAGGCTACGCAAGTCAGTAAAATCAAGTAAAGTATTGCAGTTTGCTGACTTACTAATAAGTTCCCCCGTCGAGTCACGGCGCGACGGACTACTCCCCGGGGACCATTCTCCGCACTGCCTCCGGGACTGTCTCCCCTTGGTGGTCGATTTTCTCCATCATCGCTCATATCCGAGAGCTGAAGATCACCAGTCCCAAGGCTGAGGCTTTCTCTGCGCGACTGTAAGACGCTTCTGGACATTTCACGAGCAAAATAGCCCCCATTTGATGCTTCTATGCTCTTCATTGCAGGTGGAGACAGCGGCCCTGGACTTGGCTTATTGCTATTTCCACTGGCACTACTGGAGCTATGTCGGCTGTTTCGTGATTTGCGAAATCGTGCTCGCTGGAAACTGAGTAGACTCGCCGCGGCTGGAGAGTAACCTCCCATCCAGTCGTTTCCTGGACTTGGGACCGCACCACCAAAGGGATTTGACAACAGTACATTAGACGCTTTGCTCGCCTGTGGTGTTGTGGTAATCATCATCTCGTCGCGGTCGGCATTCATTTGTTCTTCATCGTCATCGTCATCGCTACTGCTAGTGTCAGACTCCAGCATATTGACGCTTGACAGCGAACTGGACATTGTCGTCAGATTAGCTGGCACGCTGCCTGATTGGTGGGCGAGACTTGATCCGGGCGAGCCAAAGGTGGATGTATTGACTCCTCGACGCTGTGGAATGTTCACCCCGCGACCACCAACGTTGGGAGATGAGTCAGGCGAGGACTCAGCGAGTGTTGAGTGATGTAGATTTGTGCAGGCACGGGAGAAGTCTAAGCCTCGTGATCGACGAGGTATCGCCGATGCGGGCGATCCATAAATCTGCGCAGCGTCTAATTTTGGAGAAAGAGGGACACGGTTGATGGGTGCAGATGACCCTGGTGTAGAGGGCACAGGAGTGTGTCGTGGAACTTGGAGTGAGAGGTTTTGAAGGGTGGAGTAACGAGTTTGGGTCTTTTGTGGTGTTATTGGACTGTTTGTAAGCGACATATCATCCTTCGTTGACGGTGGGAATTCCCGCGACCCTGAAGGTTGCAATAGCGTGTGTTTGGCAGCATCCGATAAAGAGCGGGACTTGGGAGACAAACGCGATACTTCAGTTTGTTTGGAATCACCACTCGTACTACCGGTGGTATTATTTTCTTCGCTATCCGACTGTTCTATGTGCCTCGACATTTGTCTCTGCAGCCAATATGGTTCTGCCGCTCTCATCTCGGGCTGCAGGGACTTAACGGGAGGGCCGAATTGCGAGGCTGGTATCGTCGACATTGGCGAATGCGTATATACTGTATTGAGAAACAGTTATGTTATGATGGGGTGAGCAGGAGGTCGCATCATCTAGGATGCCATTTTCCGGCCAAAAAGAGGGCGCAAAAGTGGCAGCGACGACGTAAAGCCCCGGCTCGCTGTAAGGCAGCGTTCGGCCGGAGCAGTGAAGAACGTGGATGTCTGTCGTGTAGTAGAGGACAGTAAATGACTTCAGCGAGGCGCTGCACGTCTGCAGGACAGTAACTTGGGTTAGACGCTGTCTGTGGATGGTCAACTAAGGTTGACGTTGACGTCGAAGTTCACTTGGATGTCCACCAGGGCGTGACGCCGGGATTGGCCAATCACCGCCCTCACATACCCGCCCCCGCCAAGAGTTCGTTGTCTTCCTGCCGCAACGGGTAAAGCGGATTCAGTATCTACACTGTGACAGACGGACGCAGTCTTTCACATACAAATGCCTTTCTGCTACCTAAGCTATTACACGTACATAAACGGCAGGCCAGTTCCAAACCGTCCACATATTCAAGACGAACCTGCGTCTTCAACATTGGATATCTCCGACAAAGTTGATAATAATATACAATACAACGTGTTCCTTCATATCCTTTTATCGTCTACCTCTTTCACCACGGGAGCCTCTGAGCGGTAGGCTGGCGGTGCAGGCGCCTCCGAAGGCGATGATGTATGGCCTGAGTCGGTCGAAACAAAGGATTTGTTGGAGGAGTGCTCTCGTCCAGGGTAAGGCGGCGCCAACGAGAACTCATTATAGTCCGGGTCACGGGATAATTCGTGGGTTTCGTTGAATGGGTCTGGGAAAGAAGGGGCCTGATAGCGACTATTCGTTGGTTCGTAGATGTCGATCTCAAAGGACTCTCTTTCCTTGTCTTCGTCCGCTTTGAATTGCCGTCGTCTTCGTCGCGCGAGAATAAATATGGTAACACCAGTGACTATTAGAAAACTGTGAGGCTTTTAGCCCTGTCACTGAATCTCATCACCTTGCATGATCAGACTAGACTAACACTCCCACTACCGCCGCTGGAACGGCATCTTCAAGCACTGTGCTGGTAGGCTTTGCGCAAGCGTCTGAGTTTGGATCGGACTCGTCGCAGGCTCGACGAAAGAGTGTTGTAATCGTATCCATATTTGCAACCGAATGAAAGAATACCTATAGTAAAGGCGAAAGTAGTGCTGACTGACAGGCTTCGAGGCGAGGAGACGCGGTGACAAGGCGAGTGAGTGACTGGATTTGAGGTCTCGAGGACCGTGTTCAATCAACCGCCGTTCAAGGGCATTGACATAACAATCGAGCGTTGTGAGGCGAGATGGCTTTACGGCAGGAAAACCGGCCCCCTTAGTACGGAGTCAGATCGAGGAACGGAGTAGTCACGACTTAACAGTGAAACACTGACTCCAGCTCCGTTGGCGGTAATAGAGGAGGGCCTGTCACGGCATGTAAGGATACCGAAATACGAAGATATTGGCGAATAGTCTGTGACCATTGAGCACATTCCTGTGTCTGCTTGGCGTTATGCTGGCATTTAAAATACCACTAGCAGGGCCACGCAATTACTAGTAGTACTCCAGTCTCCAAGTCTATTAATAAATTTAAAAGCCATGAATTTAGGGAGATATTTGCCGAAATAACACGGCCTGATAACATCTAGTATAGAGCCTATGGTACCGACAAGGCCCAGTTGAGGCCATAACCCACACACAATCCGTATACCCAGGGAGACTGATGGTGTTTTACTGGCATTTAGAGGATAGAGAGAGCAGAGAGTTGCTAATTCAATGACTATAGGCTAAAAACTACGGGACCCACTTTTCAACCAAGTGTGTTTCTTCTCCAGGTACCATATCCCCCGGGGGCCCAGAGACCATGCAAATCGTACGTCGAACTCTGTATAGAGGTCAGCACTTGTACACAAACAACCCCGGTAGGAGCACTCACTGAAAGCCTTCGAGGGCGCAAAAGAAAAACAAGAGACGAGGTGTTCCGGCTGCAGGGATAGCTTCGGACGATCTAGATTATATCCGCAACCATGTTTGTTAGCGAGATTGGGGCAGAGTACTCACGGCCTGTCCCCATTGGGGGAGACTATCATCTTCACCAACATTGTCGGTATATTTGCCCCTAATCAAGGTGAGAAGCTTCTTCGTGGCCACATGGATGCTCTGAACGAGGTCCAGCATCTCCAAAATGTTGGCGAGAGTGTCATTGATGGTGTCGAGGCTTGCCAATGACAGCCTCGGTCTTGGTGGGCATTTTTGGGAGGCAAGTACGTAGCCTGCCCGCTCTAGGCTAGGTAATCATCCACAGCTAGTAATGTGCCGTGCAAGATGATATGACAGATCAGAATTGACACACAGTAACTCACTTCTAAGTTCTAACTCACTTTGGCTCTAGTAAGAACATCGCGGCGCTAGTCCATATCGGGTTTAATTGTGGCCCGCCTTGGCGTCAGGGACTGCGCCGCTCGTCGGCCAATCAGCGCTTCGATCTCAGGCGATCCGCGAACTGTGACGCGACGAAGAGAGCCTCGCCAGAAGTCAGTTCCGCCAACTGTCGAGCGCAAAGTGACGTCCCGATAAAAATAACCCCTGCGCTGACTACTGACGGCATTTTGGCCGGCAACGACCGGACATCGCAATATTCCCCAACGCGCGCTTTGTTCCCCGGCTTCCTGAATCCGCGCTCTCGAAAGATTTTTAAGGCGACCGCCGCCCGGGCATCATGGCTACCGTTCCTGATACAGCGTCCATCGAGGACATCCTAGAAGACCTGGAGCTGCATCAAGCGCTTCTCCAAAGTCTTATCGAAACTCGCCCTGGTGCTATCGAGCAGAGGAAGGAACTTGAAGCCACCGTCATGGACTTTGAAAGGCAGTTAGCTCAACGTCGAGGTGTGCCTTATCACACCCCACCCCAGCAAGCACCTGAATCGCCTCAACGGGCGACGTTTCGATTTGACGGCGCAAATGACTCTTCCCCTGCAAGACAAGGGGTCAACAACCTTCTCGATTTCTTCACGCCGCCTCAGCAACGTGTTTCGTATCAACGTAAACGTCCTGTTCAAGTTGCCGATTTCACTAGCCCGACTGGCTCGCCCTTGTCAAAACGTGCTCGCTCGCAACAGCCAGCGTCCAGTCCACAAAGCGCAATGTCTCCGTACGGCCGTTTCTCCCATAAGAACAGCCTCAACCCTAACAACGATCCTCTCAATGAATTTTTTGCGCTCGACGGTGGCGATTTAGAGGACTTCCAAGCAGAGCAGTATGAGGCGGCAAAATGGCTAGATGAACGCCGCGCACAGGAACGTCGTGACGAGGAGTTTGCAAGGCGTCTTCAAGAACGCTTGGACCAAGAGCTCTTACACGTACCCCCAGAGCAATTTCACACGCCAAACAAGCCGCACACCGGGATCGAGAAAACGAATACACCTATGAGCTATGGCCCGGCGAACACATCTCAAGCATTCACTCATGGCAATAATCAGCCAATTTTCGGCGTGCCCAGCCTTGGTGATTCCTCTATGCTCTACCGACATCCTTCTCAGGCACCATCGCCTTTCACTCCAGGGTATCAAGGTTACATACATCAAGGACCGTCTTTTGAAACTGAGGCACTTGACAGCACCGATAGTGACTTGGCGGAAATTTCAGCAAGAGACTTCTACCAGAGCCATACCTCGACGCCATCATACGACCTCTCTCGTAACCATTCCCCCTTTCATTCTCAATTTGCGCCGAGGTTGCCGCCCGGCTTACACGTTCCTACCCGTTTGGCTCCTCGACCTAGTGATTTGCACTCTAGATTTCAATCTCGTATGTCGAACCATGGAAACCACGATTTGGGTGCGAATTATGGCCTAGGGAATAAAAGCTATCCTTGGTTGTCAAATATCAAAAATGAGAATGAGTACGGCATTGGATCTTCTTTATCATTGTTAGAGTATGTACATAGTACCCTTTTTTTTATCTTATGATGAATTTTAGCTAACACTGTGTAAGGGATGAACCTCTCGACAACAAACAGGCTACTCAGGAACTCAAGGAACTGTTGGAGAACATTCGACCCGACATTGAGCTATCGAAGAACAATCGTGAGGGGACACCGAAAGAGTTGCTGTTCAACTTGTATGAACATCAAAAGCTGGGACTGACATGGATGAAATCCATGGAGGAAGGTTCTAACAAGGGCGGAATCCTGGCTGATGATATGGGTCTGGGAAAGACAGTGCAAGCCCTCTCCCTTATTGTTTCACGGCCTTCCACCGATACAGCGCAAAAGACAACCTTGATAATTGCTCCTGTTGCTTTGATGCAACAATGGAAACGTGAAATCGAGCGGTTGCTCAAGCCGGAATATAAACTGAACGTTTTCGTCCTCCACGGGGAGAAGCGGAAAACCACCTTTGAGACGCTGAAGAAGTACGACGTGGTCCTAACGACATTTGGTACCATGGCCTCGGAACTGAAGCGGTGGCAAGAATGGGATGAGCAGAGGCGTTTCGCTTCACAAAACGGTGCAAATATGATTGAGAAGGCTCGTTCACTGGCCGTGCTCGGTCCAGAGAGCACTTGGTATCGTGTGATCATCGACGAAGCACAGTGCATCAAGAATCGAAATACAAAGGCCGCCATTGCCTGCTGCATGCTGAAATCCACTTATCGATGGTGCATGAGTGGCACTCCTATGATGAATAACGTTGGGGAACTTCATTCGCTACTTAAATTCTTGAGAATTCGCCCGTACAACAGTCTAGAACTCTTCAACGCGGTAAGCAAGATACTATCCAAGCATACTTCATATTGACATATATATACGGCATACTAATTAATATACTATAGAACTTCACGAAACCTTTGAAGTCCCCGCATCCCGACGCGCAGAAAAAAGCCCTCGAGCAAATCCAGGTTCTTCTCAAAGCTGTGCTCCTTCGCAGAACAAAATTCTCCAAGTTAGACGGCAAGCCGCTTATAGATCTTCCGCCACGTGTAACTGAAAAGGTCCATGCTATTTTCAGTGAGGATGAGCAGACGCTTTATAGCTCTTTGGAGGGCCGCACCCAGATTCAATTCAACAAATATCTCAAGGCTGGCACCATTGGAAGGAATTATTCCAATATTCTTGTTCTTTTGCTTCGTCTACGACAGGCCTGTTGCCACCCTCACCTCATCAACGATCTGAGCGTAGACGTCAGCGCTGTGACCGAGAGTGCCGACTTCGTTGAGAATGCGAAGCAATTTAGCCCTGAAGTCGTCCGACGCTTGAAGGAAAACGAGCCTTTGGAATGTCCTGTCTGCATTGATGCCGTGGAGAATGCAGTGATCTTCTATCCGTGCGGCCATGCCACCTGCGCGGAATGCTTTGCCAGAATCTCGGATCCATCTCTTGCCGTTCAACAAGGTAACGAGGGCCAAGTTGAAGTCAAGTGTCCAAATTGCCGAGGCAAAGTTGATCCTAAAAAAGTTACGGACCACTTGTCTTTCAAGAAAGTTCATTTCCCTGAGCAAGTCTCTGGCACAAACGATCAGCAAGAATCCAATCCCGCCGCTACTGAAGATTCTGACGATGACTCTAATTCTGATGACGATAGCGACGAGGACGACTCTGATCTCGACGACTTCATTGTACCAGATGACTACGAATCCGACGCCAAATCTCACAAGAGTAAGAGGACTAGAAAGAGCAAGGGCAAGGGCAAGGGGAAATATATTGAAATCAAAAAGCCCAAAAAGACGCTTGCTGTTCTCCGCAAAGAGGCACAGAGAAACGCAGCCTCGAAACGCAAATACTTCAAGCGACTTGAAAAGAACTGGCAGACCAGCGCAAAGATTGAGAAGGCAATCGAAATTCTAGAGAACACCAAGAATTCCGGTTCTGGGGAGAAAACCATCATCTTCAGCCAGTTTACGTCTCTTCTAGATTTGGTGGAAGTCCCGATTCATCGCCGAGGGTGGAAATATCGTCGCTACGACGGAAGTATGCGTCTCAACGACCGCAACGATTCTGTACTAGAATTCACCGACAATCCCGAATGTGATATTATGCTCGTATCGTTGAAAGCGGGCAATTCCGGCTTGAATCTCGTAGCCGCTTCGCAAGTCATTATTTTTGATCCATTTTGGAATCCCTACATCGAAGAGCAGGCCATCGACCGCGCACATCGCTTGGGCCAGACCCGCCGCGTCCAGATTCATCGTATCCTCGTGGAGAAGACTGTTGAGGACCGAATTCTGGCTCTTCAGGAAGAGAAACGCGAGGTCATCGAAGGCGCTTTAGATGAGAATGCGGCCAAGCGTATCTCACGATTGGGCGAGCGCGAGCTCAAGTTTCTTTTCGTAAGTTTACCTATCTACCACTTTTCAATCTTTGCAGGGTTCATTGACCACTGACTATAAAATCACAGAATGTGCGATAAATTTTTGTCCCGTGCAACGACAACTTTCCCTTCATTCTTTTTATTTCTCACCTTTCTTGAAAATCTTCCCCTCTTTTTTTTTAAAAAAAATATTCTTTTAATCGGTTAGCAATTGGGAGGAGCCCTTTATCCAGACCTTGATACCCCGGAAGCTGCATGGTCTTGTGCAGCAAATCTCTACTGTGTGCGTTTTTCTTTTTATTCGTCGTTCTTCTACGTCGCTCTGTGATGCGCGTCTTAAGTTTTTGATGATGATAACTTGGAAATAGAAGAGTCCTTCTTGTCTCTTGTTCTTCTTGGTTTATGTAGGCATCGGATTTTAAATTGTTCGTGAGGGACTCGTACGATAGGTTTGTTCGAGCACACGTGATGCGTATACCTAGTTAGGTAGATGCTACGACTTGGTAGGTAGTAGAGGCAGATATACAGATTGAAATAAATAGATGTCTTTTCATACTCTCGTTTTCTGTTTCCGTGTTTGTAGTATACTCGCAACCAAAATCAATTCGTTTTCAAATCATTATGTCATTCCCTCTCCCCCATTCTACTCAGTTCGAAAATTAGTTCGAAGCTCAGTTCGTAGAAGGGAGAGATGGTAATAAAGAAGATTATATTCTACTTTCTCACTGCTATTTCGATTTCTGGTGCTGACATCAAAGCAGAAGAACTGAAAAAGAAAGCGGGAAGAAAGGACGTGACTCGGGGGGAAATAAGAGAAACAAAGTTTTTTAAAGGTAACTGAAAAAGATGATGATTCCCCCCATTTACAAATCGGCATCCTCTTCATCGGGGAGAGGCTGGGCAGCAGCATCTGTCAGCTCTTGCTGGTACTTGGCCATGACTTCGGGGTCGACCTGGACCTCTGGCGGAGCCAGAGCAGGGGCGGCAACGAATTCCTGGGAAAAAATGTCGTGTTAGTAATGGCAAAATAAAGTATATGCATTGGGGGAAAGAGCATACCAAAGTTTGGTTGCCAACAAGTTTGCGAGCAAGCCACAAGAATGGCTTCTCAAAGTTGTAGTTGGATTTGGCAGAGATGTCGTAGTATTGAAGGTTCTTCTTGCGGTGGAATGTGATGGTCTTAGCCTTGACCTTGCGCTCCTTCACATCGACCTTGTTACCGCAAAGAACAATGGGGATATTCTCGCAGACTCGGACCAAGTCACCTGGAACAAAAATCGATTAGCATTCAATCGGGATTATATTTGAAGTAACAAGTAACATACGGTGCCAGTTGGGGACATTCTTGTAGGTGATACGTGATGTAACGTCGAACATGATGATACCGCACTGGCCGTTGATGTAGTATCCATCACGGAGACCACCGAACTTCTCCTGGCCAGCAGTGTCCCAAACATCGAACTGGATAGGTCCCAAGTTCTACAAATTGATAATAAGATCAGTCACAGGCTCTAACTTGCAAGAGAGAAATGGCGGCTTAACATACGGTGGTGAAGCCAAGAGGGTGAACTTCCACACCCAGAGTGGCAATGTATTTCTTCTCAAACTCTCCAGTCAAGTGGCGTTTGACGAAAGTGGTCTGGTTTGATAAACAAGTTAGCCATGCGTTCCGGCATGCAAAGAACAATAAAGAAGAAAATGACCCGATAGTGACGAAAATGATGCTGCGAAAAACCGTTGCACCGGCCGACGACGGGGGTTTGATTGAATTGAGCAGGTGCGGGGTCACGCAGTATCGCATCGTCAAGATCGAAGTGTAGGACAGTTGGTGACAGTCCAATAACGCCAAGGGTGTATTTTGCAGGTCTGACTTGCCTTTCCAGTACCACCGTCACCGACGAGGACAAGCTTGAAGGTGGGAACTTCAGCCATTGTTGGATGGGATGACGTGAGGCAAGATTATAGGAGGGGGGAAAAATTAAACAGAGGGCAAAAAATGGCAATCGCTCGCTTTGCGATGAGGGCGAGGCGAAGCGAGATTTGATGTGCAAGTAGCGAAAATTCAAGCGTGTCACAGAGCGCGTGGACGCAAGGGCTGGAATACTGAAAGAGAGGGAGAGAGGCAGGATTCCTTTGGTGATGGAATTTTCGACCTGCCCGGGCGGTGACAACAAACGGCCCGCCGCCCTGCGCAGGCACGTGACCGTAGCCTGATTTTGCCCCTCTGCCCCTCCTACGCGGGCCTCAGGCAGCAAGGCTCCGAATATACAAGCCCTAAGGATTACAAAATGATCTCAAAATACCAAGTGAAACCCCGGGCTTCTCGACTTATTTACACTACATCCACGGAATGGAAGGCTTGTCTTCAGCTTTAGAGCCACGCCAGGCAAGGAATTCCTTCCAGCTTCGTTCTTTTTGAGCAACGCTTTTTTTGTCTTGAGGCCTAAGGGTGAAAGAAAAAGCCGATGACGTTGCTAAATCGCGTTGGGGTGCCTATGAATCTAGAAATAGGTATATATTATTTTATATGAGTACATACATCCACGTACGAAACGCCGATTCTTCATTTTGCACGACTGCTCTACCCAACAGTTAACATCAGTGTCCAGAACGCCAGATCATGTTGACTCGTCAAATCATAACCATGTATCCCCCGTCACACAGGCACCAAATGGCATCCCAGAAGACCACGGCCTCCCCAATTGCGTCGCGGTATGAGGCTGACACTCAGCTCTCTGATACCTAGGCCAGACTCGTTCTGCCGAACGATTTTCACCACGACAGCACGCTAGATAGAACATTTGTCAGCCCGGGTATGTAGTAGAAACACATGGTTTGCATACCCCTTCATTTTGCTGCACAACCTCCCCAACCTTTGTCAGCCGCTCGTGGTTCACCCAATTGACCGTTCCAAAACTACGGATGACGTCTCCGGCTTTCAGACCGGCTTGGTCGGCCGGACTGCCGGGCGCGACGCTATTCACTTTTGCAAATGGCGTCTCGGTGATTGCGTTTTGTGTGGGTAATGAGCGTTGTGATAGTTGCGTTGTAGCTCCGTTGGGGGTCGTAGACGAATCTTGCGCGTTCTGTAGGGCTTCAAAATGTGCATGTAGGCCCTTTTCTAGTTGTTTCATGACTTCCTTGTGGTCGTTGCGAAGGTGTATTATCCTCGCCCGAGTAGTGCGGACTAGAGACTATCATTCAGCAGGGCCGCTACGGAGGGGCGAAAGGTAGTAACAGTTCCCAAAACGTACTCTGCGCCACATCGATATCGTCGCGAGGATAACCGTCAAAGGTCGTCAAGCTCGTATCCATAGTGACACCTTGCTAGGAAAAAAAGGCCCAGTCAGTTTCAACAAATGCATGACCGCTCATGTTGGAATGCATACCGATGTTAATACGCTGCTGTAAGCTGACAGCTCAGCTTCTATGCGCTCTTTTTCGTTCATAAGCTCCGCCATTGATAGCTTTGTCAGATCTCGAAATCCGGTCCCCGCCGTCGTAGGACCGGAGGGGACAGTCGGAGTATGGATGTCTCGATCCATCGAAAGGCCCATATCACGTGTGTAGGATAAATGAAGAAATCTTCCAGTGATGCATTACAGGCCAGTGTCTTGGGAGCAAAGGAATAGCGGTTGTAAGCAACACGAAGAGCTCTGGAGTCTGCGGAGGTGGCGGCGGAGTGGAGCCTTAGGCAGCAATCTGAATCTCACTTAGGTAAGCCACCCCTTTTATGCTTTGTTTATGATTCCATGGATGCCGACATACTTAAGACATATTTATCTACCAAGATGAATAAAATGTGTGACATGTCACACTGGTCTATGATGCTTGCTTTCCTGCGGGTTGTATCAGGATCTACTCCTAAGTTTGCACATCTTTTGTCGCTGGGCCCCTTATGGGGCTGCTGTCTTACCTAGGTATTTCATGATATAGTGCATATATTCATTCTCTTTTCTCTTGAAATTTCACACGCATTGAATATATCGCCCGTAATGAAACGACCAGCAGCCTCTTGTCATGATAATGGCAGGCAGACAACGAAACTGCCATGTCTAGACAGCTTGAATCAACTTCACCTTCATGTAATGGCTATGAGGAGCAGGTCAGCTCTCAACAACCATCTTCGCCCTTATCACCCGGGATTGAAACAGCCAACGTCAGTCGCAACTGGACTATGGTCGTGGAGACAAAACTTACCAGCTCATAGGATCTAGACAATTTCGAGCATAGACGGACGACACTTGCAAGCTCCGCACGTCACAACGAAATCTTTCGTTGGATACCGCGCCCTTCAAGGGTGGTCTTGGATTTCGATATCATGGATCGACCTCCTTCCAAACGACCGTGGTCAAAATCATTTGACGACGGACTGGTTGAGTCAGTCTATTCGCCAGAGGAAACCTCCTTGTCCTGGGATACCAAGTCGACGAAATACCAAAAGCGAAATTATGAGAGTTCACTGGAAACTGTTTCATGCAGCCCTCAGTGGCTGGTCCGCTCAAGGAAGATATTGAGTTTTGCATGAGGCTTCTAAGTGAGGAAGTTACTACCCCTCAGAATACCATATTTGATGATGAGTCGGGCCGGAATTTTTACCGCATGTTGTGGGATCAATCTGAAGTCGGGCTCCTGATGGGTTTACATCCACTGCTCATGCCCTCTGTCCAAGAACAATATCTCAAGCAAAAGGAAAGCCGCGATCATTTTCAATACCTTGAACACGTTGTGGATGGCTACAATGATCTCTGGATCAACGCAGAGCCTATTTGTGGTCCTAAGCCTAAGCCAGACCATGCACGGGGCTTGTGTGAATCATTTCTGTCTGATAACCAGCGTCGAAAACTCAAAACCAAGTCAAATGGACCGTCGCCATATACAATGCGAGACAACATGTGGTTCCCTTATTTGACAGCGGAAGTCAAACGTGCCGGCGAGGGTCTTCTAGCTGCAGACCGGCAGAATATGCATAGCGTGTGCATTGCTTCTCGGGCTCTGGTCTGTTTATCGCAGGCAGCCAATCAACCAGAAAAGCTGCACCGAAGAGTCCTGGGATTTTCCATCTCCCATGACCTGGACCACGTGTCTATTTACGTCCACTATCCTGAAATCAACCAAGGAAAGGTGGCCTATTACCGCTGGAAACTTGCCGACTATATTAGCATTTGGGAGCATAAATGGACTTGTTATCGCTTTGTGGAGAACCTTGATCGTGTATTCCTTCTTATTCACATAGGCCTATTAAAGGAGTTGCTAGAGGAAATTCCTGACTCCCAGGAATTTCCATCCGGGGTTGATTCCTACGAGGCGAATATGGGGTCTGGGCCGGAATCCGGCTTGGATGTACAGAGAAGCTTACAAAATATGATTGAGATATTACAGCAGCAAGTGAAGGAGGCTAAAACACGAGAAGCGAACTTGCTTGCCGAAAAAGAACAACTGAGAGCTGATTTGCATGCTCAAATGGAAAAGTTGACGGTCGATTTCTATGCTAAATTCGAAGAACAGGCAGCAAAATCAAAGCAAGAAGCAGACGAGCGAGTTGAGAGGCTCCTCGCGTCGAATTAGAAAAGGACATTTGGAAATACTGCTCTCTCTCTCCACCCCCCTTCACCCGCCTTGTCTGTCTGTCTACTTTTCCGCATAATGTGGCTTCATGATTGGCTCTGTTGTCAGAATGATCAAATTCCTGCTTTTAAAAGATGTCTGTAATCAAGCGTGTCCTGTTGTTGTGCTAGTATGTAAATCATTTATTAGATTGGAAAGTCTGGATGAAAAATATACCTTATATTGAACTACGATGATTCCTCTGCTGTCACTTGTCATTTTGGGCATTGCTGCTTCCGCGAAATGAGAAAACTCTGGGAAAACTCTGTTTTGTCCACTATGGATGTCCTTACTGCCAAGTTCTCTCATTGAAAATTCTTCTGGCGCCTGATACCAAACCTTTCAACGGATGGATTCTTTGCTCGCCGCTTGGGAATTGCCTTTTTATATCAAATTTTTAAGGAGACACCAGCGGGGGCCATTCCTAAAAGAAAAGAAAAGGGAGCCACGGTGCGATGATTTCGTCCAAAGCGGCAGATATTGATTGCGATGCCTGCCAATCTTCTTAAGCCTCTCGCTGCATTCTGTACGCAGTCAGAATCCCAGCGCTATATCAAACAGTCCGGAATCTAGGCGACGCATGGCGCACCCTCGCCGAAGAATCATTGCTGGAAGCCGCAGGCACCGCCATGGTTACAACCGCATTTGGCTTAAACAACGTTGGCGAAAACAATTACATCGAGGCCGAAGATGCACTGTCTAGTTTGTCACTGGAGGTCATTGGCAACTACGATGCCTGGGTAGAGACTTACATGATTCATTGCAAGGAGAGATTGCATGTTTTTTTTTTCTCACGCCAGCAGAGGAGGTACCTTGGAACATTGCTGGCTACTTGCTGGCCTGGCGCATTGCAATGGCTCCGAAGGTGGGCAGCGTTGAGTTTGCGTATTTGTTGAGCAACGGCAAGGATATAGAGAGCGATGGGACATATTCATTCTTGGAATGATTTGGCGAAGGCAAAGTCGATGGAATAGGCTTAGGAGTCTGCTTCAGAGTGCTTAGGGTGAAGAGCAATAAGGTGTGTATTAGGTGGGATAGAAGGTGCCTGAGGTAGTGCCTTCCTTCCCTGTGCACTCCTTTAGCAGTCACTCTGACTTCTTCTCCTTCTCAACTCATACACCACCAACTACTATCTATCTATAGCAGATGTTTTGCGAGTCCAAACAATGTCTATCCTCGCCGAACCCCTTTCAGCCTCGGAGGTTGAAGAGGAGACCCCGCGCTTAGATGTGGAAGAAGAAAAGTGTCGACTTACATGCTCTTTCCAGTCATATTCTCCTCCTTTACTAGAGACTACGCTTGAAACCGGGGCGACTTACCCATGGACGAGGTGGGTAGAGAGTCTTCGATTACGAAGACGGGGTTATCAACCGGCACCCTTCGTTAATGGGTGGTATGATGGCCCATCGATAGGCAGCGAAGACGTTTGTTCGTCGCTCTGGGACAATACGTCATGGGACCAGACCTCAGGCGGCTCATCATCGATATTGGGAACGGTGAAAACAGCAAGTATGAGCGTGCCGCCCTCAAGTGCGCCGAGGTCAAGGACAAATACCATTGCTAGTAGTAGCATGGTGCCCTCGAGACAATCGATAGACAGTACTCGCTCCGGTTATTGTGATGTGGTGGCGCATGCTTCAAGGTTGATGGCCATCAGGCGCCGCCATGTTCTCCGCGAAATATACAGCTCCGAGGAGAATTATGTTGATGGGTTACAAACAATAGTTCAGGCAAGTTGGGGCTCAACGAACTTGTGTAAAGAGTTATGCTGACTCTGAATAATGCCAGATCCTTTCAACCTACCTCACCATGAGACCAGCCATATTACGGGACTTGGAACGCTTGTATGAGCTGCATCATGCCTTCAAAATGCAGCTCGAAAAAGTGAGTCCGCAGTCAATAGAGATCTGGACAGATGGTATCTCCAATCGTAAACACGCCATTATAAGGAAGATTCAGAATCAGTCGCTGCTTACACGGAATGTAAAGCGACGAGTTGATCCTGAAATCGCGAAAGAGGATGCAGATCCATCTGAAGCTTTGATGGTGGCAAGAGAGATTGATAAATTGGCAAGTGAGACATCTCCATGATAAAGATGTAGCCTAACTAACACGAAGGAAGACCACAAGATTCGATTTATACGAAGCGTTCATCCGGTCATTTGACGTTCTCGCGGAAGACATCACCATTCTGCGGAAAAATCACCCTGCTGATGGATTCTGGACTGAAGGCATCGAAGCGTTGCAAAAGTCGATGCATTCATCTCAAAGACGTAAAGAAAATCACAAGAAGTCAATGACCATGGATGATCTTATTGCCAAGGTAACATTTCCTCCCTCTGGACTACATAACCCTTAACTGATTTTAGAGTAGCCAGTGCAACGAGTGTGCAAATATCGACTACTTTTGAGCGAACTGCTTAAAACGATTCCTCAGGCCAGCTACCCCTGGGCATACTCGGAGATCGAAAAAATCTTAGACAAAAACGTACAGGCCGTAGAGCGTATCAATACCGTCGTTGGGGATCCCAATTTACGTATACGGATCGGAAAGACTGTCTCTTTACATGAGCGACTCAATTATGATGGCCAGGTCAGTCGTTCGAGTCTGAAAACAATCGTGCAACACTAACCCTAGCAGACTGTTCTCGAAAATGTTTACCAAGAACTAGGACCGCTGATTCTTTGTGGAGTCCTTCATGTGGTATACCACCACTCCTTGATGGGCATAACTGGACAGTATCTAGTATGCATATTATTCCCGGGTTACTTCGTTATAGCAAAGCCTAGAAGTGATACCCGTAAAATTACTCTCGTTGCATCTATCTACCTGTCTGATATGACGGTTGACACTCCGCTGAATGGACAAGGTAAAAGTCCTTGAACCTAGAGGTCCTGCAGCATCACTAATAACGTGCCCCAGGAATTGCCTGTCCTGATACACCATTCTCTTGGAAAGTTATTTTTCAGCATGACCAAAAACGTTATGAACTTATCTTTAGCGGCTCCTCGGTATTAGAGGAGCGAGGTTGGAAAACAGAGATTTTGAGAGCATCCATGATGCCACCAAATGAAGTGCCGACTATATCTTTAGAGCCACGAAGGTTTTCATTTGCATCCATTCCTCTGAAGCCTCTTGAATCTGACGGCCGGCCATTGCGCATCAAGCGACGAGTGTCTATACAAACCCTGTCCTCGGGCTTGCCTCTTCAGCAGGAGCAAGAAGTAGTTATCATCAAAAAGACTCACAACCCCCTTCACGATAACGAAGTTCGGCTTCTTCACGAAGCACAACTAACGCGTTCTCGCTCTGTTGCAAAACAAAGCGTCTGTACTCCAATTATTCTAATGACTGCAAGATTGAGTCGAGTCAAGCTAGAACGCAGTATTGCTGATATTTTCAGCGACGAGATTCTTCCGTATCCAGGAATGACGCTGGGCCGGAGTGACTACCTACAAAGTCAAGCGATGATGCGTAGGTCCGTAATACGAGGATTGTCGCTTCGGGGTGTTTTTGGTAACAGGCGGTCTGCCTCCCTTGGTAAAGCTACTTCTTCGCTGTCCGTTGAAAGCAGCTTAGAGACACAAAAGCAGGAGGGGCAAGACAAGAACGCATATTTAGGAGTCAAGGAGGCGGGGATAGTCGGCGCAGCCCAAGGAACGCCTGAAAAGGCGTCTGACTCGAAAGATATCGTTGATGATTATCTGCACGACACGCCTACCAAGACCGCTTTGCACTCGATTCGACAGAGAAAGGCCAGAGCAGTTTCTGATAACGTTACGGACGAAACTGGCGGGACAAAGCCCAAAAGCAAGCCACGGGTCGTGTGGAAGCGGCTGTCTCTGTCTATACTTGGCTTCTTCGATACGACGAACAACTATGATTGAACGAGGGCTTGTATAGGTGGGTCTAGAAACAGAAGACGTAATAGAGTCAGTCCCTTTCGAAGCTTGGTGGAACATGAAGGAATGTCGCGAATGTACCGATACATATCAATTACTATGGCACAAGACTAGACTTGTTTATCTGTTATCCATGCATTCAATGGTATTATGTCATGGCGCATGCATCATGGCTATCAGTGAACAACGCCGAGCGCGTTTGCGGGAATGTTGTATGAGGTTGACGGGTCCCTGGAGATCCGCAGCTATGACGTCGACGTCATACATCATCGCCAGCCTACATAAAGCTGTCTCTCTCTCCTCTTCTTCTTCTTCCTCTTTTCTCATTCTCTCCATTAGTCAATTAATCATAATCCATCAATCCAGTCTACCCTGAATCTTCGACTCAGGTGAGTATAGAGCTAGGGCTCTGAACTCTTCTACTTCAGCTAATTGGCAGAGCTAACACGCACCCAACCAGCTATACATCTGACATCCTACGCAGCCCTCTCAAAGAAAAGCAAGAACAGCCTCTTCCACCATGCCTCGCGGAAACGACAACACCACAAAGGTCTTCTACCAAGGCAAGTCCGATGACTTCGTCATCTTTGTGGATGACGTAAGCTCTGCTCAGAAATGGCGACACGATCGCACGGTCCCTCTTGCACAGGTCGTTTCTGGGTGGAAGGTGTTTGTGACACACAAGTCTGTTCTCTCCTTCTCTTCCGCATATATGTATACATAAACAACGTTGAGAATTAGACTGACTCAGTCACAGACAAGGCGCACAAGGAATCCTCGATGGCGCCAGCAAAGCCATGCTCGAGAACGAATTCGGTACAACTAGGGATGAGGACGTGGTGCAACAGATTTTGGAAAAGGGCGAAATCCAAGAATCCACCGTATGTAGTCCCCTTCGCCTCCCCTTAGTTTTCAGTATGCTAACGGTTGTCTAGAATCGTGAACGTCAGGGTGATCGTAATGTGATGAACGGCGGAAATTTCGTGAATACCTTCCAGGTCTAATTCCACTCAATTGTATGTGAATGAATGATGAGTGAGTCTGGCTACTGCTTTTACCAGATTCAACTCGATATGAATTTGAGGAAATTTGTATTTTTAGTTAGCATGCATCAAAACTCAGTTCCCAAAATTTGTCGTGGTTGATTTGAACTCGGTAAATCAATATTTCTTTAACCAGTGGATGCGAAGAGGTGTAGAGACTTTCAGAAATAGTGTGATTTATTTATATCCCTCTCCATTCTCCTCTGCTGCACCCACCTCCCCAATTCGTTCCACACCTCCTGTTTCTGCTGCATACTCATCGTAGCAGCCAGTCCACTGGTAGTCGTAGCCACAAACACCCTCGCACCGGCCTCCCAGCCGGGACATCGACCCATATTTTCACTCTCGTCTTGCCATCCATACCGAAATTCATCTTTCTTAATCGCCCTGCCGCCGTGCCGAACACGCCAGATACTTTCCCAGATACTCTTGCCCACTAGAGCAACCGCTTCTGGCTTATTAAGTGCAATCTTGGCTTCTAACACAGGCACGCCCGCATCCATCTCGGCTTTGCTGAGCATGCTGGCGTCGCGCGTGGGCCGCTCGACTATGTTTGTGTTACCGATGGAGTAAAGTTCGGGCAGCTTGTAGGTGTCGCTTGGTGGGTGGCGGATCGGGGTTATTCCAGACGAGTGGAGGAGTTTCCAGAAGAGATTGGAAGGATGAGCGTAGGCATATCCCGTTGACCCCGTCAGGAGGCCCGGGTTTACGCCGACGAGGAGGAGGATGAGGTTCGGCGGGATTGTGTCGCGGAGACGAGAGGGGTAGAGTGTTTGGCTCAATGGTTGATTGTGAGGGTCGTTGTCACTACGCTTTCGTCTGGGTTTTGGTTTGCGAGTCAAGTTGCATTGATCTTCTTGTAGACGGTACGATTTGCGTGGTGAGGGGGTGGTTCGCGATGTAGCTGGGACTGATGGAGAGGAAGGCGACGAAGGCGACGAAGATGAAGAAACTGAACGAGTGATTATTCTTCGTTGTCGGATTGGTTTGGTGTCTGTGTGATGCAAGAATCGATTCAAGCGACCTTCGAAACTTCTCTTTCTGTCCACGTCGTCGTCGTGGTCAACAATAATACCGTGCTCATTCATCGCGCGAGAATCGGCGATCCGGTCTATGTCTATGTCTATGTCTAGATTATCGTTAGTAGAAGTCAAGATTTTTCTGCGCAGCAAGCGTTCGTAGCATTGGCTGTAGATTATTTGCCCAGGTGGTTTTAAAGGAACGGAATTGCTTTTTATTTGGGACTTTTGCCCCCGGGTTCGGATTTTTCTCGAGTTGAAGGCGGGCCGTCGGTATATCCGAAAGCCCTAAGTGACTGTAGGCCGTAGCACGCTTACCCAGCAAAATTCTTCTATTTTTGTAATTAGAAGTAGACTGGTGATTCATTAATGTCGCTAGCTATTCGAAATAGAGATATCATTCATGTCATCATGTAAAACGCTCCAAGGTATAGTTCCCAATACGCCCCTGCCCTAACACCCAAATGCAAATAATATTTTCAAGAATTCAGCAAACTCACGCCGGTTGCAGCATTGACCTCTTCGGTAAAGTCCATGGAACTGGACAGACTACCTATTGGAATTATCAGTCCAGGACTCTGTTTGGTTGTTGACTTCGAGAAACATACCTCTCCTTCGCTATAAGCCCAAAAGTAGATTCCCATCCCAATCAAATAATACACCGCAACATCCCCGGACTGATACATGAGTGCACATGCCAGCGCACTCAGCGGGTACACCAGAAGACGTAGCTCAATACTCCGATGAGGTAATGTCCCGGCCAACGGCTTCAGAGGCCATTCCCATGCCAGAGCAACGATTCCAAGGACTAGGTTGATTATTTGTAGGATTGGTATTGGGCCAACGGCTCCGTCGAGGTTCTTTGTGATAAAATCCCAGAACACTTTGGGCCAGATGAACCCTTCTATCGAGGCACCGACTTGCCCTATACCCAGATCCAGTGTCAGAAGAGAGATCGAAATGATAGTCGCATTCATTGCAAAGGAAGAGAAAAACTTACAGGCTGCAGCTGACAAAATAATCAAGCGCGCCCAGTGATTCTTGATTAGACGACCCATGTTGGAGTGAGCATACGTGGACTGATATTTGCATTAACGGCTTGATATGAGGGGAAATGTCGAGTGTCAGTCGACACTATCTATCTCACTCTCGAATGGTAGACAACAAGATCAATCCATGGATGATTGAATGCTGTAGAGGCAACAGACGTGGGAATCGTTGAATTCTTCGAATCTTCGAGATTGTGTCCTAAAAACAAATCCTGCCGAGGGTTGTGAGAGATGGGACTCTTCGAGCTTTGACTCGGTGCTCGTCACACACACACACACATCTGCAGCATTGAGCGCACTAGTTTGTGACGATGTCTGTCTGCACGGCCCCAGCGCAGAGGCGAATGGCTGCTTCCCCTCCATTCTTCACTCCGTAGTACGTAGTTAATAATAGCAGCACGGACTCACGGAACATTTACCCCGTGCTAATGAGTGAAGTGACCAGTAACAAACACATGCAGGCAAGTCACAGTGCGTGATAGAGCAGGACAGCGCCTAGCTGCAGGCCGGCGTCGAATGGCGAGAGGTGTATGCATGAGGTCGGTGATCCGCCCTGCATAAGCTCGATCAAGAAGTTTTGTGGCTGCCCAGTCAGAATGCGGAGGCGGCGCTATCATACTTTGGCCGGCGGTGCAGCGCTGTGATTGGTTGTGACGCCCCACCCCGGCCCGGCCCAGGTCGGCACGGCTGCAGCCAATCACAGCGCGTGCTGCAGTACTGTCCTCCATCGCTCCTGCCAGGTTGCCATGCACCCCCCGCTCCTGCCATGAGTGCCACTGCGCTCCTTCCTTCTTCTCTCGTCCACCGCCTCTTTCCTTGTTCAGTCGTGCTGATACAAGCTGAACAAATGGCAGTCACGGGGCCCGCTCCTCCAAGCGAATGGGCGGCCTTTCGCGCGGCCTCGCTTCGTATCTTCGACCACTGTTGAAACGTCAAAACACCCCTGTTTCTCGTCCAGCAATCGCTTCAATTGCCTTCTGGCCACCGCACGGAGTACTGACAGAAAACGGAGTAGCGCCCCTCTAAGAATAGCCTGTCTGCAGCTAACCACGCCCTCCACACTCGCAATCTCAACCGGCATGCCATTACGAACACCACGCTGCTGCTAGTCAGTCTATCGATCATATTACGCAAACCTTATCGCAGAGTTTGCATTCCATCACTGTGCTGTGCATAGAGCTTTCATACGGCGTATCTCCCCTAAAGTTGTTGCTAGCAACTAACTTATTGAGGTATCCAACATACATGTCTTTTACTCTTTGATCTCACTCGATATTCACCGGAGATTTTCACCAAGATGACTCTCTCTTGAGCTGGTTTTGCATATTTTGGCCCTGGAAAACATCTCTAGTCCCGACAAAGGATTGATCCAACCCTACGACTCGCGGGGTGAAGAGAGGGAGCTCGCCCTCTCCCCCGTATAGAATACATTACAGAACAGACCCTTCTCTTGTCTTTTGAAGAGAACACAGAAAGACGGGCAGAAATATAGCATTCTATGCATTGACCGTTGGTCGCTTTGATTTGGTCAACACACCATGTGGCCCGATATAAACTGGAGGTCGCATTTTTCGCCGGCCAAAGTCGTCTTCTATCTCGTCTTCTGGGGAGGTCACATAGGGCTCTTTGCTCTCGGGTGGTAAGTTTGTCTGCCAAAGGTTATCACGTCACCCGTTCTAACCCTTCTTCCATCAGGTATTTGCAAGCAAGTGATAAAAAGCTCGCACCTCTAAACGAATTAACCTATTCAGTATGGATTTCTCGAGGTGCCGCTCTAGATTTGAGCGTCGACGGTGCCCTGATCTTACTGCCCATGTGTCGGACATTGTTGAGATATGCGCGCCCAAAAGTTCGATGGCTCCCACTAGATGAGTCGCAATGGTTTCACCGCCAGGTCGCATATGCTTTGCTAATATTCACTATCATTCATACTTCGGCACACTACGTCAACTTCTATAACATAGAGAAGGATCACATACGACCAGAAACCGCCATTCAAATCCATTACACCCAGGCTGGCGGCATTACAGGCCATGTGATGCTTCTATGCATGTTGTTAATGTACACGACTTCTCACCACAAAATTCGACAGCAATCCTTTGAAACTTTTTGGTATACACATCACCTTTTTATTCCTTTCCTACTGGGGCTTTATACGCATGCAACCGGCTGCTTTGTGCGAGATACCTCGCAGCCCTATTCACCTTTTGCTGGTGCGAATTTCTGGAATCATTGTCTTGGATGGGAGGGTTGGCGATGGGAGCTTTGGGGAGGGGCGTTCTATCTCATTGAACGCCTGTATCGCGAGGTGCGGGCTCGTCGTGAGACGGAAATCACAAAAGTCATTCGCCACCCATACGACGCCATGGAGATCCAGTTTCGCAAGCCTAGTATGAAGTACAAGGCTGGGCAATGGATCTTTTTACAAGTGCCCGAGGTCTCAACATCTCAATGGCACCCGTTTACCATCACCTCATGCCCCTTTGATCCTTATATCAGTGTCCATGTCCGTCAGGTGGGCGACTTTACTCGTGCTCTTGGTAATGCTCTTGGCTGTGGTCCCGCCCAGGCTAAAGACTTGGAAGGCCTTGATCCCATGGGCATGTACGAAATCGCCATGCAAAACGGCCAGATAATGCCCAAGCTGCGCATCGATGGACCATACGGAGCACCCGCCGAGGATGTATTTGACAACGAAGTTGCCATTCTAATCGGCACAGGCATCGGAGTCACACCCTGGGCCTCAATTTTGAAGAACATCTGGCATCTACGCGCCGGACCAAACCCCCCACAACGTTTACGTCGTGTTGAATTCATCTGGATCTGCAAAGATACCAGCTCCTTTGAATGGTTTCAAGCGCTACTTTCTTCCCTCGAAGAACAATCCGCCATCCATGCCGACGCCCAGGGAGGTCCTGAATTCTTACGCATCCACACATACCTTACACAGCGTCTTGACCAGGACACAGCTGCAAATATCTATCTCAACACAGTAGGCACAGACCACGATCCTCTGACCGAACTCAAATCGCGCACAAATTACGGACGGCCTGACTTTGAGCGCTTATTCGGCGCGATGCGCGATGGCCTAGTCGATCGGACATATCTGTCCGGTCTGGAAAGGAATAGCAATAATTCTACCGCAGACGTAGGTATTTATTTTTGTGGACCGAATTCTGCGGCGGGACATATACGTCAAGCAGCTCAGGATGCGTCTACGAAGGATGTTAGATTTAAGTTCTGGAAGGAGCATTTCTGATCTGATGGGTTTTGTATATTCTGTTTTTTATATTCCTGTCTTTCTTTTTTTATTGGCCTCCCGAACTTCTTTGGATGTAGTTGAATATATTGCCTCATTATTCGTGTCCATCTACATAGCCGTAAACATATCGCGTAGACTCGTATAACATTTTTAAAATGTGTTTCAATATGGAGATGTATTTAGCTGCCTGAGCCTAGTCCGTCTCCCCATCATCCGGTAAATATATGACCTCCCTGTCCTTCCTACGCTTCCTATCATGATGCTGCCGTTCTTGCCGTCCACCTTCCCGACGACTGCGCTCTTTCTCTAGCCAACCTCTCTCCGCCTCATCAAATACTTCATCGCCTATCTCGACATGAATACGAAGCTCCTTATCAACAAGCACATTGTAGATCTTGCGTTGCTCCCACCAAGCATCGAGCTCGTTCTTCGTCTTGTTCGTCTCCCAGAGATCCTGATTCTCGTTGAATGCGAGCATGAATATGCCTTTGAGCCAGGGACATGCTCTAATCGCCCGGTGGAAGACGCGTTGTGCGGCTGTCGCGTCTTTGGCACGGCGCAGTTCAAAGTATATGTATAGTTTCCAGAGGGATGGTGATGGAGATGATGATGATGAGACAGCACGTTCGAAGGCCGCGCGGCTGGAGTGCACTGTGGAGCCTGAGTATACCGGACGAGAAAGCTCTGTGAGGATATTAAGAAGGGACGTGGAAGTAACTGGATTTTGGTTGCTGTCTGTTGATCTTCCTGTTGACGCGGACGCTGCAGGTGTAAGGAAGACGCCGCGTATTCGCTCGTCAATTCGAAACCGAGATTCATTCCATGTAAATAAGGAGAGAAACATTGTGTTATGCGGGAACAGACTCGTGCTAGTGAGTAACATTTCGCGGATATCTGCAGGCCTGTAGGTGTGCTTGGTAGTTATGTGATGGAATAGGAGACGAGAGCGGTATTGATGTAGAACTTCTAATGTGGAGGACTTACTTCCCTCTGTAATGTGAGAAGAATGTGCAAGCCGATCGAAGGCGTTATTGTATACTTCAGTAGCAGAGGAGAGATCAAAAAATGCTGTTAAATAATGTAGTAGGGCGGTTACATCCATCCAGGCTGTGAAAGAGACCAGATCATGACGTGAAACCGCGTGATCAGCACACTCCCGGAGAAAACGTTCCGTTTTGAGTCGTTGTGTAGGAATGATGGAGAACGATCCTTGTTCCAAAGTCTTCAGGTCGATAACAAAGTCCGGGACCGATATGAGAACTTTGATAGCTGCATCTATTCTCCCTAAAACCATGTATTCCCAGACCCAACTGCGTATTATGGTGCCATATTCAAGCTTTTGAGTCTCTGATAAGCTTGCGGCCATGGACAATGTAGTGGCCCATACATGCGAAGCAGTGGAGAAATTGTCATTTCGAGTCTCCATTAACGCAAATGCATTGTAAAGTCGCAGACTAGATGGCCGCTTTTTGAGTAGGGATTTGGCATATTTTTTGCCCTCACTTGGATCCAAAGCAAATTCAACAGCTAATGTGCATTCGGCTAAGATATCATCTTGAGGAAATGTCCCAACCAAGAGCTTTAAAGACCGTCGAACCCATTCGGCGTCAATGATTGATTCTTCGTTTTTTATAATCTCTTTCCACGTTGCCAATGACTGAAACCAATTGCTGTCCGCAAACAGGGAATCGACTGAGTGTATCATGTTTTGTAAGGGGGCCATGTCAAAAACCAGTGGATGTTTGGCTCCCTCTGTCATTTCAGGATTTGAGTTAATCAGTCGAGTGATGTAAGAATCAGATAGATAGATGAGCTCAGTCCGCAAAAAAGCATCGTCCCCCGAAGTCACAATATCCCTCGTCGAGTATCGGAGCGAGTTCAACGGAGGCAGGAAGCAAAACTTCAGGAAACCGTCGACCAAGGTGTTTGTGTCTCTCCAGGTGGCGAAAAATGGTAGAAAAACTTCAATGTCAGACCCCAAAACCACGCGGTAAGGGTCATCATTCTCAACAATATCCAGCGTTCTCGCAGGCAAGCGAGCGCCACGGCTCAATCGCCTCTCTTCTACATTCCATGAAGAGAACAATGTCTCAGTCCGAATTTGTGTTTGGGCATCGGTCGTAGTAAATGCTTCAAGCTCAGGGCTTTTTCCACTACCCCAGCCTTTAGCACCCGGCTCTCCAATGCGCGCAACTTCTGACTCCCAAAACAAAGCAAACGAATTCATAAAATCATCTTTAGAGGAATTTGTAAGTTCTTTAGGGCGAAATAACGAAATTTCTAGCGCAGCTTGCCAAAGGCCAACAGCTAGCTCCGAAAACCCTGCTTCCCGCATAAACAAAGTCATTCGAAGGAACAGGTACATGTGTATTGTTTCTTTTTCTGCGTCGTTATCGCTAGATGCATTGAGTTTCATGCAATCGAGGTAGATGTCCTTGCATCGCTCAACAGTGAAGTCGAGAAAAGCGGTTTGTCGAAAGTCTATGTAACGCATCCAGAGGCTAATATAGCCAGAGTTATGCTTGAGAATAGTGTGCCACTGTTCACCTAGCCGCTTCGAGTCCCACAGATTGGTTCCTTCTTCCAAATAGCCTAAAAGCAAGCGGTATTTCTCAGGATGCTTTCCAACTTTCTTCAGCGCTTTATCATATAATGATAACTTGATATCTGCAAGACTGCGTTTTTCAGCTGCCGTCAGTTGTCGACGGCTATCCGACCCAGCCAAGAGAGTGTCTTGGTACTTGATCACCTCCATCCAAGCACCAATATCTGAGGGGTTATCTTCAGCGCGTCTCAAGAGCTCCAGATTCCTTTGGTTCGCCTCCCGATTCCATTTAACCGCACTGCCTTCTTCATTGCTGTCTGATTCTAACGACGCTTCCATGTCACTGGGAATATCCTGCTGCTCAGGCTTGGCTTTTCCGAGTATTGACCGATAGCCATACTTTTCTGCTTCACTGTCCGACACGTCATCTCCGCCTAATATCCTCTGCCTCTTCCGGCTACCATTATAATCGAGTGGAATGAAGTTTTTATGGGCGTCATCATTATCTGCGATGAGATCCTGGCGAATACGTAGGACTCTTCGTTCTTTCGCATCGGCGGCGGAAAGTATACTTCTGGTCTTGTGGCGTGTTCCATCAGCGATCGAACCGTCTGCGCGGACAAGCAGCGAGTCTTCACCATCGTAGGTGCGATCAATCTTGAACCGCGCAGGTAAGCCGAGGATTCTACCACGCCCCGCGCGACGATATTGAGGGATACTATAGCGATGTATGGTTCCGTATATCACATTATGAATGTCCCCTTTCCGATCAATTTTGTAGATGTCCTGGGGTTCCTCGTCGGGTTGCGGTGGCGCTGAAGGAGCGGCTCTAGGTGATTCTTTTTCTCTTCTAGAGCCATGCTTCAAGTGTCGGTCTCCTTGGCGAGAGCGGTGATGGTGATTGTGGCTGTGATGCCTGGACTTGTGTCGACTTCTCTCATCTCGACGTTGGGCTTCCTCGTCAACGTGACCAATGTTCACATCCTCGGTCGGCGGCGGGGGCTTCGCTTTGAAGCTGGCGAACTTGGGAACCTGCTTTGCCTCCTGCATTCAAGGAGATCGAAGGCACGCGGAAGTGGTTTTCAGCAGATCTTTGGCCGTGTGGTTGGATGTTCTGCCTGCTGATTCAAGCTTGAGAGTCGCGGTTGCCGACTTCGGCTAAAGTTGCTGTTGCCTCCGCTGCAACAGCTCCGCGGGCCCGGGAAAAATTTCCCTTCCGGCATAATAATTTTTTGCTCCTCCAAAACTATTCGAAGATTCAGACATTTTCATACAACTGCGTCCTCCCCCTGCCCTGCGCATTCCCCGCAAGCCCCTTTTTGTAGCGGGATGGGATTTTATCGCTGAAAAGGCGCGCTCATTCGATTTATCACCATGGCATCGTCCCTCACCGCGCAGTTGGCACAGATTGCCGCCAAGTCGACAAATGCTCTTGACCTGAAGGCGCAAAGGGCGGCGCATTCGAAGTCTCTAATTTTCGACACAAAAGTCGCCAAATCGCAGGACTTTGACACATTATATCAAATATGCAATGATGGATTCCAAGAATTGTGTCAGTTGGATGCACGATTCGCGGAATTCGAGCGAACGTTATTCAGCTTGCACAGCAAGACGGAGGATCGAAGAGAGATGACAGCAGCACAAAACAAAGACCTTGACGTTGTTTTGGAGTCCTTCATGGGCTTGGTTGGTGGGAAATTACAGTTGAGCCCAGCCGTCAAGGCATTGGAATGGCTTATAAGGCGATTTCGGTAAGAGTGTTGCTGGGCCTTGAAAGTAAGACTTAAAGCTAAGACCAATCACAGAGTACATGAGTACAATACTACTTTTCTCCTCCTTACCTTTCTTCCATACCATTCGCTGCCGATATTTCTCGACCTCTTAGACATTTTACCGGATGATCTCACCCCGACATTCAATGATCTTCGAGCATACAAGAAAAGTCGCGTCAATCCTCCCATGGAGGCCATAGTTCGTACGGCAGCAAAGAACACAGCCTTCTCAACCGCCTTCAACAATTATACTATTCAAGTCTCCAAACAGAACGCCCACTATCATGGCTTGCTGGCATTTTGGTCGGGTATAATGACGCAGGCATGTTCAGAGATGCTGAATTCAGCTCGCGCCGGCCGTCGAGACGTTGAAAAGAAGAACCACGAAGATATATTCATTCACTTTTTGCCTGTTCTCAATGATGGGTTCGCCATGAAGAAAGTTTCGGAGTTGGTCATTGGTTGTTACATGATCACCGTTGTATTTGCTACGAAAGCAGCTCTTACAGAACATGTCATTGACACTCTAATGACGGCTGTGTCTGGATCTTGTACTCAAGAAACCATTAACTCGGCAGTAGTCACTCTAGCAGTTCTAGCTGAGCAGAAAACAGACCCCTCACTTCCCAAGAAGGTTGTTCGCTCTGTTCTTAAACTTGACAAAAATATCGATCTTTTGGTCGACGTCGCCTCCCAACACAGAACTTCGAAACTTCTCTTGGGCTTGATTAGTGGCTGTCTTGCGGACCTGCAAAAAGGTGACTCGCAGCCACGCCTCGCTTTCATATTACAAACATTTCAGAGAGGATTATTGGATGAGGCTTCGAGTAAAGCTGCAATGAAGATGATTTTGCAAACTACCACCGATGCTCAACGAAGTGGTACTCTGTCTCTAAACGTGCAGACCGGAGTCTCTGATCTGGTCCAGGCGTTGAACGCATCTGATGTTCACAGGTCTCTTTTGCAAGCAGCGACTACCGAGGCAAATATGGACTTAGACAGCTTAGAGCATAGCTTACAGATTACCATCGGAACTCAGCCTGCTCTTCCAGCCGGTGAAGATGTTGAAATGACAGACATAGCAGAGGAGAAGGAAGTTGATACATTTGCTCCATTGATTGATTCTCTAGTCAAGGAGCCTTTGGTATCTTCTTCGTTTCTTTCTGCTCAGATCTCGCCTCTTTTCGAAAAGCTACTCGAGGCGTTCACACTTGCTGGAGACTCACCAGATAAGTTGAACAAGGTATGTGACTTACCAGCTCTTGGAAAGTCTCATTTAGATCAGAAGCCACAACACCAATTCCTGTCTTTCTTCGTGCGAATCTTTTCCGGGCCCTATGCAATTCGCACCCGGGTTTCTGCTTTGAAGACGATATCCACAGCTCTCGACGCAGCTCAGCCAGCACTTGATTTGCAAGCTTTGCTTCCTTACATAATTGCAGCATTCCTTGATCCGTCGCATGCCATTAGGAGTGAAGCTGCAAAGCTTCTCGGAACTCTCATCCAAATCCAACGCAAAGCTAAGCATGACGCTATCTCGACCACTCCATGGGCTCAAGAAAGCCTCTATGAAGGACAAAATTCAGTCAAGTCGGCATGGTTGTCGACTGCTGATGCATGGAAGATCACCGATCATGTATTACTCCCTAGCCTAGAGGGATACGTTCAGGATTCTCAACACATCATTTCTACGCTTAAAAAGGCACTCAAGAATTCAAGCTCCGACTCTGATAAAGATTCTAGCGCTGAGCTTAAGAAGTCTGAGAGACAAAGTCTTCTGCAATTTTTATGTTATCATATTATTGTGACGCCGCTTTTCCGAATCAAACTTCGCCTCCTCAAGATTGTTAATAGCGTGGATAAGATTGGTTCCTTGACACGAACTAAGCTATTAGCATCCTTCATTGATACATGCCGCACTCTTCCTGAATCACGACTTTCTCAGATTTGCGAAGAAGAGCAGCTTTCTTTGGCAGAATTGGAGCAAGAGATTGCTGCAGTTGTCAGCCCGAAGGAACGAGATGCTGAAAAGATTCTGATATCAAGCCTCGTGGAATCTGGAAAGAATCTCCGATCTACCTTCATGTCTGCTATTTTCACTCGCCTTGAACAAATCTGGAACAAACTGGAAGATGACAAACAAGACGCTGCTGCACAACAAATATTCGACCTCTCATTCAAGGGCACAGAATCCATGCAAAGTTTTGCAAAAGAAACTCTTCGCAATGTTTCCCTTCCAGAATCAATTCTTGTTAGTTTTCTTGACATGATACCAGAGCTTGTCTCTACTTTCGAGAATCACAGTCCCTCGCCGAAGAGACGACGCACAAATAAGAATAATGCTGTTGCTGCCATATCTGACCCAGCTGGATTGGATGAAGTAATGGGCAAAGTTACCTTCATCCTTGAACTTGTAGATAGTTCTACACCTGAGAACCATCCCAGTCTTGCTGCTGGCCTCTTCAAGTCTCTGGCTGCTCTGCACCATCTAAAGGCTAGAATCCAGTCAACTCTGGGCTATCTTCTCAGTCTTGCTCTCGGCAGTTTGTTGGCCATTGTTAATAAAGCCAAGACATTACCGAAACCGTCTTTTGATACATCTGCCATCAGAACCGACCTGGTTGTAGATTGCGTGCGAAGCTCGCAAAGCCCACAAGTGCAAAATACCGCTTTGCTCTTAGTCTCTGGTCTCGCTGTGATTGCGCCTGAGCAGGTACTTCACAGCGTCATGCCGATCTTCACGTTCATGAGCTCTAGCGTTTTGAAGAAGGACGACGATTATTCGGTTATGGTAATCGACCAGACAATTGATCAGGTTGTTCCAGTCCTTGTTCAGTCGCTACGCAACCAAAAGCGTGACGTCGTCGCTGGAACTTCTGAATTGCTTCTCAGCTTTACGGCCGCCTTTGAGCATATTCCGTCGCATCGCAGACAGCGTCTATTCCAGGCATTGGTCACGAAACTGGGAGCTCAGGACTTCCTGTTCGCTGTCCTGGCTATGCTCGCTAACTTTCATGGTCTCGACAAGAACGTATCTGTCTTGATGACTCATCTTGTTTCTGGTCTCGATCCGGAAGTTCAGCTCGTTACATATCAGAAGTACCTGAACCTGATCAGCGACAGTCTGAAGCCGAAACCTGGTATTTCTCAGATACTCTTGGGTGTTGGCAACGAGGGCGCGAAGGACAAGCACATTATTGCAGAAAGTCTACTGCGGTCCCTCTCTTACTGCTTGAAACATTCTAGCTTGAAAACACAGCTGGCTACCGTCTTCAGTTCCGCTGCCGAGGACACGCTGGCTAGAGTTGGAACTCTCTTCTCACAGATTCTCGAACAGGTCTTAACAATGGTAGATACAGTACAAGATATCAAGCCTCTCAGCAATGCATGCAACGAGACTCTCGGGTCTGTACTGGGTGTTCTGTCTCTTGTTGACCTTCTCGACACTATCGAGCAGCTATTGCAAAGACCTAATCCAGACCTCCGACGCAAGGTTCTTCGACTACTGGAGAACCGCCTTCGCCAAACTCCAGAGCGCCATGGTGCGTCGCAAAACAGGGTTCTGGAATTTGTTGCCTTCCTCAACCAGGTCGTCGAATCGTCGGATGACGCACTACTCAAACACGCTGCTGTTGCTTGCATAGATCGCATCGCTGAGAAGTATGGCCGAAAGGATCCTGAGAAGATCTTACCGGCCGCTATGGTCATAGCCAGTGATTCGTGCCTTGGCCAGGATGACAACAAAATCCGTGTCATAGGTTTGCTATGTCTCGCATCAATGACAGAAGTTCTTGGCGAGGGGATTATCCCAGCACTGCCAGAGACATTGAAAAAATCTCTCGCCCTTTTGGAGAGCAGCTTGCAAGGCGGTACTGTCAACGAGCAACTTCACAATGCAGTCTTCTCTCTGCTGGCTGCTCTTCTTGTCCAGGTTCCATTTATGTTATCGGGTAAAACCCTTGACACGATACTTCAGCTTTCGTTCAAATCTGCAGAGCTCGAACTATCCGACGAAGGCGAGGAAGCGCGACGAGATGCGTTGAAGCTAATCGCAAAGAAAGTCGATGTCAAGGAATCCTTTGGTGCCGTCGAGAGAAATTGGACTGCAGCCACCAGCTCGGGCCCAATTGCTACGAAGGAAGCACTCGACATTGTGAGCGTTGCAATTGAGAAGCATCCCAAATCTGCCACGGTCAAGAACGTCGGCGTTCTTTCGAAGTTGCTATACCGCGCTTTTGATCTTCGCCGAGAACAACAATCTGCTGTGACGAAGTCCCAATTTGAGGAAACAGAGCTTCAGGAAATTGAAGATATCGTCAATGGAGTTACCATTAAGATGATATTCAAATTAAATGACACTGTTTTCCGTCCGCTGTTCATGGAGTTGGTGGAATGGGCAACCAATGGTGTTTCCAAGAGTGATACCCAAGGAAGAGTTCTTCGATTGACTTCCTTCTATAAGTTCCTGCAGAGCTTCTTCGGAACGCTCAGATCGATCGTGACTAGCTATGCCAGTTACATCATTGAGAATGTGATTGAAGTTCTCGAATTTTCCAGGCCGAATGTGAAGGAGTCAAAGGATCTGTGGTTGGCAGCTGTAAAAACGCTCAATGCTGCATTTGAGCATGATCAAGATGGTAAGTAGATCGCTTACTCTAACCACATAAACCCTCCTTTTATTGTTGTCCTTTCGCTAATACATAATAAAGCATTCTGGCAATCCCCGTCCCATCTCAGCGGCATTTCCAAAGCACTCATCTCTCAACTCGCTCGGGCAACCAACTCTTCCACAGCAACCATCATTATCGACGAAGTAGTACCGGCTATCTCCGAGCTTGCAATTGCGACTGATTCTCCAGACAACTACAAAGAAATGAACACTGCCATAATGAAGTATCTTCGTCCCTCAACCAGCGCCGTCGCAGATGGAGGTGACAGTGCGCATACTCGACTCGCCGCACTAAAGACCGAACAGGCGTTGACAGAGCGATTGGGCGAGGAATGGCTCACTCTTTTGCCCGAGATGTTGCCATATATCAGCGAGTTGATGGAGGATGAAGATGAGACGGTGGAGAGAGAGACGAGGAAGTGGGTGAAGGGTATTGAGGATATACTTGGGGAAAAGCTAGACGATATGTTGACGTAGATTTTGAATGAATGATTGATGTTGTTCTTTTTTTTCTTTTTGTTCATCGTTGACATTTTTGAGATTGATATAATCCGCATTTTGGGCGTTTCTTGGTTTACGTTCATTTTCACCTCGATGTTTTGTCAAATGTTTCAATTAGATGCAAATCAGACTTCCAGCAAAATCAGTTTATATATATCTATGCAAATACCTAGGTGCACTCTCGATTTGATAAGTAGTTTAACTTGCCTATCCCTACTGCTGCTGCCCATGCCGAAAAAGGAAAGACCATGCTCACGTGTTTTTCATAGCCCTAATTGGTGGATACAAATACCTATACAAGACGAAGATAAAGATTTTAGAGCTAGTAGATTGGTTCATATCAAAGCATCTAGGTTCTAGACTAGATAAAATGTGCTAGGCACTGACTATGGTGATGTTATTGCATAAATATATATCTGTACTATTATTTTATTATCATTAACGAAGATATTCAAGTGATGGGACAAGTGAAATAGTAGGTATATGAGCTCCATGCTCGGCTGTAGCAATATAAAAGAAACAAAAAAAGGAAAGGAAGAAAATAAAATAACCTTGGAAGAGAAACAACTGCGTTGTGATGTCAACTTTTCAAGCATTTCTTGTCGTCATAATCATCCTAAACACGAGGTGGTATATATGAACATTGGTTACTTTTTATATGCAATGCAAAATGCCAAAATGATATAAGCAGTATTAGTAATAGTATTAATAAAGCGCTCGTATCGCCCACGCAGGCGACAGAGGATCGGACGTCCTCACTCTCGACGGCGGCACTGCCGAGTACTCTGGAGGGGCATTCTCGCTATCCAGTAGTAGCACTGAGTTGGACGGCGAGAAGGAGGAGGAGGATGACGAGGACGAGGAGTAGACATCAGCACTGGAGTCAGTCAGAAGCTGATATCGATCTAGATAATCATTCTCGCTCGGCGGCGTAATGTTTCGTGGCCGGTAGTATTCGTCCTCAATCTGTGTTTCTGGAAGCATCATCGGGGTTGAAATATCTTCGTCAGGAGAAATGCCATTGCCAGGCGCGGAGGTGATTTGGATGGGAATATTAAGTGAAATTCTGGGAGTGAGAGGTTTGGATTGGTATGTCAATGACAAGTCCAGTGAGTATATGCGAGACACTAAGCAGGTATGGAACGTGGGCACGAATGCTTTGTTTGTGGGAAGCGAGACGGGGATGAGGATGGAGGCAGTGTAGAATGATTTTCCCGAGTATGAGGGCGAAGCTAGCTGGTATATAGAACTGTCGTCCGATCCATTCGTTTCAAGCGAGTTTCGCGCTGAATCGTTGGGTCCTGTCCCATCATACTTCTTCCAGGGGGCGGATGCTACGCATAGCGACGAGAGCCCAAGCGTCTCGGTGTAGACGGTGCAATGGCTCTGGTTCATTTTGTCGTATACCGTAGTGATGTTTTTGGAAGGGAAACTCGTCCAGGGCTTCACGGAAGCGTATGTTACGACTTTCAGCCTGGTGAGTAGCGACTTGAGCCGCGGTGGCTGCTCGTCGTCATTTTCTGGATCAAATCGCACGTGTAGTTTGACATAACTACTGCTAACCTCCCCTGCGTCGTTCGCTGTACCTCGTGCCGGAAGTTGTAGAGGTCTCGGCTGGGCTGCGGTGACCACCAGACGGCCGGTTTTGCCTCCAAGCAGCGTCTTGCGAACGTGCTTTTCTCGACGGGTGCGATAGTCAGCGTTGCAATTGCATTCGATCTCCAGTGGTGGCTGCTCGATAGTCGCCGGAATGATGCGCACCTTCTTGCCAATTGAGGACAATAGGTAGAGAGGTTTGTCGCCGGCGGTTGTTGCAGTCGTTGTGTTTCGCTGCACGACCGAGGCTTTGATCTTATAGCCAATTTCGCTCATGATAGGAGCCATATCGTCGAGTAGAGCCTTTCCACTGTCACAGACCATTGCATCTCCAAAACTCGGTGGCAGCTGCATATGAGCCGCCTTGACGTGCGGGTTGTTGGTGAAATGGCTGCAGGATTGGGGCAGCAAGCGGTCGGGGACAACGAACGTGAAAGGGAATTTGTACAGCTGTTGAGACTTGAATTCTCGTGGCTCGGGGTAAGCAGACTGTTCGATAGGCTGGCGCAGCCTGAGGAAACATTGGGAAGCGTTTATATTATTTGAAACATGGGCCATTGGAGACTGTCTCATGAGAGTGGTTTTTGTCATGCCTGTTACAAAATGAGCGTAAGGTCTACCGAAGCCGTAATGCCAGAGCCAAAACGAACCTTCAAAACAGATTACGACATGGTCGAACTGGACGTCTTTCTCCGCGCGAATGACAACCTCTCCTTCAATTTTGTCAAACGTAGTATACGAAGGAACAGATCCCTGGACCTGGCCGTTGATGTTGATGTCGACGTTGAGGCGCGAGAGCCTCCGAGAAAGGAAGTCCATTTGCGGTGTCTAATAAAGAAGGAGAAGACTAGATATTCTCGCCAAATGCATGTGATAATAGCACTAGCTTGTCGGTGCAAGGCCAATTACACAAATTGAACGAGTATACGGGAATGTAGAAGGACTGATCTAGTTCGTCGGAATGCAATTGCATATTTATAAGAAGCTGTCAACAAAAGAAAGAGGTGGACAAAGTCAAACCTGAGTCATCCATCTGGACCCTGGGAACGAGCCTAAAGCCATAATAGTAAGTACAGCCATCATTAGGTGCAATTCCGTGAAAAGCAACTAACTAGTTGCGCTGTCTATTCCGTATGCTCTCCGTACTATTGACTGGATGCAGGTGGAGAGCAGCGAATCAGACAAGTCCGCCCTGTGACAAAACTATCTCTATATACATACTTTATTACTATCTTACTCGAATCTGACAGGCTGCAGGGATTAATAATCAGAATTTGCTGAGAGATTTTACTAAGCCGGCCATCTGCACGGAATAGAAGCGATGGAAGCATATATTATCGGCCCAATCAGAGCTATTTGCGCCGTGACTCACTGTTCTAGATGCCATGTTTTAACTTCTGGCTGCTCGGCATGGATGTGGTTTCTTTGCATTTACCTTGGATTACATTCCGTGCGTTACTCCGCGGGCAGAGTTTAAGACTATGGGGCTAGCTGCCATAGGGCGTGCACTCGGCTTTCTGTGGAGTAACTGTCCATAATTGATCTCGGAGCGTCAAGTTGATATGTATTGCGTCTGTCGTCATATGTCATTTTCTTTTGAGTCTTTTCTGTCGCTCCATTGAGTCATAATGTTGGACTAGCCAACAGTTAACTACCTGGTGATTAGGGTTCAGGGAAATAACCCTAAAGAAGCCGCAGCACAACAAATCCATCCCTTTTGTCCTTCCTACGGTTCCCCCCCCCCCTTTTTTTTTCCCCCTCTTTTTTTCCCCTCTTTACTAAACTACCTTAGTATGATACTTAGATTATACTTAGATTATGACTTATGATCTGATATATCATTCTGTTCAGCGTTGGCGTCTGCTGGATGAGGTTTAGTCGATGTTAACATACGCGCCGGCCAATCGCAGCGCAGCGCTAACTCCACTCCCTTTCTAATATATGCGCCTGTTCAGACTTCACTGCTCTTATGCCTACAAGTAGAGAGTCCTCCAGATACACGATGCCTGGCGATGATATAAAACCCAGGAAGCCCCGCAAGGGTGCGCGGGGAGTGCGCAAAGTCAAAACAGGCTGTCTGACATGCAAGTACGTACGTCTCTCAATTTCTTTCTCTACAGCTAGGCTTCGAGCTTGCTTACGGCAAGTTCTCAGAATCAGACACAAAAAGTGCGACGAGAAGATACCTTCGTGCACGCCATGCATGGCTACTGGACGAAAATGTGATTTTGAGTCGCTGGTTTCCCAGTCCCTCCTGCAACCATCCCTCAAACCCAATCACCTCGGCATGCTCTTGCTCAGCACCAGCGAAGATTCCGCTCATTTCGGCTACTTTATCAACGTCTGCGCCAAAGATTTCTCGCTCTTCTTTGAGTCTCCAGTCTGGGAGAGTATCGTCCTGCAAGCTGCGTGCACAGAGCCCTGCATACGGCACGCTGCGCTCGCAATTGGTGCCATGAGCAGGAATAATTACGACCGGCACACCCAATCATCAGAGCCAGAAGCACGAGAATATTCAATGAAACAGTATAATCTTGCTCTTCGGGCGCTCAGTCATGCTCTTGACCAAGGAACTGGACGCTCGGAGCTGGCTGCCTTGGGGAGTATTACGTTTATTGCGTTTGAGGTTCTTTGGGGACAGGATATGAGAGTAAAGATGCATATTGATGCTGCTGTTGCGATTGTCACGGCTAGGATGGGTCGTCTCAGAGATAGTAAAAGTAGCAGTAATAGTGCCGAGGTGGGATATCTTGATAGTGCTTTATCTCAACTGGGCGCGCAGTTTTCGTCATTTAGTACACACAGTGAGAATTGGAACGGAGAAGGGGGAATGGCACGCAATGCAAAACTATGAATGGTATACTCCAAGTCTGGTAGTTATTGGCTGGGGCGTAACTTAGCATTTACAAGATACGCTCTAGCCAATCATATTAGTGAGCTACCTAGGTGTCAGGCTTCAGAAATGCTTGTCTGTATAAAAAGTTATAAATAAGCCTTCATTTCCGTTCTTATTCTCCAATTTGAAATCTCTTATCAATATCAAAATGCCTTCTATTAAACCCTTCAAAATCTCCGTCCCGGAGCACAAAATCCAGCGTCTGCAGCAAAAACTAGCCCTAACCGACCTCCCCTCCGAGGGCCCCGATGCTCTCCACCCCTGGTCTCGCGGTGTCCCTCTCTCAGAAATCAAGCGCCTAGCTTCTCACTGGCAGCACAATTTTGACTGGCGCGCAGTCGAAGCCAAGCTCAACCGGGACCTCCCACAATGCACCGCCAACATCGAGGTTGACGGCTTCGGCCATTACGATATCCATCTCGTTCACCAGCGCAGTCAAGTCGGCGCTGCGATCCCGCTTCTCTTCCTCCATGGCTGGCCGTCAAGCTTCCTGGAAGTTGTGAACATGCTGCCTCTGCTGGTTGACGGGGGCGTAGACGGGCCTGCATTTCACGTTGTTGCGCCGAGCTTGATTGATTTTGGGTTTTCGTCTGCTAGCAATAAGGTATCCTTCTCTTACTGTTAAGATCCATGATGGGCTAATTGGGATGAAGCAAGGATTCAACATCGAGCAGCATGCAGAAGCATACCACAAACTGATGCTCGCTCTCGGATACAACGAATACGGTAAACCTCTCTCTCTCTCCTCTCTTCACCACCAAGGCGAACTCATTCACCTTCTAACTCTTCAATAGTCATCCAAGCAGGCGACATCGGCTACCTCGTCACGCGCTCCATAGCCCTAAAATACGGCCCCCGACACTGCAAAGCATACCATCTCAACAACGCCGCACCCGCCGAACCGACCGCCACCACACACCCTGATATTCACGCCAGAATCAAAAACACGCCTCCAACCGTCTCGGACCTGGCCGGTCTCGCACGCACGCAGGAATTCTCCACGCACGGAAACGCCTACTATCTCCTACAATCCAGCAAGCCGCAAACACTCGCGTACAGCCTCACCGACAGCCCCGTCGGGCTCCTATCATGGATCTACGAGAAACTCATTGCGTGGAGCGACGGCTACGCCTGGACGGACGAGCAGGTCCTGACGTGGGTTAGCATCTACTATTTCTCTAGGGCGGGTGCGACGGCGTGTCTGAGTCTGTTCTGGGAAAATGAGCATCGCGTGCCGACTGCGTTTGAGATGGCCAAGGAGTGGAGTGATGTGCCGCTCGCGGTGGCGAGGTTTGAGAAGGATCTGATTCTGTTGCCGAGGGCGTGGAATGCCACTCTGGGGCCTGTGGTGTTGGAGAGTGAGTATGCGCATGGGGGACATTTTGCGGCGTGGGAATGTCCCGAGGCTGTTGTTGAGGATCTGAGGAGGATGTTTGGCAGGGAGGAGGGGAGGTTGTATGGGTGTGTTGAGGGACATGATGGCTATCTCTTTTCTGAAGTTCTTCGAATTTGTTCGTAACTACCTAACTAAGTACACAGACGAAAGAACCACCGAAACCAATACATACCCAAACAGACTTTTATATCCCTTGTTGTATGTTGAATCGTATTTACAGAAGATAAAAAAAAGAAATACCCTGTCTCGGCTGACTGACGCTTAGGCCTTCAATAAGAAGTATGTCGCATCTCATAGGTTCAAATGCACGCTATTTCTGCAAAGTAACAATTCGCGCAAACGCATGCATATTGCATAATCATGATAAGACACTGATAATATGAGGGGGAAATGTGGAACCAAGATCTAAGGGTATAAAAAGCTTCGCTGAATCGTGCCGGAAAAAGAAAATTCGTCAAAGAAAAGTTCATATGGCAAACATGATCGGGTGAATTTTGTTGATATTGACAATTTATTTGGGGATAGTAGGCACACGCGGCCATCGAGAAATAAACTCAACATCGTCGAGAGCGCCCTTGCTCTGGTTGCGCACGTACTGAGTGCTCGGGTCAATGCGAGGCTCGTAGTCCCAGATAGTGGGCACACCCTTGATCAGAGCTGAGTAGACCAAGCGGCGACGACGCTGAGATCGGACAACATCCTCATGGATGGCCTGCAAATTCCAACGAGTGTGGATCTCTTCGAGAAAATGTGCATAAACCGTTTTTGGGTCGTTGTCTTCAGGGAGAGCAAGTGCCAGTGTCGGACTCGGGGTGCGCGGAGGGGTTGGCACCACCTGTGCTGGAATCCTAGGGAAGAAAGACTTCTCGGTACTGACAAAGCTGACAGCTCCCGGTGCCTCGGTGTCGGCTGGGGTGGGAAGTCCAGTCTCTCCCTTGAGCTTTGAGTCCTTGCTCTTCGGTACTGGAATGGACAGTCCTGCAATCAAGTTGGTGGTCTCCAGAGGATCCGCTTCAATGTCATACAGCATTGGCGGGTCAATCAAGGAGTAGATGAATTTCCACTTCCCACGACGAATCATGATCACCGGCGTCTGTGAGCCCTCAGCCATGTACTCTCCAAAAACGGTGTCAGTCTTTACGCCTTCACCACCAGTGATGTATGGGAGCAGGGAGACACCGTCCATGGGCAGACTAGGCTCTAGTTTGCTTCCAACAAAATCGACAAACGTGGGCAGAATGTCCATGGTCGATACATTCTCCTTGACGCGCTTAGGGGCGAACCGCTTGGGAGAGTGAACAATGAACGGCACACGGGCTGAGTTCTCGTACCAGACCATCTTGTACCACAGACCACGCTCACCAAGCATGTCGCCGTGGTCACCAGTAAAGACAATGATTGTGTCGTCAGTCAGACCGCAGTTGTCGAGTGCCTTCAACAGCTTTCCAATGTTCGTATCCACATATGTACATGCCCCGTAATATGCGCGGCGGGCGGCCTTGATGCGCTCTTCAGGGATCTCTTTGCCCCACAGATCAATACATTTCAAGACACGCTGCGAATGAGGATCCTGTTGGTCGTGGGGGATGGCAGACGTTTTGGGCAGAGGGATGTCGACGTCCTCATACAGATCCCAGAATTCTTTGGTCATGGCATAAGGGTCGTGAGGGTGAGTCATGGAAACAGTCAAACAGAAAGGCTGATTACCGCGATGGCGCACATGGTCGTACAAATACTGAGTCGACTTGTAGATGACCTCCTCGTCATAGTCGAGTTGGTTGGTGCGCACGACAGGCCCAGCATCTATGACTGAAGACATGTTGTGATAGTAATCTGGACGCACCTCCTACACGAACTCGTCAGTTGCCGTTGACCTTTTCTCAAATGAGAAGGGAAACATACCGGTTCGTCCCAGTTCACTGACCAGCCATAGTCTCCCGGATAGATATCGCTGGTCAAGCGTTGCTCATAGCCATGCAACTGATCCGGGCCGCAGAAGTGCATCTTCCCAGCCAGCGCAGTGTGGTAACCTTCGCGGCGCAGGTAGTGAGCGTATGTGGGAACATCCGCGGGCAAGTCGGCGGCATTGTCATAAGCGCCAATCTTGGATGGCAGCTGGCCAGTGACCATGACAAAACGCGAGGGCGCACAGAGAGGCGAGTTACAGTAGGCACTGTCGAAAGTCACGCCTTCTCTGGCCAGACGGTCGAGGTTGGGGGTCTTAATAGGGGAGTTGGGGTCGTGGATGGACAACAGCGGCGCGGCCATCTGGTCGGCCATGATGTAGAGAATGTTTGGCCTCTTCTCCGCCATGCTTGCCGCCGATGTCTTCGGTCCCGGGGTTTTTTCTTTTGTATTTTTTATTTCTGAAGTTGTCTAGGAGTCCCCGTGTTCCGGCGGGGCCCGACGAAGGGGGTTCTTATCAAATAAACAGTATTCACAAGAGTTAAGAAAAGAGGTACGTTTGTTCCTGCCAGATCGCGTCCAGCTGATTGAAGAAATTACAGTAGAGGACGAAGAGAGAAGCAGTGAGAGGAGGAGGATATTGAGAGGGAGAGGGAGAGAAAGAAGAAAGAGCGGCGGCTTTTTTTAAAGGAGGCTTTTGATTTAACCTTTCCCGGGGAAGGAGGTGTGGCTCGCCGTATCGATACGGTCTTGATACGCGTACGGTACCAGGACGGCTGGTATTAATACGTGCGGTGCCCACGGGAGGAGCGCATAATTACACGTCACAGCACAGCGGTACCCGTACCACACCGGCGATACGCGGGACTCCGTAAGCGCGGCCGAAGGAGCGAAGGAAGTCATTATTCCAAGGGGCGATGTCGTGCGATGGTGTGATTGTGGATTGTGGGGTTAGTCATCCTCACGCCATTTCAGTTTATGACACAGTATGCACAATACGATGAACGATGCACCCGTCTGGATGGCGCTCCCTGATCGAGCAGGAGAATCCTCGCCAGCAAAGAGCGGTATCGCGTGACCGTAATTTAGCAGCCTCTTATCAACAACGCAGCAAAAATCTTCATATCATAACCCCACATACGCTAGCAAACACAGGCACATAGAAACTGCTGGAAAGAGAGAGGAAAGCCCGGCTTGATAAGAGCGGCCCACATGCCCAGTTCATTCTGGAACCACGAGCTAATTCGCACAAAGTACCTAATCCTCTCCAACGTCGAGTCTACTGGAATTTTATATACATCCAGCCAATCTGCGCGCCGATCGCAGTCCAGCAACGAACGGCGCGACAAAGACAGCCAATCAGCGTGCCGCGCTGATGCCGACTTACGCGGTTATCGCTGCCCCACTTATGCGCGCCCCCCACCCGCTCTCCCAAAAGAGGCAATCTGTCTCGCACGCAATCGTCGGCGCTGCTGATTGGCCGCGGGCCTTGGCTGCCTTGGGCAAATTAGGCAAACTCATCCATGTGGATTATTTCATGCTGATGACTGATCTCTCTCTGCCACCGGAAGTCTGCTGCGAGGCAAGTCATGCTATACTTGTCACAATGAAAGACTCAATACTATTACATCTTATATTGGCATTACTTGTGATTCGTGCACATGGTGGAAGATATTGCAACGACTCGCCAAACGGCCAAGTCTGAACAAACGCCCTGCTGTATGTATTATGTATTCGCTTTGGGTAAGGCTTCAAACAGAAAAACAGATCGATAGTATGCCTGTTTCTTTCGAGTATCCGACTACCTCGGTCAGTCCTTTTTGACCGCACTGTAGCACAACCGTCAGTGTCAACCCATATCATTCGCAGATGAAGAATCCCATACCTGTATATCCTGCGAATGAATGCATACGCTGTCAGAAACCCTACTGTCCCAGTAAGCAGCCCGTAAACGGCGCATGCAAGGAAGCTATAGCTGAAGAACAGCAAGCTCGACACAAATCCGCTGATGTGCAGCTTGAACATATAGTACCATATACAGTAGGCAAACACCCAGAAAGCACTGCTGCCTCCGGTCAAGAAGCTCTGCCACCACCAGTGATAGTTCTATCGAATGTTAGTCACGAAACTGACGTTCACAAATGATAATCGACATGCATGCATGTCTTACCTCGGCGCATAGCTGGTTGTACGTTGCGATGATAGTCACCTCGCTCACTGTGACGATCAAGATGGTGCTCACCACGCTCAGGAAACCGAACACGTAGTAATAACCACTCTTGTCCTGCCACAGGTTTTTGAAGACAAAGAGAAGTTCAATGAAAAGCACGGCGAAGGGAACCAAGCCAGTCAGAATGATGCCGTTGACCCCCCGCAGATACCATGGCTGCCGTGGGATTTGTCGCGGGATCGACGAAGTCTTGGTCGGATGTTGCCACGGCTCTGCGCGTACATATCCGAACCAACTGCCAATATATACCAACGGCACTTGGACTAGCAGCCAGAGAGCTACGAGTCCCACCAATGTGCCAAATGGCAGAGCTGTGCTCGAAGCCTGGGCCCAGACAAACAGGTTCAGGACAAAGATTAGGCAGAAAGTCAGCCCAGGGAAAAGCGAAGCCGTCTGCAGCTAAAGTTAGCATTTCCATATCAGCTCTGGGACGTGCGTGGGTAAACCTACGAGAATGGTGTTCTTTCGCCAGTTCTGTCCCCCCAGTGTCTTATACAGTCTGCCGGAAAAGTACCCAGAGAATAGACCAGCAAAAACAAAGAGGCCAAATCCGACAGTAACAAACCCGCCTCGAAAGCTGGGGTTCAGTACACCTAAGCAACTGAGAATGAGGAGACCAGCTGCAACGAATAGCAACTGTGTGCCCGATCCTACCAAAGGCGCGAGCAGTCCACTATGCGCCGGAAGACGGAAAATATCCGCATGGACTAACTTCCATCCAGCGACGTCCTCTAGATCTTCATCCGACAGATGATGCGCCTCATCGTCTTTCTGACTCAAAAGGCCTTCACCACGTTCCGTGTCTTCTTTGCTGGGTGACTTGGATCTAGACTTATTCTTGCCCTCTTCCAATGTTGTGTCGCCGCGTCCCTTTGCATTGCCGTGGACAGTCCGTCCCCAGATGACAATCACAGTGACGCCAAGCACGCCGGAAATCGTGAGCGAATTGATGATCGCAAGCCAGTGAGTCATTGAGCTGTCGACCTGATCAGTGAAAAACAAGTCCCAGCGGTTCGACCACTCTATTGACGATTCCTCGCGAAAGTAAACAGAGTACGTGTATGGGATTTCCAACTTGGCGCCATCGTTTGCGTCCTCACCACGCTGCGGTATGTATGATGAATCGCTATATAATTCCTCAAGCTTGCTATTATTCGGGGCGATAAAGAGCTCCAAATGCGAGTTTTCTGCATGCACATCTATCGGGCATCCCTCTTCATCCCGGTTTTCATATCCAATACTCTTGGGGTAGACTTCAAAGCCGACAATCACGCTTTTCCCCTCATCGCCTGCCTTGCCCGGTGCCTTGCGCCAGCGGATAACGATCGTGAAATGATTGTGGATATAGAAACGAGATTGGCCGTCCGACGGGGAAAAGTCCTGGTATCCTAGCTTGAATCCACTCGAGTAATACTTTCGACTGCGATCGACGGTGACGAAACTGGTGGCTGCAGGAAGATTATCAACAATCCACTCGGCCACATAGCCATCCTTTATCAGTTGACGGCCCCATTTAACATCCGCGCGACTAACTTCGCGCGTGCACAGTGCGCGACAACCGACATCTTGTTTCATTACCAATTCATAATCCGAGGTCATGATACGATCGCCTCGAAGAATCTCACCCAGGTTCAGGGAGACACTGTGTCCGGACCCGAAGGGGGAGTTGCCATGTTTTTGACCCGTCGGCGGACAAACGAAGGGGAGGTCGAAGTAGGCGTACTGCAACTGGGTATGATCCGAGAAAATCTTGTTAACTAACAACGGAATAGGTTCCTTGTCCTCGTAGCTGATAACAGAGTAACCTGAGAAGGGGGAAAAAAAAGGGCAAGTCAGCACAAAACGCAGCAGAACAACACTCATAGATAGACACCGACTGACCAGGAATGTAGAACGAATGACAAATAGACACAAGCAGAAGCCACGGGAACCACCGCCAGCTCTGGCCAGATATAATAGGCTTCATTTTCAGCAGGATTCAAACAGGGACCTCTGCCGACCGGGACGTTGCTCCATCAACCGGTGGATGGATGCGAACTAGCAGATAACGAATGGAATCGGCACGGAGTACCTCTGAAACGACGCGAGGATAGAATATGAGGTTCAGACACAGCGAGATCTTCAGCGTGACAGATGATTTACCATCGATCAAGATGATCTGTCGGCATCTTCGGCTTTGAAAGTTGGCAGTTGATGTGTTTAGTGTTAGCCTGTTAGGTTAGCTAACTAAGGATCAGGGATCTGCCTCGGAGTGGAGGCATTCCGGCTCCGCCAGTCCAATTACGGTTAGCGCAGGTATGTATAACTATGCATGAGTTTACGAGAATTCATGACTCGGTTTATAATTGAAAAGCCGCTCATCAACCACGCGTAAAGTCATTATACAGCAGCTCTGGACACACAAAGTTATGCACATAAAAAAAATGGAATAAGGAATCGTTGAAGCTGTGGATGGCCGTCAAGTAATCTCGCTGCCCAAGGGGAGAATAAAGACGTGGAGTGAATATGCTGTTACAAATGATTAACCATTCAGGAGAAAATCAATAGCCCCTTGCACACTACCGCCGCTTCTTCGCAAGGCTTGGATGTTCCGGTCGAAATCATAGAACCCCATGTCGTTCAGTTGACGCAACTGTTCGGCATAACGCTCTTCAGGAGGTCGGTTGTCTTGTTGGGCAGCTGGCGCGCCTCCGAACAAGGATGCCCACGGATTTTCTGAACCGGCTGCGTTTTGACCGCCGCCCATCGCTTGCATGAAATTCGACAACAATGCAGGATCCCGCATGAATGGGTTGTTTTGTGGGTTAAACATGTTATTGAAGTTAGCCGCCTGTGAGCCTGGTGCAGCACCGCCTGTGCCGGCCTGGCCGGGGGGGAACCCTCCAAACAACGCAGGATTAAACAGAGCAGCAAATGGGCTCTGGTTTTGTTGGGTCTGCGCAGTTGAATCTGTGGTAGCCTGTCCAGTGGCCGTGGTAGATTCAGTGGAAGTAGTAGGGGTAGTCGGTTGTGCGGTTGTTGAAGGGGTGGTTGCCGGCTGCTGGAGAGGATTCATCCCAAAAAGACTGGCGAAAGGATTGCCAGCAAAGGGATTGGCAGGCACAGCTTCGTTTGAACCTGGCTGTTGCTGGCCACGGTTTTCATCTGGCGTAGTGTTGGTGACGCCAGGCGCAGGGAATGCTGTGTTTCCAGCTCCCCCAAAGCCCATCCCACCAAAGGCTCGTTGCATTTGTGCCATTTGGCGAATCGCCGCGGGATCAGTGAGCATCCTTCGGAATTCTGGGCTTTGCATCATTTGCCGAACGCCTGGGCCCATCTCTCGCAACATTGGGTTTTGTTGTATCATCATATCAATAAGAGCAGGGTTTTGGAGCGCCTCGTTCATCGTAGCCTGTACTTGGGGGTTCTCGAGCATATTGAGCATCGCGTCTGGATCGGGAGGAGGGCCCATCTGGACATTGTCAGCCAAAGTATCTGTTACACAGTAGATTTTTCCTACTTACCCCACCATCTGGACCAAACATTCCAGCCCCTGGGAGTTGCGCGAAGCCAGCATATCGTGCTCCTGTTAGCCCGGCTAGAGGGTTGTTGCCAGTGCCAGCAGCAATGTTCGTAGGAACTCCAGGCACGGATGGAGTAGCTGTTGTACCTGCAGGACTAGCTGCAGCCTGAGGCGGTGGGTTCTGTCGCTGATTGCTGGCTGCGCTCTTAACTAAGTGAATGGTATGCCCGTCCTTGATTTTGTAGGAGGCGAGAGTCTCGTTATCTTTGAGCACTCGACCGGAATAAATCAGTCGCTGGCGATCTGCTGGCGTATCGGCATACTCAGAGGTCGATAGCTTTTCCTTCAAGTCGGCGACACTGGTCGACTCAGGCAATGTAAACGTGTACTTGGCGTCGTTGGATGCCTTGATGTTGAATGTGATGGAGGCGGCTTCCGCTGCCGCAGCGTCGTCGGCCATGATATGAGGGGAGGGGCACGGAGTCGGTAATCAAGGAAGAGGCTCTCGGGGCGAGGAGAAATCGACACTAGGAAAATAGGCAGATCTGAAATCAAAAGAAGAAAAGATAGTCCTGTGAGTATGATAAGTGCGACAAGCAAGCTGCTGCCAATCATGGGAGGTTGGGACAGCGTTGACGGCATAAGCGTTGAGCCCGGCCGAAGCTGGCAGAAACAAATCGTAGATTCGCCGGTCCCGCGTGCGTGCCTCAGGCAGCCACCCACCGCGAGGTCTTGGCACGCTAAAATCCCAAAGCTTTTCTCGCGATATTTTTCCAAGCTCGACTCTTGCCCACAGTCTGTCTCGCTTGACACCCACCGACGGCCAGGACGCGTCGTCCTTTAGTTATACCAGAAACTGCCACCCAGGACGTCCTATAGATAGCCTTGCCTTGCTTTTGCAGGGCTGTCACACTGTTCGTTCTGCCTGGAGATGGGAACCTGAATCCTAGGGAAACAAAAGGCAACGCGACCACACTCTTCAGTGCTCGACCAGAGCACAGTAGCCCCTCACAATGGCGACCACCTCGAACATGTTCGTGTACTCCTTGACGATACAGCATCCCACAGCTGTAACGCAAGCGATTCTCGGCCAGTTCGCGGGCACGAAGGAGCAACAAATTGTCACGGCATCGGGCTCGAAGCTTACAATCCATCGCCCTGATGCTGCACAGGGCAAGGTCACGCCAATATATACACAAGATGTGTTTGGCATTGTAAGGTCACTTGCAGCTTTTCGGCTGGCCGGAAGTAGCAAAGGTATGTTTCACCCTACTCGTTCGAAAGAGTCATCTTAGTGATTCGTCAAGCTCCCGGGGCGGTTCATTCCTAGACACTCCCATCGGACGCGCCTCGGTCGGAAGCATTGAAGCATTGATTGCCCTGCATATCCGTCATTGAGCCGTGCTGAAATGTACATGTACAGATTACATCATCATCGGATCTGATTCAGGCCGCATCACCATCATTGAATACGTGCCCTCCCAGAACCGCTTTAACCGCATCCACTTGGAAACATTTGGCAAGTCTGGTGTTCGACGGGTAATTCCTGGACAGTACCTTGCAGTGGATCCCAAGGGGCGAGCTTGCCTCATCGCTTCGGTCGAAAAGAACAAGCTTGTTTACGTTCTGAACCGTAACCCTCAAGCAGAACTGACGATTTCATCCCCCCTAGAGGCACACAAGCCACAGACTCTTGTCTTTGCGCTAAAGGCTTTGGATGTGGGTTATGATAATCCCATATTTGCAGCTATTGAGGTCGATTACTCCGAGTCAGATCAAGATCCGACGGGCCGTGCGTTCGAGGAAGTTGAAAAACACCTTGTCTACTACGAGCTCGATCTTGGCTTGAACCATGTGGTTCGCAGGTGGTCCGATATTATACATCGCACTTCATCTATGCTATTCCAGGTCCCCGGAGGTGCCGACGGGCCAAGCGGTGTACTCGTCTGTGCCGAAGACAGTATTACATACCGTCACTCGAATCAAGATGCTTTCCGTGTACCAATCCCCCGTCGCAATGGTCCCACAGAGAATCCGGAGCGGAAGCGATGTATCGTAGCTGGTGTTATGCACAAAATGAGAGGCGCCTTTTTCTTCCTGTTGCAGACTGAAGATGGAGATCTCTTCAAGCTGACAATTGACATGGTTGAAGATGAAAGCGGCAAGCTGACTGGCGAGGTTCAGCGGCTCAAGATCAAATACTTTGATACCGTTCCTATTGCAACAGATCTACTCATTTTAAAGAGTGGATTTCTATATGTTGCGAGCGAGACTGGCAACCATCATTTCTACCAATTTGAGAAGCTCGGTGACGATGATGAAGAAACAGAATTCACAAGTGATGGCGTCCCTGCCGATCCGAGCGAGCCTATATCTCCTGTTTACTTCAATTTGAGAGGTGCCGAGAATCTGAACTTGGTCGAAAGCATCAACTCTTTGAATCCTATCATGGATTGCAAAATCACCGATGCAACCGGAGAGGACGCTCCCCAGATTTATACTGTTTGCGGTACAGGCGCTAGAAGCAGCTTCAGGACCCTCAAACACGGTCTGGAGGTTTCCGAAATAGTCGAATCTGAACTGCCCAGCGTTCCGTCTGCCGTTTGGACCACCAAACTGACGCGTAATGATGAGTTCGATGCCTACATTGTTCTGTCATTCACGAATGGAACTCTAGTCCTCAGCATTGGAGAAACAGTAGAAGAAGTTACAGATACTGGGTTCTTATCTACAGCGCCCACCTTGGCGGTGCAGCAACTCGGAGAAGATTCGCTGATTCAGGTCCACCCAAAAGGTATCAGGCATATTCTTGCTGATCACCGTGTTAATGAATGGCCTGCGCCCCAACATCGGACAATTGTCGCTGCAGCTACCAACGAGCGCCAAGTCGCTGTAGCCCTAAGCTCTGGCGAGATCGTATACTTTGAGATGGACACCGATGGCTCGCTGGCTGAGTATGATGAAAAACGCCAGATGTCGGGTACAGTTACATCCTTGAGTTTGGGTGAGGTTCCAGAAGGCCGTGTGCGAAGTTCATTCCTAGCGGTTGGCTGTGATGACTCAACTGTTAGGATTCTCAGTCTGGACCCGGATTCTACGCTGGAAAATAAATCCGTGCAAGCTCTCACATCTGCACCATCTGCTCTGAATATTATGTCCATGGCCGATTCAACTTCTGGTGGCTCAACACTGTACTTGCATATCGGGCTATACTCCGGTGTCTATCTTCGAACAGTACTCGATGAAGTTACCGGTGAACTCTCCGATACACGAACCCGATTCTTGGGCGCAAAACCAGTGAAATTATTTAGGGTTTCCGTCAAAGGCCAGACTGCCGTTCTTGCTCTAAGCTCTCGTCCCTGGCTGGGGTACTCTGATGTGCAGACAAAGAGCTTCATGCTCACCTCTTTGGACTATGTCGGATTAGAATGGGGATGGAACTTTTCCAGCGAACAATGCCTAGAGGGAATGGTTGGAATTCAGGGACAAAATCTGAGGTACGTAAAACAAGCTTTTCTCTATCACTTCCCCTTCATTCCTCTGTATCATGATGACAAAAGGAGTCCGAAACTTGCTGTGGAAAAAAGTTTAAATTTTATTTCCAATTGTTCCTACTGAGATGCATTCCTATTTTTCTTGCTCATTCTTGCACTCATCGTTGGGACGATTTATGTTGCTGATTGGTATTTCAGGATCTTCTCGATTGAAAAGCTGGACAATAATGTACTACAGGAGTCTATTCCTTTAGCATACACGCCACGCCAATTTGTGAAGCACCCAGAACAGCCGCTATTCTATGTCATTGAGTCTGAGAATAACGTTCTTTCGCTCGCTACTCAGTCCCGCTTACTGGAAGAGTCGCAACTCCAGAATGGAGAAGCTGTCATTCCCCCAGCAGATGTTTTCGGCTACCCACGGGCTACTGGACATTGGGCTTCGTGCATTGAGGTGGTGGACCCTATCAGTGCTAAATCCGTTCTCTCTCGTCTCGAGCTTGAGGAGAATGAATCCGCGGTCAGCGTTGCTGCGGTTTCGTTTGCAAGTCAGGACAATGAGACATTCCTTGTTGTTGGCACCGGCAAAGATGTGGTTACCTATCCCCGGTCCTTCTCGGCCGGATTCATCCATATCTATCGATTCCAAGAAGATGGCAAAGAACTGGAGTTTATTCACAAGACGAAGGTTGAGGAACCCCCACTTGCACTCCTCGCCTTCCAAGGGCGTCTTGTTGCTGGAATAGGAAAGATTCTGAGGATCTATGACCTTGGAATGAAACAGATGCTTCGAAAGTGTCAGATTCAAGTCGCGCCAAAACTGATTGTTGGCTTGCAGACACAAGGCAGCCGTATTGTTGTCAGTGACGTGCAAGAAAGCGTGACTTATGTTGTGTATAAATATCAAGAAAACCAACTCATTCCGTTCGTGGATGACGTTATTGCACGCTGGACGACGTCCACGACAATGGTTGATTACGAAACGACAGCAGGCGGGGACAAATTTGGCAACCTCTGGCTTGTTCGCTGTCCGAAAAAGATATCGGATGAGTCTGACGAAGACGGTTCTGGCGCACACCTTATCCACGAAAGATCATATCTCCAAGGCACTGCAAACCGGTTAGAACTCATGGTACATTTTTACACGCAGGATATCCCCACCAGCATCCACAAGACACATCTTGTTGTTGGAGGAAGAGATATTTTAGTATGGAGCGGTCTTCAAGGTACGATTGGCATGATGATTCCATTCATCAGCCGAGAGGACGTGGACTTTTTCCAAAACCTGGAGACGCAACTCGCCGCTCAAAACCCGCCGCTTGCCGGACGCGACCATCTCATTTACCGGGGTTACTATGTGCCCGTCAAGGGTGTGATTGATGGCGATCTGTGTGAAAGCTACTTCCTACTTCCTAATGATAAAAAACTTATGATTGCGGCGGAATTGGATCGCAGTGTCCGAGAAATCGAGCGCAAGATTTCGGTACGTTCTATCTTCTCCCTGGTCATATAAAATAATACACTTGGCATGCTAACATGATGATTTTAGGACATGAGGACCCGCGTCGCGTACTAGGTTCGTCTTTTATTTACTATATTACATGTACATCTGCGCGGAGTCTCGGAAGGCGTTGTGCAGAGGGTTACGGTACAGTGGGCGCTTCTGTTTGTGCATTACCAGCTCTCATGATATCAAATACGAATTATAATTTTTTTTTTTTCTCATCCAACACAACTAGAGCGTTTTTGCTATAAGCAGTCTCTTGCCTCGCTCGGTCAGACGCATTCTTATCGACTGATCTTGAGCTGGATGCAACCAATCAATTATTCTCGAATTATTGATTGGTCTGTATGGGACAAGATAAAGTAATCCGATGATTTTTGAGTACGGTTTTATCTGTTTTTTTGCTACGGATATGAATCGTAATTTATCCGTCGGTACATACATATACACTGTTATAATTATCTAGGTAGCTTCTAATAAAATATGCATTCAGAAGAAATAATATACATACTGCTTGCTGATTCCTTCCTACCTGACATATATAAAATCAGGGAGGCGGGTTCAGATCCAACCCTTCAACGGTAAGCTTGAAAGCGTCATTCCGGGAATAACTGCCGGCAACATCCAGGTCCAAACGACCCCTGTCGCAGTCCTCAAAGTCGATTTTTGCAATGACCAGCCCGTCTCCTGTTGTAGCCGCAGCAGCGGCGGCGGCGGCGGGATCGTTGTCGTCTGTACACACGTCCCAGATGGGTCCGCCGAGGACTTCGCCCAGTGGACCGATGATGCAGGATCCGCCGTGCGAGACGTAGTCGTCCTGTGGTGCTGAGTTGGATAGCTTCGAGCCGGTTTCTTTTTGGGGGGTCTTCTTTGGGTCGTCTTTGACTGCGTGCAGACGTCAGTTCGCTGTCCTGATTGAAATCGTAAAACTAAACGAGAACTCATGAGAGGGGGAAAAAAAAGTTACCGGAAATATCACCGTCCTCCACAGCCAAACTCGCATACATCTGATCCCTCTTCTTATCCGTATGAAGTTGATCAACCGCTGACTGCGGCCAGACGATCTCATGCGGCCCCTCGCTCGTAGTTATCAATTCCTTCTTCTTCATCTTCTCTGGTCTATCTTCTCCTGTGGCAGCTGAACCGGCGGTAATCCACTCCGGTAACTCGCTCCTGCGCACGCACTGGTTGGCAGATAACACCACAGCGCGGCCCTCGCTGGCCACCGTCCGCATAAGCGGGAGCCAGGTATCACGACTATCGGCGGTTGGGGCGAGGTACAGATTGACGTTTTGCGAGTAGAGACTCTGCCGTAGCAAGGGCATGTAATTTTCCCAGCAGATTGCTGCGCCAATGGTCAGGGGGACGCCGTTGATCTCTGTTGAGACGGCGCGGAGGGTCGAGGGCGAGCCTTGGGCCCATATCAGGCGTTCTGCAGCGGTCTATCGGAATGTCAGAGAATTCATCGAGAAATAATTGATGGCCACGAAGCTTCGATGTTAGACTCACTGGCATGACTTTCCTCCTCTTCCCCAACACGCCGCGTTTCGGATCAACATAGACCACGGCACAATACAAGCTGCCACCAGCTCTCTCAATCAAGCCCACCGCAATGAAAACGCCCGTTGAACGAGCAACCTCCTCCAAGAACTCTCTCGTGCCATCCCCACGACGATCCTTGCCGCGGTCCCTAGCCACGGGCAGTTTCCGGTCAACCCAGTCATCGCCCGCTCCGGCCGGGGTATCGCCCAGGTCAACAGCGGAGTTGAAGTATTGCAGAAACTGGTCTCTGCCGGCGGGATTGCGATGGCCGACGGCAGTGCCAAAGTCGCAGGTGCGCGGATATCCGCCTAGGTAGGCCTCGGGGAAGAGGAGGATGTTGACGCCGCGGGATGCTGCGTGGCGGGTGGTGCGTTCGAGGGCGGCGAGGGTGGCGGAGGTCGTGTCGAGGGTGCGCGATTGCGCGACGGCGACCGTGAGGGTTTTGGGCATTTTCGATTCGTTTCCGCTGGTTGGTATTGAATCTAGGTAAATCAATTGATGTTGCGGAGAGGGCAGAGTGAGGGCGGGGCGGGAGAAAATTCAAGCAGATGAGGTCATTGCGGATGGGGAAGCATTTCCGAGGATTTTTTATATATCGCATAGATAAACTAAACTATACCTACGAGATTATGTTTTATGATCTAGAATTATATAATAATATTCTTCCAAGGTTATTCCTGAGTATCTTCATACGCACACAAGCATCAGCACGTACCATGCGTCCTCCTAGCCTTATCCATCTAGACAACATCTTTCATAGGCGCGACAAATCCTGTCAGTATACAACATGTCTACACAGCGCTGGGGACCGGATGGAGGCAATGCTGGAGTATCTCTGGCAAAGCTCTCCAGGATCGACTATTCTCCTCTCTACTCTGCTTGTCAGCGCAAGTTGACTTGATTGTCAGGCGTGTCAATGACCAGTTTCGCGCGTTGGCGGAGCGAAAGCTTGTTGAGCGGAAGAAGATCAATCTTGCTGATATGTATACTGTTGAAGGCCCTGCTGTCGATTGCCTAGTTGAAGGTATACATCCCAATGATGAAGGGGTACGAGAGAATGGCCAAGTTGTGGTTCAAAGGGGCTTTATATAGAAGAGACCGTCTTTCCGTCGGATACTCTTCCTGGAATCGATTGTCTGTTAAAGAAAGGTCAAATTCATACCTTTTTTTTTTGACAATTTTAATAGGTCTTCACTCACGTCTCTGTAGTCTGCCATCTGAAGCGTAAATTCTGTTCGCGCCCTACGACAAGCCCCACCATTGAAAGCTCTTATCTCTATATACCTAAAGCCGAATCTACCTGGTTATTCTTCCCTCTGGTATACCGTCAAGGACTTGAAACGACCAACAGCACAGACTAAAAGACCATGCGGCGATCAGCGCTCTCCGTCAATCAGCACAGAACAGAATCTTCGCAGCAACCAGGATCCGACGACCACGAAGATGATGATAGACACGAGTTCCCTGAGAATAGCCGCGAGGCCTGGCTTTGTCTGCTTGGCTCCTTTTTTATGATGCTTCCGTCGTTTGGCTTCCAGACTGCTGGTATGAAAGAAAAGCCTTCGCAACTCTCTATCATGTAAGCTAACCCCCGGGATTGCATAGTCGGATCGGTCCAGAGCTATCTCACTGCCCACCAGCTTGCTGGCTATAGCGTCAGTGATGTCGGATGGATCACTGCGGTGCTTGTATTCTTAACCCTTTTTCTAGGCGTTCAAGTCGGTCCTCTTTTTGACCGGTACGGGGCAAGGATCCTGGTCATCAGCGGCAGTCTTGCGAGTTTCCTTTGCTACATGCTCCTCGCGCAGTGCTCTGAATACTGGCATTTCATGCTCTGCCTCGGGGTCCTCGGGGGCATGTCCTCGGCCGTCATCACGACCGTCTCTATCGCTGTCCTGAGCCATTGGTTCTACCGACGCCGCGGCCTTGCGTCTGGCATCTGCATGGCAGGGTCCTCGACCGGCGGGGCGATTATCCCTTTACTGCTCCGGACGCTTTTTCAGAAATACGGTTGGCTATGGTCAATTCGGATCATTGCCTTTCTGGCCCTCGGATGCTATGCACTAGGCGTGTTCCTGATCAAGGGGCGACCTCCGACTAGTAGCAGCAGCAGCAGTAGTAGTGACAATGCGAGTCGGGCTACGATTGACTTTCGCGCCTTTTCTTCCCCGCGCCTTTGCTTTCTCGCCATGGCTGTGTTTTCCTTTGAGTTTATCATCTTTGGCTGTGCTGCTTTGCTCCCCACCTATGTTCGCTATGCAGGGCTTTCTGAGGACGTTCAATTCTATTCCTTGACCCTTTTGAATGGCATGAGCCTCTTGGGCAGAGTGCTTCCGGGATTCGCGGCGGATCAAGTCGGGAGATTCAATACGCTCGTCTCGATGGTCTGCATCACGCTGGTCATCATGGCGGCTGTCTGGCTCCCATTCGGATCTCACGACTCGGCCACTCTCTTGGTTGTCGTCGCCATCTTTGGCTTTGGGTCTGGTGGATGGCTGTCCCTGGCGCCTGTCTGTGCGGGCCAGCTCTGTCGAACTCAGGACTATGGTCGATTCTACGGCACAATCTACAGCGTTGCATCGTTTGGGGTCTTGCTTACGGTGCCTGTCGGGGGAAAGTTACTCCAGTCGACTACTCCTAAAGCCCTCATTGGGTTTTACTCAGCTGTCTTGCTTGCGGGACTGGTCAGTATCACACTGTCGCGCTGGGCAGCGCTGGACTGGCGCTGGCGGTGGCTGGTCAAGATCTGATTCATATTGAGGATACCTTGTCGGAGGGTAGATATTATTATTATGCTTATGAAATTTTTATATTTTTATCCACTAGTTACACTAACAAATTGCACGTCACGTGTAAGGGTTAAGTGATTACCTAGAATGCGCCTAGAGCCTAATAAGGTAATTTGCGCGAACTGCCTTTTTAGGGCCGTTGGAGATTTCTAACTAAATACCTTGCATGAGCCTCGTCGCTTCATCTTCTTAGGAAAATGCCAATATGTTTTGGCGAAATCTTGCAATAGCTGCTGGCCTTCTCGGCACTGCTGGAGCACAGCAGTTCCTCGAACCCTCCGGTGCAGATGGTTCCATTACCTATACAGTCGGCGAGACCGTCGGCATTTCATGGAATGGCACGTCGGACTATAGCATGCTATCGCTGGGGCTGCAGCAAAGCAACAGCGATGATACTACATCCTGGCTACTCTGTGCGTGTGAAGGACTTTCGCTTCCTGCTTGATATGACGCTAATGTCCCATCGTCGCAGCCAACTCGGTTTCCTATCCCGATTACATCTCATGGACGGCCACCTTGTACGCCTTTAGCCTGAACAGTTCGGAGCTTTTCCACTTCATCATCGTCAACGGCACCGAGATGGGCTCGCCCTTTTATTCGCCCCTGTTCTACATTAGAGAAGCATCATCGAGTACTGCTACTACTACATCGACCGGAACAGCTTCTTCAACGTCGGCCACAGCAACAGCGACAGCCTCCCCGTCCTCTACATCCTCCGCGCAACCGACGAGCAACGGACTCACTACAGGAGCCAAGGCTGGCATCGGCGTCGGAGTCAGCATAGCAGGTCTTGCTATTATCGCTCTATTGGTCTGGTTCGCTCTTCGACAACGGCGGCGTCAAGGGCTCCCAGTGTCCCAGACCCAGACCCAGGCCCATGTCCATGTCCAAGAGCCACCACAACTTCTGGATTCAAGAGAACGGAAACAGCTTTTTGCGTCTGAGCTCCCTGGCGCGTGATCTTGATATAGACCTATATACATATTACCGTCACCATACGGGTTGGAATTATACGTGCTTCACATACATGAGAATTTTTTGCCGATGGAATATTTGAGATATCCGAGAGAATATATATATACTCTCGGATATATATATATATAGCGAGAGAGAGTATGTACATAGTATGGTATGTACTATATGATTGGTCGGAAGACACATTGCCCAGTTTGCTTTAGCGGCACCCGGCGCGCCGGGGTTTGACGTCAGCTTGATGCGTGCCTCAGGCCAACAATTCTTTGTGGCCTGACAATGAGATGACCAACTCAGTTAACGACAAGTTAGTCAACCGCTAGAGTAAATAAGAGCATACCTAGCTATGCTACTCTGTAGTGCTGTATAATAATCTAACTTATCCTAGAACTTCCCCATATATGCACTGTCTCCGGCGCATTCCACGCGCCACACGCCGGCATGCTCGGCCAACCGTTTCTGGAGACTGGCTGCGCCTGGTAATGGTAAATGGCAAATTGAAACAGCAAAAGTACGGAATACTGCTGTTTTATATATCCCCTAGCTATTGGTTAAGTTAGTTAGTTATTCTAGCATACATACTACATAGTATGGCTATGCTATGCCTCCGCGAACAGCTCATTTCAGCGCAAAAAAAGACGCCCGCAGTGGAGCCAGCCCGGCCGCACACAGCAGAAACAACCTCCTTTTTTTTTTCCCTCATTGCATTAATCTTACCTAGGTAATTAACTAACTGGTTAGCAGATTGCTCAATTTTTCATTGTGCTGAGTAGTTTTATGCTCTGCGACCGTCCAGCTCCACCCATAGCCCTGCCATCCCTGTCATTGGCAGAGCAAGGCATCTGTCTGCCTGTCCTTAGCTAATAATCGCAGTCCAGCCACTTTGCCTTTGCCGCGCCTGCTCCTGCGCGGTTTTCCTCCTGCAAAACACTCCGTAACTCCTCCCACTTGCACCCGGAACTGCCTCACCCAGAATTTACACTGCTAAGCCCGACACCATGCCGAAGAAAGGAGGAAAGAAAAGCCACAAGAGCAAGGCCAAGGGCGCTGGTGGCGGCGCCGCAGCGAAGTTGCCTGATGTGAAGAACATCATGTAAGTCGGCAGTCGCAAGTTCTGCACCGCGACGGCGCTTGTAGCATACTGATGACTATTTTTTTTTTCCTCGCAGAAGCCCCGCTCACCAGGAAGAGGACAAGCTCTTGTACGGTGAAGGCGCCGCCACTACAGCAGAGGCCGCGCCGGCCACAGCAAGCGGATCGGCAGCAGCAGTTGCTGCACCAACTGTCGCAACGGAAGCGCCAGTTTCTGAACCACCGACAACTACCGCTGCGCCGGAGAAGGAAAAGGAAGAAAAAGAGCTACCAGCGCAAGAAACTGGTACGGTCTTTTCTCTCTCTCACACGCACCCTCTCTTGTTGCCTCGCTAACCACATATCGTGCAGAACAAGTCTCCGACGTGACGAAAGAACAACGAGGTGACGCCGGAACAGAGGCATTGGCCGCCGCTGCGCCCACGAGCTCGAAGAAGCAAGAGGCCGAGGAGGCCAAGGCAGCAGAACCCGAACGTCCGTCAACCGCCACTACAGACAGGGCCGATCTTTTGGCAGACACAAGCACGAAGACAGAGCCAGTTGCTGCCACAAACGATATTTCGAAGGATGTGTCGGATGCGGCCAAGAAAGAAGAGATTCCTTCCGAGACAGTAGCAGCCACCGCGACGGCGGCTGGAGCTGCTGGTACTGTGGAACAAGCACAGCCAGGTATGTGTAGTGTCTCTCTGTGTGTTTTCAAATGCCAGGAACTAAGTCGACCTCAACACAGCGACCGCTGATCTCGAAAAAACCGAAGCGTCGAAAGCAGTGGCAGCGAAGCCCGCTGGCGAATCGGTCGAGGAAGCGGAGCACAAAGCACTCGTCCAAGAAGAGGATACTCCTGTGGCCGCGGCCGCTCCTCTCGTTGCCCCGCATGTCAAGCGATCCCACGAGGAGCCCACATTTGTGACCCAAGAAGGCGACCAGCCAGCGAAGAAAGCGCGCGTTGACGAGCCTACCGAGACGTCTGTCTCGCAGTCGAATTTGGCTATTCCAGGACGTTTCCCAACCCCTTCAGTGGCCGGATCTACTGCGTCCGGCGCAGACAGCGCCATTGCTTCAGAGACACAGGATGCGATCAAGGGGGATACTACGGCGGCTCCAAAGACAGTCGTTTCTCAGCCACCAGCCCCAGTGCCAGCCACTGAAACAACGCCCGCCGCGACCGCCCCGACGGAGGCTGCAGTTTCGGCACCAGCCGCTGAAACACCAGCTGCTGCTAAGGATACAGGCCTAGTCGAGGACAAGGCTGCCGCTGTAAGTGCTGACCAACCAGCAGCCCAAGAACCTATCGCTCCTAAAGATACAAGCCGAGCCGAGGACAAGACTGCAGCACCAGCATCAGCAGCACCAGCAGCATCGACCGAGAAAGAGGCGGTGCTGCCTCCAACTGGCCACAAGGACGATGCTAGCGCACGGCCAATCAAACCAGCAACAGCTGATGCAGCACAAGCCCCTCAGTCACCGGCAGTAGCTGCAGCCGCCGCCGCAGCCGCCGCAGCCTCTGCTACCCCTCAGCAAGCCCCTGACCAGGCCGTCTCGAAGCCAGCAGCACAACAGGAGGCCGCGCCCAAGAAAGGCGGGCTCGTGGCGTGGATCAAACGCAAGCTCAAGGGGGAAAGTAAGAAAGCCGAGAGTGGGCGATGAGCGAAAAGAGCATACATAATTAATTAGATGTACATTAGTTATGCGAGGGTCGGTTTGTTCCGGGGCGTTTTGAATATGTTGCTTGTATGATAGGCTGGCTGGGTGGTTTTGAGGGAGAAAAAGCGAGGCAGATACCTAAACCAAGAACAGGCATTATTATTATTATTATTATTATTATTATTATTATTATTATTATTATTATTATTATTATTCCACAGCAAGCAATCGTACTCGTAGAAGACACGACTCCCCCCGCTATGGTGGATCGACCAGGGCTAAGCTTTTCGTGCATCAGATACGCATACATCGTCGCAGACACGAGACACCGCCGCCAATCAGCACGCCATGCCAGCGCAGAGGGTCGGAAATGCCAGGAATCGAGGTGAGACTAGAGACTCCGGCCCAGCCGGTGGCCTATCAACAATCCTCCACGCAAGTCGTCGTGGACACACTGTGAACAGGCCTAAGTCATCGGTACCGTCTGTGGAGGGGCTTGATACGCAGCCGGCATGCCGTCGCGCAGCGCGGGCGCCGTATTATATCGGTAATTTGCGTATCCGACGCGTATTAGGGGGGGGGGGTATTTTAGCACGCTAGGGTTTCTGACGTGGGCCCTCCCTCCACCGGCGCAAAAGCCACACGAACCTTGGAAGTTGTGATGTCGATAGCTCGGAGCGCCAGGTATAAAGCCTGCGTGCGCTGTGCTGTTCATGGATTACATGCTGTTTTGTTTTCTGCCCTTTTCTTCCATTCTGTACACCGTCAACCCCTGCTATACTCCTGCGTAACTCACAAGTCGATCTACAATGGTCCATCTAGCCACCGTCAAGAAGGACCACCAGGTCTCCAAGCCTGCTGCTCACTCCGAGCTCCCCGCCGTGGAGACCCTGGATCTCAGCGCGCCAGGAGAAGACGACTACTCGACCAGCGTCTACGGCTCGCAATATGCCGCCAAGTCGCTGCCGGCGTATGAGATGCCCGAGAAGGAGATGCCCCGTGAGGTGGCCTACCGTATGATCAAGGACGACCTGAGCTTGGACGGCAACCCGATGCTAAAGTGCGTTTGCATGCATTCCGTGAAGTTCCCTGAATCGGCATACTGACTGCTGCTAGCCTTGCCTCTTTCGTGACCACCTACATGGTAAATACACTGCTCCTTGCGTTCTCTCTGACCTCTCTGACCAACCCCCCCCCCCCTCCCCCCAGGAAGACGAGGCCGAGAAGCTCATGGCCGAGGCCTTCAGCAAGAACTTCATCGACTACGAAGAGTACCCGCAGTCCGCTGACATCCAGAACCGATGCGTCAACATGATTGCGCGCCTATTCAACGCCCCCGTAGACGAGCACAGCGACAATGCCATGGGCACCTCCACCATCGGCTCGTCCGAGGCCATCATGCTCTCCACGCTCGCCATGAAGAAGCGGTGGCAGAACAAGCGCAAGGCCGAGGGCAAGGACTGGTCTCGCCCCAACATTGTCATGAACAGCGCTGTGCAGGTCTGCTGGGAGAAGGCGGCCCGCTACTTTGACGTCGAGGAGAAGTACGTCTACTGCACCGACGACCGCTACGTCATTGACCCCGTCGAGGCTGTGAACCTGGTCGACGAAAACACCATTGGGATCTGCGTTATCCTCGGCACTACCTACACGGGCGAGTACGAAGATGCCAAGACCATCAACGATCTGCTGGTCAAGAAGGGTCTCGATGTCCCCATCCACATTGACGCTGCGAGCGGTGGCTTTGTGGCTCCTTTCGTCAACCCCAACCTAGAATGGGACTTTAGATTGGAAAAGGTGGTCTCGATCAACGTGTCGGGTCACAAGTACGGTCTGGTAAGTAAAAACATAATGAAGGGGAGAAAAAAAAAAAAAAAAAAAAAAAGAGACAAGACTAAGTTGCAATAAAGGTCTACCCTGGTGTCGGATGGGTCGTCTGGCGCTCCCCCGAATTCCTCCCCCAGGAACTCGTCTTCAACATCAACTACCTTGGGGCGGACCAGGCCAGTTTTACCCTCAACTTTTCCAAGGGCGCCTCCCAGGTCATTGGACAGTACTACCAGATGATCCGTCTGGGCAAGCGTGGATACCGCTCCATCATGCTCAACCTCACCCGCACGGCGGACTACATTACCAGCAAGCTCGAGGAGCTCGGATTCATAATCATGAGCCAGGGCCGTGGCCACGGCTTGCCCCTGGTTGCCTTCCGTCTGAACCCCAAGGACGGACACCTCTTTGACGAGTTTGCCATTGCCCACCAGCTCCGCGAGCGTGGCTGGGTGGTGCCGGCTTACACCATGGCGCCGCACAGCGAGAGCCTGAAGATGATGCGTGTTGTTGTGCGCGAGGATTTCAGTGTGCCCCGTGCCGACGCGCTGGTGAATGACATTAAGCTTGCTCTGCAGACGCTGGGAGACATGGACAAGACCATGATGGTCAAGTACCAGCAGTAAGCCCTCTCTCTTTTTCTCCATCAAGTACTCCAAACTAATGAATCCTAGACACGTCCAGAACCACGTCGTCAACTCGCACAAGTCGCACCACAACCACCCTGCATACAAGAAGGAGAAGCACTCCTTGCAAGGAAAGCACGGCAAGACCCATGCCGTGTGCTAATGTGTACATAAATCCCGGCTTGTTTAGCCCCCAGCCCGAGTTAGATTAGCTAGCGCTTTAACTTACGAATGAGATGACTGACGTAGTTCCGTCCCCGCTCTGCGTATAGTAAATGCTCATAAATAGAGGGGCGTTTCAGCTCCAATATCTGACGTGGTCTCGCTTAAGTTTCACAGCCACAGTGCGTATACTACATACTCATAGTGCATACTCGTCGGATGGCTCAGGCACAGCGGGGCATGCTATGCTATTAATAGCCCCGCGCTGCGATAGGCTGTGCGACGTGGCCCCAGCAAATAAGATGCCAATTTCGGTTTTCCTTCCCTCAACTAAAGGTGAACTAACTCGTTATGCTAACTCAGTTCACCAGCGCTGGCGGCTGAGTCAGGCTGGCTGGCCTTACCTTAACTAGTTCGTTAACCAACGTCGTTAGCCTGGCTGTAGCCATCACCACTGCCTTCTTCCCCTCCTCGGTTGACAGGTGTACACGCCTTGACTTTCTCTCATAGAACGCGAGCGAAAGAGACAGAGGAGAACGCTCCTCATGCCCTCGTTCTTCAGCAAAAAGACCCGCTCCCAGGCCTCTGCAGGTCCCGCGAGCGAGTCCTCAGCGCCGCCGCCTCCGCCACCCCCCAACCCATACCAGCAGCAGCAGTTCTACCAGCAGCAGCGACAACATCAATCTGACTACACCGGCGACAGCAGATCAGAGCAGTCTCATCGGCCGCCCGAGCCCTTTATTCCAGCTAATCAATTCCAAAGCCATTCCACTCACAGCAGTCCTTACTCCGCCGGCGTTGATTTGCGCTACGGACGGGACCCGTCGTTAAACGAGCAGCAGCAGCAGCAGCAGCAGCAGCAACAACAACAACAACAACAACAACAACAACAGCAACAACAGCAACAGCAGCAGCAGCTATACCGGCATCCGGCACACTACGCCCCGCACTCATCGTCCCTTAGTCTCGTGACTCCCCAGCGCACTCCCACCGAGCCCGCCAACTACCACCAGCCCAGTCCCAGTCTCACCAACTCTGCCGACCAGCTGTGGACGACTGCCCACGCAAACACTTCCGCCCAGGACCTTCAGCTCCAGGACAAGTCCGGCAAGCTGCAGAAGAAGAAGGGCTTCTTCAGCCGCAACCAAAGCGTTGCATCCAGCAGCCCCGGGAAACAAGCGAGGACAGAAAAATCTCTGGCCCGGTCTGTCTCTGTGAAGCACGCCTTTGGTGGACATCAACAACAACAACAACAACAACAACAACAACGTGACCCGCAACAAGAGCACGCAAGAGCAGTAGCGAATGCGAGCTTGCAGACGAGCCATTCGACAGTAGACCAGAATAGTCTGGATCTTGACCTGGAAACCGCACGGCCATCGACAGGCGAACAGCAGCCTCCCGCCAGTCCCAGGATCTACGAACCAAGTCTACCGCAGACTCCTCTCGAGCCTCAATCTTTCCAGCATACGGATCGCAGTCATCACACTTGGCAGCATAGCCGGCCGGATAGTGTTGAATCGATTGCCAGCCAGGTGAGCCTCCAACGACAGTACATGTTGTCTTCTTCTTCCTCCTCCTACCTCGCAGAGGTGCACCCACCACCAGCACCATCACCCTTGCATTTTCCCGCCGCCTCTCCCTTCACAGCGGCAAGGTTTAGTTTCAGCCGTCTCGTACCATCCTGCCCATGAAGCGGCGTTAAGACCATAGCGCAAGCGATCGCCCAAATTGGAACATTGTAGTTTCCCCGCACGGTCGTCGTCACGACAATCTCTGGAGCCAGCTCCCCTTGCACCCATAACTGTGTCGCAGAATTCTGATCTCATCATATCACAGGCCTCTTCCCGTCGACCCTCCGTGCAGCATTCGAGCTTGAATTATCCTGCGTCCGTGAATGACATGGCCGGCAGCGATCGTGCACAGCAACAGCAGCAGCAGGGCGGTTCGATGCCCACTCGCAAAGATTCTCTCGCGGCGCCGACTGGACACAGTCAATCGCCGCATCATCAGAGTGCGCCCTCAGGAGCTTCGTTCAAAGGCAACTCTTCCCAGCAGAACTTGCACGACACGTCCGCCCAGGGACGCGAGACGCCGCCAGCGGGCCATTCATCTAAATTGCGAGAGGAGTTGGAAAGTTTGGACATTGGTGCTCTTGTTGCGCGGCATGAAGAACTCCGTACGTCTTATTTCCCTCGTTCTGACTCTTCCTCTGAATTGTTTTGTAATGCATCTCTAATGACCTACAGAGGCCAAATATCAAAAGGTCAAGAGATATTATTTTGAAAAGGAAGCGCAGGTCACGCAGCTTCAGAATACCGTAGCCCACCAGCGCATGGCTGTTTCCCGCACAGTGTTGGATGACAACGAGTATACTGCACGATTCAACCGCCTCGATGGGGCGATCAAAGAGCTGGCGTTCTCGATACGTAAGGATTGGAAGACCATCCCAGAATGGCTACATCCGTTTGTCAACGACGATGCAGTTGCCCGGGGTGCCAAAGAGATGACCGGAGTTGGCCGCGCTGTCATCTCGCGGTGGGTAGTTGACGATGTGTTCAACCGGTATTTTCACCCCGGCCTGGACCGTAGTTTTAGCGAACACCTGAAGTCGGTCGAGCTCAATCTGCGCCAACAGCAGGTACAAGTCTTCAATGATGATGATAAGGAGAACCAGGTTGCGCGCATCTCGAACTGGAGACGCACAACTCTCGACGGATTGGCGGATGAGCTGCAATCCAAGGCAACGTCTGAGAACCAGGCTCAATTGACGGAGTATTGCGTAGAGAAGCTTTCTACAACCCTGCAGTACTACCTCAAGGAACCCGCTCCGCCGGAGCTTGCGCACTACACACAGATGATTGTGGAGAATGCCATCAACATCGCCGAGAAAATCCCACAGGAGTCTCGGGATATCATCGTTGATTATCTTGCACCGGGAACCCCGATCTCCGAGACGACGATGAAGGTGGAAACGGGCCTGCCACCGTTGGCACGGGCTATTGCCGAGTGTAAAGACCGGACCTCAGGCGAGAGCACTGACGAGATGGACGTGGAGACCCATTCACCGGTACAAGCAGACAACAACAACAACAACAGCAGCAGCAGCAGCAGCAATAAGAGCCAGAACCGCGAGCAAAGAAAGAAATATCCCTTTGGAAGCTTGATGGGCAAGAAATCACTCGTTTCATCGTCGTCGTCGTCGTCGTCGTCCAATAACAATACCGCACCATCACCATCCCCATCATCCGAAGCTCAGCAACGCTCCGTCTCTGGCTCTGCTTCGATATCTGAAAATAACAACAGCACCAACAGCGAGCGAGACGAACTGAACGATAAGCAGCCCCGAGTACGATTTGCAACGTTCGTGACTGTGGAGGTACGCGGCCGAGGGCCGAATAATGTTCTCCTTGAAGCTCCAGTATATACGCTAGAACCATGAAATAGCACTTTTCCTTATTTCTGTATAGCCTTAGTGTATATTTTTTTTTTTTTTTTATTTTTTTTATTCATTTTCCTCTCAAGAAATCGTAAGCCTGAATCCTGGTGCCCAACTAGGAAATGGCAATGGCATTTGCCGTCTTGCCGAGTGAACTCTTTTTTTAGCCTTCCCCACCCAAGCTTGCGTCGTCTGTTCATCGCGACATTTTTCTCTCTGCCGGATACATTATTGTATCTGCTTCTTTTCCTTTCTTTTTTTTCCCTCTTGCTTTTCCCCCCACTTAATGGCAATTGCAATTGCTCTCCAAGCGACATTACTTCTAAAATGAATGCATCCAGCTACACGACGTCATCATTTCACCGCAATCTTTATCAATGTCGACGGCACTTAGGAAGCCGGCATGGCTTGCGCGCATCTGCGCAAAGTGCGATATCGATATGCACACGCTGTTGAGGATGATGAAGTCAGTCTCGCTCTGGCAATGTTAAGAGACAAGAGGGAATGCTAATTGAAGGAAGCAGGGCGGCGCTCCCGGCAACAGTGGCCATTGCCATGTACGTTCTGAGGGAATCCCATGCCTGGGCAGTGATATGTCATGGTGATTAACCAACTCAGGTATCAATCAGATCTGGTGGCCCACGAGTTCACCACCCTAGGCTACCTCATCCCCGTGGCTGCAATGTTCAGTCGCTGCGGCTCCCCTCGCGGGAAATTCATCCATTTCCTCGTCCAGGGTCTGGTATTAGTATGCTTCGGCGCGGCCAGTAGCGTTCTAATGGTCTTTTGCTGCGTCAAGGCTCGCCAGCATACCTCGCCGAGGGAGGAGTTGGCGCAGATAGCAGCCTCTTCGTCTGCGGATATCCTCTCTGTGCCGTATAATCCCGCTGCCTCTGCGGTTGCCGGTGTTTGGCTGTTTGTGCAAACTTATATCGTCAATACGCTGCGAGGGAAGGATCCGCAGCTCGGTATCCCAGTGACGATGCATTGCATGCTGTTCTTCGTCGCTGCCACCGAGGCCCCGGACTATACGAGCGTATCAGCCGGCTTTGCCTTCGTGAAGAGGTTGTTGTTGGCTATGATGGCGGGCATGGCGCTGGCGACGGCAACGAACTTTCTCATCTTCCCGGATACGTCGAGGGATGCCGTTCTCAAGCTGATGGGTGATTATATCGGTGCTCTGCGGCACACGCTCAAGGCACACGCCTCTTACTTTGAGACTATGGAGCAAATAGATATGTTTGTGCGGACGCAGACTCGGAACCCCACGGAAGAGAAGAGGCTTTATAGGGCCAAGGCCGAGGCCGTTCAACATGCGGCGCGCAAGGTTTCTCACATGCATGCTTCGCTCAGCAGTGAACTGCCCTTTGCCAAAAGCGAAATTGCCTATGGGAAGCTCTCGTCCGGGGAGTTTGGCGAGATTTTCAAACATTTGCGCTCGACCATGTTGCCGATTGTTGGGCTGAGTACGGTGGCGGATGTGTTTGATCGCGTGATGGACTGGAATAATTGGGCCAAACCGGTGGCAGAAGGCGGCGTGGATCTGGCGGATGATGCTGTTCATGCACGGATGGTGCGCGATTGGAATCTGATCATGGCTAGGGGCCATGCCCATTTCGCTGAGATCTATGAAGCTATGGACCTGGGTCTCCAGCATGTTGCGTATCAGTTGAATGTGGCGAAACAACGACAACACAAGAAGCAGAAACCAAAGGATTTGGAGACTGTTTCTAGTCAGTATGCTGTACCGGGCGAAGACGGCTTTTCTTCTTATCTAGAGGATCAATGTGAGGCATTCTACAAGGCTAGATTGGTCACTCTGAGAGAATGGTGCGAAGATAAAGGCATCGCGCTGCCTGAAGATTATTTCTATCATCCAACAGATCAGCCTATTCGGCTTCCTGAAAACGTGCCCGGGGGGCTGCCTCGAGATCGAACCGAACGGCAATTGCATATTCTTCTATATGTACGGTTCTATCGATTTCTGACTTCTTCTCTTTCATATTCAGCTGACAGATCTAGGTCGAACACATGCTCTACTCTTCCAGCCGTGCTATACTCGACTTTGTCCGTTTCACTGACGATCGTGTCGCCAGTGGGAAATATTCTCACAGTCGCCTAGTCATCCCCGGCAGTAAACAATCCCGGAAATGGATGACGAGTCTCTATCGAATCCAAAACTACCAGACGGAAAGCAGCACGGATGACGATGACGCCGGCCGTCGTAGGATTATTCTTGATCTTGGAGAATCATACAACTACCGCAAAGACCCGGAGCATCTACCCCCGGAAAACGCCCTGCAGAAGCTTGGTGAATGGCTTCGCGTGATACCGAATTTCTTGCGCTCGTCACGCTCCCAATATGGATTCCGGGTAGCCTGCGCTGCGACCTCGATTGGTATCATTGCCTTTGTCAAACAGTCTCACGTATTCTTCGTGCGCCAGCGTCTTGCTTGGGCCATGGTCATGCAGACCATCAGCATGGGCCCGACGGCTGGTCAGACCGTTTTCAATACTGTCCTGCGCTCCACCGGTACTGTAATCGGCATGGTTGGCGCTTTGCTCGTCTGGTACATACCAGATGGCCACATAGCCGGCATTATCGTGCTATTCTTTGTCTGGAATACTGCTACCTGGTGGATTCCATTGAAAAGACCCGTCATGCAACAAGCCGGTATAGTGGGCTTGCTCACCACGATTATCATCGTGAGCAGCGAAATCGAAGTTCAGAAACTAGGCGCCCAGGCAGTAGACGCTGGAGGGCAGCCCTACTACCCGACCTACTTGCTCGCGCCTTACCGTCTGGCGGTGATTCTGGGCGGTGTAGTGGTGGCATTTATATGGACTATATTCCCGTATCCCATCTCTGATCACTCCATCCTACGACGAGAGCTGGGGGCTGCATTATTCGTTTTGGCGAGATACTACTCCGTTGTCCATGAGACAATGATTGCGCGTGCGCGCGGTGACGAGGGGGACGTGAATGTGAGATCGTCTGCGAGTCGACGGCTAGAAAAGGCCCGCCACAAAGCCTATGCGAAACAGACGGTGTCGCTCAATAAACTGCGCGCAAATATGGATTCGATCAGGTGGATAGTCCAAGTTGGGGGGAAATTTCCCAAGGGACAGTATGAGGAGATTATCAATTATATGCAAAAGTATGTTTTACGTTCCTATACCATTCGGCTTTCTCCTCTCTCTCTCTCTCTCTCTCTCTCTCTCTCTCTTTGTGTGTGTGTGTGTGTGCTAACCTCAACAGCATACTAAACTATATCAACCTCCTCGAATACGCCTCCAGAACCTTCTCCTCTACCAACTCCTCCGACGGACGTGCACACACCCGCACCCACAACGAAAGCGAATGGTACCACGACTTCACGAAACTCATCACAATGACACACATGGCCTCGCACCAGATAACGTCTATATTTGCCCTGCTCTCGGCTAGCATACTAAACGCCCAGCCTCTGCCGCCGTACTTACAAGTACCGAGTCCAGATGCGTTCATGGAGAAGATGAAAGAAGTCGACGAGGACATACTTAACATCTGCCATGCGGCCGAGCCAGGGTATTCGGCGTTTAGCGTGTTGCAGATTGCTAGTCGGTGTATTGTTGGGGATTTGGAGAGGGTGATTGAGTATGTTCCCTTTTTCCTTTTCGCAGAATAAATACTGACGGTGCGATAGGAGTGTCAAAGATCTTGTTGGGGAGCTCGACTTTTCGTTTCAAATTACAAGTCCTTCGTCTGAAAAGGAGGATTGAATAGATACCTACTTAACGTTATTAATTGATGATTCTTTCTGATAGGTTGGTGTAGCATACTCTTAGCCGACCAACCAGAATACTTTTTTGCATTTGCACAATCCCGCATGTTTGCCGTGTTTGCATTCTGCGTCTCTCCGCGGGGAATCAATCTGAATATCGTTCAATCCTCTTTTTTTTTTCTCTCTCTCTTTTGTCCAAGCTTGAATACAAAAACAAAACAAAAAAAAAAAAAGAAACACCCAGAATACCCATAACCCTCATCAATGGGTACGATCGAAGAACTACCCGACGACTACGACGAGTCGCAACCCGCGCAGTCACCGCCAGTACAACAACCACCCTCAAAAGAAACAGAAGCAGGCATCCCCTCATCTCTCCTCTCCAACAACACGCCGTTCCCCATAAAGCCAGACGTAATACACAATGACGATCCTCTGGCACCCGAATTGCCTCCGGCCATGGCCTCGATTCGATCGTATACACCGGATCAGTTGGCGGATATGCTGAACAAGACGCCATTGTTCATGACGGATTTGGAGAATGCGGGCGATGAGCGTGTGTTTAGCCCTTTCATATCAAATAGGGGAAAAAAAAAAGAAAGAAAGACATACTAATTATATTATTGTAAATAGAAGGTGAAAACGTCATGCTCGACGCAATCCGCGCCATGCAATACGAAGGAACCCGCGGCGAAGTTGCGCTCAGTTTCCGCGAACAAGGAAACGAATACGCCAAGGCAAGGAATTGGGCGGACGCAAAGGAATTATATACGAAAGCCATTGCTGTGCTGAATGTCAAGAAGGAGGATGATAAATGGGAGACACCGACTGATCTGGCGGCGGAGGAGAGGATGCTAAAAGAGGCCCGCGAGGCTTGTTATGCGAATAGGGCTTTGTGTAATTTGGAGCTGAGTGAGTTTCCCCCTTAATTTTTCTTTTCCCTTATGGCCACAAAAAGAGGCTAATTAAGTGATAGAAAACTACAGGTCGACGACGCTGGATTGCGCGCAGGCGCTCAAAGTCAATCCGAAAAACGTCAAGGCTTACTACCGCTCGTCCATGGCGTTGCTGGCACTGGACAAAATCGCCGAAGCTGAGGATACGGTCTTGCGTGGTCTCGCGGTTGATTCTTCCAACAAGTCTCTGCAACAAGTATCGGAGAAGATCGCAGCGCGCAAACTCGTTCTCGAGAAAATAGCGGCCAAACGACGCGCCGAAGAAGAACGGATGCGCAAGGAGAAACAGCTCCTAGCCACGGCACTACAAGCGCGTCAGATCCGCGTGCGCAAAACCGAGGAAAAGCCAGACATGGAAGACGCAAAGGTGCATTTAACGCCGGATCCGCTCTCGCCGGAGAGCACGCTGGCTTTCCCCGTTATGTTCTTGTATCCCATGGACGCGCAGACGGATTTTGTCAAGGCGTTTTCGGAGACGGATTGCATTGTGGATCATTTGGAGTACCTGTTCCCATTGCCGTGGGATTCGAAGCGCGAGTATCAGGTGCATTCGGTCGATTGCTTTATGGAGACGGTGACTGGTGGCTTGATCAAAGCTGGCAAGAAGTTGCCGCTGCTGCAGGTCTTGTCTGGTGGGAAGGTCGAGGTTGTGGATGAGTTGGTTAGGGTCATGGTGGTGCCGAGCCAGAAGTCCAAGGCCTTCATCGAGCAGTTTAAAGTGAGGAAGAACAAGTCTTGAGCATTTGATTGCGATTCATAATGGATCAGCTGTCTGCATTTGAGGCCGATGGATTGATTACAAGTTACTCGAGGCCGACCCCGAGAGAACGAGGAACAGTCGATGATGGCTACGCTTTCTTGCAGTGACCCTACACATCGTCAAATCGACCAATCCGTCAACTTGACAATCTACAGAAGAGGACGTGAAAGGAAGAAGAGAATTCTCGAATTCCGATTAGACCTGCCCATTCGTGGCGTGTATATAACACATAACGAGGGAAACCGAGTGGTTCTTGTGTCTTGACACTCGGAAGAAAACCTCGTCTCAGGCCTTGATAATGTCTAGATCCATGGATATAGAAAAATTATAGAAATTAAGAAAGAAGGGATACATGAAATATAAATCGCTCAGACGCTGACAGGGGTATCTTTCTTCGTACAAAAAAGTTTTGATGCGCATCAAAATAGAAATCAAACATGATTTTATCAAATTAACGTTCCGGAACAGAATTTTTTTTCTTCTTCTTTCAAGCATGCATGTTGTCTTTTTATTCATGAAATTCGTGATGGTAGGAAGACGTCTTTCTTCTTTTTATTGGTGATACTTGCGAGCATATCTTAAGCCCTGCACAAATGTACCGTCAACGATGTGATTCTCAAGCAGTTCTTTCTCCGGCTCGTAATCCGCGCCTAGAGAGTAAAGCTGATCCGAGGTATTTTGCTCGATTCGTTCAATGTATGAGTCGCTTTCGCTCACAGCATAAGCCTCAGCCCATACTGTGGATATGTCGGGGCAGCGCAATTCGTTGTCTTGCTCCTCCTCCTCGTGAATGGGAGTGATGCCGCTGCTGGTGGTGACGGGCGAATTGTTGGGACCAATGTAGAACACGTAGTCGAGATGATGGCGTTTGACTTGTTGCATGAGTTCCTCTTCGGAGGCCATTTCATCGCCGTATGAAGAAGTCGAGCCGGCATCGATAGCGTCGTGGTGGTGATGGTCTGACGGGATATTGCTGGCCACGAGCTGGTTGAGGTGGTTCTTGTAATAGAGGCCGAGGCGACGTACAGCCTCAATGGCCTTTTTGGTTTTCTCTGCAAGCCTTTGTATGCATCGGGGGGAGTCCGTTTTGGTCTCTGGCTTGGATTCGGTGACTGTTTCGTCTCCGGCCCGGCGTGTGTTGTTGAAGGCTGGAGCGGCAGAAGAAAAGGAGAGTGTGAAATGTTCATTGAAGCTGGAAGCACGAGCCATGTTGATAGAGAAAATGATCGCGAGCTGGGGATTTGATTTGTTTCCGATTGTATCCTCGCGGCCCTCTGAGAATGGAGTTTGACCTTGGCTCTCTCTCTCTCTTTTTTTTTTAGGTTTTTCTGGCCCTCAGAGGCTCGATGAAACTGTTTGATTGATCGGAGGTGGTTTGAATAGTAAAATGCTCAAGCGGATAGGTATATTGTGTTTTCCTCGATATCACACGGCTGTCGTGTACCTGCAAGAAGAAGGAAAGAAGAAAGAGGTTGGAGACAATTCACCCCGATTTATGTCTGAGGGCTTTAGGCTTCCAGCCATGTCTGCCATGTCTACAAAGAGTGATCCACGGATCGTGCTGTAGGCATCAGGGCAGGCTGTATAGGTAGAAGTCAGATCCATGGATGGGTGAACTGATATTCGACGGAAGTATAGAAGTATAACACCACCGCTGCCTGGGCCAGTCATCTGGGCCATGGCACTGGCCATGTCAACCGAGTGTTCACGTTCTAACAAAGCAATTGAGTCCTGGCTTTGAACGTTGTGTGGATTAGGTACATTCAGTGCTGCCTGCCAGGCATCAAGCACAACAAGGCACCGACTGTAACCAGCACCAACCTTGGAACATTGGAGTAAGAGCTGCTAGACTCTTTGCTGTTTTTCATGGTGTTAAAACTAAGATTAGATGAATAAATATGCTAGTCTCACGAGGCTAGAAAAAGACTACACGGCGGTTAGGGCTAGGACATAGAATAGTCTGGTTCCAATTGAGAGAGTCAATCCATTGATCTGTTTCATCTCATCACTTGTCATATAGTATATACGCGGATTAATTTCCCTTCAACCAATACAACGCTGCATCGTCGACAACTTTCTGCTCCCAACCCTCAGTTTTCAATGGGCCCAGAACCTCCACTGTAGTTTGCCCTGCAGCAAAAACGCCCCGGCATGGCATGTCAAGCGTCAGGTTCTCCGTATTACCGTCCCCCGTAAGTTTCTGAAGGGCCTTTTCCGACGCTAGATAGACCAGGCGTCCAATATGGGCCCAGTATATGGTTCCAGCACACATAGCACATGGCTCCCAGGTAGAGACCATGGTGCATTTGGCAAGGTAGTCCCAGGCGTAGTTATCCGCGGCATTGCGGGCCAGCTCGCATTCAGCATGGCGAACATGCGAGAGCGAAAGAGAGCTCATCAGCACGGTTTCATTGTCGGGACCCAGCAGGAGCGCTGCGAATGGCCGCTTGGAGTGGATTTCTCGTCCTGATTGTTGCAGGGCGAGGCATTGGCGTGCACCAGAGGCTAGCTGCTCGGGCGTCAACGGCAAAATGCCAGAGGTTTGGGACATTGTGTAGTGGAAGTATACGTTAATATGTAGGACGATGTGTCAGGCTAGGAACATGGCGCAAATTATACGGGGAGAAAGGGGGAATTTACATGCCAGTGACGGCGGCATCCGCCGACAGTGGAGTTTATTATTTAATTATCAAACTAGTTACTAGATAACTGATTGCGTCCGCCTTATGCATGGCCCAATAATCTTTTGAATGAAGAGGATCTCTTAACGAATGTTGTCCTCCGTCCGACGGAAGATGCTACGATTCACTAGACTGTATAATGTACAGCGTGACTACCACGTACTGGATCAACCATCCACCAACCTTTTGGTCAACCCCTTTTCTTGGTTCTTCGTGACATACGTGGCCTCGAGCGCCACACTGCTCTCATCAAGTACACTGGCGGCATCTAGACCGTCATCCGGAAGCACAGCAGTCACGATCTTTGAATCAGCGTAAGGGAGGCAGTAATTGAGAGCAACATAAACGATCGAGGTGCCGAAGAACCCTAAAAGCCAGCCAAATTGATACGGATGAACCCCAACCCCGATTCTTATATGTGAATTGACCGACTGCATCAAGCCCGGCAGACTGGGAACGGCGCCGACTACAAAGGACACCAGCGCATGGCAGTTGAATCCGCCGGTGTACCGATAAATGCTCATGGGCTGATACAAAGCCACACAGTCGTATTTGCGGCGCTTGATGATCCAATAGTCGCACAGCATGATGGCGGCTATCGGCCCGAGGAAAACGGCATAGGCTGACATGAAGTTGAGGAAGTTGCCCGCAGACTCCAGGATTTTCCAAGGCACTAGGGCCCAGGCCAGTAGAGCACAAAGCAGTTGGCCGCGGCGGATGTTCATGAATTGGGGTGCGAGCGCAGTGAAGTCGTTCGCTGCGGAGAGCGAATTGGCAGAGATATTGGACCCCAGGGCGGCGAGGGCAAATGAAAACGCCCCAAAAAACCGGCATGCTCGACTGCTCCAGAACGCGAGAAGCACATTCGGGTCCCACGGAATTGAGTCAGTGTGATACCTGGCCTGTCCTGCAGAGGAGACGGCGATGCCCATGAAGGCTATGAAGGTGAAGAATGCTGGGAGTAGGACGACATAGAGCATGTGCCAGCGCGGACTAACGCGAGAATACCGTGAGAAGTCAGCTTGGTTGACACTGACGGTTGCATAGTTCCCAATGACGGATGTCAGAGACGACATCATTGCCCAGCTATATGATGGCCCCGTCAATTGACTCTTTTGGGAAAACAGGCCGCCTCCGTTTGGAACCGCGATAAAAGCCCATATGAGCATGGCAATCCATGCCGCTGGCACGATAATCGACTTGGCTAAAAACAGATAGCGCAGTCTATTCGGATGGACCATAAGAAAGGGTATCTGAAGCAGCCAAAAGAGTAGAAATCCCACCATGCCCTGCGTCGTAATTCCCTCTCCCGCTGGCAGGGTATTTGGAATATGTAAAAAGCTCGGCCATATTGCTCCAAGCATGACAGCAACAGAGTTGCCTCCGTTCACAACCTGGGTTGCAAACCAGAAGACCGCGAGAACCAACCTCGAGATGATAGGAACATAAGAGCCCCAGAAACCCCAACTAGCACGAGCAATAACCGGGAAAGGAACATGATATATAGTGCCAATAGCTCCGTTCATAGCTATGACAATGGAGAGGATGAAAAACCCTAGAGCAACCATGCCCAGAGACTCTTTCCAGGATAGCCCGACGGCGATGATGCTGCTCGCCAGCTGCCAGTTAGCAACCGAGAAGGCGTCGGAAATCCAATACCCGATGAAGCTGAGAACCGTCCATTTCCGCATGCCTGGCGGAACAGGATCGAGATCTTTGTTCGTCCAGCGCACATTCCCGTGTACGAAGCTGGAGTCGGCCGGTGGAACGCGTAGCCGAGGCCAACGAGGTGTTGGAAACCTCATTGTGAGTCAGGTACGCGTTGATTGGGAGGAAACATCAACGATACATGCTGATGGAGATCACAGTATGATCGCGTATGGTATTTAAGAAAACACCTTCATCTTGGGCGTGAGTGAAGTCTATCACCAAGTATTTTCTCGTCCTGATAGGGTTCGGGTTTGTTGATAAGACTAAGAAGCTCCATTGGATAAAAGCTCCTTTGCTAACTTAGTAGACTGTTATGCCAAGGCGTCTTCTCTAGGTCTGGTTACGTACCCTCGTAGTGCATATTCGCTATCTAGAGTTGATATTCTGATTGCGAGCGAAGAGCACCGCTATACTTGCTCCTGGCATCTTACATCGGCGGATGCCGCCGTTACGCAGCGAGCAAAGCTTTTCATAACGCAGGATTCGTTATCTGGTGAAGATACTGCCTTAGGGCTTACCTTAAGGTTTATAGGTGAAGCTTATATCCTCGATATGATTGGAGCCCTCCCCGCTCTTCAAGCCCGTCCCCAGGCTGTAAAGATTATACTAAAAGATAAACAGAGAAGAGATTATCTTGGTTTGTATACCCAATTAGAGACGGAATCATACGGGCATCCTGATAGTATTTGAGTAGACGCCGTCCTACTCAATCTCAAATGTCGACCAATGTACGGAAATGCTGCCTGGAGCAAGCCATTGCTCAACAACCACTGTTTGTTTGTCAAAGAATATTTCCGAAGCGAGTATGAAATGCCGGCCATGATCTCGGTCCATACCGTAATGGAACCGAGTCTGAGTTAGAGACTATATGTGTTTCAGCAGCCTATTTGCTTCCCGGCGTGGAAACTTGCTGGGCACTCCGTAATGGGCGCCTCTTCACCTGTTCAGACATCGTGGAGGGGACGAAAAGCCAGTTGTGTATGGAATGCGCTACTATATCCCTGTGTTGGCATGCCTACGGAGTACTTCTGCTGTTGTTGGTGAAATAATCCATCACGGACGCGAGCCATGGGTAGATCAAAGTTCCTGGACGATAGGTACGCATAGGTATACCCGGCGTCCTTAGATCCGAGGAGTCCATAAGGCTGGTAAGATAGGTAGGCGTTTGCACAGCTCCGGCAGCACGAATTGGCAACTGTCAAGTTCAATGGCGTGGCTGCTGATATCGTGCTCATGGGCGTAGGGCGTGGTAGCCGACATGAAGTTGATTCGAACTTATTAAATTTAATGGAGTAGTCATGCCAGTCTCCACGCTGAAATGAGCGGCGGGCCTGGCCAGCCAATGGGAGGCCTGCACGGGCCGCGGTGTGCTGAGGCAGCGCAGGAGGGGCCCCACTTTCCAGCCCCGGCGCTGCAATGTCCCAGAACGGCTTAGCGGCAGGCCGCATGCCTCCTCCTGCCGCGGGCAAAACTCGCACCGCTCGACCACCGCACAATCTTCGACTCTCTCGCCGCGATACAAATACGCCTCGAATCCTTGCTCTGCCGTGCGTCCGCCAATCATAAATCGAGCCTGCTTTCCCACTGCGAGTCAGACCACCGCCAATTGTGCCCTCCCCCGAACGCCGCCCGTGGTGATACCTCTTCCATCCTGCGCCCCTTTCCGCTACACTCCCGCTTTGTGTCGCCAGTCATTGCGGCGAGTCTGCCTTGTGCCTGCGCGGAAATAGACAAGGCCGTTGTCCCGACAAATTAGGGGATAAAAAAAAAGAAAGGGGACAAAAAATTAAAGAAGTCTTACTGGCGTGGCGGATATCCAGATCGTCCCGGTCCATACATACTACTACATATATTACATACATAGCCCGCCAATATGAATTCTAACCCCACTGGTTATCCTACGACCATGCAGCAGCATGCTAATCCTATGCTGGCTGCCGCTGCAGGCTATCCTATCCAGTCAGGAAGCCCAGGCAATCAGCAGTTTCCTTTCTATGCCAACCCAATGGCTGCATATCCTCCTCAGGTGCCGCAGGCACGTCCTGGGGCAATGCAACAGCAACAGCAACAACAACAACATTCCTTCAACCCCATGCAGATCCAAACTTCTGGCCCTGGCGGACCTATGATGCCAAGTAACATGGTCGGTAAGTAAGATTCATTAAACCTGTCTTCCCTTTTTTTTTAAAGAGAAAAAGAAAATCTTTTGGCCACGATGTTCCTCTTTTCCATTGGTACCGTGCTACGTGTCTGCATGAAGATCAGCCACTTCAACATACACCATCCGATTCCTTTCCCCTTGTTCTACATTCCCATTCCTCATGTCATTGGTCAAACCTTTGCTTCATGAACATATGAAGCGAAGCGTTGTCGCAAGGAACCACGGACTCCGCTACCCCAACATTCTTCCGTGATTGTATCCACCATGGCCACTGGCCGGTGGGTTTAGGACAGATATACTAACGGGACACCATTTGTTTACGGCAGCTCCGCAGACTAATCTTCCTTACTCTTCGCCTTCTCCATATCATCCGACCTCCATCCCAACCACTACGACTGCTTCACCATCGCACTCACAGAGCCCGACCACGGCAGCAACTATTTCAATGCAGATGCCGTCGCAGAATATGGCCGCAGTTGCCAACCCCGCAATGTTGGCTGCGCAGCAGCAGCAGCAACAACAACAGAGACCTGCGCCGCCAGCTAATCAACCGCCACAAGGACAGCAACAACCACAGCAACAGCAACAGCAGCAACAACAACAACAAGCCGTTCCTCAATCTCCGGCTGCTGCTGCTCGTGAGCGAGCTCGCGTCAGCACTCTTCTGGAAATCAACTCCACTCTACTTCAAGAACTGTTGAATATGCAAGCAGCAGGCAAATCTGGTGGCCCCCCGCAAGCACCAACAAACCAAGAGCAACAGACATCATCGCCAAATTCAACAGCGGAATCAAATGCTGCCGGGGAAGCTCCGAGAAAGCCCAGCCAGGAATACGTTGAATGTTTGAAGCGCCTGCAAACCAATCTAGTCTACCTCGCTTCTGTTACCGATCGCACCAAAAAACCAGGGCCATCGGCTCCTCCAATTCTTACCCCTCCGCCACATATGAGCAGCTTGACTGAAATCTACTCGAAGCTCAGTGAGCTGTTCCCTGCTGTACCTCGACCTGCTGCAGCACACCAGCAACGGCCTAGCCAGTCAGGCATAGCAACCACTGAGAATGCCGTGTGACGAAGCGGAATTGCAATAAAGAGAAACACCCTTACTTGATTGCTACCGGTTTATCACCTCTACAGACGCTCCTTAGTAAATTTACAGAGCTCCGACGGGGACCGCTTCTGTCCTATACGTGCCTTGCCCAATACCTGAAGGCCTCACGGTCAAGAAGAGTATGGCACTCGTAATCGCTCCAATATGCACTTACGGTTTCAGTCATAACCAGATGACATAATCGTCGAAGCTCTCCTACCACCTCCTTGAGCTTGAGACATTTTCAGGTGCGCAACTATCGGCGACTGGGCTGATATAGGCTACACATGTCTAAGACATACTCTTACTAGCCATATGTAAACAGGCCTAGGCCTAGCGCTCGGCAAACAGGGCTGTTGAACGAGTGATAGTCATGTGGATATAAAACAAGCCTGTATTCTATGTTGGAGCAGTGCTGGTTTTCGGAGATAGTGTAATATTAAACCATGTCATCTATATACCTGTAATCCAATGCTAGTCCATATGTATGCTGGTCACGCTCTCTCGCCGCGAGTTATTATAGACCTGAGTGCATAGCGGCCGTCCAATCAGAGGCCGCCGATCGCAGGCGGGAGATCAACCACCAGAATTTTTGCATCGGCAGCTGCGTTTGTTCCGGTGACTAACAAAGTCCTCACGCGCCGCTCTAGTCTCACCTCCACCGAACGGCTTCTGGGATAGAGCTTGGAAGCCATCGCTGCCTCTGCCCATCGTCATTGGCAGTGCTGTGGATGTCCGCCGTTTCATTGGCCACGCGCAGGACGGCAACGCGCATCCTCTTTGCTCCTCCTTCTCCTGCATCCGCATCGTTAGCTGCTGTGGCGCCACCCACAGCTTCAAAAGCTGGTTTCCCTGCCACCTCTTCTTTGCTGCTTATCCCAGGTCACAAGCTCAGAGCTGGTTCTTTAGCATTTCAACCTCACCCGTGTATAGACGTCCGACCCCAATCAAAGCTTGCTCAGCCTTCTTATATCCCCGCCGCAAGGTCCTCCTTGAAGTCCAGCTCCCGGCCGTCTGCGTTCGCTCAAGCTCACAGCTCGTTATCCTTCCGAACTCACAGAAACCACAGCACATCGTCTGATACTTCTTCTTCTAATACGGCTTCCAATATGACCGGCGAAGCTCGCCCCAAGCGCAAACATAGCCCGGTGCCTGCGTCCGACAGGCCTGCGAAACACCTGAAGCCTGAATCCACTGTTCTTACGCCCGGGGATGAAACACCTGCGAATGGCACCGTATATGACGTGGAGAATGATGAAGACATCACACCGATCGTTGCGTTGGGGGCAACTCAGGCGGACTCGCCGGAGTGGCAAGCGACTATTGAGTCAGTGGTGAAGAGTGTCGTCTCGATCCATTTCTGTCAGACATGCTCATTCGACACCGACCTGTCCATGTGTAGCCAGGCAACAGGGTTCGTTGTGGACGCCAAGAGAGGCTACATTCTCACAAACAGACATGTTGTCTGTGCCGGCCCGTTCTGGGGTTATTGCATTTTCGACAATCATGAGGAGGTGAGCTTTTACCCAGTATTGCCTTTATGAAGCCGCATTTAATCTCTAACTCTTTTGGCAGTGCGATGTTCGTCCCGTTTATCGGGATCCTGTCCACGACTTTGGCATTCTGAAATTCGACCCCAAGGCAATCAAATACATGGATATGACAGAGCTAAAGTTGAATCCGGAGGGGGCACAAGTGGGGGTTGAGATCAGGGTGGTCGGTAACGATGCCGGAGAGAAGCTAAGTATTCTCTCTGGTGTCATCAGTCGCCTTGACCGTAACGCTCCTGAGTACGGCGAAGGCTACAGCGACTTCAACACAAATTACATACAAGCGGCTGCTGCCGCCAGCGGCGGAAGCTCTGGTAGTCCTGTCGTCAATATCGCCGGGCATGTCGTCGCTCTACAGGCCGGTGGTCGTGCGGATGGTGCTGCTACAGATTACTTTCTCCCACTGGGCCGTCCACTACGCGCACTCCAGTGCATACAGGAAGAGAAACCTGTCACGCGAGGCACCATTCAAACACAATGGATGATTAAACCTTTTGATGAATGTCGACGTCTTGGACTGACCCCGGAGTGGGAGGCCTCTGTCCGCAAAACCGCGCCTAAGGAGACAGGAATGTTGGTGGCGGAAATTGTTCTTCCCGAGGGCCCGGCTGATGGGAAGCTTCAAGAGGGAGATGTACTTCTCAAGGTGAATGGAGAGCTGCTCACTCAGTTTGTGCGACTTGATGATATACTGGATTCCAATGTCGGCAAATCTATCCACCTTCTTATACAGCGCGGCGGCGAGGACCTCGAATTGGAATGCAGCGTTGGAGACCTACACGCTATCACACCAGATCGCTTCGTCAGCGTCGCTGGTGGTACATTCCATGATCTTTCTTACCAGCAAGCGCGGCTTTATGCTATCGCCACTCGTGGCGTCTACGTTTGTGAGGCAGCAGGATCCTTCAAGATTGAAAACACTCTGTCGGGGTGGATCATTGATTCGGTAGACAAGCGGCCTACTCGAAACTTGCAAGAGTTTATTGAGGTTATGAAGACAATACCAGGTAAGCACGTCACCTTCGATACCAATTTCACTGGGCAACCTAACAAGACTGTTTAAATTAGATCGCTCGAAAATTGTTATTTCTTATAGACATATTCGAGATCTCCATACACGAGGCACAAGCATTATCTACCTCGATCGTCACTGGCATCCAAAGATGTCCCTTGCAGTCCGTAACGACAAGACCGGCTTGTGGGACTTTTCAGATATCGCCGAACCTCTACCCGCTGAGCCACCAGTTCCTCGAAAAGCGGATTTTATTCAGTTGGACGGGGTCAGTCAGACCGCTGCCGCTGATATCGTTCGCAGTTTCGTCCGGGTGTCATGCACCATGCCGCTGAAGCTGGATGGATTCCCTCAGGGCAAAAAAACCGGATACGGTTTAGTCATTGATGCGGAGAAGGGCCTTGTCGTTGTTTCTCGGGCTATTGTTCCGTACGATCTGTGTGATATCAATATCACAGTTGCAGATTCGATTATCGTCACTGGCAAAGTGATTTTCATGCATCCTCTGCAAAACTATACCATTGTGCAATACGATCCAAGTCTCGTCCAGGCTCCAGTAAAAAGTGCGCGGCTAAGCACGGAAAACATCAAACAAGGTCAAGACACAATATTTGTCGGATTCAATCAAAATCTGCGCATTGTTGTCGCTAAAACAACAGTCACTGACATCACCACCGTTGCTATCCCCGCCAACGCCTCTGCTCCACGTTACCGGGCTATCAATCTTGACGCTATCACAGTGGACACGGGGCTCAGCAGCCAGTGCACTAACGGTGTCTTGCTGAGGGATGACGGCGTTGTCCAGGCTCTTTGGCTAAACTATCTAGGAGAACGAACGCCAAGCTCGCATAAAGACGTCGAGTATCATCTTGGGCTCGCAACGCCTTCTCTTCTACCCATAATTAGCAAGATCCAAGGAGGCGAAATCCCAAAGTTGCGTATCTTGGATATGGAAAGCTATGTCATTCAAATGAGTCAAGCTCGAATAATGGGCGTATCGGAGAAGTGGATCGAGCAAGTAGCAGCAGCCAACCCTTCCCGACATCAATTGTTCATGGTCAGAAAACTGGACAGCCCTCCTCCATCTTTCACGCATCATGAGACAGATTCCTTGAAGGAGGGAGACATCATTCTCACACTAAATGGAAAGCTTATTACGCGAGTCTCCGAGTTCGACGTTATGTACGACAACGAAGTTCTCGACGCGTTGATCGTCCGAAACGGACAGGAAATGCACGTCAAGTTGCGTACGGTGCCAACGGAAGATTTGGAGACCGATCGAGCAGTCATGTTTTGCGGAGCTGTGTTGCAGAAGCCACATCACGCTGTGCGGCAACAGATTTCGAAGCTTCACAGTGAGATTTACATCAGTGCTAGGGTATGTTTTCCTATATTATATGAGTGTTTCACCCCCCACCGGGTTTACTAACATAATCCTGCAGAGTCGTGGCTCACCTGCCTACCAGTATGGATTGTCTCCGACAAATTTCATCACAGCAGTGAACGGAGTGCAAACCCGCGATCTCGACAGCTTTGTCCGCGAGGTGAAAAAGATCCCGGATAACACATACTTCCGTCTTCGGGCGGTCACATTCGACAATGTACCGTGGGTTGTCACGATGAAAAAGAATGATCACTACGTAAGTCTTCTTTGCTTCTTGTTTGTCAAATCATATTCTCTAATAGACAACAGTTCTCCATGTCGGAATATGTCAAAGACCCCTCAGTCCCGGCTGGGTGGAAGGTGGTCTCTTATCCGAAAAAAGACGAAGCTTCGGCGGATACATCCAACCTGACAGCAGATGCGATGGACGAAGGAACAGAAGGTGGCGGAAGTGATGCAGAGCCTGATCAGGATTAGACTGGACATAATAATGTACTTGATAGACAGATATATGCAGTTGCAGTTCTTGTACAATAGATATATATAGAGAGAGCGCACTTCATTCCTGCATGCCAAATATGCACATATGGTCAGTACACAGGTAGATAAGGCCAACACGTCAAAAGAGCTTGGCAGGTCGCCCTTGCTGTTTGCTATCTACAATGAAGTATGATCAGCAAAAGTATTGCATAGCCATTCTAAAAGCGGTTGCAGCTGCATTATAACAATGCACTTCGATCTTGCCAGGGCACTCGGTAAACCGGTTTTTAGATGGAGTCGGGAATGTAAAGCTGACTTGAATCTATATGTAAATGTACAAACAAGGCAAGTATTCTAATATAGTAACCTGCCGATTTTAGCCTGCAAAGACCGGGTTAACCAGCCTTCTTTGTAACTTGTATACCTAAAGTAAAGTCCTTCCAGTAATTCGCCGCTCTGCATGCGTTCCTCTTGCTCTTATGTGCTTCTAGTACTCTCTGTGCAAGTCCATTATCACAGAAAATAATCTTGGAACGCTTCACATGGAGAGCTATGGCATGGCATAAGGTAGTGATAGTCGGACTACAAACATGCAATATGACGTCCCCCCCGAACTCATTTTTCAGACATGTGCTTTCTAATGATTTGTAGTATTCACAAGGGATAGGAATGGTGACCTTGAAAAAGAATGATATGGCACAATCCATCTGCAAGGCTTGCATTGCATTGCCTCCAGGCTGTAAAGTGACATATTTTAGCATGAAATGAATATATGCGATAGTATTCTTACCTTTGTAGGTAAGGTAGCTAGTTGTCGCTATGATCAATGAAGCTTGCCTTAGGTATATAAACACCGCCATATCTGGTTCGTAGACATTGTGCTCAAACTTTTTTACTTTTCAATGAAGACCGGATTGAATACATCTTACAGGAACAAGAATGACGATGAACAAAACGATTCTCTCCCACTGGGACTCCTTCTCGACCAAGGCCCAAAGCAAGAACTGCCGCGAGGCTCTCAACGGATCCAACTTAGATGTTGCTACCGTGGTAGCTGTTGCAAAGTGATGGCAGTGAGATTCCGCCGGCTATCGACCCAGCTAACTTTGTATGTGTATATATGCAGACATGGCGCCTTGAGTGAGATCGAACAAAATGCCTTGGAGGCCGTTGAGAACAGTGCCAATGTGCTCGAATCAAAGCTTGCTGCAGGCGAGGTGATATACGGTTCGTTTTAACATCTTATGTAGCATGTTTTGATATTGCAGATCTCTGAGCATGCCATTAGGGGTCAATACCGGTTTTGGCGGCAGTGCAAATACCCGAACAGATGCTGTAGAAGACCTGCAGCAGAATCTTCTCCGGATGCTTCAGTACGGAGTATTGCATACGCCGCTGGTATTGGAGCGTTCCAATGAACCGATGAAAGGCGAATACCAAGCCCTACCGGACAACGCCTTTAAGCCGCCCGAGTTCCCTCTGAGCGACGCAGCGACATCTACATGTATGCCTGAGTCGTGGGTGCGGGCGTCAATGCTCATTCGGCTCAATTCGCTCCTCTCTGGACTGTCCGGGGTAAAGCAGGATACAATCATGACACTAGCAAAGCTGGTTGACAAAAGAATAACCCCCAGAGTTCCCCTCCGAGGAAGTATCTCTGCTTCCGGAGATTTGAGCCCTCTGGCATACATCGGAGGTGTCATACAAGGATCACCTACGATGACAGTAATGGCAGACGATGCCTCAGGTGTACGGAGACTTCGAAGGGCTGATCAGGCATTGCTGGACCAGGGGGTCTCTCCTATCAAACTTCGCGCGAAGGAGGGCCTGGCCATTGTTAACGGCACTGCTGTCTCAGCTGCGGTAGGCGCACTGGCTCTCCACGAAGCGCTCGGTCAAGCGGCGTTGGCTCAGGTCCTCACTGCCATGAGCGTTGAGGCGATGTCCGGTACCGACGAGAGCTTCAAGCCTCTCTTTGGCAAAGCTCGCCCGCATCCCGGCCAAATCGACGTTTCGAACGCTATACATTACTTCCTAGCCAACTCCAAGCTCATTAACCGCGAAGGGGGCGCAAACACAGGAGAGTTGCGCCAGGATAGATACTCTCTTCGCACTGCGCCGCAATGGATCGGACCGGTCCTGGAGGACTTGAGCCTAGCCCATGAGCAGGTCAGTATTGAGCTCAAGTCTGTTACAGACAACCCGTTGGTTGACTGGGAAGCTGGCGGTGATATACTGCATGGTGGTAACTTTCAGGCCAAGGTTGTCACTAGTGCATTGGAGAAGACTAGACAGGGCTTGCAGACCATCGGACGCATTCTATTCTCCCAATGCACCGAAATGATCAATCCAGCAACAAATCATGGACTGCCTCCAAACCTTGTGGCTGGTGATCCCAGTCGTTCTTTCATTTGGAAAGGTACTTTCTGTTTGTCTGACTGGTTCACATGGGGAATATAGGCACTGAACTATGCAACCAATAGGGACGGACATCATGATAGCAGCCCTACAGGCAGAGCTTGGCTTTTTGGCCAACCCAGTGGGTAGTCATGTACAGACCGCGGAAATGAATAACCAGGCGGTTAATTCCCTAGCCCTAATTTCCGGTCGTTATACCCTGCAGGCAGTTGAAGTGCTTACACAGCTGATGGCTGCACACCTCCTGGCGCTTTGCCAGGCTCTAGATCTTCGTGTCTTGCGCATCAAGTTTCTTGATGCGTTTTCCCAGGACTTCCTAAAAATGACCCAGACTGCATTTGACCCCTATCTCAAGGATCATGACACTGAATTTTTTGAGTCACTTTGGCAAGGATTTTGTCGGAATCTCGAAGGCCTTGGAGGCGAAGATTCTGCCACGCGTTTCAAGTCTGCAGTGGAAGCATTACAATCTGCCATATTAGAGAGGATCGTGTTTCGAGAGACTACACTGACGGCTCTGAAGTCATGGATTAGTCAATGTGCTGAAAAGGGCGAAGACACGTATGAAATCATCAGACTGGAATACGGAACCAGCCCACAGGCAGCTCCATACCTGGGATGCGCCTCGGCTCGACTATATAAATACGTTCGAGAGGAGCTCCAAATACCCTTTGTCTATGATGACGCCGTTCTCGACTCTGCCCGTCCAGACGGCACAACTATCGGCAACATGATCACAAGGATCTGTGAAGCATTGCAGAGTGGTGCTTTGTATTCCGTCGTCATGGAGTGCTTCAGGGATGCTTTGCAGGGAACTGAAAGGGTCGGGTTGAATTTCCCTGCAAGCATGCCAGTGAGAAGCAATTTTGACGGACGAAGAGCTGCTAATGTTGAAGGTTTCAACATAGATATGACGCTTTCTGTCAATTCTGCCAAACATGTCAAGACACCGGTCATCTCAGGCCAGCTCTTCCTGGAGAACCTTGAATTGTTCCATCACCTAGGTTCCGCTGTGAATCATGTCAAGTAACTTCGAATCTTTGGCAGATCTAAATGCTGAAAAGATTCTAGTCAATCAAAGGCATAAGAGAAATTTAGGGCATCAGAATGAATGCTTCACATAGATATAAAATGAAATTTTATATAGCTTTCATAAGCATCTATACTAGTGGAGATCACCTATTCTATTAAGCAAACCCTAATCTGATAAACTTCCTCAGCATCCCACAATCAGTGCGCAAACCTGAAATCCAATCTCCTACTCCCTTGCACTTTGGTATATTTAATATAGTCACTCCGCTCCCCCTCCGTCATAGTATTCCAGATGCGATCTCTCCGTCGGTTCTGGTAGAGGTAATAGACCTTGGTTCCCAGGAAAATGAAGATAACGACAATATTGATTGCGATCAAATCAGTGTTGCCGCGATGATACATTGGCCTGTCGTCGTCGCGGTATATGAAGTTGGCGACAATGCTGCCGAGTTGGACGGCCATCTGGTTTGGAGGTTAGATCAATTTGCTATTTGAAAGATTTTCTGCTCTGGTAGGTATTGAAAAAGAACTACATACATTGTATAATGCAGCTGATACAGATCGCGTACCGACATTGTTGGAGTTCCGTGATGTCCATCCGACAACGATTGCTATAGCATGGTATGTTAGTAAAGTATATAACTTTGGATTACGTTGAAAAAGAAACGACTTTCCATGGCAATAAGGGTAGCTGAGGAGTACAGTCACCAAGGCGTACGTCCCCCAAGCATCTCCAATAAGCCCCGGCCAGAATCGCAAGGCTATCACACAAGGCAAAGTCCATACAGCCTGCAGCATAGAAACAAGGGATTTCTCATTCAGCCACTCCGAAAGCCGCGTGAGAAAGAGCAATGTGCAGATATGGAACACACTCGACGGGATGGTGAGAAGATTCGTATTGAATGTGCTGAAGCCCACCGAACGTAAGGTCAATGTCAGATATGTACTGGGCGGAGTCTGAGGAATATATGCCAAGAATCCAATGAGATAAACTGGCCAGAGATGATAGTCTGTTGCTGCGTTCCAGAGCCGGGTGGGCGTTATTGCTTGCCTGTTATGCATGTCGCCTTTGGACGGGTCATCGCGTAGGACACGGTTGACGACAATCGCCAGCTCGCGATCGTTGAACCATCCTTTTGGTCGGAACCAGGTCTTGGTCTGCACTGCTGAGGCGGGCATCATGAAGAAGGATCCTAGTCCGATGGCGAGGGTTATCACGCCTTCAATAAGGAACAGCCAACGCCAGCCGGCCAAGCCGTGAACACCATTGAGATGGAAAATGGCAAAGGCTAGTAGAGAAGTGACAATCGACGTCACAGATAAGGTTGCCCAGAAAAAGCTCAGGCGGATGGGTAGTTCTCTAGATGTATAAAAGTAAGACAGCCAAAGAACTATATCTGGAATGAAGCCGCCCTTGAAAGGAGAGTCAATATACGAATGCCATCTACAGATTGTGAAAATCTTACCTCAAGGATGCCGAGCAAAGCCCTCGTAGCTAGAAACGAGCCTCTGTCGGTGATGGCACACTGACAGATGGCAACGATAGACCACAAAGCAATCTGCATGGGAATCCATCGATCCGGTCCGATCTTCTTAGAAACTAGCTGCGAAGGCAGTTCAGCCAGCAGGAACGAGACCTTGAAGACCGTGTTGCCCCAGTTATAATCTGGGATTTGGTGCAAGTCAGGCCAATGCAAGTCACATTACATGGGAATCTGTTCTCACTTACCATTGGTATTCAATTTGAGATCGTGCAGAAACGTACCGGAGACCGCTTGGGTGAGGTTGCTTCGATCGACCTGCAGTCCAAAGAACATGACACACTAAAACTTCATGTTAAGAGACAACTAGTATCAAATAAGTACAAAGGCTCAATTACATACAGCCCACAGACAGACCCTCCAGTCAAGCTTTCGGATAATGCGTTTCTCCTCTTCTTCAGACCATGTCAGTGTCGGGTCAAACACATGTCGACATTCATATTGCGATTTTTCATATGTAAACCGCCAATACTCGGCAACATCAGGGTCAAGAAACGGGTTGCCCTTGTTGCTGTTGTCATCGTCGTCGTCGTACTCGGCAGATTCGTTGGAGCTTATTGCTACGCCGGCATCATACTGCTTGTGCTGTTCAGAGACAGGCACGCTTGGGGACTTTGGATTAGGGTTTGCCATGTCGCTGAATTCGGTTGTGAATTGAACTTCCAAAAGCGGCGATGTCTCTGAGGAGTCTGTCGACAAGACTTTGGCTCTCTGAGACCATTTTCTTCCCGGAGGCGCCATTTTGAATCACCCTGGGATTTTCTCTTCTCTTTATATAGCAATAAGGGCAGGGGGGCCTGCACTCCCTGCCTTCTCCGACCTGATGAAGAAAGTGATAATACGAAGCAAAGGCATGCCAAACTTGGCAAAATGGGCTCTGATGTGGTCGTGGAGCCAATAAATGTGCTGGCGGTGGTGTTTTTTTTGGCTGATGGCGTGCTTTTGCGCGTTTTGGCGACGACGAAGACCCCTCATCGATCTGCGACCAAACGTTCTCTTCGCTCGCCATCTACCTAGCTATCTTCTTTGGCATGTTTGCTCAGGCGATTCATGATTCGACTCATAGCGACTGTCGTTAAGCTGTAGACAGAGATGTCCCGGGCTTAGGCTAGCCGTCCCTGCGTGGATTGAGATGCGATTGCGTGGTACTGTCTCGCCATGTCCTCAAGGGCCTATAAAGAAAAGTCATATTGAAAAAAAAAAAAAAAGAAGAAGAAATGATAACATAGCAGATACAGGAAAGGAGAAGGTTGTTGCAATCCGGCATTAGGAACAGAAAAGCATATTTAGGGTTAGGGTTGGTGTCTGCACATGTCTTTCATGCTTTCGAAGGCCTTCTCGAGACATGATCAAGCCTTGCGCACTTTTCTACATTAACTGGGCTAGGCAGCATTGGTGTATGGTCCATGATTATCAGTTTGGATACGCGACAGTGATTCCTACCCCGGTCATAGTCAGTTGGTTATCTCCTAGTCCGTCAACTCAACCTGTCTATATTTTACTGGATGAACTCTCTATCCAGACTCCTTGCCTAATTACATTGCATACATGCATACATCGGCAAAATTACGACGTCAGGCTCACAAACGCACCGACCGGCCCCCAAATTCATCCCGGATACCCGATAGGTGGTGGTATTTGGGAGGTACCAGATACATCGTATAACGGGTCAAAGCACATCCATGCAGACGTATAATATACTTTTGCTCAGCTGGTGCTTAACCCCGTATTATCCATTCCTTGCCCGTTATGTGTCATTTCGCATCACTGCCGACTAGTCATAGTCCATGTAACGTGGATTGCGGGATGGGTCCTGTGCGCGAAAAATAACTGTTGGATAAATACTTGTAAATGAAGAATAACAATAGTCATCAAGTAAATGACTGAAAAATATTGCTGGCCAGGTGCCCGCGTCAGCTGGACAGGAATCGGTCGACTGGCTAAGAAGTAAGCAGGTCACAGGAAGCTGTGCATATGGAGAGAAAAATTGAGGCTGGAGTTAGGGCTTCTTCGGCGGGTTCTTTTGCATGCATCATGCATGTTCACGACGTTGTAACGGCCCGCATAGATTACAATTCATCTAACGGTATGAATTGGCTTTGTTCTATATCCGCCTAGGTAACTGGGCAGAAATCCATACATGCCTGTACCTGTTCATTACTGCTGACACGGAGCTACGATAACCTCAGAATTGAGCGTGTTTCAAGACTAGGAAATTGCCTATTACGGTAGTAACAAAAGATAGTAACTGCATCGTTTTTAGCTGTAGCATCGTTTAGTCCTATCTATCGACCTATCTGCATGCAGCTATTTAATACAGATTCTATACTTTTGCCTTGCTGGGAAAAGCGCTAAACCTGTTGTTCTCTGATCTGTAATCTTCATGCACCAACGACACTAGCTTTGGGGCTGAAAATGAACCTAAAATAGATAACATAATCTAAGTTATGTATTAGCTTTTCGACAAATACATCCAGAGTCGTTTCCAGCGTCATTTGTTGTCCATGTACGTAAGCGTTAGAGACTAACCAAAAAATCATAAATGCTCTCCTCCGGATGTATACACCGGATTCATTGCATCGTGGCTCGCGTACGATGCAATAGACTTGGAACTGTTCCAACCTCCAAGTCTACTCGTTGAGCTCCCTGTATGTTCAGAACTTGGGCCTGACGACGCGTTTGATGTTAGCTCTGATTATCAGAGTCAACGGGTCATTGGCATAATATCTAATATATCAGACTGTCCGTACCGCCATGATATACCTATACATATAGAAGTTGATTAAAAATCCAATATTCCTGGGTAACCAACTCGGTGTTGGGCGTGAGTTGGTGCCAACGGCTTCATGTCACTCCGTATAGTTTACTACCTTTCACATATCTGTTATAGTATATTAAGTGTATTATTTTCGACTAGATAAGAATTTAGAATGTTCAATGCAAATCTTCTGTTTCCGGTGTTTCATTGTCTCCAAACTCTCTTCCTTCTCCCGTCGACCTTCTGTTTAATAAACTCTAACCGGACAAAATCCGATGCCTAGAGAAATCGAGTTTTAACAACTTTGGAGCTTAGTTGGTGCGTCGGCCGGTCCGGCGGCCGACGCGAAGGATTGCTTTGCCTGTCGTAAGGATTCAGTCCTGGTTGCATTCTGGACTCCGAGGATCAAAAAGAAAACTCCGGAAGAAACCACCAGGCCCATTAGGGACAAACCCGCCTCTGAGGGCCGAGAAAAGAAGAAAAGAGACCCATGGATGAAAAGGGGGGAAAAAAAAAAGGCAAGTAGAGAATCTAATCAGGAGTTCGACCGCCGAATTCGCCCGAACTCATTTTCAATCTCTCTCGCCTTGTCCATTATACCCAACTGACGATACATCAGGATCAGGTTGCGGACTATCAGATTTGCAGTCTCAGTGCGAATCCCCAGCTGGTCTCGACACCAATGCAAGACTTGCCTCTGTAACGCCTCCGAGTCTCGAATCCGGCCATCTAGTCGGGCGTAGGCAACGGCCAAGTAGTATTTGAGCGAGATAGTATCCGTTTCCTCGGCGTCGATGCTCTCCTCCAGTATCTGAACCCCCTGTTCCAAGATAGCAACAGCTTTTGCATCTGGAACTTTGCCATTGCCTTCTGCGGTGATGCGGCCATGCGCCTCCGCTAGATGAACAACGCAACGTTGCGTGGTGGAATCCTGAGCCCCCAAATGGACTCTGCCAGCCTCCACAGCATCCTGCAGTAGACGCACGGCTTCCGGGAAGCGGCCTTGCGAGACGTAATCCCTGCCAGTGCTGTCCATAACCGCGATTGTGTAAGGGTGGCCCGGCCCAAGAGAAGTCGTGCACAGCCGTAACACGGTTTCGTGCAACTTGGCTGCAAATGCTGCCTGGTTTTGTATGAAGAATGTGTCGGCTAAATGGCACATGCGTGTTAGGATGTCCATTGCCGACGAACGGTCCAAGATTGTTGCACTCGTGATGGTCGCAGTAGAAGCAGAAGAGGAAGCATTGCTACGGCGGCTGTCTTCGGTATCATCGAACCAGTAGACTCGGACAACAGCTTCCAGGACGTATTTTTCAAGAGTCAAGCCTTCGAGGAGCCGTCCTGGTTGTTGCTTGATGTCCGTGGCAAGACGGTACATGACAATCAAAGTATCCAACGCGTCTGGCCCGAGCAATCGCTGTCGAGACTCTAGAACCTCTGCGTCTAGTTTCTCAGCATCACGAGGCCGTCCAACCTGCCGGAAGATATGGGCTAGCATCAGCTTTGTGCTCTGGATTTCAGCGCCGTCGTCAAGTTTTGCTGTTATTGTTATAGGCGTGACCGGAGAAGAAGAGGCCGGCTTTGCTGCTTCTGAGAGTATGCGTATTAGAATGTCCTCGGCGTCCTGCCACTGACGTCGCTGTACGAGAGCATCTATCTCGATTTTCCCGGTCACAGGGTCTCGAGACAGAAAGCTCATTCTCGTTGAGCGACATTTCAACAAGTAAACGTGCCGCGAGTCTGTTAGCCCTACTTTTAGAGCAAGCAGACTCATGCAGGTGGAAAAGTGGCCGAAAAGAAGAGTGTGTACTGTAAAGAAAGAGAAAAATAAATCGGAGCGATAATCAAGGAATTTCAAGTGGAACTGTCTGCTTGGGACCTCAGGGTATAACTATAGACAAGGCAATCAATCCATGGCCCTGCCCACGTCAAGCCAACTAACGCTCTGCCTTACCCCTTTTGGGTAATGCCTTGTCTTTTAGTCCCAAGGTGCCTTACATGGGAGGAATAAGCAAAGGAGAAATGAAAAGAGAGAAGTGATATAGCAAGATACTGTTTGATTTCTTTTCTCTGTTATCGGAGATTCGGCCGGAAATTAAAATCAGCATGCCCAGGTAAGCACTTGAGCGATTGGAATGCTCGCTAGAGGAGGGGTAGACGTAGGGCTCTGAGCTATGTATGATTCCCTACCGAGTCTAAACAAGCATCGACTAGCCCAAGCAAGAGGCCCAAGTGGCCTTGGTCTGGTGAGTAAATACAAAATACTAGCATCTCAAGCGAAGTCCATGCGTGACCAGCGCCATCATGGATATTGGTTGGCATGGGCGAGCGAACATACGCCATACACGTCAATCCACCAGTCGACGAGTCATTATCGATTAGTCGGACTTGATGCTAGTCCTGATCCTAACAGATAGCTAACGTATGTACAGGAGTGACCGGTGTTAATCCAGCTACCCCGCCAACAGCCGTGCACTGCCCAGGTTGTAAGTAGAACCCTATCGTTATTAGGGCTAGGTGAGTTTCTGGATCGGGTTGACACGGTCCTGGTATCAACTCTCCCGGTCAGGCAGATGCATGCCAGCTATTCTCGGATGCATGTGTACTACTTTGTAGCAGTAATGCCTAATGTGTGTGATTCTGCTATTCCCCTGCCATATTCAATTCGCCCCATTTCCAGCGCCTTGGGTAGCATGACATCGAGGCATTATATTGCTACGTATGCACGAGCATGCCACCACTTCCGAGGAAATTTGTGTTTATTTAGCATTCTATCATTCAAGTCATTTACTTACTACTACTCTGACACACAAAGCAACAAAGCGTTGTGCTATTTAGTCAGCCGTAGTAGCTCGGCGGACTGAGGCCAAGCTGACGCATCCCGAGTCAGTGTCCGAAACGGCGTGTACATATGTAACGCACAGGAATGGGCCCATGCATGTCTCTGCTTCCAGAAAGTTCCTCCACAGTCTCCAGCTGCAGGATGCGCATGCCGAAGTATGTTACTTGCTAGTCAGTTGGCTGTTTCACGTTGACGCTTTGGCTTAGCTAGTCTGTACGAGTATGTAACAAAATGTGTCTTACCCAACTATGTATCATGCAACTAACTACGTAGGTCGTAAGTTATGTAGCAACCTGTAGGAAATATTTTTTAAAAAAAAAAAGGAAGAAAAAGAAAAAGAAAAAGAAAAAGGAAAAGTTCCTCCTCCGCATCCATGGATATCCATGAAGATCAAGGTCGAATTTGAATTATGACCGAGGGAGGCGTTATGCAAGGCTAACTAACAATGCAAGTTGGTTGTTGTAACAGGCCAATGTCTTTATTCTCAACTACGTATTCTATGTAATTAATCCATGGGGGCTGCTGCACTTCCGACTCAATTTAGTGAAAGCAGATCAGATCAAACACTGGTCCTCGTGGCCGCCATCTGCGCTGGAGTTTCCAGGCGTTCTCTAGAGTCGCACAGCAGGGATTCAACTACTTTCTACTAGTAGCTATTTTTGGGTCTCCGGTGGTAATACTGCGTATTCATGTCGATCAAAATACTGTATTCAACCATTCTCCAATAGTAATTAACTTTATCCACCCCAACTCAGTCCAAACTCCAAGTAGTTCAATTCAGCCCATAAGTAGAAGAAAAGAATACGCACCCACCCATGCATATAGATGATGGCTGAGAGATATGGTCAACCCAGCGATAAGAATAGCAGCGAATCAAAATCAGTGAAGGGGGAGCGTTGGTGCAAACGCCCTCCAGTCGGCATTATTACGAAACATTATACGACCACCCACCATTTGCACGCATTATCCGCCGTGCAGCCATGTCGCGAGTAATCTCGTCCTGCGTCAAGCCGTCGGGTCCGCTCCAGTTAGCGCTGCTTGTGCGCTCACGGAACTTCTTGACCTTCTTGTCCTGTTTAAATGCGTCCTCCATTGAGAAATCCGGGACGGGCCCGAAAATCCAATCAACGGGCCACGTCTCTTGGATGGATAGGGCTTCAGTAAGTGCAGAGCCTTGTGCCCAGTCCGCCACCGGCATCATATCCGCATCCGAGTCTTCGTCTTCGCTGTCAGTAGGAGGTTCGGGAAGGTGGATGCTCTCGCTAGGCGGGTATTGCGGGGATGCCTTTGCAGGAACACGTTGAGCACTAGGACCAGGATTGGGTGTCTTGTGACTAGGCGTTTTATGTGCTGTAGCGTTGTTCGCTGCAGATGGAATCTTCCCACTGGTATACTGCGTCATGTCTATGGGTGCTGCATGCTTCGGCTGTTGACCTGCTGCACCTGGTTGCACGGGTCCGGTTTTATACAAGGATCCACCGATTTGATGATGTGCTGCAGGTGGAGGTGCCTGTGGATAAGCATGTGCCAGGAGCGAAAGCTTTCCATTTTCCTAGAGTAGTCAAAGCACTGTTAGTACGGCGGGGATCTCCACGTTTCAGAATAATCAATGATAATCTATTCGCCAACCATACATTTCTTATAGGCTGCTGCTTTAACGAGGTGGCCGGCTGGCTATAGAGTTGCTGGTTGTATTCGTCCTCAGTCTTCCTTCTTTTCGCTTCCGCCGTCTGGCTTTTATTTTGCGATGCGGACGCCGGAGGCCTGTGCTGCGACTCGTCTTCCAGGTGCCTCTTTGCTGGTTTTGCTGGGTTGGTTGGGGGCTGGTTTATAGATCGGCTAAAAGACTGCATAGAAGAGCCCAATCGAGAAGGGGGTCGTGCCGGTCCCATGTCAGCTCGTTGAGTGGTCTTTTCCTGTTGAATGGAGGACCCCTATGCGATATCCGTTAAAAAAAATTGACTTTTGCTAGACTGCTCTGAATTGAATCACTTACCAAATCATTGGCCGGTCTTGGCGGTTGGCTTCCCTGTCTTATACGCGCATTTTCAAGTCTTTGCTGCGCCGATTTTTTTTTCTCATCTGCAACGGGTCGCTCTCGATCCTGGCGTCGCAACTCTTCTTGTTGTTGCTTTTGTTGAGCGGCTCGTTTCTTCTGTTCTTCTTTCCGCAACAACGCGTCCCGTTCCTCCTAGAATGCAACAATATCAGTATAAATCAATAAGCCTTGAATTAGATATTGCACTCACTTGTTTCTTGCTTTCTGCTGCTGCTGCTACCTGTGCTCGGCGCTGCGACTGGCTAGATATCGAACTCTTGAAACTCGTGTTCGACGCCATTGTCTGCAAAGAAGAATTGCTAGCTTTCTTAGACAGAGTAGGCTGCTTTGCGGAAACAGGCGTTGGCCCCGAAATAGGTTCCTGGCTATAAGAGGCTGCCGATGGTACCGGCATGCGCAATGTGCTCCCAACACGGATTGACATGGGTTGTGGTTTCGGCTTCTGCGTCGCTTCTCTCATAGGTTTGACTGGCCTTTGTCTTGCAGGTTGCGTCTGGGCGTGAGACGAACTAGGGGGGAGAGGGAATTTGGGCTCAGTATCAGTATCAACCGCTGCTTCTTTCCGTACTTGAGGCTGCGTTCGTTGATTTTTCTTCGTCATTGCCTGGTTAGATGAGGGAAGATCAACAGTTTCATGTGCATCAGGCTCTTTCGACTGCACTTTTTTCTGCAGTTTTCCTAGCTTAGTGCTAGGCTCGGTGGCTTTGGCTTGGCGAGTACGGGGTTCTTCAACCTCGAAGGGATCTTCGAGTTGAGTCTGTTTCACGGCAGTGTTACTCTTCGCTTCGGTAGCACTTCGTTTTGGGGTAGGCAACTTTTCTGGGCTTGGGGAGGATCTTTCAGGACTAGTTCCCAAGCGTTGAAGATTAGGTTGCGGGCGGGAAGCACTAGGAGATAACGTCTCTAACTTGGCTGCTGCCGAAATGCTAGCGCTACTCGAAAAAAGTCCCTGTGCCGACTTCATAATCGACTGAAATCTTGACTTTGACCCGCTCAACATACCGTCAAGCCGTCTCGGCGACGTAACTGGAGTGGTGGACTCAACAGCTGTATTAGAGACCGGCTGAGCAGACGACTCCGAACGATGAGGGGAAGGGGGCGTCGCTGCAAACATGGATTGATGCTGATCAAAGGAAGGGAAGGCAGTGCGTTTTGGCGTTGGTGGGCGTCTATTAGAAAGATCGTGGAAAGTTTCTGTACGTGTGATTTTGCTCTTTTCAAGGTTCCCAACTGTCTCATTTCCCGCAACAAACTCTATGATATCCGCAGTTTGGCTCTTCGCCATGGCTGATTTCTGTGGAGAACCTAGTGGTTTGATCCAGCTTTCTTGGGAAGTTGAGATTGATGAAGGGACGCGTTCAATATCTGTGCTGTCATTTCTAGAGCCTGGTAGTTCAGGATAGTTGACCTGGCTGTTGGTAACATGTGACACGGGGGCAGTAGATTTCGTTGTCCGTGGACCTTGCGTTTTACCAAGCATGCTGATTTTATCATGCAGAAGCTGAGTTGACGACTTACTGTGCAGTGCAGAGGTATCATAGGCCACAGCAGTTTCGCCTTGTTGAAATGGTCGACCTTTCCTATCCCGGTCCATGTTTTCCTGGCGTGTTTCCTCCTTTTCTGCGGCAGTATTACTGACAACTGGCCTGACCCCTTCGATCTGGCCTGTAAAGTAACTCTGACGCCCTATGGCCGTTGGCTTGATAATGTCAACATGGCTGGTACGCGATACCCGCGGACCTATACTTTTCTTTGTCATCAATGGCTCGCGAGCAGGCAAGGATGCGAAGCTCAAGCTGCTCTTCCTCACTAAAGGTCGGGCAGGTGTTGATCCGTCGGAGGGAGAGCCAATATCATCAAAATTATCATCAATCACAATGTCACCATTCTTGCCAAGTCTGTCTGTATTGACATGAGTCTCTCGTTGAATACCTATAGGTTTTACAAGGGAACCCCGTGGTTCTTGGGCGGCTTTAACCAACGGACGAGGTGTGTCCTCGTCGGCTTTTTCTTGATGATCTGTTTCGATATCCATCGGCTCCACAGTTTGTCCACGAGATATAATGTTCTCTTGAGCAGAAACAAAGGATCCTTCGGTTGTGCGTCGATCCATAGACAGGCTCTTTCTATTATGCACCACACCGAGTTCAGGAGGTTGTGTCGGGGCCGTGACGACTACACGTGAATCAGCAGACACTTGTGTATCAGGAAGAGGCTGTGTACTTGGTAGCACAAGTTCATCGTCGTCGCCCAGGCCGTGATAGCCCGAATCCGTGTTGAAGGTGGAAAAGGAATTGAGCGCCTTGTTGAGATGCACATCTCTTATAGGCTGTTTGCCTTTGATATCAAGTGCTGGATAAGAAACAGGTTTCTCAGGAGATGTGTCCATTGGCTTCTCGGGCGGGTTCTTAATTGGTTCTTGAACTAGGCCATCGACTGGCTCGCGGGACAACGGGTCAGTAGCCTGTTTACTTGGCATTTGAGGAGCGACTGGCTTTTCGGGTGATTTTGCAGACTTCGAAGGCGATTTCGGTCTTTGATTTGCAGTCGAGAAAATATCACTGAGAGGCTAGTTTATAGTCAAAATAGGATACGCGTAGGTTAGACACTTCATGCATAACATACCACGCGAGCTTCATCTGGGTTACGTTTGCGTGCAGTCCGAGGGGTCTTGCCTCGCATTTTTCCAGGCGTTTTGAATATCTCGGTCATGTTGCTGGAGGTCGTTTGTTAGTAACGGGAAGCAAAGAGAGGGGGGCATGACACATACAATTGATTCCTTAAGAAGATCTCGGCCATGTGTTCGTTTAGCCAGTCCATCTCATGACGAACTGGAAATTCCACCTCTTCCATTTCTTGTTCCAACAAGCGCGTTACATTTTCCTTCTCTGCCGCAATCCAGGCGGCGGAGCCGATGGTTTTCTTTCCGGCGGCGGCCATGATGTGTAAACACAAGCACGATATCAAAAAGCGGCTTGCACGCGATCAAAACAGCGCAATATAGGCGTCATAAATCTGCTGCGGAAAGTATTCTCTCAAATATCAGCAAAGAATCACATCGAGCAATGCATGGTGAAACGCAGGGGGGCGTTATGGGCGATTGGAAGGTTGGCGGTTGTCGTTGCGCGCTTTGCTGCTGCTTGTTTGGTGGGCATCAAAACACACGGCCGGGAAGGAGCCACGCGCTAGCACGCTTGGTCACGTGACTATCTGCGCCTAGATCCTGAGGCACCCAGGCATCAACATGGTTGTTTTGAGATTGCGCTCTAAACTCGTTCAGCCAGTTTGCTTTAACTTGCCCACGGCCAACGCAGCAGCTTCTGCGTGGTAATTCCTGCATTTCTCAGCTTAGCACCCTAAGAACACTTAATTTCCTGGCTGTTCGACACCTGATAGATAAGGTGGGTATTCCCGTGACTCTCGGGGCAAGCTACCTTAGTCAGCCCGGGTTGAATCGATTGCATCACCTGCGAGACACACACCTTGCTTTGCTTTGCCCTCACCTCCATCCTCCTTCGCGGCCATCCTCGATCTTGGGTAATCTCTGTCCTCATCTATCCCTACAATTCTTCACTCAATAGCCATTTTCTCATCCGTTTTGTTGCCAGTCAGTTAATACTAGTGGCAGCCGCTTTATTGTGCTTCTAGCCCCCTTATCACTTGGGACCGAACCGGACACCGCACAACGCTCTTTTTTTTTTCATCGAAAATGGCTTCTTCAGGCGATGTCAAGTATCCTGCTGTCGGTGGACCTTGTAAGGTGCGTAACTCCCTTTTTTATTCCCTTGGCCATTGGTCGTGTGCCCAGCACCTAACAGAAGAGCTTACCTTTGAAATTTAAACTGCAGTAAACGTTAACTTTCCGTTTTGTTTTGATTTCCGGCGTCCGAACCTGCAATTGCTGGCTACATTACGACCCAGAACCAGTGCATCCAAAACTTTTTTCCCCTCTCAGCCCGGCTCTCAATACAATTCAGTTATGCTGCAGCTGCTAACGTTTAGCAATAGCTTCAGTCGTCGACAACGTCGCTGCCGAAGCTTCCAAGGCTAGTGATGAATTCCGAGATCTCAAAGGCACTAAAGCGACGCCTTCTGGTACTACCAGAACTGGTCAGCAATTGACTCGTACGTGTCGAGTTTTCCCTAATGCCGGATCTCCAGAACTGACGTAATGAAGATTATCACTCTCTTTTGTACAGTCTGTTGAGCGTGAGTTGCACCTCGCGCCGTTCCTCCGCAATGCAGACAGCTGAGCTAATTTATTACAAAGTGGGAACGTCCCCGGGCTACTGCCATCTCTTTTGCTAGTGTCGTGTTCTTCATTCTTGCTGCTCGGTTCTTGCCGCTGCTACGATGGATATTCAAGTTCCTCTATATCAGTCTAGGAGGTAAGCGCAAGTCGTAATACGCGTATTATTGGCCCGATTGGTCATTGCTAACCCCAAGCTTTATACAGTCACTGCTGCCGCTGAGGGTGCTGGCAAGCTTATTCTCAACCAAGGTTTGACGAGCTCCTTCCGTCCTCGCAAATATTACACTCTGCCGAAGGAAACTGTCGAGGGAATACTGGAAGACTTGGAACAACTCTCCGACTTTTTCCTGATCGAATTCCAACGCATTTTGTTTGCTGAAAACGTCACCCACACTGCTGCAGTATGTCTCTATATCACTAATCGCTTTGGCTAATTGGATTGATCCACTGACCTGTAACAGGCTTTTGTTGCTGCCTTTCTATCCTACTGGCTCATCAAGATTATGCCTGTCTGGGGTCTGTCCTTGCTCGGTGTGACTATTGCCTATCTTGGCCCTCTTGTGTATATTAGCAACCGCGAAATCATTGATGAGCAGATCGCCGAAATTCAGGAGTTACTCAATGCGCAAGCCAACCATGCCAAGGAGCTTGCCAACCAACAAACCACCCGCGCTACAGGCTTGGTGAAGCAATATGCCAACAACTACAGCACCAAGGCTCATGAGTACATCGGCAACCGTCGCTCTGCGTCTCCAGAAGTCCCCAAGGCCCCCGCTGTCAAGGTCGAGCCAGCCAGCCCGGCAAATGTCCAGACCACAGATTTTCCTGAAGCTCCCAAGACTGAGCCTGTGGCTGCTACCATCGAGTTTGAACCTGAGGCTGCCACATCGACAGAGAAGGAACCTTTGCTGGCTCTATAAGCAACAACGGAACGATTGATCTATCGTCGAACTTTCCAATAGGCGCGTGATTGAAATGCCCTCTGCATTATCTACGTCTTCTAAATTGTATGAGTGACGGAATGATCCTGACGCTGACCTTCCTCTTGAAATTGTGTCAACCTATTTTGGATCAAGGGATGAACGATGCACAAACGAGACCATGATCAAAAAGCAATATGCGGAATGGGCTCTTAAAAAGAATTCGTGGCCTGCTACTTTGGTTCCTTTATCTTTTTCTGTAGGTATTCATGTGTTGATGACGATGTAGCCAATGACAAGGCCAGCTTGTTGTGAAGTGGACGGTGGCGAAAGGGGCTGATGGATCGATTGAATGTGCTGTGCTATACATGGATGTATGAACAATCCCTTTCGTAGTCTTCTTGCTTCTCTCTTATTTTCTTCTTCCCTGCTCTCGGCGATTCATTTATATTCTTTACTTCGCTTCTTGAAAAGAGGAAGGCTGATACTACTCAATCAGTTTTCCTCCTTGTCATTCATCCCATGTTCAATTAATGCTTCTGTATCTATTGTTTCATCGATTATTAATTATGTAAGTGTTCTTATCCTCAGAAATGCGCTGTTTCATTATTATCTTTTTCGTCTTTTATTCATTGTACACCTTTTCTCGCCTATCTCAATCATCCATATTACCCAAAATGTCTGAACATTCACTATATGCACTTAGAAAACTGAATCAAAATTATATTAATATTAGCTAGCCTCGCCAAGTAATCCAAGCACTTTGCGTAATGGGTAGGTGTCTCATAGATACAGATGACAAATAGAAAGAATGAACGAATGAACGGACAAAAAGGACAAATGAATGAGAAACATAAAAACGATTAGAAAAAAACCCCCAGACACATTCTTTCCTCATTCCCTCAATGCTGACTTCTTCGAATCATTAGACAGTACAATGCCAGTTCCGACGTAGCGTAACCAGTCAGTGAGTCGAGCTATCAAAAGCTTGCCCTACGAAACCTCTTTGCCGTCCGTCCATACAGCTCAGACCTGGAGTTGACAGCCAGACTAGATCGACCGGGTGCCCTTCGCTTTACCAATTGATGACGATAGAATTTTCGTTTCTCCTTTCTCTTCTTGTTGTTCGCCCATGGACTACTCGTATCCGTATCGCCATCGTCATCTTCGCCGCTCAATGTGCTAGATCCACTGTGTAGCGCTAACAGTGTCTCTGCGGCTTTTAAGTCATCGCCGCTGTTTTTGGACTTTCGTTTGGATGAGGATGCTGCCGGTGGAGACGGGGATGATAAGTTGTCTTCTCCTCTACGAAGATTACGAAGAGAATGGAATTGAGATTGTCGTCGATGGTGCGCTTGAGAGGAACGTCTCATCGGCATTTCCACTTTCTTGTCCTCCTTTTTCTGCTTTCTAGTCATAATTCCCTGGGCATGTTTCTTATCGTGGGATTTCTTGTAGCAAAATCGAGTCTTGTGATTGGGATCTTCGTCACTGCTATCGGACTGTAGTGATGAGCTGATGGCTAGGTCAGACTCGGCACCAGAGTCGGAGTCGGAGTCAGGGTCGAAATCGCAGAAAGAGGAAGAGAAGGATTCATCATCGTCATCTATGCTCATCTTGTAAAGGCAACTGTCATCGTCAAATTCAAGATCATCGTCACCATCATCGTCTTCGTTGCCGTTGTCCTCGTGTTGCTCACTACGTGCGCGAAGTGCTACTTGCCTCCTCGGTATGCTAGCAATGAGCGTCTGTCCTTTTGGAGATATCAGCTTTGTGTCCTGCGCCTGTTCCACGTCGGCATCGTTTGCCAATCGTCGTTTGAGTGGATTCTCACAGAGGGATGATTCAAAATCGGCAAGTCCAATAAACTCCCTTAGCGGCGGAAGCTTCCTCGGATTGCTGGTTGAACCTCTAGGTTGAGAGCCACGCGGTTGTCCAGATTCTTTTCTCTCCAGCAGGGTAGTGGCTCCCCCGGGGGTGTTGATCGGGGTAAAGGTATTCTTGCTACTAGAGACAGTCTGGTGTTGGGCTTGCCTCGCTGCCTCCCGGTCAGCCTGCACGACTCCACCGGGCTTTGGGTAGCTTTGGTGGGTAATATCCAGATTGTTTGAGTCTATTGGCGCAGACCATGTTTGGTGATATACCATGTTTTGTGGTGTACTTGTTGTCGGGGACAACAATAGATTCTGCGAGCGATTCGCCATTTTCAGATCAAGCTCTAGCTGGCGGTATCTGTTTGACAACTCCGTCGCTTGTCGAATAATATCAGGATCAATGGTCATCTTGCCAAATTGTCGACTCTGCGGCGGAATGCAAAGAGATGGGAAGTCGGTTCCGAATAGTGGTGTCAATGCATACCGAATTTTCCAGCAGAAAGTGGCTGCAACGGCTTTTGCTGTTTCGAATGGCATCCAGTAACCTGTTGGGTGAAAAACAGAACTCTCCGTGTCAGAAAGAATGAAAGAGAAAAGAAGCAGCCATATCCCTCACTCACCTTGTGCGGCTAATGCTCCTCCAGTGATGCTATGGCAAATCTCTCGGAGGCCGATATTGGCATTCAGCATTTTCGCAGGTGTTGTCTAGAGAATTTTTCGTCAGTTCTGACTACTAACGATAATTCCGATAGGAACTGGTGCAAAGGTAACATGGCATACCTTTGGATAGTCATTGCATTTAAATAAATGGGTCGTCCGAACAAGTCCGATATTGTAATCCCACATCACTGTCCAGTTCTTTTCATCTCCTGGTAACCTGAATGTGTATTGAAACACTAAATGGAGTGCAATCCAAAAATTTGTTGTTAGCTATAAATCTGAGTACAAACTCAAAGAGATCAACACCTACCTTCGAAGCTTTCTCGGGCAGTCTTTTCCATTAGAGTCTTTTTCTCGCTGCTGTATGGAATATGTCTTGGATACTCTGATATGCGGCCCATGGGGTGAATGCTGAACATTCTATGCTGCTCCGCCAGCACTTCATCTCGTTCCTCACAGGGTGGATATCGAACTTCGCCTCTGACCTCTCCCTTGATGAAGACTGGGGCATCTTTCGGCATCTTGGACTTTTTCACACGCGGAGGAGCAAAGACACCTCTGTCTTGGTCAGTCTCTGGTGCGTTGACCAGAGAAAAGGGAGCAATTGACTCATCGTAACGACTTCTTGAACCTCGCCCTTGTGAAGAAGGTAGCGGATTCAAGAGGGATTCGATGGATGCCATGGATGCCTGTGTCTGCGAATCTTTCCAATTGAAAGCTGTGTTTTCTACCTTCGCTTCAGGGTGCGAAATTCTGGTTAAGGTCACCAATGCAAGTCCTATTAGGATAATCCCCAGGAACGGCGACAAGGTATCTATTTGCAGAGTGATATAGGAGGTCTTTTAAAGTTAGCACAGGCTCTTCAACTCACAGATGGACAACCAACTTACAAAGGGTTTTGTTGATGCAGAGTAAAAGAGACATGCGGAAAGCAACCTGATGTACATGAAAGAGAGGAAACAGCAAACCGGGTGTGGGCGTGTGCTATATCAAAAATTAACGGAGACAACCTGATGGAAGCAATGTCTAGAACATAGACGAAAGTCTAGTCTCTCACTCATATGGTTGTATAATCGCAACCAGAATCCAGGCAATGTTCGGAAATTGAATGCAGATCTCCCAAATGGTGGAGCTGTCATTTTCTGTTTGTCCCAAGTCAAAGAAAGTGCAGTGGATGTCTAATACAGAGCTCATATATTCAACATCTTGAAACTGAGATGTATTTTGGCTTGGGCAGCGTTCCCGGCTGGGCATAGAGGGAATCCTTTCAAAGACGAACTCTGGATGTCTACGTCCTTATCAACTCCATGTGAAAGAGCTAGCAGAAGAGTGCCTCCACAGTGCCTCGAAGCAACGACCATCCTGGTGAAGACGGACTAATGGACCGTTCCGTTCTTCGTATGGCGAGCTAGGGCCAACAAGAACCGTAAGCATCTTTCTTTTTTTACCTCCTCCCAAACTCGTGAGAGACCTCGACCGCTCAGGGGGGTTATAGGAATGAGGTTGTGGCGCCAACGAAATTGGGAGCGTACAAGAATTCGTTTTTGCCAAGCTCTGTATCGAGGGCTTGTGTTTCATATGGCTAGAAATAGTCCCAGCAAACCGGGAAGAAAGAATGAATCGCCACACTATAGGAGGAAGGCTACCGTTCAACAGACCAGGTATGATCCAGGCCTTCTCCACAATTCTAATTCTTCTTCCCAAAGCCGGGCCATGAAGCTCGTTTGGTCCGTCTTCATATTATCCCTGACAGCGACGGATAAATATCTTCGTCCTCGTCGTCGGTACGTTGTGTTGCATGGAGAATTGAATCCGGGGTACACAAACTAACACAGAGTCTCACGGCAATAGCCTCGTGGTCATTCAAAATGAAATTACCGAATCCTTTTCCTCGCTTATCTTGCTGCTGCACAAACTGCAGCCTTCTGCTGATGTCTTGCATTCCACACGAGCGGTTCAAGCTCAGGAGTCCCGGCAGACAGGAAAGCTCCAGGGCCAGGGCTACAGCCAGGGGGCCAGGGGACAGCAGCACTACGGGACTCGGAAAGCTGCATGAATCCCACGGGTCTGAGCGCAGGCCTTTTCTTTTGTCTCGGACCAGCTGAAAATGGAACCTTTTAGATACATCCGAAGTACCAGCATTGGCGCGGATGCAGAAGTCCCAAAAAAGAGGAGCAGAAATGGAAGCAGCGGAAGAAAAGCGATCGTCAACGGGGGAAGCTTCCCGAAGCTCCTGAAGAAACGTGACGTGACACAATTCTGTTCAATTTGCTCTGCTTCGCCCGTGACAACAGTCCTGTGTCAGAATCAACGTGGGAAGGTGACCGAACAAGAATGGTGTTGGTTGTGCAACCGTCGATTGACAGGGCGCGGAATTTCTTCCCCAGCCTGCGGATACCTCAGGCAGGGAATCACATGGGTATAGCATCTGTTTGCTGTAGTACCGGAAGCAATGGCTACTACTACTGGAAATTCACTACGTAGATTCTTGAGTTACTCGAATGTTGCCAACCTACTGACAGAACAGGACGAATAATTCGGTACAACAAGAATTATAAGCTCTCGTCACTATCTGCGCCCCAAGTCCCCCGGCAAAGCATGCGTCTAGCCCTGCTTGAAGAAATCTATAGCCCACCCAGTAAAACATACAAAAATGTGTAAACACAATAGAAAGTGGAAAAGAAAGGGGGGGGATAATAATACCGTCAGGTAGATAGATACAAAGGTTATTTGCTTTCTGTTACAGTCACTCGGAATCGTCAAAGACATCCGCAGAATCGTCACCACCAACTAGCTCGTCCATTTCACTATCATCATCGATCACATAGGTCTTTTTCTTAGTGGAGGCAGCTCGACGAGATGGGCGGGCCTTGGGAGGCTCATCGTCCAAGTCAACTCCACCGTCGGAGTCAAGAATGTCGTTAGCCATAGCATCAATGTCATCGTCGGAGTCTTCTACGACCTTCTTTTTACCCCTTCCTTTGGCGGCAGGTTGCGCCTTCTTAGGTGCCGGAGCCGAAGCAGTATCTTTCTTCGGGCGTCCACGAGGCTTTGCGGCAGTGGTGCTGCTCGCAGTTGACTTGGTCTTGGTTGCTGGCTTTGATTTAGTTGCTGGTTTCATTGATTCGTCATCATCGTCATTGTCTGCTACTTTTTCCTTTTGCTTAACAAGGAGTGAACGACGAGGCGACTGCTGTGGGACAAGCTTCGTGTAGTCTGTCTCGTCAGGATCGAATTCGTTATCAAACTTGGACGTTTTCGCACTAGAGGCTTTCAAATTTGCACTTGTTCCAGGTTTGGATAATTCGGAAATGAGAGCCTTTCCATTGGAATTCCCAATGCCCTTGACCATTTTGCTCACGTCATCCAGGAGGTCGTCTCCAAACTCGCTGTCTGATTCGCTTGCTTCAACGTACTTCGCCGGTTTTTTGATCGTCTTACGAGCCTTGGGCTCTTCTGCTGCTGCTTTTTTATCGGGCTTTGATACAGTTTGTGACTTGGCCTTTACAGCAGGTATCTCAAGAAGATCGTCATCTTCGTCATCTTCCTTTTCCCTCTTCGGGGCTTCTTGAGATTTTGGAGCTGCACGGCTCTTTTTTGGAAGGACTTCGGCTACAAAGTCATCGTCAAGATCCATATCATCATCCACGTCGTCTTGTTGAGTTGTCTTCTTTGGCTGTGGAGAGCTTTTGAGATAACTGAGAAGACTTCCCTTTGGCTCAGGTTTCTTGCTTGTAGTGGCCTTTTTGCTCTTTGGTGCAGCATAGTCATCATCGTCATCAGCGGCCTTGCGCTTTTTGGCTGGTCCCTTCGAAGATGCGGTCATGAGCTTAGCAGATTGGCGACGACCCATACCTGCTACCTTTCTCGCACGGCGATGCTCTTCATCTAGTTCAAAACGCCATTGATTGATAAAGTCGTCAAGATCCTGACGCCAAATATCTTCCTTTGAAAGTTTAATCAGATTATCAATCTCGAGCTCCTTATCCCCGATCATGCGAAGGAGCTTTTCAACACGTTCTTGCGTCAAAGACCAAATAGGCATCTATAAATGAAGTTCAGTTAGCTTCCAATATCAAAATTTCTACAACCCAATCGACATACCCCTAGCAAGTAATCATAAGCATTCGAAGCCACCTCGGTGTTAACCTCCTCCTCTCCTTCTTCCACAACTTGTTCTGATTCACCAGCTTTGACGGCATCGGAGACTTTTGGGAACGCCTTAAATCCTTTCTCCTTCAACTCCGAAATCAGGAGAGCCTTCTTTTTCTTAGAAATAACAAGTTTCCCATCGATAATCATTTGCACGAACCGCGCCTGATTGGTAAACTTGTCCAATTCCTTCTGCATTTCTGACAGCTGGTGTTGCTTGCGCTTCTCGTAAAATTTGAGGCGGACAGTGAAAAACTCCTTCAAAATGTCATTGACCGTAGCGTACTTCGTAATGCGACCTTCTGGGTCAAAGGCCACCAAATTTGTCGTCGCAATGGTCCTCGAAAGCTTGAACTTCTCTTCCAACCCTTCTGACAAGGCAGTTTTCATATTCTTCTCGTCCAGCTGAATTACGAAGTGGACTTTGGTGTGGGTATTATAGTCTTTGTAATCCTTAATAAAGGACGGCGTCTTGTCGGCTTTGATGATATCCTCTAGTTTATCTTTGAAGTCCTGAGTCCATGTCCGAATTGGAAGTTCGGTAATTTCCACTTCCTTATCCCCCGTTTCCTTGATAATGCCACTGAATTTGAATCGATCAGGGCCTTGAGGAGTTACTTCACCAGTGAAACCGCGGAACCAAGGTTGCATGGGTTCAGGCTCTTCTCCGTCCATCATACGCTTCAGGTTGGAAACGATGTCCTCTGGGTTGTAATTAGGAATCGACGAACTCCAACCTGTACCGATACCATCGGCACCATTTATCAAGATCAATGGAACTACTGGCACGTAGAGCTCAGGCTCAATTTTCTCTCCGTCGTCCTCATTGTAATTGAGAAGCGGCTCATCACTCTGGTGGAATACACGTCTCGCAAATGGCGACAGTCGAGTGTAGATATAACGTGCACTGGCACAGTCAGAACCACCCTGAAGACGACTACCGAAGTTACCACTAGGTTCCAAGCAGTTGAGATTATTGGAGCCAACAAAAGTCTGGGCCAAACCAACGATTGTCTGCTGCAAGGAGGCATCACCGTGTTGATAAGCCGTCATACCAGAAACGTGACCTGCCAACTCGACGACTTTCATATCCTTCTTGATATTGCGTTTGAAACAAGTATACAAGACCTTACGTTGACCCGGCTTGAGGCCATCGACAACCGAAGGAATGGACCGCTGGTTGTCAGCCATACTAAACAGAATCAACTCTTTGTTGATAAAATCCGTGTATGTTATCTGCTTGGCTGAATGGTCAAGATACGTGCCAGGCTTGAATTGGCGCAGCCATTCCTTTCGCTCATCGGCCTTTTTCTTTGAGAAAGCCAGGTCAATGAGCTGAGCTTCGTTGTCCTGCATGGTATGGAACTCTTTCAAGTGTCGGTCCAAATCTCGGAAGTAAATTTGAGCATCTTCTGTTGTGCTGGTACCCAAACCCTTGTAGTACTTATGTTGCCAGGCGCGGTCATGTACGTTTTCCTCCTTCCACTGTTCATATTCAGGCATGGTGAAAAAAGATTTTGACTTGCTTGGGTTTTTTGGATCTCCCTTCCACACTTTCACGATTGGAGTGATAAACTCAATGAGAAATTCAGGGATCTTGAGTAAACTGGGAAACTGTACTTGAAGAAAGTTGATAAGCAAACCTTTAATATGGCTTCCATCATGATCCTGATCAGTCATGATCATAAGATGGCCATATCGCAGGCCGCGAGTATCAGTATACTCTTTCTTGTGCTGTAAACCCAGGAAGTTCTTGATGTTTTGAATTTCAGCATTCTTGGATATTTGATCAATTGATGCGTCTCGAACATTAAGAAGCTTTCCACGAAGAGGGAAAACACCGAATAAGTCGGGACCAACGACAGCACGACCAGCCATAGCTAAACCTTTGGCGGAATCACCTTCTGTCAAGATCAGCGTGCAATGATGGCCATCCTTGGTGCCAGCTTTGTTGGCATCGGTAAGCTTGGGGTTATTCATGCGCGATCGTCGGCTTCCATCCGTCTTCTTGAGCAACTGATCCGCCTTCTTTTCAGCGAAGTGTAGGATATTTGTCATGACTTCGGTTTTCAAAACTTTCTTGTAAAAGTCTTCATCCAAGACGCATTTGCTGCCAAATTGACTTGGTTTAGTAGTCAGCTGCTCCTTGGTCTGGGATGTGAATGCAGGGTTCACAATTAATGCGTTCACGAAGACGAATATATGGTTGCGTATCTGAGATGCTTTCAGTGTAGCACCTTGTTTATTCCTTTTCTTCACGACTTCTGCAAGTTTATTACAGATTTGATCCGCAATGTAGTTCACATGACTACCACCGGAGGTAGTCGCAATGGAGTTCACGAACGAGACTTGTTGGAAAGACCCATCAGACACAGCAAATCCAACCTCCCATCGAGGATCGGGGCTAGCTGTGACTATCTCGCTTTTATCATTTGCCGCCTCTTCGCCACGTTCCTTTTTGATAGCCTTGGTGTACATCTCCATGTATTTTTTGAAGTTGCGTACAGGGATCCGAGTTCCGTTCAGCCTGACTGCAACTTTGGCAGTGCCAGCTAAATCATAAACACGGCGCTTGACAAGGGCTTCAAAGTCGTCATCCATGCCTTCCATGCCAAACCTTTTGTAGTCAGGCTTGAAAGTGACTTTGGTGTAGTCATCGCCTTTGCATTCTGTAATCTTGGCTTTGCCCATCTTGCTCATGTTATCGGTCCATGTCTGTTGATACTTTCTCTTTTGACGCGAGTCATAAGTTTCGATGCTGAATTCCGTCGAGAAGACGTTACATAATTTGGCACCAAACCCATTTCGACCACCGGTCACCTTCATTTGCCCGTCGTCATAATTCGAGGAAGTCAACAAATGACCGAAGATAAGCTCAGGAACATATATTTTTTCTTTCGAGTGAATTTCGATAGGAATACCGCGTCCGTTGTTCCAGACACTGATCTGACCGGATTCTCGGTCTATCGTAATTTTGATTTCGTCCATGTTATTGTCATTTTGCTTGTTGTCTGCGGCGTTCACGACAATTTCATCGAAAATTTTGTACAAGCCAGGGACGAAGGTGACCTCGCGGTAATCCATCGATTCTGACGTCGAGTCGTAGACCCACATTGACTGGGTGGTCTTTTCGATAGATCCGATATACGTATCAGGACGCTTGATAATATGTTCGAGTTGAGTGAGCTGCAATAGAGTCAGCAGGAGTCAGTTTGTATCTAGGTTGTAATCAATTAGCTTTACCTTTTGGTACTTGTCCGCAGCCCCGGTATCTTTGGGTGGTTTGGATGTCTCGACTTCGTCAGCGCCATCCAGGCCGAATGATTCGTTTTCAACATCAGCTAGCGGTTTCGATGCGGCCTTTTTAGCGGGCGCTTTCTTTGTCTTCGGTTTGCTGGGGGGTGTAGTTGACATGACAGAATCTATGAAGTCGTCGATATCTTCGTGACCCGATTCCTCGTTCTCAGGAGTGGCTCTCGCTTTCTTCTTTGTGGCCTTGGCTGCCGGTTTTGCCTTGAAAGTAGTTTGTGTTAATTTCTTGGTTTTGCTCGCGGCTGGTTTCGATGCCTTGGCCTTAGCCTTTGGTTTCTAGATAACATATCGTCAGAACTTGCATGAATAAATGAAGCCGATAAGGAAGAGTTTATTACAGGGGCCTCGTCGGGCACGAAGTCGGAGCTACCGCCCTCATCCTCGTGAAAAGAATCATCGTCCAAAATGGAATCCATCTCGCCCAGTATCGCGAGGCCTGCTCAAACTAGGTGAAAGATGAATGGGCTGTGAAGGGTAGTAAGAGGGTTAAAAAGCGAATGACTATCAATTGAGAGGAATTTGAGAAGGAAAAAGGGCCGAACTCATGGTATATCAGAGAGTTTACGGCTTGTTGATGTGCAAAACAGCGAACGCGCTGAAAAGACAGTCGCGGTTGCCCCATTCGAGATTAGCGGCTCGGAGATAACTTGTTCCTGCTCCAGCAGAGCCACATGATATGACGCTAGACTTCAAATGGAAATGTCAAAACAAATTTTGATTAGGCCAATCAGAGTTGTCGTATGTCTCGATTCCAGCTTGCTTCAGAACTCTCGTGCAATATTACCTATGTAACTGATATTAGCCTCGAGTTGGTGTAGAAAAGACGCTACTGTTATTTTTTATGATGTCTGTTGGCACTTTACTCAGGTCCCCGGGTGTCTACTGCTGTATCCATAAACGCAGACACGGGACGTCAACCTTAAAGATATATATATATCAAAACGCCCGCGGGCACTTAATCGCCTACTTAGGTAGGTACACGTGCAAACAACCTTAGAAGATAAACCAACTGAGGTCAAAACCACTAATTTACCCAGGTAGGCAACGAGCCATACTGTCACCTCAACCTTCAACTAGCACCCATTATTTTCTGAAATTGCAAGTTAAATCATGAGTGGTATGCCAGTACCCGGAGAAGGCATATGGGAATGCCTACCGCGGCCTGGATGTCATTAGAAACCACGTGCATGCCACATATTCCATTACCTAGGTATTGATGAACGAGGTTTACTGTACCCAAAACCCTGACTTATTCTACAACTACCCAACAATTCGTATTACAGATGCAGACATCTAAGATCGAAGCCATTCAATACTGAGCACTGAGCAGCGAGAGGTTGCATGAATTCCCCCCACAGAAAGCAGATAAAGGACGTTCCCGATCATTGATTGTTCGAGGCTAGACAACATCGCAACGCATAAATACCCGGAGTAAGGAATCCTTCTTGTAGCATTCGCCAAGGCGCACGGAGCATAGGGGCTAGAGCTAGACCGGCAGGCCGGCCGATTCGGCGCCATGGTACATAACGCGTTCGCTGCTTCCACTGCGCAGCACTTGTGTATGCAGCGCTGTGCTGCTGGGTCAATTGGGTAGGATCATCTGAAACTTGAACTCCAAAGTCAAGGAGGCAACAAAAGAAGGAGACCTCACTCGGGAGGGGCAGGGGCGGCCCGCCAGGGACCTGCGCGCTCCTATTGGCCGGCCCCGTGGACTACCTGCTAGCACCTGCCATAGTGCACTCACTAGCTGCTGCGAGGCCCATCCCTTAATCTTTTCTCTCCTCGCCTTGCGTGCAGTTTCCCCTGTCTTGCGGTTCTGTCACGCTCCTTTCAAGCGCTTGGAATGCAGTAGTCGCTGGCGGCAACTGACGGAGTACTAATCTTGACTCGTGCAGCTATCCGGCACGAGAAACATCCTCGGGTTGATCCCATATTTTGCGGTTTGATTGCTACGCGTTTGCTGTATTATACCCGGAAGTTTTTGTCAAATATGAGCGTCCAAGAACACATCATCGTGCATAATGAAGATGCATCATCGCCCTCCGCATCGGAGGACATCATTTCTCCAGTGACAACGGACTCAATGGTGACTGTACCTCTGTCAGACCGCCAATCTATCTCCGAACGTTCCTCCACCCGAGCCGATACGCCCACCACACCAGTTGACGGGAAAGAGGGACAAGAATATTTCATTGAGACTGAGAAGGGAACTGATCTGACCCCCAAAAATGAGGCTGCGGGCAGAGTGGATGAGACCGCTAAAGAAAACAACGTACAAGAAGGATATGAGTCTGCCACATTCATAGAAGGCGACGGGGGAGTTGACTGGGAGAAATTGGATAAAACAGAAAAGCAAGAACCACGAACAGGAGCGTCAGATGAGGTTAGTATCCGTCAGTGTTGAAACATTGACTAGTAGTCACTGAACAGAATTTCTTGATAGTCTACGGCTCTGTTACTTGCCCGCCTAGAGCAGGAAAACAATGCTCTGGCAACGAATCCCAAGTCAGGGCTAGCAAAGACATCTCACCGGAGATCTCGGCCCCCTTCAATTCAACATCTGCAGAAGCTCGTCAACGACCCTCACTCTTCTTTACGCTACTCTCAACTACAACCGCCACCTATGACCGAGCTCGAATTCTGGGCGGCCTTGGTGTCCGATTATCCGTCCACAGCTCATAGATTACCTACGTTGACGTCGAACAAGATCCGTGCCGGCGTTCCGCCTCCGCTCCGTGGGGTTGTTTGGCCTAGCATAGCTGGAGCCAGGGATACACATTTGTTTGAAGAATTTGGGCGATTATGTGGTGAATCCAGTCCTTATGAAGGGCTGATTGGCAAAGATATTGGTCGCAGCTTTCCAAACGTTGAGATGTTCCGCGACCCAAATGGCGAAGGGCAACAAATGTTGGCCAGAGTTTTGAAGTGCTTCAGTCTATACGACACTAAAATAGGATATTGCCAGGGACTTGGATTTGTGGTTGGACCAATGTTAATGCATATGACAGATGCGGAATCATTTTGTGTTTTGATAAGGTTTGTCATGGTTAGCCGGTCCCGTTCACTGGGAAACCCTGCTGACCTTCACTCTAGGCTCATGGAACACTACGACCTGCGTTCGTGTTTCTTACCGGACTTATCAGGGTTGCACCTACGAATTTACCAGTTCCAGAACCTTCTCTCGCGTCATTTACCATCGCTATTTGCCCATCTACAGTCTCTCAATATCGAACCAATATATGTTTCACAATGGTTTCTTTCCTTCTTCGCGGTAACGTGCCCGTTACCGATGCTTCTCCGCATCTACGATGTACTATTGCTGGAGGGAGCGTCAGAGACGCTGATGAGGGTTGCACTTTCACTCATGCAACGCAACGAGAAGAAAATAATGGCGTATACCGAGTTCGAGGATGTGTTGCAATTTTTACTGTCTCGGGGTTTGTGGGATGCTTATGCGTGGAATGCTGATGAGCTGATCAACGATTTCGTTTCCCTAACGCCGCTCGTCACGAAGGAAAGCCTTCAGGCACTGGAGGCAAGTTATAGCCAGTCTCAGGGTGTGCCGACTGGTATTTCTTTCCCTCAGATGCAAGCCGCAGCGTCTCGGTTCTTAGGTCGGTTGTGGGCTGGTTCCAGTTCGCATAAATCTTTAAATCTTCCATCGGCACGCCCTGAGAGTACGGTAAGACGCTCGCCGTCCAAGCAGAGCATGGCCTCTACATTGAACTCAATGGAGACAACCGTCTCCGATGCTAGCACTGCCCCTACAGAATCCTCGATGGGAGCGGAGCCGAAAGTGCGTGCCAAGTCAGCAATCACACATAAAGACAAAGACTTGCATGTTCAGATCGAGGAACTTCTGATGGCTTTGAGCGATCTACAGCGAGAACAAGCGGACTTGGCTAGAGACCTTCAGCGTGAGAGGGAAGAGCGGGAAGAAGACCAACAAATTTCAAAAGAAATGCTGAATCATATCAAGCAGTTAGACGTCAGTAATAGAAAAGAAGGCGCGGATGAGCTTATCAGCAAAGCGTCAGAGCGGTTTTCGACGGTCAAAAACAAGCGGAGCTCAATTTTGCAGACGAAACATCAACTGAGGGACGAAGCTAGTAGATGGAAAGAAAAGCACGAAATGGAAGCTGCAAGATGTACCGACCTGAGTCGACGGCTCGATGAGCATGAGTGCGAAAATTCGCGGCTAAAAGACGAACTGAGAGAAGCGCGATCGCGGATTCAAGACGGGTACCGGGAGAAACAGAAGTTGGAGCGAACAATCCAGGATCTCCGGACACGCAAAGCGGGAGCTGATAATAGCGGTCAGGACAACTCGGGGTCTGCGAGTGACAACGAAACATGGCCCGTTACGTCTTCTGGGCTACGCGAATTCAAACTTGGCAGAACAAATTCTCAAATAACCAAATTCCCCAAACGCTCGAGTAGTTTGGGCTTGCAAAGTGTTCTCGGATCGTCGACCACAGTGGCGTCAGAAAGTAGCAGCAGCAGCAGTATGACGACGCCTGCAACATCGGGCTCAGATGACTCGCTGTTACTGGAGCTGGTCAATGCTAAGACCGCAGAAGCAGTGGCGAAACAAGAGCTGGAGGAGGTAAAAGCCAAGTTGGATTCACTTCGAAAATTGATGAATGGCCACACGCGAGCCAAGCCGTCTACAGCGGAGCTCACGATAAATCTGTCATCTGGAACGGTAGCTGCGCCGGGCAAGCTATCGCCTGATCCCGTGAAAAGCGTGTCGACCGGCGGAGGATTTTTTGGCTGGGGAAGAAGAAGCACGTCGACGGTGGGAGTGACAGAGACGAAGTAACTGTCATCGTAAACATTTTTCACTTGGAATTTTTAGCTCTCAACCTGCTATTTTCTTTCTTTTTTTTTTTTTTTTTCGTTTCTTGTTGTCTATAATTCCTACAATCTGTGATACCTAACATGTGTCGATATCTGATACAACCTTTTTGTATATAAATTTGAATACATATTGACGTATATAATATACATAACTCGACAAGCAATCGAATTCCACTGGACTTGTCGGAAGCCCTGAGAGCAAGGCTTCAAATGTGTTACCTCGCCTCCCACGGCTGCTACGTGTTCTACTAGGGACACACAACAGTGCATTCGGTATTACCCAAGCAACGAAAGAAAATGGATACGAGGTGATATGCAACGGATCTACCACCGCATGCAACCGGAGGGTTTTCTTAAGGCTGATCGGGATTGATGCGATGTTATGCAATGCAATGCTGAGCATTTGAAAATGTCTCACCGAGTAACCTTGAACTGTCACCGGGGGTGCCAGGTGGCTGAATGTGTAACTCGGGTGAATGTTAGTTCGACAGGGGATCTGATGTGCTGATAGTAGTAAGATGAGGAACACTGCGTAGCGAGTGGTATAAGGTAGTCCAGTACAGCGGCCGGCCTGGTCTGCCTCGATGGTGATATTTTTTTTCTCGTGGATAGTATCAATTGGCCCCCGCGTAACCCCAGATTAGTATGCTGTGCACCCTCGTATAACTAGCCTACTCCGTACGGTGGCCAGTAACTAGTCCACTAGGAACAGCACGGAGTCGCGTGACAATACTATATATGTATGCCTGGTAAGTACGGAGTTATTGATTGATTGCTTGATTCTTCAGCGAAAGAGCCACCGGAAAAGAAAGGGGGAAAAGGCCTGATAATATCCATACAGACCCAAAAACAGAAACGCGGTGTGACGTGTAGTGCCGTGCAGTGCAGCGTAGCTTTTTCGTTTGGACATGCCTAGTCGAGCCCAGGCAGGATTCCAGGGAAAAAACAAAAAAACAAAAAAGAAAGAAATGCCTCAAAAAAGGTCAAATAAGGCTTTGAGGATCACAGAGAGATCTGCACGATGCAAAGCTTGTATGACCTAGACTTGACTACGTAACTAGTTGGTTGCTAACTATTTGACATGGAATTAGGTAAATTGCTGTCTCAGGACGTGGTTAGTAGACCCCACGGGGCGAGGGTGAATCTTGGTTTTGTACCCCTTGCATTCTGTTGTTGGCACCAACCAGACCGTCATAGAAGGTCTGTCCAAGAATCCAAACTTGAAGCATATTGAGGTTGATTGGAAATTTCAAGTATGTGGCATACTGAGGCGTGATTGGCCACATAAAAACATGCTTAGTAAGCCCGCCCGTCCAATGGAAAGGAAGCAAGCGCTCGCCTCCAACGACGCTCCGACCTGCTTTTCTGCGTGGGAGAGATCGGAAACAAAATGCCGAGTGGAGGCGACTGCGACTCTGCGGCCAATCGAAGCGCGCTGAATTGATTACTGAAATTGATCGAATTGCAGCCACGAACCAACTGGCCCGGAAAAATCTAATCCATGTTTGTGTTCATGGGGGGTGGTGGCCATGGATGTAGCCGCGCGTGGCGACGAAATGTCGAATTGACGGCGTGAACAGATGGCACGGTATGGATATGATCTGAGATGCTCGTACACAGTTATGTGCGGATTGATTGATGGGCGACACGTTCCGCCGTGTCATTTGGCTAGCATAGTGCGCTTCTCCATTTTTCATTTCTGTCTCCAGAGCAGAGAGTGGTACGCAGCGACGGAGTGCTCCGTACGGAGTATGAACTATGGAGTAAAATTACATACCGGGCGCAAACACAAATACGCGCAGATGCGACGTGGACGGCATAGCACTCGGTATCGGTATTACCGAATTCCCACTCGGCCCCGGCACCGGCATCGCCGCTTCGAGGAACACTCAGTCAGAGTCAAACCCACTTGGTCCATGGCCTGGCGTTACGCTTTCGCTCTCTGCTTTGCTTTGCTCTGCTCGCCTTCGCCTTCGTCGCCTTTCACTCTATATTCCCGCTTTCCCCTCCTTATTCCCCCCTCCATACTCCCCCCTGTCTCCAACTACCTTCCCCCCTCTTCTGCTTCGAATCGCCGCATACAATGATACCGCAGGCGTGTCGAACACAACGCTCCTCGCTCGCCTCTTTCCAAGCCGCCTTGCCACTTGCAACAACGCTATCAAACTAGCCTGCCGCCATGCCGTTCCGCGAGAGGGTCAAAAGGGCTTTTCGACGCAGTTCAGACAACCCAAAGAACTCAAAACCCAAGGTTGAATACTACCGTCGAGGCGAGTGCCCGCGCTCCAAGTACCGCGGGCCTGTCGATCCGGAACACCGACGGAAATTGTACGACTGGACTTTTGCGGCGGCTACTGCTGACCGTCGTCGGTCGTTTGATCTGGACTTGTCGCCTTGCACCAGTCTTCCGGACAGTCCTCAACATGATGATAGTGACAATGTCGTGCACGAGGATGCTGTTCCTGAGCCTGAGGTAGCCAGGGGTCCACACATTCAGATAATGGGTATGTTTATGCTCCGTGAGCGAATTTCAAAGAATAAAAACCATACTGATACATAACATTTACAGGTTCCATCACCGTTGCCCACCACGAAGAAGCTCCTTCGGGATCCTTCGACACCAGCTCCGACCAGTCTACTGCTGTCATGTCGAGTTGCAGGTCATCATCGCTGACCTTGAAAGACAGCTGGGATTGGCCGGCAACCCGGCGCGGGGCGGTTTCTCCGCTGAAACAGTCCCCGAGCTTCACGAGTCAGGAGAAGCGTAGAATTTCAGCACCAGAGAAGCGGCTGCCCTTCGACCCGCAGGATCTGCGTTCAGCATTGACTGCTGTCCGTCTTGTGTCGTGATCTACAATTCCTTCTTTTCCCATTAATCGAACTTTCAATTTCCCTGACACGACCAAACAACTGCATGGCCTTTTTTTTGATGGCGTCTTTCGGCTACCTTCTTTTTGCTCTGATTGATTCACGAATTTGCATATTTATATTATCATCACCCGGCCCGATGGACACGCGTGGCGTGGGTTTAGCGTGGCGTTTATCTACGAGGTTGATTCCCGAATCGCAGGTGGTTTTTTGTTTTTGGGCATTCATCGTGCGCATTGCACTAGATTGATTGGATTATTTACGAGTGTACATATACATAGACAGGACATACAGACAAATAAATGAAACACTATTCAACAAAACGATAAATTTTACATACATCGAAAACAGCCTTGGCGCATGTCTATCTCGACGCTAAGCCTAGCGCGGAACTAGTCCAATGCGCGCCATACATGAGTAAGTGCAAACTTACGGTTAGCCAGAATTTTAATGAAAATAATCATTGATATTATTATGAGTGATTTTGAGACATGCTTTAGTCCTTCTGCTACGCTAGTTGGTTAGCACTGCGAAGTGCATTCACTGTTTATCTATGTCCTTCTTTTCGCGATTTAATTCTCTGGTGCTATTCACACTGCCATAGTCTATTTATGCACAGAATATAATTATACGGTATAAGGATATAAAAATAGAGAGGGACCAAAAATAGCATCTGCGATCGGAAAAAATACAGGCCCCATTCTTGCGCCGTGCACAACTTGCACAATGTATCCACCGTCCCCGTATTTGACGAAAATTTTGTTGCCGTCAGGATTAAATTACACAGTTGTGCGTACCTGTATGTAATTATGTACAGTTACGTCGCAGATGACGTAATTATATCACGTGAGATGATGTCATTTCTTGAAGAGAATCACTGGTTCTTTCTAGGTTGTGGTTCTGACTACGTAAGGTAAGTAACTAACTATGTGGCAGACATATTATTACAGCGTGGCATGGATGAGAGCGACGAGGCGGTGTTACATATGGTATGCATGTGTTTGTGGCTGGTGGCAATTGCCAGGAATGTGGGAATGCTACCTTGTATCGAGACAGGCCATTTGAATAATGTGAAAGGAAGCTTTTGGTGTCTCGTCAGTTATGCGTCAAATACGACGCGAGAGCATCCACTGCTTGTTCCAGCTCATACTTCGTAGAGCAAGACGCAAATACGAACCGGTCAGGGCGAAGAACGGTGTATCGCTGGCCTTTCAACTCCTTCCCTAGACGCTGAGGATCGTAGTATCTCGGCTCTGGTCGTCCTTGACACAAGTCTGACTGGACAAATTCCTCGGCTGTTGCGATGGCGTACAGAGGATACGGTGAACAGTCATATATGGCATCTTGGATGTTACTCTCAACAATGCATGTGATGTCGTCCCCAGAAATGTGCTGCTGAGACATGGTCTCAATGTCCGAGAAATCGCTGTCCACAGCAGCCAGATCGGCCTCGCCCGGTTGTCTCAAATATATTAGTATCTGAAACAGGCCTCTTTTATTCCTAAAGATAACATCATCGGTAAATGCAACTTTGCCATCTCTAGACTTGCAATACACCTGAGGCACACACAACCCCCCATTCAGCGATGGCATGAACGGCATGCCCGCAGTATATTCATACCGAACCATTTTATCCTTGCGGTGACCACGGCGCAACTGATGCTGCCACGCAGGAATCAATTGCATGAACCACAGAGACCAATTGCGAATGAAGATTTTGATGGGGTTGCCTTCTGTGACGAACTCGCCGTTTTTGATTGTTGATTCTAGTGACGCCTCGAGTTGTTGCTTGCGCTCGAGAAACCAGGCACTGAGGATACTCTCGTGTGAAAGAGACCGTGATGCTGATGCTGTTTGGCAGAGAACAGCTAGCCGCCACGCAAGAGAGATTGCGTCGCGAAATCCGGATGCAATTCCTTGACCGCCAACTAGGGTAGATAGATATGAGTATGCTTCTTTTAAGTGGGTATGAATATCCAGCAATACTCACACGGTGGAAACACATGGGCAGCGTCTCCGCAGAGAATAACGCGGCCTTCTGACCACTTATTGCAGCTTCTGGCAGAGAACATAAAAGGCCGTGACCGCAACACATTGATACAATCCTCCGGATACTGAACGTCATGCACGAGACTAGGCATGTATTAGCAACCATTCAGATGGTACACAAGAAGAAAAAGTATAATACCCGTAGCGATGACCAGGATGTGTAATATAAGGAAACACAATCTTCTTCATCATTTCCGGCTTTGCCATTTCTTGTCCATCCTCGGTCTTGAGGACGACAAATTCAAACCTCCATAGACGATCCGCAGGGAGCCCGAAGCGCCCACAGACTGCTGGTCGGTTGGGATTACACAGGAAGCGAAAGTTGGTAGGAAAGAAGAGATCAAAGACTTCCTGCGGAGTGTATCCTAGCGACCAAAGGGGGAAATTGGGATGAGAGTCTTTGCTGGGGAGTGATATTTGCCAGTTGAGTGCAACCCAGGTCTCTTCGTAGAAGGAGCTAAAGAAGTTAAACATCTTAGCATCGTTAGAAGCTTGTAAAGAGTTGTGTTTCGGACTTACTTGTGTGCTCGCTCCATTTGGATCCCCTTGGTTTCTAAGTATTTCTTCCGAGTAAACCCGGTTTTCCCATCAGCACCAACGAGGAATCGTGATCGTATGCGCTGTATGCCTTTGTTGTCTGGATCCTTGGAGTTGATGTATTCGCAGTACGTCCATTGCTCATCCTCAGAAATCCCAACCACAATGCACCCAGACCGGAGCTGGCTAAACCCGTTTTCTGCCATCTTGTTTCGTAGGTGTTTTTCTAACACTGGCTGCTTGTGACAGATGAATCCAACGTGGCCCGTACCGCCTTCTGTCTGTACAGAGACAAAATTCAGCATCTAGAGATAATAATGATGATAGAGAAGCCTTACGGTACTGTAATCCATTTCCAGGAAGGGCTTCCTATACAGATCCGGAACTGTGCCGTCAACAAACTTGAACGTATTCATACCTGGCAGTGCATATCGTCAACGCTTAAAAACTAAGTTGGTAGCTATGTTCATTTTTCCTCACATGTCCCAATCTCCGAGTAGATACCGTTATATATTCCCAAGCCTTGTAAGAACCGGATTCCGTCTTCATCCAACGCAATGCCTCGTGGGTCCGTCGGTATCTCGTCCTCTTTTTCAAACACCACGTTTTTGATGGACATTTGACCAAGATAGGCCGACAGCATGGCCCCGGTTGGTCCACATCCGCAGATTACCACGTCGGTAGTTTCGTACTCGTCCGAGTTTGCCATGATGGCTTTCCCTGGTTTGCATAGTAATTAAAGCCGAAAACAATCTAATTTATCTCTCAGTCGGAGTCACGTACGTTTTATATCAACCTTTACATAATGACCGCCCTTACGTCCTCAGCGGACATCACCAGCGGGACCCAAACCCGGCCCCGTTATTGATGCTTCATTCCGCTCGATTCAAAAGCCTCGGGCAAAACCATGCCTCGCTCAAGCCCTTGGCGGTGGGACGAATTGATCATCCTGTATATTGTGTGCAACCTGAGCTGTCTGCAGCGGGACGTGCATTCGTCCCGCCGGAGTTTATCCACGCAACGAAAGTCGGGGTAGCCCAGATGACGCGGAGACGCAGGATTCAAGTCTGATATGTATTAAATAGGTAAAAACTCTGATTCATAACTTCATTCAAATCCCCCAACGTAATCCGGAATAAAAATTCAGTACCAACATGGTATGACACCTAGGCCTTCTCTAGGTGGTGATTGTACTAATTTATTGCGCAAGCCAACAACAACATCCATCGTGACACCTAATCATGGCGCATCCGTTCCGGATGCTATCGCCGTGAGCAACGAGAGAGAAGATCTGGCAAGCTGGCAGAGAAGATGCGGTATCAAGAAAGAGGATCAGATCCGTTTGGTCAAAGTAGCCCACATGCGATACCAACATCCGGATCTTGACCAGATCACCGTTTTTCTTCTTGGTTAGCATACCATGCCATCAATCTACGATTGATTCCTCAGTTGCTGATATAGGAGGCATGTAATATCCAGATTTTGGAATGGAAGTCGCCCATAAGGCCGACGATCAGGTTTGGTTTCGCGGATATGGTAGCGACCAGTATGTTTACTATGCCCGCAAAGGGCCTAAAAAGTTTCTCGGTGCAGCTTTCCAAGTGGAGAGCCAGCAAGACTTGGAGAGGTAAAAAATTGACAAGATTTTGCTGCTCAAATTAGGTACCGTTGCTAATTTCCCATCTAGAGCTGCTCAACTGCCGACTGCTGGTGATATTCAGGAGTTAAAGGATGCCCCAGGAGGAGGACACATGCTCACATTAACTGATCCAGAGGACATTCCTGTTAATCTTATCTTTGGACAGACTCCAGCAGAGCCTAAAAGCTATCCGGAGAAACTTACCATCAACTACGAAGTGGAGAAGCCGCGAGCGCTTAAGTTCCAGCGCTTCACTACTGGTCCTGCCGCAGTTCACAAGGTCTGTAACTCACATTGACCGCTTAGGTAAATAGTCACTGATATATAAGTAATAAACTAGCTTGGACACTTTGGCCTCTGTGTTCAAAAGTTCCATGAAATGGTCGAATTCTATACCCGAAACTTCAATCTTGCCCCCAGCGACTTTTTGTATGTCGACGATCAAGACGACGGCGAAGACAATAAGAAGAAGAAGAAAAACGTTGCTTTATTCGCTCACATTGACCGTGGCGAAGACCTGGTTGACCACCATACCTTCTTCATCAGCACAAACCCCACCACTCACGTTCATCACTGCTCGTTCGAAGTGCACGACTTTGACACCCAGCAACTAGGCCATCAGTGGCTTGCTGAGCAGGGATACAAGTCTGTATGGGGGGTGGGCCGTCATATTCTCGGCTCGCAGATATTTGATTACTGGTGGGATACGACTGGGAACATGATTGAGCATTATGCGGATGGTGATTTGGTCAATGAGAATACGCCTATTGGATATGGTCCTGCTGGAAATGAATCGCTGGCGGTATGGGGGCCGGAAGTGCCCGCTTGGTTTTTGGAGTAGTTGGATTGATTTATGAAGTACAATATCAGATTGACAATAAGATCATGTTATGTGTTTGGAACATTTGTGGATTTAACGGATGGTTTGATTGTTCAGCATCATGACTTCGATTGAAAGTATTACGCCGTAAAGATCTGATATAGTTTTGTAAAGGACCACATGGAAAATTGTATGCTGGAATAAATAAACCGTACAATTCTGACCACATCTACCAAGATTCATAGCGAACTTTGTTTACCAATGTCCCAATTTTGTCAATCTTAATCGAAATCTCGTCTCCATCTCTAAGTACAACCCTGGGCTGCCGGAAGTAGCCAATACCAGCTGGCGTACCAGTTAGAAAGATCGTGCCAGCCTCCAAAGTAGTTCCCTGAGAGAGATAGGAAATCTGCTTTCTAACGTTAAAGATCATGGCTTGAGTATGTCCATCCTGGACTATTTCGCCATTGTGTATGGCCTGTATAGCCAGAGTCTGTGGGTCCTCAATGACAGACGAGGCAACGAGAACAGGACCTACCAATTAATCTATTAGCAGGGAGTTTACAATACAATGAATGAATCGGACCGGTGAACATACCGATAGGGCAGCTTCCATCAAGACCCTTGGAAAAAGACCACTGACTCGTAAGTAATTGGAGTCCACGGGCTGATACATCATTTGATGCAGTATAGCCCAAAACGTAGTCCAGAGCCTCTTCTTCACTGATGTTTCTTCCCGTCTTGCCAATCACCACACAGAGCTCGGCCTCGTAATCACTTGTGTCATCCTGAGCGCACTTGGGAATATTAATGGTGGCGGGAAAGGGGCCGGCGAGGGCCGTTCTCGGCTTTGTAAAGAGAATTGGTGCTTTGGGAAGCTCTAGGTCTGCTTCCTTTAGGAGGTGTTAGAACTATGCATATCACATTGAACGTTTTTGACTGGAATTTAGTTACCCCCGCATGGTCCGTGAAGTTCAAACCAAGACATCGAATATAGTTACAGTAGTCCTTGGAGACTGGAGAGAGCAACTACCAATGGAAATGATCAGTTTCTGTATGTCGTCTCATTGCAAAGTCCACAGAATTCGTTTTAACGAACATGCTTGACATGCAAGATCTCCTTGGTCACCCTGCCGTCGAATATGGTCCCGTCAATCAAGTACACGGCAATCTCCTTGCCATCCACGCTATCCCGGCCAGCATCACGGGTTGTATCAACGAGCTGGCCGAGATGCTCCTGACGATCCTCGACAGCGATGAAACGCACCAAGTGTGTCCAAGAAGAAGGCATAGTGACGGCAAACCACACTAAGAATAGAGCTGTATAAAGGTAACTGAAAGATTCTTCTGAGAATATATGGACGTTATTACTTTATTCCCCTCCCATCAATCAACCTGGGGCATACAGATGTATCCGCACTTCCAGAACTTGCGGGACGTGGCGGGACAGCGGGACCATCAATCATTGCCGTTTTGGGTAAGTAGATGTAGCACGAGGAGGTGCAGGGTCAGGAGGGATGAAGAGGGCGTGCTGTTGTACTTTTTCCGCATGAATACCTTATGTAGTGCAGGGCAAACAGATAGAGTGTTGATGATAAGAGTAGTTAGCTAGAGACACGTTGTAGTGCTGTTCGGAGTAAACACTAGCCCTAGCCCTAATTTCAACATTCAGTAAACCAACCAAGCGCACTGATTGGCTGATCACATATTCCCGCCCCGCATCTTCGCGCCCAATTATTGCATGAACATTGAATACATCCGGTGGCGGACGTCGACAGCATCATGGTCAACAGAAGGGGACCAAGGAAGCAAAGAGTCTGTCCCTGGTGCTCGCAGAATTTCACCAAGGATGAGCATCTTGCAAGGCATATTCGCAGCCACACGAAAGAGCGGCCGTTTTCTTGCTCGGCCTGCAACAAGTCGTTTACGAGACAGTATGCTAATTGATCCATATCACACCTAATTTATATCTGAATATTTCTGATAAGCCGCCAGTGACACCCTTCTGCGACATTCGCGATCGCATCTTACATCTGAAGAGAACGCGGCATCTAAATCAACAAGATCACTCTCTACACTCTTCAGCTCTCAAAGATCTGCTATAGGAGAACATTCCAACAGAGGCTCTCATTTAGATGTTGGTCTTTCTACATCGTCCTTAACTCAGTCGACCCCGTCAGTGCAGGAGTCACAACCCCCTAATTCCCTGTCGTGCGACTATGAACCACTCGGGCTAGGGGAAATCTCCAGCTGGGTTGGGCTAAACCCGGCCCAACCTATGGATAACAGTAATCATGTAGAACTAGCACCAAACAGTCTCGACAGATTAGAAGCAACCGACATTGGTGCGGCCAATCCCTGGGCAATCAGTGCTAGGCATCAGATTCCCGGTTGGATGGTGAGCGAGGACTTTGATATGAGCGCTCTTAATGCATATATACCATCTTCAGGGGCTTATTTAGACACACAAATTTGGCCAATGAACAGTGGCAGAGCTTCTCAGATGGAGAATAATGTTATTATTGGGAGTCCCTCTGACATGATCCCACAGCCCAGGGAAGAGTACATTCGACAACAATGGTTTACGTTTATAGGACCCGAGCAGAGCGGACATATTACTCCAGAAACACCCAATGAGCCCACCAGTGTTGACGAGAGCTACCGGGAGGGTTTGTCTCGTGAACTTCAGCAACGCATAAACAACGAACCACTTCCATCCACTGACTTTTTGGTAACAATAAACCCTTTCGAATCATACCGGTTTGCTCTACTAACGTCGCAGAATCTATGCATTCAAATGTACTTTACAAGATTCAATCCTATTTTTCCAATCGTCCATTCACCTACTTTTCGGCCATCTGCCAAACAATCTGTGTTGCTAATATCGATATGTTCGGTGGGAAGTCTTTTTCTGGGATCTTCACATGCCACTGCACAGGGCGTCAGGCTATTCGAGCGGTTGAATAAGTTTTTTCTTGGATCGGTATTGTTTCCCAGATTGGTCTTTTATATTTGAATATTGACAAATAACTGATATTCTGACAGTGGGAATCTTATCTTGTTCGAGGAGCACCGGATGCCCTAGCAATGACCCAAGCCATCTTGATAGGACAGACTTTTGGCATGCTTTCAGGCGTAAGCATCTGAACTCGCTTGAGGTGGAAATAGCGTCTTTACTGATGAATGATAGAATCCAAGACATCTTGTACTCGTCCAGATGTTCCATGGAACAGTGATAGCAGTGAGTCTACCGATCCCGAACAAAAATGGGCAATTTCTTATTAGAAACAGTGGGCTCGAAGACAAAACATATTCGATCGAGTCACTTCAATCGATGTTTCTCCGGCGTCGGTGAAATCTGATCTTGAAGGCTCCTGGAGACGATGGATACACAACGAGGAAAAAAGACGGTATGTCTATATTGAGACAAGTTTCTAATCTTGGATGATGTGTCTGTTAATTTCTTTTCATGCAGAGTTGCAGCCGGCCTTCGAATCTATGATGGTGAGCTTGCGGAGCTATTCATGACGGAGCCTTTCCTACGAAGTTCACCGTCTAGAGAATCGCCAGTTGCAACCGATGATCTCTGGACGGCACAGACATCCACTGAATGGGCTCATATTGTCGAGGAGCGTAGCCGCCTGGGATCTGCTCAATTGGCATATGGACAAGATTTGGACAACAGCATATCGGGAATATCGTCACCTCATTACTCCTCATTTGCGTTGTATAGCCTCCTTGGAAGGAAAATAAGTTACATAATGGACCAGGAGAGTGTGCAGCAGCCACCTAAAGAGGTTATACCGTCTCTGATATTGATCTATAATGATTGTCTCCGTCAGCAGACGCAGCCGGACGATTTCAGTTTGGGAGCACTCTGGCATTCCATTTTCATATTGTTGCATTGCAACATGGACAAATTCGAATGTGCCATTGGCCGTGAAGGATTTGACAAGGCGCAAGAAAATCGCTTATACGCCACTAGATGGGCATCCTCGATGGATGGCCATCGATGTGCCATCCACGCCGCGCTGATTCTGCAACGTCTGCAGCGAATTCCGGTTGGACAAGAGCCTGCTATTCACGTGCCGCGTGTGCTATATCGTGCGTGTTTAGTTTGGTACGTGTATACACGATTTGGGCGGGATAGTGATGGTAGCGATGGTAATCAGGTCTTAACCGAACAACTTGATTTCCCTGAGCTTGTCAATACTGGTATTGATGGTGCACGAGTGTTATTTGTTGCAAATGGGTTTAAGAAAACTCGGCCTACCACATCTAAATCTACTACTCTGTTTCATCTTCTTGATATCTTGACCAGGCTGGGACATTGGGGCATTAGTCAGAAAATGGCGTCGTTGTTGTCAGTCTTGATTCATGAACCATGAGATTGCTGGTCATGCTCAGTATGATCACTATGCGTCTTTTCATATCAAGCCACGAGAGTTACTTGGATAAGTCTCGTGAACGAATCAGAAAATGCAACAACAATAATCTCCAATCAACTTAAGCTTGAACTAAACTGTAGGCAGAGAGGATGGATAGGCGTGTTTGGTGAATGAGATCGTTTGCTAGTCCGAATGGGAAACGACCTTTATTCTTTCTTCTGCCTCGCTTGTCTCGGTAGTGAACGCACTTCTCTCACCTACGTCGCTTTCACTCAACCTCATGTCCCATTTATAGCAACGCAGATCGACGTTGCTGCTTGCAGATACTTCCTTCTCTGCAGCATGTCAAAGGGCCCCAAGATACTTGAGTGCGCACTAAGCTACGAATGTTGTCGCCTGTCAACGTAAGAGCTTCTCCTATCAAGCAGCACTGCGACCATAGATATAGAGCATGTACTAGCTACTTAAATCACATCTAGCTCTTGGGTGGCTGATAACGTATAGTAAGAAACATCAGCTCAGGAGACATGCGTAAGCATACTGTCTCGTCCCGCATGAACCCCGCGGTGGGACGTCAGCATCATCATTCTTTCATACACAAAAGGGTTGTTACTGCACTTACGAGTTTATTCCAACAAATACATCATTTTTCATGAGAATGGAGTTCGAGGAGCGTATTGACGTCCATGCTCATGCCCTGCCACCATTTTATCGCGAAGCATGCATCAATGCCGGCCATGCGCAGCCAGATGGCATGCCGAAGCTCCCAGTAATCGCAGGCCATACCAAAGATTTTATTCGTATACTGACTATTCTAGGACTGGGACGTTGAAAGCCACCTCAGCCTTATGAAGAAATTGAACATTAGCAAGTCTATTCTGTCCATCAGCTCTCCCGGTTCCCATCTCACCGAAGGCAACAACGAAGCTGCACGCAGTCTCACTCGATCGTGCAACAACTATATGGCAGATTTGGTCTCAGTATACCCTTCTCAGCTGGGATACTGGGCATCCTTACCGCTCCCAGATGTTGAAGGCAGTTTGGAAGAAATTGCACACACATCTGGCAAGGCTAATGGCGTCACGCTCAAGACTAATTACTATGGAATATATCTCGGTGATAACAAATTCGACGCTATCTTTGAAGAACTGAACAGAAGACATGCAAAGGTCTTTATACACCCGACTACTCCATGTGTGAGGCAGCATACACGCAAAGATGGTCGTAGCATGGAGACCGTAGCAGCCACCCCATTAACACAATTCGCAAATCCAATATTTGAATTCATGTTTGACACTGCTCGGGCACTTATGAATCTTTTTATTTCTGGCACCATTGCACGCTGTCCCAATGTCACCTTCATTACACCGCATGCGGGCGGTGCTCTTCTGCCCATGATTGAGCGATTCACCTCCCTAGGACGCATGATAGGAGGCCCGGGTCAGGATCTGTCAAGTCAAATAATAAAAGATACATTTGCGCGACAATTTTATTTTGACCTTGCTGGCTTCCCATTTCCGGATCAAGTTCGTGAATTGTTGTTGTACGTCAAGACGGATAGACTGCTGTACGGATCTGATTATCCCTTCACGCCGGAAAAGTTTGTCTTGGACTTGGCCGGGATCATGAAAAAGGAGATGGGAGGGATGTGGAAGGAGGAGGAGAGGACGATGATACTGTTGGGAAATGCTAGGAGGTTATTGTCGTGATATCGTTACTAGTATAATAGTAGTCCTAAACCTGACTGTATTATCAGTATTATCTAGGAATAATCCCACACAATACGTGGCTGAAACGTGAGGACCTTGAAATGCAATCCACGCTCTTGGCTTAATCTGTTCTCGTCACCACCTGCTGGACGTTTTTCGCTAGAAGATGAGCGGGAATTCGTGAAAAACGTATCAAAATTCATGAAGTTTTCCCTTCGCGGCGTGTGGTTCGTGGAATAGAATTTCCTGGTAGCAGTGGTAGCATTGGTGGTAGAATAAAGCAGGGGACTGTCTATATTTTGCAATACCACGCATAAAGAAGACACACGGCTAGCTAACGGGTTGTATTTTCTGCTGATTCGATTTTGAACGAACATGGCATACGAGCGTATGAGCTTTAGGTCTTGTTCATTGTGTGTGCATATGATGTTGTAGGCCAGCACGCATAATGGGGACAAGGGATACATGAAGTATGTCCCTAGAAATTAGGATGAATTCCTGTCCTGCATGGATTGATCATGGTGGGCAAGAGAAGCAAAGGACTGACCAGCTTACCTGAGCGATCTCAATCACAGACTCATCTTGAACTAACTTGTTGAAGCTTTCGAGACATTTCCGAGCACAATTTAACACCTGTCGTTGGACCTGGCTGCTGGTGGGTAATTCGGCGCATCGCTGTAGAAGAATTGTCTGTGTTGCGTAATACCTGAAATCCAGAAACAAGAGATCAAGCTCAAACTTCTTAGCTAAAGTATTCGAGGTCGCTAATTTCTATTTGTTTTGGTTAAAGTTAATAGGTGTCCCTAGCGGTGCCTTGGCGGGGATGATTCTTACATTTTCAATTTTCGAATACAGTTTTATCAAACTGCTATGTGTTGGTTGAATGTCTTCCCAGACTATCGTTTTTGTACCGGAAGCTATGGGAGATATATATCCTTGTATATGGGCGAACTCCAGAAGAATTTGGACCAAATCGAGCTTTGCAGGGTCTGTCTCTATCTCATCAGATGATATTGAAGGCGGCGCACTCAACAGCTGTGGTAGAAATGGCGGCTGTCGAAGAAGGAGACTCATTGACCGGTCAAGCTGGTAGCACCAGGCAATGCACCTCTCAACACTTTCGCCCCGTGATACTGGTCGACTACTATCAGCATTGCTAAAGCCTAGCGCAATAAATGTACGCGATACGGCAACCATCATGCTCCATGCCTGTGGCACATTGCCAAGGTATTGTAGTATTGCTACACCGATGCATTGAGCTTGAAGCAAAGATAATGATGGTGGCGTACGAAAAGACATTTGGTCTAGTTTTGCCAGTGCGTTGTGAAGCTTCTGCGTCTTGATATCTTCAATGTGTTTTTCAATTTTGTTCGCATCCGTATCTTTCTTGTCCACTTTGTGTTGTCCAAGAGTTATAGCAGCTTCAAAACTGAGAATGATTCTGTGATGGAAGGCTTCCTGGTTATCCTGATTTTGGCCATCAAGTAATGACAGACCCATCCCTTTGATTGTAGGCTACGGAAGCATCAAACTGGGGGAATATAAAAGTGGAGTCGGAATACATGGTGAAGTAAGTATATTGGCAATATCACTGGGCGACAGATCGTAGGTGCCTTTGTCATTTTTGTAATTCTCGGTCTTGTCCCAATCTCGGAGCGACGAACTTTGACTGAAGTGGTCCAATGTCGCAAGTATCGTCTCCAGAACCGCTTGGCTTTGTCTCCATGGAATATTAGACCATGGCGTTTCTGGAGACATAGTAATATCACTTTGTGCAGTATCTTGCGGTTTTGATTGAAAATCTCGGGCCGTGCCCTGACCTGTCGATGGTAGTCTTCCTTCCTCTTCAATTTCAGTCAAATCCGTCAAGAATCCCCCAAGGACATCAGGAGTCACCTGGATTTCATCTCCCACAGCACTTGCCGCGCCAGTAAAGTTGAGATCATGTTCAGCTTCGGTCTCTACATCCTGCGAAAGGGGGAGATGACGCCGATTGGGTTGCCCTACTACCCGCTCTGACCGCGCATGACACTGCAGTAGATTTTCAAGATAGTACATACGCACAGTCAATGTGCGAAGCGCATCAGCTCTAGAAAGATGCTTAAAACTATCGTTCCCGAACAGTCATCATAAAAAGAAATCTTGTCTTACGTTATTGGTTTTCGACGACGTCGGGCGTTCCTCTGTCGAGTTCGCTGACATACAGCGCTGGCTGCAACGCACATTCTGCACGGGTCTCCTTTGTCACATTTTGTCTGTAGAGTTTAGACGTAAAACAATCAGAGGCGTTGTTGTTATCAATCATTTCCTTTGATGGCTTGTCGACTGCTGACCTTCTTGACATAACATCGATCACACTATGTCACGACTCATAAATCAGTGCTGTTTCTTCGAATAATCTATAATAGCCTAAGTGAACTAACCGCAATGGCTCCCGTTTCAGCCATGTCTGATGAGATTAATCTGCCAACAAGTCCAAAACAGAAGTCTGGGAGCTGCCAACGTAAGGACGGTCAAGTGTCGTGGGTAGATACCGGAAGCCGGAAGTTGATTATGTCCGCGGATTCTCGGAAGCCTCGGCGAGGTCACCATCGGGGCAACTTTCACGCACTTAACAACAAAGAACCTCCAAATATATGTGAAATATTAGTTGTAACAGATAAGCTAGCGGCCCTTATGAAAGTTAGAGAAAAGTTCTCTGTCTAAAATTACCTATCCCGAGGTCTTTCGAGACAAGAGGACTTCAAGCGGCTAAGAGGTTTAGGGCTTAGGGCTTAGGGCTAGTCTCGATCTGAATCTTATTAACAATTATCTAGCTTATTTGAGCACTTCTCAGTTGTGACCCGTAGATTCCGAGCCGTATGATCTGGTGGATCTGTAGACTTCGATGGCATTGGATGCTACAGAGCGTCTGGGTGAATATAGAATCACATCGGTCAGTCTACTTCCAAAGTAGACAACAGCTACACGTGATTGCTGCCAAAGGAAACGTCGGAAGTCATTATTTTGCCTTCCCGACGCTCAGTAATAAATATTCCTAGGCATACAAGATAGGCTCAGATGTCAGAACAGCAAGGATTGACGCATTGCTCGATCTATGCGCCCAAGACAACCAGCAAGAGGATATCTTTTCATGGAATATTTCTTTAACCAGAACCTAGCTAAACTTAATCTTGTGCCGAGGTCCCAAGCTGGAAGGCTTGAGGAGCGAAAAGTGCATTTGTGGGTGTGAGCTCCGTGGCCAATGATGCCCGATTGAGAACCGACCTAGACGAGCTTTGGCCAGCGGAAATCCCATGGTAATAATACTATGTGACGTGGTCATTGAGCTGAAAGGTGTCGAGATGAAGGGGTTTATAGGATTGAATGAGGGCGCTTGGACTATCGGAGCCCTACAGCCTCCGCCGGCACAACTTTCAATCCGGACGGAATATGGGTTATAGTCAAGGGAGACCCCTGAAAGCATACAAATATGTAGATAACTGTAACCAAATGTGCTTCTAAATTCCTAAATATTTATACTCTTGACAGACAGCTTTATTGCTGACAATCAATTGTCATTCCAAGCTTCCTCCCGACTCACGGGGATTTCCTAAATTGGTTTCCTAAATTGGAAAACTCCCAACCGCAAACGGACTTGCATGAAAAGTACCGCGAATATGAGTGCAAACACCAAGACCATCTTGATTCTCGGAGGCTCCTATGGTGGTGTAGCAATAGCGCACTACATCCTCAAACACGTTATTCCTTCTCTGCCAAACAAAGACGATTACCGTGTTGGTCTCGTTAGCAGCTCCTCCCATTTCTTTTGTCGACCAACATGTCCGCGTGTTCTTCCTTCAGAAAACGCACTTCCGAAAGACAAGCTTTTTGTGCCCTTGACGAAGGCCTTTGAGCAGTATACAAACCCTGCCGTAACATTGTATCACGGTACTGTGGTTAAGCTGGATCATTCTGCCTGCACAGCCTCGATTCTTTCATTTCCTGATACCGTGGAGACCAACATTGGCTATTACGCTCTCACCGTTGCTACAGGAGCAACAGCAGCATCCCCTTTACTGGGCCTCTTCGGTGATCATCATGAAACAGAAAAGGCATGGACTTCATTTCGGAAGCTTCTCCACCGCGAAAAGTATTGTCATCGTTGGAGGAGGACCAACCGGCGTGGAAACTGCCGGTGAACTGGGACAGTATCTGAATGGTCGCCCAAAACCCACCACAAAATCGAATACAGTTATTACACTTCTCACAAGGGGCAAACAGCTGCTCCCAGATTTGCCGCTTTCGGTTTCCCAGAAGGCTTAATCGCAGTTGTCTAAGCTCGGTGTTTCCGTTCTCAAGACTAGATCTGTCGAGGAAGTGACTTCGATTGAAACTGGTTATGAGCTTGCTGGAACTTATGCGTCAGACCAAACTCTGGAGCGAGTCGCCGATGCAGTGACCATTCGCTTGGATAATGGACAGACTCTCCATGCAGATCTTTACATCCCCGCAATCGGTGTTTTGCCAAACACCAACTTTCTGGATCGAGATTTGCTTGACAAGGATGGATACGTCAAGGTTGACTCTTCATCGCTGCGCGTGGAAAATGCTGGGCCTAGGGTCTATGCACTTGGCCATGTGTGCTCGTCGAAGCCACAGGCAATCCACGCCATCATGGGTCAAGCCCCGGTGATCGGAGAGAACTTGAAGCAAGATCTACTGGCTGCTGATAGAGGCGATGTAGCGGACAAGATTATTTACCGTGCATATAAGCCAGACGCGCGAGTGAGTCAGCTTGTGGTCATTGGGAAAAAGGGGGTTGGACTCGCTTTCGGTTGGAAAATATCAAGCTTCTTGGTCTGGTTAATTAAAGGCAGAGATTACTGGCTTGGTATGACACCGCCCATGTGGAATGGAAAACAGTTTGCGAAGCCTATCTGAGAGACGATCGTGCTATGTCAGACATGGAAATTCCAGGCTGCCTAATGCATTTCGATCAAAGAGTCACGGAAGTCGTGTTCGATTTACCCTAAAGGGCTCTCATGTACTTTATTTTTGATGCAATTCCTATATACATTTTTCGTAAATCATCTATGAGGGTATAAGCCATGCTCGGCACCAAAGTAATGTGCCAAGTTATGCAAGGAGAAATGATTCAATCTTCATGCGTCACAGACATATCCAGAACCTCTACTCTTCCTCGACCACGCGTCTCACTTGTGACGAACTCGTTAACCCCCTTGAAAGCTCCAGGCTCAGCAAAGCCTACGACTTCCCACTCCTCACCGATAATTTCTTGCGATTCTATGGATTCAATGTAGCTCAAGATTTTGTCTTTGATATTAGACGGCGCTTTCGGCGCAGTTTGCTTGTCGTCGACTTCATTTTCATCCTCTGATTCCTGGTGTTTCTTGCCTTTGCCTTTCTGGCCCTTTTTGTTGTTTCCTTTAGAGGACTTTGGCTCCTCTTTAGCTGCACTGCCCGCTGATGAAGTCACTTTAACAGACTGTTTCAGTAAGGATACCGGGCAAGTTACTCGCAAACGCATGCGAGCCCGCATCACCGGAATGGGCTGCCATGCAATGAGAGCCTTCATGGCTTCGAGAGCTTGACTCTTAGCCGACTTGGTGGCTGAAACGCCTTTCCATAACGGCTTTCGCTGTTCTCCTGCTGTTCCACCATGTTCTGATGACTCGGCTGTGGCCGCTGCCCCATGCTCGCCATTTTGTTGCTGTTGTTGTTGCTGCCCACTGGCCGCACTTAATTGATCCAGGGCCTTCTCAATCATGGTTGGTGTGTATACACGCTTGGTGGCGGGATCGACCAGTCGTCCAGACACGATATCCACAACTTCCTTCTGAATCCGCTCTAGGATATCTTTTCTCTCACGCTCCCCCACCTGCACCTCGCCTTTGCGCAAAATTTCTTGAATTATTTCATCTTGGGGAACGCCGGTACCGAAAGCTTTGGCAAGCTCTGCTGCGGGGGCGGTTTGGGCCTTCGACACGGACAGAAAAACAGTATGGATCTGGAGGACATTGTCGATATCCTTTTCAACGCCCGACCGATATTCCAGCAGTTTATTCTTATAGCATGCTAGTTCGAAGCGCTTTTTGCCTAGTTATATTTAACAACATGGTGAGCGAGACCCTGAGCAGGATTGAATTAAAAGGCAGCAGATAACACGGAAAATATAAACACAAAAATTGCATATTGACAACATAGACATAACGTACCTTTTTTTAACCTCACGATAGATACATTTGTAAATTTGATTTGGTTTGACGGTTGATTGATGCCGACAGGCATGGTTGTGACGAATGGCTTGGTATAAAGCTATGGTGCAGAAGGATCAGATTGGTTTGCGCAGGGTAGGTATATAAGAAGACCAAAGCTTGACCTATGGGATGTGTTGGAGGAGTTGCGATAGAAATATATCATTAAAAAAAAATGACGCCAGTCGAAGAGAGAGGTGGGGTGATATGACTAATCATGAGTGCCTTAGGCGTCAAAATGACTGTGCCTCATTCTCACACTATTCCATGCTTCTTGAGCTATGTATGGAGAGAATAAGAGATACTCTAGTAGTGATGAGAATCACAATGAGAGCTGACTACCTAGGTAAGAAATGGGTGTCCTAAATGATCTATGACGAGAACCGAAGCCACTACATCTAACAAACGCATACGCAGTAGAAACTGGTTATGACGAACGGAAGGGCTCCCTACCTAGGTATATCAGATATGGCACCTTTTAGATTATTCGATAAAAAGAATGAAGAACATGCAAATTATTACATGGTGATGCTCAAATAGATTAATGAACTGTGGTGCTATGCATCTCCAGATCAAAATCACTCTAGGGATAGCTCTGGGAGACCTGGTCTCCGTTCGTTATAGCCAGGTTCTACCTGTATACATAACTACAGCTATCTTTTATTATTTGCTATATAAAGGGCCTTCATTTGGTGCTAAGGCACAGGCATGAAACTCTTCTGGTACCCTGCACTTTGTAACTAGAGCATGGCATGGATGCAAGCATAAGCATGCATGGCCTCAGGCAGCTCAGGATGGGCTGTGCCTGCCAAGACGTCCTGCCTAAAGCGGCATCGGGGTTGCCTGGAGACGTGGCGAATCGATAGCAGCGACAGCCCTGATTGGCTGCCTTCCAAGGTTCTTGTTCCCACTGGGCCTCAGGCCGCCCTACATCACAAGACTCGGCCTGGGAAGCTACCCCAAGTCGTGTGTCATCCATCCTTCTCCCCAGCTTCATCGCTCTTCTTATCGTTCCTCATCCCCTATCCGCTCCATATTAACCGTATTTATTTGGAACTGCTTTAGTTCCTTTAGATTAAGCACTGTGAGAACCTCCGAATCCGATATACTCGCTGAATCAGCCATCCGCCTATCTGCGTACTAACAACAACGTCATTGGCATAGGTTCCTCAACATGAGAGTTCTCCCTACCACGCTCCTTATCGGAGCAACAGCTGCGGCTGTCAATCCAGGCCAGCAGGTCCTCCAAGCTCCAGATGAAGTCGTTGAGAGTACTCATGAAGCCGCTCCTAAGCTAGCCGAGGCTCTGTCACAGCCTCTTCGAGAGCTCAAGGATGAGCTCAAGTCTCTGACTGCCGAAGCCGAGCAAGCCTGGGAAGAAGTTTCGAGCCTCTTCCCAGGCTCCTTGGAAAACATTCCATTCTTCTCCGCTGCTAAGAAGCACACTCGCCGACCCGACTCACACTGGGATCATATTGTCCGGGGTGCCGATGTCCAAAGCGTCTGGGTTGAAAATGCCAACGGAGAGAAGGAGCGAGAGGTCGGCGGCAGACTCGAAACATACGACTTGCGTGTCAAGTCTGTTGATCCGAGTGCGCTCGGAATCGACCCCGATGTCAAACAGTACAGTGGCTACCTGGATGATAATGAGAATGATAAGCACTTGTTCTACTGTATGAGCTCAATCCCCTCTTTTTTTCACTGATGTATGGACACTGACGGAATTAAGGGTTCTTCGAGTCGCGAAATGACCCCAAGAATGACCCTGTCGTTCTCTGGTTGAACGGTGGCCCAGGCTGCTCATCGTTGACTGGTCTGTTCTTTGAACTCGGACCTAGCTCCATTGGCAGCAATATCAAGCCCATTTATAACTCATATGCATGGAACTCCAACGCGTCTGTTATTTTCTTGGACCAGCCCGTCAATGTCGGCTTCTCCTATAGTGGTAGCTCTGTTAGCGAGACTAGCGCTGCTGCTAAAGACGTTTATGCTCTCCTCACCCTTTTCTTTAAGCAGTTCCCTGAATATGCTGGCCAGGACTTCCACATTGCAGGCGAGTCTTACGCTGGTCACTACATTCCCTCCTTTGCGTCCGAGATTCTCTCCCACAAGAAGCGCAACATCAACCTCCAGTCTGTCCTCATTGGTAACGGTCTTACTGATGGTTACACTCAATATGAGTACTACCGCCCAATGGCTTGCGGTGACGGTGGCTATCCTGCCGTTCTTGACGAGAGCACCTGCCAGTCTATGGATAACGCTCTCAGTCGCTGCCAGTCCATGATTCAGGCTTGCTACGATACTGAAAGCTCTTGGTCTTGTGTCCCGGCCTCCATCTACTGCAACAACGCTATGCTTGGCCCATACCAACGCACTGGCCAGAACGTTTATGATGTCCGCGGAAAGTGTGGTAGCAGCAGCTTGTGCTACGATGATCTAGAGTTTGTCACCGAATACCTGAACCAGCCCGAGGTTCTCAAAGCTGTTGGAGCCGAGGTTGATAACTTTGACTCCTGCAACTTTGACATCAACCGCAATTTCCTTTTCCACGGTGACTGGATGAAGCCATTCCACAAGCTTGTTCCAGGACTCCTTGAGGAAATCCCTGTTCTTATCTATGCTGGCGATGCTGACTTCATATGTAACTGGCTGGGAAACAAGGCTTGGACTGATGCCCTTGAATGGCATGGACATGACGAATATGCCGCCACTGAGCTAGAAGATCTTACGATTGTTGATCAAGAGCACAAGGGTAAGAAGATCGGCCAGGTCAAGTCCTCCGGTAACCTCACTTTCATGCGTCTGTTTGGTGGTGGCCACATGGTTCCATATGACCAGCCCGAGTCCAGCCTTGAATTCTTCAACCGCTGGCTCGGTGGCGAATGGACGCAGTGAGTGAGCTACATTGTGCGTGGCTTCTTTTTATGTCGCATTGTAGTCTGTTACTTGCCTTTCATGGTTGATTTTGTTGAAATCCTGTGCTTTTGACATCGTTTGATTCCGCTCTTCAGTATATGTATGCCAACTGGTTTTAGGGTTGGATGGGGATATAGAGTGATATATTTGAAGGTCGCGATTCGGATTTAGACCCTCCATCGCTCATATGGTGTTTGTTCTCTTTTTATAAAGTCTAGAATGATACGTTGCTGGTACCGAACAGTCTCTTTTTCTTGTCCTAGTCATAGATTCAAACTTTATACATAACCGTAAAGGTGTTATGTAGATACGACGATGGGGGTCAATCTTGGTAAAGCAAATTCTCGACCACCCAATGTAGAAATCTAGAATCAACCCGAGCTCCAGTGACAGTTATGATCGCCTACGCTCACAAGTATATATATGCCTGACCAATAGCTTGCAACAAATAGAGACAGCCTTGCTAGGAGACAAAACCAGCTTACATGATTAATGTATTGTTTTCCAAGATAGGATTGATATTTTGGATAATCTTTATTTTGTGGCGTTACCAATCACATGTAAACACCGAGAAGCATTGGCCTAATTTTTTTATATCATAAAGTGCCAACTGTTGATCCCCCCAGAGCACATACAACCAAGAATAGAACACCGCACAATGGTCGAAAACAAATGCAAAAGACTGAAGAAGAAAAGAATTTTTCGTCCCATAAAATCGTTAGCCCTTCTTCTTGCTGACACCGACGGTGCGGCCACGGCGACCAGTGGTCTTGGTGTGTTGACCACGGACACGGAGACCCCAGTAGTGACGCAGACCGCGGTGGGAGCGGATCTTCTTCAAGCGCTCAAGATCCTCACGGAGCTTAGAGTCGACACCGTTGGAGATGGTCTGAGAGTCCTTGCCGTCGGTGATGTCGCGCTGTCTGTTGAGGAACCAGGTAGGGATCTTGTACTGGGTTGGGTTCTGGATGATGGTGACGATACGCTCGAGTTCTTCGGAGGTGATTTCACCAGCACTGTTGAGAACCTCCTGTCAGTAATGCTTGTTTCTGTTTTTTTAAGGAAACTTTCGCATTTCGTTGTGTATAGGGTTGTATGGGAACGCACCGCTTGCTCAAGTCAACATCGGCCTTCTTGCAAACCAAGTTGGAGTAACGACGACCAACACCCTTGATCTTGGTCAAGGCGTACATGATCTTCTGCTTGCCATCGACGTTGGTGTTAAGCAAACGGATGATGTACTGGAAGTTCGACTTCTCGCCGGATACGAGCGCTGTAAATGAACGAGAAATGTTAGCGCAAAGGTTTTTCTTTTTTTGAAATGTCCATATTGATGATATTCCAACGTGTCGAGACACATCCCTCCTTCCCATCGCCTCAAGGTTCCGCATTAAAAAAAGGCTCTTTTTCGGCCCTTCCTTCTCCTTTTCCTGCTCAAATTCCAGTTCCGCCCAGATATAGGAACCAAGGCGATAACAATAGTGTAAGGGAGAGGTAACACGTACACATGATGGGCAATGCGCTCCGCGGTAGCCGGATGTTTGGTGGTGAGAAATTGTCGACGGCGAGTGCAAAGAAGTAGGGAAGACTTCGCGGTGGACAGCCTTCTTTGCCAATGCGTTGTGGGATGTAGTGCGGGCTAACTCAGTTGGGAATAGTGCGTGAAAGGGCTTCGCTTGAATCGCGCTAGTGCCGTTTTAGGTTAAGCGATCTCAAACCTTTCCAAATAAAGCTAGCGTAGTAATGAAGCTCACCTGAAGCCAAAACAAATGCGATGGACAGGTATAAACAGCGACAGGATTAATTGAATCTGGTAGTGTAAAAAGCGTTGACATCTTTTATTTTCAAGACGCAAGGATAAGATTTTTCAACGAGCTTCTGTCGACGTTGATGGTTAACTCGATATGCTTTCATGTTCACGTGACTTGACTTTGACTTAGCTCGCAACCGCTTAGCGTGAAGTTACAAAAGCGGACTAGCGTGAGAGACCTCAAGCTCTCCAATGTTAATGAGTGGGCTCAGCTGTACGTACATAAACGCCGGGCAATTGGCTGCGGCGCTCTAGATGCTGGCAATTTCTGAGGCACATCGAGCTTTAAAGCAAACGTTTCTGTGCAAAAATGAACGCACAGCTTTCGTCTGCCCTTGATGGGCTGGAAAGCAAACTCAACTTCCTCTTGACCTCTCTGACTACGCCCGCCGCTGTGGGAGCCCCCGCTGCGGCCATTGCGCTGCTTGAAGCTGACGATGTTGTCTCTTCTGCCCTTGACACTCTACGTACCCACCAAGCCAACTATGCCAAAATACTCCATCTACGCTCCGAGGCACAAATTTTGGAAGATCGTATAAAAACCATTGTGCGAGATATCTCTGGGGCAGGCAAGGAGATCGCGGAGGCTACCGGCGAGAATGAAGATGAGGACTACGACAACTCTACGGACGATGAATCGGGGACGGATACGGAGAGTGAGAATGACGAGGCGATTGCGCAGAAACTAAACAAAGGCGGCCGAAAGAAAGAAGTGGATTATAAACTGCTTCTGGAGTTCGCGCGAAGAATTAGTAAATACAACAAGCAAGCCGCGGCCGATGCAACCCTTGGAGTTTTGGAAACGACAGGTTCAACGAAGCAACTCCAAGAGAAGCAGACTGAAGATACGAAAATGACTGATGCCGACGGTCTGGACACAAGACAAGAGGGCGATACTGCAGAAGTGACCGTGGGTGCTGTGACAAAGGAAGCGACAAGCTGGCTTGATGAATCAGCTGACGCAGATCGGCAATTCTTCATGATTCCCTATCCGAACGAGGATCGTATACGGATGGGATTGATGGGACAGTTGCAGCTGGCTGCCTTGGATGGAAATATCGACCCAGAGAAGGAGGCGGAGCGTATGGTACAGGAAGCAGAAGGTACTGGTGTCGCCGGTGCCATACCAAATGCCCAGGTTCCTGGTATATCTCAGAGTCTTGCTGATGAGGCTGGGAAGGCAGCTATTCATGCTGGATCACAAGCCATGGATAAAGCACTAGCATCTGCGGCGAAAGTTGCTGTGCCGGCTTCTCAGCCTAAATCGATGCTGGACTTGGATTTGTATGATCCTGAAGATGATGACTAATGATTTATACGAGATAACTGCCTGTTTATGATTTCTCTCTCCCTTATACCACTTCGTCTTGCAGCGAAGCAATGGAAAGAAGCATCGTCAATCCTGATTATTATCGCGTTATACCAAGCTTTGAATGAAGATATCTGAATCTGCACTTCGCTTCCTGGCACTTCTTTTCCCCCATTTCAAACAGAGAGAATTCCCAAAAGCACCATAATTCATGCAGACACATGTTCACCACGATTGGCGATACACACACTTCCTTTAGCTTTCAGTAAATGAAACTCATGTTTCACCGATCCTACGGTTCTGTGCTGGTGCTTGAATGTTGCCCGCGAAGCATGGAGAACGCCAAGCGTCTACTGACATTACGAGGTGGTGGCTCTAGGTTGAAACCTTGGACAGGAAGATAAAGCTTTCTTCGAAAAGAAGCGTCACGTGCAGTGTAGCCCTCTCCTTTCATTCGGATGTGAGAAAGCGCTTAATAGATGCAACACTTTCAAGGACACCGGTCCCTTTCTATTTCCGCTTTTGACAAAGCTGGATTGAAATGCCGGCTAAGAATGAGGTCTAATCATTCATTCAAGGACATAAAACCCATCATCTCAGGGTTGTCATTGCGTGGCAAAGTGACTAGGTTTCAAATGGATGGCGATACTGGCCTACAGTTCCCCACGAATCCCCCATGTGGCCTCCAGAATACAATCGTTCTCTTTTATCTCCACAGAGAAATATTGGTTACTGATGCCGGCCGTCAAATTGTTGGTACATGTTCCCATCCAGATACATCGATGGTCATCCCATTGACTGGACAGTAGCCCTCCGGCTTTAGCATTCCAGCAATGAAGATGACGGTCCAGGAAATCAGTTCCGTCTCGACAGTTTATACACACTTCGCTGCTCTCACCGGAAGTTCTCCCGCCGTTACGATTCAACCGAAAGTTTTTTTCGTGACGGATCTGACGTCAAACTCCGTCGGCCTCACAAAGCGCACGAATCATTGCGTTGCCCACAATCCAATCCCCAGAAATGGCAAAACATACACGTCCCCAGATAGAGATGGGATTGTGTTTGTTGTTTATTTATTATGACCTGTAATCCCCAGACTGTTCCTTCTTCGCTCAAGTTCTGGATGAGACCTTCACCAAGTATGGTCCTCTACTCTAAATCTCAGACCACGCTTCACAGATTCATCCATATCTCTGATTTCAAGTTGCAAAATGCCTCATCCATTACATGACGGTGTTCCCGACGGGACCACTACTGCTCACGTGGCCGATGGCGACCTTGAAAAGCAAAAGTCAGAAGATGCACCTGACGGCGTCAGCAGAAGAAAGAGCCGCGAGAGACGTACCTCAGATGGTAAGGTAATCCTTACAGAGCAAGATGTATACGATAAGCTGGGATTTGCGTATCCCTTCTGGAAAAAATGGACCATCATCTTTGTGATCTTTCTTGTTCAAGTGTCCATGAACTGGAACGCTAGCTTCTACGCCAATGCAGTGTCAAAGCTGTCAACACATTTCAGCATTTCTAAGCAAGCTGCACGCGTGGGACAAATGATCTTTTTGATCTGTTATGGGTTCGGTAGCGAACTATGGGCTCCTTGGAGCGAGGAGATAGGCCGATGGCCGATCATGCAGCTCAGCCTGTTTTTCGTAAATATCTGGCAGATACCGTGTGCCCTAGCCCCAAACTTTGGCACTATCATAGTGTGTCGAGCTCTAGGCGGCCTTTCGTCTGCTGGTGGTTCAGTCACTCTTGGTATGGTTGCCGACATGTGGGAACCCGAGGACCAGCAATATGCTGTAGCATTTATTGTGTTGTCTTCGGTTGTTGGGTCAGCTTTTGCGCCCATTGCAGGTGGTCCCGTTGCGGAATATCTCAACTGGCATTGGAACTTTTGGATCCAGTTGATTATTGGCGGTAGCGTCCAGCTAATTCACTTTTGGGTTCCTGAGACACGCTGCAGCATTCTCGTGACTCGGGAAGCCAAGAAACGTCGCAAGAATGGCGAGAATGTTTATAGCGCCAGTGAAATAGAGAACACGAAGTTCTCCATGAAGCCGATTCTAGTAGTTTGGATGCGACCTTTCTTCATGTTTGTGCGAGAGCCAATCGTGCTGTGGTTGTCTCTGCTCTCTGGATTTTCAGACGCTTTGATTTTCACTTTCCTCCAGGCTTACACTCCAGTCTACGGACAATGGGGATTTGGTGACGTCCGAACAGGACTGGCATTTGTCCCGTGAGTAACATCCCAAGAATCAATCAACTGAACCAATAGCTCATTATTATGAAAGTATCATTATTGGCTACGCCGTAGCGTATGCTTCATTTTTGCCATGGATATACAAACACACAAAAATTCGGAAACGAGATCCCGATGCCTTACAGCCGGAGTCTCGCCTGTATTGGCTCCTATATAGTAAGTCATTCATATACTCTTATGAGATACCATGGCTGACGAGAAATTATATAGCTGCGCCACTGGAGACTGTGGGCCTATTTGGCTTTGCTTGGACCAGTCTAGGTCCTCCTCACGTCCACTGGATAGCGCCGATGATATTCTCATTTCTGATCGCTATAGCTAACGTAATTTACCCCTACCACATATTACAAGTCAAACAGAAAAGTGTTTGGACTAACTGCATTTTCTAGTTTGCGATTTATATGGCTACAATCGACTACATGGTGGCTGCCTATGGGCCTTATTCGGCCTCAGCCACAGGTGGAAATGCCCTAGCTCGCGACTTTCTTGCGGGAGTTGCAGCAATGTATTCGAATCCTAGTGAGTAGAGATTTTCCAGGTATGTCTTTACTAATGAACCAGAGACACTGAACATGATAAATTATAGTGTACGAGCACATTGGTACCACATATCGCCTGGAATGGGCGACGACTCTACTAGCTGTTCTCTCGATTTTCATTATTTCTCCCATTTACCTATTCTATTGGAGGGGGCCACAGATTAGAGAGAGATCCAAATTTGCTCAGGTCCTCGCAAGCGATCGAAGGGCCAAGGGCGAAATGGCGGTCCGCTGTGGATCAGAAAGTCAAGGAGCAGAGGCTACTTATCTAGGCTCGCAGAACGCTCACACTGGCTCGCTTGGTGGTACCCGTGGGTCAACTGCCTGTGCGAGAGGCTCTTCGGTCTGATATTCTCGTGACCGATAGCTTACAATCGCCCTCATATCTATCACATACGACAATGGGGTTTGGAAAACTAGGCTCTGTCCACTCAGTCCTCCATGCGCCTTATCATCACTTGCTGTACCTTCGTGGCATCGACATTCCTGCAAGAGAGAGTGTGAGAAATGTGGATGACATGTGTGAGTATTGTTGAGACCAGGTTAGAAGTAAGTGGTGGGTGATGAGGCCTAGCAGATAGGATCACTAGCGGGGGGGCTCTTTCTTTGTTCTGCTGTAGTTCTTTTAACGTTTCTTTTGAAAAGGCACTTTTCATCTTTTAACGATGTATCTTATGTGGCAATCTGGGTTGGCATCCTCCCAATACCATGTCTATAAAGTTCTGACAGCGGAATATAAGGTGTTACACATATTACCAGAAGCCCCATTAAGGGGTCCCTTTTTGGTGGCTTACTGGTTAATATTCTGTTGTTAAGTTCACGCCAAATTCCAAGTGCTTGAATTTGCAAACTGGGGGTAATTTAAAAGGCAATAGCACAACCCGTTCCTAATTTGGTTAATCAAGACGGCTCTTGAGTCTACTTTTCATGAGTCATAAGCCAATCGCGTAATGATCCTAGCACATACGACCATAGGGTGTGGAAAACAGGGCTTCCCGTCCGCTCAGCCGTACTTAAGCCACACGCCGGCCGGTTAGTAGTTGGGTGGGTGACCACCAGCGAATCCCGTCTGTTGTATGTTTTTTTGGTTTGTTTTTACTCTTCCTACTCCTTGCGGATATCACCACCGGCTAGGAAGATTTGGCAGGATGGGCCGGGGAGGTAAGGGGAGGAGGCAAGGGGAGTAGTTGGTTGTTGTTTGTTCATTTCTTGAGACCTGTGTCATCTAGAAGCTATCAGAGTGGATCCATCCACGATGTCGTTCTTCAGGCCCAGCGCGAAATCAGCTTCTGAAGATAGTAAGTCAGGAATGAATATAATAGCTTATACTAACTAGATGACGAGCCAAGAATCCTCTATTCTTTTGGCTCACGTACTATTGAAGTGTGGAGCAACCAAGTCATTAAATTTGAGCCCGCTCTTCATTCATGAAGTGAGCAATATGAGATTCATTGCTGAGAGCACTAAAATTCCTACTACCCCCAGTCCGTGGAGTTAAAACAGGCAAAGATGGAACCTGAAAATTTACATACAAGGAAGACTTTTGAAGAAAGTTTGACTATCATGACCGAGAATCAAAGGAAATCCGTGGCTGATGACCTTTGCAACTATATAAATGAATCACGCATGTTAAAAGGTAACCGCATGGGAGCTGCAGACCGTGGTCAGGTTTTATTGGACAGCATGTATTCCGTGAAGTTGGACCAATCAATCACGACTAAGGTCCCTGTAAATGCCACGAAGTGAGACGTATTAGATCACGAGAGGCATATCAATTCCCAGTTAAGAACATCACCGGCGTTAACAGATATGATGGCGCTCAATTGGCTTCTAATCCCTGTGAGGAGCGTTTCCTCCATGGCATACTTCGCCGTGAAGTGATGAGAGCCAATGTATTATAGCTTAGGTTGTTTTTGACTGACACGCAGGCTGACAGACACCAGATCTACTGAAGGATCAACTCCTACCTTTGGTATACCAAAGTTTAAGCCATATCATAGGCCAGTCACCTACAAACGGCAAAACCAGCATGGCCGATCGTTTGGTCCAGCGTGATATCGTTCAAGCAGTTTTGAGCCTCGATGACTCTATTATCAAGCTAGCTATTGATGTAGTTCAAAGCAAAGAATCGCTACTAGAGGAAATGAAGAAACTGGCTCCTGCTTATGCTGGCTCATGCGCTCTATCATCTATATATATATGACTCTGCTGATGTGGCCTGCACTGGAGATTCAAGAGCAGAACTGGGTCAAAGGAGATCGGATGGCAAATGGGAAGCTTTACCATTGTCAGTAGATCAGACAGACTCCAATGAAGAGGTGATTGTTAAGATTTATAGCGAGGATCCCGGTGAAGAAGTAATCATCAAGGATGGACGCGGGCCAGGTTTAATGATTTCAAAGGCCTTTGGTAATACCTAGGTGGTGGGTGGAAGTGTCCTCTAGACTTCTGACAGAAATATTACGGCCCAGCCCTGACGCCAGAATACAAAATTCAAACACCGCCATACATAACGGCTGAACCGGTCGTGACGAGCACCAAGATCGGCTCTAAGCCTTCTTTCTTGATATCGCAACGGACAGTTTGTGAGATATGCTCTCCATTCAGCACGGCGTTGACCTCGTAGCGAAATGGCTAGAATCGCGAGTGACCGAGAAGAAGGAAGACATTGAACCAACAACATATAGTTCCTTCGACTTTGGTCAGTTTTGGAAAGGAGTCGATTGAGAGTTCGTAGACGGTAGAACGGCAATCCAAGCTAATGCTGCTGCGCATCTGGTTCGCAATGCTCCTGACGGAAGTCATCATGAGTTGATAGCAGGCCAACTTGTCTTTGAGTCTCCGTTCTCCCAGTCTGTTCGAGATGATATCAATGTGCAGGGAGATTTTCGGCGTACCAGGTCCGAATAAAAATTGAAATCAAGATTAATTAAATTTTCTCTGAGTCAATACGCTCGTTCACGTAGAACACACGCAACTAACATTTTTGTAAAAGACATTCGCTAAGTTGCGGCAGTTCATGTCACTATATCTGTTGATATATAATGCCTTATGTAGGCTTCTCAAATGCTGAAATCATTGAGAGCGTCGTAGTGTTCAAGTTTGCAATTCATAAGCAGTTTTTGACACTAAAATTTGGACTCAAAGCTCTTCCTAGTCCTGCCAAACCAACCAAAGACCATATAGCACGCATAAATCTTTGGTGATATTATCGATATTGCCTTGAATACCTCGACCAAGGAGCGACTCGTTATATGCTGTGGTGACTTTCATCATCTGCGATCCGCTGCTCCCGTTTCGTAAAGTATCGCTCTATCATTGGCAGGAAGATGCATAACCACACAATCATGACAACTACCCAAACAATGCCAAAAACATAGCCATGTGTTCTTCGAAATCGTGGTGCTTCTGACACGGGAAATACGTACTGCTGGGCGGGTGTCTCGACAGCACTGAAAATAAAGAGTAGAAGTTGTTAGTACACACTCGACATTCTGGAATGGTATATACTAACTATCCAATCGAAATCATAAGAGATGTTGTCAGAGCACGTAGTTGCTTATCACCATGGCAGCTTGAATTCAGCCAAGCGCTTATCAAGGCCGCAAGAGCACCATAAGCGCTACAGAGATAATATGCGGCCATCATGAACGCTTCGTTATTTGACCAAACCTCAAAGATGATGTAGGCAAATAATTGTACTGATCCCAGGGTCAAGATGACGATGGATCGACGCTGGGTAATGTCAGTGATGAAAGCGCTGGTTACCATCCAGACCAATTCCTGCTTTCCGTCAGCTATGAGGAACGTAAAGCTAGTGTCGAAATGGAGCAACGGAAAGGAAGTATGTGACTGACCACGCATCCTACGACAGTTGGGAGATTATTGATCTTCTCGACGCTGTACTTGTAGTGACCATCGACCTTGAGAGACTTGACATATAGGGTCATCCATCGCTGTAGATTCACACCGCAAGTCAATTCCATGAACCTGTGGAAAGTTAATTTGCTTTATTTTGCTGCATCTTCGATTTGCATACGCACCCCCAAGACAGGCAAAATGCATAGAGCTGCCAAGATGTTAATAATCGTTTCACTGCCGCAAGATTCCACGAAGCTTTGTCTGCATCACGCTTCTCTTCGGCCAGACGATGAATACACATCTGACGTTCTTCTTCAGTCATCCACCACGGTTTGGAAGACTTAGGCTCATCTAGAAAAGCAGATTATACCATCATCAGTAAAAATTGGAACATAATATTAAAGCGACGGGTTGAGTTCAGGAAACGTACTAGGGCAGCAGAAGAAACCAAAAACTGCGACGGGGATTCCAATAATGAAATCAAATATAAAAAGCCAGCGCCACGCAGCTAGACCTAAATGATTATCCATATTGCGGTAGCTATATAGATTCTTGTGTGAGCAAAACCAATATCATCATAGGTGAAGTTGAGAGCTACCTACAGTCCTGCTTGAATATAGCCCGATAGCATTTGTCCCCCAACCGAAGAAAACATGAACAAGGTGGAACGGCGGCTTATCTCGGAGGCACGATACCAACTTCCAATCTACAGCCGATGTTAGCTGACTGTCAGCTGGTAAGTACTTTCGAAGGAGTGAGTCTATACCAAATAGAAGGCACCTGGCATAGCGCCAGACTCGAAGAGCCCAGCAAAAAATCTAGCCGATAGAGCATTAGTTAATGCCCAATCACATCGTTAAGTAAGGCGCTTACCTGAGTATAAAAATTTGTCCTGGCAGACTCTGCCTTGTAGATGAACAGAACAAAGAAGGACCAGATCATAGTACACGCTGGCAGCCAGTATCGTGGATGGACTACCGTCATGGCTGTGGTGAAAAATGGACCACCAACAATAATGCCGATGTTGAAATAGGTGGTGAACCAATTCAATTCATTGCCGTCTAGTGTGAGACGCCTATGAGCGATCTTCTCATATCCAGGACATGCAAATGATCGAATGACTCACTGAGATTGAGGTCCACTTTCATCCCAGAAACATACGCATTTGTCACATTTGTTTGATCCTTTGAAGAAAACGTCAGTAACATGCGACCATTGTGCGCCAAGTAAACTGGATGCAAACCAGGTATTTCACGAAGAATGTCTATATTCGTTATAGGTTAGTAGTGACAAACGATATATCCAATGCAATGCGGCAATAACCCACCAAGCAGGTGAAGAGCAAGATGAAGAAGTCTAATTTGAAAATCAACCACTTCTCTTCCTTTGTAGTGCCAGGCTCGTGCCAATGGAACCAGCGTCTGTTGGGCTTTGGATTGGCTGTCTCATCGTGGGGAAAGGCCACTGTTGGCGAGACGTGTTTGTCGATGCTCATGGCCATTTTTGCAGACATCAACCTGGACAAGCTTGGGTAAAGCAAGGAGCATATGGGCAGGCATAGCCAGTCTTTATAGGAGATGTGAACCTTGTCGCCATGTGGTTATAACGAGCTGCGATGGGGACCTTGACAAAGAATTGCCGCCAAGTCTGAGAGAAAATTTCCATGACTTCTGTCTAGATCTTCTGTTGCGTTCTGCAGTCACCATACTCCGTACATGGTGGTAAATGCAGACAGAATATGAATGGTGCCATATTCTCTTACATAAACTCCAATTCAATCACAGTTGAAATTCAACTAGTGTTGTCGCCCAAGGTCCCCACCCCATAGACCATAATTACTAGCGGCGGCCGACATCTATCAGCGATTGATATGCATTCAAGGTTAGCTTGACTTTCGCCTCAAGTGCGTAAGACCAAGTACTGCGAAGAAATACAGAGCAAAAGCAGAATGGAGCATGCTCCTCGCGTGTGCCACGCATGCAAAGCGCGCAAAAAGAAGTGTGACAAAGCTTTGCCCCGTTGTGGATATTGTACGGCCAGAGACCTCATTTGTTCATATGACGCCTCGGACTCCTGTCCATGCGACGGTCATAACATAGAAAGACGGATTTCTCAGCATCAGGACATATCGGGGCAGACGACCTGGGATTCAAACTCGTTGTCGGACCTACGCTTACTGTCTGCAACGACACGGACCCTTGATCAAGTGCTGAATTTTCATGTCTGCCGTGTTCGTCGGCTTACGAGGCTGTCTGTTCGAGAAATCAATGAGCGATTCTTCCAGAGAGTCTATCGTTGGTTGCCTATATTATCGCCAACAATCTTCAATAATGCTCTTACTTCATACGAAGATGCTGCGCAGTTGTCGTCGCCACTGCCGCCGCCGCCTCCGCCCGCAGATTTCTCACTTCTGATATTAGCTCTATATCTGATCACATGGCGCCAATCGGATAGGGCTTCTGCAAATAAGCTATCTTTCTCCCCTGAAGCTTTGTACATGGCAGTCCGGACGCTGTTTGGGCAAGTTCAAGCCGCCATATGTGCGACCACGACGCTTGTCCAGGCGGGTCTCCTGATTGCAGCTTACGACTATGCTCTCGGCAGGCCACATTCCGCTTACATCTTGATGGGAACTTGCGAGAGAATGGCAAGGACACTGGGCCTTGATAAAGCGGGAACACACGATCAGGGTCTGAGTTTAGACATGAGCGATCCCAAGTCATGGGAAGAGCAAATGGTATGGTGGGCACTAGTGGTGTTGGAAAGGTTGGTACCTTCCCATCCATGAATAAGACAGCAAAGTAACAGGGGACTGATGTTTACGTCTAATGCAAGGCACGTATTGTGCGAGATCCCTGAACAAAATCAGACTCCGGCAGCGAGATACCCGAGCCACGAAGCTATTTTACCATGCCAACTTCATTCTTCGCAAGTGAATGATAATGACAAAGAGGAGCCAGTATTCAGTGACACCACCACGCTTAAGGCTTGCCATTCGCTGGATTTTACATGCTTCACGCGTTTGGCACATGTTTCTTACTTGCTAGATCAGATACTCTGTGTAATGAATCTCCCAGAACAAGAAAAACATATAACGATTACGGAGTTGATCAATTTGGATAGGAGGCTCCAACGTGTCTTGTTTATCTTGACGCAAGATTCTAGACACGAATGGAGTTTCTCTTGTAGTGCGATTGGAACCGCTGTCAGGTATGTGTTATTGTTATATTACTAACTTCACAAAGGGAATCGGTATTTCGAGCATGAGAAGAGGACAGGACCAATGTTGACCACTGGCATAACTTCATAGATCCCTCTTCATACTACACAATTACATCCTATCACAGTATCACGATAATAACGATTTGATGATCCAACAAAGCTCGCGCTCTGCGCTGACTACCGCAACGAAGATTATGGTAGATGTTGCACACGACCATTTACTAAGAGTAACTCCGGAAAATGTCGATGCGTTACCATTCTCATGTCTCTATAATCTCCGAAGTGCGATGGAAAATATCAGAAACCAGGAATACCTGATTGACACCTTCTTAGCTGCAGATATGGAGTCGCTGGTAGCATTGGATAATATGATCACTGAAAGATGGTCCGATTGAACATATACGGAGAACATGGAATCTATATATGGACACTCATGCGAAGTTATGTATTTATATTGCTCTTTCATTTCCTACCTCGCTCTCTGACTTCAGCTGTTAGCAGGCACCAGGATATAACAATGGCAGGAAGGGATGTTTGAGTTGAAACGCGTTTCGCTCCAGGGCTAGTTATGATAACCAAAATTGAAATCGCTGTCATATACTTAACTATAGAAGTCAGTATCTTGGAAATGATGCTCCATTCGTTCTCTTATTGTACTGTCTTTCTACACTCTTGCAGGTAATCGATGCAAAGAAGGAAAGCCACTGCAAGAGATAGGATATTAGCAATTCGTAACCCCTTGGATAAAAGTAGTACCGATAGTATGTAGATACTTTCATTAACTCTTGCAAATTTCGTCACACTTCGCATGTGGTGGGTGATGTTCTCATTAGGGCTAACGATGATTAGCCCTAGCCCCAAGACACGGGAAGACTGGCGAACGAGATCCTTCAACCAACATATTGGAGCAATGCGAAAAGAATAACTGTATTACGAAGACATGTTTATGAAATGTATCTAGTTATTTTCAGTCTGTATACGGACGTGGGACTGTTTGCTGATAATTAGTAGCGAACTAACATAGAGTATTAATGGAAATTGACACTTCCTGTATGTATGGCGATCTAGTCTATTTGTACCTATTTCCAATTGGACAGCTGATTGACTCATAAGCCAGCTACATCTGTGAAGTAGGGTTATGCATTATTTCAAACGTCCCTATTCAAAAACAACTTGAACAGCAATTACCGTCTAACTGGTGATTCATCAGTTTGTCGTATAATTATATCACAACTGCAATCTAAATGTAGCAACTTCGAACGGCCGCAAGGCAAATTTGACCTGGCCATCTGTGATTTCGTAAGACTCCTCATCGTCTTCTAACACATTACACTTTCGTACTTCTTTAACAGGTAGTTTCGTTTTAATGTTCCCTGTTGCCTGGCCTCCTAAGCTTTCGAAGATACGTAGGATGACGCTTTGGCCTTGTCTCTTCGCAAATTCACCACGCGAGACGTCTTCGTCATCCTCTCCTCTTTTGACGGCGTCGAGGATAATGGAAGTGTCACCAGTTACACTGACCTCATCCAAAGAGGAGGAACTGTCTATTTTCGAGTATATCTTCATTGGATTGTTGAAGTTGTATCCTGCGCGGATAGTTCTAGCGTCTAATTGGCCTTTGTGAGGGAAGATCGCGTAACGTATACGATGATGACCTGGGATCGAAGAATGTTAGTGCATTGAGCAGTGACTAATACAATACGAAAGAAGAATTACCCATATCAGCGTGAGCATCAGGGGCCTTTGGGGAGCGCAGAAGAGACAAACGCATCAACCGACCACATGTAGCGAACCCGTATTTGCTATCATTCAAAATGGAAACTCCATAGCCATTTTCAGACAGATCCGCCCACTTGTGACAGCACACCTCAAACTTGGCCATATCCCATTGAGTGTTGTAATGTGTTGGTCTGCGAGCAATACCATATTGAGTCTCGTACAAAGCCTCGGTGTTGACAATATTGACGTCGAATTCAACCTTAAGAAACTTCATGTTCTCGTGCCATTCAACCTCGGTATTAATCTCAATAGAGGAAAATTCTTGCTGACTGTCAAAAATGGCGCTGAGACTTATGGTTGATTTCAGCCAGCTCTTTTCGCTGATCTTGGTCTTAGTGACAAGGCTTGCTTTATATGGACTCTGCTCGCCGATTTCTGTCGTTTCGCCAGTCAACTCATTTCGAGATGTTAGGTGATACACCTCGACGTCCCAAGCCTGTCGATACAATGGCTTGTCATCGAAGACAACGAATTGATTGGCCTTGCCTCCTTTGGAGAGCACTTGGCGGCGATTCGCAGAGAGATCGATGAGTGATGTGATGACCCCGTTCTCGACTTCCAGCTCGTACTGATGGTTAGCCAGTTGGAAAACGCCTTTCCTGATCTCGGTGACAGTAACGCCTGGCTTGGCTGAAGGAGAAAGTTCCTGAACAGTAGCCACACCAGCGCCTTCTTTTACCAAAGCGTATTCTGAAGATGTCAGAGATACAAGTTCCGTGCGTGACCATGGCATTGTGTTAAGAGCAACAAGCTTGCCATTTGGGGATGAAATATCATGGGAAAGTCCCAATACAGCTATGGCATCATGCAATAACGTCTTTCCGCATTTGAATACCTCCGCATAGAGTGTATCGGTATCATCGTAACACATACTAATGCAACTACCAGGCAGACAGTCGTGGAACTGACACAACAAAATCTGCTCCCAAATATCATCAATCTCTTTCTTCGGATACTTATAGCCGGACCTGTTTCTAACGCTAGCCAAGGTAGCCAGAAACTCGACGTCATGAATCATGATCTCAGCTAGTCTGTTGTTCCTTTTGGTGTTTGCCTGTGTGGTGTAGGTCCCCCGATGTAATTCGAAATAGAGCTCTCCATACCAGGTCACGAATTCTGTGCCATTGGCCGCCTTTTTTTCCAAAGCTTCGAAGAACTGATCGACCGAATTACCAAGGTGTACTCGTGGGAAATTAGCTCCCCCGACCTTGTCCCCCAAACCCCGGAACCGACGCAGTGTTTCAATGTGTTGGAATGTCGGACCGCCACCACCATCACCTTTGCCGAATATGAGCAATGATGTCGGATCTTGATCAAGCGACTTGTGTTTTTCAATGCTGTCTACGATCTCCTGGAACTGCGCATCGGCATTGTAGGTTTCTGACGGCGGCATATGACACAGTACCTGGCTTCCGTCAAGGGCAACCCAGTTAAATGTTGTGTGAGGGAAGTCATTTATATTGTTCCAGCTAAGCTTCTGAGTCACGAATCGACTCATTCCCGCCAGCCGAGAGAGCTGAGGGAGCTGACTGGTATAGCCGAATGTATCAGGAAGCCAGAATGTTTCAGAGCGCTTACCAAATTCGCTTTCGAAGAAGCGCTGCCCATAGAGGAACTGACGGATTAGGGATTCGCCACTAGGCATGTTGGTGTCGTGCTCAACCCAGCTACCACCAATAGGCTGGAATGAGCCTTGCTTTACCTTTTCCAGAACTCTTGCATATACGGAAGGATAGTCCTGCTTCAGCCACTTGAATTGCTGGGCAGAGGAGGCAGTAAAACGATGCTCGGGATACCGATCAATAAGGTCACATTGATTCGACCAGGATCGTGCCACCTTTCTCCTCGTTTCTTCCCACGGCCATAACCAGCACGTGTCAATATGGCAGTGGCCAATTGCGTACACAATCGGATTCGTGTCTGATTTGTACACATCTGCTGTGTCAATATTGTCACCGAGGAACGTGCGAGCTACCTTCCTGGCTTCTGAAATGGAATCCAGGCTTCCACTACCGGCAGTGAAAATTTCTATAATTTTGTTGGCAGCCTGGAGCGCCTCATGTGCTTCGTATGACTTCTGAGGCAATTGTCGTGCAGCGTCTTAATTTGTATGCGTTAGAAACATGCATCAGTCATTATTATAAAGGTGGAATTTAGTTACGTACCACTGATAATTGAGTAGTCAAAGTACAAGGCACGAGCTTCCTTGTTAATAGCTACAATCTCAGCGGTGTCAAGCTTGAAGTAACGGTTCGGGTCAGGGGGTTGATTTCTTGCGCTTTTCCCCAGGCCAAACATGCCGTTGCATGCCATTTCCAAGTAGAACACGTGCATTTGGCCGTCCTTGAAGCTGGATGGAATAATCCATTCTACACGCTCTCCTTCACCGCTAAGCGCTTGCACTGGATGCCCATTTTCTAGGTAAATAAAGCCTTCATTACTCGCGTCCCAATGCAACTCGAGCAGGTCTGACTTATTTTGCAGCTCCGGCGGAATCTGCAGCTCGACCTTGAACCAGTGCGTAGACCAGCCCGGCCCAAAAGACTCGCCCACTTTTGTTGGCCTGAATTGCTGTTTTACGGCATACTGGAAGGTTGGACGTGATAGATCGGGGACAGACCAGACTGATAGCTTCAACGCTGGTTCTCCCACGCGCGCATGGTACAGAGCTCTAGGATAGACTTTCATATCAGCTAAGAAGATACGGGACCTGGTAACAACAAGGATAAGACTTACGAGAGCAAATTCTGTGATTCATATTGAAATTCCTCAACAAACGTCACTAGCCGATCTCTGTAAATGTTATGGATCTGTTTTCCCACCGGTCGTTCGGAGAACCTGGGATAGTTGCTTGGATTAGTCATTTTGTGTCGTCTTTCTGCTAGAAATGATGAAGAAAAAAAAATAATAACAAATAATGGGAAGCTATCCCTCGGATATGAAGAGAAATGAATCCCATTTATACAAGTCCGAAGTCCTTGGAAGGCTGGATTTCAAGCTAAGCAGCTTGGGCGCGAGAAGCGCGATCCACAATAATACCTCAAGATAAAAGGATCTCTCACGTAGAGTTTCTCTTCTCCCTCGTCTTTGTTATTTCTGCTTGCATGCCTCGACCCATAAGCCTCTTAACGAATAACATAGGGAAGAAGCTACCTAGGCACATGTACGCGTCCACTGTTATCCAAGCTGGAACGCCGGGCCAAACTCAAAACCAATCGGCAAATGGTAATATACTGAAGTCGAAAGGAGAAACATTGTATCGGCTATTGGGAGAGCACTAGTATCTTTTGAAAGCAGGAAAAGCGCCGTCTGGGGGAGGAAGGAGAGGGGGGATTGGTGAGCTTAGGGTTAGTTTGTCTCCGCACGCAGCCTCGTGGCTTTTGGAGACTCCACGGGGTATGTACGAATAATGGAGAAGTGGAACCTGTCTTAAGCACTAGCATCTAGTAAGTTTGTTCGCTGAAGGGTTATATCCCCAGAGTTTCAATGTTATTGGTTCACTCATTACGTGGTGTCAAGGCTTGAATGGGGGATGATTGCACTACCGGCGAGAAAGCCGGTAAAGCAAAAATGGGTATTCTCGGTGATTTCTATTGTTGCGTTGCTACTATCCCTCCTGGTGGCATTTATGAGAAATTCATATGAGTATCGAAGTGAATAATTAGGAAAAGTGACAATTGGATCAATTACCAGTAGTTACGAGGAATCGATTGCAGATCCATACACTTACTACCATGAGATCGATGTAAAGTCCCTTACAGCACCTGATATTGTGTTCATGCCTCTGAAAATATCCCCTGGTTGGCTCTTGCAATAATCTCAACATCTGTAACGTATCCCTTAAACTCACGGAAATTTACCTTCTTCTCAAAGCTGCAAATATCGTAAAGGAAATGTCATGTCAGCTGGAGATCGGTCATAAAACATGATGCTAGAAAGTAGTCTTACAGTTCATCAATTTCGGCTGGTGTGCGAAGTGACACCTCTGGCAGAATAAACCAGGCAATAACCACGGAAACGAAACCAGTGCCCGCGAAGCTGTCAGCAAAAATATTACGATTAGTATTTTCTCTGGGGAATTTTGTTTGAAGCAAGAAGAAGCGAGAAAGATCAAAAATCTAAACGACTTACAAGAAACCAGTTTTGACACCCCAATTGGCCGTTCCGTCAAGCATCAATGGCGTACAGAAGCTGAACATGATAGCGATCAAATTAGATGCTGCAAGAGACCAGCCTGCAGTGCGTGCCCTAAGTGGCTGGCTGGGGATCTCTGCTGCATAGGCATAACCGATAGCTGAAGCACCGGTTGTCGAAAATGTGGCCAGGCAGGCAAAGAAAATCTGGGTATCAAATTTAGTACATCGCAGAGAGAAGCGCAGAAGATTAGCAAAGTCTTACGAGAAGAGAACCGAGACTCTTTGTCTTATAATCAAAGCACCCGATAATGCCGAGACAGAGAACAGACACCACTGTAACTGCATACGGATATATGGTTAGTGGGCGACGACCAAGCTTATCAGTGAGTGTCGCTGTCAGGAGCATGGCGATGATTTGCATGCAGGAGAGAATGACAGACACAAGGAATGGGTTGTTGCTGCCAGCATATTGGACTACACGATAAGTCAGAAATACCCTCTTAAGAAACTATTAGAAGCCACCTTACAGAAGTAGGTCGCATAAGTATTGAATATCGTCAACCCAACAAACTGCTGTGTCATTTTTGGCCACGCAGCAATAACAAAACGTATGCCGTTTCTGCCACGGAAAATCGCCCACATTCCTTCCTGCGAATTTTGCTTCGCAGTACGGCGCTCTTCCTCGATGGTCGCTTCCATCACTTCCTATAATTTTTATGATTGTAAGTAAAAGGACGGCCAATGTGGCTTTGTAATCAAAAGCTGAAGAATTTAAAGACTCACAATTTTCTCTTGTACATTGTATCCTGGGATCTTGCCGAAGTATTTCTGTAGAACTTTGATTGCCTCGTCCTTTTTACCCTTGCTCACTAGCCACCATGGCGATTCGGGAATAAAGAGGAAAATGATGACTGACATGCCAACCATAGCCCACTAAGGCATATTAGCATTCGTAAACGTTAGAAGGGTTTGTTCACGAAATACCTGAGTGTAAATCGCATCTCTGAAGTTATACGGACTCCAGGCATTCAGTCTATTCAGGGCAACGGAGGCAAACAGCTGACCCAAAACGTACCAACTAGAATAATTTTGATAATTTTGCAATAAGTTAGAGTTCACCGGAAAAAAAGATTGCATGCACCTACAATGTGTATGCATTAATAAGGAATCCCCTCAATTGGGTTGGCGCAATCTCTGAGATGTAGAAAGGTAAAGTAGCTTGCATCATGCCAATACCCAGTCCGGCGAGAAGCTTTGCAACCAGCCAGTGACCTGGAGTAGTAGCAAATGATTCGGTGAATACGCTCTGATACAAGCACAATTGATGTCAGTTCATCTCCCAATCTAGTACTCTAAAACGGCCAATAAAGTCAGGTAACTAACCCCGATAAGAAAGATGACAAAGACGTAAAAAGCTGTTTTACGACCAAACTTTTCGGTCGCAAATTGAAGGAACTGGCAGTGATAACATTATCAGTTATTATGTTGGTTGGTATGAATCAAAGCCGGTAGAGAGAGAGAGGGAGAGAGAGTACATACAATTTGACCAATCGTTTGACCAGCGGACTGGATTCCTCCCCATGCTGAGACGTAATCGCCGTTGATGATTGTTGTTCCAGCAGGAGCCATTTGCCGAATGAAGCCTTTGTTAGAGACAACACCACTGTTAAGATTTGCCTCTGAAGAGTTTTATTACACGGTCAGTAAAGAGAGTGCGAGTCAGAAAACTCTATCCTTGTTTGGAGAACATCTTACGATAGCCATCCAACGACGCACTAAATGCTGCAATCATGGCCAACATGGAGGCACGCTTGTATCGCCTTACACTCTGCCAAATACTGAGGTCGTCTTCCGCAGTACGCATGACAGGGGCGCTGCCTTTTAAGATGCCCGTCTCATTCGTTTCCTCGGGAGCCATGGCAACATGCTCAATGGTCTGTTCCTCGGTTTTTGCAGTCTCCATCATGTTAAATGAGTGTCGAGGATAAAATGCCTTCAATATGCTGGATTGAACAATATGCTTTTCCCCACGTGGGCAGTTGATGCAGTATTGATCAAGCAGGCAAGCAGAGCATATTTATAACAACGGGTATATAAGACATCCTATCACAAGATCACTTTATTTCACATAGTGCCTGGGCTTATTCTTAACCCGTCTAGTCTAGGACCGAAACATTGGACTGATACTCCTGACTCGGCACATTCTTGACCGAGTGAAACTCAAGGTCTATTTGGGGGAGCGACTAGCCAATCAGACACCGTCTCGAATCATGTTACTTAACAGAGGTCCTTCTTAGAATGGATTCAAGACAGAATTTTTAATCCTTGTCGGCTATGTATTGCTTCATACTCAACTCCAGTACAAGTTCCCTTGACGTCCACGTTTAAGGTAAGAAATTGTACCGTCCTACGTCTAGAAAGCTGTTGTACCCAATAAAAAAAAAGCATGCACACAGTAAGGAGTCTTCCCCATGGGGATTCCCCCGGCTTTCCAACATCTGGGGTGGAGCTTTTAAGTTCTGCTAGCATGGATTACGCGTGCACACTAGGTTTACCTCAATAGCCGATACAAGGTTTAATTTCACCTCTTATACGGCGTATGTGCTCGTACATGGAAATGGTATGAAGCGATGAATAAGATGCGTACTCAGATGTTTCGTACCAATATTTCAAGAGTATCCTTGGTGAATACACTAGTACATGCAAAGAGCTAGAAGCTTCTCCAAGTTCAATCTTCCACTTTCGCCTAATTGTAGTACACCTATACTGATATTCTCCGCACAAGAAGGAAACAAAAAGGTTGGATTATATTCTCCCTGTTTTCGCAGGTCTAGGACTGGGAAAGTTGGACACGAACTGTCTTCACCTCCGTGTAGTTTTCGAGGGCATATGATCCTAGCTCTCGACCCAGTCCCGACTCCTTAAAGCCACCAAATGGCATTTGGTAATGAAGGGTGTTGTAGTTGTTGACCCAAATAGTTCTGCCAGGTGTTAAATGTCAGCTCAATCGGAAAGACTTGTGTCACGGAGACAGAACCTACCCTGCTTTGATTGCCTTCGATACTCTGATGGCGGCATTGATATTGGTGGTATGAATACCTGCGGCAAGGCCTGTCACATATCAGTCAACAAGGTCAAAATACTCGAATAGAATCGGAGACCAGAATTTCTCACCATAGTTTGTTTCATTGGCCATAATAATGGCTTCCTTCTCATCGCGAAACTTCTGTACTGTACATACAGGTCCAAATATCTCCTCTTTGACAATTGCCATATTTTCGTTCACATCCGCAAAAATCGTGGGCTGAATGTAATATCCTTCGTTTCCATGCCGATCACCACCTGTAATGACTTTTGCCCCTGAGCGCTTTCCGTCTGTGATATATTCCATGATCCTGTCGTACTGCACCTGGGATACCTGAGGGCCTTGGAATGTTTCAGGATTAAAAGGGTTACCAACGTTATTCTGCTGGGCGCGCTTTTTGAACAGTGCGAGAAATTCATCATAAATAGACTCGTGGACAAGGATCCTAGAACCCGCACAGCAGCATTGCCCGTGATTGAAAAATATCCCCTGGTTAACCCATGTAACCGCATCTTCTAGATTTGCATCAGGAAGAACGATATTGGGTGATTTACCTCCAAGTTCGAGGGTCACCTTTTTCAAATTGCTATTAGCAGCGTCTCGCAAGATTTGGCGGCCTACTAGAGTTGACCCGGTAAATGCGACTTTATCAATATCCATATGAGTAGCAATTGCTGCTCCGGCTGTTCTTCCGAATCCTGAAATAATGTTGATTACTCCAGGAGGAAATCCAGCCTCTTTAATAAGAGTAGCTACATAAAGCGCTGATAGAGGCGTTTGCTCTGCGGTTTTGAGAACAACTGTGTTACCTGTAGCAACAGCAGGGCCAATTTTCCAAGCAAACATGAGCAGTGGAAAATTCCATGGGATAATTTGGCCACAGACACCCACGGGTTCATGCTGAGTATAGGTGAAGCTATTGCTGTCGGTATCGATAGTTTGGCCAAATATTTTGTCGGCCCAGCCACCGTAGTAGCGAAGACAACCAGCCGAAGAAGTTACGTCCCCTTTGGCCTCAGTCACACCCTTGCCATTGTCAAGCGCTTCAATTGCAGCCACCGTGTTGATGTCGCGTTCAAGTAAGTCTGCGAGGCGAAGAAGGAGATGACCGCGTTTAGAAGGTGTGGTGTGTTTCCACTCGCCTTCCAGCGCCTTGCGGGCGGCAGTCACAGCAAGGTCAACGTCTTTTGCGGTGCCTTCATGAACAGCTACTATGGGCTTTTCATTATGAGGGTTGATTGTCTCGAAGGTTTTACCATCAACACCCTTAACGAAATCGTTGTTGATAAACCTAGAATAGCTTGTTAGAAAGGGTAAATTTCTAAAAAGCACTTTTCCAGGTTGACATACAATCCAAGGGGTTGTTCATAGGTGACCAAGGGGGTCTCAATAGTTTGAAATAGGGCCATTATGTGTCTGGTAGATTCAATCTTGGAGGAGAGATGTATTGCTGGATCTGGATGGTATCTCACATGAGAAAGGAGCACTATTTATACAGACTTGTATAGCCTTGACACCGGACTCGATATGATGATCCCCGGAATATGAAGTGAGGGGAAGGGCCTTGTCCATCAAATGCCGGCGTTTTGCGTTTGGTATGCGGCTCCGCACTGCTTCTTTTCTTCCGCACAGTGCCATATTGCCTTTCGCTTTTAGTTCCCTCTAGATGAACTAATTGGCAGAAGAGGAAACATGTTTTACCCCGCAGACAAAAACCATAACCTTCTTCTCGTCGCAAAAAGTGGACGGGTAATCCTGGGAAATAGTGAATCTGGGGTAATTCTTGGCGCGACTGTACTTTAGCAATAATCTTACAAGTTAAAATTTTATTTCCATATGATGAGAATATCAGTATTTGCATACTGTGTCTGAATATCTTATTTAAAATATATATACTGGTGGTAATTTAGTGCTTGGCTGATCAACAAAGAGGGATACTCTCAGTGGCGAAGACTACTTGAATATCACGTAACTAGGATTTATTGATAGTTTGGAAGCTCATGAATTCTCGACATCAATTGACTTTAAATAAGCAATATTTACCATACATTCAGCCTCTCCGACGAACTTCACAATCAATCACGCTACAACCCCTGTCTTTTAATGCGTTATGAACTCACATATTACTCTGGGATCTCAAGAACGTAGCGACCGGCAATCTTTCCTTGTTCTGATAGATGTTAGTAATCGAATCACGCAAAAGGTAGCAAGTTCATACCCATAAGTTCGAAAATCTTAGGAAGATCTTTCAGGGGGGCTAACTTGAACGGAGCTTTGATCAAGCCTCGAGCAAAAAAGTCCAGAGCTTCCACGCCGTCCTGTCGGTTTCCAACATAACTGCCCTTAATACTGATCATACGGATTACGGTGTTTAGAACTGGGGCCTTGAGGAATGCGTCTGGAGGCAATCCAATGGCAATAATTGTTCCACGCGAGCGAACATATTCGGTGGCCTGTTGAAAAGGCTTTTCCGAAACTGCCAATAGAATGACTGCATGAGCACCAAGGCCATCAGGAGTCGCCGCTTTCACGTCGGCCACCAGATCCTTGGATTTTGTGAAGTCGACAAAGGTCTATTTTCAATTAGCGTCCGTGGTGACTCTTGCGAAGATGTTTATATATTGGTCGGCGTTTATATTCATACCTCAGTTCCAAGCTGTTCACACATAGCTTTCTTCTCATCGCCTCCGTCTACAGCTACTACTCTTATTCCCATTGCCTTCGCATATTGCTGAGCAAGGGAGCCCAAGCCGCCACCTGCTCCGACAATGGCCACTGTTTGACCAGGGCGAACTCCAGACTCTTTCAAACCCTTATAGACAGTAATACCGGCGCATAGAACTGGTGCAGCAGCATCAAGAGGAACATCCTTAGGAATCTTTGAGGCATGAGAAGCCTTGCCAACCGCATATTGCTGGAAAGTGCCGTCCACAGTATACCCAGAGAGTTGTGCACGGGCACACAAGGGATCATCAGATTGCCTGCAGAATTCACATTCAGAGCATGACCCATTGAGCCACTTAATACCAGCATGGTCGCCAATATCAAATTCATGCACCAGGGAGCCTTTAGCCACAACCACTCCAGCGCCTTCATGCCCACCGACAAGGGGCATCTTGAGTGGAATGGGCCAGTGGCCCATAAAGGCGTGTAAGTCAGTGTGACAAACGCCAGAATAGCGCATCTTCACCAGAATCTGGTCAGGCTCTGGCTTGGGAACAGGAATCTGTTTGTATACCAGCGGACCCCCGACCTTTTCGGCCACTTGTGCCCATTGCAATTCAGGAATAGACATATTGAGGATATAAAAAGAATAGAAAATTATCGGTTACTTGGGTTAACAAAATCAATGTTTTCCTTGGTGGACTGACGAGGTCTATTGATTGTGCAAAAGGGTCTTATATAGTAGGTCTAGGTTATCTAGGGCAAGAGAACAACATGCTTTCAATTCCCGCATTGACAATTGGGGCGGGACAATCGGAGACTCCAGATACCCCAAAACTAGGTCTTTCTGTCGGGAAATAATCCAAATTGTTCACTCTATCTCGATGTTTGCGATGTACGGGTTGCGGAGAAGGTTTTGCGGAGAAGTGCGGCTCCGCATTAACAGCCAATGAGCATCCCAGATCCAGACTCCACCTCCCCGTGGGGTAATCGGCGTCCATGCGGTTCCGCATAAAAGTCTGATCGGCCCGAACTACACATACTGTTTGGATTAGACACACCGTAATCGACTGGTTTAGAGGGGAGAAAAAAGCAAAAGAGGGATTGGCGCAAGCCATCTATTTAATTTACGAGTCCACTTCTAATATGATCTGCAATAATTACAGCCTCGCTCCCTTTTAAGCTAGCAGACCCTAATAGTTGCTTCTATATTCTCAGGGCTTGAGTTTACGCTAGCTTAATTGTCTCCTTCATTCTTTAGGCTTTTGGAAAGCTGTCCCAACAACTAGGGTATTAAAAGGAGCGCAGTCTTATTCTTGAAGGTCGCATCCCACTTCTCGGCATACAGTCTTCTCTCTCAATACTAAATATTTTTTGGACTCATTTCGTCAAAAAAAAAAAAAATGAACAACAACGTTAGTCAGAATGACGAGACAAAAGTCTCACTCCATAACGAGGAGAATGCATCGCATGCCCTTTCTACGTTTCCTACATCTGTGACCCTGTCAGCTGAGCAGTTCGAGAGGCTGTATCTGACTCCGATGACTCGTCGTCAACCTCAGTTGGCTAAGCAAGTGGGAAACCCTACACCATTGTAAGATTTTCTCCCACTGTACTACAAGAAATATGAATGGAGTGACGAGTAACACAAAGTTTCAGAGCCCTGGGAGGATTCGTTATCACCACCACCCCGCTTTCCTGTTGTCTGATGGCCTGGAGAGGAGCCAGTGGAAATGGAATCGCCTTTATGTAAGAGAGAGACAAGCAAAACGCTGGCTGATATTCTTCTAATTGACGAGAAAAGCGGGCCCATTGTCTTCCTCGGCGGGCTCTTGTTAGTAATCACCAGTATTCTTGAGTTCATTCTGGGCAATACGTTTCCGTGCGTTGTATTCGGTACTATCGGTGAGTTTTGGTCATTTGGAGACGGGTGCTTTAGCTTGCTTCAATTACTGATACCTCCTCGCAGGAGGATTTTGGTTTGCATTTGCAGCTACGATGATTCCTGCCTTCAATGCAGCAGGTGCGTGCGTTCCAATAAATTTACTCACTTTATCATGCAAATGCTTAAGAACCTCACGTATCTACAGCACCGTATTCCTCGTCCTCCGTTGATACGATCACTGGGCTATCTAGTTCAGGGTTTATGAATACTTACGGTATGTACAGATTTTGTTCTCAGATTAAAAATAAAATTCTCACTGATATTCCAGCTTTCCTATTCATAACCATGGCCGTCCTGATGCTAATATTCATGATCTGTGCAACACGAACTAACATCGTATATACACTTATCTTTCTGTCGCTGCTTTTGGTGTTCTTACTTCTGTCATCAGCCTACTGGCGGCTAGCTGAAGGGGATGCCGCAGTCGGTGACCGATGCGTTAAAGTAAGCAATCTTCTTCCTTGCAGTTCTTGGATACGGAATTGAGTGCTAACAGATATATACTGTCTTTACAGGGATCTGGAGCTTCACTATTTGTCGCTAGTCTACTTGGTTTTTATCTGCTGATAGTTCAGCTCTTTGAGGCCTTGGAATTCCCATTCCAACTCCCTGTTGGAGACCTTGGGCCACTTTGGACTCGCAAGCAACTACGGCAAGTGTTCTCTGGGCAATGGCAGTTGACCTATTACTGACTCTATCAAAGAAGGCACGATCGTCATGACGAAGACTCAGCTGCCGTTGGTGATGAGTGAAGTATTTGAAGATACGCCTTCACTCGGTCATTCGCGTGTTTTTCTCTTTTCCAGCTAGCGGCCAGAAGGTGGATAGCTCTAGCCATGGGGACTACCCGATAACAAAGGCGATGGTGGATGGATTTGTTCAACGCTAATATTGTACAGGGGTCTCAAATAACTGTATTTGTAAATGGATACCGGGTAGTAGGTCAGCCTGATTTACATGAACTTGGGAGTCAGAAATGTTATTTTTTGACTAGTAAAAGAAATGGGACAAACCTCATAGTCTTGTAGCTATGTCGTGCAATTCTTGTACGACTCGCTTGGTGATGGTTCTTCTGTAATCATATGGTACAATTTATCAGATCTCTGTCCTGGGGATCGGGTATGAAAAAAGGTCCATTGCATGTTCCTGGAGGAGCTGTTGATTGATATATTCAGAGTTTCATGCATATGGTGTCAAGTGACACTTCAGTCAGAAATATACATTTTGGAAGATACAAACCATCGCTGCAAGAACATGTATGATTTGAGGCGAGTGCTAAGAGACGATTGAGACATAGGTAATTGATGCAGTTCAAACACGGTTGTGGAGCTTCGTACATGGATCTTACCTGTTAACATTGCAGCTAGCTGCATGTGATTGATCATTGGCAGTCAGCTTTAGCAGAAATGCTATGGACCATAGCACTTTACAGAATTTACATAGAAGAAATCATCTTGTGCTGTTGTAGGTGGTAATAATACCGCCAGGGTGGTAAAAGTTCTGCAAATTTTGTTCGCTTAATGGCGGAACATTTCATAGAATCTGAGCAAGCTTCAAGTCCAATAGTATCGATAAATTGCGGGCCACCATGGAGGCCATATCAGACTTTCTCCCGAGATATTGAAGTGCACAGATACATGATTCACAATTCTGCCGGAAGGAGTCAGTTAGAATAATGTCGTTGAGATTATCTAAGGTTTCAAGAGAAATATATGCCGCCTTGGCAAATGAATGGATCAGGACAACGGTCCAGGGCTCAACGAGGAACGCGACTTCGTTGAGTGAATCGTGGAAATGTCGGTGCATAGATGGATTCTGCCCATGAAGTGAAGCGCGAGCAAGAGCACCAACCATAAAAGCATGCTCTGTTCTGAGTGTCGAGACCAAACTAGTGGCTTTTCGAGTCTCACGCTCGCTCTCAAAGCCCAGTCTTCCGTTATCAATGCCCTCTATTGCGTCTGCCAAAAGCATCGTAGCAAGATGCCAATGACCGTCGAGAATAACGTACCACGACTGAATGCGAGGAGGTAGCAAGTCGTGGTTCTCGACGCAATCGAGCATGAATCTCCGATAAGTGCAATTCCAGTGTCGATAAACCAGGAGGGTCTTCTGGATGACCCCTTCAAGAACATCACAACTGGCCCCTCTATACACCAATGTTTGCAGTTGGGTGACCCGACGGTAGAGTAAGACTTTGACAGGAGTTGCCTCGGAGAGTACGGATGCAGCCTCGTCGTAGGAGCATGGCCATCTTGGCTGCTCTCCGCTAAGCTTATGACGTTCAGTACGATGGAGGAAGAATTCGCCCCACATGTCCTGTTTCTTGTGGTTTCTATTCTCCGCAATTCTCCCAAAGCCAAGCTGGAGCTGATCTTGTGGATCAAGAATTGCAGGAGGTGCCGATGCAACTTGGCTATCCTCATCTGACACTACTAGTGGCCGCTGATACATCGCTGCACTCAATGTATCAAACATGACGCCCAGCCAGAACAAAAGGTTTAGTGTATTGCGGTGCTCGTGGCTAGCCAGGATTGGATCGACCTGCAAGGGCCCTGAAGGATTCAATATTTCTGATTCATCGGTAACTGCTAATCCGATTGATCCCCCTCGAAGCTCTTTCACTCTTGGCGGGGCTTCTCGTACGTATTTCACAAACTTGTGCCGAAAAGTGAAAAGCTGGCGGTTGGCAGTCTCTAGAAATGTCGGTGCACTGTCATTTTCCAAAAGCTGGCCCAGGCCTTTGTCTTGCCGGCTGTCCAGTGGACTTTGAGTCAATGAGAATATAATATTTGCAAAGATAATACGGAATGAGGGAATCGTGGTTGAGTGCTCCAAGCCGTGGCGTGCTTCATTCCAGACGTACTCTCGTATTGATCTCTCGTCGCGAGAGATTGTCTCGGGGACAGATAACGTTGCACCCTTCTGCGCGTGCTGAGTCCACTGCGAGGCGAATGCAATGATCGCTAGATTGAGTACTCGAGCGGCGGTCTTATCCTCTTCCGCACTTAAAGCCCTACCACGTATTGAGGAAGATGCACGATCTAACCGACAAACACGAATACACATTCTGTTTGACCAATTGGGACCCCACTCTTGTCTCTCGCCATTTGGTAGAACGGTGCTAGCCAAGTCGCTATAAGGACAGTTGTGCTCTGTCAGCCAACATGACAATGCGTTTTCCATACTGTCGTGATATATGCGAATTAAGTTACGCGTCATCGTCGAACGAGCATATTGATCAGCCGTATTCTCAGAAGCAATACAAAAACTTGATGGAAATCTTGGAATTGGTCGCTGGTTAGAGCTAGGTGTCGATGAGGCTTTTAGACTAATCTGCTCGTATCCCGGGGCCACGAAATTGAAAGAAGACGGACTGTATTCACCTTCGGGCCGTTGTATAACGTCGAAAGAATTCTCAGAAGAGTTAATGAGGGATTCAAGTTCCCTTTGGGATCGTTGAGTGGTGCCACTGTTTTGCCAGTCGACTGGAATCTCCAAACTCCAAGGGTAATATTCTGACTGCTCAGCGCCGGACTCTGTTCCTTCTCTATCTTGTGGGTCCGATGTGAAGGAGAGTGCGAAATTTGCGAAATCGCCAGAAGCAAACATGTCGTCGGAAGTGGCGGGATAAGACGGTAAAGAGCGAGACTGCTCATCCGAGAGTGCATCATCATCTGAGCTTACAACAGAAGGAATAGATTTCTCCGCAATGTAGACTGGGGCTTTCCGCCGACCTCCGGCGGCATCTATACGCTTCGAAGAGAGCCAGTTGAACGTACACTCCTTTTTCCATCGCTTGCAGTTGTAACAACCACTGAATCCAGTATCCTTCCTGTTTTTCTGGACATTCGTTAGCTTCTGCAAATAAAATGGCTAAATTGATGTTCACACACCGGTGCATCGCATCGCCTTTTGCCTTTGCGGCATGGATCGCAGCTGTGGAGTTGGCGTCGGGAGGTTTCCATGCTGTAAAATATTCTCAAGACCGTAGTCAATATCAGGCAATATACACTCTTGGAATGGATGTAGCAGTAGATATATGTCTAGGGGGTGTGTGTGTGCGCGTGCGTGCGTGCGTGCGTGCGTGTGCATTTAGACGCAAAAATGGCAACACAGCCCCCCCCCCCGAATACGAAGCGAGGTTTGGGGAAGCGGTATGCCTTAAACTTTGGGTTTGCGGGGCGAGCGGGGTAGGGCCAAGGCCAACGCCGCCGCTTCTTTTTCTTTTTCGTGAAATGTTAGGACCAAGTCCTATCAAATGAAGAGAAACAGGCGGTTGATGGAAGAAGACTCCTCAGCGGGGAATGGCCAACAAACTCAGTAAGGACCGGTGATACCAATGAGGATACTTCACAAGCATTTGGGACTCATCAAACAAGTGCGGCTGTTACAGGCTAGCCAATCAATTCTACCTCGGGGGCGAGCCATGGAAAGTTGGTTCAGAGCCTGATGAGGTGGCGTTCCGGCATACCCCGGGTAAAGCCCTGATCTGTGTGAAGAATATATAAAGATTTAACAAACCGAATATCTTACCTAATTCTGTACTTGAGTGTAGAAATATCAATCAACCCTAAAACCATTATAGCCATCATGCATTGGCATTTAAAAGCGGACACATCTAGCTTACCAGCATTGCAGTCTCTTAGTTTTCTTAGCGCCTTCGCACTTCAGTACCAGAGTCCCCGGCATAGATCTGCGACTTCGAGGCGGAAAGATAATAGTGGTTGTATCCATCATCGGTATACCAGACGCAGTTATCTCCCGGTGACGTCTGGCCTGCCTCCTCAGAACGTTGGGCCTCATCCTCAGTCCCTGTGTACGAAGCGAAATTCTCAAGTCCAAAGTAGGACCCGCTGCACAAAGAGAGATATGTTTGTCCAGCAGCCGCTGTTAAGGCGGTGGTCTGTGCAGATCATTGAACTCATCATACGCAGACTGGAGCTCATCAGAGACATCTCCATCAGTATGACAAATCCACCTTTGATAGTTCACTAATTCAACTGACGGATAGAGCGATGATGCTCAGGATGCCGATGCTGAGAAGCTCCTATTTCTTTTGTCAGCTCTAGAATATATATCACGAGGAAGTCTATGTATAAGACAAGGTCACATACACTTTGCATATATCAAATAATATTCGGAAATCACAAACGCTAACGGTTAATTCATCATTCTAAACTATATATGGATGATTTATTCTTGGCTGACGCCCTAGTTAGACGTGCCTGAAATCTTACCTGCTCTCGAGACTCCTTCAAAAGAAGTGTAGTAGTTGGGATTTGGGTGTCAACTTATTGATGTAGTGGCTATGGGTTGCAAGACTAATTTTGCTGTGAAACCATCATGTAAGAATAAATCCGAAGAGCGTGGATCAAATACAAGGTAATGCTTTTACGTATAGCAATTCTGCAACCTCGGCTAGATAGGTGCGACGAATATGTATAGAGCAAACGCTGAGGCTATGTTCTATGTAAAGTTCACCTGATGTCGTGAAATTTGTAACTATACATTTTACATATTCCACTATGTATAGTACCTACATATCCGATGCATGATTTGTTGTCTCTACTGTAAATAGGCTCTAGATCAAAAGTACACCCCCGCCGCCTTCTCAATTAGGATTTTTAAAATTTCCTAGACCAATAAAATGGTTTGGAATCTAATTTATCAGGCAGGATAAGCGGCGGCGTGCAAATATAACTCCGTCCTTAAATCTTCCGCATTGAGAAGGCGGTAAGATCAGTTCACCTGATTAGGAAAGCACTTTGCCTAACCCAGTAAAGTAGTCGTTCATTTTTTCTCCCAATGACGTATTGTACGGAGCATTATCGCCGGCAGAAACCCCCTTACCGCCTTTCATAAATGCACTGTACCATAATCGGCAACTGCGTATTCGAGAGTCAAGGGCTCCAATGTTTACATCACAATAGCTCTAAACCTGACTGTTGATATTTCTAAAAGAGCTGCTGCAGATACCCAGTCAGGCTGCATATTATTACTAAGCTGGTGAACAGGGAAAACTTAAGAAGCCCTGTTTCCCTCTCAGCGGTCACCTTCCTAGTTAGGTAATTGTAATGACACTTGCTCTAGTCGGTAGCCTGGTCTGCAGCTATCTTTTGTCGAGTCGTAGTATAACCTATAGGATGGTGATGACGCAGATTGTGCACCGTGTAAAACTCCGGTGCTTAGTATACTAGTCTTTGTCGGAGAATTTATCTACATTGATAAGAAACTTGACTGCACTTGTTACTACCTATGGATCTGGTTTTAAGCTTTAAAGCAGATTGCATGATCCTCAGATGACATAACTAGTAATTATCTACATAATCAGTACGCAATCTATCTCCATCGCATGAAAAGCTTACGCGTTGATTAATACCAAGGTATTCTAGGGCACACCGGGTTCATAAGCTGGTTACACTATGAGTATATGTACTAATGTAACCTTTAATGGGAAACTAATCTGTAGACAACGGATTAGACAGCTTTCAGCATAGTTGGAAGAGTATTCAGATAGTTTAGACGACCATCTCGTCAGCCGTGGCCCCCGTAGAGAGCTAACAGTAGACTTCCGTGATGCGTTTCCACATTCCGGGTCACGTCTTCTGCCGGACCAGCAAAGGGAAAGGGTACTACATGCCATAATTCTGCGTACAAAGTAAGTATATAGCCATAGACAGGCTGTTATGCCCCGCGGAAAGTGCGGGGGAGGTGACATCGCGCCCTTGCCGAGAAGGTCGTTTTGGTTACAGACATCAGACTACATCTCAATCTCATCTAGACAATGACTGTATAATGTATGATATCACAATCCGTGCCAGGGAGGCTTTCTATTCTCCCATAGACAGCAGTGACTGTGATGGTACGATAATGGGAGGGTGTACCAAGTGTTCTTGATGGCCTACCTAGGTACAAGACTTACATCAGACCGGCGAGAGTAAAATAGTCAGAGGGCTGTTGGTATAACTTATTACATTGTATTCATGACTGCCAAGTGATCTCATGTCGCCAAGATTTCTCCTGCATATATGCCTCATTGGCCTTGACCGACCTCATCGATTTACAAACCCAGTAGAAATACAAAAAGTCGATACCTCAGATCCTAAAGCGCTGCACCTAAGTAGACTTGTCTATGAGAGAGTGTCTAGGTCAATCAATTCAACTAGTAGTGTCGCCATGGCGGTGGCCCTGGAATGCTGTGATACAATCACAGCAACGCGGGGGACTCCGCATGAGATAGCATGGCGCATGCCGATCCCTGCGCGCTCACTTTCAATCCAGACTATGGCCTACTGGAAGTGAAAGTTCGTCGGACTATAAAAGCAATGATCCGCCTTCGAATTGAACATTTGTACTTGCGAATTGGACTGGAATTGCCATAGTTGTTCGCACGATGAAGCTCTCTCCGTCGACACTGGCAGCTGTACTAGCAACCCTGGCAGGGAACACAGATGCACGAACACTTACACAGCAGAGTTCGAACACAAAAAACTTGACCTTCGATGTCTTGGATTATGTCGACCCGTTGATTGGAACAGCTAATGGAGGTTAGCAAGCACAAGAAAGAAACATGATGATAATAAGCATTCTAAAGTTCATGCATATAGGCCATGTATTTGCCGGTGCTACTTTGCCTTTTGGTAAGTTCCCCAGTCTACGTTTGCTTATGATTACGCATGCTGAACTTCCAAGGCATGGCAAAGGCAGTTGCGGATTCCACAGCGGACCAGCAAGGTGGCTTTGCCTCAGATAGCTCAACCATAAGCGGATTTTCGCACATGCATGACTCTGGGACGGGCGGTGTAAGTAATCAGGGTGACCAAAAAGTGAATGGGATATTAGCTAACGTTTCAGCAGAGTGCGTCCCTGGGAAATTTCCCTCTTTTTCCTAACCCGGGATGCCCTGATAACGACCTTAACTTGTGTACCTATCGCTACCAAAGCAGGGCTATAGGATTCAGTAACGAGTCTATCATCGCACAACCTGGGTACTTTAGCATCGATCTTGATAGTGGAATTAAAGGCGAGACTACAGTCACAAATCATACAGCCTTGTACCGCTTCACGTTCCCTTCGAGTGGAACCACTGCGCCGATGATTTTCGCAGATCTAATCGATCTGCCGCAGTCTAGAACTAATGGAACTGCTTCCGTCAACGCTACCACTGGCCGTATAACTGGTACCGGTACATTCAGTCCAAGCTTTGGAATAGGTAATTACGATCTACACTTTTGTGTCGACTTCTCAGGAGCAGACATCTATGATACAGGAGTTTTCGTCAATGACCGGGCTGGCAATGAGCCAAAGACTGTCAGGACGCTAGACGACGGTGTCGATAACGACGAGTCTTATTCGGCGGGTGCGTTCACTCGTTTCAGTCCCGGCAGTCTCTCGGTCATCGCTAGAGTTGGTGTGAGCTTCATCAGTGTCGATAAGGCCTGCTCAAATGGCGAAACTGAAATTCCTGAATTCAACTTCGAGGGTACCAAGGATGCAGCACAAACTATCTGGAGGGAGAAGTTAAGTTCTGTCAGCATTGATGCCACTGGTGTCTCAGACGAGTTCCAAACCATATTTTGGAGTGGCCTTTACAGAGCTCATATAAGCCCGCAGGACTATACGGGCGAGAACCCGCTATGGGATAGCATAGAGCCATATTATGATAGCTACTACTGGTATGGTAACTTTTTCCCGAATTGTTCTTCACTCGAGACATTGGGTGCTGATATCTGATTAGCATTTGGGACTCGTTTCGAGCTATACATCAACTGATTACCCTTGTGGATCCTCTTTCCCAATCTCGTATGGTGCGAAGCTTGATTGATATATATCGACATGAAGGCTTCCTCCCTGACTGCCGCATGTCGCTATGTAAAGGCTACACGCAGGGTGGATCCAATGCCGATGTTCTCATAACTGAAGCTTATCTGAAGAATATCACCGACATTGACTGGAGCACTGCCTACGAGGCGGTTATTAAGGACGCTGAAGTTGAGCCTACAAATTGGGGCATTGAAGGTCGTGGCGGTTTAACAAGCTGGAAGAACTTAGGGTATATACCTACAGATGACTTTGATCCGTATGGGCAGGGTCCTTTGACGCGGAGTATCTCGCGAACAGTTGAATATGCGTACGATGACTACTGCATTGCCATTCTGGCCAAAGCACTTGGCAAAACCGACGATTACGATAAGTACATCCAGCGCGCTACTAACTGGTACAACATGTTCGATCCCAACACCACTTCTCTCGGATACGCTGGCTTTCTGCAAGTCCGCTACCCAAATGGAACATGGGGCTATCAGGATCCGCAGTTTTGCAGTGCTCTACTCGATTTCACGTCGTGCTATCTTAATCCTGATGGCCATGAGACGTACGAAGGGAGTACGTGGCTTTACACGTTCTACGTACCCCAGGACATGGCCTCGCTGATTGATGCACTGGGAGGACAAGAAGCATTTATTGATCGTTTGACATTTTTCCATGAATCGGGACTTTTGTACGTCGGCGACGAGCAATCTTTTCTCCCTGTTTACCAGTTCCACTATGGCGGAAGACCCGGCCTGTCCGCTAAGCAGGCTCACGCATATATCCCCTCGCAATTCAATACCAGTGTGTCTGGAATTCCAGGCAACGATGACAGTGGTGCCATGGGCTCGTTTTCAACTCTTAGCATGATTGGCGTTTGGCCGGTTCCTGGGCAGGATGTCTACCTCATCAACCCACCCTTTTTCAAAGAAGTTAATATCACTCACGGTATCACCGGCAAGATTGCGACGATACGAAATGTCAACTTCGATCCGACTTATACAGATATATACATTCAGAAAGTGACCAGGGATGGGAAGACGTGGACAAATAATTGGATAGACCACTCGTTCTTTGAGAATGGCGGCGTGTTGGAAATAACAACGGGTGCGACTGAGAGTGACTGGGGGACCTCGGTGAAGGATTTGCCTCCCAGCTTGGCATCGTACAAATTTTAGGTCTTTTGTGCGCAGATGTTGATTTCATGTCATGTACAAAGAAGAGAAGAATGGAATGAGTTGGTATGTGAATGCCATTCTGATTTGCCATATCTCATAATATCAATGATTATAAGGTACGCATGTACCCTGCGGTACCGTCTCAGATACATCTTTCTTATAACAAAAGAAACAAAAGTGGAAGGATGATCAGGTTGCTTCCCAAACTTCAAAGGCGACACCTTCAAATTGCCAAGCCGTCGCGTTATTGCCGTTCTTTGCGGCTGCATGTTTGAAGATACGCTCTAATCCCATCTCGATATCTTTCCAATCGCGACATGCTGTGCCCGGCTTGACGTAGACAACCGCTCCAATGCGAACACATGTGGAGGATGAGGCAATGAAAGAGGATGCACCGTTTTTGTCCATGACATCTTCGTCACCGGTAGCAGAAGCTGGGTATGTGACTAGGTTCAGGCCATGGCATTTACCAGACAGGCTCTGGAATAGATACGAGTATGCTTCGTCTTGAGCAGGGATTGTCAAATTTGCGGGAATTGTTGAGTCGTCAGTAGCCTGATTTGCTTGAACCCGAGGAAGATTGCTGTTGCATGTCACCTTGTTCTTGAAAAGAATGTACTCTTCAATTGTAATCTCGGGCGGTGATAATATTGATCTTGGGTGCTTATCTTTGCGAAGAAGGAGAGCGTTCTCGCGAGATTGCTGGTAAGTGCTCTCTATTCTCATCTCTGTGGTGACACACTCGGGTGCAAGTTGAGGTTCCTTTTCAGAGAAGGTTTCGTGACATGACTGCTTTGCCCGATATTTGAAGCCCATGACTGGCCTCCTCCAGAGCAGATGTGTTTGCGGTAAAACCACCATATCGCCAATATTGAAAGAAAGGCAGCTGAAGATGGAGATGAAGATGGAGATTCAGCTGAGTACGAAAAGAAAGAAGATATTGGCTGCGGCATCACAAAGAAAGTGTGGCCGCCTGAGCCCAACAAAAACGTGATAGCCCCAACAAAGACAAACCCAGGCCTTCGTTGTAAGCGCAGCGCTCTTTACCAGATCAACTGGTCGTGTCGACAAGAGAAGAGTTGACGATGTATTCCAATGTAGATGTCACATGATTCTTCGTTGCGCAGGCAGCCACGCTGAGGGCAAGTGCCTTCCTTGCGCGGCGGCCAAGCATAAAATGACCCTAGCAAAGTCACCTCATGAGGACCTCATCTTGCTGCTATATACCTTTCTATTCACTACGCAAGAGTACTATCTTCGGTATTTCTATCTCACTTCTGCCTCTTTCCAGCTCTGGCATACTTCTCAGAACCCGCATCTCTCACACCGGCATTACCTACTCGTCAGACCAGTCATTCGTCACTCTTTCGACGCAGAATCATGGCAATGCACGTTGACGCCGTGCAGAATGCACAGGCAATCTCCACCAAGGAGAAAGAAAAGGCACTGAGAGCCTCGATATCGAATATAATCGCCGACTTGGAATGCCCGTTCAATGTACCGATAGAGATGTACCTGTCAGTGCGCGAGCTGGCCGTCGCATTACCAGCATTTGGTGAATTCGCCATCGATGGCCCCGACAATATTATGAAAGGAATTTTTGAGCCCGTGCGCGAGGACCTTTCTCGGCTGATTTACGCTTCTCTCGGAACGACTGTACTGAATGCGAGCTTCGCATGGGCCTACTTGGGTCAAATGATTCTTATGCCGACAGTGTTCATTGATATACCACCAGGCACGGTGGCAGACTGGGCAGACTTGGAAAGCAGAGTCCGAAAGATGCTAGGGAGGGCGACATCGACATTGGGATTCATCATTGACGTGCAATTTCAAATCATCCACTGATAGCATCTCTTTCGAGAGGATTCGGACTCAGAACACAAGCGGGAAAAATCAGCTTCTTCAGTGGGGGCAAGCTTAGGAAGTGTAAGTTCTTATGCAAATATTGATAACTGCGTGAAAATATTCTAACTGTCCGACTTTGAGTTGTATCTTGGCAGTATGCCCACTATCCCATACGCACATTCTTTTGGCTGAGGCGGAACAATCATTTGTACCCATCGACATATTGAGGAGATACATAAGTTATTTTTAAGACGACTTGGCTGTGTTTTCGTTTCGAGAAAGCGTTGCTGTTTGAAAGCACATAAAAATCTAAAGGAATGAAACCATAAAGCTTGAACGCAATCTTCATCTTCGCAAAATCATGTGCAAGTAAGGATCCACTCTATCGATCAGCGTTCGTAACCGTGTTGTAGTTACCTTTTACGAACCCGTTCTTGGACGAAGTTTCACTAGGAGAGGCTTCTTTATCCAAAGGGAATTCGTGGGCTGATCTTTCCAATTCTTGTTTTCCGGCTGTGACTCAACATCGAAGTTCCAGAAGAACTTGCATGTAATCAGTCTGAGCTCCGCATATGCCAGGCTATAAGTTTTTTTTTTTTCCCAGTATTAGTAAGTGAATGCTTCACAACAAGAATGAGTAACTCACTTCTTTCCCAGGCAATTTCTGGGACCATGCGAAAACGGATGGAATGCACTCTTATTGTCATTGATAAATCGAGAATCCTCTCCCTCAAGCCATCGCTCTGGATGGAACGCATCCGGGTCAAAGAAATTTTCCGCAGAATGGTAAGTTGAGTAATGATGCATCCCAACAGTGGTACCAGCAGGAACGAACTTGTCGCAAATAACTTGACCTGGCTCGGGAGTTACACGGGGGAAAATACTTGGCACTGGCGGGTAAACGCGCAGCGCCTCCTCAAGCACGGCCTGTAAATACTTGAGCTTTGTGGTGCTGTGGAAGGTAATATCACTTTCAGTATTGAACGACGAACGAATTTCTTCAACTAGGCGGGATAGGGATTTCTGTGAAGGCTCCTCGAGGAGGTAGTATAGCATTCCGGAAAGTGCAGTTGCCGTTGTTTCGCTGCCTGCAACAATCAATAATTGGCTTTGAGCAAGCATATCTTCAAAACTCAGGCCGTCGTCGCCAATGGCCTCTTTGGACCCTTTGAGCATGTGATATACTGTGAACGAATTAGTGTCTAAGCATTGAGTATTGATTGCGCCTGTAAGAATGGGTGCTGCTGAATTACCGAAGTCCTGTCTTTCTGTCTCAATGGAAGCCCGGTTTGCCAGTTTGCTTTCAGCAACGTCGAATAAATACTGTCGATCCCCCCTGAAGGAAGTTGGTGTTACCATCCTCTCGATAAACTTCTCCATTGACCTTGGGAAGACACGTCTAATAGCACGGAAGTAAACGGCAAATTCTAAGCTCCCAAACATTGCCGAGAGATACTTCTGCCATATACCCTTTTCCAGCAATCCAAATGATTCGCCAAATGCAAGGTCGCCAATTATATCAAAGGTAGTGAAGTTGAACCAATGAACCATGTTCACAACGCCGTTGTCTACCGAGGCTCGTTCCCGAAGTTGGGAGACGAAAAAGTCGACATAACCCTGCAGGAGGATTTCTTGCGCTTTGAGGGCTTTTTCAGAGAAGGCGTGAGCCAATAGACGACGGAGACGGCGGTGCTTTTCACCATTCGCACCGAGCTTTTTCCCCAAGAATAGGATATCAGTATTCATTCCGTAATTTGATGGCTAATCGAGGGGAGTAAAATACGTACAATATGTGGTGGCCCTTTGGGTGATTCAGGGAAGAACTCGGGGTCTTTGTCAAAGAGGCCTTTGGCAGCACTTGTACGATGTCCTGTTAGAATATTAGTATTCATGCATTCATTCAGTCTTGGTCAACTGACGCACCGCAGATTGCTTCCCATGCGCGGCTGGAATTGTATGATAGCTGGTTAGGTGCTACGCGCACCACTTCACCATATTTGTCGTGCCATTTCTTGCTCTTCAAGTGCAAAGAGCCCCTGAACTCCCAAAATAATGCATGCAGTATCGTAGCTCGGCCGAGAAACGGGCCTGGATATGAGCGCAACGGATGGAAATAGAGGTTATAGATGATACTGCTAGCTAAGCTGGCTACGATGAGGAGCAGAGGTGTCTATCTTTAGTCAGCCCATGTTTCAACAACAGCGTTTCGCACACCTAACACCTACAAGAATATAGTGGTCGGCGAGAGGTTCGACAGCGCTGGTGACGAGGTGCGAAGGCATAGTGGAGAACGCGGCCGGCGGGGGCCGAGGGTATACCTAAATAGTAAATAAACAAAGTTTATCTCAACCACAACCTGTGCAACCAGACAAGCGTCGTCAAGATTCACCACTCGACAGTAAGGCACATAAAACCGTGTTTAAGTACTGAATATGTCTGCTTCTGACTGCCTTCGTATGTAGTATCGCCTTTCCACTGGAGTTGTTGCTGACCCTGCCGTAGAGCCTCCCCTTACTCCCGCCGAACGAGAGATAGTCAAGAGTTATGGCGGCTGGACGACGTTCCTGGCTTCCTTTGCTCTCAAGCCGTGGAATAGCGAAGATGAGGAGGAGGGCAAAGCGATTCTCAGAGCCTTCACCGCCGATGATGATCGAGAAAATGAGGAATCCAATGAACCGAACAAATCTTGAAGGTTTCAACTGCATGCAGTGACCGAGAAGCAACTTTGGAATGGGAACATGTCGTCGTTAAATAAGTTTCTGCAATTGCCACGTACTGCCGCTACTCAATAGCTCTACAATTAAGCTATCCTCGCAGCTCCTCGTAACCGAACGTCACGGTAGTTTTGTGACAAAATTATGCAAAGATTCCCCCCCTCTTGTGATCTCCACTCTGTGGCGATCGACGATTAATCCCAGGAATTCAACCTAATGCCAGGCTAGTTACAGACCTATTTCAGAGCTGTATGGCCAATGACGTTAACAGCGGAGGAGATCAACATTTGACATGCATCACTGTCTTCACGGAGTCTACAAAGACCGAATGAGCCCGGAATTCGGATTTGCCATTAGGCTTTGGTATACTAGCATTGCACATCAATGTCCCACTAATCGCCATTTTGCTTCGTTCTAGACCGCGGGGAATGTGGGATATACGTAGTTGTACTAGTATTCATTCATTTATGGGACCCCGGACACTCCGCACACTCCACCGTGCCGCATAAGACGAATTGAATTCAGCGGCACGTATCTGAAAAGCCGTGGATTTTGTGCACCTAGGCTCAATTGTCGGTGATTGAGCTGAAGGCATTATGATCGACGACCGGGAGACAAATTTGAAGTCATTTCTAGTAATTTCAACCTCTAATTTGGCATACGATGCTTATCCGTATGTCTATTTGCGAATATCCTCTTTATATGGAGCAAGCATTATGATAGTAAGTGCTATAAAGAGCATTATCCATTATCTATTACCTAGCCAAATTTGGAAAGCGCTCACCTTACATATCACGTAAACATCGCCATTCAGAGTGATGCTTATGGCGGGTACGTGGACAATAGTGTAATCACGCATAAGCAGTAGCGCGCGCTGTGTGCCGCTCAGCCGTGCTTCGCCGTCTGTTAATGCCGAGTTCAGTTGTTAACTTGTTATGGACTGTACCAGAGAACCCAGGAAATATTCAGGATGTCCAAGTTCTGCATTTGTTTTCTCCCTCTTTCTCCTGTTTGATGCTGATATTGGAAGTTTGACAACCGTGTTTATTATTTTAGCTTTAGAACCTGCGCCACGCTACATACTTTATCCAACCGGGAACCTTCGGCTTCATTTATTTTGAACTTAAAATATCTGGAAAAGGGCCCCTTTGGCAGCAATCCAAATCCCTTTACTATTTTAGCGTCTCCCTGTGGCTACGCTATAAAGGTCATGTATTTAAGCCACCAGCTTGGCAGTGAAAACATACACAATCAGAACCATTCCAGCTGTTTATCTTGAGGAGTCGCTTCTTTTTCAATAAGGTATAGTGCGCAGCGCTGTTTGCCTGTCGCAGTGGGTTGCAGCTCGCAGGGTGTTGAAAGATTTAGCGCGTCTGCAAATTGAACAAAAAAGCCTTGGCAGTAGAAAGTAGATGAGTCTTGAATACTAGTTAACTTAAGTACTAATATTATAAAATACATTGTTAGTACATTCTCGCAGTCTTGCAAGCCAAAGAACTTACCATTTTCGTTTTGTCCAAGTTTGAGTCACAAAAGACACCGGTATTGGCTTGCACAGCCAGCCCGTTAATTTTCATCACCGCTGCTCGTCGATGCTGTCCGCTTTCCAGTTTGATCTCGGAACGAGAAGCCTTTATGACGGTCAGATCGGTGGGAGAACTTGCGTCATAAGTTTTGAGTAAACCCTACTTCTCAGCCGGATCGGTGTTCATCAATGCCTCTATAACGCTGTCATCTGCGCCAGCCTGGCATCTGTTGACGACATCAAAGCGACGACCACTTTGTTCGATCTGTATGATCAATGTATCGATAGGCTGCCCCATCAGCGATCGATTAGCTTCAAAACCTCGACCACTGTTGGGGCCGAGGCTGCCAATGTCGACCAATACAACAAATCGAAGTCCGTCTTTGAGGCTGGCTGCATTTAAATCTGGCGCGACTGATTCACTGGTCGCGATGAAGTGGCGCCTGCGAGGTCGAGCAGATCCGTCTGTGTCCACTTAATCATTCAATACTAGACCTGCAAATGGATTCTTGATGTTGAGGGTTTCTTCGAGGAGGAAAGGGAGGGAAGGCAATAATTTAGGTGCTGCTTAGGAAATGTTATACAATGGTTCCGCAATGGTAACCAGCGACGCACATTTTCCTCCTATATATACGAAGAACTTGTACGGCCTTTTTGTTTTCATATACTAGATAATAAGTGGCGTATGTATTTATAACTCCAGTGGCCTGATTCTACATGATTCTCTACATTGTTTGTTATACATGGTAACACGACAGTTAGAAACTAAACCACCGCTCTATGGCAGTTGTCGCTGCCACTATATCATCAGGCTTTGCATGATGATCTATGGCCCAAGCAATAACTCCATCCGGCCGTACAAGCAAAGCGGAGAGCCCGCGCCTATCTTTTGCATCGAGGCTAATATAGCTGATTTTATCATCGTGCTTTCCCACACTGATCACATCCTTAAGCAAAGTATTGCCATCGAAATTAATTAGTAATCCCTGTCCACTCTCTAGCTTCGAGCCTAGTCTCCAACCATCATGGAGCTCAAAGTCCGGTGCTGAACATCCTACAAGTGGATGCGTGCTTTCATCGCCAAGATTATATCGTTGGGACAAACCCCAAAAGCGGTCGATAAACTTGTTATTTCCTTCAAGAGTGCTGAGAAGACTACGGTAGGTTTCATAAACTGCCGCACCGTGCAACTCGGGCTGCATTGCCATGGTCTGCGCCCGTGTCCATTGAAGCACAGAGACGCCGATTGGGTGGCGTTCTGTCTCATAAGTATCGAGAAGCTTGAGGTTTGGAGATCCCTTAGACCTAGCCTCATGTTGGATCGTTGAGGCTAGCTTCCAGCCTAGATTCTTTGCGTCACCCAGTCCAAGATTGAGTCCCTGGCCCATTGGGGGGTGAATATGCGCGGCGTCGCCAGCGAGGAGGACTCGGCCTTTGCGGTAGCTCGGCGCTTGCTTGGACCGATCGGTAAATGAAGAAGCTAGGTGGACTTTTGTAATCTTGGCGTCTTTCTTCCTTGTAATGTGGTCGAGAATTCCTTGTAGGAACTCTTGTGTAAGCTCGCATGTACGATGAGACGCGCCGCCGTCGAAATCTACCAGATATAGACAGTGGGGCCTAACGATATACATTCCATTATCTGTGACATTGAATCCTGGCTTTAGCTTTTCCGGATGATCGAAGTCGCATTCAACGGCATAGCCAGTAAACAGGGGCTCGGTGCCCACAAAATCAAATTGCGCAGCCTTGCGAACCGTACTTCGTCCTCCATCGCATCCCACAAGCCACGAGCCACGAAATGACTGATCTCCAGCTTTGACGTCTTTGACAAAACTCGTTACTTCAGCGCCCCTGCGAATGGTCACGCCTAAGCTCTCGGCTCTCTCATTCAGCAGCCTTTCAATGCATTCGATAGTTGTACCACCAGGCTGTAAAGCCGGGCCATTGATGCAGTACTTGTAACAATGTAAATCAATATTGTTGGCGTTCAGCATGATACCAGCGAAGTGACCGCCCTGTTGGTAGCCAGCTGTCTTCTGAAAGCTTGACGGCCGCTCATTACCAAAGAGCTTGCCAAGCAGCCCGCGTCGATAAAATATCTCAACCGACAAAGTGCTGAGACCGCGCATACCTAACGGCTGCGTCTTCCAGCGTGACTCGAACTTTGCTTCACGCTCCAGGACGAGTACAGAAGTACGCGCCATGGCTAGCTCACAGGCCAATAGAAGTCCGACAGGTCCTGCACCGGCAATAATGACATCGTAGAAGTTATCAATGGACCTGGCCATGGCTTGAAATATGATTCCTTTCAAAATCCTAGCTTGTTGGACAAGTGTTGCGAGAATACTTAGGGGTGATAGTACGAGTTGGAAAGGGCTCTTCGCAGTTTATATACGTATACATGCAGGTCCTGCTGAGCCTTCAGCTGAACCTCTGCTAGTATTACCCGACATGCTCGGTCCGAAACTTACAAAGAGTTGAGGAATCCTCGTAATGACCGTAAGTAACTACATGGGTAGAAGCCCTAAGTGTCCGAAATTTTTTTACCTAATTAGGAAATGCTTGGGTGGCTCGGCGCGAAGCAACCAATCACAGGCATCGGTCCCATAAACTAGCAACATCAACAACGCCCACAACGTCGTTTGAACATCTTCGCAAGCCTGCAGAATCCCACAGGACATCTGCCTAAAGACCGCGCAGAGTGGCCTGTTAGAGCTGCGAGAATCGTGGCCACAGCAAGCCATCATTGGACATAATCGGCTAAGCGTTGACCATGGGAGCAGCAAGCCAAAACCGGCTCGCTAAACCAACAAATGCCCACTCATGTGTTCGCTGCTTTAAACGGAAGGTCAAATGCGATAAACAGCGGCCTTCTGGTTCTTGCAATAGGCATAACGCAGAGTGTATGCCGCGTGTCCCAAATCCGCCCCGGCTCCGAAAGGAGCGCCACCCGGAGGATGTTCTGGTCAGACGCATAGAGCATTACGAAGCCTTGCTTCGGGAGTCTGGGGTTGTCGGTTCGAAGTCACAGGCTGTGCCGGATAAGACACAAGATAGTCCAGCCAATACAGTCTCCATAGATGATTCCCCGCAGCTACCTACCCCTGCATCGAAGAGTGGATTCGAAAGGCAATTCACCAAACCGCAACTAGTTTACAAACATGGGAAATCTAAATATCTGGATAAGTTCGTAAACCTTTTCATACACATCATTTCATATCTAACAAGTGTATAGCAATATATGGACAAGGGCAATAGAAGAGGTAAAATGACAGATGTTTTGTTTATAGACGATCTGTGTTTGGGAAGGGATCCTGATTTATCAGCTCTAGATATATGATGGAGAACATGAGTGCTTCAGAATTCCGCGGCGTATTGTCGAACTGAAGATCTTCTGCTTTTATCTCTAGCTCCACAGTCGGTTCATGAACTATTTTGAGCAAAGAATTAACATTCTCCACAAATACCAGCCATAGTTCCGATCTTTGTTCAACCGAGGGATGAAGTTTTCGGATAATACTTGGCATTGAAGTGACACCAAGTACAAAATCTGTATTGTCTTCCGTGATGTCCAGTTGTCCAGCATATGGAGATACCACTAACAGACAAGCCAGATCCCAGGTGCAGACGATGCTTTCGGAAATTCATCGTCCGAGGAGAACCGGCGATTAGACGTCTATTTGAACACTCTGACTCATATTTATCAGAGCGTGATGCTAGTTCGGAAAAGACCGCAGCTCTGCGACTCTCCCTTTTATTCCCTCCCTCTCTTCATCTGTCAAAGTGATATTAAAAGTGCTCTTCAGAACCTCTATACGCTCGTCCTCGGTCTTGCAGGTTAACAGAAGCGACGTCTTGCCGCCAAGGTTCTGCTTAACATCACCATTCACCAACATCACCTTCCCATATATTCCACTGTCCGGACGTTTCAAAAATCGCACAATCAACATGGTATATGTCTGGTGATTACCTGGATAAGTACTCGTCCAGTAATTAATGGCCTCAAAATCCCGTGGCAGCCACTCGTCCTCTCCAAACGCATAGAATGAGCTCCATGGCTTGGTAGCGCCGTTGCGGTACTGATATACCCAGAGCTTCTGTGGCTCTGTTAGATAGCCTGGAATTACTTTGTACTGGAATCGTACTTCCTGTAATCCAAGATTGACGATAGTATTCCCACTAATCAGCGGGAGAGGCTTTGTTGGACCGTCACCACCGAAACCGACGTCACAGGAATAACGGCTGCCGTCTGGTAGAACAATTATATTCACGACATGGCACCTGTCCAATGGAGTTAGTTATCTGTTAATACCATTTTCTTTCCATATTTTGTCTTGGGTAGTTTACCATCCAGAATAAGGACCCTGGGGAATCCCATCTTTCCTTGGACGAATGCGCGCCCCAGTCAGATATGCCCTGAATCCTAGTCCGCGAAGGATGTGGTTGAAAAGAACACTGGTCTCCATGCAATAGCCGCCACGGCCATTTCGCAAAAACTTCTGATATAGATGCTGCACATCGAGACTAATATCCACTGACTTTGTGTAATGCAGTGACAAGTTTTCATATGGAAACGCCGCGATGTGATGGATGTGCAGCGCTGTCAAAAACTCGGCGTTCAATTCAGGCTTCTCAGGTCGACGGAATTGTTGAGGAAGCCCAATGTATTCAAGATACCGATCAAGTTGAACGGTTGTTAGACCGTGCGGTGTAGTAGCCATGGCTGACATAGTGTATGAATGCGTGTTAGAGACTGGAATCGGATAATGGCGTGCTAGGGCATTAACAGTCTCGACAAGTCTCTGTAATCCTTAAGTAGGCATAAATTTTTATTAAATGTTGAGAGCAATCTGCAATGTCTACCAACCCGCTGAGAGTGATCAGCCGGATGAGTCATGCATCATCTAACTAGCCCTATTGACTAACTACCTATGTAACCAACTAGTTATCTAACCCCAAGCACGTATGTGAGTCATCTGTCTGAGCATAGGATTCTTCTAGATCGCGTCCAAAACTGTTTCGAAATGTGCGGCAGACATGAATATTTCTCTCCATTGCTGGTTCGAAAGAAGCGGAGGCCTTCCAACCATTATAATCCCTGCCATCCTGCAACCCAAGGCCAGTATGTGTTCGGAGACAACAAGGTATAATTTAAAGGTAACTGTTCATATACATTGAAATTAATGTCGTCAAGTTTGGGATGCGCAAGCTGATATCCCAAGGTAGCCACGCTTACGATGATCGATCCCTTTTCATCAGGGAGACCATCTTTGAGGAGAAAGCTGTTAAGGAAGAAATGACCCAGGTGGGTGGTTGCAAACTGGCTCTCAATTCACTGCTTGGGACGTAGAGTAAGTACTCTTTCGGCCCCATAATGCCGGCATTGTTAATCGGGCCACCAATTTTGGGGAGTGATGTTCTTGATCTTGCCGACTGCTTCAATAACAGTAGGGTTGTCCAAAAGGTCAAGTTGTACAAAAGCAGTTTGCACATTTTCATCAAACCCACGAATGGCTTCAAGTACCGGGTTGATTTTGGCCTTATTTCGCGGGGCGAGAATGATCAGTTTCGGTTTAGCAGTGGCGAGCGTGATAGCGACCTCAGACCCCATGCCGACATTGCTGGCTCCGGTTATGATATCTTTGTTTTATTGTGAGCATTTATGTTTCACTTACCGTTTTCAGTGGCTCAGGAGGCATGTTCATCATACATGTTTTGCCCCAAGCTTCTCAATAACCTCTTTGGCAACCGTTTCTTCGTGGAAGGAGCCCATTTCGAAGAGCAAGTCCATCAAATGTCGTCAGGTAGTTTTCAATACAGATATGCACGCCATAGAGTGAGATTTACAGAAATTTTTCTGGTCAGAGCTGGCCTTATAACCAGGCAATTCCTGGATTTCTCTTATTCTGAGCAAGCTCTTTGTCAGTCAAGATGAAAATGCGTAATAGACCAATAGCATTCGTGTAGCCCCGGAATAGTCATCGTTACAAAGCCAACTTGCATGAAGCTGTGTCCGTATTGTGTATTGAACAGGGATGTGAATATCATTTATTGTGCAGCTGTAACTTTCAAGCTTAGACCCTACAGTGTAACAGTATAAAATCTATTACACAATGCCAGATTTATTTTTTCTCTTTCAATCGATGCACATTGCCATAGGCATTGGCAGAGGCTGCTTAGAAATACATGGTATGGCGAGGACGACCATTTTAACCCGAACGATATTGGGTACCTGTGGGATTTTTCTTTGCTGGTCTAGTCAACACAGCCTATTCTTATCCGCGAGAACGCCCAAGCAGTCTATGCTACCATTTAATTTTATTTTTATTATCTTTTCCCTTTCCAGAACTGAGAAATTAATTTGACGCTTGGGTGAATTTATTCTACTCTAGATAGTCCGTCACAATTAAGATGTCCTAGTGTGCATAATAATATGTGTTGTCAACCGTGGTACCTCTCATATAGTCTGGCTCTGCTCCTCGCACATAAATGTCTTGATATAATGTGTCTGATGTCGGGGGTGGATCGTCCATCTTCTGCGCAGCCTCAGCCTCATTATTGACGAAGCTCCTTATTTCTTTCTCCATAGATTTCAACTCATCCTCCGTGTTGACGCCCAGTTCGAGCAGTCGCTCCTTGAGCACTGTCAGGGGATCCTGTTTCCTCTTTTCCTTCAGCTCCTCGCGTGTTCGGTATGCCACGCCAGGGTCGGACATGCTGTGTCCTGAGTATCTATAGGTGACATACTCGTACAGCAACGGTCCTTCATGGCCGCCCTCCTCTCCAGTAATCAGTCGACGGGCATACTTGACTGCGCACATGACGGCTAGAACATCCATGCCATTGATACGGATTCCGGGAAAATAATGTCCCCGTTTGTAGTAGTCGGTCATGGCAGACGATCTTTCAGCAGATGTGCCCATTCCGTACTGATTATCTGTGTAGGCCTGAGTTAGCACATGCAAAATCACAAATACTTTTCGTCTGCAATTGAGAGCAAAAGATAGAAAGGCGAAACGTACTCTCACAGCCGTATAGCACGGGCAGATTCCACAATTTAGCCATGTTGAATGCTTCGTGCACTTGTCCCTGATTCGCAGCGCCGTCGCCATACACGTCCACGGTCATGGTTCTCTGCCCTGTGTATTGCTGAGCAAGGGAGATTCCGGTGCCGACAGGTACGTGCGCGCCAACAATTCCATTTCCACCGTAGAATCCCTTGGCAAACATATGCATCGACCCTCCTTTGCCGTAGGAGATTCCTTGCTGTTTGCCGAGTAGCTCGCCAATTATCGACCGGATACTTCCGCCACGCATATATGTGAAACCATGGCTGCGATATGCTGTGATTAGGGGATCAGACTTGGTAATTGCATGTTCAATTCCCACAGCAACAGCTTCTTGGCCCGTTGAAAGGTGACAGAAGCCTCGGATTTTTTGCTCTTTATAAAGTGCGTCTGCTACCAATTCCAGACGCCTGTAGCGTATTCTGTCAGTAACAAATGGACATATAGATATAAACAGAAGAAAAAAAAAAAACAATGACTTTGGATAACTATGTACCGAATTGTTGTCATGTCTTTGTACAACTGACGAAGTTGGTTTTTCGAGATCTGCAGGCTAAATGGAGGCGGATCAATGTTGTAGGTGTCAAAAGAATCCTTGGGAAGGGTGACGGTGAGTGGAGTATCATCTCCCTATGAGAGGACGTATCAGCCTCATGGAATTTCGGGTTGTGAGGAATCGGGGCCATACCGAAGATTGAGAGCCGCCATTTGCAGCTCTAGCGAGCAGCGTTCGGCGTTGGTGAGAGTGTGTCCACACGGAACGCGAGGCTAGATTGGCGCCATATGGACGCAGCGTACGAGACAGCATCTTGGCCGACGAGTGCTTGACGAGGAGTTTTAACTATTTCGAAGAACTTCACGAGGAGTTGTTGTTGTCCGTATCTGACTAAGCTTGAGTTATGTCGACGTTATGTCATTCTGAGGCCATCGGGAAGCGTCATTGGTCGATGTATAGAGGTCGAGATCAGCCAATCATACCCAAGAAGCAATCGGAGACATCTTTTTGTCTATGTTGATACTGTTCTGTCCTTTTTAGCAACAGTTTTATTGTGTCCATGACAATGCAGACAAAACGTCAGTTGTAAATAATGTTATTCAACTTCCTGGCAAGATTCCGACTGACGTCATTTCTGTCGGTAGCATTATCGCTGGAGTATTTCTCCAGAGGAAAACTACGTGGGATAGTCGGTCACAATCAGACATATTACTTCTTTTTGTTCTATGTGCCACTGGATGTCTCTCGAGCAGAGAGTCAATCAAGGAGACGGAGAAGAATCCTCCTTGATTCCTGAGGCAGAAGTCACGACCCGCTCGGCACGGAAAATCACTACTTCCGACGCGCCCATTCTCGTGTTTCATTCATTAATCATCAAATATCTGTTGCGATGAATTGCCGGATGACTACAAGCAACCGGAATGTCTTATTATTAGTTCATACGGAAAGACGGCGATGACTGCTTATACGGTCTCCGCGTTTAGCTCTGAAGGATGCTAGACACATAATCTCCCACCGGGTTAGAGAAAGCCCCGGTTAATCCCACCATGCCGCGCAGCACATTACCCCGAAGAGGCAGAGGCCGCCGTGAGATTACCGGGAAAAGGAAGGATGGAGAGAAGGAAGAGGAAATTCCCGAAGTCTACCGCGAGTTGCTCGCAGAAGCAGATGCGCGCGCTTCAAAAGAACCGCAGCACGGCAGCAGCCCTGTGAAGCGTCGAAAAGTAGGTGAAAGACTCTTTGCTACGCAAATTACTGAGCCAAATACCGAAGTTCAAGCTACTTCGGACTCGAATAACGTCCTCGAATCAACACAAGAGCAACCCATCTATGACCTCGATGCCGACGATGGGTCCGAAGATGATTCAGACATGGAGTGGGAGGAAGTTCTTATACAGCAGCCAGAGAGAAGTATTCAGGAACGAACTGCGGTTACAGGCGATGAGTCTTTGGATATTACTCTGAAAAAGCCTTCCAACCAACGGAGGACGATTGTGAGAAGACGTAAACCCGTCTCCGGCGCAGAGAAAAAACTTCGTTTGGATATCCATAAGAATCATGTCCTTTGCTTGTTAGGTCACGTATACATACGCAATTTGTGGTGTAATGACGATGAAGTGCAAAAGTTTTTGAAAAGAATGTTAACAAAGCAAACCATCGCTCTTTTGAACCCCAAAGAATCCATGCATCAGTTTTCTCGATCAACTACGTTTATTGATGGCCTTAAGCAGGCAAGCGAGATATTCTCTCGAAGATTTAGAATCACGGCACCGGGCCTGAGAAGGCCGCACTGGACAGAAAATGAGCAGGAGTGCAGAGATAGAGCAACATCAATCATGCGTGAAGGGGAGACTATCACCTCCAAGGAAGAATTCCGCCAGCAAGTAAAGAGACTAGAAGGTTCCCGAGATTTTGGTGCTCAATTATTCTGCTCTTTGCTTCGATCCGCAGCGGTAGAGGCGAGACTGGTATGCTCTCTCCAAGCACTGCCGTTCTCCGGAGTTGCGAAGGGAACGAGCCCCGAAAAGCCCAAACGAGAATATATAGTCATATCATCGGATGACAATACCAGCTCCAGTGATGACAAAGGCGTTGGATATATAGAAAGTTCACCTGCGAAGGGACGAAGAATTGGGCAGCCCTACTTTAAGACGCCCGCGAACTCGCCATCTTCACCTTTCGGTACGTTTTGACTTACTTGAAAAAAAAAAAAGAAAAAAAAAAAAAAAAAAAAAAAAAAAAACGTTAAGTTAACCATCATGTACAGAACGTCAACGTCATTTTTTCACTTCCCCATATCCGGTATACTGGGTCGAGGCCTTCAATGAGGCTGTTCAAAAGTGGATTCCTGTGGATCCCTTAATCACAAAGTCCGTGGCGAAGCCGTCCAAATTTGAGCCTCCAGCGAGCGATAGATATAACAGCATGTCCTACGTGGTGGCTTTTGAAGAAGACGCTTCTGCGCGGGATGTCACAAAGCGATATGCTAAGGCTTACAACGCAAAGTTGCGCAAAACGCGCGTAGAAAGTACAAAGGATGGTGAGCAATGGTGGGCCAACGTGATGCATTTTTTCGAGAAGCCCTTTCTGGAAGACCGAGACCAGTTGGAGACAAGCGAGTTCACGGCTAAATCGGCAGCTGAGCCAATGCCTAGAAACATACAAGACTTTAAGGGTCATCCTATATATGTGTTGGAAAGGCACCTTCGACGGAACGAAGTTATTCACCCAAAAAGAGTAATTGGCAAGGTCGAAGTGAAGAAAGGATCCTTGGAACCGGTCTATCGTCGAGCAGACGTACACTTGGTAAGAAGCGCCGACGGCTGGTATCGACTTGGACGAGATATCAAAGTAGGCGAGCAGCCCCTCAAACGTGCTGCATCTGTGAATCAAAGAGATGATGCCGAAAACCAACTGGAAGACCTGCACGGCTCGGAGATGCCATTGTACGCATTTCATCAGACTGAGCCATACAAGCCGCCACCAGTGGTCAATGGCAAGGTCCCAAAGAATGCCTATGGTAATCTCGACGTGTATGTCCCTAGTATGATTCCCCCCGGAGGGTTCCATCTCAAACACCCCGAAGCATCGAGAGCGGCTCGGATCCTTGGCATTGACTACGCTGCTGCTGTGACGGGATTTGAATTCAAAGGTCGTCATGGAACTGCAATTTTTAGCGGTGTAGTATCGGCTCTTGAGCACCGAGAAGCTCTAGAGGAGGTCATCAAATGCATCGAGGACGAGAGAATTCAAGATGAGCTTGACCGAAGAGTTGAGGAATCACTACGGCTTTGGAAGCATTTCCTGTTGAGACTACGAATTGCAGAGAAAGTGAACAGCTATGCATTTGAAGGCGAGGATCCCCAAGTTTCAGAGAACGAACATCTCAGCAATACAGCCTCAGATGACATGGACTTTGCAGAAGCGGGCGGGTTTTTACCTGAGAATGATGATAATGTCATCGAGCCCACTGGCAAATTTGGTGGTATTGGCGAAAATTTAGAAGCTAGCACAGGCGGCGGATCTTTAACAGGTGAAGAGCCGTTTGATAAGCCCATGTCTGTACCAGAACACCAATCCGCCGAGAATCCTGGCGACGCACAGCAAGACATGTCCACAATACGTAATATGCCACCTATTGGGAGATCGACGAGAAGGGTACCACACTATAAATTAATCGTTATGCCCAAAGCTGCAAGCTCTACAAAGGCAGCTGGTCCATCAGAAGACCAGTCCAAAGCAAGCGATGTTTTCCCACACGAAGAGAATATCTGTAGCAACAACCGCGATTTCCAATCTGCAGGATTTTCAAAAGCCGACCCCATTCAAGTTGATTCGTCGAGCGGTCATACGTCTACCTCTGCGAGCGTGGTAGCCACGTCACTAGGGCCTGCTGATGTTGCGTCTTCCCCTTCTGTAGACCCGAAGCAAAGTGACTCTGATCCTGACCTGGAAACACGATCTATGTTGTCTCATGATCCGGAGGACGAGGATGCGGAACCTGACTGGCTTATGTCAGATTAGAGTTTTTCGTGTATAAAAATCTAATTATAGCAGCAGCTACTGAAGAGCTGTTACTATTTAGAAAAGCTAAACTTTTAGTTTTTCTATCTACAAATTTCTTAAGCAATGACTGAAATCATATCTCGGGGAAGAATGAGAAATGCGTTTAAATAATTTTCTCCAGTCCTATGAATATCGTACCGGATTTTCTTTGCCAATTCTGGCCTTTCCTACGTGTGGAGTACATAGGGATTAAATCGTTTAGGCCTAGAGACAATCTGTTGATTCTGAATCTGCGCTTGTAAACTATATTATAGTTTGGCAACTCTAAGACGAATGTGCTTCTCCAAAATAGATACGCACACGCTCAGCTCAGCTCCGTCAGCTCCGACGCAAGGTCATCCAACAGAGTCGAGTCAATCGCATTGTAGCAGCAGTCCTCGGTGGCATAAAACGCAGCAATGCCATAGTCGACAACGGTGCTCACAACCGACGAGATGTCGCTGATATCGGTAAAGTCGTGGATCATCACAGCCGACTGGCCGCGGTACTCCTCTGGGATGTCGGAGACGGTGCTGGTGGACCAGTCATCAAAGCTAATCTCCTTGTTCAAGATCAGGTTGGCAGCGTCGTAGTAAGCAGCGACGGTGGTGATGGTGCCTGGGTTGAAGACAACATAGTCCAATGCAAGGCTGGTGGCGTAGTTAGCCGCCGAGGTCATGTACTCGGTGTACGACGAGTCATCCTCATACGGTGCCTCGTCGAAGAAGATGCCGTGAATGGTGATGTTGCTGCCGCCCGAGTAGTCGTTCCAGCCGGCGTATGTGCTGACGTTGGCTTCGAGGGTGCTGAGCGGCGCCTCGGTGTACAAGGTGTGCACGTATCCCAGCGTGACAACATTGTCATACGAGTTCAGCTGCGCGATTGCGTCGATGTAATCGCTCGCGGGATATTCTTTAACAGTCAGTCAGCGTCCTGTATTGACAGCAGGGTGAAAGAGATGCTTGCTCACCATCACCGCCAGGCCCGGAGTCGACGTTCACAATCACGCGGAATAGCATATCGGGGTTTTCCTCAATGGCATTGTAAACGGGGTCCCAAACACCAGTGAGAGGGTATACATAGAGAGGCAAAAGAACTTGTGTTGCCGCGCCCAGCGCGGCGAGAGAGAGGGTTGAGAGGAAGGATGTCTTCATGATGTCGCTGTTGTAGTCCTGTCAGTGCTTGGAGGATTTACATTACAGTCGTGTCAAGGGCCCTTTATTTATAATTTCTAACATTATAAATAAATAAGCATATTCGTGTCATCCGAACTGGTGGCGCTATTTGGATGTACCGAAATGAAACCAGGGGATCGGAAGGGTTTTAGGGCTTGTTGGCGTTCGTTCTATTGGGCCTGCGAGCACCGAAACCTAACAACGTAACAGCAACCTAACATGCTCCTATGCTTATAGCCTAGTCTAATGCAAAATAGACTCGTCAAAAGGCAACGTAACTACGTTGCAAAGAATCTAGCACTAACCCCCAAAGTCAAGCCACAAACCAACAGCAGGATTCAGCAATACAACTTTAAATGACGGCCTTGTGGGACGTAAAATCCAAAGTCAGACACATTGTCGGCGAGATAAAAATTGTGCGGCTGCCTGGTACAAACACTGCAGATAAAACACTAGCATGAAGCTAATAGTACCTCGCTCGCACGGAACCGTAAGAAATAGAATTAAACTGCAAGTCAAATAGCTGGGAGACAGACATGGGTATAAGCACTAAGTCGTAGCTAATTTTATAATACTCCATTCCGCTAAAGTTGTTGCATCTGTCAAAAAGCTCTCTGGGTATCTTCCTCAAGTCTGCTTCCAGCTCGCATAGTTGAGAGACGCCTGCTCGGATTGTCAGTCAAATATTCAGCTTTTCAAATAATTGAATGTACTTGGTAGCAAAGTCTTCGGGGCATGATTTGCACTGCAGAAACATAGTGTATCTCTGAACACGAACGACTTCTCTGGCTCCCCTGCCCCGACTGTGCGATGAAACTTCATTGTTATGGGTTTTTCCTCGGTGATGGAGTCACCATGTTGAATATCACGTTATAAACCATTCGTTAAAGTAGTAAGTCAAAGAAGGGCTGTTGCTTACTTTCTTGACACACCATTCCATTTGACTATCCACAACGCATTTCTCTCCAAGAGAACACCATCACTTGTCCTTCTCGGAGTGGATGCTCGGGTCAAATGTTTGCGTGCATTTTACACCGTACTGACATCGAGCTTTTCGGTTCCGGACTTGAGTTCCCTCCAGTCCACGATGGACAGCACCGCTATTTCAAGTTAATACCTGCCCCTTAACTACGATCTTTTCGAACCGGTCTGATCTTACCGAACAATAGCTGACCATCTGCAAGGAAAAAATTCCGTTAGTGGATGGGACGAATCGTCTGTAGCAGTTTACTCACGCATTAAGGGGCTGCATGATTTCAAGGCCTTTTGTAAAATTACTCGGGTCCACCCAGTCCACCGACCAGAATTATGGGCTTTAATATTTAGCTCTCTATAGAAGTACATGGTCATACAATGCCTCGCCTTGGGAGGAACGCCAGCAGAATTGTGTATACTTTTCAATATAGAGCATTCCGTTGTGAATATTCCTACCCGCGAGGTCTGGTATTCCAGGCACCGGGATGAATTCACCGGCGTCAAACATTTCTCATGAAGTACAAGTAGAGAAACGCCAATTTCCCATATTAGCCTGATCCCATCTTGGAAAAGTAACCCGCCGGATGAGTTCTGATATCTTTATCGTATGGCTACAAGGCACCAAGGCATCAACGATAAATATACCCCAAAATGGAAAGGCGCGGTTCGCGGAGCAGACGCGTCTGCACGAAGTTTGGAGCATCAACATCACACTGTCGGCTCATTTTGCACACAAAGGCCTCATGCATCTGTCTGGCTATTTATTGAAATGAGTTCGGAAAAGGCTCGTATAAATAAGCCTGGCAAGAAACATCACGATTCGACATATTTACCAATCACGCCTGTTGAAAGCGGAACCAAGCATGTCGCTGCAGACGCAAGACGAGTAGCAACGACGACAAAAGCGACCCGAAGAAACAGGCTCCTCTCGTCCGTCGTGAAGAACCAGAATGGACGGCGATACCCTAGTTCTCCTGACTGGGATAGTCAGATAACGTTAACACAACTTGTCCCAAAGACAGAGACACCAGATGACGCACGTGATTCGGTTGAATACAACGAAGATGCGAATAGATTGGAAAAGGGACGGAACCACGCCAATGTGATTGATCTCGTTGATGATCTTGATGAAGACGACGTACCCTGCAAATCTTCGGGTCGGCAGCCGCCTCGGGAACAATCTTTCCGCTCTCCCAACAGCATCCCAAATACGCTTTTCAAGCGGCGAAAATCATCATCTGGCACTGCTAGTAGCGTGCGGCAAACAGCCAAGGCGGGAAAAGGGAAAAATGAGAAGAATCCCAAATACAAAGGCAAAGATGGAAACAAGACTTTGACCCAGATGGATTTTGTTCGGCGATATATACCTCTTCCCGAGTCCGATGACGATGACCTAAAGTTGTACGATGAGACATTGCCAGCTACGGACAATGGTGACATCCATAAAGAGGAACAAAATAAAAATCCCGGTGATTTATTGACACCAAGGAAACGAAGGAAGTTGGACGACGACAGCAAGCTTGCGTCGCCTACGATCAAGAGCAAGTTGTCCCCGGACCAAAAGACAGAGGCACATCTAGTGTCACAATCCAATCATACACCGAAAACGCCGCAGAGGTCTCTCAAATTTGAGATACCTTCGTCACAAACTCCCGAATCTCCCTATCAAAAGTTCCTTCCTTCGCCTGACTTGCACAAGGTACGCCGTGCCTCGCTAGGCGTGCAGTCTTCGAAAATAGTGGATGAGAATTACGGGCTGGCTTCGCAGAGTCTTAATCAGGAAGAAGCCAAGACAACACAGCACGGGATGCTGCAATCCGCACCTTCAGATATCGGGCACGATGGGCATCTACCTTTTACCGCAAGCCCCTACACTCAATCTCGCCGATCTCCGAGCCACATTAAACCCTTGTTATTTCAATCAGATAGACAGAAGATGACTTCTCGGGCACCTGAACCACCTCCTGTGCCACTAGACAAAGAGGCTATTATATATGATACCGATGCCGGCACTGATTATGGCGATTTAGATGACGATAATCTGCCTCAATCTCCTGCCGAGATTAAGAGTCCATCAAGGCCCGACCGGTCGGATTGTCTTACTAGGCATGACACTCAGAATGGCTTCGACTCTGATGATCTTCCACCTATTCCCAATTCCGGGACCGACCTCGAAATCAATACAAACACCCTTTCCGACCCTGCGCTGGCTTCTGAATCTTCTGTATACTACCGCAGGCCCGCTCAATTTACCCAGTATCCAAACGAGCCTGTGCCTATGGTCAATACTCAGAAGATAGCGGAGCTGTTCCCAATAGAGGAAGAAGAAGCAGAAGTAGAGGAGCCCCGTGAGTCGTTAATCGGGACGTCAATGTTATCTTCTAATCAATTCTCTATCTCGCCAACAAATCACCAACCATTAGAGAGTGAAGTTCCAACCCAGGAAGAGTCTGCCGAGAAATTGGTTGACATGGTCCCTGAATCTTCCCCTGCCGCAAGGCTTGCCGAGGCTGCACCCGCGGCCAGCACGATGGCACCGCCATCACGAGAGTCAATTGTACTCGTGGAATCGTCACAGCTTGTGGACCGACTGAGCCGACAGGATGACAGCCTTCATGCGGGTGCGTCTTTGAGGAGATTGTTTTCCACGGGCGAGTTCCTCACGGACAGTGTTATGGAGAGCATCCCTCCTCCGCCCTGGGCGCTAAGCCAGGATAGCGTTGGAGACCCGTATCCAGAAGACGACGCCAATTAATTGAATGAGCATATTAATGCATGTAAATAATCACGAATAACGATGGCGCGGGCCTATTTACCAACCCGTTTTCTAGAATGATTCCAATTCGTGGTAGTGATATAAAGCTCTAAATACAAATGTCTGAAAACGGGCCGCAGTCAGCATGTCGGGGCCGTGCGGTAAGCCGTAGCCGTTCAGTTTCTTAGCTTGCGGCAGTACGGAGCAGTGCGGAGACCCGAATGCCACCTTGAGAGACAAACCAAACGAACCGCCGTGGACTTGCTTCCTGCATCGCCATTTGTGCACTGCAGTAACCCCGAGATCCTTATATTTCCTGTTTCCCCACCCACATCTCTCCTTTTATTCCAACATGGACTTTGCATACGATCATATCCAGGAGGAGATTCTAAGTTCGAACCGAGACGAGAAGCAAGAAGACGGCAGCAGCCCCTCGACCAACAGCAACAAGAACTTAGATCTTGGCGCCGAGTTCGAAGAGACCTTTCGCGCCTTCTCCAACAGCCCGTGGGGTGCAAGGATTGGCGGACTGTGGAGTAATGTGCGCAAGCAAGGAGAGAGTTATTACGAAGGCGCTCGACAGGAGTACGCCGCCGTGAGCGAGGAAGCCAGCAAAGGCTTCACCGATCTTCGCGACACCATCGTTGACCGCACCAAGGGGATATCGCTTGGTGGCGCTTTATCGGTCATTACCTCGACTAACGAGCATAACGAAGCTTCCGCATCCACAACGGCAGATGGTGAACCCAAAGATGACCAGAAGGGACCTAATGAGCAGACCGAGGAGAGCGAGGGGTTTATCTCACGATTCCGCGCCGAAGCGGCGAAGAGACTGAAGGAGATTGAAAAGGCGGAGGACGCGGCGGATGAGGCTCTGATTCGCTTCGGTACCAATGTTCGGAATTTTCTGCGAGATGCGGTTAGCATTGCTCCGCCGGAACAAGGGTCTGATAAGATACTCTTCGAGAGTAAGGATTCGGAGGGGAAACGTGTCTTCCATGCTACTCGTCTCGAAGCTCAATTGCACGCTATCCATACGAATCTAGAAGGCTTGAAGAAAGATCCGGACAGCGAGCAATGGACCACATTTAAGAAGGATTTTAATGTGGAGAGCAAAACCGACGATATCGCCAGGGATCTAGAGCAATATGCTGAATTACGCAGAGCGATGGAAAAGCTTGTTCCTGAAACAGTGGACTATAGCGGATTTTGGTCGCGGTATTATTTCCTTCGTTTGGCTGTCGAGACTGAAGAACAGAGGCGCAAGGAGCTCCTCAAAGGTACCCATTTCTTCTAAATAGCGTCCCTTTGATCTTCTTGCATCATTTTAGCTGATTTGGTTTTACTCTAGGTGCTCACAACGCAGCCGATGAGGAAGAAATTGGCTGGGATGAGGACTCTGATTCAGAATCCGAATCCCCGTCCACCCCCCAAGTGAAGACCAAGCAAAGCGTCGCATCCTCCCAGAACCTTACCGTCACAGGCGACTCCAGCAAATCCGACGAGCCTCGCAGATCAAATGATCAGAATTCACAACCAGACAGTGAATCGAGCTACGATGTTGTTAGCGGCGCTACAAGCCAGACTCCTGCCAGTCCTCGCGAGAAACCATCCGCAAAGGCGGATGATAGCGACGAGGAAGATTGGGAGTAGAGGTTTTCAATCTTAATCCTAAGTGTCTTGTTTCTTGTCTATGCTTTTTATTTTGTTTATGCTCCGAGCGGGAGTTTCTAGGAGTTCTGGTTTGATTGTTATCGTGCAGTTGCACAATTTGTTTGGCTGTGTTAATTGTCTCTGTTTATTAAGAATTCTTTACCTCCAACTTGGCGTTTCGCGTTTCGCGTTTCGCGTTTTCCTTTTTTTTTTTTTTTTTTTTTTTTCCCAGTGATTAATTATTATCTATCTCTTAGGAGGGTACAGACAGAGATCAGTTCCCAATAACCACATCGCAGAAACCATCATTGCGAGATCCATTCAGCCAGCCTGTGAGGCGAACCTTGCTTACATTTCTCCAGTTCCAGGGCTCGTTCCGAGGCCTTCATCTATATGCGCTGTAGTTGGCCGTCTAGATAATAGAGATCCCTTGGCCAAATTTGCCCTTCTTCCCGCTGTCGATACATTCGGTCCTGTCTTCTGCTTTGGAAGACTCGGTGAAGACGAGGGAGTTTGTTCCCGAGACTGTGTTTGGTACCGCTCATCTACAGTTCCACCGGGTGATGAGGGATCCACGTAATGATATCTCGCTGGTGTTCCTGTAGGCGTCCAATGCCCTTCATCGGTGTATTGGTGGGTTTGATAATCTTCACCTCGGCGCTTTAGTGGCGATTCATCGTACGGATCCCAGCCTACTTTCCGGCGGGCGTCGGCGCGGACTCGTTGCCGGTGTTGCTCGTCGCCCCCTGCGCCGGTGCTAGAGGATTCTTCCAGGAAGAAGTTGAGAAGTTCGTCTGTAATCGAAAGATGTGATTGTTGCTGGAATTGTTGAAGAGAAGTGAGACGAAGAAGCATCTCGAGTAAGGAGAGGGAAGTGCGGATATTATTGAAAAGAGGATTCGAGGCGGTAGGCGTGGACATGTCGTGAGACGATGAGAATGAAATTTGTTGAGATTGCAACGGAGAAGCATGATTATTGTCGTCAAGACTAAGATTTGCAAGGTGTGCTGCAGCATCATGAGTACTTGGGTTGCCCTCTTCGTCATCGGCACCCGTGTCTTCGTCTTCTGTCTCTTCTTCTTGATATACTTCAATTGCCACCCATTCTGGATCTAGCCCGGGAGGGAGACGCCAAGCGGTAGGTATTTGGTGTTCTGATAGATATTCATAATTGTGAGCTTCCCCTCTCTCATTCCCTTTGCCGTTCAACTGTGCATCCAGCTGGGATTGTAATTCATCATCTTCCTCCTCCTCTTCCTCTGTTTCACGATGCCCCTCATCGTACTCAGTTTCGTCTCTGTCGGTCATTCGACGAGGAGGAAAAGCATTAACATCCCTCTTTAGCAGGAGTATCGGATTATTGGTTTCGCCTTCGCTTCCGATGTTGAGCATTTTGCCTGTGTCGGCGTAGAATATTTTAGATATCTGATGAACAGGGATGATTTCTCGGATACCCGCAAGTTTGACACCTTCATAAGGTTCGGGCTGCGCCTCGCCTTCCTCAAAGCTGTGCACTCTGTTATCATCCAGGTCCTCTACTATCAAAATCTGATAAGCAAATTCATCCGCCCTCGCGGCAGCAGGGAGACAAGATCTGTTTATAGGGCTATCTGCCGGATGGAGAAAGACATCCATAGGAACCCGTCTCAGTTTCACTCGGGCCTTGTGCATCACTTCTTTCCATGTAGTGTCTCGGATGGTCTCCTCGTCAAAGTGTCTTATATGTCCACTAAAGAGCATATACATTGACAACGTAAAGGTAGGGCCAACCTGTACTGCTCTAGAAGGATTAATGGAAAATTGGGTATCACATGCTGTCAAGAAAGTGCTGGCTTGCAGCAGGCGAGAAGGCGAGACTGTCGACGGTAGAGTTGTGGATAGCCTTGCACCAGAAGTAGTAATTGCTAGGTTCATCAATGGCACTGCATCTTCGATACGTTGTAGCACCCTTCGAATATCAGAGATTATCAACTTAATCTCGAGTTCGTTCTGGGCTCGAGCTTTCGATGACAATGCCCCCTTGTGCGCCAATTCTTCTGCTGTTGCAGCCTTTTCTAATCGTCGTGCTAGTGACTGGATGTCGTGTCTTATGGATTTAGTCAGAGAGACTGCAGACTCCAATGATGTATTTCCTCTCGCAGCTATTAGCTCGATCATGTCGATCGCGGGCGATATCACCTAGGTTATGTCAATTGAAACTGCGTGATATGGCTAGGTCGGCAGGATATTAGCATACTGTGATCTTGCTCTGCAGTCGTTCTTGCAGGGTAAGTAGTTCAGCTCTGTCTGTTCCATTGACATTCTGGGTTTTATGTGTCTTTAGTATTTCGAAAACACCTCGGTCATGTTTAGGTGATCTTACTTTCAACAGCCTAGAGGATTGACTGATTGCGTATGTTGCAGTTATACTTATGCCAGAGCTACACATTATCAGACAAGGTCATACAAAAGTGGCAGTAGACTTCTACTCTTACCGGATGGCATAATTCATGGCCTGCTGAGTGACCTGTGTACGACGACTATCAGAAGAAATTCAACGATGTTTTGCAAGAACTTCCCACCTTGGCAAGAAACAGCTCCATTGTAAAGCGTTTTTATATGACCATGTGGAAAGGAGTCCAGTAAAGCCTTGCGATTTGAAAGGATAAAGAGTTTGTGCTGAGAGAGCCGTTGTAGGTACCTGATGAGCGACGAATTGGCAAAGTTCCCGCCTCCCGAGGGGAAGTCAGAGCACCAAATCAAAGGAGCCTCAGGCGGTCCGGTTCCCAGTTGGGCACATCAGCAACTTGTCTTGTCTCTTGTCCACTGAACTGATATCCAAGGAACTGGCGCCTGGATGGCAACTTCCAATACCCAACAATAACATCAATCCATTAGGCGCGCGGCACCGCCGCCAATCATCAGAGCGAGCCGCGGCCCCCCCTCACTGCTGAGTCAGCCGTCAGGTGCAAAATTGAGCAGCCCCTCCACTTTCTCTTTCTGACGGTCTTCTCATCGTCAATACCCTCACGAGGCGCTTTTTCCCCCCTCGTCTTCTCCGATATATTCTCTTTCGTGTGGTTGTCTGTTCGTTGCTTGCCGCCTCAAAACGCCATGGCCGACCAAACCCCTGACAACTGGGAGGAGGACCTCTCCAGACAGACCGATGGCATGAATCTGAACAACCGCAATGCTGGCTTTCAAGCCCAGGCGCCCACGTTCACCCCCGGAGCCGCATCGTTCACTCCCGGTGCGGCGTCGTTTGTTCCTGGTCAATCATACCAGCAGTACGGATATCCTCAATACCAGCAATATGGCCAAGGCCAAGGTTATTACCCGTCTTACGACCAGCAACAAGGCTATAATCAGTACGGTGGCTATGGACAACAACAGCAACCCGGAAACTATAATCAGATCTATAATAACCAGTATGGAGGCGGTGGCTACAACCAATATTCCCAACAGCAGCAGAGGCCTCCGCAGACGCTACCCCGTCAGGCCCCAAAGGCTCCAGCAGCCGAGCAGACCGCCGCCCCAGCTGCGTCAGCGCCCAAAGCAGCACCTCCGAAGGCCAAGGTCCTTTCCATCGGCGGTGATCTAGGTGGTAATGTTCCAAAAACCAAGGTGCTCTCTATCGGTACCCCGGCCACTGCCAAGCCTGCAAAAGAAGCATCTGCTACGCCTGGGGATAGCAAAGGCGCCGCCGCAGCGACAGCTGCTAACAAAGTGACCGCCTCCAAGGCGATCGAGAAAACAGAGAAAAAGGCAGAGGCCAAGGCTGTCAGCAGTGGCAAGGCCTCGCCGTCTCCATCCTCCGGTCGCAACAGCCCAGGAAGGAATAGCCCTTCCCGCGGTGAGAGCGCCAAAGCCATTCGCGATGCCGATGCGGTTACTCGTGAACAGAAAGCCGACGTTGACGAAGCCACGCTAAAGGAAATCTACGGTGAGAAGCGCGAACACGTCAACCTCGTTTTCATCGGTCACGTCGATGCCGGAAAGTCGACACTTGGAGGATCTATCTTGTATGCTACAGGCATGGTCGATGAACGTACGATGGAGAAATACAAGCGAGATGCCAAGGAAGCCGGTCGTGAGACATGGTATCTGTCATGGGCCTTGGATTTGACCAACGAAGAGCGTGCTAAGGGAAAGACTGTCGAAGTTGGGCGAGCTTTCTTCAAAACCACCTATGAAGGCCCCGATGGTACCGTAGAACGTCACTTTACCATCCTCGATGCCCCTGGCCACAAGTCCTTTGTTCCACACATGATCGGAGGAGCATCACAAGCAGATGTTGGTGTTCTTGTCATTTCTGCGCGTAAAGGAGAGTATGAGACTGGCTTTGAAAAGGGTGGTCAGACTCGAGAACACGCACTTTTAGCCAGAAACACTGGTGTGAAGAAGATTATTATTGCTGTCAATAAGATGGACGATCCTACTGTGGAGTGGAGCAAGGCTCGATTTGACGAATGTACTATCAAGGTGGGCAAGTTTATGGAAAACTTGGGCTACAAAAAGCAAGATCTACACTTCATGCCAATCTCGGCGCAACGCACCCTCGGTATCAAGGATCGTATTCCCAAAGATGTCTGCCCATGGTACGACGGCCCTTCGCTGCTCGAATTCCTGACGGATATGAAGATGCCCGAGCGCAAGATCAACGCTCCTTTCATGATGCCGATCAGCTCCAAGTACCGTGATATGGGAACCATGGTGGAAGGCCGTATTGAGTCTGGAGTGATGAAGAAGAGTAACAATTACCTCATGATGCCCAACCGGGAGGAAGTGGGGATTGCTGCTCTTTACGGTGAAACGGAAGATGAGATTCCTACTGCCACGTGCGGTGACCAAGTCCGACTTCGTTTGCGCGGTATAGAAGAAGAAGATATCCTTCCCGGATTTGTTCTCTGTTCACCAAAGCGACCCGTACACTGCGTTTCTGCATTTGAAGCCAAGATTCGAATTTTAGAGCTCAAGAGCATTCTTTCTGCTGGTTATAACTGTGTTTTGCATGTTCACTCTGCCATTGAAGAAGTCACGGTTGCTGCCTTGCTGCATAAGCTGGAGCCTGGTACAGGTCGTAAGAGTAAACGCCCACCCGCTTTTGCCAGCAGAGGCCAAACCATCATTGCACGGTTGGAAGTCACCGGCTCCGCTGGAGCGGTGTGCGTGGAAAAGTACGAAGATTATGATCAACTGGGTCGATTCACGCTGCGTGACCAAGTGAGTTCAATTGTTATCTGCCTGCTCATTTCAATGACATTCTAACCTTCGATCACTCTAGGGACAAACTATTGCAATTGGTATGATCACCAAATTGATCCTTGATGAAAATAACGCCTAGTTACGACGGAGTGTATCTATGAAGCAGCATTCGGATGGGCCAGGTGGATTTTTAGTGTGATATACGCCCGGTAAAATGGTATACCCGATGGGCGGGTTGAATTCTGTGATGATTATGACAAATTTTGTGCCTTGCCTTTAGATTTCTGCATTAGTCGAAACAAAAAAAAAGAATCAAATGCATTGCTTTTAACTCCTAGTCAGGCTGCATGAGATTGATTATACCAAGCATGGAAACGATAAGATAGACTTCATTCCTTCGTATATAAACATGTGCGAAATAAATCCAGAGTGGGAAAGTTTTAAACTATCGCTTCTTCTTCCCAACCACCTTGGTAAATCCATCCTCATCAACCTCCGGCTCAACCCTTTGCGTAGGAGGTCGAGTCACCAACGAAGGCGCATCTTGCATATCTTCGTCGTCGTCACTATCCTCCTCGTCGTCATCATCCGTTTCCTGATCCTCATCCTTGGTATCAACATGTTTGAATAAATTCTGCTCCGCCCCTTTCCTCTCTCGCTTCTCCTTATATTCAGCCCACAATCTGTCCACCTCTTGATAGTCACCCATCTCAATACGCGCCTTGACGTTCATGATCTGATCGGCAACCATCCCCGCCGAGCCATCGTCCACCGCGACGTCGAACTCATCACTAAGCACTTGCACTAGGATGTCTTCGATGTCATATGAGTCGGTTTCCGGGCGAGTCATGAAAATGTCGGAGATGGCGCCGCAGAGCCAGTCCCGCTTGTCTGCGGAGTTGGGTCCGCCCCAGGATGATTGCACGGCGAGGTTTAGCGCGGGCCATGAGTTGATGAGCAGGGTGATGGCGAGGTCGAGCTTTTGCTGCTGTTCTGAGGATGGTGTTGCTGCTGTTGATGTGGAAGCCATTGCTTTAGAAATGAAAGAGACTTGAGGTCGTGCACAAACAAATACGTCAAATTTCGGCGTTGGAAGTCAACCCGGGTTGTCACGACGAATGAGCCTCAATGGTGACGGCAGAGAAAATAGCTCATCTACAGGGACAGGATGTTGTCTGACCTATGAATTTCGTATCTCAGAAATGAATGCCCTTTATAAAATTCGTCTGGCTGTCTGTTTTGCACAGCAAGCGAAGCTACAAAAATTTTTATCTGTGCCGCGCCGCTTATCGTTATCTTATCGATTATAGTGGGGCATGCACTTTATTAACAGAGGCGGAGAGTAGAGAGAATTTTCGATCGCTGTTTTGACTACCAAGTGGTTTATTTAGGTAGGCTTCATGTTGTTCATTGAATTGAAAGATAAATACTCTAGAAGCGTGCTAAGCAAGTATAGTAAAACGCCATGAACTCCAAAGAACCTTGAAATCGCGCCACAATGCTGGAAAAGAAACAAACGAGATATATAGTGGTGAATATGCAGAGTACGCTCAAAGCTGCGCCATGTCGTTCATGATTTTAACTTCTTCGCCAGGCTTGAACGCAGGCAATCCAATGAATGGGCAAGTTGCGCAACGGAAGGCATCTCCCAGAGAACAGCTGTTGCATGAGCCGGTCTTCCCTTGCACAGTAAAGTCCACCTCGTCGTTCAGCTCGTCAGTATTCAGTTTCAGTACACTTAGGTCCTTGTTCGCTTGTTCACGGCGCGCCGCATCTTCTGCTTCTAGTTGAGCTGCGAGGCCACAGGTGCAATCCTTGCAGGCACGCCGCCGCTTCTTTGCGGTTTCTGGTTGGCATTCCGCGGCTGGAAAGAGATGGGTTAGTATACAATGTCAAACTTCAGACTCAAAGAATCGAATAACGTACGAAGCTGGACTGGTCTGCTCAGATCGTCCTCGGACAATAAGCCGTCTTCGTCAATCAGCTCATCGTCGTCTTTGTAGTCGACAAACCCAACATTTTGTGGCTTAACCGGCTCCGGCGCGGCCTTATTCTTCTTCTTATTGGCGCCAAAGCGAAGTGGAACGACAACCTCTTGGTATTCTGGTTTCTCAAAAGCGCCATCTTTCTCGACCAAACCTGCTAATATCGCTTCCCGGCCGTCGTTTCCTCCAAAGGGACCATCCTGGAGCTCCAACTTTGCTCCATGCTTCATAGATGGCATCAGTATGTTGTATACACCACGGTTTAGCAGTTCGAGGGCCTCGTTGCGTCGCGCACCGTTGGCGTCTGTGAGGACGAGCACGAGGTCGTATGTGGAGGGCGGCAATGCAACAAACCCGGCAGAAAGGCGATCGAGCATCTGCAAGTCGGTGACCGAACGGTCAAATGTAGCAAAGACATCTCGTAGTTTGTCTTCGTGTGCAGCGATAGAGGGGGGCGCTAGGAGGAGGCTGCGCTTTTGATTCACATTTTGCGCGGGGGAAAAGTCGGAAAAGTCAAGATCGGGAGTGGTGTCCACGAGGACTGGGAGGGACGGCATATTTTCTGGTCTTTGGTTCTCGGGATGTTCCCTGCTCCTTTGTCGCTTTCCCAGAATATAACGAGAGCTTGCTGAAAAGGAATGAAGGAGAAAAGCTGATTATTAAACGCCAGCCGAAGTCGGTGGGGGAAATAGTTAGCGCTGCCCGCCTGCTGCCTGAATTTTCCGGCCGCATTTGCCACTTTTTAGCCTTATTAGGCTAAGTGTCTGCCGATTATCTTATCGGAGATGCTTCTGCCCCACATGATTCGTCGAGTCAAAAAGCCCTAGTTACTAATTCTGTTGCCGGAGGTAACCAAGTATTTCCTCGGAGTGTCGAGAATATGAATGAAGGAACTATTAAGATATTTCGGTTTGTCCTTGATGTCAAGGGGTGGGAACAATATGCCTACCCACGTCGAGAAGGTCGGTGGTGCTAGGGCATGTGTCAGATGCAGCAACCGACACTCCACATGTGCATAGACCTGATATAAAACATTCTACCATAACAACAGTGCCATGGCATGTCATCCAATTCACCCGGCATTCACAGGTGGACGCGATGCATTTCCGGTGCCTTCAGAGAGTTAGGGCTACGGGGAGCACGGGAACACGTCACAATGATTGTGGCTGAACTCTGCAAAGGGAGCCCTTTACTCGCAAGAAACGCATACAGACCGATTGTTGACCTATAAATACCCGTCTTCAAGAAGCAATATAATCTATACGACCGACAACATGCAATCTCCAGTTTCAGCTAACGTCAATGTTGCAAATCTCGTGATGCCTGACATGTGCATTGCAGATTTCTCGCTGAATCCGGTCTGTTCCGCAATCCAATATCAGAGATATTTTAGCTAACATGTTGATTCAGATTGGAGATAGCTCCCCTTCTTATTCTCAGCAGATTGCGGCAATACAGCGACTGTGTCAGCGGTCGGGAGTCAAGTTCTCCATGCATACTACCGGTACTACACTTGGTATGTCTTCCAACTAGTAAGAGTAAACATACGACAGGTTTCTGATGGCCCTTGCACTGTTATGTCGCTGGTCAACAGAGGGGCCGTGGGAGAAAGTCCAGCAGGTCATCGGCTGGGCTCATTGTCTGGTCCATCAGCAAGGCACTCCGAGAATACAGACCGATATCCGCATGTCAACGAGGTGCGTTATGTTTGAAAACTATGTAGAAGCAGCTACTGATGTTTGTTGAAATTTCTAGGACCGACAAGCAGCAGCCAATGGAGGCCGAGGTTGCATCTGTCGAGAAGATCTTAGCGGCGTGAGTGATGACTCGATCAATTTAGGTTTCTAGATATATCTGTGGATTGGAATATTGTATAAGCATGGAACATTTGGTACAAGGGATTTGTATACCTAGATATTCAATTGGGAGATGTTATAAAGCAACATAAGCAATGTCATTCTATCTTAGAAGCTATTCCCGAATCTTGCGTCGCGCAGGAATAGACTAGTGAACGAATAACAATGTCTCTGGAGACTCATTAACACTCTTTATCTTCAAATGACGAAAACTTGACGTCCTAATTCTGCTAGAGATGTGGCGTGCTTCATGCGGTAGGTTCAGGGAGAAAGATTTGACTTTTACGCAATCAATACTCTATATAGTGCTCGCCGTATGTTGTATGCTCCCTAATAGGGACCAACTTTGTCTGGAATCCATGATCGCCGCTGATACCCTCCATTTCACTCATTAGTTTCTCGGGTTTCTCGTCTTAATAGGAACTTGCCCGCCTGGCAAGCACAGGTGCGTGCTTCACCATGGAAATTCATAATCCACGCAATCATCAAAACGTCGTGGGGCACATTTTCTTCCACAAACACTTCGATGCGTGACTCATTTCTAGGAAGACTCCTATAAGACTGTACCAGCTCCTTGTGCTCCTCGCATAATACCTCTCTGCCACCCGTGACAACCAACACCGGGGAAGGCAGCAAGAAAGGATGCTTTATCGGTGCGACGTATTGTTCGATAAACTCGGTGATCTCCAAATCATCCAAAAACTTCTGTGCGCCCCAGGCTGGAAATGAGCCAGGAATATATTCCGATTTGAAACGGGGGCTGCTCGTCCAGCAATTAGGGTCTCTAGCAGCCGGGACATCGCACCAAGGTGAAAAGGCCCAGGTACACTTGGGAGGAGGAAGAAGAGCTTTGTTTATACTAACGTGATCATCTTCTTTCCTGCCATGGAACTCTTTCAAGTAGGCAATATGCCGAAGCAGTGCCAAAGCTAGATGGGCCCCCGAACTGTCGCCGCTAAGCACAATCCGCGAGGCCGGAATACGAAGCGTGTGTACTAAATATGAGTATGCAGTGATAGCATCTTGCAACTGCGCCGGGAATCGTCCGTTCTTGTTGCAGGCAAGGCGGTACTGGACGGATAGTATATAGCAACACGGTGTATTCTGGAGAAGGGTTGTGGTGAGATAGCGGCATGTCAGTGTCCGGCCGTTTCCCAGTACATATGATCCACCATGCAGGTACAGCATGACGTATTCGCAGTCGGCTCGATCGTAATCGCGTACATGGTAAGTATCAGGGTACCAAGTAGCTCCTATCGTCTCAGGTTTGATCTTGTCATCATGGGCGGCCCCGGCGTAGAGCAACGGGTTGCCCGGTTCAATAAGCACAAAGCGCCTTTTTTCGTGCCCTGGCTTTAGGGATAGTGAGGGATTAATGCGCAAGCCAGTGTAGATTTCCAGGCCTGATTTGAGCACAGCATTGGCCAGTGCTTGTCGGTACGTCCATTGGGCATCTTGGCGGTGTTTGGGGCTTAGATAGGCAAGCGCCTGGTACGGCAAACGTAGGATCGACGGTGACATGAGAAGCGATTAAAACCAGTGTGGTATTCAGACTTGACAAGACTGACGAGAGCCAAGCCCTCATTCTATATAGTGTACAGCTGCATTTTGTCTACAGGTCACTGAAGACGTCATACATCGGGATCAAGGCTTTTAGCGTGCAAGGGGGTTTTGCCACTGGATTGGACTCCTATTCGCAACTATTAGACATCAGGCTTGTCGTGTCGAAAAGATACACGTTTTACATCGCCAAGACGTCATTGATGCATATCATCTTAGTTGGTGGAGTTGCCTATATGTAAATTCAGGTGAGATTTTAAGCCCTAGTTCCACTGATACCCACATTGCGGATGAATCAGGTAGGTTCTAGCCCTAATCCCTGCTCTCTAGGTCCAAACCCTGTGTTGCCAATCTAGTCGCAAAAAACACATGAGAGAAAATATTTTGATTCTGTATAGATACAAAACTACACTGCACAGCAGTGAGTGGGCTTAGAAGAGTAATTGGCGGGCACTGGGTGCCTCTTCTACCTAGGTGCTACTTACATAGGTAGTAAGATGGGATTCAAGGACAGCCACTGTCAGGATAATTGCAGCTGCTAGTCTTGCCACCGCCGGTGATCGAGACCCCGCTAAAGGTAAAATCAGAGCAGCTGCCATCACCGCAAAGAATGTAGTAGTCTTTGCCGTCGTCAGTTACCGTTCCGGTGATGTCGATGAAAGAGAATCCAGTGAAGGGAACGCCGGTGGTAGGTTTGCCCGTTGCACCGCCATTGAGATAGTCTTGCTGTACGTCGATGCCGTAGTCGGTGATGTCGGAAATAGTGATGTTTTGGTAGATGACATTGCTGACCTGTTATTTCATATCATCGGTTAGATTTCGTTGGCCATATCTTCATTGAGAGGACTTGATAGTGAGTGACAAAATTGTCAACTTACACTTCCAGTGGTCTCCGCGTTGGACTTGACTCGACATCCATTTTCACTGTTGACAATTTGAGAGTTCTCGAATGTAACTCCATCTACGGTATTGTCGCTCTTTCCACCAACTGATCCAATACTTAGACCATGGCCACCGGAGCAGTACATGTTGCTAACCACAATTTGGCTGCCACTAGTGACGGCAACACAGTCATCTTGGTTGTATACCGAGGTGTCCTGCAGAGTGACGTGTTCGCTCTTTGAAATGTCGAATCCATCGGTATTGTGTGCCGCTGCCTTTTTGCCGCTACGATCGTTGGGTTCGTCACCAGCAGTGTTGTTCAAGAGAAGACCAGCAATAGTGACATGCTCGACATTCTCGATCTCGAAGCAGTGAACAGGCCAGTTCTGGATGTTAAGATTCGTGATCTCGGAGTAGTAGAAGTCCTTGACAACGATGAAATGGTTTGGTCTGAAGGTGGGATGGATATTTAGCAATAACTCAAGAGCCAATGTTGATCAAGGGAAACAAACGGTCTGCTTACTTGGCTTGACCCCCATTGGAACCCTTGCCATCCCAATAGGCCTGTCCGTTACCATCAATCACATGTCCTTCGGCACCGGTGATGGTCACATTGGTGCCAGAAATAACAATGGTGTCGAAGTCCTTGTCGTACGTGTCGCCAAAGGTCTATTGTATCGGGGTCTTAGCTCACTGGTTGTGTAGAACAGATGGTAGAAGCGTGGAATGGCAACTTACTGTTGTACCGGCGAAAGTAACAGTAGCACCAGTCTGGAGACTTTGCAGGTTAATTGTACTCGATGGTGGCGCAGATATGTTGGACAAGACAATATTGGTGCAGGACTTCACTGCAGACGAGATTGAAGCATACTCAGTGACTACACATGCGGATTCTGTCGCCACGGTAGGGGCTGTCGTAACTGGGGCCGCGGAAACTGTTGAGACGGAGGTTGAAGACGAGAAACTAGTTGTAGTAGGGCTTGCAGTCGATGTTGGAACGGTAGCCGAGACCGTGCTGCGAGAAGCAGGGCGTGTGGTGGTGAGCAGAGTACTTTGAGCACTCGAGCTCACTACGGTGAGAGACTCAGTGGGACTCGTGGCTGTAGGGATTGAACTAGTTGCAGTCTGTACAAGACCTTCAGTCAGCAGGCAGTAATTAAGAAAATCTACGTGGGACTGATTGGCTGACCGCATCGGCAGAAGTCGTAGTCCAGGCTGTTCCAAGGCAACTGCAGGCACTGGACAGTTTCTTTGGTTCAAACGAGCACGCAGAAGCCCACTCCGGTAAGCCAGTGGTTGCTGTAACCGTTTCTGTGGTAAAAGTGGCACAGAACTCATTTACGGCAGATCTGGAGGCAGTGTAAACAGCTGCACAGGCATGTTCGGCAGGATTGTCGCACCCCAGAGCCAGGGGGAGAAAAAAGGAAAGGAAGAGCGCACTGCGCATGTTGAATGATTGGTATATGTAAACGAAGGGAACGTATAGAATACAAAGTACTAGACAAAGAGTGTAAAAGAAGGACAGAGAGGAAGCAACTGTTGTTTTGAGCCTCAAAGGTAAAATCGGTCATTCTGGGTCAAGCACTGCTACTTTATATCTTGAAAAACCAGGCGAACCATCAACCCGAAACAGATCGAACAAAACAAGACCGAAACCCTATACAGAGTAAGTGGTCCGATGGAGCCCTTTGCTGCTCGATTGGACACAGATTGATAAAGATTGATTCCGAGCCCACCGGAACCAAGGACCATTGCAAGGTATTAATTACCTTAGTATATATTAATTAATCGAAGATTCGAACTCCTGAGAAAACTCTAAACACTAACGAAATCGTCGCCGTGTTCGTAAGAAGCTTATCGACCTGTCTCGACGTTAATTTATTTAGCTGGGCACGCACATGGTTGTTTCATATAAAAAGCCGCGCCGGAAGAAGCTAATCGCGCCCATGCTTTTACATATGTCATGAAATCCATATTTCTCGGATCAATCTATTCAGGCTTCTTTACGGATTTACGGCCGGAGAAGAGATTAAGGAGGAGAAGTTAGAACTGGGTCGATATTCCGTACATTAAATTCATACTTCGAGACTTACTCCGTAGTGATACGTAGTGTCTCATACTAGGAACCCGCATTCGGTGAAGTTATCCAAACGTCACCGATGAAATACCTATGCCATGGTAACGACTGGTTATTTGATTAATTCACTTTGCTGACGCAGAAATCTCTCAATTTTGGAATGTTGTCTACTACTACAGTAATAAGCACAGCTTTCAGTTGTGTCTATGTTATTATAGTCGTCTAGGCATTAAATCAGCTACCCAAACACCAGCGGTTTCAGATCAACATCGGCCAGCCACTGTTGAGAGTAATAATGATCAACCTCGTATATCCACGCACTAACTACGTATATACGGGGTGGCTTCCCTGACGGATCTAGGTCTCAGCATCTAATACCTACGCAGTTACGTGTATGGGCCTAATCCTGCCAGCGATGGAGCGTGACAAGATCCATGTAAAGCATACCGACCGAGTGACTCATTTATTCTGGGTTACTGTAGGTCGTATCGTATGTTAGGTATTCTTCATTTAAATACTTTCCACTGTGCCAGAGAATGAGGGAGAAGAGAATCATTTCCACGGGGTCGGGTCACTTTGCTTACTTGTCGGTGGATATGCATATATTTGTTATTGTTCCACATGACTGTAACTATAATTCATAAAGTACCTAGGCAATCATTGAGCGCAACCTAAGTACAATATTAGTGCCGGATTTTTCATGTAGATAGTGTAGTCCCAACGTCAAGCAGGCTTCCACTCATAATGATGAGGTCCCTTCTGGACAACTCCAGGGTCTTCGCCAGGCTTGCCTGCCTTGTTGTATGCATGGGCGCCAAAATAGTCCATCTCAGCTTCCATAAACTGTGTGGGTAGCATCGTGCTGCTTTCATACTTCACGTATTCCAGCGATGCCGACAACGAAGGTATATATGCATCGGACTCGGTGCTTCTGAGTACAATCTCTTTCAGAGAGTCATAATTATTATGCAAGTCTCTTGACACCTCGTCGATAAGCTTCATGTTCATTATCTGAACGTCTTGGGCCAAAATAGGCTGCAGCATATCAGCAATAGCCTCGGACTGTATAATGCACCCTGCACGCCAGATCTGAATGCACTTTCCAAGGTCCACGCCCCATCCCTCATCTGCGGATGCTCGAGCAATAAGTTCCAAGCCCTGGCAGTAAGAAGAGAGAAATGATGCATAAACAGCGCGACGCAGGGTCTCGAGAAAGGCTTTCTTATCCTTGACTTGAAGGGTTTTAGGCTCGGGAATATCGAGTTTCTTAGAAATCCGAACTCGCTGGCTTCTGTTCCCACTGGCAATTCGGAGATAATGTGCGGTCGCTAGCGTTGGACCCGAAACGTGTCGGAGTGCCGTTTCCATTATTGACCATAATGGGGTTCCCTCGGTGTTATCGTCGTCTTGGACCACTTTGTCAAGAACATCATCAAGAACGTATCCACCAGCAGGATCGACGCCTTCTCCTTTACCATCACCTTGAGCCGTCTTTTTCCTGTGGCAGATATCGGCGCCAATTTCGAGTAGGAAATTGTTCCTCAATTCCCCATGCTTCGACCAATTGGTGAACACATCCCCAATCTCATCATAGCTCATACCAAGGCCTTTGTGCATGATTGCCCAAGCCTCGCAGGTTGTTGATAAGAGACCGCCTTCAATACCATTGTGACACATCTTCACATAGTGGCCAGATCCTCCCGGCCCAATATAAGTCACACATGGTTTGCCTGTCTTCTTGTCTTTAGCTGAGTACAGCTCTAGCAACGGCAAGACTTCTTGAACAATCTGCTTATCGCCACCCGGTGACAGACTTGGTCCCCTGCGAGCAGACTGATATCCACCAGAAACACCCATTCCAATCCAACTGACCCCGAGAGGCTTAAGCTCCTGCTGACGCCGCTCTGTTCGACGATAATACTCATTCCCGCCGTCGAAGATCACGTCGCCTTTCCTAAGGTTCTTCTTGATCATACCAAGAACGAAATCTGCCGGCTCTCCATGCGTGATTGAAAACATGAATAGCTTTCGCTCCCCTCGATCCTGGAGACTTTTCACAAACTCGTCGATGTTCTTGTAGCCCGTGATCTTGCCCTTAAACTGTTGCTCTGACTTACTCGCAAGCCCTGTGATTTTGTCCACATTTTGCTCGGCTACGTCCCAAATCGACACGTCAAGCCCTAGTTCTGCAAACGCGAAGGCCATCATCGAGCCCATGCTGCCGGCACCGACGACGCCAATGGCTTTCCATTGCTGAATTGGGTCCGTCATATTATCCGCTGGATTTGTGATATAGATTTAACAGAGTTCTTGTTTCGTTAAAAGTTTGCCAGGATGTATTTGGGCTGTCGGGGACGTTGAAAACGGGCTTCCAATCCGGCGTTTGCCTCCGCGACATAAACACTACGTCATTCACTAGTTTGGTCTGAAAATGCATTAATTTAATACAAAATCAAATAGTTGTATGCAAAATTGCTATCAAAAAACTTTTAAGCAAACATAAAATGATTATTCAAAAATTACAGAGCTGATGTTGGAATTACGACATACAAGTCCGCCAGGCCAAGGTAGAACCAGACTGATGTGTTTCAGTACCTGCATACCTACATTGCTATGAAGTCATTCAGCTGTTTTGAAGGTAGTTAGCAACTAGTTTCAGGGTTTAAGTCCTAGAATTTCCCAAGTGTGTATATCTAGACATACACACCGTCGCGATATTCTACGCAAGGTTAACGACCGCGGACAGAATCCATATAAAATTACTAATATGACTACATCATCATCACCAATAACCTTAAACTCTCTGCGCAAGATCCCTCTTTCCTATGCAAGCTGCTCCATCGGCAAAACTTCCGACTCTCTCCAGCAACGGCTCGAAGCAATTACAAATGCAGGATTCACTGCAATCGAGTTATCATTTCCGGACATTAAACAGTACGCCGAGCAGCTGTTAGACAAGAAGGTCGGTCCCGATGACTTTGACGAGCTGTGCCAGGCGGCAAGGGAGATTCGAAAGTTGTGCCAGCAACTGAATCTTGAAATCATGATATTGCAGCCATTTTCGAACTTCGAGGGATGGCCAAAGGGCTCATCGGATAGAGAAAAAGCTTTCTCCAAGGCCAAAGGTTGGATTCAATTGATGAATGCTTGTGGGACGGATTTGTTGCAGGTATGTTCTGTATCATCTCTCGTGAGCATAGCAAATAGCTAATACACATATCAGGTCGGCTCAACCGACAGCAGCTCAGAAGAGAAAATAACAACCAACCGCGATGAGATTGTGATTGATCTCCGTGAACTAGCAGACATGCTAGCTGAAGAAAATTACCGCATGGCGTACGAAAATTGGTGCTGGTCCACACACGCTCCAACATGGAAAGATGTCTGGGAGATCGTCAAGCAAGTTGACAGACCAAACGTCGGATTATGCCTGGACACATTTCAAACAGCCGGGGGCGAATGGGGTGATCCCACAACAGCCTCGGGCCTGATTGAACACGTATCCAAGTCTGAACTCGACAGACGATGGAAAGCCAGCATGGAAGATCTAACAGCCTCAATTCCCGCTGAGAAGATTTACTTGTTGCAAATTTCAGACGCTTACAAACCGAAGACCCCGATTGAGAAGAAGATTAAGAACGAATTGCTGCCCCGAGGCCAATGGAGTCATGACTTTCGCCCAATGCCGTATGACGGTGGCTATCTTCCGATAGAAGACGTAGCCAAAGCAGTGCTCAAGACGGGGTTTAGAGGATATTTTTCCATGGAGATCTTTGATAGTGGTCCGGACGGCACGGGGAAAACGTATAACTTGGGCCATTTTGCAAAATCTGCTATGGAGAATATGCAGAGATTGTTGAAGAATGTCTCGGATAAAAGTACCTAATTGAGATACATAATAGGTGAGTATTGATGGAGTGATAGAGCTTAATCTACTTTTTTTAACCCAATAAAATTCCCAAGTTTGTGCACCATTGTAATACATTTTAAGTTCATAAGTCTCGCAGAATACTTCCTTTCAAAGCATAATCAACACAACATCGATCCAGGAACCATATCCATGTGATTATCAAACATCTGCAATTCTGCACCGAACTTCAATAGCTTCATCGATTTTGGGTCTATGCGACAGCCTTGACGTCACTATAGCTTTCTGCAGGCCGAGCCGTCTGAACCCTAAAGCAACATCAAGTGTAACAGCTATATTTCTAATATATTCGAGAATATTTGACTGGTAGATTTTCTTTCTAAGTTCTCTATCAAGAGGCTATAACAAGACAGTTTGGGTATATAACTAATTTGTAGCTACATACGTGATTGGAATCAATCCGAGGCTTACAGAATGATGGAAGTTGTAGTAATAAATGCTAGGAAAAACGAGCGTCTTGGTTAGGAAAGAGTGGGATTCATGAACACTATCTAGTCTCTATAATATCAATTGGCTTTTCATACATGGATGCAATTCGTATCGAAGCATGGCGGACATGAAAGATTCTAGGTCATCAAGACGTACAAAGGAGTTTTATTGACTGGTTATCAAATCAGCAATCTTTTCAGCAAATGCATACACAGTAGACTGCGGATGGCCTGGCGGCAAAAACGGAAAGCTACTGGCATCGACAACCCGAAGACTCTGGACTCCGTACACCCGGGCCTGGCTATCCACAACAGCCGTGGTGTCATTTTTCCGGCCCATCTTGCAGGTTGCCGAGGCATGGTAGACAGTGGTCATACTTTCGGCGATGATCTGCTTGATCTGGGCGTCTGTCGAGTAATTGAAGCCTGGAAAAGCTTCATTCGGATCGGCAACACCGAGATCGGCCAAAATTGCCCATAGCTCGCGCTGGCGTTTGAATGCCTCAATAGCTAACTCTGAATCGGCCGGGTCTGCCAGCCAGTTAGGATTGATGAGCGGTGGGATATTCATAGAATCACTCTGCAGTTTCACTGTCCCACGGGAAAGAGGTGCCACAAGCGCTGTACTGAGAGTTGCATAGTTGTGACCATCATGTGGATCGCCTGTCTGTTTGTCTAGGTTGTATCCGTTGTATGCGGAAACTGGCAGCCATTCAAGCTCCGGCCAGTCAGGGGGAAACCTGGTATCGAGCGCTCGTCGGGACTGACTGCTCAGTTGAGACCGGAACGGCTCTGGAAGCTTCTCCCAACCGTAGACACCCGGACCAAAAATGGAAAGAGGGCCCGTTGCGTTGTAGACGTAGGATGAAATACTCTCAGCAGCCAGCGTGTGGTTGTTTACAGATGCTGATGCCGTGTTAACGTTAACACGGTGACCAATGCCAAATATCGGGTGGTCTTGCATGTTCTCGCCCACACCTGTGAGGTTGCTGATACATGAGATGCCAAATCCGGCCAACTCATCACAAGGGCCGATGCCAGACACCATGAGCAGCTGGGGTGATTGGAAAGCGCCGGCCGAGAGGATAACCTCCTTTCGTGCGGTCAATGTGAAGTTTATTGCCGGTGTACCAAAAAACCCAGCAGTCGACACATGAAGCCCAGTCGCGGTATTGTTGCTGTCGAACAAAATCTTTTGAGCAAGAGTGTTCTTGTATACGGTCAATGGGAAACCGGCATGCAGGGCGTAGCTGAGAAAGCTAGATTCGGATGACTCTCGCCAGGCGTTGCTGGGATCGATAGTCAAGGTCGCATAAGCAGAACCCAGCAGCTTACCACTGTCAAGACCATCGATCTCTGACATATTGGCCTTGATAAGTGCCTGCTGTGCCCATGTTCCGAATGGGTCTACGTAATTGCTGAACGATACTTTCAAGGGCCCACCTGCTGGGCTAAACACGCTTGGATCCTGCTTGTTTGAAGAATTCGTGTACATAGCCGGGCTCGGAGGAGTATAGTTGACAGACTTTTCGTAGTAAGGTAAAAGAGCATCCCAGGTATAGCTCTGATCGCCAACATCGTCAGCCCATTGCTGCAAGCTATCCACAGTAGGTCTCTGGTACAACATGTAATTACGAGCAGAAGAGCCTCCCAGTGTCTTCCCGCGAGCATAGTGCAGTGTACGGTTAGCTGACCCGATTTGCGGGGTAGTCGCAAAGCCCCAGTCCACGAGGGGATTATAGTTGTCCACATCGGAGCCTGTAAAATAGGTGGCATAGCCAGGGACAATGGAGAGATTCCCGTTGTCGATCTCATAGAAGCCCCCCGCTTCAACGATAGCCACGCTGGCACCACCTTCTGCCAGTCGCGTACCAATGGTCAGTCCGGCGTTCCCACCGCCGGCGATCACATAGTCGAAGGTGGCATTGGCTACTGGAGGGCCAAAATGAGTGCCTAGGAGCGGGCCACGCTGACCGTAATCAAATATTTCGAGTTGGAGTGCTGGCGAAATAGCCGCGAAGGCTGGCCCTGTCAGCAGCCCCAGCGTTGCAAAGCGCAAGGCGTGCGGTCCCATCACAGCACTTGTGCATGCACCGAAAAGCCAAGAGACGCAGGAGAGGCAGCCGTTGGTTTAACTTTGTTCACCGAGTACGAGCCAGCCAGATCGTTGGTGTACCAGAAATTGAGCAAGACAACTGAGAGGAAGAAACCTTGAGGAGAAAAAAGCAAAAAAAAAAACAGATCCTAGAGGCAACGGGGCGATTATACGTACCTGCATAGCCGACTCCCCAGCCACTGAATTTTGTTTCGGGTGAGTCAGCTCTCTCCGCAAGTCAAAACGTGGCCTCACAGCAGCATAGTTACCCCTTCGCGCACGCTGTGAGGAGCATCGGCGCCGTCCAGCGTAGTACGCAGGCTAGAAGCAAGCGTAATTGGATTGCGGCACGACAAAGCTGGAGAGACGGGCGCTAACGGCGCTAGTCCCGACGCAAGGTCCGCGCTAAGCGGCTAGCGTAGCTGCTGTGCTCCAATGCAGTGTTATAGCGCGGAAATTACCAATCAAAAGCTGAAGGATTTGTCTGGTTCTCCCTGGACCCACCATAAAAATGGGGCAATACCGCCAATGTAGCCAATCAGGAGCCATATTCCGCTGCTGTTTTACTAAATTCTCACGCTCAATTACGCAAATGAAGATCCAATACGAGACCCTTCTCCACCCTGGTAGTACCCTGAAAGCCTCCAGAGTCATCATCGTAAGAAGACATTGTTGCAACGAAAATTTCTTTGCTATCAGATCAAGTCCTTCCGTTCTTCTCTTAGCTCCTCTCTTGTCTTCCTTCAATTTTCCTCCTTGTGGCAGACACGCTACGCAGAAAATGTGATTGCGTTTGCTCATTCGGTGTCTTGACTGATCTGATATGGCCCCGGATCAAGGATGGAAGATATATGTGGGAACCTTGACTACAATCGTGCCAGCAACTGCGGCTGTGTGTGCGAGGTTCCTGGCAAGATGGATAGCGGGCATACCATATTGGTGGGATGACTGGATGGTGGTGATAGCCCTGGTTTGTTTCCCTTTGCGTGTCTCTAATGCGTCGAGGTCATGTCTCTATTTGCTCATATTTTGCAACAGATTGACTGCTGGGCCATGGCCGGTCTGCGGCTGGCAGAAGTGATTTACTTGGGCCAAGGACAGCATTCCGCCGATTTGCCCTCGGAGACCGTCGTCAAATTCCTCAAGGTGTGTGGTGGAATTGGAGCAGGCCAATTTGATTGATTCGCTTCTAACCAATGCCAATGACCAGAGTTTCATTGCTGTTCAAATGCTCTATTTTATCGATGTCGTATCCACGAAAGCCGCCTTTCTATTTCTCTACTATCGAATCTTTGGCGTGAATCTGTGGTTCCGACGCATCCTCTATTTCATTGCTGCCCTACTCGTCGCCTTTTTCATCGCTTGCCCAACTGTTGCTGTGGCTGGATGTCATCCGGTTTCCTACTTTTGGAACAGAAATCAGGCCGGGTCGTGTATCAATGAGACCAATTTCTTCCGCTGGAATGGGATTGCAAATGTCATTCTTGACTTTATCATTTTCTGTCTGCCGATACCTATGACCTTTCGCTTGAATGCAACCCTACGGCAGAAACTGATCATTTGTTCTATGTTCGCCCTTGGGTTTTTGTAAGTTCATCATCTATTTATCATTTTGGGCAACACGCTGGAAAAGCTTGTATCACCCACTCGACGAATAACGGGTACTAACAAGCGGAAAGTGTCTGCGTGGTATCTATCATTCGTATCATCGTTTTCGGAGACCAGAGAAAAGATGACATGACCTGGTCCACCACCGATTCCGCTACGTGGTCTTCTATCGAGCAGGCTCTCTCCATAATTTGCATCTGTCTGCCAACTCTGCGTCCCTTATTCCGATCTCTATGGGGCTCTACCCTCGATAATGAATCTAATCAGCGAAACAAATACCAATCCGACTCTCGTTCCAAAACACCGAGCAATGGTATCGCGCTTTCACGGCTTAATTCGTCCGGTGAGGCGGATAGTACAGCCGAATTTGCGAGACTTTCAAATAATGAAGACCGCGACGACGATGATGATGACGAAAGTCGGTCGCGGTCACTCCATGGTTCAAATGACGGCCATGCTAACTTACATAATACATGAATACTAAGTAAGATACTATTGAAATGTTCAAACCGTTCAATATAGCCTGGAGGCCTCCAGATGTACTTTTCAAGCTTCCTACGTTAAGCTGCCGTCGTAGGGATTTAGATCTTCCTTTCAATGTGAGGGCCAATGAGGAGACACTTATTCTTGTCTATAATTCAGGGGTTTGAGCTTGGCCCAGCCGCTTTCCGAGGTTTCATAAAGCTACATCAAATAACCTTGCGACTCGGCAATTCTGAAGTGCCCAGATGACCCCAGATACCGAGATATCCGGATAGAGCTGTAACGAGCCTAGCATCTTACATTGTGCATTTAAGCTGCGTTTTACGACTGCATAAATATCGCCCATTAGCACTTTTGCAATTCATTTCCTCGCTGTCTATGCACCCGTTCGATATCACTACTAGCCACTCCGGTCTCATCATGAAGAACATCGGGAAAGAACAGAGAGCGTATGAGAAACATATTTCCATCAGAGAAGCTTAAATTCTAACCTCAATAACCCTACGCCCATTTACCAAGTTGGATGGTGGACAGTGATGACGATCGTTGCACTAGCTTTCCTAAATAGCTGCGCCGCCATCACAAATACAGTACGGCATCGATCATTACTCAAGAGCACTCTGAGCATTTATTTAATTGCCCCGCTAGCTTTTATAGACAATCACTATCATGAATTTCCAGATTGAAGACCTTGGATGCCCATCTCTGGGTCAGCTCATCGGACAGCACTGATCGTTGCAGAAAATACCTTGACTGGCTTAGCGAATGCGAGATGTGTAAGTCTCAATGCTGAGTTATACGATATATGCTGACAACATGCTGACTGGCAGTGTGGTATCTAGGTCATGGGAGTCCACCGATTTTGAAACACAAAACGTCCCAGTCTCTCTATTTGTCTTTCTGTGGATGGCAGACGTCTGGTTAATACGACATTTAACAGACTTGTTGCTGCCTAACATCCAGATCGATGCAAGCCAGAATAAAAAGAGTATTTAGCCGATGTCCGACGAATAAAATGAAGCAATTCAAACTGTACCCGAATATCATTGGATGAATACGTAGTGTTTCTGCAATCTGCTTCTTAAAGCCCACTCGGTAGGAGAGTATTCTCAATGGAGTAAATAAATCATTCTTAAGAATTAGGGTTACACGACAGTCGGGAAATGCAAGCACCAGAATCTATATGCCCTTTGACTATCTAAACCGAGGCAGATGATGTCGCAAAATACGGAATGAAGGAACTCAGCCAGCCACTGCCGCAATGCGGCGGTCACACACATACTCTTGCAGGAAATGAAGTAGTGGTGTCAAGCGCAGACTACGTCTTCTCGTGCTCAGATTTATGGCAGTTATAGCAAGGGAAAGATCTAGATGATTGGTTGCGGAATATGCAAATCACTACATTAGCCCCATCCGTGTATGCCGGGTTGATTCGATAGGAACCCCCATCTCGCTTCTGCTATACAGACCAGGGCTGATGGCGGCTTTTCACGGACTGAAATTCGGAAAAAATTAGCCATTTTGGATAAGTTCTACCCAAAGCTCAGGTTGGGGCCCAACCCAAGTGGATTGATATATTCTAATCCGGAGTCCTTGAAGATATATTAGACTTTCAGAGGAAATGTCGCCCTTAATGTAGCTTATTCAAGGTTATCACTCTTATCATCGAATTACCCAGCTAACCGCCAAGATCGATATGCCTGGATATCCCATTCAACGACTGCGAGAGCGGGCAGACAAAGCCTGGAGCTATGAATCAGTTAACTTTACTCTTGGGGAGCTACGACTGATAACAGTTAGGGACCTACTAGAAGCCGATAATGCTACCATAATTCTCTCCGAATGGAGAGGGCTGAACCTCGTTCAACCAAGTGGGCATGTACCGAAATATGCAACCATCTCTCACTCATGGGCGCCGAGTGAAGAAGTCCAGAGACTCAGTGCGGCCGCTTACCGACCCCTAAGAATTGACCTTGGGAATAACAAATACCATGAAGTCAGTTGGCAGGGACTGGTTGAAGCTGCCAAAGCAGCCCAGCATCTCGGGTGTGTCTTTCTCTGGCTGGACTTGGTATGCGTCCATCAGGACTCTTCGGAAGATAAAAAGCTCCAAATTCAGCATATGGGACATGTCTATGAGAAATCTACCGCAGTCATTGTCATGCCCGGCGGCGTTGCAGCGACTCAGGGACCCGAGTACTACGCCCCATGGATTACTCGTGCGTGGACATTACAAGAAGCCACGCTCTCCCCTTCCAATGTGTATGTTCTGATCAGAGCCGCTAAGAGAGATCCCAATTATGACTACGAAATTATTAGTACCGGACCGAGGTACCTAGTCGATAATGTAGACGACAAAATTGCTTTGTCAAAGCTTCAAGATCTACTCAGTTGCCGGAAAACTACTGGCCTAAAGATTACCAAGGTTGATAAAGTGACCAAGGAGCGAACTCGAGTCAAGTTTATTGTCAAGTGCTTCGGGGATGATGAATCGCTTATTACGGCTTTGGAAGGGGTATTAAGCGGACGCACAGAGGCAATGAAGAAGTCGGCGGCATGGAGGAGTATCTGGCTGCGGACATCGACGAAACCACAGGACATGGTCTTCAGTGTCATGCATCTCCTCGGGGTGAGTATCAAGGTCGACTACCATCGAACTCGGGATGATCTCATTCTCGAACTGGCTAGAAAGACAAAGGCATTCCCGTCATGGCTGGATATTGGAGAGGACATGCCGTACGACTCTCGATTCGGGCTTGTCCCTGCAATCCCTATATTTCATCCCAATGACACTCCGTCCTACAGAATTGCCAACCGGCTGGTGCCTGCCAACACGCTCATTGAGCATGGAACATTTATACACGACTACGATATCAAGATACAGACGTCTACCACCGCCACTTTTGAAGGTGACCTTATCTGCGCCAAAATATTCCTGATCCATGATCAGAACTCCAGTCATCCATCGATATTCGACCTGAGTGGAGATAAACATACCTTTGGGAAGTTGGATCATGCCACAGGATCGCACGTAGTGGTTCTCGGGGAGGCACAAGTATATGGTCTTGGACATTTGGGTGTTTTCCAGTACGCAGGACCACAGGTTATTTTTATTGGGAAATCTGCGCAAGGCGAATGGGAGAGAATCGGCAAAAGAACGACTATCCCGAAGTCATATGTTGATAATGCCGGCAGATGGCATCTTACAATTGGAGGACCGCCAGGATCTGAATTCACGCCGTGTAATTGCTAATGCGTAATTCTTTTGATGTTTAGTGCCTGGGTATCTTGTTTATATTACTTCTAGTGTTGGAATCCACATACCTTACATAAGGTAGGTAATCGGCAAGGTCTGTGAATAAGTATCCTAGATACCTAGGTAGGTAGTGGCTGTTTATTGTAAATGTTTCAGCGGTTGTGTCGTCTCATTCTAGAATGCGAAGTCCATGCTACACTCACATTGACTTGAGTGATTGACTTGCTTTGGCTTTTTGGAGCGGGCTGATAAATTGAAGGTTGGAATACGTAATGGTTGGGCTTCAGTTTGGGTCTTGTATCTCTACAAGATCTCGGATATTTCTCATAAACTCCAAGAATTGTACGTATCTTTTTTTTCTTAAAGGAGAGAAGGAGCGCGTGCGAGAGAGAGAGAACTATAATAGATCACATTAAATCCTTGGGGCCCCGTCGTCCTCCAAATACTCCATTCATCAGGCTGCACAGTAGCCACGACCTCTGCGAGTTTGAGAGCTATCCTTTGGTCCATGGATGGACGAAAGAGGACACCACCAGGCTGCACTGGGCAAAATCCGTTGGTTTTCCAGATATTTTCTCCGTCGTTTAAATGTTACAAAGCTGGCTTTTTGTTGGCGCATTGGAAGCCTTGACTGGAAGCCGCATTTCAAGGTCCGACTTTATTCTGCATAACAACCCGCAAAGTCCACCATGAATATCAACTGCATTCATGGCCCACCTCCTCGAGACATGGTGCAAATCCTTGACAGAACTGCCTTCGGATGAGCAAGAAAGAGCACTGACAAATGCAGGCAGCATCCTGTCTGAAATGAATTTTTGGTGTTTGAATGTTTGCCATTTCTCATCCTCAGACAAGGATTTATGAGCAAGAGTGGACTTCCTCCACCATCCCCCTTAGAGCAAGCTATAGACGACACGGCGAGACTGATCACGCTTGTAGGCGAGGAAATTGGATCATGCGTAGCAACAATGGACCGGCGCGGGAATAGCCGATTTCGTGGCTGCTACGCCTTTTCGCAACAGGCACGTTTGGCCCGTCGTCTGACGAGAGGAGGCTGGTACCCTTTCGTTGCCAGGGCCATGATGAAATTTTGATACGGCATTGTGGAATATGCCTGTTCGTTCCCCGTCTAGGGTGTTTACAAGTGCCATAGTCCGTGTTCCACTACATGCTGTGTCGCATATAGTATTGACGAGGAGCATTATATCAATCGGCATGCTGCGAAGAATTGTACATGTGAAGAACTGAAGCCCCAGTTTACTGAGATTCAGCGCATCATTCTTGAAGGAGACACCCCTGTTATCAAAGTAATATCATCGTACTCCTCACCGTCTCAAAACATCACGATAGAGATCAGGGATGCTAAAGATCTGTCTCCGCCCAAACAGCTATATCAAAAATGCCCATGTCTGGTCTGATGGGATTGGCAGCACAACAGAGAATGGATTACCGGGTTGTCTGTTGGAAGTTCTCAATATATACATCCACGTATCCTCTGGAAAGGGTCGGATGAAACCCTTCTTGTGTCTATTGGAAAGATCTTGACAAGAGCATTCTTTTTCTTGAAGGAGAGCGGATGAAAGAATATGGTTGGAAATAGGCGAAAAAAGTCATTTCTGGCAAACAGTCAAGGCAAGTCATACGTAGATCCCGGTCGAAAGACCAGTCCATTCCGAAACGACACTGCTGAGTGCTTGAAACAAGGCGGCCCTCGTGGGAAGTTCTGGCTGTCGAAAATGCCTCGGATATTGGATTTGCATGATCATGAATTACAGTAAGGTTAGCTGCGGATTTCTTTGACCGGCTATGAATCAGAATTCTTCCTGAACGATCGAACGAAGGTGATCGTATCACGTTTGATTCAATTATTGCCCTGGAGCCAGTGAGTTTCAAGCATCTCCAAATTGTAATATGCTCTATTTTCAAATCCAGCGAGATATTTGGCGGCCAGGCAAGCGATCTTCCGGTACTTGAATACACGGGAAATGTCGTCGTTAGGGCTATCTGAACGTGACAAATTCGACAAGGACAGGACAGTGGAAGCCAGAGAAAGCTTTTCTGACATTGTAATATGTTAATTTACTTGTTTTCTTCTTATTGTATCATTTACATGCTGTTTCGTATGAACAACTACTCTGTTTTCGACTAAATGGTAGGTAAATATCAGTTCATTCATTAGATTAATAGTTCTAAACACAACAATTCAAATAATTAGACCATCAGGTATCTATAAACAAGAAATCACTCCAGCCAGCGCGAAATGGCAGTTGCAAGCGCCTCCTTCAACCAAGGCTCTTCTATGCTAAACGTGTTATCAAATCCATGAACCCCCTCCTGGATTGAAAGCACAATGTTATCCGCGCCTTGTCGACCGCGCAACTTTTCTCTGGCAGCATTGACAAAACGCTCACTAAGTGTCACAGGTACCACAGGGTCCTGCGCACCATGCAAGATGACCAGTCCACCTAGTGGGAGCTTTGTGTCAGGCTGTTCAAGACGCTGCAATTGGTAAAGACGCTCGCGGTGAACTGGCGAGGCTAACGAATCCCGATCATAGCATTTAAACAAAAGGGCCTTGGTACGAAAAAAAGAGTGGAATAATGCCATCCTCAAGTCTGAGTCATCACTTGACACGGTATTGCCAGCGTTAATTGTTTTCTGGAGCTCCAAAAGAGCTGATTCTGGGATTTGCGGGGCCAGGGCCGGGGTCTGGTCGGTCTCAACTGGTCCATCTTGATTGAACATGGGATATCCGGCTGTCGCTGCTCTGATATCTTCTGGGTAGGTCATCGCAAGGTATACGCTCAGCAGACCACCGGCTGATTCTCCGGTTGTGATGACGCGGTCGAGGTCAAGTTCAATCGGTGTTGGCAAAGCCGCGAGCAGATTCGCGCTATCGCTCGAGTGCAGCCATCTCCACCAGTCATCGATGTCTGATAGAACCTCGACAGCGGTCGATTCTGGCATCATGCGATAGTTGGCACAAGCAATAACTGCATTGTGTTTCTCGGCGAGTTCGAGCACCCATATAGGAAACCAAGGGCTATACAACGAATCGCCAAATATCTGCTCCGATAGTGTTTTATTAGTTACAAAGGTCATTGATATTTGAGAAAATAATTCGAGAGTTCTATACGTACCAATCCACCACCATGAAACTGAGTGATTACTGGGACCTTCTCCCCAGCCCTCAGAGACTTGGGAATCATGAAATCGGCGCGGATTCCATGGTCACCGACAGTTTTATAGTTTGCCTGGAAAATTGAGAAGTTGGAAAACCTCGGGGACAGTGCCGAGCCCTCAATTAGAGCCTTTGTGGACTGTGTGGGATCGCGAATAAAAGGCATTGTGAGTGTTGTTGGGGAAGGTATGATGATAATATAAGAGAGGCTGGTGATAAAAGTAGCACAGTAGTATTGTTCTATTTGTTGTTGTCGATATAGATACATCAAACCAATTCAGCAGACACATCTCAGGACTTTATATACATGTTTCCCTCCTCTAGGCATGCAAACATCGTATGGATATTGATGGTGTTGCAAACTTTCACTTTAGGCCCTTTGGTGTGTTTGAGTTGGTTTTTGCAAAACCATCAAATGTTTGTTTCCCAAGCCACGTGTGGGGCAGTCGCATACGAGTGAATCTGATTGGCCACATAGCTTATCAGTGTGGGTTTGCATATTTGCTTCCAACATAAATACTTTTCTACGCTATGATTGGCTGGAGCGTATATCTCACTTGAAACACTTACCACTCACTCCTTTTAACTTCAAACATGCAACAACAGAAGTCAGAATAACTTAAATAGCATGAATCAAATGCATGCATGCCATCTTAAAATCCAAACAGATTTTGGTCCTCGTCATAACCCCAGTCCTTCAAAGCCGGCAGTGCGACCTTCTCTATCATCGCCGGAGGACCACAGAGAAGCACTGCATTCTCGTCGCTTGGCTCAAAGGCATGCTTTCTTAGTATATCTGGGGTGATGTGCCCCTTGAGCCCGGCCCAATCACTACTGCTAGGATGGGACAAAACATGCACAATACTAAACCGATCGCCGTGGTCTCTCGAGAGTTCGTCGAACTCTCTGCGCATTAGAATATCACTCTCGGACTTGTTCGCATCGATTACTCTTATGCTCGTTTTGTCATCTGCATCTTTCAAGATTCGTACAACAACCTGGTATCCGGGTGTGACTCCTGATCCACCAAGGATCAGAGAAAATCTGCGAAATGTGAACTGTCTGTCATCAACGCTTAAATGTCCATTTCCGTGATATCGGATGTCACCTGATGGGCCCTTGACTTCAATCTCTTCGTTCTCTCGGAGACAGTCCAAGACGTTACCCATTGTACCGCCCGGTTGGGTTGCATCTGGGTGGTACGTCTTTACAACGAGATCAAATGTACCATCGTCTTCGCAATCAACTACTGGTCGGACGGGAGTATAGGGGCGAACAACGAGACGATCCGCAAAATGGAACCCGACTTGGAGGTGCTGACCTGTCTCTAATCCCAGCTTCTTTGTTGGCTGCGGGAGAGAAAACGTGTAGCGATAAGTATCTTCTGAAAGCCGCTTCTTTTGGGTCAACCTGGCTTGGGTCCATCTAACGTCCCAATTAGCAATTACGACTAGTCCCGCGATTTGACGGAGAAATACGCACTTATGCCTGCTCAGGGATACATTGGGGTCCCCTTTAACTGAAAGTAACTCCTTTTCTTTCTTTTGAACATTCTTCATATGTTCCATCGCTTTCTGGGTGACCTTGCCGAGGATACATTCTGCGTCGTGCATGAGTCTTATATCAATAACAAATTCCAAATCAACGCAAACATAACTAACAAGCTCACCTTTAAGCTTATTTTGCGCAAAATCGTCATGAATACCTTGGAATTCTACGGTTGTATTCATATTGACCTGGCCAGCATGCGCCAATATAGGCCCTTTGCCGCCTGGATGCCAACTCAAGACACTAGTAGCATTGTAAACTTTGCCGTTTATGACAACCCAACAATCATCTTCAGTATGGTGCTTCTCTATCTCTTGCCGGGTAAACTGCTTCTCAGGAGCAGACGCTTCACGCTTGATCTCTTCGATCTTCTCCTCGGTGGACGGTTTCATCCAACCATCCATGCCATTACCAGAATCGACTGGGTGCCGGAAAAGCAAGTATGACTCCTCATTTTCTGGGTCGTCGAATATCTCTGGTCTTACCTGATACCAAGAATTGTTCATCATACTGTCTTGCTTTTAGCATCAATGACAACTCTGTAAGTATGGGTTGGCCTACCCTTCGATATTCCACACTGGCTTGGGAGGTTGCGTATTCTTATGCACATCGAATGCACGCACGGTTATGCTGTGTGCGCGGATAAGCTTGGTGATATCCAAATCAATGTACCAGTGCAACCAGGTCCAGAACTTGTCGCCGTGCCGAATAGGCGCATCAGGGAACTATTCAAGAGGGGAGTGTATTCAACATAAGGTAAAATGAAAACGAGATCAGGTAGTCATGCTTACCTTGCGGACACAGTAAAGCCAATTATCCCCATTATCCAAGCTGATCTCAACTCTGTCAACTTCGTCTCCGCCTCCATTATAAGCATACCCTTGCACCCTATACTTCTTCCCCAACTTAACATCAACCAGATCAATCCGTTCGCCCTGTGCTGGTCTTACAACAACCGAATTCAGCATCTGTTCATTGCAGATAGTGCTGGGATGTCGAAACATTATCTGAGCAAGATCCGATTCTGTATCGGTGACAAAACTAGGCAGCTGTCGATTATCATAGATATGATAATGGCTTTTATTTTCATATTCACTAATCCAAATCTTTGACAGCCACTTCACTGACCGAGCTCCAACCCAGCCTGGCACGATTAAACGAAGGGGATAGCCGTGGTCGGGTGGTATTGGATGATCATTCATTTGATAGGCAAGTAGCACATCGTTGGTGGCATCCATTGCATATTCGAGAGGGATACACGTTTCATACTTTCCTTGGCTGAGTTCGTCGGCCCCAAGGTAGTTGACCCAGAAAAACTTATTGGGACTCTTCTCCAAGACTTCTGTGGCACCAGCCTTGATGAGGACATCGCGAAGTAATACCCCTCTCCAGTAAGAACAGCCAGCTGCGGCAGCAGTGAAGTTGAATGCTCGAGTTCTTTTGATCATATTCAGCTCTTTTCTACGACTGCCGTCACAGGCAATAAATATCGGTATATTGATACTTTCGAACTCGTCCCTCAAGTCGTCCATCGTTAAAGTCAATTGCTCATTAACGGTCACCTCAAGAGTGTGATTTTCCCAGAGTATATGGGGAACTGCGCCGTGGTTGCGAACGTAGTGTATCGGAGATGGTGTTATCAGGCCTGCATCAAAGAGAGTAGTTAGATCTGCTTCGGCATTTAGAGGATGACTTCCTGTCAGACGGATTAGTTTGTCACTACGTGGCACCCAGCTGTCGCGCGAGAGTTGGTCGGCTTCGTCTATTTGTTCTGGTAATATCTCATCATGAAGTGGAGAAAGCCCCTTTCCATCATTTTTCCTCATTGATGAACGTAACTTCTGTTCACTTTCCAGGAATTGAATGAGCGCATGCTCTTCATGTGACTTTCTGAGGTTGGAGCCGGATTCTGGACCTTCACTTGAATCTTCTTCTTGTGCTTCTTTCTTTTCTTTTCCATTACTTGTTTCATCCTTGTGGTCTTGGTCGCCTGATGAATCACCTCTTTCTTGTTTTTGCTCTTTGCCATTCTTCTTCTTTTTATTGATCTCCCAGGGCTGCTCGTACTTGATAAAGCTCTCTGTTGTGTGTAACACATACCGCCAAAAGTTTGGATGCACCTCTGGTCGCTCCAAGTGGAAATCCTGCATGGGAAGATATGAATCTATCAGCGCATACATGCTCATAGTCTTCAATGATATATCATAGATTGAAGGAGAAACTGCTCACTCTCTGCCTAGTCATAATATCTCGAACAGTAATCAATTCGCCCTTTTCTGCTTTTTCGCGCAGCTCCAATATCTTTGCCGTGTCTGCATCAGGTCGTTCTGGCGAATGCTCATCTCCGCTATGGGTTAGACCTATGAATCGGGCGTCACGCCCTCGCCTACCTACCCGATGGCTATGTGTCTTTGTCCAGTCTGGTTCGTTTAGTATCTCGAGCTCCGATGCTCCAGGGTGCTTTGTCGCAGACATAGTCTTCCGTAGGCTATGGGAAATCCCTCAGTTGTCATAAATGATGGGTTAGAATCCGCTTGACGAGGCTTCTCCGAGGCTATCTAATGTCTCCAGTCACTCTTTCAATGTCAAAATGAGTGTATTCATCTACTGTTAAAGTAAGGTGTCTACGGAATTCCCGAAGTTTATGTCTCATGATAATAATGACGCAATGAATACTTACTGAAGTAGATTCCGGGAATAGCTAAGTTTGTGCCGGACAAGAACTTCCCTAGTCAAAATCTACATGTTAGACATATCTTTTAACTGAGAAACTAAATCAATGAGAATGCTGTTATATGCAAATGCTCTTATTACGAAATCGACCCAACGAGCCACCGAAAGGGGCCCCTTCGTCATGCTTCTGGTGATACTAGTCTGAGAATATAATCTACCGCAATATTCCTTTGGCGGTTTCCTAGTTTTATCTGCATAATTCCTTGCGAAAGCTTCAAAACATTCGAAGATGATGCATGGTCGTCAGACTGTTAGAGTTAGGGCTCGCAAACCCTTATCTTATCAGCGCGCAATGGCGCCATTCTGCGGGGCTTTGACTGGGCTGCCCCGCCATCCGCCAATCGCAGCCCATACCAGATTCGATTTTATTGCACGTGCATCCATTTCCTTCTATGCTGTCTCTCCTGGCTTCATCAGCTCTCTCCAACCCGATATACCGAACGATTTGAATCACCTAAACAGAGGGCACAAAGGATGGCTGTTCTCCCGAACGAGTACAAGGGTAACTAAGCTAACTTGCTCCCATCATCAAATGCCCGTTGGTGGGTGACTAATAGGAAATGAAATTGGAAATCAGACAAGGTCCGAATTGCAGTCATCGGAGGCACCGGCCTCCAGGACCTCCCAGGCTTCACCAAAGCTGCATCTCTTGATATCGAGACACCCTGGGGCAAACCTTCCTCTCCAGTCACCATCTTGCACCATAACTGCAGCGTTTCCGGCAAAGACGTCCCCGTCGCCTTCCTCAGCCGACACGGCACGCACCATCAAATTGCTCCCCATGAAGTCCCCAACCGAGCAAATATCGCGGCCCTGCGCAGCCTTGGTGTGCGAACGGTCATTGCCTTTTCGGCCGTTGGCAGTCTGCAAGAGGCTATTAAGCCCAGGGATTTCGTCGTACCTGATCAGATTATTGACCGTACCAAAGGTGTTCGGCCATTTACCTTCTTCGAAGGCGGTGTTGTAGCCCATGTACCGTTCGGTGACCCGTTTGATGAGAATGTCGCAAAGGTTGTGCGTGCGTGCGGACACAGTCTGGAGGGGGATGGTGTTGTGTTGCACGACCGAGGAACATTAGTGTGCATGGGTATGTGTTCCCCCTACTGAATGCGCTTCATTATGCTTTTTTCTTTCTCTCTCCCTCTTCTTCTAACTTTCTGTTCAAATTCACAGAGGGCCCTCAATTCTCCACCCGCGCCGAAAGCAACATGTACCGCTCCTTCGGCGGATCTGTCATCAATATGTCCGCTCTCCCCGAAGCGAAACTAGCACGTGAAGCCGAACTAGCATACCAAATGATTTGCATGTCAACAGACTACGATTGCTGGCACGAGTCCACTGCCGACGTCACCGTGGAAATGGTCATGGGTAACATGAAGGCGAACGCAGTGAATGCGAGACGCTTTGTCGGCGCTGTGCTTGATGCATTGGTGCTAGACGCTCATGCGGATACTGTTAACGCCAAGCATCTGGAAGGGGGTATCAAGTTTGGTGTTAGTACGCCGCAGACAGCGTGGAGTGAGGATGCGAGGAAGAAGATGGAGTGGTTGTTCCCTGGATATTTTTAGTTTATACACGTGTTAGAATTTTTCTATGTTTATGTGAAAAAGGACTACAGCTACCTGGGTACCTACGGTAGGTATTTGATACCTATGTACATACATATGTAGATATGTAGACAGCGAGAGATAGATATAGAAAGGCTCCATCTGAATCGTACCTATTTGACATTTATCCAGCAATTTTTAAAAAGCTGCAGTCTGCTATATTACCTAGTTAAAGCTCAAGAATATGTTAAATAACCAAAACATCGCCTAATGCAAACAATCGATCATATCATGTATGAAGAAAATGCGTGTCCACTGTCCACCAAATATATGTACTAGTCCTATTTGGGAATGGTGTCGAACAACAGCCCGGCCGAGGTGGAGATAATATTACCGTTATCGTTGCGACAACTTTTCTCTCATTAACAACTACTATTACGAACTTACGTACACTGCACCGAGGGCACGTCAATATTGTTGATGCGCGACCCTTATCTCCTTTTCTTCATGTCATAGTTATACATTAAGACTGGTGGAGTTCTCGATCACCGAGTAACGCTACCACGATGCAAGGTTTTAGTATGTTCCTATTGCCTCACATTAGCTGGCTGGACCCCTTCATACAGAGTTTCTCTTAACTAACCATGACTGCGCTCTCAAACAGATATGGGACGTTATGTCCCGCCCGACCAGGAAGGTCTTACCACAGCCAACAAACTCGCAGGCAAACACGCACTCGGCGCTCGCGCACGCCACCTCCAAACTAAAGGCGCCCTGATAGTGCGATTTGAAATGCCCTTCGCCGTATGGTGCACAAACTGTAAACCGAACGAGACGATTATTGGCCAGGGAGTACGTTTCAATGCGGAGAAGAAAAAAGTTGGAAATTATTATTCGACGCCGATCTACAGCTTTCGCATGAAACACGCGGTTTGTGGGAATTGGATTGAAATTAGAACAGACCCGAAGAACACGGCATATATTGTGACAGAGGGTGGGAGGAAAAGGGACACGGGCGAGGATAAAGAGATCGGTGAGCCTGGGGAAATTCGGATTAGGTTTCCAGGAGATCGGACGGAGGAGGAGAAGGATGCGTTTGCAAGATTGGAAGGAAAGGTTGAAGACAAACGACAGTTTGAAACAGCTACCACCAGAATAAAAGAACTGCAGAAACGACAGAGCAGAGACTGGGAGGATCCCTACGAACAGTCGAGGAGGTTACGGAGGACATTCCGAATAGAACGCAAACGGCTGGAGAATATCAGTCAGGCCAATGAATCGCTTAAGGATAAAATGAGTCTAGGAATAGATTTGTTGGAAGAAACGGAGGAAGATCGCCTGCAAGCTGGCCTAGTTGATTTTGGGCCTACAGCATCTGATAGTTCGACTTTGGCTACCAATAGTCGTAACCGGCCGATGTTTCGTGACACACCATTCAAGAAGTCTTCGGATGAACAGCGGAAGAAATTGCATGGACCACAACGGGGAAAACTCAAGGCAGAGCTGGTTGCAGCCGAACGAAGAGACTTTTTAAGTAATGAGTTGCGGGGAAATACTCGTGCAGTTGTGGACCCCTTTTTGAACGAGGATGCAAAAACGTGGCAGCCGTCTGCTTTGAAAACGAGAAAGACACGGGAAAAGAAGAATGTTCATGGGTCAACCGATATCGTTGGCAAGAGGGAAGAAACAGAGCCAAACGCTACAGATTCAAGTTCGATAACTGACATGACACCAGTAGCTTTGGTCACATATGGATCAGATTCAGAGTGAGGAGTATAACGAGTGGCGGCAGCTTTTGTATATAGTATTCATGACATGATACCCATCAAGTTAAATTGATTTTCTTGGCCTTATTCTCACATGCCTGAAGCTCAATCTCTGCGTCAGTTACAGTTATAAATTCTCAATTATTTCATCATGGCTGCTTGGCCCACGGTGCTCGAGTTGGACCCGGAATGTTAGAAGCATCATCAGACGACCCGGCCGGGGGTTGCTGTGCCCAAGGCGCCCGAGTCGGTGCCATTGGTCCTGGATGGTTTCTAGATGAGTCTGATAATGTAGTCCTAAGAGGCATTCGGGTTGCTGAAGGATGAGCGGTACCAGACATTGAGGATTCTCGTGGTGTGGGCGCTGCCCCTGGAGCTGCCGTAGACCCAGGCAATGATGAGCCAGGCTGACTCCACGGAGCATGGGTACTAGCGGCCTGCGAAGCAACGGAGGCTTGGCCTGTCAATGCATTTGTCTGCTGTTGTCTTGATAGTGAATGCATTGTACGTGGGGGAGAGATTGCATTAGGATCTCGATCCCAGCTGAATAGAGACCCAAATGGAAAGTGTTGCACGACGGGAAATTTTGAGAGGACTTCGGCGTTGTACATCTTGATCATGCCCTGTTGAAATTCATATAATGAGAATTCGTTTACTTTCGGTTTATCGTTAGCATGCACACCTTGTTAATCTTTCCCCAACCCTCCTTAACGCCGGATATATCGTAAAGCATCGGGCTATGTTCCCAGAAAGGCCCCTTTTTAACATCGTAAATGAAGCCTATTGCGGAAAAATACATATTTGTCTTTCTTTCTTTTTGTACAATATTATCTTTTGTAATTTGGGTCGGTGAGGGGACACCAAGCAAGGAGCCCTCTGTTGGCGTCTCGTCCGACTCGTGAATGGCAGGAGAATACTGTGCCGAGCCGAAAATGTAGGGTGCGAAGGAATGGTCATCAAGACCCCATACACCGTGAGTCCCTGCAGGTTCCAAATTGTATGTCTTTATTAAACTTCGAATAAGCTCTAGGTACCTATACAAATGGGGACTATTGTTAGTAAAGACGCAAGAACCGAATGGCTTTCATACGTACGGTTCTATGATTCCGAGAACGATACCCCTTTCTTCAACACCAGGGTCAGCGTCTGGAAATGCGCCGAGTTTCCAAAGACATCCCAAGAAAGCCAGGAAACTCAGTTCATGACCTGTGCCATAATCAAGTCTTTGCGCACTGCCAAAACTCCCGAGGAAGTAGGCTGTTAGCTCTGTCCTAGCTGTTGCCTCTTTAGCGGACGTATTTGTGGAGGTTTCATGGAAGTCGGAACCAAGAGCCTCATCAAAAAGTTCTGCCACTCTGCTTTCCAGTATTTGATACCATTTCCGAAAGCTGATATTTCCAAAACGCCTGGGGCCAGTGTCGGGGGGGGCCTCGTCTATGATGCTCTCGAGTCTTGACAAGAGCAGTTGTATTCGACGAACAGGCTCGGAGAACTCGATATCGTGAGAATTGTATTGCCATGACTGAGACTTGCCGTCGATTTTGCGAGGAAACATTGCTCGATTCAGCTGCAGAAGAAACACCATAATGTCTCTATAAGCTTTCGTTGTTAAAAAAGCTTGAACATCCCCGCCCTCGTGGATCTTCTTGCTTGGCTGGGCGAAGACATGATGTAGCTTGTCTATGCGTTCCAATACCTGAGTAGCCATAACCTTGGAGCAGTAGATGCATATGCCTCAGTTGGTTGCTATGAAACAGTCTGGGGGCGTCATGAGAAACATGGATATGCCCTGTCGACGCTTGTGGGGAAATCGTCACTGCTCTTTGAAAGCTGGTGGGGCGACCGCTGCGGGAACTTGGGAAGCTTCGACCAGCCGGGAGCTCCAGAGCTCCGTAACCACCCATTCTCGACTCCAAGTCGAAGGTCGTGGGAGACCACCACCAGTGATGTCAAATCATGCGACGTTGACCCAGCCCGAATTCCACCAGTCGCATTTTCCTGAGGATTCTAGTTTGCGGTGGTGTCGCTTTCACGTGCGAAATGGCGCGTCTCCACGCGAAGCGCCGGCGGGCAAAGCAAAATCAAACTGAACGATCTGTGAATTACCTGAACAATGTGTCAACTAATCTACATGACGAAGATGACGACGATGAAAACAGCTCTCACGCGGAGAATAATGAACCATCGGATAATGAGCTCTCTGTTTCGCAGTCTTCCGCCGGGGAAGACTCCGATGCAGAAGCTGGACCCTCGTCACAACCTGCCGTTCAAACCAGAAAATCTAAATTCGTCGGAGTTGTGGTCAAAAACAAGGTCTTGACTGATTCGAGCAATAGAAGGAAGTCACACTCCCACAACCCAGCCACCGGCGTCGGCGGTTTACACCAAGATGAAGAGGTCCCCGAAAGCGAGGAGTCTGAGGAGTCTGAGGGCTCTGAGGACTCTGTCTCAAGCGAGGACTTAGAAGACTCTGAGGAACTCTCTGAGAATGAAGATGTCACCGAGCGGGACTTCGAACGAAATAATGCAAAACAAACTGCGTCCCGGCGCCGAGGAAAAAGCACCGAAGAAGCACATGGAGTGGCCGAGAATGTGAGCGAATGGGCGGCTGTAACGCGTCCGAGAACCAGAATAATTGATAGAATGGAAGAAAGTTCTTCACGGGCAAACGAGTCATCTAGCCGAAAAAGGAGACGGACAACTGATGTAATTGAAAATGAACCCCAGAGAACACGCAGGCGGCTACAATTACCAATACACAGCGACAACATTGCACCTAGTGGCGCGGGCGAACCCGAAGAGTTTGCACAATGGGAAGCCAGCATGGTGGTTGAGACTGCATCTGCGGAGGAACGGGAGGTGGTGATCTACGACGAAACAATATACGATGATGCAACAAAAATCATGGGACTGGAAAGGCCCTGGAGGGATCTGATGGATGGTTGCCAGAAGATCAAAGCTGCCGAGACTAATGAAACGCAAAGTTTCAAAGGAATCAAAGACATTTGTGGTCGTATACAAGCGTTGGGTGACATCTACAAAAGGATTCAGCGAGACCGTGCGACGGGGTCGTTTACATCCAGAACGTGGGAGCGTGCAGAGCACAGTTTGAAACCGATTAGCGACGATGCTGATATGCTTCAGCTGAAGATAATGAAACGTGCTAATGAAGCTAAGCACAGTAACGACTTTCGAATCAGAGCAGATGCAAACGAATACGCGGAGCAGATTTACAAGCACGTCGTAACCGATTTGAGCGAGCTGGCGTTGGAGTGTCTGAAAGCTTATTACTCGGAAGATAATGAGTGGCTGTTGACCGGTGGCTTCATAGCTGTTATGAATATTTTGGATGTTACAGGGAAAATTAACAATACGCTTTCATCATTAAAAAAACGTGACTTGATCAACACGACTCGCGATATATCCCGAGTTATACGAATTCCCCTACGTGTTATCTGCGACAGGTTGATTAGGTGCGAGATGGAAGAGCGACAGCGAGGGCGATAGCATACATCTGAAAATTCAAAGAGACGGTCTTTCTCGTTTCATGATCTGGGCTGGAGTTGACTGATGCCACGTTTTATACCCAATTGCTATATGTTCTGGAAACTTTTCAGTGTATATACAGACACGCTAATTATATATATATTTTTTGTCACATTGCTTCGGATGTTCCTATGGTTTCCATTTTTTATGTCTGGCATCTCATTTGCGAATGCATCATACCGTTTGCCTAGTGTGTAGGTATGATCAGGAATCTGTCCTATCTTGTCCATCGTCGTAGGCCATGTTTTCACTCGATGAAACAGAGACATGCATACCTAGTATATGGCATGTAGTAGATTGCGGTACCGCTGCCCATTGGCCGTTCTGCTGTCGATCACGGCCCAGCTGCAACCTGAACCGTTAGGGCCTTGTCGTGGCTCCAGTGCATGCAACTTGGGTAGATACAAGGCGGGTGGGCCTGGATTCGTGTGCTGAGTTTCAGAAGAACAACAACAGACAGGCTGTACCGGGGCAAAACAGCAAATGTCTCTATTCTATATTCCCAGAACGAATCGGGGAAAAAGAAAACATCCGACGAGGCGAGGCCGCACTCCGATTGGCCGAGAGAGACGCCATGGTTCGCGTCGAGCAGGGCTGCTGGCCAATCACAACGCAGCACGCCGAGCAAAAGCTTCACCAGGGTCGCGTCCGGCTAGTCCCGTAGCGGTTTAATGTGACAGCAGCAGAGCTTCTGCGGTCCCCCTCTTTCCTTGTCTTCGCTTTGCAGGCGCCAGCATAAGTCACAGGCAGAGACAATACGCCGTCCATCTACGCCCCCTTCACATCGTACACTCTTCTACCTCGCTGATCGTTTGTTGGAAAGCGCTGCACCGGACAAGCGGTGCCGAATTGAGTCATCTGCTGCTACTCCGTGCCCCCCTTAAAAGCTAGTTTAAGCGCTAAGCTGGTCGGAGTCCACCTGTTTCGCCGACCGCGTCTGTGCGTGCAACAGTATCTGGCGGCAAGAGAAGACAACAAGAATCCTTCATACTCAAAGCCATACTCGTCGAACATACAGCAATTGAAGCTGACTTATAACACCCGCCGGAAGCTGCGAATACGCGCTGGTGCTGCCGGAAGGAGAAAGAATCAAGAAGGGCTCAATTGAAGGTACGTCCAAAGCTGTAGGCCAAATAAGGAGACGGAGGGAAAAAAAAAATAGGGAGGGAAAAGTGCCTGTCAAGGGACAATCTTGCTGCCTATGCATTGCTTCAACATGCTTCGACCTTTGGACTACTGCCAAGACTATATGATTTGGTTTCGTCTATGCTTCTCTGGACACGTTGTCACATGCTATACCTGGTGCATGCGTTTGCTATTGAAGTTACAGTCTGTCAGCTACAGAGCTCACAGTTTCTCGATCGTCCATGAAGCTGCAGTGGGATCTATTCGTGGTTGGTATTGCGTATATTAGGAATCTGATTACTGACTGGCTATGCTTCCTTTTCTACAGTCGTCAGAACTTGCCTTTTCTTTTCCTCTTGTTAATATCTCGGCGCTCAAACATTAGACTGAGTTCAACATGTCTGCTACCGAGGAACCAGTTGCTCCAGCCCCCGAAGCCGCCGAGCTTGTCGAGACCGAGCCTCCTTCATCTATTCCCGAGGCAGCTGAGACACCTGAGAATCCCCCTCAGACCCCGGTAGATGCGGCCCTCTTGTCCGGTGAAGAGTCCAAATCGGAGGCTGTAACCAGTCCGGAGACAGGCAAGGAAAATGCTTCGCCATTGAAAAAGTCGACGGTGTCGAGTACCACCAAACGCCCACTCTCGAGCTCGGCATCGACGAAGCGACCTGTTGGTTCCACTACGACGCCGACTACCAAACCAGCATCTCGAAGCACAACCACTGGCAGTACCTTGAGCAAACCACCCACACGTCCTACTACAACTTCAACTAGCACGGTTCGCCGGCCGCCGAGTGCCAGTACTACTGCGACTCATCGGTCACGGGCATCAGTGAGTAGCTCGGCTGATGAGAAGTCCTCGAAGGTAGCCAGTTCCGGCGACGAGAAAAAGGGCATCTCTAGCGCCGCGAAACGCATGTCGCTCGCAGGTACCCCGTCTACTCGTGCTCCAACGAAAACTTCAACATCCACAGCAGATAGAAGGGCAAGTGTCATTGGCTCCAGCGCTGATAAAAGGCCAGCTTCGGCAACCACGACAAGCAGAGCTACCACTGCCTCAAAGCCTTCCACTACCACCGCTCGCCCTACATCTACTACAACGATGCGAACCACTGTCCGACCGTCAGCAACAGCCGCGGCTAGGCCTGCAGTCGCCTCTGCAGAATCAAAGAAACGGCAGAGCATAGCCCCTGATGCTAAGTCCGCTGCAGCAGGAGCTGAAAAGCTCGCAGAGCTGCAAGAAAAGTTATCTGAAAGTGAAGCAACTATAGCGACGTTGAAAACAGAGTTGGCTGCTTCCCAAGAGAAAATGACAGCCTTTTCTCAGTCAGCAGACGATGAGTCATCGAAGATAGAAACTGCTGTTGAAGCGATTCATGCGGAGCATGCCGCAAAAATTGATAAACTCTCTGTTGATCATGCTCGCGAGGTGCAAGAGCTGCAAGCAAAACTAGTGGCAGCAGAGTCAAAGCACAAGGACTTTGAAGCACAGTCATTGCAAGATCTCGAGGCAGCCAAAAAGTCAGCGGTCGAGCAAAATGATGTTCAAACGGCAGCCGTGCTACAGGAACTTAAAGCAGCTCATCAGGCTGAGTTCCAGCGCCTTCAGACCGAGTTGGAGAACGAAAAAGCGTCAACTGCAGACACTGCGGCGCAAATTACGCGATTGACCGAAGAATTGGAGGCGGAGAAATCTGCCTCGGAAGCAGCATCGAAAGCCTCTCAAGAGAAAGAAGCTACTACCCTTGAGAAACATACCGGTGTTATTGAGCAGCTCGAGAGGGAATTGAAAGGACGAGATCAAGTGGTGGAAAACCTTGAAGGCGAATTGAAGAAACTCTCCGACACAAAAGACAAGGAAATCGTAGCCGAGAAGCAGGCAGCTTCTGAGAAGGCCTCGGCATTGGAAAGTAGGATTTCTGAATTGGAGAAGAAGTTGGTGGATGCCCTGTCCTCTCAGCATGACTCCGAAAAGGTCGGTAAAGAGCTGGTTGAGAAAGATAACGAGATTTCCGAGCAAATTGAGGTCATTAAAGCTCTGAAAGCCGAAATTGACCAGTACAAGGTCTCCGAACAGTCCTTAAAGACCGAACTTGAAGGATTGCAAGCCGATTCACAGGACGTAGAAGCAAGGATCAAGGAGATAGGGATTTCCCATGAGCGTGACCTTGCAGAACTGAAAGCTGAGCATGATGCTAACACTGCCACACTTACCGCCAACCATGCTCAAGCACTAACTGAAGTAAACCAACATGCAGAGGCTGCCAACAAACAAATACAAGACAAGCTTGATGAAGCCGATTCCGCCCGGAAGCAACTTGAAGAAAAGCTCCTGGCCGCTGAGGAGGCTCTTGAGATAGCCAATCGCAATTTTGAGGAAAATGCTAGCGCAGCACAGAAATCTGCCCGCGAGGAAATTGATTCTCTACGAGAAAAGCTAACCTCCATGGAGGAAACGTTAAATGCAGATGTAGAAAAGATCAAGACCTTCGAGACCGATCTCGCCACCAAGCAGGAGGAACTTCAACAGTTGCAGACTAAGCTGCAAGAAGAAACTGCATCTGCTTCAAAATATGCGGAGGAGCGGAGTCAGGAGCACGGCAAACTTTCCGAGGAACATGCGCGCTCCATTGAAGCTCTGAAAGTGGATCATTCATCTGAGATTGAAAAGTTATCTTCTTCTCATACCGAGTCTCTTCAGTCTCTACAGTCCAAATACGATGAGCTACTTGCAGCTAATGCTGCCCTTGAATCTACCCATGCGGAGAAGCTCAGCGCCCTTCAAAGCCAGCTATCTGCTGCTCAAGAAGAGACTTCTGCTAAGTCCGCTTCTCTGTCTGAAACCCACCAGGCACAAATTGATGCTCTGAAAAAGGAATTTGAAGAGCAACAGACTAAGCTGAAGGAGGAGTGGGAAAGGTCCCAGACCTCGAAGTCCGCAGAGATCGATTCTGATCATAGCAAAGCGATTGAGGAACTGCTGACAGCCCACGAGGCCAAGTTGACAAACTTGCGGAGCGATCTGGAAGCATCGCACCAGGAGAAGCTCGATTCGCTGCAAAAGACCCACGACGCTGTTTTAGCTGAGCTCAATGACCAGCTGAGCAAGGCTAAGTCAGCCGCAGCCGACACATCGGTTGTGGATGGTCTGAGTGAGCAAATTGCGGACCTAAAAACCAAGCTTGAGGCTTCTGAAGCGAAATTGGTGGCAGCCGAAGAAAAATTTGCGGTATCTACCAATGAACTAGCTACCAAGCACACTGAGTATACCGAAGAGCTGTCCAAGGTGCAACAGGAGAATAGCGCATTACAGACGCAATGCCAAACCCTAACTCTCAAGCTGGAAGAGGCCCAGAGGGCTCTAGATGAGCAGCATAGTACGACCCAATCGAAACTTGAAGCGGCGTCTCAGCAGCTATCTGATTTACAGGCAGAGTTGGCCGCCTACAAGAGCACCCATGAGCAAACGCTTGGCGAATTGGAGTCAGCCAAGGATCGCAACAAAGCTGTAGAGGACCAAATCTCCAAGAGCGAAAAGCAACTCAATGAGCAGATTGAGAAGAACATGTCGCTTGTGACGCAACTCGGAGAGGTTGACTCCAACATTTCCAACAGTCGCAAGCGTATCCGTGAGTTGGAAGTAGAGTTGGCTGCGCTCAAGGAATCTTCTCAGGATGCAAAGCCAAAATCTAGCGACCTCCTTGCTAGTCGATGGGCCACAGGCGACGACGAAACTAAAACCGAAGACAGAAGCGGTGCATCTGCGGAAGGTGAGGAGCTTGGTTCTTCCATAGAGGGAACGGTGGGGCATCCCCGTTGATGGGTACCTCTTTTTGATTCTTGTTAGGGCTTCTTTGCTAACTGAAGCAGATGGCGAGCATTCAGGAACAGCTTAAACAGATCCGGGCAGCCAGCGACGATTGGTATGATGAACATCGAAGGTATGTGATCTACTTTCTTGGATTTGGTCTACTATTGCTAATATGGTTACCTGTACTAGAATCGTTGGTGAACTTGTACAGGCCTCTCGAGTTGCGACACCAGATCCGTCGTCGCCAGACGCTACAGAGACTTTACCGACTACATCAACCAGCCAAATACCAACAAACAACGATCTACCAGCAGAGCAAACCGCATAAAAAGCGACATGTATCACTTGAAGCAGAGGAATGTTCTCGACTGATTCGCAAATCACCTATTTTCAGTGAGAGGCAAGATATATAAGCTGTATATAACCGTGTCACTTAGTTTTTCCATGTCATTTGGATACCCTGTGTTTCTTGTGTTGTCTTTTTTTCCCTTTGTATGTGTCGTGTTGTGTTGTGTGGTGGATTGTATATTTTCTTTTAGCATCCTTAATCCTTGTAATCAGGTTATGCTTTCGTTGTTTTAACGCTCTCCAATCATCAACACTGAACAATTTCTACCTAGGTATTATACTCTGGATTGTGTAGTTGATATATACAGAAAAGAGACATACAACGTAAGACATGTGTAAGACTAAGTAATTACATGGAAATTACCAACAGCCATTGATCTGTAGGAATGCTTACTCCGATTTGACGCCCAACTAAGATCCGACCCTAATCGAAAACGATCTTCTTCCCCTCGAACGAGGCCTGGGATTTCTGCTCCTTGGCCTTCCTAGCTGCTTCCCACGAAGGATGCAGAGAGGTAGACGCCGCACTTGTCTTATTGGACCGCGGACCACCAGCTGCTGCATTCGCATCCTTTCTATGGCCGTTGTCTCTACTATAATCCCCCCTTCTTCTTGCAAAACCTTGAGACTGCCCATCGCGTTGCTTAGCCCATCGTGCATTGTTGTTGGCATCATTATCATCCGTCGCGCCCCGACGCATATCCCACCCGCTATTCTTATTCTTCCTCTTCTCAGCTTCTTTTTGCAGATGATTAGCTTTTGTCCCAAATTTCTTCTCCCAGAGAGCCCGTCGAGCTTGCTGGCCCATTCGGTTTTTGCGCTGTGGTCTAGCTGCTGCAGCATCGTCGTCGTTGTCGTCCCCGGACTCGGAGCCAGACCAGTATCCACCCATCATCAGGGAGGGGAGGAAAGTGGTATCCTTGGGAGGCTTGTCGAGGTCATCATTCTTGCCCTTTTTGGTTCGACTTTTGAGCTCGGATTTTGGTGGTGGCGATGGTTCGGATAAATAGCTGGATTCTGAGGCTGCGGAGGATATGGAGATGTCGTCTGCGAGGTTGTATTGGGGCTTGGATTCATGCTCTGATGCGGAGGCTTCTTCTGAGTCGGATGCATCTGATGTGGGCGCTAGGCGAGAGTCGAATTGAGCGTAATCAATGCCATCATCGTCGTCTGAAGCATCATTCATACTCGTGTCGTTATCTGCGTGGACACTATCCGAGGTTATAGGTTTCGTATGCTCGTCCGGTTTCTTCGCTAATTTTTGCTCCCCCGCAGCGGCCTGTTTCTGTTGTTTCTTCACTATTTCGTTGATGCCCAGTAAGGTCCGAATATCAGTCAGAATATCAGGCAACGCGTTCTGGACAGGGTTCGATTTGAACAATCTCGCTGTAACATTGGCTTCAGCAGGATCGCGCGGGCCAGTTGCAGAAGTAGCGGCTGTTAGGGACTTTTCCAAGCGGGCGAATTCGGGGGAATCAGAGATGCGTTTTGCCTTGATCAATTGCTTGTGCAAATATCGTTCTGCTGTTTCTTCCAAGTCGAGGGCCTGCGGTTTCGCATTTAGTACGTAAACTAGCATGATGAGTTATTTGTCTAGCCGCACCTTCAGGACTTGCACCTCCTTTTCCAAACGCTCCAGGGTCTTGCCATCATTCTCCTGCTTTGCTGTCTTCTGTCGTCTGCCCAGCTTCTGCCTCTCGAATCCACGCGCCGTCTTCAGGGCTCGGAAGAGCAATTGTGCGCCTCGTTCAAACTTATGACGCAGTCGGGTGGCTTTGACTTCGTTTACCCTGTCGTCCTGGCCTGTGTTGGTGCGATCATTTTCGAGCTCGGAGTGTTTCCTTTTCGGCATTGTGACTATGGTTGATTGAATAACTGGCCGGCTCGTGTGCTGCGAACAGTCTGTGAAGTTTGAATTCAACTTTCTCTTCTGGAAAATTTTGGTGGGGAAGTTCTGGCCGCAGCGCTCTGATTGGCTGTCGCTGTGCTTACTCAAGAGCACAATGATATTAACTAAGAGGTTGATTGAATTGATGATATACAGAAATAATGTGACAGAGAGAGAGTCAAAAACGTAGCAAGTCAGATAAGGATATCCATGCTTTTATGTGACGACTTTTGGGTATATTATGGTAATGGGATATTATATTAGGGTGTTAGGGTTATATTAGGGTTAGCACGGTGGAGCGCTCAGTCGCCCCAGCAACACCAAAACATCGAATAATTCTCCCAGCATAAAGGACACTTGCTCCTGCAACTATTCCTAACGAGTTCTGCAAACACCTCCGATAAACAAAAGCGTAGCATCTCATTCGCTTAAGACGACTGCGAAGGTACGGCACGGCATGGCGGCAGTGGCGCTCGAGGCTCGTTTCGAGCACCTGGCTATCAATGACGAGAACGACGTATATAGCAAGACAAAGTTGCGCCAAAAGGCCAAGGTATGCCAGCCCAGCTCCTTGGTGTCCAGAGCACAGTTGACAAGGTGCAGATTCCAACAGACACTGGTACCGCCCGTCTATCGCACATATCCCGTCCGCCAAAGTACTCTGAATCTGCTGTCCATAGACAACAGAGCACAAACGCTAAGCAAGCGACCTCCCAGGCAGTTCCAGGGAAAGAAAGACAATCCGCCGCGCACTTTCGAAAGCCTCTCGGCATTATATCAAATGCACCAGTCAAGACGGACAAGTACCGCGTTACGGATGTCAAGCAACAAAACACGATCATCGTGCCTGTTGCTTCCCAAGTGGCCCCTATAAGAGATAGTCAAGCAATCTTACGAGGGCAGAAGTCTATTCCTACTGTATCCTCGCGGACATCCAGTGCAGCAGGTGCCACAGAAGAACAGCCAGCCACCATTATCAAGCAGCCCGTCTTCAAACAATTCCAGCTCGGCATGTTCGAAGTTGGTCGATCCTTGGGCAAAGGGAAGTTTGGTCGAGTGTATCTTGCGCGCGAACGACAGACGGGCTTTATTTGCGCCCTCAAAGTCCTACATAAGAACGAAATTGTACAAGGTCGGGTGGAAAAGCAGGTGTGTCGAGAGATCGAGATCCAGAGTAACCTGCGCCATCCCAACGTCCTCCGGTTCTACGGATATTTCTACGATAGTAAGCGCATATTTCTAATACTTGAGTATGCCGCAAAGGGGGAACTATACAAGCACTTGCAGAAAGCGAGACGTTTCTCGGAGTCGAGGGCAGCCCAATACATTGCGCAAATGACGAGTGCCTTACGATACTTGCATAGCAAGCGTGTCATTCATCGGGATATCAAGCCTGAGAACATTCTTCTCGGTAGGCATGGCGAGCTCAAGATGGCTGATTTCGGCTGGAGCGTTCATGCGCCCAGTGGTCGGCGGATTACCAAGTGTGGAACATTGGATTACTTGCCGCCTGAAATGGTTGATCCACGGAGATGCCAGAATCCCTATGATGAGAAGATTGACCTGTGGTCCCTGGGGGTCTTGATGTATGAGCTGCTGGTTGGATCGGCGCCTTTCGAGGACACGCCTAGTATGACGCAAAAGAGAATTGCAAGAGGTGATATGAAGATTCCTTCCTTTGTCAGCTCGGAGGCAAAGGACCTTATCAGAAAGGTGAGTAAATTGGCTATGCTACCAGTCCAAATGGGGTCCTAACTGTGACGAAGCTACTTGTCCTTGAACCCGAACAGAGAATTCCCTTGGAGAAGGTCCAGCAACACCCCTGGATTATGAAGCACTGTCTTGCTGGCGAGAAAGCTGCAAAGGCGGAAAAGTCAGACGGGTGAAACGTCACCAGCCGCGAACGAAATATAATATTCCCATCCAGTGGACCACTCGTCCATTGGAAACCGGTCTCGTTGGCCTGTTCTAGAGCATTTCTACCCCTAGGGACCCGAAACGTCTGTGGTCGCTGAACACGTCCATTGAACATTTCCATAGGTCTATGATTACATGTTCACCGAGCTATCATTGCAGTTGGATGTGACGAAGAGAATATCACGGATATACCTGAAGTACACCCGCGCAGTCGGCTTCCATGCTCCATTGCATGAACCAACAACATCTCGGTGTGCATATCGGCGTCTTGTCTGCGCATGCTGCAACTCATGTAACCGATAAGATAGTGCTGGTCTGGAGACACCTCTCATCTCAAGCTCGCTGTTCTAAAAATGAACCTTCATGTTTGTAGATCTGGAGGTAGTCGACTATTTGGGTGTCCGACCCGACATAATGGCGATCTAATTTTTTTATATACCTAAATTTAAGAAAAATGAGACCATCGTTCCAAACAATGGACTTGTCATTATGCATATCATTCTTGCAAAGCAGCAACATCGTGACTATCAAACGATTTCTGGTTTAACAGCTGCATCAACGGTAAAGCTCAAAATGCACTAAATACAATAGTCTCTAATCGGAGAGACAGATCCTTTCTGTTTGACAAAACACCCCCATCATCATTTGTGCGTCCCTCGGTACATTTTCCCAACAAATATGGAAATCATGTTTCTTGCTGGAAGCCAGCCCTCCAGCTTCAGAGGGTTTGGCTGTCTACGCAAGCAAGTTGTTAGTATACGATCACGGTAGGGAGGGTACAGCCAATGATGGGCTACAACGATCTCAACCCCGAAAACAGCAGAGTCGGAGCTAAGAATGAATAGATTTTATAATACAACTTGAAAGTTAATAATAGTAGAAGTGAAAGCTTAGCTCGCGTACAAGAAAACACAGGTGGGCGGTGATCAGGGTCCTCGGCACCTTAGGCATCAATAATTAGTCAGGCACAAGGCGTAGACGTGACGTGGTCGCCGTGCTGGACGCGCTGCCTTCGCAAATGTTCGCCCGTACTTGCAGATTCCATAAGCAGGTATGCAGCTTTCTTCCAAGCGGACCTCATGTCCGAAAAAGATTAGCATTGTCCACCTCCACCTTCCTGGAAACAGATGAGATGAGCGAGGGTACCCGGAAAGCGGCCATAAGACCCAGCAAGACTCGGTATAAGCTTGTTGAGTACGTTGAAGATCTAGACCGATACTGTGCCGGAGGATATCATCCTTTACAGATCGGTGACCAACTAAATGACTGCCGATATCGACTGGTTGACAAACTTGGGGGTATGGGGGATACTCGACTCTATGGCTAGCCCATAACTTGCAAAGGGCCAAGTACGTGGCAGTCAAGGTCATCACCGCGGATGCCAGTGCCGGAAGCTAGCTAGCTACTCTCTCTTGGAAAACTCGTCGTCTAGACCAGGAAGAGAAATACTTCCATCGCTCATTGACAAATTTTGGGCTGCCGGTCCCAATGGGAAACATCGCGGTATCGGTACTCCGCCGGCACAGATGAGCTTGTACGATGCGAAGGAGGCTTCAACGTTTTGTCTTTTTCGACCTAAGGTCGCGCGGTCGATTATCGCTCAGCTCATTCGTGGGGTGGCATTTCTTCGCAGCGAGGGCATTATACACGGCGGTATGTGATGCGTATAGTTGTAGCTTAATTGCCGAGCTGACCTCATTTCTGTCAAGACCTTCATCTGGGCAATATTTTGGTCCAATTTCCCGAATCAATTGATCAGTATACCACATCAGAGCTATACGAGAGATTCGGAGAGCCAGAGCCGGAGGCTGTTGTTCGTCTTGATGGCAGGTCACTGTCGACGAGCGTACCCGCACATGTATTCGTTCCCGGTTGGTTTGGTTTTCGTAGCGATGACATTGCACTTGGGGAGGAGAGGATTGTGCTCAGCGACTTTGGAGAATCTTTCAATCCTCACAAAACACCCAGATTCTTTTCAAAAACCCTCCCTCTCATCCAACCGCCTGAGGCCCGATTCTCGGGTGAGCCGCTCTCCTTTGTCTCAGACATTTGGACGCTTGCCTGCACTATCTGGGAGATTTACGGCCAGCGACCTCTATTTGACACTTTTTTTTCCCCAACTGCAGAGCGTGTCACCGCGGAGCAAGTAGAAGTCCTTGGTATTTTACCTCATGAGTGGTGGGCACAGTGGCATAGAAGAGTGGAATGGTTCAATGAAGAGGGGGAATTGGATTTAAAGCCGGAGATGGCTAGACGCCACGATGGCGTGCGCAGGACTTGGGATGTGAGGTTTGACTATTGTATACAGGAGCCTCGAACCGAGGCGGGCATGGAGATCGTGACGGAGGAAGAGCGGAGGGCGTTTGAGGTGATGCATCGCTCAATGCTGACCTCCCGGCCAAATGAAAGAGCGACAGCACAGCAACTATTGCACTCGGAGTGGATGAAAGGCTGGGGGCAACCAGCTCTCTTCAAGAGCTGGAGTGATGAATGAGAAAGAGAAACAGAAGATCACAAACTCGACTTCAAAGTAGAAACGATTATGAGTTGTTCTTTGATAACTGCGTACTATAGCCCCAAAGTAGAGTACTACTTTTATTTTTCACGGCCATTGATCTGCCCCGGGCGTCCATCTTTCTTTCAATTGGCCTCCCGATCTAGACACCCTTTCTAGCAGCATTCTTCAAATCCTCCTCCTCAAACACCAACTCATCTCTTTCCCACACCAAGCGGACAGCAGTTCCAATGGGGCCTGTCAAGGCCAACGAAGTAGAAATCTGGAACAGTAAACACAACCATCCGACCTGTCCCTCAGTCTTGCGATGCGCCGAGACATTCGCAATCACAGCCCACAAAAGCACCGCCAGAGATCCAATGATATTATCCCATTGCAGGAAAATATGAACACCCTCACTCGCAGAATCAACCTTGAAATCGGCAGATGTAAATGGATTGCGAAGTCCGAATACCTGGCTCGGGTGCAGAGAATGCAGGTACTCGGTGCTGAAAATCATGGGGGTTGCAATGGTTGCAAGCGAAATTGACCAGGCGGCGACATGGCTGATAGCTGCATAAGATAGGGCAAATGTGTAGGTAGCTCGAAGGGATTTGCGCAGTTGAGAGGGTGTAGCTGAGCTAGTAGAGGAGAATAAGATCGAGACAAGCGTCAGCAAGAAAGACACATATGCGGGCCAAAGTTGCCAGAGGGCAATTAGGGTCTGTTTCTGCTCGAAAGTAACAATTCCTGGAGCTGGTAGCAACATGGAATATGTAGGTAGAATGTAGGCCACTATGAAGACTGCGGGGATGGCTTTTACGACTGCGGTGGGAATGGCGATGTTGCGGGCAGTTGGCTGCAACGACACATCGGAAAATAGTAGCTGCAGGCCCAGGAAGAGAGGAGCAGACACGGCATAGGTCATAACTTGAGCGACAATGCCGAATATTGAAGGGCTGGTAAGGTATTAGTAGTATTTTGGAAGAGCCAGCATGTGATTTTGTAGGTACACTCACAACGAGACAAACTTCCTGGAACTTCCAGCTCTCCAAGACTCTAGTACAGCCAAGATCCAGGCTGAGCCGAAGGCGCCGCTGAAAGCAAATGAATGCAGCGCCAGAGAAGCATTGCTTCCATCGACAACGGGGGCAAAGAACAGGGTTAAGACGGTCAGAATCTCATCGATGGCTTCGATCCCTGTGTAGCTGGTCTTCAGAGCCTCGCTGCCGCTGGCTGAAGGCAAGGTTTTCTGTTTGCCAAATCCTTCTAGCAGGTCCAATACGCCATTTTCCTTGGAGAAGGTGAATATGGCGAAGCTAGCAAAGACTGAGAAGAGAGGAAACAGGAGAGCGAGATAGTATTTTGCAGCAAGCCCCATGGTGATCATCTCTGACAGCGTTTTCGCTGCCGGTAAATAGCAAGTACCTATTGTTGATTGATGAGAGTGAGAAAAGAAACCAATTAAAAAAAAAGAAAGAAAGAAACAAAAAGACTTCCCGATGCTGACTGACAAAGAAGAAGAGTTATTTATTTATGCTTGATGCGGCCTCAGCCGCCGGAGCCGCGGTCAGCTTACCAACACCTTTGTTTTACTGTATGCAGAGTACTTTCAGCTGTTGACAATTCTGTTTCTGACCGACTGCTACGTATAGTGAGTGCATGCCGTGTTTCTCCTGCAAGGGAGACAAGCCTCGCTGATTGATCTTCTGCAGTTAGCATGCCCCACGTCTTGTATTCCACTATTAAGCAGATTTCCTGCTCTATTGTGCTTCACATGTAAGATTTTGAGCGTTCGCGCAGCATATACTCAAACGTAGCTCAAGCTCAAGTAATGCCAGAGCCAGACAATGTCTAATCATCGACGTGCCATGAAATGGTAACATGTTTATTGTTTTCTCTTTTCTTATCTCCATTCAACGTGAATATTGAACAGCAGTTTCAAAAGTCTCTATATACAAAGTAGACATGACAAGGAACAAGAAAATAAAATGATTGGGTTACAGGAACTTATCGCTTATTTCTTCTCCTGTGGTTTCTCCTCTGGCTTGGGGGTGGGGAGTTTGAACTGAGATTCGTAATTGCGTTAGTATCACACCAGGACAAAACTCGTTGACAATTAAACTTACCGATTCAGGGGTGCGATCAGTTCCACTGCCAACTGGCTCCCAGGCAGTGGTACCTCCCTCAAAGTTACGGAATGCTTGCGTAAGTTCAAGAGGTTCGTACACAATGCGCTTCTTTTCTTCATCATAACGGATCTCAGTGTATCCGGTCAACGGGAAGTCCTTGCGGAGAGGATGTCCGTCAAAGCCGTAGTCGGTCATGATACGGCGAAGGTCAGGGTGACCAGAGAAGAAAACGCCGAACATGTCGTACACTTCACGTTCATACCACAATGCTCCATCATAGAGTCCGGTTAAACTGGGAACAGGCTCGGCCTCGTCGGCATATGTCTTGACACGGATACGAGAGTTGTGGCGAACACTGAGCAAGTTGTAGACAACCTCGAACCGCTGATCCCGGGTAGGATAGTCGACAGCCGTAATGTCCGAGATTTGTGTGTACTCAGCAGCGGTGTGGTACTTGAGGAAGCTGACGACCGGAAGCAAACCGGACGGAGGAACGTAGATGGTAAGTTCGTCCTTCCAGACGGAAAACTGCTGGACGTATTTCGGCAGGCAGGAGATGATATATTGGCCGTATTTGTGCAAGGCATCCGCCTGGTCCTTGTGCTTGTCGGTTGGGTTGACCACAGGAGCACGAAGCTCTCCCTGAGCTATACAACCACTGCTATTAGTATCACACTTCTCTAGAGGTCCTCTCGCCAATCGCCAATGGACACTCACGAGGGCGTGTTGCGTTTCTCATATTCGGGACAGGGTCTTCCTTGTCGACCGCGCGGAATTGAGTCGAAGAGAAGGCGCGGACGCGAATTGCCGATCTCGAGGCTGACCCTAGAGAGCGGCTGCTCCCTAGGCGCAACAAAGACCGTGCTGCCGCCATTGTGCCGAAGCAATTGATGACGAATTGCGGATGGAGCTGGAGTAAGTGAGCGGGCTTGTCCTGCGATGGAGTTGCGTTGCGATGTTGAAGCGAGCCGCGGAAAGCGCGTCACATGACCGTGTGACATAAGCACCTCGCACGTGACTCTTCTTTTTCGCCGCGCGACAACGCCAAGACCACGTCCGTCTGGAAAGAGCCACTGCCAGCGCGGCAAACCAAGATTGATCCCATCCTCTTCTTTCACGAAGTTAGCCACCTCCTCCACGCTCGACGACGATTCTCTCATTTGCTATTTCGTTCTCTCTGCTTGTTTTTTTCTTCTCATTTCAGCTGCGCTTTTCGTCATCTTCGTCCGTGGTTTTCGTCGACACGGCTTCTTACGAGGCCCCCCCCCAACACCGGTGCAAACCCGTTTCTTCACCATTCACATCATCGCCCACGATGTCCAATCGCAATCAGATTGACTCTGTCATCGACGATGACGATGAGTTTTGGTGAGATCCATCTCAAGACTGCTCGCGGAGAATTTTTTTTGTTGGCTAACAACCCTACTTTTCGGACAGCCCGCTCTGCATCGAAGAATTTGATCTTTCGGACAAGAATTTCAAACCTTGCCCCTGCGGCTATCAAGTATGTCCTTCCCTGTCTGCTCTTACAATGGGCCTTTTCTTTCGTCTTTCTTCTATCTATATATCTTTTTATCAAATATTCAGTTATTACAAACAACAAGGGAGACCTTGCGCTAACTCTTTCTTTCTTTGTAGATCTGTCAGTTTTGTTACAACAATATCAAAACTCATAGCGAAGAGGGCCGGTGTCCCAACTGCAGGCGCGTCTATGATGAAAGCACAATCCAATACAAGGTGCCCGATGCAGACGAGTAAGTGGATGCAGTTGAACAACTGACCTAAACATTGTACTCACCACGTCAAATAGGTTTAAAGCCGACTTGGCCTTAAAACATCGCAAAGCTGCCGCCGCCAAGAAGAAGGAAGCAGAGAAGCGGGAAATCGAGGCTTCTAGTCGGAAGAACCTTGCTGGTGTCAGGGTTGTCCAGAAGAACTTGGTCTACGTTATCGGCTTAAACCCCACAATACGAGATGAGGGTCAGCTTTTACAAACGCTACGAGGTCCGGAGTATTTTGGGCAATATGGCGAAATTGACAAGATCGTTGTCAGCAAGGCAAAGCCGGGTGGTAACCCCAATCAAGGTATTGGTGTCTACGTGACGTTCGCGCGCAAACTCGATGCAGCTACATGTATTGCAGCCGTGGATGGTTCTCAGAACGGCGACCGTCTTCTTAGGTAAGTTTATCCGTTTCGCTGCTTTTTTCTCTGAGAGAATCCTTGACTAGGGCGGTAGCGCTAATAGTGCTCAAAGGGCTCAATATGGAACGACTAAATACTGCTCCTCTTTCCTTCGAAACGAACAATGCAACAATCGAAACTGCACATTCCTGCACGAAACTGGCGACGACAGTGAGAGCTATAGCAGACAAGATCTGTCGTCGATGAACACAGCACAGAGACATGGGTATCAAAATGGTGTCGCAGCCGCTGCCAATCGACCTTTTGCCCCGACAGTGCAATCTCAACCAATGCGGCGGCAGGGGAGCAAGGATGAAGTAGCAAAGCCGTTACCAGATGGCCCTGCTCTTCCGTCCTCTGCGAGTTGGGCCAACAAGGATGCCCCAATCAATCGTGCCAGACGGCTCAGCACCACTGGTAGTCGCTCGTCACCAAGTCCAAAACCCGCAAATGTTCCCATTGCCAAGAACGAAGAAGTCAAAAAACATTTTGTTTCCGCTCACGATTCACGACGCTCTACTCCTGCTCCAACCCAGCCTCAAGCAAGCACACAAGCTGCTTCCCCAGCGCAAAATATACCCCCAAAAGATATCTTATTAGAATCTCTTCTAAAATCTGTCAACTCACCCGAATTTCGCTTTGTTTTTTCCACTGAAGGCTTGTCGGATGATGATCTTAAATACATAGAGAATGGTCCATCTTTTATCGATCCTTATGGTGGGGCGAAGCGCCGAGCAATGAGGGAGAAAGCTGAACAGGAGCGTGCAAAAGAGGAGGCCGAAGCCCAGTCATTATTACAATCTGCAGCTGCGGCGGATGAAGAGACTCGGGAGAGTGGCAGCCTGCAGCTTGGAGGTGAACCGGACGATGTTCATCCAGTCAGAGGTGCGGTTTCTCGCAGTCGTGATACTCACGGGGCCATTCAACCCCCTTCCCAACAGGGAACCGGCACCAATTCTGCTGTTGGTTCTCCGGCATCTATGTCACAACCGTTCCAGAGCTTGAACATGACCACCCGGAGCTTGACGCCACTTCAACAACATCAGCTTATGTTGTTAAAATCCGGCGGCGGCCAGCAAAGTGGCCTGATGGATACTCTCAGCCCTGCTTATGATCAGACCTCTCAAACCCGACCAGGTTTATTTCAAGGATCAATAAGCCAAGCAGGGGTAAGTGTAAAAATTTGATTATGATGTCCGTCTTCATTTGCTAATAAATTGTTTGCAGCACACATCCAATACTAGACTTCTTGGCCAGCAAAACTTGATGCAATCTGGAAATTCTAGTCATGTGGCAGTCCCAGCTCCTCAGCAAGGCATATCGAACCAGTTCTATACGAGTAGCGTACAGGGACCCCCTCCGGGTCTGAAAACTGCCGGCACTCCTCCCATCAGTGGCGGTGGCATGTTTGCCCAGGGCCATGGCTTCACATCCAATACCAATCTGGGATTGGGCGGAAATGTCGGCAAACAAGAGGCGAATCCAGATCTTATGCGAGAGTTACTTCGTGGTCGCGGCGTTGCAGCTAGCACAGGTGGTTTACAAGGTCATGAATCTGCTAAGCGTGAGTTTCTTCTCCCTTTCATCCAACAGCACAATACTCCCCCTCCCCTGACTCCTGCTACTGGCCTTCTCAACGCCTTCTATGGTACCCAGAACGGCGCCTTTGCCGATTTTGGGCCACAGAAGCAGAAGAAGAAGGGGAAGAAGCACAGACATGCTAACACTTCCTCCGGTGGAGGCGGTGTAGTAGATCTTGCGGACCCGAGCATACTACAGGCGAGGATGCACCAAGCCGGTGTTGGAACGACTGGGCAAGTACTGTACGGAAGTCAGGGGCAAGGTGGGTACAACCCCTCTATGATGTACGGAGCCGGATTCAATCGTTGGTGATTGTCATCATATTCTTTCTTTTCGCGGTTTCCCCCTTTACATTGAAGATATCGGCATGCCATCGTTTCTCTTCCCCCCCTTTTCATCTGATTTAAGTACATTGTGTTCTTTTCTTTGCATTGCATAACCAAAAATATCCCTTTTTGCATGACTTTTTCATTTATCACGACATGAAATTCTGTTTCCCTAATGTTCGATTTTCTTTCTCTCTTTGTTGTTATGTATTCCAAGATTTCAAAGTGGCCTTTGAAATTATTGGGCCCGGATGTGCCATCGGTGTTTCATATGGGGTTTATAGTTTTCACATTTTGATTGTGGTGTTTTGAGTTGGCGTCGCTGCACTTATCATTGGCGACTTGCATGTTCTGGGTTCTTTATTCCTCCGGCCAGCAGAAGCTTTCCGCTCTGGCTCCTCTTTCAGCATTCTGCCATTGCCACCTGCTGGTGATCCAAAATGGTTATGTACGTTAAAAATTCCCTGTCCTGTCTTGTACCCAAGACAAGCCAATATGCTGAAACCAATTTCTCACAAATAATGCCGTTAGCTTCTATCATTCATGTCTTTGGCCGAGTATTTGATTTAATTGGGCCAGATTGTCCTTGTAACAATCTTATCATTGTATCGTATATTCGTGACTGTGCTTTCTGTTTTCCATTTCCTCAAAGTCGATGGCAGCCGATAGTTTTCTTCAGCATTTTTCCTGTTCACTGTTTTCAAGGTTCAAACATGCTTTCCTGCAGACACTCGCTAATTGTTTATAGTCGCCGATGAAGACTTTCCTCCTCTCACCCCTGGGCTGAAGGGCAACGTTGAAAATGGTTTTCGCTCTGCTTTGTCCAAGGAGTCGCAGAATCCTTCTCGCTCCGGGACACCGTCTCTTCCCCCGGGGCTCCCGCTTCCACATGGTCATCCAGCAGCGGCTTTCTTCAAAGAAAATTCCAGCCCGATGTCATCTGTTAGTGTACCAGCTCAAGCTCCCCCGGGTCTTCCGGCCTCACGGCGTGGGACTCCGTTACAAAAGTCATTGGATATATCACGACGCCAGACTCCAGCGGCCGAAGATGTTTCTGAGAATACTCAGGTAGAAAAGACTCGCAATTTTGGAGATATCTCTTTGGGTTCTCCAATGGCACGATCAGCCCGAAAGGCCAATATTGCAAGCCAAGCAGAGCAACAGCCTACTAACAAAGAATCACCCGCTTGTGACCCGGTAAAAGGTTTCCAAAAAAAGGTCAAACCCATCAAGCTTGATCTGTCTACGCCTTCTGAAGAATTGCCGTCGTATACGTCACCTACAAAAGAAGTACCTGTGTCTAGCTATGCTGCGGCAACCACAATGCCACAATCAACTGCCACGATCAGCTCGCGACCCGGTACGCCTTTGACAGCAATATCGCGGAACTCTGATTCATCCGGCACCCGTCAGCCGAGAGTGCTTCGAGTGGTTGACACGCAGAAGACGGAGACACCACCGCCACCAGCGGTGCAGTCATTGCCTTCACTCGCTCAGACCAAGATTCGCTCTAGACGCCCTAGTCTTTCCCCTGAAAGGCGAGCTTCCACCCCCGCTGATGCAGGGTCTGACTATGAAATGACGACTTCTGCATCGGCTTCCCGAGCCAACTCTCCACCTCCTACTAAAATAGGCACTGCACCTGTTCGCGCAATGACAAAGAACCAGGCAAAGAAAGAGCGCAGATTAAAGGCGAAACAGGCAGAAGAAGCTATAAAAGAAGAGGTAGCTGCAATGACTCCCGAGGAGCCTGTTCAAGCACCGATTGTAGGACGCAAACGCAAAACGAAAAAGCCACCAGCAGTGCCATCTGAGCCGTCTCCTGCTACGAAACCTGCTTCTGATATGGAGACACAAAAGAAAGAAACAAAATCTGAGCTAGAAAGTCAGAAACCAAAACTAACTAAGGCGGATACTGAGAAGGCTGCCTCGGATGAAAGTGGCACCAAGCCCCCCAGCGTCGAGCCCTGGAGGGCTAATAATACGATTGCGCAATTGGTTAAAGATGCGGAAAGTACTGGAACTGCAATCAAGGATCTATTCTTGGAGCGAACTGGTCCTCTCCATGTCTTACTGGCGCAGATGCATAACTCTGGCCACATTGACCTTAACAGTCATCCACTTTTCAATCCCCTGCCTCTGAATCAGCGCAATGACATGAAATGCTCCGCCGATGATTACGACAAGTTGAGGCAGCCAATTGATCTCACGGAAGAAGACAGGAAAACCCTTCAAAGGGGCCAACCAATCCGAATCAACGGTGGCTCTGACTCAGTGCAAAGCCGTTGCCTGATCACGCCCAAGGGACGAATCCTCCGTCATCTTTCGGCTGAAGAAGAAGACCAATACCTTGAATTAGAGAGCCATTTCGAGCCCGGAACATGGAACGAATACCCTGCAATGTCTGCTACTGGCCCCGATGCAACCAATCTAAATGGCGGATTGGATGCTCTCTATCTGAATCCCGGACGGTTCAACATTCGGTGGGTGGCTGAACCCTCGAGCCCTGGAGCCTCACTTGCGACTGCGGGTGCGGTGGTAGCTACTGGAGATCAATTTGCGCTAGATCCCCCATCCGAATCCGCTCCGCCGAATGTTTTGTCCATGATGGAAGCGGACGCCAATCGAAGCTATACCGGAACAGTGCGAGATGCTCATGTCGAAACGACAGCGCGGTCTTTTGCAGGCGGCGATTTGCAGCGGACCTTAGATGTCAAAGGCACGGTATTTGGCGACATCGCAGAATTGGATAATGTTTTTGGCATGTCTAACAAGGAGCTGCGCATTTATATTGACCATTCGCAGCGTGCTCTGGAGAGCTCTCGCAAGGAGTTTGATGCCTTTGACAAGAAGTTGTCTGCACTGGTCAAGCGAAACAAAAAGCTAGCCCAGCAGGCTCTTGGTGCAGCAGTCGAGGTTGGCAAGTAGAGTAGCAGCCTCGCTTAATGTCTTTGCATTGATGATCATGAAATAGCAGGCAGTCATTATTACAATGTATTTTTAGGAACTCTAGTTGTCTTAATGTCAGATTAGCATCTTTATTTTGCGCATTGTCCCTTCCGTCTTGTTTAGTGTTACATAGCCTCACGTAATGATCATATCCCCTTTAAGCTCTTTGTTCAAGGAATTAATTCTATTTCCATCTTTCAACTTTGTAAGACGGATATCATCGGCCAAACGCGCCCGCTCTTATCAGGATTCAGGATGCGATGCCGCGCTAACCTCCTTCAGATTAGCCCATTACCATGATCTCATTGGCCGTGACATGCCATCTTTGCAGTCTCACTCAACACTTGCAAGCGATGCAATGGGCTCGTCTGTGGCCAGTTCTCAACTAAATAGCAGAATAGAGCTCGCAGAACAATACGTAAGTGTAACTATCAATGAAAATATCCCTAAACTGTCTACCAACGTGGAAATTCCCATGCCACGCTCTAGTCCAAATGCCGTTAGTTCCATCAGCTTATCGCAATGCCGATGCCAACCGAGATCTCCCCAAACTGCTTTCAACCCTCTCAAGCACCAGCGTCTTTTTCTCTCACTGGAAATTTAAGGCACATATCGTGGAATTCTCAGCAACCAGTTTACGACTTTTTTGTTCGTAACTGTCTCTATACATGAGCGATTGATTGATAACATCGCCATGGCTTCCTCGCTCGCCAGTCGGTGCGCCATCCGCTCAGCATGTCGCAACCAGAGACTGAGATTCGTTGGTGCGCGATGGAATAGCTCCATTTCACAGAGGCCGGGGTCGGACAAGTAGGTTGCTACCAGATGAGTAGGAACTTGAAGTATGGCTTGCTTATGCAAATATACCGCTCTCAGGGTCCGATTTCCCGGCGCTGTTGACAGCAAATTCACATCTGAAATGGCTTTTTCACGGCCGTCCACGACACCCGCGATGCAAACATACCGCGTGATGGATTCTGATGGAGTTATTGTGGACAAGCAACATGAGCCTTCTGATGTTTCGGACGAGGAGGCTTTAACTTGGTACAAGAACATGTTGACAGTGAATATAATGGATGTGATCATGTTCGAGGCTCAGAGGCAGGGTCGGCTGAGTTTCTACATGGTACGACTATATACAACTGCCTATATCCGAAAGAGGTGCTCAAAAAGATACTAACTTTCTGTATCTGTGCGTGTTCAATATAGGTGTCTGCAGGCGAAGAAGGCATCGCTGTTGGATCAGCTTCTGCATTAACAGACGACGATGTCATATTCTGTCAATATCGAGAAACCGGCGTGTTTGCACAACGCGGAATGACGATTAAACAATTTATGAGCCAGCTTTTTGCCAATAAAGATGATTCTGGACGTGGCCGGAACATGCCTGTACATTATGGGCTTGAACGTCCCCGAATAGTACGTGGTATACCGGACAGATGAAACATTGATTTTTTTTTTTCTTTTTTACTCATTCATTCACAGTTCACAATATCGTCCCCGCTTGCCACGCAACTCCCGCAAGCAGCTGGTGCCGCATACGCGTTGAAACTGCAGGCTATGCAGAATCCCAATAAACCAGCTGGGGTTGTTGCGTGTTACTTTGGCGAGGGAGCTGCTAGCGAGGGTGATTTCCATGCTGCTTTGAACATGGCAGCGACCCGATCTTGTCCCATTGTTTTCATCTGTCGGAACAATGGGTTTGCCATTTCCACTCCCACCCTCGAGCAATACCGCGGGGATGGTATTGCAAGCCGCGGCATTGGTTACGGGATCGATACGATCCGAGTTGACGGAAATGATATCTTTGCCGTTCGAGAGGCAACCAAAAAGGCTCGATGGATGGCTCTGGAGGATGGTGGCCGGCCCATTCTGATTGAGGCCATGAGCTACCGTGTATCTCACCACAGTACCAGCGACGACAGCTTCGCGTATCGTGCTCGGGTGGAGGTTGAGGACTGGAAACGCCGGGACAACCCCATCATCCGGCTTCGTAAGTGGCTTGAGAATAAAGGGCTGTGGAACGAAGAGCTGGAGCAGCAGACACGAACAGACCTCCGCGCAGCCATCCTCAAGGAGTTCAATGCTGGCGAGCGCGCAAAGAAGCCTCCACTGAAAGCCATGTTTACGGATGTCTATGAGAACCTCACCGAGGAACAGGAGGCGCAGCGCGAGGAATTGAGAAAGCACTTGCAAAAGTACCCCAATGAATACCACATGAACGACTACGAAGGTGGCATCAAGGGGCTGTAAATGGAGACATCCTCCCTTTTTACTAGATTGTCTGGCGTACTGTAATCATAGGCAAAGTACATAGACAAATGAGACGACGAAGCTATTTATTTGCAGTGCATTTAGTTATATATTTATCCGGGGCGTTGTGCTTCCAAAGGTTACGGTATGTATTTCCCGGGGAATGAGCCCCGCAATCAATCAATCCTTCTTCTCCCCCGGCCTCGACTGCCTACACCGACGACTAAATTGCGTGCAGCTCGTTGCGTTACCCCTCCTGAAAACAGGCTGCAATTACCTCCAAGGGCCGGTTTATCCCTGTTGCCATGCGCTGGCGATGTAACGTTAGCCAGTGGCTCGAAGGGCATGTCAGAACAATAAGCAGCGTGGGTGTCGATCATTCTGGTGCTTGCGGAACGAAGTCCGGGCCATTGCTTAAATATCTGGGCGATTGTGTTGAACTGAACATTGTACAATCCCAGGCACTGCTACACTACCAGTACCTAGCACCTAGGTACCTACAGAAAGGCGATTATGCGACTCGCAGCAGTGCTGCTGGCCGCAGGGTTCCCCCTGCTGGCCGCGGCACAACACGTTATCGACTTGAGTGGGAAGGACTGGACGGTCAGGAATGCGCAGGGCAATGTGTCGGCTTCGGCATCTTTGCCCTCCCTGGTGCATTTAGACTTGCATGCTGCTGGGGTGATTCGTGAGTAAAGCCTTGATTTGACGTTAGTTCTGCCTATGCTAACGAGGCATTCTAGCCGATCCGTAAGCCGAAATGAATTCTTCTGAACAATGACCGTTTTGATAACAACCATACAATAGATATGCGGGTACAAATGAAATTGCCCTCCGCTGGATTGCCTGGTCGAACTGGACATACACAAGCAGCCCAGTCAAGGGACTGTAGGTGCTACTCGCTTACAATACTAGAAATAGGAGAGCTGATGAACCTGGACAGAATCAACGGTGCTTCCAGCAGCTGGCTTGTATTTGACGGATTGGACACCTTTGCTACAGTTGAACTGTGTGGCCAAGTCGTTGGAACTGCATACAACCAGTTCCGTCAGTGGCAGTTCGACGTATCAGAGATTCTAAAGTCCTGCGGAGAAGATCCAGTAATCTCAATCAACTTTGGCAGCGCCCCGACAATTGCAAATGCCATTGCTGACGAATCAGGACAAGAAAGTGAGTTATCGGGGAACATCCTATATAACAATCATTGACTGATAGAGATACACTATAGCATGGCCTAGTGGCGTCCAGGGCTTATTTGAATTCGATAATAGGTGGTTTATTCGCAAGGAGCAGTCCGACTTTGGTTGGGATTGGGGTCCGGCTTTCGCCCCTGCTGGACCGTGGAAACCAGCGTACTTGGTGCAATTCGGACCTCATGATGGTGTCTATGTGCTGAACACAGACATTGACATCCATCGAGAGGGTCAAGTCAACTGGTTGCCTCCTGACCAGACTAAGCCATGGGTGGTCAACGCCAGTATTGATTACCTAGGTACGTTGCCTCATGGGGCATCCTTGACTGTTGATATCAAAGATTCACAAAACAAAACTACAATTGCTTCAGGCCCATTGGCCTATATCACAACTAGAGATAACTCTATAACAGGGCTTACCACGATTGCTGCCGATGTACCTGATTTATGGTGGCCCGTTGGTATGGGCGATCAGAACCTTTACTATGTCACTGTCACGGTTGTCGACAGCAACAAGAAGACTTTGGCCATCGTCACAAAGAGGACTGGATTCCGGACAATTATTCTCAATCAAACCAATATCACGGACGCCCAACTAGCACTCGGGATTGCTCCCGGTGCAAACTGGCATTTTGAGATCAACGGCCATGAATTCTACGCGAAGGGCTCTAATTTTATCCCACCGGATGCGTTTTGGCCGCGAGTCACTAAGGATTACATGAATAGAATCTTTAACTCGATTGTAAACGGAAACCAGAATATGCTTCGAGTCTGGGCATCCGGTGCCTATCTTCCAGACTTTATATACGACATTGCAGATGAACAGGGGGTACTTCTATGGAGCGAATTCGAATTCAGTGATGCTCTGTATCCTGTGAACCAAGAGTTCTTGGACAATGTCGCCGCTGAAGTGTCGTACAATGTCCGCAGGCTAAATCATCATCCGTCGTTGGCTCTCTGGGCTGGCGGTAATGAACTGGAGAACCTGGAATTGGTCGAGGTATATGACGATGACCCGGAGAGCTTTCCCAAATATCTCGCCGAGTACGAGAAGCTGTTCATCAGCTTAATCTTCCCCCTGGTTTTTGACAACAGTCGCTCAATAAGCTACACTCCCACGTCAACTGGGAATGGTTATTTTGAGATCGATTTGTCCCTTCCCGTGCCCATAGTGGAACGCTACGAGAATGTGACACCGGGGTACTATTATGGTGACAGTGACTATTACAATTACAACAGTGCCGAGGCTTTTGACATGAGCTACTACCCAGTTGGTCGATTTGCGAACGAATTTGGATTTCATAGCATGCCCAGTCTGCAGACATGGCAACAGGCCGTTTCCGACGAGGACTTGGAATTCAACAGCACTGTGATCCTCCACCGAAACCACCATTACCCCCCCGGAGGCTTGTCGACCAACACCACATTAAGTGCCGAGGGTCAGGGAGAAATGACCATCGCCGTCGAACGATATTACCCGATTCCATCCAAGACCGACTCTATTGCAAATTTCAGTGCCTGGTGTCTCGCCACCCAGCGCTTCCAGGCTGATATGTATAAGTCGGAGATTCAGTTCTACAGAAGGGGAAGTGGACATCCCGAGCGTCAGCTAGGCTCGTTGTACTGGCAGCTAGAGGATATTTGGCAGGCGCCCTCGTGGGCTGGCATGGAGTATGGAGGTAGATGGAAGGTGCTGCATTATGTGGCGAAGAATATCTATGAGCCTGTGATTGTGGCGCCATACTGGAACTCCTCGACGAGGGACCTGAACATCACGGTCACCTCGGATCTGTGGGAGTCTGTATCGGGCACAGTGACTTTGACGTGGTACGACTTGAAGGGCGTGCCATTGCCAGATAATGCAGGAGTACCTTCTTCAGTCCCATTTACCGTTGGCCCACTCAATACCACGGAGATCGTGGCTACCAATATCAACAAACTTGCCATCCCAGACGTGCAAGACGCGGTTCTCGTTCTGACTCTCTCTGCTACCGGCCACTTGCCCAACAGCGATACTGAGACGCAATTTTCACACGAAAACTACTTTGCGCCTGTGTACACAAATGAAGCAAAACTAGTTGATCCGGGGTTGAAACTGTCGTATGACAAGTCGAGTAATAAGTTTACAGTTGAAGCTACCAAGGGTGTCTCGTTGTATACATGGTTGGATTACCCTGCTGGCATCGTTGGGTACTTTGACGAGAATTCCTTTGTGCTCGTGCCGGGCCAGTCCAAGGAAGTTGCATTCACGGTACAGCAAGGGATATTGTCGGACCAGGTGGTGAAGGAGATAACAGTGCAAAGCATCTGGGATCAAACACAAAGCAATTGATTCTCTCTCTCCCTAAAGCAAGCCGTGCCGTAAAAATTCTCGAATGGCGGCGGCCAATCGTTGTTAGGGCTATTCGCTACGTATCCGGATTTCCTTTCCATGCCAATACAATTTTACTTTTTGATAACTTATAGTTTTCTATACGTCAGTTAACGTTATTTGTTTGAGATAAAAAAATACACTTCGCTGCCAGTATTTAACCCGGTATTGAGCACCAATTCGTCTACATCTATATAAGAGTGAATACAAGACTTACCCCCAAAAATACTCCTCCTCGACGGCCACGGCAAGGTAGCCAGCCCTTCATCTAACACCCCTCCTCGCTCGAGGATGGGACGTGATGAGTCTTACAAACAATGCGGAGCATCGAGGGGAGATATTGGGTTTGCAAAAGAGCCAACAGCGCGGGAAAGAGGATAAAGTGAGCGTTCTTGTCGCGAATCTGGAGCAGATCGAAACGGATTTTGCTGCTCGAGCGCTACTGGATCGGGTTGATCCAAATTATGTTGTTTGGTTGGCGGGTGAGTCACTAACCCCGGGCGTCTTGCATGTCCGGATGATGAGCTGACACTCACTGACTTATGCTCTATAAAAAAGGCACTGGATGCAGAGGCAGGCGAACCATCGATAGCGAAAAACTCAAACGCTCCGTCAAGCAGATGATAGTAGCCTCGATTTCTTTGCCCAAGGTCTCCAAATTTCTAATGGCCTCCTACCTAAGTAACCGGCGCAAGAAACGGGACGCACCAATAACCGATGAGCAGTGGGATAGCATAGCGAATGCGAACGAGAACGAGATCCCGATCTACACATACGATCTGGAGGCGGAGGAGTTTCTCAACTCGATGGCCGCATGGCGTAGGCGGCAAACCCACCTGCCACGCGGGTTTCAGTCTCTACAGGTGACGACAAGCAGCTTGTCAGACGCGCAGGGAACGGGGTCCATGGCACTGCATTCAGAAACAGTGGATATGGAGGGAGTGAAGGAAGAGGTGTCGAGACAGGACGTCGCGGAGGTGATTGTGTGCAGTTGCTGGCGAGATCCGACACGGAGGGACGGTATTGTGTGCTGCACGGCGTGGAGGGCATTGAGGGCGCGATATATAAGGCAGTTCAAAGCCAAGAGAGGCTGGCTTCAGGCGGAGTGTATAAGGATGTAGTGGCAGGGTTTATTGAGAAGTCAAAAGTGGAGGTGAACTTGAGTCTAGACTAACCGTTCCGGGCGGCTCCCCCACCGGGCCGGTGCAGGGCGAGCTGCGTCACCGGAACGAATTGCGCTGAGCTTCCCGGTCAAACTGCCGCCACTGCTTATACACACATACATACATAGTCACGGCGATGGGTTGAATCAACGAAGCATCCTTTATTCTTTCACCACCTGCCTTTTGCATCTCTACACCATGCGTCTTGCCACGACTTCGTCAATGCGGCCGGCGCGCCTTCTCAGCCTGAGGCCGTCTGGCGTGCGGGGCATTGGGAGCTATGCCAACTTCAAAATCCCAGCCATCAACAACGAACCCAACGTAAGTTCTCTCTTGTGTGTCTTCTTGGAAGCTGTATATTGTGGTGCAATTCTCACAGTGGTCTCAACAGAAACACTACGCCCCTGGTTCTCCGGAACGCAAAGGGCTGGAAGCAGCTCTCGCCGAAGTGAAGGAGTCTAGAGTGAGAAATATTCCGTTATTGATTGGGGGACAAGAGGTATGATACATCCAGTTGATTTCGAATTAAGAGTACCCTAGACTGATGAGACGCAGATTACAACAACTAAGCTTGTAGAGCAACTCAACCCCGCGTCACACAAGCCAGTGGCCTACTACTCCAATGCGTCGAAGGCCAACGTCGAAGCTGCCATTGAGGCTGCGCTCGCCGCACGCGGTGACTGGGCTGCCACGCCATGGGCAGACCGCGCTAGCATCTTTCTCAAGGCCGCCGACCTTATTGCTACCAAGTATCGCTATGAGGTCATGGCGCTGACGATGGCCGGTCAAGGCAAGAATGCTTGGCAGGCCGAGATAGACTCGGCTGCTGAACTTTGCGATTTCTTCAGGTAAAGAAGATCTAGTCTCATGTCAAATTCGCGTTAATGGCAAACTAACTAGGGGCAAATCATAGGTTCGGTGTAAAATATGCCGAGGAGGTATACTCACAGCAGCCGGCCCATAACGCATCTGGCGTTTGGAAGTAAGTCTTTTCTCATGCCGATTCCATGGTGATCTTCATAAACTAATATGTCTGCTTTCTAGCCGTCTTGAGTACCGTCCCCTCGAAGGTTTTGTCTACGCTATTAGCCCGTTCAATTTCACGGCCATCGGAGGAAACCTTGCTGGCATACCAGCTCTGATGGGCAATGTTGTTGTGTGGAAGCCTTCGCCATCTGCCATTGCGTCGAACCACCTTGTGCACCAGATTCTCCTGGAAGCCGGTCTTCCAAAGAACGTTATTCAATTTGTACCTGGCGATGCCGAAGAAGTGACCGGTGCTGTGCTTGACCACCCCGAATTTGCGGCCCTTCACTTCACTGGCAGCACATCGGTTTTCCGTATGCTCTATGGCAAGATTGCTAGCGGAGTTGCAGAGGGCAAGTACAAGGGCTACCCACGTATTGTGGGAGAGACGGGAGGCAAGAATTTCCACCTGGTGCATGAGAGTGCAGATGTTCGAAATGCAGCCGTACAGACCGTTCGAGGTGCTTTCGAGTTTCAGGGTCAGAAGTGCAGTGCCACATCCCGAGCTTACGTTGCATCTTCCATTGCAGACGACTTTATCAAGCAGGCCGTTGACGAAGTGAAGAAGCTCAAAGTGGGCGATCCAGCAGACTTTACCAACTTCTGCGGCCCTGTTATCCACGAGGCATCTTTTTCCAAACTCACCAAGGTGATTGACGAGGCGAAAAACGACTCGGAGCTCGAGCTTTTGGTGGGGGGAACATACGATTCGTCGGAGGGCTGGTTTATTCAACCCACCGTATACCTGACCAAGAACGCGAACCATCCCCTACTATCGCGTGAACTTTTCGGACCCATCTTGGTTGTACATGCCTATGACGATACATCATCCTCTGCACTTGCGGATATCTGCACGACAATCGAAAAGACCAGCGAGTACGGACTCACAGGATCAGTGTTTGCGCAGGACCGCAATGCGATTCGCTTTGCGGAAGATGCTCTGCGTAACGCAGCGGGCAACTTCTATATCAATTGCAAGAGTACCGGTGCCGTTGTCGGACAGCAGCCGTTTGGAGGAGCGCGTGCCAGTGGTACCAATGACAAGGCCGGTAGTGCTAACCTGCTCTCAAGATTCGTGAGCTTGCGATCTATCAAGGAAGAGTTTACGCCTACGTATCAGGTCGCATACCCAAGTAACTCTTAGCCGGCCGGCGCGGAATGAAGCGAAGATGACCACCTGCATTGATTTTATACTTGCATAAAAACGGATTCTGCTTGTCACATTTTGGGGCGTTGTGGTTTGCCTTGTCTTGTATATATATATATATATCCCCTTAAATATTTCAGCATATAATTAAGCAGTAATGTCCCACCCTATCACTTTGAACGAATTTCTTATCGCCATGGGCCGTCGCATAATCACAACACCCAGCCATGGTACCTACATATTAGCCAGGAAGCAGCTAGCTGAGCCAAGTAATTAAACAGGGATCCGCTATTCGGCATAGATACCTAGGTAGTGTCAAGTCCGCGTCACGGAGTTTGAACATCCCGGCAGATGGGCTGCTGCATGCGACCCTGTGCCACGACATTCTGTAGGCACATTCTGTAAAATGCCAATCACAAACATGTCACATGCAGCGCCACAGGTAGGACAATATCTTCTCTTTCTATTCTGATGAAATTGCAATCCTATTGATTTGCTCTCTGGTGAACTTTACCCCGCTCTCTGCCCTTTTCAAACAGGGAAATGATTGCAAGATGAACAGACCTAGCCTGTTAGTTTGCTCAAGAATGCCCAATAGGCTTTAGAGATGGCTATGCAGATGTTTACTATATCTATCTAAAGGTTCCCTGTATTAGTTCATACATCCCTGCTTATAGGAGTATAAGTATACCTAGGTAATATTGCTGCATATATCACAATTATCACCCAGATAGATACAGTAGATAAGCTACAAGCAAGTTGCCGAGGCCCTTGCAATTCGTCCTCGCTTTTTATTTTTGATTCGTGTGATTATATGATTGAAATGTGCAGCAGCAGAGGCCGGATTTGTATGTTTTGAGAATATTGTACGCAACTACCAACGAGGAATTGTTTGTTCCTATGGCGGGTGGCAGCCATCCTTTCGTCTTGTTCATCTTAGGTCTTCTTTTGGTGCACTGCGCCGCCAGAGGAAATGACGGCGGTGCGTCACCAACACTGCATCGCCACCTCACAGAGCAGGAGAAGTCGAACAAGGTGAAGCGCGAGGGTCTTCCGTCCAATTACTCCACGCCAGACTACTATCCTACCCCTCATGGCGGCTGGGTGTCTAGTTGGACTGAAGCCTATGCTAAGGCGCAACTGGTTGTCAGTAACATGACGCTGGCTGAGAAGGTGAACATCACCTCCGGCACAGGCTATTTCATGGGACCTTGCGTGGGCCAGACAGGGAGCGCGCTGCGATTCGGCATTCCCAGGTTATGCCTGCAGGATAGTCCGTTGGGGATTAGGGATACAGAAAACAACACTGCCTTTCCAGCGGGGGTGACTACGGGCGCAACCTGGGATAAGGAGCTGATATACGCCCGAGGGGTGGCGATAGGCGAAGAGGCGCGCGGAAAGGGGGTGAATGTGCAGATGGGCCCTGTTGTTGGACCTATAGGTCGAAAGCCGAAGTCTGGTAGGATCTGGGAGGGGTTTGGAGCAGATCCGTCTCTGCAGGGTCTTGCCGCTGTGCAGACTATTCAGGGTATGCAGAGTGTCGGTGTGATTGCGACGCTGAAGCATTTCATTTTGAATGAGCAGGAAATGTATCGGATGACGGACCCGGTGCAGGTGGGTTATTCGTCGGACATTGATGACCGCACCATGCATGAGATATATCTCTGGCCGTTTGCTGAAGGTGTGAGGGCTGGCGTTGGCTCGGTGATGGCTGCATATAACCATGTATGGTCCATTTATTCCTTCAGGTGAAAGAAGCTACTGATATGTGAATTTTAGGTGAACGGATCGCTCTGCACACAAAACAGCGAAATCCTCAATGGCATCCTCAAAGACGAACTGGGCTTCCAGGGTTTCGTTATGTCAGACTGGTATGCCCAAGACAGTGGAGTCCCATCGGCATTAGCTGGTCTAGACATGGCCATGCCAGGAGACGGTGCAGTCCCTCTTATTGGAGTGAGTTGGTGGAACTATGAGCTATCGACGGCGGTTTTGAATGGCACCGTGCCTCTGGAAAGACTGAACGATATGGTATGGCTGGAAATCAGCTGGATGTAGGAATTGAGACGTGACTAAAAGGCTGACTTGATCCAGGTCACACGTGTCGTAGCAGCATGGTATCAAATGGGCCAGGATGATGACTATCCCCTGCCAAACTTCTCGTCGAATACCGAGGACGCCGTTGGACCACTCTATCCAGGCGCCCTCTTTTCTCCTACAGGCGTTGTCAACCAATTCGTCAACGTGCAGGGAAACCACAGCATTGTCGCAAGAGCCGTGGCTCGCGATGCTATCACGTTGTTGAAAAACGTAAACGAAACTCTGCCTCTCAGCAGCAGTGCCAACTTGAGCGTTTTCGGGACAGACGCCGGTCCCAATTCAAAGGGCCTGAATTCCTGCACTGATATGGGCTGCGACAATGGTATTCTCACAATGGGTTGGGGAAGCGGAACTTCGAGACTGCCATATGTCATTACACCAGAAGAAGCTATTCAAAACGTTTCTGCAAACACCCAGTTTTACATCACCGATACTTTCCCATCTGTTACTCCAAATGCCGATGAGATCGCGATTGTCTTCATCAACTCTGACTCTGGCGAGAACTATATTACTGTTGACGGTAATCCCGGGGACCGACTTGAGGCTAAGCTCGCTGCATGGCATAGCGGTGATGAGCTGGTGGTGAATGCAGCCGCTGCATTTAGCACTGTCATAGTGGTTGTCCATACAGTCGGACCAATCATCATGGAAGACTGGATTGATCTGCCATCTGTCAAGGGTGTCTTGGTTGCGCACCTCCCCGGACAGGAAGCCGGTAATTCTCTCGTAGACGTTCTCTTTGGTGACTATAGTCCTAGTGGCCATCTACCATACACTATTCCGCATAACGAATCCGAGTACCCAGCAAGCGTCGACCTGATCGATCAGGTACTAGGCCAAATACAAGATCAATATCTTGAACGCTTGTATATTGACTATCGCCACTTCTTGCAGGCCAATATCACTCCCAGGTTCCCATTCGGATACGGTCTATCATACACAACGTTCAACTTCTCAGATGCAACAATCATATCAGGTACTACCTTGACTCAGTATCCCCCGGCTAGAGCATCCAAGGGGCCCACGCCAACATATGCAACGACCATCCCGCCGGCATCTGAAGTCGCATGGCCGACCGATATCAGCAGTATTTGGCGTTACCTGTACCCTTATCTCGATGACCCAGAAGCAGCCACTTCGACAGCTCCCTATCCCTATCCAACGGGCTACTCGACAACACCGCATGCGGCGCCACGCGCAGGTGGGTCGCAAGGAGGTAACCCGGCTTTGTGGGACACGGTTTTCACTATCAGCGTCAAAGTCACCAACACTGGGACGAGACCTGGCCGGGCTGTGGCGCAGTTGTACGTCGAACTCCCCGCGGATGCTCTGGGTGTGGATCTTCCCCCGCGGCAATTGCGGCAATTCGAGAAGACTTCTATACTATCTCCAGGCGACTCGGAAACTCTCACTTTGCCTCTGACAAGAAAGGATTTGAGTGTGTGGGACGTCGTGATGCAGGATTGGCTGGCGCCGGTAGATGGAGAAGGTGTTAAGTTCTGGATTGGACAAAGTGTGGCAACTGAGGATTTGCAAATAGTTTGCACCGTTGGGCAGGGATGTGAAAGTACATCTTGATCGAAGTAGCTAGGGAGTAAGAATGATAAGTTTCAGTGTCACCTTCTTGCAGCACGTATAATTTACCTTGCCGTAATGACCTGAGTCAACATTTATACAAAGCGCGTTCAAGTCCGATTCCCTTTACACGTTTTAGTTTTGAAAAAATGAACATTCCGCTGGAAAGTTCATATTTGGAAATTGGGGAGAAAGGAGTCAAATAAATTGTTCATATCGAACCCTGCTGTAAAGTCACCCGTCATGAAAGGTTGTAGGTCATCTGTCGGATAGAACAGCTGATCCACGTATTGGAAAGAGCCATCTAAGGATTGCTCTTGTTGCTCTTGTACCGGTAGTACTACAGCTTGCTAAGGGGATCATTAGAGAACATGACGAGAAGAATATTGCATCTTTTAAACTTGGCTTACCATCCGGGAAGGCATATAGGCCATCGATTGAGGATCCCCCGTCACCTGTTCAATAGGCTTCATAAGGCCGGGGTATGGTTTCTGCTTGGTCGAAGTCTCGCGCGTAGAGCTGTTCAATTGAACTTCGCGGACAAACTGGCGCGCAATGAATGTGAACTCGGCTACTAATGAACATGGGAGAGAGCCTTTAGTAGCGTATTCTAGGCGGTTGAAGTAAACGCCAGCGATATCGAGCGAATTGAGGTTGGTGCTTGTTTCTGGATGAAATGGGTTGTGGACGACAAAGTCAAATAGAATAAATAAAGCAGAGAGTGGCATGACCCCAAGTATCCTAGGCGGAATTAGCAATCGAATAGAGGAAGTAGGCATGCATGATAGCGAGATTTGCACTTGCCAGATAGGAGTATGAGGTTGGATTTCAATGTAGTGTGTGATTTCGATAATTTGTCGCGCTGTATACATGAGTCTCCTTTTGGCATGTTCAACGCGTGGAGACTCGCTACCTGCACCGATATGCAAGCAAAGTCTGCAAAGCGACACGACAACGGCATAGTAGAAAAGGTGAGATCTTAAAGATATTGTGATTGTCCACGACGACCTATAATTCTCCGGTATAAATGGCTCTCCGGGTCTCTGATCTTTGGGAATGGACAGACGCCAAATCTCCAAATCGTGGTGCACGGAATCAATGGCGTCAAAGAACTGGCGTGGCGTTTTCGAAGTCGCAGAGACCGTAAATAGCAGCTGATAAGCTCGCGAAGTAAGTCGAGCAAAACGAGCGGATAGTAAAAACCAATCAACGCTGCCGTCTATGGCTTCTGGGATCTCTGGGATGGGGCATCCGATATCCTCATCACACAACTCCTGTGAAAATTATAAACACCGGTTAGTCGTTCCTAAAGATGGCAATAGTCCAGAAAAGGAAACTGACTGAAGTAGTACTGGAAAAATAACACGCCATTTTTTCAAGGGTATATATTACCCAGAAGTTTCTGTGGGCTGAATCATTCATGGTTGATCTATTATAACCTAATGATTGAGACATTCTTGCAGCTTCTGATATCATCGTGCCGTCAATCTGTATGCAAGAAGTATTCAGAGCGAATATCGCCTATTTCGAGTCAGCAAATACCCAGGAAGTAGTTCGACGAAGTCTATACCATAGCGGTTATTGCCTGGTATCGTATTAGCAATGGCTCATTGAGAAGAATTGAAATGAGGATTGGACTCACCTGTAAGTTCACAAGGCTCTCTCTGGGAAGAAGGATATCAGAGAGTAGGCCCAGGGCAACCTGATACAGTTTCCATGTCTTGCCTTTGCCAGCTTCGAAAGATCCACCTTCTGTATACTGGAAGCCCAGAGCGAGCACAGTGTGATACAAGGCAGAGAAAGCAGCATTCGACGACAAATGATGGGGCAAATCGTAACTAAAAGCCTTCTGCTCAAACTCACTACGATCGAGAAAAGGATAAATTGGGTGGAGATGAGTGAAATATGCTGTACCAGGTGTTAGAATAGTGGTCATCTTCCAATTTCTACCGAGACGCACCTGTTATAGATGCTTTTGCAGCTTCCGGAGATACTTTTTCTGGCACTTCGGGGCTTTTGAAAGTGATTGGTGGACGCTGTGGTATTGCTTGCTGCTCATTGTTTTTGCGATTCATTTTCAGATTGATGACTGATCCGATGGTTTCAATGAGTTCCCGAAGCCTGGGATGCCCGACGCGTTCGGTCAACGACCGAATTCGACTTTCGGAGAAAAAGGCCAAGCTAGCGCTTGCAACTAGAGATGGAAAACATGGTAAGCATGCGTGGCTTGAGTCTTGCATGGTGAAACCATAACGTACTGAAGCTTTCTCCTGCCTGCTCACATATGCTTAGCTGCCATTATATTCAATGCGTGTTTTCTCCATTGTGTCTAACTCACCTTGAAGACAGACGATTCCTCTCTCCATCCCTCAATCCCGTGAGCATGCCTAGTCTCCAGGATGTGGTCAATGTACAACTTCTGAGGCAGTTCTGATGGAGGCGATGCATCAGCAGGGTCTGTTGGGGAATGCGCTATGATACAACTCATTAGCCAGTCATTGTTGAATGCATTTTTAGAAAATTTCGATAAACTAATGTAATTCCAATGGCAGCTTACTAAACGTCGGAGATGTATTTTCAGGGTCCTTGACCTTCAGCTTGCGCTTTGTGTGGCTATAGTGGCATTTCTGGTGTCGTTTCTTGACGCGCGAAGTCAACGATAGAGCTAAGATCGCGACGAGCATAGTCACTTACGAGGCAATTATTACAACTCAAAGAATCCGGGCGAGCACCTAGAGCAATGGTCAACAAGAGCGCGATATCTCTTCGGAAGGCATTATACACATACGAATACAGCGGACTTTGCGGGCCTTGCATTGATCGCACGACCGGGATATTCTCGGTAGCAGCAGAGCTGTTGAATCCGACATCTTTCCGAGATGCTGGAGCCTCCTGCTACAGTCGCTCTCATGTCGACGGAAGAGTGCTTTAACCTTTGATATTTCCGCGTCGTCGACGAAACGCGCCGATCCCAAGCCGAGAAATCATGTGATCTCTCTCCACTGTGGGGACTTTTAACGACAACTTTAAATTCTTTCTCTGAGTTGCTTCATGGCTGGCATTGATGAACAGGTTTGCCTGAGGTAACGTAATCGGTAAGCGAACCGGCCACGTAAGCGAGCCGGCCACCTCTTTCCGGAACGGCGTTCTATATCGATTTATCATATTACAACGCGTTAAAATGCCACCAATTCGCAAAAAAGACACCCTAAAATCCGCTCAGGATGAGGGAAAAATTGAATTAGCTATTTCCGACTTGAAAAATGGAAGAATTCGCAGTATTCGTGAAGCTGCTCGAATCTATATGGTCGCTCGTACAACTCTCCAAGATCGGATGCACGGAGTGCCATATCGACAGCTAACGCGCGCCAATAGCCATAAATTGGCTCAATCTGAAGAGGAATCCCTTGTCAAATGGGTGCTTGATTTAGATCGACGTGGATTACCCCCCCGGCACTCTCTCRTACGAGAAATGGCTAATTATCTTCTCTTACAACATGGGACTCAACGGGTTGGAGAAAAATGGGTATATAACCTTGTTAAACGGCGCCCAGAGATTGATTCTAAATTCTCACRAAGATACACCTACGAGCGTGCCAAATGCGAAGATCCAAAGATTATAAAAGAGTATTTTGACCGCGTACGAGATGCTATATCTCAGTATGGAATCCTTCCAGAAGATATCTACAATTTCGATGAGACTGGCTTTGCAATGGGACTCTGTGCAACTGCAAAGGTTATTACCGGAAGCGATCGATATGCTCGGCCGAAGCTTTTACAGCCTGGAAATCGAGAGTGGGTGACTGCAATTGAGGCAACAAATTCAACTGGATGGGCTCTGCCTCCATACATTATCTTTAAAGCAAAGAAAAACGTACGGTTAGGCTGGTTTGACGAGCTTCCGGATGATTGGAGAATCAATATTAGTGAGAATGGCTGGACTACAGATCAAATAGGATTAGAATGGCTCAAAACCCATTTTATTCCTCTTATTAATGGTCGTACAATGGGAAGATATCAAATGTTGATTCTTGATGGCCATGGAAGTCATTTAACAGCAGAATTTGATCGTACGTGCACGGAGAATAATATTATCCCAATCTGCATGCCACCTCATTCTTCACATCTCTTACAGCCTCTTGATGTTGGTTGTTTTGCAGTTTTAAAGCGACATTATGGGCAACTAGTTGAGCAGCGGATGAGGCTTGGTTTTAACCATATCGACAAAATCGACTTTTTAACGGCATTCCCAAGCGCTCGTACGGTGGCATATAAAGCCCAAACTATCCGGAATAGCTTCATGGCCACCGGATTAGTGCCTTTCAATCCGGATCGAGTTATACAACAACTTACTATCCAATTGAAGACCCCAACACCTCCCCCTAGTCGATCCAGCAATACACAATCATCCTGTTTACAAACACCACAAAATATACGTCAATTTATACAGCAGTCAACTACAATCAAGAAACGTATAAATGAGCGTATGGGGAGCCCAAATCAAGTGATTAATCAGGCAATTATGCGAATGTCAAAAGCATACGAAACAACTATGAATGACCTCTTGCTTATACGGAAAGAAAACTACGATTTACGAGCTGCGCATGAAAAAGAGAAGCAAAAGCGTAAGAGGTCTAATAAACAGATATCTATTGAGCAAGGGGTTACTAGAGAGGAAGCCCAAGCACTTATACAAGGTCAGATTGAGGCATCTATTACTGCTCCGGCCGAGCCGGAGCTCCCAGCTTCTCAACCAACCGTACGCCGTCAATTTCGCTGCAGTGGTTGTGGCGCTGAAGGGCATAAAATTAACCGATGTCCTAGTCGTACTGTTAATTAATTTTTTGTATGAGAAATGTATGCGGATTCGAAAAATATGATTTGAAATCGATATAGAGCGCCGTTCCGGAAAGAGGTGGCCGGCTCGCTTACGTGGCCGGTTCGCTTACCGATTACGTTAGCACGTCCTATGTATTTGTCAGATTCCGTAGTTAGTTAGTTAACTAATCACGTGTAGGATTACTAATAAGCATGTCCCAGAGTGGCATGTTAGGGCTTGCCGGAAGCTTCCAGGACCAGTTGTGTGCAGCTTCACTTATGCCATACTAAATAGTAGATAGTGACTTAGTCATGTCTAATGAGTTTGCTGTGAATGGGCTCTTTGAACAGAGAGATGGCAATTCACAGATAGCACCGGGCTGCCTGACTTATGAATAAAAGGACCTCCTACGAGACCATCAAGCTGATATATTAGGGCTACATACTAGGCATATAATTCACATTATCTACAGACAACGAAACACTCTGCCTAGCTATATTCAATTATATTCCCTTGATAATAGCATGTATTTAGCCAGTGTGCATATTTAGGTAGCAAGCCAGTTGTGAATTCACCTTATAAATCTGTCCACTCCTCATTCGAATCCGTGCAACATAGTGAATAGAACCCTGTCTTGGAACAGTTGCTGACTGATTTCTTTATACCTTATATCAAGCTAATAGCTGAAGGACTGTGAATGAACAATGAAAAGCAGGCTAGGAGTTCTGAGTAGGATAACACGAATAATCCCAGAGCACAAAACAATCACTTGCCATACTGCCTGCCTGGTTTCATTGATGGCACGACACGATGTCATACAATAGCCATGAGGCATCCTTGATTTCTAGCTCTCTGGCTATAAATTGCTCCTTCCCCTCCTGTCTGTCTTTCTTGTGTTTTCAACCATCCTTCCACTCATTTTCATCCCATCCCTGTATCCTTTCAGTTATATCTTCCTCGACAAAAAACTGAGCAAAACCATGGCAACCCAGTCATCTGAGAACGTCGGCCTTATGGTCAAACGAAACTCCCAGATATCTGAAAAATCTGGCGAGATGGACGGTCCACGCGAGAGCTTCCGCCAGGCGGGCGATGGAGACTCGTTGTTCGGGCAACCCATACGCCCGGTGACAGCTTACAGCGAATCCTCCACTCTTAACGCTTCTTCAGGTCAGGGATCGACTGACAGACTCCTTCCTGAACGTCCTGAACAACACGCTACCATTGAGACCCCCAAACATCCAGGGGAATATGAGGCGCATTCAATTCCGTACTTCTATGGCGACCTCAAGGAGCACCACAAGCTCCTCCTTGACACCGTTAGAAGACTTCGTTTGGACGCTTCCAAGTGGTATGCCGGTCAAACTCATCTGAAGGGCCTCAAGAAATTCGAAATCGATATCGTTCGTTTTCGTCCGTATTTCGATCCAAATGACGCCAGCCACCCCGAGAAACTCACAGATTTAGAACGCGACTTGCTGGCTTGCATTATCCAGCAGTCACTCACTCCGAGAAAGGAAAAGGTCCTCAACCCAGAGATCTTTGTCAATAAGTCCCAGATCGATCTCTTGAATGTCATTTCGGCATGGAACAAGAGTCAGAAATCTGAGCCGATGAGCCCAAGCTCCTCTTCAACCAGCCCAACCGCCCACAAATCTCGCAAGTTCGGATTCTTTTGAAGTCTGAAATACCAGAAGTCTCGGCAGCCGAAGAAGTTCCAAGTAAGTCCTGCTACCCTCGATGGCGAAAACTAGCTGGAAGAAATAAAATATCTGACTGCGTGCTTAAGAGCATCTCTTGGCTCTCTCGTGGTGGTTTTGCGGCGGTCTCAACCTAACTTTGTTCCTTGACTCGCAGTCTAGGCGGATCTCGTTACTTTCCTTTTCATACTCATCATTATTCCATGTACCAAGGCACATAGATCCTCTATGGCCTCGTATTTTCTATGACCTTACCAAATTTTGGTGGGATTCGCAATGGACTTTTTTAACTCGATTGTTGCCTGGTTGCCCACTGCATTTTTTTTAACGAGATCCAGAATTCTAATGCAATATTGCTCGCTTCTCCTTTATCTCACGTAAACGCCCGTAGGTAATCAGAGCCTCAACAAACCTTCAGGATATGTACATACGTCTGTAATTTGAGGGTTTGTCACAGTGAAATAGAGACCACTGCCGTCTGCCTTGTTGTTTGCTAGCAGCCACGGACATTTGGCCGACCTGCATTAGTCCTCAACATTATGCAAGTAATTTTTTTCTAGGAGTAGAAGATGGAAATAGGTATAAAAGAATGAATAAATGCTTTCCTGCACCAATTTTCCATCTCCGTGTTTGTTCTACGTCGATTCAACTCTTCACAAACCTAGGCAATCCCTCCATCAAAATGAAGGTCAAGTCAATCACATCTCATATCCTCCGCATCACCTCAGTGACAAGACCTTCCCAAGCCCAATACTCCCAAACGCAACTCGTACCTCGTGATAATCCAGACGGAGACGGGCATTATTGGCTAAGGCGAAGGAGGACAGTACGGTACCCCAGAACCTGTAGCAGCTGTCATCAATCATGTAGTTGCAAAAAGACTCATCTGCTGTAATCCCACACAGAAAACGTATCAAGAGCTATTATGTTAAAAACTGTCAATATCCAGAATAACATCAAAACAGCTGGTCTACGCCGGATCGTTGACGACTTGAAAAAGGAGGCTACGCGCTACTGGGGACATAATCAACTGCATGGTATGAGATTCATTCCATCTATTTCCCCGTTCTGAAGCGATAGTCAAGGCGAGTTAGCTAACCATAGAGAATTGAAATACTGATCAGCTGCCGTTTTAGATCAGTCTTGATTCCTTGCAGTTTGGCCGAAGAGACATTCTGTCGATCGATGTCCATATCAAATCAACTAGCTGCAATTCCCACACACTTTGATCATCACCCGGGGCATAATTTGTTTGTATTTAGCACATACAAAACAGTAAGATCAACTTTCCGCGCGAGTTGCCGTTCGATTCTACTCCGCTCTTCGTGACTGAGTTAGCGCAAGCAGTCCGGCATGATAGCGATAGCATGGTTCTCGATCTTTGGGGGTTATTCTACACATTCATTACCGGCTTTCCGAGAGCACCCATGGCAATGCTCTCGAGCGCCAGAGCACTAGTTGAAGTAAGGTATTGTGATGGCGTTTTTGATTTTTGATTTTGAAAGTACCATAACAGATTGTTCTAGATTGCCATTATGCAGGAGACCCAACACAGTATGCAATATTCATGGCTTTCTTAAAAGAGACTAAGCAATCTTCTCCATATTCTGCGGAGAAATACCCTGGATTCCCACGTTTCCAAGCTTGACACAGAAGCTTGTCCATAATGCGGGAATGGGACGGAGAGAACGGCGATACTTGGGGGTTTCCATTCCACAGTAACTTTGGAATACCCACTAGTTGGTCTTCTTGTTCGTACACAGCATAATCGTTGTCGAGAATTGGTTAGCTTGGCTTGAGGTGACCGAATGAATAATTCCCAATAGAGCTCAAAGTGAAACATCTAGACTATACGTAGATGTACAAGACTAATCACACTTCTCGCGATACTTGTCTGGTGCCTAAGGGAAGCTTGCAGCCAGCGGCACAATATCAGGATGGATATGCTGCAGCGAGCGTCCAACTTCAGGCTGTCACTGCCCTCCATGAGAATGACTTTCCAAATACCAAGGAATGACGTAAATAGTGCAAATAGTATCATATTTACCGGCAGTGCCACATATCTTCACATCGTAGTGGTTTAATTTATTAATTCCAAAAGGCAATGATTTCCTCCGGACCCCACGGGGAAGTTCTCCGGATCCCCACGTTTCCAAGGTTGAAATGGAGCTTGGGGGCATATAAAGTTTGACGGAGAGAAGAGCGATGGTTCGGTGGTTCCAAATTTCAACTATTTTCTGTTTGCAGGATTGTTGTTAAGATCTTAGAAAACTAGCCATTACCTAACCACTTGGACCTTTGGGATACACGAGGAACATCTCGTTGCAGCATAATGAGGTTGAAGGGGCATTTTAGTAAAGCTGCTAAAAACTCTAATATATATATAATATGTACAAAAAATCATCAACGTACCCTGTATCTTTGTCGTAGTGAACCTTGGCAGTTGCCTCGGTCCTTTGACTGAAGCCCTCATCAACTCACAGCACAGATAGAAACACCCCTTGTGTTGTCGACTGATATGAAGTGGAGGCAAGCTCTATACATCTATCCATTGCTTCAAGTTGGCTGATTTGTAGAATGCATCAATAACTTTCAAAATCTTGACATTTGTCTGTAGATCGCAACATCCATCTGCAGACGCGGTTCCTCGTACACGATTGAACAACGATCTGAATTGCTTGCGATAGCATGAAGGAACATTAGATGTACCATGGGGCAGCTCGGTCGACAATTTCGTCTCACCAGCCGCAAAACTGCCCCGAGCTTCACGAAGGTATAATGTCCCAACTGGGAAATCTGGAATGACATGTAGCGACCCATTCGTTCCATAGATATCGATGGCCCATTCATTGCACCATTCCGTGGGCTCCCAGGCTGTCATGTCAAGCACGATAGTTTTATCGGGGTATTCCATAATACCGGAGCAAACATCTTCATAAAGCAAAGTACCAACACCGAATTCACCTGTCGTGACAGTGCCCGTGAATAAGTCGGGAATCCAGCCAACGACGGGATGCGGTGGTCGCTCTGGCAGTTTTCGAATAGACGAAACCACCCTCTCAGGAGCACCAAAAAGATCGATTACGTTCTCCAACGTGTGACAGCCCTCTGTCTGCATAATACCTCCTAGATCCTCGGGGATAGATTGCCACAAATCCATTCCGGCGCCAGATGGGCAACCGCCGTGGAACCGTGCAGTCGTGATATCGCCTAGAACGTTCTCCCGAATGACCTTTCTAGCAAACTCCAGTGCTTCAGAATAATGGATTTCATAGCCCAACTCGACAGCAAGACCGGGTCTTTTTGCCTCAATCTCCTCGGCCAAATTATAAAAATCGGCCGGGTCTGCCGCGCCAGGCTTCTCCAAGAATAGACCCTTGAAGGGAGCCGGATGGTCAATAGCAAAACGAGCCCATCGTGGCACATCGGGGTCCAAGGAGTGGATCATAACTACATCCGGATTTGTATTCAACAATTCCTCTGCAGTGTTGAAGCGTGGTAGACGTGGCAGGCGTTTTGCCAATTCACTCGCGATCTCTTCCACTTCTTCATGGAAGCCACAAAACTCAAAGCCACCCATTTTGTCCAGCACGGCGAAGCGGTACTTCACGTGTGGGTGGCGTGTGCCGAGGAATGCTATCTTGATAGGCGCTTTTTGATCATCGTGTGTTTCGTCTTGAAAAGTGAATTTTGTGTTTAAGATATCCATACTGCGGACTGTGCGCTCTGTAGACTGTGTCTTCCCGTTGCTATTTACTTCCCAGTGGCTTTTCTATATCGTATATATTAACTTCAGAGGTGTCGATAAAACTAGGTTTTATTGGTTCCTTTTGGATATCAAAACCATCCCACGCAGTCATAAACCCTAAAGCGGGATGAGCAGTTGCATCCCACCCATGAAGGGCTTATCAGAAGTCGTGGATCCCGCGCAAAGACTCCAAGCCTCGCCACGCGATTACAGTAACTGACTAGTATAATCTCAATCCATGGTTACTATTAGCGATTGACTCACTCTAGCCTAGCATTGCAGCCATGAAAGCCGCAATCACAGTCTCCCTTAATGACGTGCATTGCAAAATAGCCTACATATCACACGAGCACGCGGAGTGATGTTAGAGTTCCTATCCCACGCAAGACCCAGAGGCTGCAGATTCCACCAAACAAAAGTCGCCGTGGGGTCTATCACAGCTAGAAAGGCTAGAGCTATGGTGATGCTCTTATCCTTATCACCGGCGTTATCGCCTCGCCATGTGGAGTAATTGGCATGATCCAGATGCCGATATCAGCGCTAGGTACATAGAGTAGAGTTCGTATGACTCCTATCAACATGTCGGGGTAGCAGTAGGAGGTTTCGGTATTTATCTAGTAGGCGCCCTCCCACGTCTGTCCCGGCTGTTCCCTTCATGAAAAATATAAAATATATTATTGCTCTATTCAATCAGTTGCCTTTGACGTGTGTGACACGATGGCCTCGGATCTCGAAACGAAATCGTCTCAGGCAGACGTGAAAGACGCGACAGTCATCAACGACACAGAAACAGCCATGACCCATGATGTACAAACCGAAGGAGAGACAGCATACGCAACTCCTCCCAAAGGATACCGCATCTTTGGAAATATCGTCATTCCTGCCTACCGCTCGCCAATCGTGCAATGCGTGATCATTGCATGCGTCCATCTCCTAGTCGTGGGCATGTTCAATGTGCTTTCAGGTCTAGGTGGTGGTGGCCAGGTCAACCCTACAACGAGCAACAATGCCAATACCATCTTATACAGCTTGTTCTGTTTCTTTGCTCTCACTGCTGGGTCCGTGGTTAATTTCCTCGGGCCCAAGATCACGCTCGCTATGGGTGGCGTGGGCTATTCCCTGTTATCAGCTTCATATTGGAGTTATAACCATAATAGCAATGATGGGTTTGTGTACTTTGGTGGTGCTATGTGTGGTATTGCGGCTGCATTCCTCTGGTGAGTTTTTTATTGCTGTCTTCTAACTATCTTGGAAATTTTATACATCTGCTAGCTCGTGATATAGACATTACTAATACGTAAATTTCTGATACAGGACCGCCGAAGGTGCGCTTATTATGTCACTTCCAATGGAGAAGGATAAAGGCAAATACATCAGTATCTTCTACGGTATTTCGTTCTTTGGCACAGTCATCGGTGCCATTATCCCTACTGTTGAGAACTGGGGCGTCACAACTGCTGGAAGTGCTAATGATGCAACTTACATTGCGCTCTTTATACTGATGCTTTGCGGCAGTGTTGTGGCTTGTTGCATATCTAATCCTTCACGTGTCATTCGTAATGATGGAAGCCGGGTGTTCATCCCACGCAATACGACTTTCATGCAGGAGCTGAAGAATATTGTCGTGGTTGTCAAAAAAGAGCCATGGATTATCCTCTTTTTCCCATACAGTTTTGCTGGCTTGTGGTACATCCCTTACCAAAGCAATGATTTCAACGCTTATTTCTTTGACCTGCGAACGCGCGCTTTTGGCTCTCTGTGGTTTGATTTTGGTCAATTTGTCATGGCTGTGTTGATGGGCATGCTGCTTGACTGGAAAGCTGTCGGGAACAGGCGTCGCCGTGCTTTTATTGGCTGGACAGTGTTATTTGTCCTGCTCAATGCCGTCTTCATTGGCGGTGTGTTCCCAGCTCGGCGTTCGCATCGTGGAGTAACACCCCCAGGCGGTCTTCTCGACGTTGACCAGAAATCGCGAGCTGCTGGGTATATCACTCTTTTTGTGTTCTATGGCTGCGTCGATGGTGCTTGGCAGGCTTTTGCCTGGTGGATTGCTGGCTGTCTCTCCAATGATCCGCTCGTTCTGTCTATATACGCCGCTTTCTATAAGGTGTTTGGCGCCATGGGAGCTGCTATCGTGTTCAACCTGGACGTTCGCGAGATTAGCTACCAGGCCATGTTCGGCAGCTACTGGGGTTTGCTGGCGGGATCTATGCTATTTATTCTTGTGTTGATTTACAAGAGAGTGGAAGATTCAACTGCGTTGATCACAGAGGCTGCAGTACCTGTGGAGAAGATCGTGCCCGTTGATGAGTGATTTGCTTTGACGGCTACTTTAATATAGAGGAAAAGGCAAAAGATGGACTGCAGTCGGACGTTGCCTATAATTTAATCTGATTGTATTTATTCATGTGCATAATCTACCATTTCTCAAATATGTTAATAATATTGCTCTGGTGAAGTTTGCCCCTTATATCTACTATGTCAATGATATTCAGATACGATATACATTAGATCAAGTAGTTTATCATGTATAAGAGTTACCCTTAATTAAATCGCGATGGCTTCGATACCCAAGAAATACAATGTTTGCCATTGTATGACGTCTTTCCCAATCTGGTAAGCTCTAGACACATTTTTCATCCGCATAGCTGCACTATACATCTGTTATCAATATCTCTTTATTTGAAAATAACCTGGAACCTTTTCAGAAGAGATGGAACCCAGATACTCAAAGACTAGACGAGTTGTGATGCTTTCCTAGTAATCATATGATAAGACCATCAATGCGAGTCACTGTTGGACTCAGATTCAAATGATTTAGTTAAATGCCAGTTGTAGTCATAATGATATACCCATATAAAGCCCAGCTTTTAAATACAACAAATCCTTGACCCTTGTTTCGTGCGTATCAACGATTCATTGTACACCAATTCATTGTATATTGCACGAAGACAAAAGCTTTCAAGATTGGTCACGTTTTGTTTGAAGGTACTAACCAAATACCCCTTGAGACACTTGGATAATCCATATCTAATATATACACATCACCACCACCTTGGCTTTGCAAATACTACAGGTCTAGACTATTCCATTTTTTATCCTTCCAAGTGTGAAGATTTGCTAGGGGGCTCAGTGACAGGGCATGTGCAGTGCCCTGGCTGCTGCTCATGTTGATTCACACTGCACAAAGCCCTTTGTGGACTCACAATAGCTTCAAAGGGGAGCAGAAAGTTCCTGTAGGAATCCTTGATTGCTGAAACCTCCCAGATATCCAAAACACTAGGCGTTTGCAACAAACAGAGATAGCCAGTGAGTAGCAGGTGTGTGATAGGGTATAAGAAGGAGGGAGTTGCCCTGTAGGGACGGGTCTTCTTTCCTGCCTATATCCAGCATATTTTCTCGGTGTTTCGCCCCCAGCGAGGTCGTTGACATAGCGAGAAATACAAGAACAAATTGACGATAATGTCTTCTTCAAATCAAACTCGAGCTTTCCTTATCCCCCAAGGTCCAAGTCAAGGCCTAGTTCACAGTTCGTTCCAAGGCCCTGTTCCTAGTCCAATTCAAGGTTCAACTCATGGTTCAGGTCGCGAATCAATTCAACGTCCTCCTGATGCAATGCTTCAAATTCCAGATCCGGTTGTGGCTAGGGTAATGAAAAGGCACCCTGATTTACTTTTTCGGGATCCAGATCAAGCCTCGGCTCGCGGTTCAATTGAAGGCTCAGTCCACGGTCCAGCTCGTGGATCAGTGCAAGGTTCAGCGCGTGGATCAGTGCAAGGTTCAGCGCGTGGATCAGTGCAAGGTTCAGCGCGTGGATCAGTGCAAGGTTCAGCTCGTGGATCAATGCAAGGTTCAGCGCGCGAATTAATCCAACTTCCAATTCCAGGTTCAATTCAAGGGTCGATCCACGGTTCCGCTCGTGGATCAGCTCGAGATCCAGGTCAAGGCCTAGCTCACAGTTCGTACCAAGGCCCTGTTTCTAGTTCAAATCAAGGTTCAACTTACGGTTCAGCTCGCGGACCAACTCGAGATCTAGGTCAACCTCCGTCTCATGGTTCGTCTCGCAGTTCAATCCGTAGCTCAGCGCAAGGTTCGTCTCGCGGCTCGTCTTACAGTTCGCATTCTGGTGAATGGGCCCGACCTCGTAGAAGCCTGCGCCAAGCTACTTTAGAATGGATCGCCAACGGCACCGTATACCCCAAGAATGACCCAAGGGTACAGATGGTGAGAGATCACCATGACCGTGAGAACTACGAGCGTGACAGAGCTAAGGCTGAGGCCAAGGCGAAGGCACAATGGTAGAAAAGATTTGAAAACCTTGCTTAAAATCGGCTGATGGCCATCGCATGAAACGGGGTTCTCAAATCAGAAAGGAGTTAGATGGTTGTCCGGTAGGATTGCCAGTGTGATGAGTTGAGCTGCTGACTGTGCGCCATTTCCTATTTGGGTGCTTTTTGAGATCGCCTCTATGCTCCAGGGCTGATAATCCTGTGTGCACATATGGGGTTGGATGCTAGAAGGGTTGGATATATAAATTCGAAAATTAATGGTGGTCACAGAAAAGTCATTCTGGTGTATGTACAACTATTGCACTCGTGCAGCGAGCAATGATAAGATTGCTAATATGATGACAATCATGTCAGCCATGTATTATTTCTCGAGGCATTCCCATCGACATTTTCCACATTAGCTCACACTGCCGAGGTTCCCTGTGCCAAGAAGTCATTGTCAAAACATGATATAGCCGCAAACTCGTCCAGTTCTTGCGGAAAATTAGAGATAAATCCTTCGAATCCAAAATGCGGTGTTTGCGGTAAGTTTGAAGCGTCCATTATATGTGCCATGCCAAGTTGATTGTATAGTGATTTGTCGTTTGTTGTTTGATTGCCGTTGCCGTTTTCGGTGTCATTTGAATCGTCAATATTTTCAAAAATCTTGTCATTTGCACTAGTCGGTACTGGGTTGTTGACAGTGGGTGGCGTTGAGTTTGGTGCCGTGATGCCTTTTGGTTCGACAAGGCCATTCATTGAATTTGGCAATGTAATTGCTGGAGGGGACTGTAAGTATTGCATTGCAGCTGCATCTTGTGTTTGAGGCTGATTGATGCTAGTTGATGCTGAGGTGCCAGTAGCCGGCGAGATAGGCCCCGTCTTCCATAGCATTTCCCAGCTCTTGAATCGCTCATATCCAGAATCTATCGAGTCCCGGTAATCTTTTGCATAGGCTTGGCTTTCACTCCAATCTTCAAGGCGCCGTATGGCACGCTCCAGTGTCTCAATAACAGTTACTGCCGATCTAGCAGAGCCAATGCCCATCGACATGATCTTGATAAGTCCCATACCCTGTGACAGAGCGTTGCGTAGCCTCTCTGTGCGTTTAGTCAAACTCTGCGCGAGTATGACTAAAAGTGCTGCGCGGCATGAGCTGAATTCCGTATAGGAGGCTCGCGCGAGACCGGTCTCATCGCGCAAAAGTCGGCATAGGTCGACAATTTCGAGTGCCGCTTCTACGCAGTCACTCACCAGAATAATCCTCAATTTCGATCTATTCGCAGAAGCCTTCTGTGAAGGGGTTGGGTTGGCGCTCCGTATATTAGTGAAGAGAAATGGACGACCCATAAAAATTCTAGTTAAGCAGTAGTCGAGTTTAAGATGCACATTGGAGCGGAATAGGGGGCCGGAAGGATTGAGGTCACGGCACAACGTTTCTTCCGGTAAGCTTGACCACCAATCAATAAGTTCTCGGCGTTGGGTTAGGAGTTTTTCTAGTGATTCTGGTTGCTGCCATTTTGGACAGTCACGAAGTGATGATCTGATACGATACCCACAATGGTCAGATTTAATGTGGATCAAGTGAATTAATAGGTATACTAACATTGCCTGCGCTATAGCGCCTAGCTTTAAGGTGAGTTTTATCAGCGCCACCATGTTTGCGTGGTTGTTTGCGCCAGAATAATGGGCACTAGGTAAATCGATAGGCAAATCGGCATCAACATCGCCATCAGTGATGGAGGCAGGCCTGCCATGCAAGATACAAATGCGTCTTTTTTTAAGAAAAAAGTCAGCGGCATATTCTGTATGAAATTGATTTGGTTTATATACTTCTCAATAGTGAATGCAGTCCAGAAGACACGGTTGCGCACTTCTTGCATGTATGGAGTTAAGCCTTCTCCAGTGTACTTTCGATGCATACCATTTTGAATTGCCAATTTCATGGCTAAGCCAAAGTAAGTATATGACAGACCTGAGGTATCAAGGGGCAGCAGATAAGTTCCAATTAGCAAACAGGCCTGAACACTTCTCACGGAAGCGGTAGCGATAATATCGGGGAGCAACTTGGATGCAAAATTGTAGAATGTCAAGCCGACTTCGTCTTCTGAGAATCGGTGGTCGTCGACTGCCGAGGTATCTTCCCGGTTAAGCTTGTTGACTGGCGTTGGTGATTCCATGTGGGCAAATTGTGTGCCTATTGCCAAAGTCATCAAGATGGAGCAGACACATGCAGCATCGACCGAGGTAAAAACACCCGGGTTGTTGTAACAAATAGCTAGCTTCTCGCGAAGCCAGTCTTCTTCAACGTAAAAGTTGTTTGTCTTTGCATACTTGCAGGTGACATTGAAGAGAAATTCTGCAACATATCGAGGTGGTAAACACCCTACAGCGGCAGACACTAACGTCGATCCTGATTCCAAACGCGTAGACCGCCATCTCTCTTCGAACGGTACTGTCTCTGTGCTATCCTGTTTGAATGGAGTCAGAAATGGTACTGATAATGTAAATCTGAAGGTCGAGGTATCTTACTTCCGGTGCACTCGATTGCATCCATTCATCGATCTTCTTCCGAATTTTCATGGAAAAATTCAGGTAAGAAAATTCTCCAGAATACTCTAGACTCATGTCAGCCAACATATACGCGAACTTAAAGTATATAAGTTCCAGGAGCTCTCAAAGTACAACTCACGGGTAGTATTATCTGGAAAAGCGCGGATGCTGAAATCCTCTTCATCAATTGCTAGATCTTCAAGATCGTCGGCCTCGGCTTGAGTCGGGGGCCCGTCAGATCCAGATTGTCCGCGATGATACCTTTGCAAATCATCCGCAATTTTGCGAAGGGAGGGTACATCGAATGTCGTGTTGGGCATGTAGTGAGCCAATATACGTTCCATATAGTGGACACGCTCAGCTTCGGTGTCATCATCACGAGTGAAATTCTCAGCTCGTTGAAGTGCCCTGAAATTTCCTCATGGTTAGACATTTGATTATCATTGTTCTGCGACATGTTGTTCTAACCTGCCAGGCCTGTCGTTTTGTTCAGATGGAGAGTTGAAGATGCATTGGCGATGGTAACGAGTGCACCTGCGGCAGGGCACTCCACCCTCGCATTTCTCCTTCACTCGTCTGCACCCATCGCATCTACGGAGGTGCGTTAGTATCTTTATCGTGCATACGTAGCTTTAAAGAGGGCCTCGGATGAATTCTTACGCTCGCACCGCCCTTTTGCGGTTCTCTTCAGCAACACGCGGCCTCTTGGCTCTGTTCGCAGGGTGTGAATATGGGGGTAGCTCCATAGCTCCCTTTCATTGGGTCGGATTCAACACACCAATATCCGTTAATGAATGCAGAAGATGTTCGACGCTTTTGCCATAGAGCAAGGATTCAGCGGTCGGGATCAAATAGTATCGCCAGAAATGAAGCTTGGCAAGTTGCAAAATCTTGCCGGTTCAAACTCAAGTGTGGTTATGGCAGCCGCAGACTTGATAGGGCCGTGATGTTTGATATCGTCGGGGTCAGAGACAAGGATGCAAGAATCAAGTTCGGTCAAGCACTCGCTCGATGTGGGGATTTTGATAAGCCGATCGGAGCCTGAGGGAAAAGCGAGACCATTCCTGTCTACGACTAGCGCGCTCGAGGCTGCGGAAATATGATTGGCTTTAGGAAATAACTTCTGATTGATTGGATAAAGGTTATCTATGGATCCCACTAACCAGTTTCGGGACGGAAGTAGGGCTTACTTTTAGGGCTTCCTCTTTCTATCCTTTTTTGCAAGCATCTAATAGATATCTATGATGTATGTGTACGTACGGTATTCTATTCACAGAAATATACTAATATCACTACTTATGCGAGGCTATGCTATGCTATGACACGCTAAACAACGAGGAATCTAAGAAACATGCAAAAAGATAAAAGTCGCACTTTTATCCTCTCCGTTGCCCTGTTACAGCAAGCTTTGCCCTCCTCCACAGTTCCCCATACATAGCTATCCGTGAATCCTTTGTCCTAGTCACGGCCTCTGTATTCTCAAGGGCACGACGAAACAAAAATCCCATGCACTCCTGAACGGAGCCCCAGGTAAGCAGTTTATAAACATTAGGCCTTTCGAGGGGTTGAATTTCCTTGGTGGAGAAATCTTGTTCTGTGGTATGAGAGAAACTATGAATCAGATCGCAGCTGATTTCGTCTGCCATGCCCTGCAGTTGCGCATATGCCAACTCAATTCGTGGCTCGTTGTTTGCGGCTTGTTTAGTACGGATTGAATGGGCCTTAAGCACGGAGTCGCGGTTGTGTGTGGCGATTATTGCATTCACAGAAGGTAAGCACTTCTGATCCTTGCTCTCCGGTGCAGGGCGAAGCATCGAATTGTAGCGTCGCGTCAGAAGGGCTTCGACAATGCCGTCATAGCATGCGTCTGTATCTTCTTTGGTGTCCCAAATCAAATGACGTGACTCTATTTTCATGTATGCGCCCCGAACAAGCTTTACTCCTAGAGTATACCCATCTTTCTCGGCCATAGCGAGATGTCTGGCAATATTGGCTGGCACTCCTTTTAGGTAGGCTTGATAGGTGCCGTAAAAGGTAGCGCGTCCGGGAGTTTGCAAGTTGCAATACTTTTGATATTTCATAATCCAGTCTTCAATGCCCAATTGGACGGCCTGCTCTTCTGCATCCACCAAAAGGCGTGCTGATTTGGCGATGGCAGCGTCACAAGCCTTGCGAATCGCACTATCCATGTATTCAGACGGTGGCTGACGGTCTTTTAAGAGATGTACAGCTTGCGTGCCCATGCCTGTAAACCTGTATTTTGTGATTGGTTAGACTGGTATTCTTGTTATTCGGATGGAGTAAAACACGTACTTCAACGCAATAAAATCTCCTTCGGTCGCCATATCAACACCTTGTAATGTGCCTTGCAGCCATGTATCTATCTCCTGTCGCGCCAGCGTCTCATCGTGTGGATTTGAGTTACTATCTGCAACCAATACCTCACGAGCATATCCCAACAACACGCCGCGACAGCCTAGGTCTTTAGTCTCCACAATAGACTGTTGTACCTCTGCTTTATTCTCTCCGGCATTAAACTGCTTGTAGATAGTCTTCTTCACCACCCACTTCAGCAACGGATTGCGATCCACGTCTGTAAGAGCAGATTTAGGATTCTCTAGGAGCGAGAGTGCCCATATGCACGGCCGGAGCAGTAGCGGCGATGACGAAACGGTTAGAATGAAAGCCGATCGTAGGACTGCAGAAAGCGGGAGGTCTCCAAGTGGCGACTTGGTGGAGGTAAGTTTGGATGGTGGCGCCGTTCCTTCAGGCTTTTGGAGGTGGTTGTGCTGACTCTTGGACTGTCCAGGTTGCAATGCCTGTGGCACAGAGTATGATGGCTGCAAGAGCGAGCCATTTGCAGTTGTGCCTACTGGTCCTGAACCCAGCACCGTCGCCGATGACTTGGCATGTTGACTTGTGCTGACGTATCTTGTGTTACGGAGGACATGAGCAGCCTGGGGGGTTATCGAGCTGGATAAAGCACAGAGTGCGCGAGTGCGCTTCAACATACTCATCATCAGTATCGATAATATCGACTTGTCGAGTCCTTGCTTCTATGGATTAGAAAGAGCAAGAATTAAAGAAAAATAAAGATATGGTTCAAGAGATAAAATAAGAGTATGGAACCGGCTCGGGTCATGAGCAAACCAAAGAGGGAAAGCGGATTGCCACAGGCTGCTTGCTCCGAGCTCTGGGCAGATAACCCGTTTCCCTGCTGCCGGCGACGACTAATTCAGAAATGAGTCAACTTGATCTGCAGGTTCGTCTCAACCAAAAGTCCCATGCATACTCCATAGGGCCCAGGGACGACGAAGCGGTTGGTCTCGACCGGATCGATGCAAATGCATCGTCGGGCCGGCGGACCCGCGCATCTGATCGGCTACTGTACCGGGAAGCAACTGCCGGTTGATCGGTCCAGCAAGCATCCGATTGGACGCGCGTATCTACATTCGATCCGTCTCAGATTCTCTAAGAAGATTAGACGTCATTTACTATGACTAGCAATGATATATCAATTCACCGACTAAGCTACTACTTCTCCGGTACAACCTCTCCTATTGACTTCCAAAAATCGCATCTGGCTCCCCGGCCACCTTCCCAGTCGTATGCATTCACCACCGTGAAATTCGGTACTAATCCGGGCTCGACGTAGGTCTCAATCTCGAAATCATAGGGATTGGCCAGGTCGGTGGCAGTGGTCAAATTTCCGCCCGTTTGGTTGAGGCTCACTTGGAGTGGATTTTGTGGTGTGTATGCTGGCCAGGACGCTAAAACTTGGGCGATGTCCGTTGGCACGTCAGATATATAAGTGCTGACGTTGGTTGGTGCTCCGTTAGCGATAAAACTATCTAAAAATGCTTATTTTTTTTCAGCTGATTAGCTTCACGTTTTTCTTTTCCTTCGCAAATTTCTGACTGGTTAAAGGCTGAACTTACAGATAAAGGAATCCTGGAATGCTTGGGACATGGTGTCTTGTAAGTAACCGTAAATTTGGAAATATGTAGCCAAATCATCCGCATGCAATGAGTTTACAAGTGAGAACTGGTACTTATGACTCTGCCTTCCATGCCGGCCGAATGCATCAGCAAGCCAGTATGATGGACAGACAAACGTCATCTCTGCATAGAGATTCTATATTTCATTATCAGTTGGGAATTGTACCACTTTATTCTCGGAGCCTTACGTTAGCACGCTGCTGCTGGCCAACTGCAAAGGGGCTCACAAAAACGGCTGTTGCATCTTCATCAACGCCGTCTGTAGCGAAACGGACTGTTGGCGGATCTTGTGGCATAGGGTATTGATCCAATATTGGTTGTACTTCTCTATCAGTAAGCTGGGGCATTAAATAGCGGATGAACTCGACAAAGTCGTCCTCCGTACTAATATTTTGGGGCACAAAGCTGACGCCTTCGTTTGCGTTATTCTAGCGTCCTATAATCAGCACTTAGTACGAAAAGCTCCCTTCGAAAGACACATACTCCTACTAAGCCTCGGTTCCCATTGAGGGGTCCTTTAGTAAGTTGCACACTTGGCCGTTGCTGAACAAATCTCCCATCTGTGACAGGCAGGAAGGCCCATTGTCCGTATTTGGCATTAACAGTAGCAGCGTAAGAAGCATTTTGAAGGATGTCAGTATCTTGGGCCACGAGGCAGTCGAAAACAGTTTCCGTGGTACTATTAGAGCATCCTGCTAAATCAGCAAACGTCTCGTACGCCGCAACTGTAGCGGGATCGTCGTAGTTCCATTGCTGAGGAAGATAAGGGCTCGCAGCAAAAACCTAGCCTTTCGTCAATACTTGACCATCTATAGAAATATAGCATCAGGGCCTTCATACGCCATCGAACAGATCGTCTCCCACAGCACCACCGTAGGCCATAGAGTGCAACATTACCGAGCCACCGCCTGAGTACACGTTAGCCTAGTATGTAAAGAGATTAAGATATATATCTTGACATACCGGCCGATTCGCCGGCTATAGTGACACGGTTTGGATCTCCCCCAAAGAGCGAAATATACTTCTGTATCCATTGCAGAGCCAGATATTGGTCATGTAGACCGGCATTAGCGGTTCCATATTCCTGGACTTCATTGCCTGCGAGGAATCCAAACGCTGCAAGCTAGCAATGAGAAGAGTCATGAGTAAGCCAATACTCCGGTTGTAGTACTCGAGATAAAAACGGATATTATGAACATACTCGGTATTGCATTGCGACACCGACAAATTTTGACTCAGAAACATTGATAAGAAACGGCAGGTTGGTGTCCCCTGATCCAGTGCCATAACCACCGCCATCTGAGTCGAGGATTAGCCGAGGAACATAAACGCAGTTATTGCGTCAAATATGTAAGGACATTTAGATGGAGGAAACTCACGGATATAAACAAAAACGGGCAAATCGACAGCATCGGGCGGGGACCAGACATTCAAAATCAAACAATCTTCACTTTCTGATGAGCTCGCTGTCCACTTAGGCTCTGCCGTACTGCATTAGTGGTTAGTTGTACATCCTATAGCCTTCAAAAAGCAAAATAAAGCAGATATGGGCTTACTCAATATGATCTGGCGCCTGAGGACATACTGAACCCATAGTACTTGCATTTACAAAGGTGCCATTGAATGTTGTCTGCGGAGGAATAGATGCCTGCCATCGCAGTCTCCTAAGAGGCGGTTCAGCGTAACGTATTCTTCACAGTTCTAAGGTTAGCCGACTGCCAATTTGAGGTACGACCTAATGTTGATATTGCGCGTATACTTAAGCTGACGCATCAATTGCTACATACCCATACCAATGATTCAAACCATCATTGTACACCCCAGCATAGCCAGCATAGCCAAGATCTACTTTCAATGAATTGGTTGGGTCAGGCAGTTGGCCGGCCGGGAAAGGGTTGCTGGGGGGCGTGGATTGAGAGAGAGAAGAATGCGCGTATAATGAGAGGAGAAGAGCCTGTAGCCACGACGACCGGGCGCCCATGTTCACCAGCTAATCCGATGAAGAAGCTGGCCACCCAACAGCTATAGAATACTTCTATATTATAAGATTGTAAAGCGATCTGTTCACGAGAAAGATCGGTTATTCCTTGCAGCAAGGGATGGATGATATGGGACCTTCCTTGGAACAAAACGTGCAGGAACCTGTCGGTACATATTCAGATGTGACACATACACGTCGCTATATATGCATATTGAAATAGAAACACGATCAATATGCAATGACCCAATAAATTATACCTCCCTCTCCTCCGATTGCCTCGGTGTGAAAGGTCGGACTTGGATGAGTGATATGCTACAGGGATTGGTGGAGATACAATTGTATACATCTATGGCGGCCGGCAGATCATCCACTAGCGCTGCCCTAGTGCCATACATGGTCTCTTATTTTCCATCTAGGCAAGATAGGTAATATTGCTTCGAGTCAGTTGGAGTAGGGTTGATGATCTCAATATTCATGGCGGAGTATGCTCCTGATTGACGTATCCGGTATTTAGTTTTGGCTTAGAAAGTTATCTTAATTCAACAAGAAAAGAAGCAACTGGTACTTTTGGCACAACCCCGGAAATAAACCCTAATTCTGCATCCTGCAAATCCCCCGCAATAAAGAATCATCTCAAATTCTTAATAACCGGCTTTTCCCCGCATCTTCAGTGGTTGGACCTTGGGTAGCATTCAGGCTGCATGCCCGACATCCAGTCTGTAAGGTATGTCATATTAAGCTGCGTCGGGTCATCAGCAGCCGAGGAAGATAAATTCATGCAGAGGAGCGGAATATCTACCTACACAAGAGGAAGGGAGGCAACAGACGTTATTATTGCGTCTTGTAATTGCTAGAAATACAACTCTCTTTACTGTCTTAATAATGCGCTATGATCTCATAATAGGGCGTACATCGGCACGAACTCGACGTATATACAAAATCGAGGTGAGAGTTCTTGACTGGTTCACTTCTAGGGCTATCTTCAGGCTCGTGTCACATGCAGACACCTACCTATGTAGCAGCCTCGCTCTAGAACATTCACTCTTTTGCTTCTTTCATCTAACACAGGCATCGAGTAATACCTAGGTACTCAGTTGCTTCTTTTAGTTGAGTTCACTTATATCGAACATCTACAGAGGTAGATATATAAACATATCTAGGTTTGCAAAGATACAAAGAAAGCATGCCATTTCTTTATTCCTTTGCTTGGCTGTAATAATTTATTGTCATTCATACCAGATCCATAAAGTTTCATTACTATAAGCATATGCATGGAAAACTTTGTACCTAATGCTTCCAAGCCTTGGGTTGTGAATATGTATCAGATCGATGCTTACCTATCAGCCCTGAACCTAGTACACATGCTTCAACTTCAGCATACCCAAATATAGTTAAATATGATAGAAAGATCCTTTGAAGGATAATTGAACTAGAAATAACATGTCTTTGTGTACCTAGATAACTTTGCCTCTTTATCCTCTTGTCCTCATTAAGATTTTCTTCTATGCCTTTATGCCTACTGCGTTTATACCAACAAAATGTGATTATCGTCTCCATCTGTTTACCCACACCACGACTCTATTCGCCATGGCAACATTCAGTGATGGTCATAAACCTGACAATGTCATGCTTGAAAATGTTTTCTTTCTTTTTCCTCTCCCCTTCTCTCTCTTTACCCCCTTCACTCATTCACTCAAGCCCATCTTGTTATGTGTGAATGTGGCATCACAACGTGAATCCTCAGTATTCTTCATCAACCTAGGCATCTCCTTTATCTCCTTCCTCCTTGACTCTCTGCAACTGAGAGGACATCTTCTTTTTCTGAAACATGCAGTCAGATCGCTCCCCACTAGGACACTTTTCACTTCTCCCTCCCGAGATCAGGTTCATGATCTGGGACTACTTCTATCCTCAAGGAATACGCCGTTGCAAGACAGAATTTGCTATTCTGCGGACTAGTTCTACTTTGTACCACGAGATCATTAGCTACTTGAAATGGCCCGAGTCTCTAGGTCGTTTCGAAATCGACATGTTTCCTTCACCCGACTATCCGTTTCTAATGTACAATGCGTCCCGCTCCGTCTGCTGGGAGATTCCTGCAAAATGGTTCAGTGACAGCGCTGGAATCCTAGGTTTCGATCACCTGCCTGTTGACAAACTCGGCACTGTTTTGAACATACCAGCTCCCATAGGCGGCACCGATCCCGGTGAGATCATTTCTATTTATGAGAAATGCCTCGTACTCGTGAAGCTGTTTAATTGGGCCAAGTCGAAGAGCGTGAAGTCCCTGTCGATCAATCTACATGATACAATGTCGACCACATGGATTTGCCGACCTTCGCAGCATCCTGATAACGTACACCCAGTTCAGAGCCTTCCGGTGACAATGAACTCGCTCCCGTTCCTCAACGGATTTCAGAACTTTCGATCGGACGATATTGCAATGGTCATGAATCCCTTCTTCCTCGCACTCAGAGTGTCCAACATACAAGTCACGTTGGGAGTCACAAGCGCGGGCTTTGCACAGACGGCAGGATACCACACTGAACTCCAGAGCCGTATGGTAACGGACCAGCAGAATATTTTGCAGCCGTCGTCTTGGAAAATAGCCTACTACGAGAGTAGGTTGAGCCTGACATTCCTGCTGATACAAACTGAGCTCGATAGCGCTCACGGGCCAATGGCCAACCTTATGCGCCTGAAGAGATTCGTCGAGTGGTCAGAAGAACCACAAGCTGTCGAGGATGGCCTGCTAGCCATCCTGTATCGCTGCAGGGACGAGATTCGGCAGGGCAATCTCGGCTCGGCAATGCAAATGGATATCTGGACTCGTTTCGGTCTCATGCGTCTTGTTGATCCGAAATCGAATGTCAGGCACCTAGAGCTCAACACCATGGCTGTAACAGAGGAGACAGAAGAAGATCGGCTTAGAGCAGGCCTGAACGAAGTAATGTTCGGTGAAGCGAGCAGTGCAGATGCCTGGCATCGGGCGTTCTCCAGTGGAATTCCGGCCTTTAGCCATCCATGGTGGAATTATAGAAAGTTCCAGTTGAGCCAGATGCTTAGTTTGTTGAATTTTGACGAGCCTCGGGTGCGAAACACCTTTGTGGGAGAACTGTTCACAATCCAATTTTGAATCATCCAGGCGGGAGATAGATTTGGAGACTCCGTCATTGCCGGTTTTGATTATGCTATATTTTTCTTTCCTTCGACTTCTTTTTCTTGTCAAATGATGTTTATATTTTTCTTTTCCCATTTTCTTTACTTCTATTCCATGCTTTTCGGCGTACAGACAGTTACCACGGTGTATGCAAGGGGTGAGATAGGCAATGACGATGGCGCAAATGTTTGTCTGTTCCATAGCCAGCTCGAACCACGTTTGTCGTTTCCACCTGCAACTGTTTGCATTAGTTAGATCAAACAAGAAGGATATTGTCAAGTCATGCTCGTCGAATTCACTTCAGAATGGCAAATACGTAGACACATGCCATGGCTCGTTCCAGTCGATAGACACATCTTACCTGTCCAATGCGCCCTCCAATGCATTTCAATGGATAATGATAATGCAATGCAATACAATGCGTAAACACATCAAAGAAGGTCAAGTTCCGCCCAATTATAAAACATTACGCCGGCATCCGGATGATGTGCTCGGTCCGAGTTGCGTCGGTTTTCTATCCGAACCGTCACCAACCGTGACCAACGCACCGGGGGGCATTGAATCTAACGTATTTTATATTCGTAATTCCCTGTCTAGCAAAAATACCACAACCTGCCTGGCTGCCCGACGTTCTCTTCATGTAGTGGAGTCTGATGTATAGACAACATGCCAGTTTGCTCGGTCAGTAGCGGAAATGTGTAAGTAGCCGAGAAGTGGAACAGTCGGTCTTGAATGCAGGTAGATATTTATGGCAGCCGTAATGTTGACTGAATTCACTTGTAATCACTATACAAGGATGGTTTAGCATGTGGAGAAAATCCATGTGCCCTAAGATTTGTAGAGAGCTGCCCCTGGCAAGCTCTTCTTTCCAACGTTCATCTTTTCTGAAGTTGGGTTGCATTCTTGTGTATGTGATTCACTTCCTCTTGTTATCTTCTCTCCATTCATACGACGTGCCGTTGTCCAGAAAGCTTCAGAGATAGAAGTAGAAATAGCCGCACCTATTTCTGCAGCAAGAATATCTTGCAAATCTCTCTCCTCGTCGATACCGCAATGCAATCTTTCTTACAGTATAGTCGCTTAGGACAAGCTCTCGAGGTACAACTAAGTCGAGATAGGCAAAAGCTTTCGCAGCTGCGCCAACAGCAACGGGAACTCGAGGATGGCAAACGAAACGGATCACCCGCAGACGAGAATGACCTGCAAGCTGGCCCAGGAGCAGAAAAGAAGGATGGTCCTGCACAAGACACAAGCGCCAACGTCAACATCAGCCTAGAATCGGTGTCCTCGCAAACTGACCAAGGGAGCACAGATGACCAAATATTCAGGAAGGGTGACGATATTGAGCCTGCAGAAATCCCAGACGGTATAAATTTGGAGGAGCTCCGCGCCGTCCCTACACATCAAACAACCGGCACAATGCTAGGCCATGCAATGAGTGGCATAACGGTCCGCCAACGAACAACAAGAGAAGGGGGCCCCGAATCGGAGAGTGTATTCGTCGTCTCTTGGGAGTCAGAAGAGGACCCCTTGAACCCGAAAAACTGGGGTTTTGCCAAACGAATGGTGTTGACATCTATAATCTCGTTGGTCGGTGGGATTGTGGGATTCGCAGGAGCGATTGATTCAGCAGTCATCCCTGAAGCAGCAGCAGAGTTCGGGGTGAGAGAGATCATCGAGGCGCTCGCGACAGGCCTATTCTTGATTGGCTTTGGTTTCGGGGGTCTGGCAGCAGGGCCGCTTTCAGAAACGGTTGGTAGAAATCCGATTTACATCATCACGATGATTTTATATATGCTGTTCTTGATTGGAGCCGGTGCATCACCAAATATCCAATCTCAACTTGTCTGCCGGTTCTTTGCCGGCATTTTCGGTGCTACACCTCTGGTATGTGCCGGTGGTTCCCTGTCGGATATCTGGACGCCGCAGGAACGAGTCTTTGCGTTTCCATTGTTTGCTTGCTCTTCATTCCTAGGGCCCTTAGCCGGTCCTATTGTTGGCGATTGGATTGGTCAAAGCTCGGCTATAAGTTGGCGCTCGACCGAATGGGTCACTTTGATCGCATCTGGCATGACTTTAATCCTTGTCTGTCTGGTTCAACCTGAAACTTATGCTCCTGTGCTCCTCGGATGGAAAGCTCGACATCTCCGTCGACTCGCTAATGACGAACGATTCCGTGGCGCCATTGAAATACGGGATACATCGTTGCTCGCCCGTCTCGGTAGAGCCCTGTATCGCCCATTTCTCATGTTTGTTCAGGAACCAATTCTGGTCCTCTTTGGCCTTTATGTGACGGTGGTTTACATTGTGTTGTTCACTTTTTTCACCGGCTATACGTATATCTTTACCGACATCTACGGGCTTTCCCAAGGCATGACGGGCGTTTGTTTTGTCGGCGAAATGGTTGGGGTTCTCTCTTGCTCTGCCCTCATTCCACTCAACATACATCTCCGCAAGCGAGATGTTGCACGCGCAAAAGCTCTCGGCCCTGACGTGAGCGTAGCCCCTGAATCACGGCTGTACTGGGCCATGATTGGCGGTCCATGTATCCCCATCAGCTTATTCTGGATGGGCTGGACTGCTCGCCCAGAGATCTCTATTTGGTCTCCTCTGGTAGCCTCCGGGTTTTTCGGTTTCGGCGTTTTGTGTGTGTTCATGACAACCTATCAATATCTCATGGACACATACGAAGTATATGCTGCCAGTGCACTGGCTGGTATCACGTTTATTCGGTATAGCGTTTCCGGCGCGTTCATCGAGATTTCCCTGCCGTTCTATGAGAACATGGGTGTCGCGTATACCTTGACCGTTCTGGGCAGTTTGAGCGCTGTGCTGGTGTTGATTCCCTTCGCTTTCCATCGGTATGGACCAGCGATCAGGAAGAGAAGCAGGTATGTGATGGAGTAAGCTGATCCTCGCACCTACGCAAATGTCAACTGTATCGTTATGATCGAAGTAATAATTTCGGCTTATGGCCCGAGAGAGTCTGGAAGAACAAGGCGCTGTAAATAGCTTTCAATAGATTTGATATATCTGAAAATTGATTAATAGATTGGAAGTCTGAAGATGAGGTCGACAACTTGGAAGGCGACACGACAACAGCGGCAGGAGCGGCCCCGCCTTCCTAAGTACAGCTACTGCTTCTTGCCTGTCAAAGTAATTTGCTCCTGCTAAACACTCAGAAGGACCCGAGACGAAGGCCAAACTGCAGAAAGAGAGAGCTTGAATACTGCCAAATCCCTATACTATACCATGCCAAACAGTCGTTCTCGGGTCAGCAAGCGAGTGCATCACGCTTGTGACAACTGCAGGTGCGCGCCCAAGTACCTCATGCCGCAAACCGATCTATGAAAGGATCGAGTCCACTGATATTGAGAGTTCAGGAAGAAGAAAACACGCTGTCCAGGGGAGAGACCAGAGTGTTCTAACTGCGTTAGGCTCTACCAGAGCTGTCGCTACAATGGTTCAGCAGCCGTATCAGCACGCTCGGCTGGACATACAGGAAGGAGTCTTGCACAATTGGAAGAAAGTATGGAGTTGATGCTGGAAAGCGCAATGTACGTCTGTCTACTCACACTCTTATAAGAGGGTCCGCTCAGCGCAGAGTCGTGGATTGTAGCCGACTTAATGAAGCCATGTAGGACCCCGTCATACACAATCGAATAGCCAGCAGAGTATGGACAGTGTGCGTGCACAACCTCCCCAAGCCCGAGGGTTTCAATCGGCTGTGCTTTCCTCACCTAACGGGCCAGAGTGAGTATAGTGTTGTTTATTATTATGGTCCAACTAACAGAATTATTGACTATTTTTTAGATCTCTACCTCCTAGTGTTGTCATATTGCACGCAATCGAGCTTTATTTTCGGTTCTGCCATAGGCAACCACTTTGGTTGTTCGAACGTGAAGAGGTCTCATCCTCGAATGAGATTGCAGAAGAGCTGATATTTGCTCTACTGGCGCTCGTCGTGCGATTTTCCGCGTGTACATATTTTGAAGGTTCACGTCAGGAACTCTCTCGAAGATACGGTGAAGTTGCCAGAGGACAGATTATGTTTCGTATTGCACAGGGCGCGGTGAAATTGTCGACAATCCAGGGTTTGTGCTTGTTGTCATTTGCTTACTTTACAGGTAGGATTTTGACATGCTTCACTTTTTTTCACTCTTGCATGAACGAAATATCATGATGGGACTACTGGTAGTTGCTAACGCCATGCAGCCAAAGATACCCACTTGGCATGGTTTCATATAAATCTTGCAACTTCCCTGGCGAACATGGCCGATATGAATTTTGAAACTGAAACGGGACTGTCCAATTCGATAGCCGAGTCAAGAAGAAGAGTATTCTACAGCATTTTTCTTCTCAACCAGACTTATGCACCACGTTCAATGCTACTCAACATGCTAGAGGACATCGAAAATCCAAAATATCTAGAACCGAAACGAGATCCTAGACGAGAGTCCGGACAGTTGCCCCCCATGACGCCACGAGACTCTACCAATATAACGCCAGTTGACAGGGTCGAGCGTGCAGGAATATGGATATATATGATCCAGCAATCATCCCTGTGGCGCGAAGTCCGAGGCTATGTCTCGCAGTGTGCGGACGGTACCCAAAAGCCGCCCTGGGCACCGGAATCAGGGTATGCAGTGATCGGGGCGCATTTAATGGAGCTTGAGACAAGATTTCCGATGTATCATCGATATGATGCGGTGAAGTTTCTCGGTCGATCAACTGAAGAACTGCAACGAAATCGTGACTACTGGAGCCCTTGGCTATGCATTCAGATTGTGTATCACGCTATCCACAGCGTGCTAAACCATCCATTTCTGTATTCTTCTCGACCAAACCAGTCTATCCAAATGTCAGTTCCGAATACATTCTGGAAAACCTCGTCTGAACTGGCTTTTCTGCACTCTTCGTGGACAGTGCGGTTAATAGATATGGTTTGGGAGAAAGACTACGAAGTTTCTGATCCTTTTCTTGGACACTGCGCCGCCATTGCTGCCACAATACACGTATACTACTGCAGAGCTACGGATATCCGCGTGAGGACTTCGGCGCAAAGTAAGCTTGATAAATGCATGCGATTTGTTGGTGAGCTAGGTACTAAATGGCCTATATGCCAGTTAATCGTAAGCACCTATTCATATCTGAGTTTACTGAATCATGCTATATGGAGTACTGATTCATGGACTAAACATGCCGTAGTACGACAGGCTTGATTCGTTAGTGCAGTCGGCTCTTGGGTCTAAATCCCAGAAAGAAACTGACAGCTCGAATCGGCGGATAGTCTCTATCAATACAGGGCTGATGTGGGATATTCTCGACTACACCTGTCCAAAGACAGCGTCTCCGCAGAAAACTTGCCGCGGTCTCTTTGACCCAAGCGTTGTCGGGAACAATTGTCCTTTAAATACCAAAGTCAGAGGCAAATATAAGGGTAACGACAGTGACGAGAATGAGGACGTCGATGATGTAGTAGAAACACAGATTTTCCATCATCCCAACCCGGCGACCGAAGTCGACACATCAAACGGAGGACAGGAATTGCCGCCGTACTCGGGCACAGCTACCCGTCGCAGGCGTATTCATAACAGTGTCAATCAGAATGGTTCCGCGTATGCGGGAAGAAGCACACATTCAGCACCAGCTCACGAACGACCGTTTGTTGGTCAGCAGCAGCATGACCAGGAACAGCAAGAAACAGATGCGGTGATTATCTGGCCAGCTTATGACATGTGGATGAGTGCATCTACCATGGATGTGAGCAATGATCCGTTTTTCCAGTTCCAAGATCACGATATGCCCTGGGCTGGATCGTGGGAGATAGGAAATCTGTAGTACGGATATACGGGAATAAAGTCGGTAGAGATTAAAGCATTCTTATTGGACGAAGCTTTGATCGGACTAGCCAAAGCAGCAAAGCCGCTTACCTCATGCTTACTGGATGCTTTGAAAGCCCCGGCAGCCAATCAGAGAGCAGCTGAACTCATGACTCTGTGTTTCCCAGAGACTTCAAGAACATACCCACATTTTGTATATATATATATATTCAAATGGCTTGCTCAGGGCTGACTATTCTCGAAAATCCAGCCTTCTTCTTTCTGTTTATTGCAGTTCTCATTGCAACCCTTTGCAATTCCGCATTTTCGCCGACCATCAATCTCTGGTCCTATCAACAACCATCAAGAGCTGAACAGCATAAAAGCTCCATGACAACTGCTGCCACTATAAAATCTGCAATGTCCAAGCTATCACATGCCACCATCGTCCTGCACCGGTCTGCGGCTCGCGGCCACGCAGATCACGGCTGGCTGAACTCGTATCATACATTCAGTTTCGCGAACTACTATGACCCTGACCTCATGAACTTCGGGTCCCTGCGCGTCCTCAATGAGGATCGCGTTGCTCCCAACACGGGGTTTCCTACGCATCCACATCGCGATGCGGAGATTTTCAGCTACATTCTTAGCGGCGAGTTGACGCATAGGGATAGCATGCTTAAGAAAGGCGAGGAGGGGAAGCAAGGGAAGGACTTTTACAGGATGAAGAGGGGTGATGTGCAGTTTACTACCGGAGGGACTGGTGAGTTTTCTTTTCTTCGTCCATACATACATATATATACGTATATATATTTATATATTTATGTATGGATTGATGGATGTATTCAATACAAGCTAACAGATAGTAAGGAATTGCCCACTCCGAGCAAAACGAACACTCCTCAGAGACAGTCCACTTTCTCCAAATATGGGCTTTACCCTGGCGCAAGGGTCTCATGCCACAGTATCACACAGTGACCTTTGACGAGAGCCTCAAACGACAGGCCTTCCTACCCATCCTCTCCCCTCTAGCAGCTGGCAAAAACGCGTCTGTGGCTGAAGAGAAAGAGGCCAAGCCCAAGATTGCAGGCACAATTCCGATTCATGCAGATTTCGTGATGGGCGCGGGCATTATTGCTGTGGATCGGAAATTTAAGTGGAGAGTCGGAGGCCCTGAAGGAGAAGAAGGTAAAAACGCGGTGGAGAGTAACAGGAATCGAAATGTCTATGTGCATTTGCCTATGACTAAGAATGGGAGAGCGCGGATTAGATTGGATGGTAGGGAAGCGGCGGTGTTGCAGGAGGGGGATGGCGCGTTTGTGAAGGGGGTTAATGTTGGTGATGAGATTAATGTGGAGAGTATAGGCGAGGCCGAGGCGGAGGTTGTGATATTGGATAGTGATTAGTTGGCAGCTATTTCTATTTTGTCCTAGGTATGCAATGAATCGATGATATACATACATATAAGAGTAACTCCGGATCGATATCCGTTCGGACTTTGTACAGAAAAGAATCAGACCAATAGAAAACCAAAGCATTGGTTCTTGTAGACCGCTCTTCTTCAGTCGGCCTATCACCATACCATGTCCAAGACGTTCTGCTCTGATCTGCATAACGCTGGTGATAGGTCATATGCGTGCAGTTGCATAAGTCGGCCATCACCAATCCTGAATAATGAATAATACAGGGTCTTCCCCGCACGCCGAGTCCTTTTTCTATACCCAGAGAGGGTATAATATTATTACAAATGCCACTCTGATTAATAACTTATTCTGTTCTCTGCAAAACGATTATATCTCTCTACCCGAGCCCTGGTGACGTCTTCAAGGGCATCTACCTACAGTCCAGATCCAGACACACGCGACTACCTACCTGGGAACTTATATAGGCACCAAAAACAAAAAAGAATACAAGATTGGAACAGCAAAAATGGCACCAATGTTCCCCCACCCCCGCCGCATCGTCACCGGCCACGACGAGCAGGGCAACGCCGTCTTCGTCGACGACAAAGCCATCCCCACAGTCCCAACATCATTCGACTGCGACTTTGCCGTCCTGTACGAAACGCACGAGTTCCCAGCCAACCTGGACGAGTGGAAGGATCCGACTCTGGAGCGCACAAAGTCGCTGGCCAATGAAGATGGAGTTGTGTTGAGGGTGGTTGATTTTAAGCCTCATACCAAGACTGTAACTTTTATCCTTCTTTGTCTTGCCTATCCATGGTGTGGATGACATGAACTGATGAAATGGGATGGTTAATGCAGCGGTTTCATCGGACGATGTCGTTGGATTTTGGGATTCTGTTTGAGGGAGAAATCACTTGGTTAGTTTTGCTCCCCGTCCAAAAAGGTTCCGAATCGGGAAAGGTATTTCCTCAGTGGGGAATAATCGAATATCGTCAACGAAAACCAAAGGGCTGCTCAGCTTTGAGCGGAGTTAAGGAAATACAAGAGAAATAAAATCACTAATCGGCCCTCGACAATCGCACAGCTACCTCGACAACGGCGCAGAACTTACTCTGAAGAAAGGCGATGTCTGTGTTCAGCGCGGCACAATCCATGGATGGGAGAATAAGAGCGATAAGCCGGCGCGAGTATACTTTATTTTGACAGGTGGGACCATCTACTACTTTTCTTTTGGTGGGAATTGCGTTTCCAGCATATGGTTGCTAACATATCGTTCTTCATAGCGTCCAAACCGGTGCACGTGGGTGGCAAGCTGCTCGCCACAGCAGGCTTCGACGACAGAGAAGCCGAGACAGGAGGGAAATAGAGGATGGTCAATCAAAGCCTACAGTTTTCCGCATACAAATTCAAGCAATAGGTTTAGGGAGAAGAGGAAGAACGAAACGGGGAATGCCAGTGCTGCCTAACAATCTACCTACGTATGACTTTTAAAGGATGATGATTATTGAGGTTACATAGGACACTGGCATTGAGCAATAAAACTGGAGCATATTCTCGGCGGAATGAGCTGTTTTGGGTAACTACATGAGGATTGTGATGCTTGTACGCCGTGCTACCTTGTCCAGACCTGTAGGATAGAGTGTAGCTTAGAGTCAACTTCGTGGTTGTAGATGTCGAGTTTGAAAAGCATCCGGCGACGTCGTAGTATGTAAGACCTAACTAGTCGGGTCCAACTTTCTGAGGTTGCATCCGACTGGAGCAACAAGGGTGCGGCTGGCAGTTGTGTTGGTTCTGTTTGATTGAGCTTGGCAGAGTTTATTTCTTTTCTCTTTTTTTGTTTTTTTTAATTTTTTATTTTCCTTGGTTGCAGGGATGAAACTGGACAAGACTTCTAATAACGATGCGCGGTGATGATACGCGTCAGGGGCTGATACACACTATAAATAGACAGGAGGAGGAAATGATGGTTTTGGATTGATTGCGCATCGAGGCACACAGTATACCTTATTAGCACGTCTAGACTGCAACTCTACGCTTGGCTAGCCTTGTGGGTTCGTTGGGGCCATCTTTCGAGGGGGCCGAAGCCATTCACTCTCATGATCGCAAGGAATAATCCCCCCCCAAAAAAAAGAAAAAAAAAAAAAAAAAAAGGGGGAAATGTTTGAAACAAGACACAATAGCGCAAACCCCAAGGTCACTCTACATATTGATTTTCGTCATAATGCAAGCCACGTGTTGGCCATGAAACGTTCCATTCTGTCTTTTCCTGCTCCATAAGTATACTACTAATCATGGCATGGCATTCTCGAACGGCATGACCGACATGAAAATCCGGTTTTGGCTCCTTCAGCCAATCGTGAAATGACAGGACGCAGGCTAATTCCTGACTTGTGGCTTTTCTATGCAAAAAGACTTCAGGTGCAACTCTACTTTCCTCCTTTTCGACACACTCCATGCCCGAGTCAGCCATGGCCACCTTCTTTCTGGGATTCGGATCTAGGCTAAGAAATTAGGGTGATTATAATCATCTTCAAGCTAAATGTTAGTCGCTGACGGTGCGTAGTTAGTTCAAACTACAGGTGCTACGTAAGTTGATAGCATGCTCTCATTATTCTATGCATAAAAGGTTGGATCCCATCACGGTCGTCAACATGAGAAACCCCCCTCCTTCTCTGCCATTCACTAAACTACCAGTAACCTCACCTTCTTCACATCATGAAGCAGGGTGCATCTCTCCTGCTGTCGCTCGCCGCGGCGGCCTCCAGCGTCGGCGTGGCAGCTGCGCAAAAGTATGCTTTCGCTCACCACGTTGTTGGTGACACCGTAGCTCACACTCAGGCTGACTGGGAAAACGACATCACGCTCGCCCACGACGCTGCCCTGGACGCTTTTGCTCTTAACGTTGGATACCCCAATGACAACTATCTGTCGACCCAGGTAGCAAATGCCTTTGCCGCCTGTGAGGCCCTTAGCAATGGCTTCAAGTTGTTCTTCTCCTTCGACTACCTCGGTGGTGGCCAAGCATGGCCCGCATCAGAGGTAATCTCGTGGTTGGAGGAATACAGCACCTCGGACTGCTACTTGACCTACAATGATTTGCCCTTTGTCTCTACCTTTGAAGGTACCGACAACATCGAAGACTGGGCCCCTGGCGGCACCATCCGGTCTGCCATTGATGTGTACTTTGTACCATGCTGGACGAGTCTGGGTACCTCTGGTCTCACTCCTTACCTGGACTATGTCCAGGGTTTCTGTACGTATTTCGTTTTTCTTTCTCTTGTCTTGGTGCACCGGTTCTAACGCAACGTAGTCAGCTGGAACATGTGGCCGGTTGGTGCCAGCGACATGAGTGACGAGGCCGATCTCGAGTGGATTGACGCCATTGGCTCGGACAAGACCTACATCATGGGAGTTTCCCCCTGGTTCTTTCACAGCACCACCGGCGGTGATTATCGGTGGATTTGGCGCGGTGATAACCTGTGGGCTGACCGGTGGCAAGAAGTATTCAGCGTCGGACCTCAATTCGTGGAGTATGTCTTTTCTTGCTTTTCGTCCGAATTGCGTGACTAACGAGTGATTGCTAAACAGGGTCGTTACCTGGAACGACTGGGGCGAGGCTTCCTACGTCGGACCCTTCTACAGTGACGACGAAGTCCCAGCTGGATCCTTGGAGTACGTCGAGGACATGCCGCACGAGAGCCTCCGAGACTTCCTGCCGTACTATATCGCGACCTTCAAGGGCAACGACTTTGACATCTCGCGCGACCAGATGCAATACTGGTACCGTCTGTCGCCGCTGTCCGGCGGCAGCGAGTGCGGCATCATTGGCAACGACCCTGATGACGGGCAGACCGCAGTCGACGCCAACTCGATCCCAGAAGACAAGGTGTTCTTCAGCGCCCTGTTGATGTCCGATGCGACCGTCGAGGTGCAGATTGGCGACAACGCTGCGGTGTCGTACAGCGGTGTCGCAGGTCTCAACCACTGGGACCAGGACTTCAACGGCCAGACCGGCGCTGTCACCTTCAGCGTCATCCGTGACGGCGCCACGGTCAATAGCGGCACCGGTGCTACCATCACCGCGGACACCGATCTGTCCGATGGCTGCACCAACTACAACGCCTGGGCGGGCAGCTTCTAAGCTGCTGGCTGTCGGAGGAGGAGTATGAAGTTGTACATAGTCAGCCCGAAAAGCATAGTACATAGTTGTATTGAAGACCTAGTTTCGCTTTATTAGTACGTATTCACTGTTCAGTTTTCGGACAAGAGCCCCTTGCAGGAAGAGCAGAAAGGGGCACGTACTATGTTTGAAGACATAGGGCGTAGCATGTCGTCGGCTGTTGACTATTGCTGCAAGCAGCGCGAGTGCAAGCAACGCAAGGGCGGCATGCCTGATGCGTGAGGTGTCGATGGGCGGAGCCGGAGAGCGACTGCCTAATTATGCTTTTTATTGCATTCTCCTGAATCCTCGGCCTTATCTCGTCTGTCGCTCAATATATGTCATCTGTTTCTTCATGTCTATCGCTGTCGGCTCAGTACACGGCCATGCTCTCGACGCAACGTGTCTAGGTATCCAGCTAGCTGAGCCTCGTCGTCCACCACCATGTCCTCCTCCTCCTCCTCCTCCGCCGCCGCCGTCGGGGAATTGGCGGCTGCCACTGTCCTCGGAGTCGCCGTTTACGTGCTCTACTTCAATCGCGGCGAACATCACCTCCATCCCGAGCGCTATCTCGTCGTCTTCGCCGCTGTTCTCACTGCCAGCGTAGCCCTGCTGCATCTGCACCACCGGCTGCCCCTCTCCGAAGCCCTGTCGAGCACCGTGAATCTCGCGCTGTCCTTCCTGGCCGGCCTCTACGCCAGCGTTCTGGTCTATCGCCAATTCTTCCATCCCCTGAACAAATTCCCCGGCCCTTTTGGCACCCGCATCTCCGCGCTCTTCTTGTCGGTCCGTTTCAGCAAAGCCGACAGTGCCCGCCAGTATCTCACATTGCACAAGAAATATGGCGATTTCCTGCGAGTGGGCTCGTCCGATCTGTCAATCGTTCATCCGAAGGGCATCCAGGCTGTCTACGGTGCGGGCACTCCATGTACCAAGGGCGATGCCTACGACGTCACCAAGCCCGTGGTGTCGCTGCACAGTTTCCGGGATAGACAACTACACGATAATCGCCGTCGAGTATGGAGCGCGGCATTTGGCGACGCCGCCTTGCGTGGGTACGAGAAGCGCATTCGCAAGTACCGAGACATGCTCGTGTCAACCTTTGCGGCAAGCGAAGGCAAACCGATCAACGTCGTGCAGTGGTTCAACAACTACTCGTTCGATATAGTCGGTGATCTGGCTTTTGGCCAGTCCTTTGACATGCTCAAGGACGACGAGCTGCACTGGGCCGTTCGGCTCTTAGCGGAGGGGTTCAAGCCATTGGCCTTTGGTCTTCCGACCTGGGTCTTCCGACTTGCTCAGCTCATCCCTGGCGCGACGAAGGATTGGTTTAGGTTTTTAGATTTCTGCCGTGAGAGGATGATCACACGAATGCAGGTATTTCCACCTCTCTAAAAGAATGGTTTTGGCGGATATGTGTTGATTCAAATGCAGAACACTCCCGACATTCCGGATATTACCTCGTCGCTCTTGGTGCCTTTGGAGGGCAAGAAAGTGGCTCAGGAGGACATGAACTTGCTTGTTGGTGACTCCCAACTGATGATGGCTGCTGGCGGGTGAGCACTGTTCCTCTAGTTACTTGACGTTGATATTGATGTACCACTGTACAGTGACACAACGGCAACGACCCTGTCCAGCATCATTTTCGAGCTATGCATGCATCCTGGGCAAATCGAGAAGTTGCGAGAGTTAGTCGCGCCTTTCATGACAGATCCGTCCGGGGAAGTCCTGAACGAGAAAATCGCCCATATCGATCACCTCAACGGGGTGATCTACGAAGCACTCCGACTTCATCCGCCGGTACCGGGGATCATTCAACGCAAGACACCGCCCGAGGGAATAATGATTGAAGACACCTTTATTCCTGGGAATATGATTGTTTTTTGCCCGCAGTATGTCGTGGGAAGGAGTACGTCATCCCGTCTCCAGCTATTCACATCCCGACTAACCAACCGCTCATAAACAGGCGAGGCAATCTACGAGAGGCCCGAAGAATTTATCCCTGAACGCTGGTACTCACGTCCAGAACTCGTCAAGGAAAAGAGCGCCTTTGCGCCGTTTCTATACGGTATGCCTGTTCTAACATCTCTGCCGCGTGGTTTAGCTAACACCAGACAGGGACATACGGCTGCATTGGACGACCGCTCGCCATGATGAACCTGCGAAGTACGCTTGCGCGACTCCTCACGACATTTGACATTAAGTTCGCAGAAGGCGAGGACGGCAGCAGCTTCGATGGGATGTCGACGAATCACTTTCTGTGGTGCCCGGGAGACTTGTACATTTCTTTTACCAAACGGGAACGCGTGTAGTTTTATGGCGCCTGGAAGGGGAAGGGCATACTATTACTTAATGATACATAATTATATACTGTATTTTAGGGCTATGTTAATCTCAGCTAGCTCCGACGCTTCACTTAAGAACCGAATTGTGAGGATTCTAGAAAAAGCAGCGAACAGCTGCTTAGTGAATAGAAACCCACCCTTTAAGATACTTCTATGTCAACCCCTTACAAGTAATTATAATTTATTTTAATTTTTATTTGAAAAAGATATATTGTTTGCTTACTTACAACGACATTTCTCTTGACTCAATTGTGTTTTCGCTTTCTGCGGCCAGTACAAATCTGACGTAGTGAGTAGCAATAGCATCCATCAACGCTCTCATCGTGGGCAGAGCTATTTGAGAATAAGGCATAAGTTCGCTTCAAGTTTAAAACTCGTTTTGAAGATGTCTCATAGAATTTTCTCTGATATCATTCAACCTAACACATTAATGCCAAGGCATAAGGTATATGTCACAGATACAGTGAGAAAGCAAAAAGGTAGATTCATTTCTAATATCCTCGCCAGCGAGTGAATATTCATGATTGAAAACCCTTCTACTATACCAGAAAATGCTGCACTTCCATGTTTCGCAATTCATCAATTGACGTTTCTGTCGAAAGTTGTATTAAAAAGTACGGATGTAGGAAGCGTACAACAGACCTGACTCTGGTAACACTCCGATACAGGACTGCAACTTCACGGCTATACGGCGTGGTTTTACGAAGTAATTCTTATAATTAACAAGACTGGAGCTATCGAATTTAGTTTTTCTAAACGTAGAAGTATATAGTACGGTCACTTTCACGAACAATCCTGGATTGGTCGAAGGCGACGTTAATCTGACGCACTCATAGACAGGATGTAAAAGACTTTCGGTGATAAAGAAACTGCAACTTTCCAGTGAAGTTATCAGTCAGCGGTGTCAAGAGTTACCTTTGCTGCTGCTGTGGTTTGGCCTGATTACTTTTTCCATCCGCTGATATCACGTTCATGTTGAACAGTAAAGTCGACGGGGTGACGAAGTCAGAAGATGTGGAGAGTCACAGGAAGACCATGGTATAAAGAGAGAGAGAAGAGAAGTTGTTGTCCACATTATATCCATAGCGTTATTTATGCCTAGGTAAGGCGTTTCCCGGCAGATTCTGTGTAATATAAACGGTTGTTCATGAAACAACGACTTTTTTACCCATGTATTATTCTGGGTTGTACCCGAGTTTCATGTCTTTCTGTTCTCCTGGGTCCTAGGGAGGTGCGGATGGACATATTTTCAGCATTCGAGGTGCCAATATAGCATGAAACGTCGATTAGTCCTTAGAAATGTTTTGAAACGACATTTCATTCACCCACTAACCACTCAGCGATTGGTATATTTGGACTGACCCGTATATAGTTGATGACCACGAGTTGACATCGTGGTAGACTGGCAGACATATACAAGGAATCATGGAGATACAGCACCAGATCTCTATCTGGATGTCATCTAGAGTTGGAGACTTACGGAGTTAGGGCTAAGGTCCCTAACCCTAAGGAGCAGACCAGAGGAATATCAAGAGCTTTTTGCATTCAGTAACTGTGGCTCTCACAATCCGACTGTCATCCTCGGAGGTCGAACTTGACTGCGCCTAGCTGGATACGATGTCCATCACTAGAAGTTCCCTAGCAGATACGAACGATTTGAATGAAGGCTTTCAACGACCCAAATTTATGCCACCAGCGCTGTCAAGGCTGGCATCTGGGAGGTGCTGTAAGCTAGTACAAACTTAGAGCACCGGCGCTAGTTAAAAATCCAATTATAGTGTCTTCATGGTAATTTATCTTAGCCATGTAAATAGAAATCATTTTTAGCTGGGAGGACTGCATTTGATAGTACCAACCCCCCCTGAACTTAGCAGACGTTTTCGGATTTCCGTGTCGATATGCGCTAGTCCTGTTTGGTGATGGAACCTGAAGCTCCGAAGCTCCGTGCCGAAAATAATAAAATGGTCCATCATCCGATCAGCATTATTGTACACACTACAACACAAATATCGCCATGGCTTCCTCGACTTCCACAGCTTCCAAAGCAGCATGGAGGCTGCTCTCACGCAGGGCAACAACGCCCCGTCGCGTGGTCGCCCTGCCCGATCCGCACCGCTGCTTCTCGTGCTCCGTGCGCGCCCATCGGCCTGAAAAGACGGAGACGGCGAGCTCACGGATGACGCATTTCGGCTTCGAAAATATTCCGGAGGGGGAGAAGGAGTCGAGGGGTATGCTCCCTGTGCTTCTAACAATTGCATGGGTACATACAAAGCTAACGATATGCTGCTAGTCGGCGCGGTGTTCAGTTCAGTAGCAAGCTCGTACGACACGATGAACGATTTGATGTCCCTCGGCATCCATCGACTATGGAAGGACCATTTCGTGCGCTCGCTCAACCCAGGCTCCTGTAGCAAAACCGGCGCGGCGGGACAGAATGGCTGGAACATCCTCGACATCGCCGGCGGATCGGGCGACATTGCATTTCGCATGCTGGACCATGCGACCAACATCAACCACGACCGCGCGACGCGGGTCACCGTAGCCGACATCAACGCAGACATGCTGGCGGAAGGACGGAAACGCAGCATCGACACGCCTTACTACAACACGGACCGATTGTCGTTCATGGTCGCCAATGCAGAGCACATGCCCGACGTGGCGGACAACTCGGTTGATCTGTACACGGTCTCGTTCGGCATTCGCAACTTCACAGATAAGCAGGCAGCGCTCAACGAGGCGTTCCGGGTGCTCAAGCCCGGCGGCGTGTTTGCATGCATGGAGTTTAGCAAGGTGCAGAACCCGGTGTTCAACGAGGTTTACAAGCGGTGGAGTTTCAGCGCCATCCCCCTGATTGGACAGCTCGTCGCGGGAGACCGCGCGAGCTACCAGTATCTGGTCGAGAGCATCGAGAAGTTTCCGAGCCAGGAGGAGTTTCGCGAGATGATCCGCCAGGCTGGCTTTGTGATTCCGGGCCAGGGATACGAGAATCTGTCGTGCGGGATTGCGGCGATTCACAAGGGGGTGAAGCCGCTGCACTGATCTATATCTATAGAGGCTGTATATTATTCTAATCATAAAACCATATGTTATCCCACATATGCAATATGTTCCATAACACCAGGGTTAGGGCTACCATGCGGGGCATATTATTGCATGCATTCATTCATGCAGGCCGGATTTCGTGCATGCGTGGCTGATGCATTTCGAATGCAACCGAATCCTTCGGCCAGATAACTCCTATCGAATAAACGTTCATACTTCAACTATATTATAAGCATTATCTCTACCTAGGCACTGTATACCATCATATTGTGGAATTGTATCGGAGTCGTCGCTGATTGGATTCCGATTATCGCACCGGATATAAAAAAGTCACCACCTTCGGCCAATCCTCTTCCCCTGTCGCGATCCTTCAGGCTTCACTTCAACGTTTCTTAGTCACGACTGGCACTAGCTAGTTACGTTAACTAAGGGCTTAGTTATAGCGAGCGTTACCTAGGCAAGTGGGCTGCCGTCTCCCTCCTGCGTGGCTAAGAGCATCCAGATCGCTGAATATGGCCTCTTATCGCGGGGGCGTGTTGAAGAACCCCTCCTGAGTTCTAAGCCGTGTCTCAATTATTTTTTTTTTTTTTACCTTTTTTTTTTTTTTTTTTTTTTTCTCTTTCTGCTTTCGTACCATTCCATTGCACTTTCACTCTTATTCTCCCATCCCTGCATTCGGATTTCTCACACTGTCCTTGTCCAGACAAGTGGCAGCGCAGGCAACCATGCCTTCAACCACCGCGCTCAACACCGCGCTCAACACCGCGCTGCATGTCATCACGACCGAGAGAGACGCGCTGAGCCATCTCGAGCTGCTCTACCGCACCAATGACCTGGCCCAAAAGAACATCGACCGCGCCGTCGCTGAGCTCGTGCGCACCATCAAGCGCGGCGGGAAACTGGTCGTCTGCGGCGTTGGGAAGAGCGGCAAGATTGGCCGCAAACTCGAGGCGACGATGAACAGCGTGGGCATCCACAGCGTCTTTTTGCATCCTACCGAGGCTCTGCATGGGGATCTGGGCATGATCCGGCCAGTACGCTATATCACCACACTTCTTTCTCGTGAGACCAAGACTAATACCCCCCAGCTTGATACCCTCCTTTTGATATCCTTCTCGGGCCGCACCCCAGAACTCCTCCTGATGCTCCCTCACATCCCCCAAACCGTCCCAGTCATAGCAATCACCTCGCACGCACACCCCTCGACTTGCCCGCTCCTCTCCTTCAACAGTCCCGACATGACCATCCTCCTCCCCGCGCCCCTCCACATAGACGAGGAGACATCCTTTGGCCTCGCGGCGCCCACCAGTTCCACAACCGTCGCTCTCGCTTTGGGCGACGCACTCGCTCTCGCCACGGCGCAGAGTCTGCACACTCTGCCGGGCCAGGGCCCCTCGGAGATCTTCAAGGGATATCACCCCGGCGGCGCTATTGGCGCCGCTGTCGCCCGTGATAATGCCTCCGCCATCTCTACCCCGGCTACCTCAATGACCACATCGCCGAGCCTGTCTTCGCTCGAGGACGCGCTGCCTATCAAGTTAACTTTTGACGATGACGATGACGACGACAACGAGGACGAGGATAATATGCGGAGCACATCATCAAAGACCCGGCTCGACACGGTATGCGCCTCGGAGCATTTCGTCCCCATCGAATGCATCCCGACTGTCGTTCCTTCATCTCAGTCTCCAGAGACAACAGAACAAATCAGAAAAGGCCCGCAAATTCTCGACCTTCTTTTAACTACCATCCAGAACCCAGCCTCTAAATTATGGGTCAAATTGTCAGATACACACATCATTCCCCCGCCTCTCCTCCGGTCCATGACTATGACTATGGGATCGTCATCGTCATCGTCAACAACAAGTACAATAATAGACACCAACGCATACACACTCTCCACCACTCACATAACATCCGTACCCTCCAACAAATGGCTTCGCGTCCGCGCATCTAGTACCATGGACGAAATCCGGTGCATACTCTTCTCTCCTTCTTCTCCCTCCACAGACACAAGCCCATCAGACCAGAACAAACCATACCGCGTCATCAGCGTCACGGATGATGTCGATTCGGACAAGGTGCTAGGATTTATCTGTGCCGATGATGTTTGATGAATCTCCCTATTTGACTGGTAAATAAATACTCTCTCTTCTCTTGCCTTATTTTTTGTTCGCTGTGATATCATGTTTATTATATTTTTTTTTTTTTATTTTTTATTTTTTATTTTTATTTTTTTTTATTTTTTTGCTTGTTATATGGGCTACCTGGCTATCTACCTGGGCCAATCAGGTGGGTTTATGGCTTTGTTTTTATTTGCATATATTCAATATACCATATACATATACATACATATACACGCTATAGTCATGATTGAATACGAGTATCTAAGTGCATTGCCGGGAGGTTGTTGTTTTTTACCTTCCCCCAAGGTTCTTAGAAACAAAAAAAGGCGGTTATCAATGCAAGCGTTTATTATTTGTGCGTCCGTTCGTATACATAAAAAGTCTACTTTGTACTACTTTATCGTACAAGAAAAGAATGACATGAGTTCCTTACGCGTGTATCAAACGTATCTCGCCTAAGAATGTAGCCAACTGAAAAAATTTCTAGCAACGTTCAGTCAAAGTCGCACAACAAATGAAAATCAAGGACCAAAATAAGAAATGCAAAACGACGAAAAGAAGAATCAGAGCACAACAGCGAGTCCCGCAATCCAACCAATTATCACCGCCATCAAAGAATCGGCAACCCCAATCGAATGAGCTGCACCAGTACTAGTTGCCTGCGCAGATTGGCTCGGCGATTTGTTCGTGGCACTGTTATCGGCAACATATTTCGTGCCTCCTCCTGTTTTCGTTCCTCCAGTGCCAGAGGTAGTAGTAGAAGTCGCAGAAACAACCGAAGGCGATGACGGTACAGTCGGGGTCTTTGTCGACGTAGGCAAATGCACACTACCACTTCTAGTACCACTATCACTGCTACTACCGGGCAACGGGTCGTCTGTAGAGGGAGTCGGTTCAGCATGCAGAGGGGCCGAAGGAGGAGTAGTAGGGGTAACGACAATGCCGTTGTCGTGGTCGTCTACCTCCTTTTGGCCGTCTTCCTTGGCCGGAGTAGGGGCAGAGGCTATGGTCGGCTTTGTAGTAGGCGAGCAAAGGTTATTCGTAGTTCCGCAGACATATCCAGACTGGCAGCAGCCGCCATTGGGACAGCTGGGACCGCCGTTGCATGATTCGTCGCACACAGGTACGTCACGCGAATATGTGCATGCGGCACCGATGGGACAGCATCCGAGACCGTCTGCACATGCAGTTTGGGTGGATGCAGGGCAAGCACCGGCGAGGTGACGAGCATTGAGGCCGTCGAGGCCTGCCAGGGCGGTTACCGGGGCGAAGGCGAGGATGGATTCGGCCAGAGTTACGCGGGAAAGGGTAAGAAAGACGAGACAGAGAAGCGAGATATTGCCATAGCCGGCTCTGCGAAGCGTAGAGGCAGTCATCTTGCTTTGTAGAACACACGCACTCACGATGGTGATACAAGTCAAAGGAAGTGCGAAGGTTATCGACGCAGATATAAAGAGGTATAAAGAGGACTGAAGAAGGATATTCCGGAGGATCAGATACGTGTTCTGTATGTCTGCAGAGATGGATGGAACAAAGAAGAAGTGGAAGAGAGAAGAAGGAGAAGAAAGAAAAAGAGGAAGACGAAGACGAGAAAGAGCTGGGTTTGCTCCTTCCGATGAGACAGAGAGAGCTCCTGCCGTGCACTATCCCGGCAGGCTCTTTCCCGTTGAAGACGTTCCAACCCTGGGAAGGACCAAACACACAAAGAAAGAAGAGAGAGAAAGAAAAAGCCAGCCTGCAATTAATGGTCTATCTGTCTTATTCCATCGTCACTACCTAATGCTATCGCTCGCTCGAGACAACGGAGACAGCGCCGAATTGCAACCTGAGGCAAGCGGAGCCAACAAGGATACAGGGGTATTCGTTATGGAAGGGGGAACCAAAAAAAAAAAAGAAAAAAAAAATAGGAGAAACAACAAGCAATGCAAGCAAGAAAATATCGTTATGTACAGAACATGAAATCGGCGCATGTGCCTGGACGTGTCGTGCCTTCGATCGCGCGAGATAGCACAAGGGTATTATTGTGGCCTGCGACGACCGAATCGACGACTAAATCATCTGGCGTACGAGAGAACAATGCGCTCGAGGGTGATTATTGCTCCTCTATGTTGATACAAGGCGAGGAATGCCTCAGGCGGATTCATCCTTTCCTTTCCCCTTGTCAACCGAGGTCGTGCTACCGGCGCCATCGTCTTCGTATAGGTGGTGCTCCTCGATGTAGTGGATCACCGGGGCAGGAATCAAGTAGCGCACGCTCATTTCCCGCCGCAGAAAGAGTCTGATTTTCGTGCTGCTGACGTCGTTTTGGATCAATTGTTGAATCACATGAATATTATCGCGCCATGGTTGCAGTGCGGCCAGAGCCTCGTCGATATCAGTGCCGCTGCGCTCGACGATGAAAGCCTGGCTTCAAGTTCAGTAAAGCGTACAACCATTTATAGAACGGAGTGCAACATACACCATAGCGACCTAGAATGTGGTCCAAATCCTTATCACTCCACACCCCCGGTGTTGACATGGTATGGATCAGATCGGCACCAGCGAGAAGAGCCACGCGGACTTGCTTGCGGGTGCCATCCCCGCAATCAACGCCCTGGCGAACAACGTTGATTTCGTGCTCGATGTGGTCGAGCACCACGGCCGTCGGTTGATATTCCTTATGCAAAGCCTCCCACGAATCAATCATCAACCAAGTGGACGACTCGTCGACAGCCAATTGGCACATAGCAAGACTATCATGAGATTAGCTAGTCACTTCAATCTTGTGCTGCAACGCGACAGAACATACCGGTGCTCTGCACTCGCCAGGCCTGCCTTTCTATAAGCGTCCGATACGGGCGATAAATAGCCTCCAATTAACTCGTAGTTTGTATTAAATTTCGCATAGTCGGCCGCCATCTCCCTGCGACGAATTGGATATTAGCACCCGACCAGCTAAGAGGCTTGAAGTGAAGGACTTACTGCATTCGCAGATGCAAATAAGTTATCGGACTGAAACTTCCAGCTGCGACCAAGACGAGGGGTGTCTTGCTTGGATCGCGCATCACTCGCGCTAAACGATGCGTGGGGAATTCATATGTATCGAGGCTCCCGGAGTACGGGGCCAGGTCCTCTCTGCTGCTGGAGGCTGACGCTGCCATTTTCCTTGGTCGCCGATTTCTATCAAGAACTCCTCTCACAAGCGTTGGATGGTGTAAATACTGGTTCGTGGTGTTTGTAAGCGAAACCGTTTACCGGTGGCGAAACGGGGTTAAAGTATGACGCCAGCGCAGGGATTTTCGGTGCGCGAGGATCAGCAACGGTCGAAAGAGGGGGGAACCCGAGAGGCTGCAACGACAGACAAATGAACAACCGAAGAATTGCTCGCTCGAATCTTTGATTTATCGTCACAGGAGTGATATTCCAGCGCTGCTGGTCTGAGGGGTCAATGAAATCTCGGACGACAGCCCGATAGCGGGAGGAAGGCGGGCGGGGTCGCAGAATTGGCGTCGTTTGGGGCAAGATGCGCCGCGGCAAGACGCAGATGCTGGGGAGAAGAGAAAGAAGACAGGCCTACACAGAGGAGAATATGGAAGCAAAAGAAGGGAACAAGACACAGAAGAAGGGCACAAAACGAAGGGCTGGCTCGTTGTTGGTTAGTAAGCAGATCATCACCAAACGAGTTAGCCGGCCAACGGTGTCCCAAAACGGCAATACTACGGTTTAATTATGCCAGTTACGAGCTCAGCTATCCATCTATGCGTAGGTTTGGGAAGCGTGGAATACTCGATACGCCTTGCATGTTAGACGTCTGCATTCTCGTGACATGAGTGGAACGCGCCACTGGGGGGCTTGCACCTTGGTGGCCTTAGAGAACTGGCCACCGGCCGGAAACGGGGCGCCCAAAGTATAGACTTATGGCAAAGGCCAAGCTCGCTATGTGCAATTCTCGTCTCCGGGAGCAACTGGAGGTTGCTGCGCTGCAGGAGGCTAATCATACAGCCTTCCATACTAGCTAGTATTGCATCGGCGAGAGCCACGTTACGCCAGTATCACCTCGCACCTGCTCGCCATATTCCACAGAACCAGGAGAGAGAGAGGAAACAAAAAGCAGAAGGAATAGACAAAGAATACATAGAACTTTTTTTTCTTAAAAAATAAAAGAAAAAGAAAATTAGCATTAAAGTTGCGAATCCAGTCCATCCTAGCGAGGAGAATAGTCATTACTTAACTAATTTGCACTCCGGCCGTCTGACGTTCTCCGAACAACCAAGAACACCAACCTTGGGCTGCTGCTCTCTTTCCACCACCACCACCACCTCCTCCTTCTTCTTCCCCCAACCAGCCCAACCACACACCGACCTAGCATCACTCTTGCGGTATCCCGGTATTTCTTTCGCACGCTTGGTATAGAACTAAATACAGAGCGACCGATCGTTGAGTGCTCCCTCGCACGCCATCGACACGTAACTTAGTCGGATTCACCAGACCTCCTACCCTCCCGAAGTTCGCTCGTCGCTCTGCCTGTTCTTCCCTCGGTCCGCTCTGAAGAGCTGCGGATGGCGGGTTAACAGCGGCCACAACGAGCATTTCGACCGACCTATGGCCAGACGAACGACTGCTGCCGAGTACCAGGACCCTCGAGAGCCATATCCTCTGTCGTCCTTCTCCGCATCGTCTGCGGGACCTATCCTGTCAACCCCCGCAGGTCCAACCTTAAGGTATGCCTTGCTTTGTTGTCCTGTCGATTGCAGTCCGGATATTTGATCCTTCAACTCGACTCGACTTTCGTCTGTCCTTGACACTGGATGGACTTGCCTTCTAGACTACTGGCCCGGCTCATTCCGTTCATTCATTGTGCCAGCCTGACTTGAATTGACCGCTACGCCGAGCATATTCTGCTGCTCGTTTGCCCTCTATTCCTTATTTATTCGTGCAAATATTCTCGCCCATACACCATTGTTCCCCGTTTCCTCTCGTGACTGGCTTGAACCGCCACCTTTTTCTTTACTTTCAACGCTGTCTCTGACCCAGCTATACCATCTATCTAACATCACTTCAATGTCTACCAGGCACACTCGCTCTTCTGCACGCAACACTGCAGCTGAGAACGCTCTGAATACCGCGGACACGACAGGAATCCCCTCGAGCGGGAGTGCCACATCCAGAAAACGCAAGGCAAGTGCGCGCCGAGGCAAGCCCCACGACGAAACCGAGCCTGTTCGACAACCGAGTCCTCCACCCAGGAAAGTAAAGCGACAACGGACAACAGCTTCAAGTGCCCCGGGGCATTTAGATCAGAATACTGCTCCTGCTCCTGGATCCCGCCAATCTACTCGAACCCGTCTCGCCATGTCACAGCCTGGGTTCGTTATCTACCCACGTTTTGTTTGTTTCCACTGTTGCATCTGAGAAAATATACTGACTTCCTTTGATGTCTATCTAGTCCCTCATCACAGCCATCCGATGACGCATCCAGGACGCGGGGCCCCTCCTCTAATTCGAGAAGGAAAAGTGGGAGAAGCGCTAAGACAAGCCGCCGAGAAAAGGACCCCTTGCCCGCTAGCACAGAAACCTACACCAGCCAGTCACCATCACGGCGGCAAAAGAAGCGCTCTCCTAAGCTCAGCCCAGATTTACCGATGAAGGATATTGACGATCCTGCGAGCGAACAGGAGCCTCCGAAGGAAGAGGGCGATGAACACTCCTCTCCGCCCAGCGAGAGCAACGATGGCACTCATACACCTGGGTTGTTAGATGACGATGAGGGTGATCCGTTCCAGAGTAGCCTATTTGGGTCCCGCACTCCTTTGGGTTTGCAGAATACCCTCAGAGCTCTTACAGGCATGATGTCCGGCATGTCGTCACGACTGCGGGAGATGTTGAGTCAACTGAGAATGAAGGAAGACCCCTCCATACAGCTGATTGCCTTGCAAGAACTTTCCGATTTGCTACTCGTATCAAATGAAGACAACTTGTCTGGCCAATTCTCGCCAGATTCGTTTGTTAAAGAGCTCGTCACATTGATGCAGCCAAGTGAATTTGGGGAGGAGAACCCCGAGATTATGCTTTTAGCCTGCAGGTGCCTCGCCAACATGATGGAAGCTCTACGAGGATCCGTGACGAACGTTGTCTATGGGGGCGCGGTGCCAATATTATGCCAAAAACTACTTGATATCCAATTCATCGACTTAGCTGAACAGGCCCTGAGCGTAAGTCACTTCTCCCTTATTGTTGAATAAAAAAAAAATTCAACGGGAAGAAAAAGGAAATTTTATTGACTGAATATGAACTCTCTAGACACTGGCAAAGATATCCGAAGAGTTTCCAGCATCAATCGTACGCGAAGGTGGACTAACTGCCTGCCTGACTTACTTGGATTTCTTTCCAACGAGCACCCAACGAACTGCTGTTACAACGGCGGCAAATTGCTGTCGCAGTCTTCCTGGTGATTCATTCCCCGTTGTCAGAGACGTGATGCCAACTTTGTTGAATGTCTTGTCAAGCAACGATCAGAGAGTGGTGGAACAAGCTTGTCTTTGCGTGTCTCGAATTGTGGAAAGTTTCAAACACAAACCTGAAAAGTTGGAAGAACTTATCGAACCGTCTATGCTCAAGGCTATTCTTCGGCTTTTGTTACCCGGCACGACAAATTTGATCGGGCCCCATATTCATACTCAGTTCCTGCGGGTTCTAGGAATTGTCGCCCAGGCTAGCCCTCGCCTTTCCGTCGAATTGCTGCGTATGGACGTTGTGGATACTCTTTACCAGATACTTACAGGGGTTTCTGCGCCGCGCGAGGTCGATGGCGCTGGTATAAAAATTGATAACGTTGTTATTATGCAAGCATTGGTACATCGCCCCCGTGACCAAGTTTTTGAGACACTTGGCGTCATATGCGAATTACTTCCAGGCACACACCATCTTCACGGTGCACTCTCCCGGTTTGAGAACTCTTTGACTATTAGTCTGCAGACTCGATTCGCCCCAATGCGCTCCTCATCCAAGTTAAAGGAATTGGCTGAGATTAGACGCGCATCTCTTGCGGACTGCAAGCCTGAACTGAAACGGTTCGCCATGGTGCTTCTGCCAACTCTAACCGATGCCTACTCGAGTACTGTGAATCTAGGAGTCCGGCAAAAGGTTCTATTAGCACAACTCAAAATGCTTCAGGAAATTGATGCAGATGTGATTCAGGACGCCCTTCGAACAGTGCCTTACGCGTCATTCCTGGCGGGAATACTTTCGCAAAAAGATCATCCATTGTTGGTGTCATATGCCTTGAAGTGTGCGCAATTACTCTTTGAACGATTGCAGGATATATATCGATACCAGTTCCATCGAGAAGGCGTGATATCCGAGATTGGCGTCTTGGCTGCGAAAAGTCTATCCACTGAAAAGGAAACAGCGGCCAAAGCGCCAGACGATATTAGTGGCCATGACACAGATCAACCTGACTCGCGAGCCACTAGTGAAGCTCCAAGTACTTCACGTAACGATAGTGAAGATGAAGACAATGATGAGGAGGATAATGACGACGATGAAGACCGGGATGAAGATGATGATGACGAAGATGAGGACCAAGACCATGAGAACGACGGCGCTTCCGAATCAGAAAGTTCTACATCCTTTCCTGTGCCTCGGCCGACAACTCAGAGCATGGATGAAATGCTGGAGGATCAAGTCGTCAATGCCGCCCGAGCTTTCCTTCAAGCGTATGAGCAGGCTGAGGGCGCAGGAGCAATGGCAGACAAGGCAAGTAGTATTCTCAAAGACCTACAGATTTTGGCTACCTCTATCAAGTCTGCCTATGTGGAAGGCCAATCAACGGCTCTGGTGGCCCTCTTCGAGAGTCTGGTAGCATACTTTGACGGAGACGCCCTAGAGAGCATCACCAGCGCTGAGCTGCTTAAATCGGGCATTATCGATGTACTCGTCGAAATCCTCGGTGCCACCGGCTCGTCTCGCGAAGCGCGTGCCCGCTTTCTAAAGGCTTTCATGGGTACGACTACATCTCAAACGACACTTGGCAGGCAAACATCGTCCTCAACTCCCTTGAGCAAATTAATCCAGAAACTTCACGATCTCCTCAGCAGAACAGAACATTTTGAAGTCATCACTGTTGGCCACAATTCTCTTGAGATGACGCGCAGCAATGCAACGTATATGCTCGGCAAACAAGTCCGTCTGAAGTTGGTTGCTGACGAGGGCTCTAATATTCCTCGACCGTACAAGAACATCATGGTTGCAATTCATGCAATCGCTACCTTCAAGTCCCTAGACGATTTCTTGCGCCCTCGAATCAGCCTTTCTGAACGTCCACGGCCATCACGCAACCTCGATTTTCTGTCACAACTTGCCAATGCAGACCGACTACGGGATTCTCCCAATCCTAGTCAGAGCTCGACTGAAAACGATTCTCAGCTGCCTCCGAATCCTGCCAGTCACCGGGGCCCTGCTAAGAACGCCCCCTCCACACCACACTCACCAGTTGATGGACGAGACCGCAGACAAACCCATCGGTCAAGTAGAAACCAGCCGTCTAATCTAGAAGATGACGAGGCCAACGATAACCGTCCTTTGGAATGTGCAGACGAGAAACAATTGAGTGACGAGGATGACGATGAAGACATAGGCGATGACGAAGACGACGAGCTCAACGCTATTGTGGATGACTTAGAAGACGAGCTTTCTGACGATCCTGGACCAGAGCCGACTGCCGTCAATATGGAGATTGCGGCGACTGGAAAGGTTACTGCTCGTAAGGAAGATGGAACACGCGTTGCAACTCCATCTCAGTCACAGACTCTTGGTCGGGGCTCCTCTAATACTCCAAGCACAGAACTTGCTGCCACGGGTAGCAATTCCTTAGCGATGGCAGGCCGTCCTTTCTCGTCTTACGCTGCTGCTGTTGCAGCGATCCCGCAAGATTGGCATATTCAGTTCAGCATCGATGGAGAACCAATCACAACTGATACAACAATTTATCGTGCTGTCCACCACAGTCGAGAGCATACCGAAGATGAGGGTCGCAATATCTGGACTGCGGAGCACACAGTGCACTTCAAACGGGTGCCGGGACCTCCGCCCCCGGAACCATCGTCTCTTGCTTCTGCGTTCCGCAACACAGAAGCCATAGATGAGAAGACCGGTCTTCCTAAATCGCTAAGCAAGGACCCTACTGCGGTATCGATCTTGCAGCTTTTGCGGGTACTACATGAGATAAACATTCACCTTGATGACCTCCGCGCCGAGAGCAAGGAATTAACAGCAGTCAGTGCAGAACCACTGGCGCAATTCATCAACACAAAGTTGACTGCCAAGATGAACCGGCAATTGGAAGAACCATTGATTGTAGCCAGCAGCTGTTTGCCCCGTTGGAGTGAAGATCTGGCTCGTGAATTTCCGTTTCTGTTTCCTTTTGAAACGCGCCATCTCTTCCTTCAATCCACAGCCTTTGGTTACTCGCGGTCGATGATGCGCTGGCAAAACTCGCAGCCTGAAGACGGCCGGCGCGACCACCGTCGTGATGACCGTCCATTCCTTGGCCGGCTTCAGCGCCAAAAGGTCCGGATCTCTCGTTCCCGTATTCTGGAGTCGGCAATGAAAGTCATGGAACTGTATGGGTCGTCTGCTAGCATTCTCGAAGTTGAATATTTTGAGGAGGTTGGCACTGGTTTAGGACCGACATTAGAATTTTATTCGACTGTCTCAAGGGAATTTTCAAAGAAGAAATTGAAGATTTGGCGAGAGAATGAATCCAGTGGCACGAGCGAGTACGCCTTTGGCAAACACGGGTTATTCCCATCACCCATGAGCGAACAACAGGCCGAATCCGAAATGGGCAAGAAACAACTTCACCTTTTCAAGTCACTTGGCAAATTTGTCGCGCGTTCTATGCTGGATTCGCGTATTATTGACATCAACTTCAACCCCACGTTTTTCCGCACTGGCTCGAGTGGTTTTACTCCATCTTTAGGCTCGGCAAAGACGGTGGATCAGGATCTTGCCAACTCTTTGCTTTTAGTCAAGCGATTCGCGAGTGCTAAGAAGCAAATTGTCGACAATATTTCCCTCTCAGCTGATCAGAAGCTAAAAGCCATTCAAGAGATAGAGATCGATGGGGTTCAAGTTGACGATCTCGGCCTTGACTTTACGTTGCCTGGATATCCTGCCATCGAACTGGTTGCAAATGGCTCCAATATAAATTTGACCATTGACAATGTCGACTTGTACTTAGATCGAGTGATCGACCTCACACTGGGCAGTGGCGTACAGCGACAGATCGAGGCTTTCCGTTCTGGGTTCTCGCAGGTGTTCCCATACTCGGCACTGCGAGCTTTTACACCCAATGAGCTTGTTATGCTGTTTGGACAAATTGAAGAAGACTGGTCGATGGAAAGTAAGTTTCATTCTTCATCCCCACGGACCAAATACTTTGAGGGGTACTAACGTGTTCAACTTTCAGCACTGATGGATTCCATCAAAGCGGACCATGGCTTCAACATGGATAGCAAGGGCGTGCGAAACTTATTACAAACGATGAGTGGATTGGACGCTCAACAGCGACGAGACTTTCTACAATTTGTCACCGGAAGCCCCAAGCTCCCCATTGGAGGTAAATCAGCCTCTCTTCTTTTTCCAGTCGAGTGTCAACTAACATCAATGCAGGCTTCAAGAGTCTCACTCCCATGTTTACAGTGGTGTGCCGCCCCAGCGAGCCTCCATATACACCAGACGACTACCTGCCCAGTGTCATGACATGTGTGAACTATCTCAAGCTGCCCGACTACAGCAGCCCAGAGGCGCTTCGAGAACGCCTTCTCGTCGCCATTCGAGAAGGACAAGGAGCATTCCACTTGTCATGAGATGATAATAATGATGATGATGACGAAAATTTAAATAGCTCTTTTTTTCCTTTTTTCCCTTTTTTTTACCCCTGTATCCTTCGTGTTTGCAACCGTCCTTTTCAGTGCAGTGGCCTATTTATTATTTACAATGACATACCCAGCAGAATGGAATGATATGTTGCATGGCGGCATTACTTACTGACAGTTTGTGTTGATTTACTTATTTTTGTAGTCTGCGTTCTGACTTAGGGTTGCAAGGGTCTTCCCCCCCCCGCTTTTTTTTTCCTTCTCGTTTAATGGTCAATGAATGTGTAACACATTTTAGATAGCAATGGAACATGTCCCCTTTCACTGAATATGTCTATATATCAGCTAGCTAAGGCCCTGTTGCTGTGTTTTGTAGTTTTCATACTGCCGGATAAACTCCAGCTTGAACTCGTGCACATTGTCCACCACGTCCGACAGATGGTCCCTGCTCAACTGTCTGTCTCCACGCGCACGCGCGAGACTCAGCGCCGACGTGACAACATTACGGATCTGGCGCCCCCCAAACCCCGCGAGGCGAATCTCTCGCTGAAGCCATTGCACAATCTTGTCCATGTCCTTGACTTTGCCCTTGCGGTCAAGAGGGTCGAGGAAGTTCCTGAAAATCGCCATTGCACGGTCTTCCTTGAGCTCGCGGTACTTGATGGCGACGTGGATGCGTGAATGCACAGCCACGTCGAATTGGGCGATTTGGTTGGTGGTTAACATGAGTATTCCTGGTTGCTTTGGTCAGTTTATACGAGAAAAGAAAAAAGTGCAGCGATATTTTAATGAGGGCAGGGAAGTCAAGAGGCTGAAAGATGCTGGATTAACTACATGAGGCCTCACGAGGAGAATATCTAGACCTAATGCAGCGCCGCAGGGCGGTTCTGCCACGAATTGGAGATCAACATGTTTCTTTTACCTTGGTAATATTCCAGGACGCGAAGAAGCACTAGAAATAGTCAGTCACGGCGTTATCAATTCGAGGATGGCGCAGCAATACATACCAGAAACGAGGGCATTGCGCTCAATGTTGCCTCCATGGGTGACCCCCAATGACCGGCTTTGCAGGAAGACATCTGCTTCGTCACTTGGAGGACGACGTGAGCTCACAAGTCAAAGAAAAACCAAATGGCTTGCTTACTTACATGAGGAGGATGGCCTGCCATGTAGTTGCCAGGGTGAATATTCTGCGCAGATTAGACTCGACATGTTTGGCCTCGGTCCCAACATCAGCCACGCTGATGGCAAAGAGCGGCTTTTCTGCCTTGAGTGCGACAGTCTTAGCCGTCGATTTCTTGCCGTGGGCCTAGGATTTGGGTCGGGTGTCAGCAATAATAATACAGCTGGGGACTGGGTTCAAAGAAACATGATACCATAAAGAAGGATGACCAGCCCCTTTCCTTTCTGTTCAACGATATCCTGCACTTCCAGCTCGTCATCAATCTTGAAGACGAACCTTTTGGTCCGTTCATCTTCCAGCTTCAGCCTCTCCGACTAGGAGGTGCTGCCCTTGTCAAGGGTAATGTCTTTCAGGCAGTCAACGTGAAGCTGCGCCCACTGTTTCTCGCGCAAAACATAGCCAAACACGCGAGGGGGGCAAAGCAGATATTGCTCTGCATCCCAGTCTCGACCGTCAATGTTAGCGCGATCAAATCTAGTCCGATACAAGGCCATGAGCTCCTGGTTTGTCTGGCAGGTAGGGCACTGGCACTCCCCATACCTGCCTTCGGGGGTTATATCCCCTATGAGAGCATCGCATCGACTTTTTTCGAAGTACGACTTGAAGTCAACCATAACCCGGTCTTTCAAGAAGGCGAACCCGGCACTCGTGCTACTTGTTGATGTGCTGTAGGAGAATATGGAGCTATCGTCGTGAGTATCTGTATCTCTCTTCATAAAGTCACGCATGCTAGATAGACCCCTCTTGACCAAAACGGCCTGGCCGTCATAACTGAACATCTGCGAGCCCAAACTCGCTGTGCAGAAACGCCGATATTTTTTTCCGCGCTCAATCAGCTTCCGGCGCAGGGTATCTGAGTCTTCGTGGCATTCCAAGGGATAAAACGGAAGAGAATTGATGGGCTTGCTCTCCTCAAAACGTGCAAACCGGAGTTTCAGCGGTAACCGCTGGAACTGTGATCCATCCCAGTCGTAGGCCCAGCATCGCAAAAACCAATCTTTGCGATCCACCGGCCACGGGCTAAATTTACCTATCACAATGAATACTTCATCTTGTCCTTGGAAGAGCTTGCCGTAAACAAGGATCCCCGGCGGGAAAAGTGTCCACAGTGTCTGGGAAGTGATCAGATTCTGCTACTTATTTGCCGTGCGGTTTTTGAAATATTCATCCAATCTAGGGTCTCCTGATCCGTGTTCAATTGTGTCGAGCAGTGTTTGTAAGCTTTTTCAGACGATCCTCAGCAGCTTTTGCAAGCTGGTCCCAGTTGAGAACTATAGCCTCGTAGGGGGAATACAGGGTTTGAGGACTGCCTCTGAAGGTATGATACGGACAGGAAATTAGCAGTTCTTTCATAAAATTCCGCAGAGGGGGGCTTTCAATTTCAATTTCGCTGTGGTTTTGCCTTGGGTCCTCCTCAATGAATTTCCTCAACGTGAATTCATAGCCTTTGACCTGGGCTGATGAGGATTGCTTTGTTGGCTTTTTGTCGTACTCGACATCCTCACGCTCGCCTGCACTGTTGACTCTGTTGAGGACAATTCGAGACCGAGACTGGGCTTGCGGGGGCTACAAGGATTCTTTCGCATCAGAATTTCTCGCTCCAGATCAAACGGAATTGGCTACTACTAACCTTTTCACTTTCTTCCGCCTTTTCGCCTTCCTTCGTTTCAGTATCGCTTGTTTTAGCCATTGGGCTCTTTTCTGACGACCGGCTAAACTCTCTCTTCAGTTCGGAGAGTGCCTCCTGCATGTCGACCATCTTCTCCTCGAGAGACTAGCAAGACTTGTTATTCAAACAGCAGGAAGTGCGGATAGGGTTGCTTACCGTGATAAAGGTGATAATGAAAGACTTGGAAATGCTTCTACCTATGTATGCCTTTGATATATATCTTTATTCTGAGCACCTAGGCTTATGACCATCCATGGATGTGGTACAAGTTAGGGGCTTGTGACTCTCTAGTACTATTCACATCCGTCTTTGCATACCTAGACAGCAGCCATCATTGGAATATTACAGCTCGGGAGGTTGCATGCGTATATTGATGTTGTCACGTCCGAAAGATAAACATGTGTAACAATGTGATACTGTCCAATTGAAGGTATTTCTCCCATAACTGTGAAATTGTCCGTACTACACACATTTGCATGCAATCAGGTCAATATTCGTTCAAATTAGGGCTAATGTCCCGAGCCGGACAGTTGAATCTGGAAAGCAACTAACTTGGTTTACTACCACAAGCAACTTAAGAATCGGACATCCTGCAGAAGTAGAGGGACTCCCGTTCATTCTGATTGACAGTGGAAGTCGTCATGTCGGGTCCCAAAGTTTCTGATAATGATAAAAATCGGTATGGAGAAGGAATAATCCAGATAAATGAATGAGTGACTGACGTGCATGCATAGAGCATGCCTCGAACGATCCGAGCATGCACAGTCCAAGTTACTGGAGAGTGTTCGCTGCCAGAAAGGATTTTCTGATGCAGAGAAGGGCGCAATGAATCTACAAAGCGCATGCGAGTTTCGTGAGTACTGGATACGAGTGACCATGTCGCAGGGCAATTTCGACGACAACCATGAACACGGCTGCGGGCTTTGCGTCCGGCGTTCCCAGGCTTCGTCCAAGGTGGTTCTAACTTTCATGGATGACTTTTCTCCGCTTGTTGATGCTGTCAAGGGCTGTATCCCTGGTTACGGGGGACTGGCTATTGCAACTGTTTCGCTTCTCTTCTTGGTAGGTTCTGTGCTATTACTTTATCCTAGTATCCCATACAAGTCTGACAAGCGTCATAATCAAGGTTGCTCGAAACAAAGACGGCATTGAGAAGAACCTGGCATCTACGATAGAGGCCATTCGTGATAGGCTTCCTGCCATGGATCTATACAAGCATATATACGACGAGAATCATGCCTTGGATCATGAGATGCAGACTAGGGTTATAGCCGCTTACGAAACATTCATGGAATTTTGTATCTCGGCCATTGAATATTATAAGGGCAGTGGTATCTGTATGCATTTCACATGCTCTTTTTTCTCTTTTCTAATTTTCTTTTTCTCACACTGTCGATACTTTAGGGCGCTGGTTCAGAGCGTTGGCACCCGGGAGCACAAGCATTGCAACAAATGCTGCCCGGGTGCACACTTCCATCATCGGCATAAGGCAGTTAGGCGAGGAACTAGTAGCAAAAAATTGTGGATATCATCAAGAAGGGAAAGGAAGGTATTACTGACTTTGACTTTGACTTTACATGATGGAACTGGCTGACTAGGGTTTCAGATCTTGACAGGAAGCTCTTTGGTAGGTGATACGATTCGTCAAGTTGCAGCAGTGGCCATAGTATTTAATTTTCGGTTTTCAGAACTGCAGGATAGCTTTAGTGAGGCAGTCATTGACTGTTTCCGGGCGACATTCCAGCTCCAAGGGCTCAGCGACGACTCGCAAAACCAATATCTCGAGCATTACCGTGTGGTCGTTAGCATGGACCAGCGAAGCTACGCAGGCGTCTTGGAACAGATGAGTGGCACAAGCCTGGATCGATTTGTCAACAGCGGCGTATATCATCAATGGTATACTGCAGAGCAGTCCTGTCTTCTGATCTTATCCGGCCATAACGATAATGGCTCTATCTCTCCCCAATGTTGGCTGTCACCAGTGGCGCTTTGGACCATAGATGACTGCAGGAGGGTCAGTTCCACAGTCTACGCTTACTACATTGTGCCGCACGAAGGCGCCACAATATACCAGGTTCTTTCTGGGCTTTTGCTTCAGCTAATTCGGCGCGAAAAGAGCATACTTCGGGACGAGTCGCAGCGTGACGCATTTAAAAGGAAGATGTACGAATACCAGCAGAGAACCACATCAGCAGAGAACTACAAATATGGGTACAACGACAAAACGGACATATTGTTCGATATCGCCCGGCAGGTGGTTCGTTTTTTTCAGAGAATCCGAGTCCCTGTACATGGTGGTTGATCGAGCAGACCGATGCCGGAATTTCCGCGATTATGACCATCGCGAAGCTTTGAAAGATGGCCTAAAGACGATGATTTATGCCTCTCGATGCCAACTGAAGATTCTTGCTGTTTTCGATGGCATTGGCTGGGACGAAGATGAGAAGGGCGCCGGCCAATCCGTCATGCAACAGACTATAAGCCAGCGCTTAGTTTAGAGGAATATTCACAGTGAATAATAATTGTATTTAGAACCCTTGAGTTTTCTATCATCTTTGTTATAATCTAATTCTCATGTCTTCTCCCCTCTTCAATGCGCCTCTCCCTCCACGTCCACAAACCAATCAACACAGCTCCCGGTCCAACAAACCCTAATGTCAGCAGAACACACACAGAGGCCCATATCACCGATCCATTCCATATATTGACTCTTTTCAAATCCCAAGCAGTGAAAACAGACAAGCCTAGAGCTATAGGTGCTAAAGTCACCCATTCTCCTAGCCCAGCACTCTTTCCATCCACTAGTGCTGCTGCTGCTGCGCTCAGATGCGCCACACTCGCTAGGAGGAAGATTATGACATAATATCGAAGCAGATATGGGATGTCATGAGCGCTAGAAAACGATGTAATGATCTTGAGCCTAGCTGCATCTGCTTCTGTCCCGGCACGCAGCTTCGTTGTCGTGGGTAGTATCTGCACGACTGTACCTTGGATATAAACAACAAGCGGAAAGACAAAATGAGAAAAACGCCAGGTATCACCAAGGCACTGTGTATGGTTATAATGAATAGAACTCAAATAAAAGCGATATATTGCAGGAAACACATATGCAATCAACGCTGCCAGAGGGAGACTGGCTGCTACTTTGGTGTTGATGGCTCGTGGGTTGGGATAGTAGAAGTCACGGCTGCTGGAGTGGCGTATGTGAAGAATGCAGTAAATGGCGAGAGTTATTTGCCAGTTGTTGATGAGGGTTGCTAGAGTAATGAAGGGAAGGGCGCTAGAGATGTGCTGTTAGTATCGTTCAACTGATTTGAAATCCTTCTCCCTAGCCATAATGATTCTAGGTGTTGAGAACTGACTCACCTCATCAAAGGAGTTAAAGCGGCACTGGCGCGATACGACTCGACTATCCACACGCTATTGATGGCGATTCTCTGTGCACCTGAGTAGAAAGACGGTTCTCCATATGCGCCAGAGGAGTAGGATCTCGCTTTGAGCATTGCTCCGACATAAAATGACAAAGACGACAACAAAACCACGATAGAGACAAAAGATAACGTGTCACGTTTTGACCGTGGAGAGGGGTTTATCCTGATTTGGTCTTCATATGCCATATTCCCTCCATGATCTGGCTGTGGGAGCCCCCTGAGACTAACAGCTGGAAGAACCAAGTTGGCAAATGAAGGCAGAAATCCGTCTTGTATGGGCGTTTTTGTGCCTACATAAAAGGCAAATAACTTGAACCACCGTGTATCCAGTGAATCAACACACTGGCTAAAGCGGCCTGCATTCATCACCGAAACCGCGCGCGGATGTCGTGTGCTGTGATACCGAGAAAAGATGGCATGAATAGCAGCATCGTCACTCGTACGGGAAATATCCCCGTGAACAAGGCAACGAAGGAGGTCGGCTAAACATGCCGCCGACTCAATTGCTTGATTGGCGCCTTGCCCGATGATGGGGTGCACTTTGTGACAAGAATCACCTAGAAGCACTACTCTTCCCAGGAACCATTTGTCGAGCGTGAATTCTTCAATAGGGACGAGGACTTTGTGGTGTGCTGACTTGTAGAGTTGACTCAATGTCGTTTCACCGACTTTGTCGCTGCCATACTTGTCAAGGATATCTTTGTGGTCGTCGACTGTATACCGTGGAATATCTCCCTCGCTGAGCGTCTGGTCATGCTTGAAGAATGCAAGCCACCAACAGAGCTCTGCCCCAGGTTGGGTCAACACCACATAAGATCTATTGTAGTTCATGCATCGGCTGGCTTGTCTGTCTGTAAGGCCCGGTGGACAAGGTGATATGCCTGTCATACAACTATACGTGCTTTGGACGGCTAGATTTTGAGTCGTTAGTACTCCCTCAGCATCGCACTGGGATGGACGGCCGAGAATGAGAATGGAATATAAACTGACCGTTCTTATCATGCTGGGTTATACATTCTGGCAACGTCTCCTCTGCAATCCTCCACAACTCCCTACGGACTCGACTGTGCACTCCATCGGCACCAACGAGGATGTCACCCTGAAATTCACTACCGTCGCGGGTGATCACCTTGACCTGGGACTCATGCTCGACAATATCAGCAATTTCTGTAGCGGTCTTAATCTTCGATTTATGCTTGGCCGCATTATAGAGTGCACGGAGGAGATCCTGTCTGTTCAGAAAACAGAAATCATACCCGAACCTGTTCTTATGCAGTTATTAGCATTAGCATCGACAAATCATGCCAAAAGATAGCTAGTATACTATGAGAAATACCGCTTACAGCCACCTCATCGAATCATCAATCGGCTCCTGTACAGCCAGCAGTTTTCCCTCCGGGTCATAATAAAAGTTGGTGTGCTGCTTGCCCCCGAGTTTGTCCAGACTTCCGTAAACCCCGAGTTGATCGAGGATGCGGGCCCCATTCGGATTGATTCCCACCGTTGTTCCAAGGAACGGTGCTATCTGCGAGTGCTTTTCCAGCAGCAAGTAGTCAATGTCGTACGCTTCAAGAATGAGGGCCAGAGCCAGGCCAGCGACAGACCCGCCGGCAATGAGAACTTTGAAGGCCCCATGGCGGCCGGCCTTGCGAGATGGGCTTTCCATAATTCGGAATGAATGGATATATGCAAAAAAAAAAAAAAAAAAAAAAAAAAGAAAAGAAAAGAAAAGAAAAAGAAAAGAAAGCTCTATCTCCACAAACAGCAGACGAGAGGCTCCTCGCAGTCTTCTACATGTCGGCCTAGCGCGGGGAGGCAGAGCACGCAATCGCTGGCAGCCATCGCATGAGCTGTGCTTGCGACGTCTTCGCTTTCTCATACTCATATCACCGGTTACCAGCAAGACCTCTGCATATCGATGTTTGGCTGCTATGGCAATCAGGTCGGTGGCCATCATTGGAGCCGGCGCTTCAGGTAGGCCGACCTCACCATCTCCGAAGAACAGGGTGTAAAGATTGTATGTACAGGTGCCGCTACCGCCGCAGCTTTTGCCGCTGAAGAATGCTTTGAGCGAATCCGCGTGTTTGAGCGGAGAGAAAGTGCCGGTGGAACATGGTTCGTTTAGGCTGGGGCTATCTTATGAATCTTTTAGCTGACCGGATTGCATTGCAGGATATATGACCCAGACCCAAGCCCATTGGTAAAGATTCAACCAGGGAAGATTCCGGATGCCTTGCCTCGGACAACAGAGCCCATCTCGCAAGAGCGATATGAGAAGACACCTATATATGACGAACTAACGTGAGTTCCAAGGTTAAGGACGGAAGGGCATGCAAGTCTAACATCTGTTAGGACAAATGTTCCTGCCATAGCAATGTCCCTGTCGGATATTCCCTTCCCCTACGGCCCATTTGTGCCACATAACGTGCCCAAGCAGTATATTGAGAATTATTTCTCACAGCATGGAACGGATCAATATCTAGAGCTCAGCACGACGGTAGAAGATGTGTCTCGCTCGCCGACTGGTCATGACCGATGGGTCTTGACTCTGAGAAAGTATGATGCTGTAGAGCATGTGGACCACTGGTGGAAAGAGGAATTCGATGCCGTTGTTTTTGGCAACGGTCATTACAGCGTTCCTTACGTATGTGACTGCCTATCTAGAAGATGAAGACGAAAGACAACTGATAGTGTCATTCGTACGTGGCAGGTCCCAGCTGTCAAGGGCTTGGAAACTTACATGGAAAAGTTCCCAAACCGTGTGATACATTCAAAGTCATATCGGTCCGGGGAGCACTTCCGCGGAAAGAAGATTCTTGTTATAGGAAATTCAGCGTCTGGACATGATGTGACCATGGGCGTTATCAAGACTGCACAGTTACCAGTCTACCAGTCCCGCCGGTCACCATCGCACTGGGATGGTGACAAGCCCGATGCAGGCATCGAGTGGAAGCCCGTAATCACCGAATATCTTCTAACAGGGGAGATCATCTTCGAAGATGGCACTGTTCTCGGCGACATTGATCTGGTGATTTATTGTACGGGTTATAAAGCATCATTTCCCTTTTGGAACTCAAAGGCCAACGGCGCCCCGATCTACGACTACAGGCAAGATCGCCTCGTAGGGAACTATCTTCATGTTTTCCTGACAGATTTCCCAACTGTCGGAGTCATAGGCCTCCCGCGAACATTGACCTTTCGAAGCTTCAATTACCAGGCCATAGCCCTTGCGCGAGTCTTCTCTGGCCGGAATGCGCGGCCACTGCCGTCAAGGGATGGCCAACGAGAATGGGAAACACGGCGAGCGAAACTGGTCACTGAGCAGCATCGAAAGTTCCATGATATCGAGTGGGACAGTGGGGAGACAATGGACTATTTGCGAGATTTGTATGATCTTGCCGGACTGCCACGCATCGAGGGCCAGGGCTTGATTCCGCCGGTATTGGATGAGGCTACAAGATGGGCTATCAGACATGTGAGGAAATATCCAGTACCTGGAGATGATGACAATGGTAATAATGCGGAGTGGACGGTCGTTGGAAGGGGTCATCATCGCGATAGCCTTCACTTTATATAAATGCATATAATTACATACCTGGATGCGGAAATGAATGTAAACCCATATGCTCCTCAGGACTTCTAATTCACAACAATCTGCCAGGCAAACTATAAGCTGAATGATTGGGCTAAAAGACGTCTAACGACAGCGCTAAGCCCGCACGATACAGCCTGCCTGACACATTAAAAATGAAAACAGCGGATTAACACAGGCCAGGCTCTTAAATAAGGAGGCTGATAGCGCGTACATACCTGTATCCTGGATTCTTCAAGACAACATGTCAACAATAACTAGCTGTATAGAAGGCTGCGGCAACCTCCTCACTCCAAGCGATCGCAATCGGTGTCCTGAATCATTGTCACGGCCACGGCCACAGGGCGCGTATAGCAACACCATCGACCGAGTCGACATGCGCCTGCGATGCTCCCAATGCTACCTTTCAAAATACCACCGCCGGTATACCACTATCAGCTACCGTTGGGACTTTAGTGATCGCCGAGACGCAGGGATTTTCATCTACGCCCACGACGAAACAAGCACAAAAACAGCATACATCAAAACCCCAATCACCAAAAGAGCCCAGTTCAATGTCATCATGAGCTGTCCGCTGTTCTTCCTTGACGTGCTCAACGCAAGCTCCGGGTCACACCAATGGACCCCCGGCAAACTGTCGGACACATACACCTCGAGCGCGAAACAGATATGTCTGCTCAACTGTTCCGACCAGAGAATCATAGAGCGCAATAGTGAGCATCCCACCCATCAGATCGCGCTGCCTCATGACCAGGGCCCCTATCTCGACAGCAAGTATGGCAAAACGGAACGGTTCGCTACCTATTCGAGCCTGCCACCCTCTGATGTGGTCTTTGTCGGCATATATGGCCAAGAATTAGGAAACATCGAAGCCACAGGCCTAGTCGAAGGGGACCGCAACATGTATAACCGAGTTGCTGCGTACGGAGACATTAACCATTCAGTTGGGCCCCGTTTCGCGAGAGCAATCCCTGCGGACAAACATGATCCGCGCAGTCAATCCTTCTTCGAGCTGAATTCAGATCGAATTGCTGGTCCGGACGGGAATTCTCTGATACCAACACCGGCACACCAGGTTGTGGACTTGACGCTTTCGGACTCGATGGAAGGGTTGAGCATAGCATCTCAGAACCTCACGTCTTTCAGTTCCTTTCCCACTGACACAGATTCGGTACCTTTACCACACGGTCAGATCTAGGAACTGGTGCTTTCGGAGACCATTACGGAAATCCATATGTGCCTGGATTTCAACCTTTTCAATCTTGAGAATTATACAGTGATGTCGTGCCTTCGTCAGACTTGGTTTTGTCCACATGTTCTGGATACATACTTGTATAATAGATTGAAGGCATCTAAAGAACGTTGTCAGAGTAACATCATTTAAAAAGCCCACCCGAGATGCGACGAGTGCCGTGGGATATATAGAAAACAAACAGGAGGAATGACCATCAATAATATACGTTGGAAATATATGTACAGAGATGAAATGGGTTCAAGACGAAAGGCGAAAAGGAACAAAGACAGCATAAGAAGCAGATCAATAAATAGGACGTCCTTCATCCCATTTGCGAGATTCTCTCGGGCTGCGCAAAAGACTGTCATCCTCACTATTCGCGAAGGATGTTTCATCTCCTGGAGATAAAGAGAAACGCACATGTCCACTTTGCCGGCGAACCCCATCTAAGTGATTGCCCAAACCGCCAATCCACTCCCAGACACGAGCAACATCGCCACCACGACCCTCTCGAACCGCTGCCCGCACGTTGGCATTGCCTTCAACCACGGCTCGCACTCGCTTCCAAAGTTCCTCCCGACGAGCCCCGCGAAGCTCAGACCGCAGCACATCATCTCGCAACTGGCTCACCGATATCCAGGATTCGGGCGCTTCTCCCCGTGCATATAGGGCCGCTTGAGTCGAGAGACGGTCAAGTGTCGTCCCAACAAGCTCGGGAACGCGAGCAATGTCTGACCGTCGAGCAAGAAATTGAGCTCTGAGGTACGCTAAGCCCGCAATGGCTATGACTAGAATTGAAATAGGGAGTCGATACGCGAGGAGAGAGAGTCGGAGGTGGCGGCGGAATGCGCAGCCGATGGGGAGTCGGGCGAGGGAGTTGGATGAGAACGCGCGGGATGAAGGTCTGTCAACGCGAGGTGATCACTGTTAGTGCTCGGACCCCTGTCAGAATCCAGATATGAATAAACAAAAGTCTTTTTTTTTTTCTTTTTTTTTGCGGGTACAGTTTAGAATGTATGCAGTGCATATTCAAAAAAAATTTTCGTAACTCACTTTTCACTCGTCGTAATCTCTTCTCTAGTAACAAGGTCACCGATGGCTGATGCCCAGAGATCATCAAACTCTGAATCACTCATCTTAACGCGACGTTGATTTGCCACAGCGTCTTTAAGTTCGGGTTCAGAAATGAAGGGCGATTCAACTTTTTCGCCGTCTCCGCACTCATACTTCGCTCTCTGCTCCCGCAACTCTTCGATGGCCTTATTAGCCACCGAGAGTATGCGATTGGATTTCTCGCTATCAGGTTCGCACTCTGGTGGAATAGGAACTAAGCCGAAGAGTGAAAGTGGATGCTGTTTTAGCACGAAGTCATTATCGCATTTGACCTCGAAATTGTCGTAACAGTAGGCATGCGGCGGACAGGGTTCACATTGAGGCTCTAGCACGTTTGCCCACTCTGGCACGTTGGTGTTGGCAAGAGACCACCTAGGCTTCCCAACTCCGCAAAAGCCAATTTCGACTTTCTCCTGGCGCCACCAGGCTCCAAAGCCAGACAGAAGCAGCATGAGTACAGTAAACGGTAATTTGTATGATATATCTCCTTGGCGGCGCCTGGTAACTAATCGCGACTGAGCTTCAGCTGTCTCGAGTGCTAATTGCTCATCTGGCGTGAATTCCTCGCCCGCTTCCGCTTCAGACTCGTCTTCAAACTCTGGGGTAGCTGTCCGAAGGCGCGAAACGGGAAATTCAAATGTTGACCTCCGAGGTGTGAGTACATCTTCCTCTTGCTTAATCTTGACCGGCCGTCCTGAATCTCGTTTAGCCCGCCGTTCGGCTGTTAAACTGCTCTCAGCCGAAACCCGAGGTGTGCTTCGCCGTTTACGCTCTCCGCTAACAGTTCGAGCTCGTGGCGTCTGTTCATAAGAAGTCGGTGAACTTCCACTTTGAAAAGGATTTTCGTCTGTGAAAACGCTGCCGGCACGGCTGTCGGCCCTAACACTTGGTGTGTATGCGACCGTTTCATCGTACGATGGTACCGCTTCACTCTTGCGGGTTTTACGAGCAGTGGATCGGCGCTGAGGTGTAGCTTCTGTTATGGCAGGAGTGGAAAGATTGTCATCCGTTATTTCGGCATCTGACGCGCGGGTCGTTCTGCTAGGGCGACCCCGGCGCCTTGGAGTGGCTTGCAGTAAAGCACTGTCCTCCGTCTCGACGGTTGAAGCTCGTGTGCTCGGCCGTGAGCGTGCGCGTCTGGTTCCCGCGGTGGTTGATACAGTAGATGGTGTTGCTGGCGGTGGTGGCATGGAGTCCCTATCATGATCATCGTCCCCATCACCATTGGCTTCAGAGTTGGACTGGCTACTCATGTCTGTAATCCCAGCACTCGTGCGGCGGACACGCTCTCGATCACGAAGAAGCTTTCTTGCTTTGGGTAAAACTTCCTGCTCAAAAATGCTGATGAGCTGGGCCTTTTTGGCCGACGACGGATACGAGACATCGTGGCTAACGAGAATCGCACGTAGACGCGGAACAGTCAGTGAGGCGAGGTCGAAGTCAGGTGAGAGATAATCTAAATCATCCAAGCCCGACGACATGATGTTCTTTCACAGGTGTCGCCTTGGATTCTCCGATATGCGTGTGGAAAGCGTTGTCAACGCGGGTTGTCCTAGGTAGAAATAGGACAGATGCAAGTTCGTCGTCTAGATCCAGGCGCAGAATGCAAGCACATGCACCCTTGGAACAGAGTTGTTAAAACAGATGACGGCCAAGAAATTTACCTCGCTTGTGCCAAATCATATAAACACATGAGTTTTCGGTGCGGTATCCCGGGCAACAGGGTTGTGAGCTCAATTTAGTGGGCTGCTCAATGTAGACACCTTTTTTCTAGGTTTTTCTCGCGATCGGAGAACAGTATAACGGTCTGAAAAGGTGGCCTTTCCGACGTTGATGAAAATAGACACGCAGGTTGACGGGGTGAGGAAGGATTACATAGGGAACGCAGACAAAGGTGGTTGCATCAAAGAGACGACGTCAGTAAACAACAAACTACGCTACCGCCGCACGTGACGCGAGTTGGCACCGCCACGTTGAACCGCCACACTTTCTAACATTCTCTATGAGTGACGTCAAATCATAAACTCTTAGTATACAGATTGAAAAATCGAATATTGCCAGATAAATAGACACACTCTGTACACAGACAGGATTGAAGCATTGCTCCAATAAAATCAGTGTAGGCTTGATAGAACTTATTGACATTGCCAACAATGTTTTTCAGTTGTAAGGAACAAAAACTTGTTCTCAACATCGCAAAGGAATAGAATGAACAAGATCTCGTGGTTTCATGCAATGCCGTGATTGCCATAGCCGCAGAGGTAATTTTAGCAAGAAAGTGACAAATATCAAAACTCTCAAAAGCCAGCTTTCCAACCCATTCAACCAAATGTATTCAGTTTCATCAATCCGGACTCCCCGCCAACGAAGTAACAGAAAACACAACAAAAAGTAATATATATATAAATGGATATGGATATGTAAGATCCGGCTGATGCATGTAAGACGAAGAGAGGTAGAAGTGCTGTAGAAGCTCAGGAGACCAGCTATAAAGATGGCACTGAGATTAACGCTCAGGGGATGGAGGTGATAATAGAAGCCGTATGCGGGAGGACGTTTCGGAGTTAGTCCCACTGCTTTGGGTACTTGGTGTTTGCAGATGCAGACCTATTTGGGTCGCCGGATCAGGAGCGCCCGTAGTAGCCAAGTCAAGGTGTTCCTTGAGAGCTCTGAATTCTGCGAGTTGACTTTGAAGTTGCGAGAGAATTTCTCCAATGGGCATGGCATGGTCAAGTAAAGAGTCCCCGTGTTTAAATGGACGCATCATATGACGTAGTGTGAGTGTATTGATACAGGACTGTTATATCATAGTTAGCAACGTTCTTCGGCGCCGGGCAATTGAAGTTCTCATACCTCAATTCTTGTGACTTGTGAGTCGAGCAATGCAAGAATTGTACTGTCCGCCATTTCACCGCCCCCTCTTTGGATTGCACTCATCAGTGATCGATTTGGAGTACTAAGATGACTCTGTCCTTGCGTCTGTAACGAACTACAGAGTCTTTCTAGGCGAAGAGTAATCTCCCAGAGTTGCCAAATCTGGTTAGTGGTGATATTAAGCTTAGAGCCTGGTTCAATTGTTGCAGGAGACATATCTTCGTCTGAAGACATACCCTCCTGAGCCACAAGTCTACCAGAAAGCGAATGTGGGGAAATGAGATAGACGGCTTCCGGGTTCTCAAGGCCCTTGAGCTTCTTTTCCCCCTGGTCCTTGACGATGAAGCCTTGGCTATTCAACTGCTGCAATTCTCGGCGGATGCTTTGAAGGGGATCTCCCATCTCGTAATCACTTCCCGAGCTCACCGAGGGCGAGCGCTCACTTTCTGCATAAGCCTCGCTCGTTCTTTGCAGCTCATTCATGAAGTCAGATGATACAAATATCTGCCCGCCGTCGGCCACGGCTGAAATGCGAGATGCGCGATTGACCATAGGACCAAAGTAGTCCATACGATTAGTCACGGGATCTTTTTCACACACCGGTTCCCCCCAATGGCTACCCATCCTAACTGAAAGGCCTCTAAAGATAAGGTTCCCATCTTTGTCGTACCATTCTTTGCATTGCGGCTGCTCCAAAATTTCTTTCGGCCACTCGGCTTCCAATAATTGTGTCTGGCAGTAGAAACACCAAAGCAGAGCGGCACTAGTTGTGGTAAACGCTACCATGAAAGCATCTCCTTCGGTTTTAACTTCGTAACCACGGAATATACCAAGTTGTCGGCGCAAAATGTCGTTGTGAATTTGAATTGCAGACCGCATAGCGTCTGGACAGGTCTCCCAAAGTGATGTGGACTTTTTGATATCTGTAAATATGATTGCCACCTCTCCCACAGGCGCATCGACATAATCGAAGCGCGCAAGTCTAGAATCGCCAATAGCATCACGGGTCTTTTTAGGACGTTTCGGAGGAAGGACTTCCTCGGGGAATGACGACGGTCCAACAGAAAGGCTTGCATTTCGAAGCTTCCTATATCTCTCACGCTTCTTGAGCTCGCTTACCCCAACGATCATGACCATCAATTTGTTACTAGCTCCAAACGCTATGGCTAGATCACGAATCTTCTGGCTCGCGATCATCAGATCCCTACGTTCAGCACGGGCGACATCGACTACCACATCAAATGTCACATAATCCCATACTTCTCGAGATGCCATGATGATCAGCTCATCTTGCTCATTTAATGTAAAGTGTGCAGTATGTGGTGCTGCGATAACGGAGGGCATCAAGGGGAAATAACCGAATGCGCGAGAGACAGGAAGTACATCGTTTAACTTTCCGTTGCGTGAGACGAAACCGCCGGCCTCTCGTATACGAGCTCGCTCGTGGCATTCAGCCGGGTCGTGATTGAAAGTGAGGGGTGTATGACTTCCATCTGATCTGATTAAAACAGCTTGTGCGTCACCCACGTTTGCAACGTACAAGTCCATGTTGCGAAGATAGAGAACTGTAGCAACACCACCGGAGTTGATATCATCTTGATTGAGCAATTTTGCCGCTGCTGAACCACGAACAAACTGACGAACTTCTTTGTCATCAACAGACTTGTATGCAGCGGCCGCCATATCCTTATTGAGGGTGAGAAAGGTCCGCCTCAATGCGTCTAGTGGAGTGTCCGTATCCACTGACACTTTTTTCAACTCCTCGACGAAGCAATGCGTGAAGTTCTCGTGAAGAAATTTTGCAATCTTGGAGCCTCCTATTGACTGAGATTGACCATCGAACATGCCAACAAGAGTATCCATATTTTCCGCACGCAGGCGAGGGACCATCATATCAATGATAGACAAATGTTCGTTTCTTCCCAGGAAATCAGCCATCCCGTACGCCAGTGAACCTGCTAGGGATGCCGAAGTACGGACACGCCGATCTTCCGTCTCTTCCGGTACTGTTTTTATTGTCAATGTCACATCCATCAGTCCCAAGACACGTAGATGCGTGAGTGAATTGAAACCCGTCAGATCCGTCCCATTAATGGACGAGGAGCCTAAGGACGCAATGTTGGGTTTAATCTCTAATCGTTTGTTTCCGGAGAAATTTAGATACTTCAGGTTGCGATTCCAATTCCAATTCCAATCGTAGGGCCAGTTGGATACGTTGTATTTCAACAGGTTACTGCCGACATCCAATATGGCCAGCTTGCTGACCTTGCAGAGTTCAGCTGGTAAGACCTGAAACCGATTCGCATTTAGATGCAAGATCTTAAGATTGCTCGTCTCCTCGAGATCATCAGAAGGTAAAGATGCTAGTTCGTTACCAGAAAGATAAAGATCGGTGAGATGCTGCCATCTCTTGAGAAATCCCTGAGGGATTTCGGTCAATAAGTTGTATGAGAGGTTGAGAACGCGCAATTCTGGAAGGAAAGCCAATTCTCTAAGTACGTCATCCTCCAAGCGGTTATCAGCAAGGTACAAATTTCGCAGAGAACCGGAAAATGTCGTTGCCAGCCTCTGTGCGAAATTTGAATCTTTTCTAGTGGAATTAGATGCATCAGTGTATGCTCGCGACGCTGTCGAGGCCTTACGACCACTAGTAGTATAGTTGCGACCGAGAGCAGGCGAGGCAGCAAGGTTCAGCAAGCCATTTGAGCCTTGGCTTGGACGGCGTGATTGAGTTTCATCAATAGCGTCCATATTCTCATAACTTGGAGTCTTTGATAAGCCGGGGGTTGATGCTGGTGACGCGAAATATTCACCAGGTGCCAAGGGAGCTTGACCGGTGTGTCTGGGAAATCCATCAAGAATGTTCGAAGAAACGTTTAGATGTTCCAACTTCAAGCAAAACCAAATCTCTGATGGTAACCGTTCTAGGTTACATTCTCTCAAGTTCAAGTACTTCAGCTCCGGCAGACAGCCGATAGTAGGTGGCAATGTGTTCAAAGGATTCTTGATCATGCTGAAATGTTCCAGGCGACGGAGTTTTCCGATATATGGTGAGAGCGAGGAGAAATGATTCTTATCTAAGATCAGCTTGGTGAGATTAGGAAGATACTCAAACATCGAGTCCTTCAACTGAACTAGCTTCGCCGACGCTATGTCTAGAGAAGTGAGGGTCTGCATTGGTGCGTCAAGCTCGATTTGTGTAATCGGGCAATGGTCGAGCACCAGTGTCCGCAACTTGGGGAACGATCCTTTGAATCTCGTCACTGAATTGTGTCCGAGCAGCAACTGCTCCAACCGAGGCAGTCGCATGATGCTATCAACATTTGTAATAGCGTTAAAGCGAGCATCAATTTCTTTGATACTTCTTAAACCTTGAAACGATTTATCTAGTGGTCCTGACAACATGTTATTCGTCACCCACAGGCGCTCGAGTGCTTTGAGCCGGCCTATATTAGGTAATTCGCGAATGCTGTTGAAGCTGATATCAAGGTCGACCAAATTCGGAAGATTGCAGAGGAAATCCGGGAAAACTTGAAAGTTGTTGGAAGAGAGCGTCAAGTTTCGTAACGAAGAATAGTCACCAAAATAGGATGGCAAATGTGATAACTTGTTGTTAGCCATTTTTATGCTAACCAAACCATTAAGCTCGGAAAGGTCAGCATGGTCCAGCTGATCAAGCCGGTTGTTAGAAACATCGAGATACGTCAACCGAGCTGCGAAGCGGAAACTCGAAGGTAATCGCCAAGCCTCATTTCCCATAAATTTGATTTCACGCAAGTTGATACAACTCGTTATGAAATCTGATGGGACATCCAGAGAAAGGTTGCGAGACAGGTTCAAAGAAATAATTTCTGGGGCTCTCTTGTAGAGCGTTATCGGTATGGTAGCCAAGCTGCGGCCCTGAAGATCAACATGGCTGAACTTCTGACTCTTATTAAACCCAGGATCAGCATCTAAGCTGACATAGCCGCTGAGTTTGGTTGGCAAGAATATGAATCGACAAATGTAACTATGATCTTCACGGCCGACATCCTCAATTCTATCCTTCGATTGGTAACCCACTTGCTGGAGCAACCTCTTTTGCAATAGAATCGGGCGCTCACCATGTTCTAGCTGTCTCGACATTTCGTTTCTGCGCATGACGATCTCATAATTTTTGAGATCGTCCTGTAAGAAGGACTTCCTTCCAAGTAGCTCGAGAATATCGGAAACGGTTGCGTTCAGAGGTGCGGACAGTGTAGCAAATGTCAAGTCAATACGGAAAACACGAATGAAATACATGGAACTATCCACAGCGGCAGCTGTTTCGAGCTCGTTGTCTATTTCGGGAAGACCGCGAACGATATCATCGCCTTGCCTCTTAACTTGCCAACTCTCAGGAGCATACCAGTCTCCTCCCTGATTTTCTTTCGGGAGTTTTTCATCCGGCAAATTCCCATCGAAGACAAACGTCTGGTCTGTGGGTGATAAAGGTCTAGGATCACTGACAATGCCTTTCATATCATTAAGATCAGTGTCTAGCGTAAACATACTCGGCTGTTGATGAGGCGGCGACTTATTTGATACGTTTTTTCGTCCTCTTTTAGGTTTAAGCCCTCTCCCATCTTTCTTGCGGTCGAGCTGATGACTTTCGTCATATTTAAATACGCGATTTCTATCGGCATTTTCTTGCCGATTCCGAAAACCAGGAGACGGATCACGTCTATATGCCCTAGCCGCAATTTTGAGGGGGTCAGATAATGACTTTTCTGAGCCAGGAAGGCTTTTCAACGCATGGGCGGGTTTGTTCCCGAACACCCGATGTATGAAGCCCCGCTTAGGATGCATGCCTGGGGAGTCTTGGCCGGAGCCAGTTTCTCTTTGAAAAACCGAGCTTCGCGCACTCGGTGTAGGACTGCTAGGTCGGCCCGCTAGAGTGCTTGAGGAGCTCATTGCAGTAGATGCCAACAATCCTCCAGCATCACGAAGACGGAAGTTCGTATCCGCATCTTCATGGGTGTTGGCAATGTTCGCAGATTTTAACACAGATTCCAGTGATCCCGAAGAGGAAGGTTTTCCCTCTTTGCTTCGAGAATGGCGGCGTCCAGTAAAGGGGAGCTTGTGAGATGCTTTGTGCTCAGTGTGATTAGATGAGGCTTTCCCGTTGGTGAAACGTTGGCTATCTGGGCCGGTAAGTTCCTTTCGAATAGGAGCCTCGCCATAGTGAGGAATGTCCTAAAGCAAAACAAAGATTAGAACTACTATGGAAGATAAAACTCAGGTAATGGAAAACATACTCCAAATTGTTGGAACATCCATGGCGTGACTTCACTAGACGGAAGAGGTGTTCGTGGACGCGAGGGTCTCGGCGAAACGGCGCGGTTTCTGGAATAATCTGAGAGATGCTTGGAGCTCGTTGAGTCATTTCGACTGCGCGTCGGACCTGCAGGTGCTTGAATATTAGGGTCGGAATCTTCGCGATCACTGCTCTCCACATGTGTGTTATCTTCAACACCAAACAGCCCATGAAGGCGTTTGCGAAGAGGTCCATTTTGACTCGATTTTGAGTTGCTACTATCTGCGCTTGCAGCAGACTCCCGTCTGTAATCCTTATAACCAAAGTCCTGGACGCCAGAACTCGTCGTATGGCCACTGCCGGAGCGAAATGCGGGGCTTATGGGGGAGACTTCATGCTCCGAGGAATCCTGCAGGAAAGTGCCGGAATTTGGATTTGATAATCCACTTTTTGCTGATGATGGCCACCCTGAACCAAAAGAATCATGAGCTATCGGGTTCAAAGCCAGTTGATAAGAGCCAGAGGAAGAGGACGGGGGTGGTTGTGAATTCAAAGAGAAGTAGTCGTCGGCGCCCAAGACTGCTAATGCCTTGCGATGATTTCCTAAGCTAGGCTTGCGTTGGTCGGTTGGAGATATTGAAGGAGATTGGGAAAACATAGATGTATAAAGTTCGGGGGGGGGCAGGTTGGACGATCGACCAGAGTGGACTCTATATTCAAACTGGTCAGCAGGGTTTCATGTTGTATGCATTTTATGAATTGAAATCAAGATTGACCAGACAGTGGACATCTAGCAGCCCAGCGCCAGGAAGATCAATTTAAAAGCGATTGTAAAGCCTGCGTGGAATTTTCGCTAAAGTGTATCTGGAGTTAAGCGTACCTATTCCCATTAGAGTGTTGCGCTGATCCATTACTGTTGCGATTCCCATTCTGTATATCAGTCTCAGCCTGTCCATCCCTTATTGTTGACTGAGAATGCCAGCTACTAGTCGAACTTTTGGACCCATGTCGGTCGCCGAGAGACGTCAAGTCCCCATTTCGTCGAGCCATGGGGCGGGGTTGTTGGAGCGAAGCTCACCAACAACCTTCGATGCCTGATTGCGCGAAGGAACTTGTTATATTCTGTTCTAGTTCATTGATCACAGAACCAGTCGATGAGGATTATCGAATATAACGGGAGATCAGTTTCCGAAATAGACGGGAGGCGTGATGGTGGACAATTTCACCGGGTTCGATGTGATAAAATAGGAACACCGATAGTATATAACGGGCCTTGAAGAGTAGAATCGAGATGCGATATTATGAGATCAAAGGAGGTAAAGTGATGCGATCAAAAACTCAGTATCTGGGCGTGTAGCGCAACAATGCGACTGCATCGCTACATGGTTCATTTGAAAGAAGCCGAATTGCAGTAGTCAAGAGCGTCAATATGGGGCAACAAGCGTTCGATGTCGGTCAGATGAACTGTCGTTTTGAAGGCGTAGTCAGGATGGGCAATAAGAACGAAAGGCCATCGAGGCATGTGTCGCTCTGGAGGAGGAACAAGTGAGGTAGTCCGAAGTGTGTTAGTTAGCGGGAAGAGCGGCGCGGCTTGCTTCCTCCCTCTTGTTGGAGGCGCCGCCAAAACGGGTTAGAGTGCCGGATCCACTGCCCACTCGAAGTGGATTATGTCAGTGTTCTTCTACAATCCTCAAAGCTGACTGCGACAATATCTGAAATCGGTACAAGAATGTATATGGATAACCTTTGATGGAGAAGTTGGAGGTTGTTGTCATAATTATGTATCATGAACTGTGCTGGATATGTAGGTGATCCACCCTACTACGGTCAGAATATATTTATCTATAAATATATCAACACAATCCACCTTGTCGACGCATCGGCACATAAACAACATTTAGGAAAAAATACTATAATCATATCATAGTCTCTTCAACCAAAGACAAGTCAATGTTCATACAAACTATGGTTAGTGGTGCTGATGTGACAACCCGCCCGAGGAATCCGAGTCCAAGGGCCATACGAAGCTGAAGATGAGACACGATAGTTTTAGATTGGCTTGCTCTTTTTCGTCCCTGTCAAATCCCGGTTGCTTTGTGCTACCTAGATAATTCAGCTCTAGCTCAAAAGAGTTGATTAAACATGTACAAGCTGCTTACCTAGTTAACTTGGTGTTGTACGTATCCAGCAGAGGCCCCTTGACGTCATTTCATCGTGGACCAGCGCCTCGATCCAGAATGCATGTACATGGTACATGCATTAGTAATCGCTGAATACGGACTACAGATACGGTGCATTAAAACTTCAATATACTCCGTATAACCCCATGGGTTTAGTAACTACAAAACGGAATAAATAATGGGGCTGCCCTATAAGTTCGATTCCGCAATCTACGGTTCTAGGCCGATCAGCTTTCAGGAAATTTAATTCGAACCAAAAATACTAGCTAGTCTTTACTATCTATGAATAATGTTCATGAAAAAGGAGTCGAATCGATATTCCGATATCTCCACGTAGGCCAGTATGCACTAGATCTACAGGATATAAATGGAAATTCGTTAATGCTAGGAATAAATCTGTGAGAAGGTAGGCCTCCGAGGTCGTCCCTGTATACGTGCTCCGTATGTTCGCGCAATAGCAACTGCGAACGTGTTTTAGTTTTCGTAATCCCAAAGATGATGTATACATAAATCATATCAAGATCGAGCGGGAGGCTGGAGGCCCACGTGGTCCGGGCACGATTCCCGCCTCTTTATTTTCTGACCAATCATATCAATTGACAGATCCGCTGTCCAAAAGTATCGAAGATCGATGGTGTACGTAGCAGTGATTCATAGCAGGTGAAAATACTTACGTTGTATGCAGATTACACGTCAGCAAATGCGTATGTCTTTTTCTGTATGGAACATCTGTCGACAACGCAACGTTTATCATGGCCTTTGCAATCGAATAGATCACCTGATTCTTTCTCCTCAACAAGCACGAGCAACCTATGACTAAACTTAATGCAATAACTTTACTATAGACTATACACATTAAAAGGCCACACAGTTTGTGTATCATTATATCGTGGACAGCGATGTAGAATGACAACAGTTGGGACTAGTGGCTAAAGTGGGACTGTGGCTGGATACATGGGGTATGCTATTGGTTGGTGATCAATTTAGGCTCCGTTGCACTTAAAAGGAGGCTCCACCTCAAAAGAATCACGCCAAAACAAAGAGGCTGGGCCTATTGTTATGGCGATGGCTCTGCAGCTGTACTTATGTCTTTCTCTGCCGTTAAATATTTTCTTTAATTGTTTTGTTCACAGCAGTGCTTGCAATCTAATTTCTACCTAACCTATAGCATTCGGCGCAACGCACACAACGCCTGCAGAGAAACTCCGACCAAGGTTCTCAGGCTGTATAGCCAAACGAGCTTCCTTTTTCCTTTTTACCCCTTTTCTATTGGTACTTGATGACTGTTGTCGAGCAAAAGGAATGAGGATCTCAATACTCTTTGCGGCTTCTGCTGCGCTGACATTATCGTCACATGTTGTCGCACAGACTTACACAAGCTGCGACCCTATGGACGAAACTAGTATGTTTCGACACAAAACATCCTTCCTAATACCGAATCAATTACGGCGTATACTAACTTACTGCTGTTTACAGACTGTCCAGCTGACCCCGCGCTCAGTGGATCTGCTACCTTCGATTTCACGCAGGGGGCTTCCATCAATTGGACGGCCTCCGGCACAGTCGACTACAGCAGTACGAATGGAGCGAGCTTTACAGTCGCCGAGGAAGGCGATGCACCTCTTATTACCTCCAACTTCTATATCATGTGGGGTCACGTTGAGGTCGTGGTTAAGGTGGCGCCTGGCACTGGCATTATCAGCAGTATAGTGATGCAATCGGATACCCTGGATGAAATCGATATCGAATTTCTAGGCGGCGACAATTCCAGTGTGGAGACAAACTATTTTGGCCATGGCGATACCGACGAGTATAATCGAGAGCAGACTATTTCAATGGCAAATAATCAGGATAGCTTTCATACGTACACGATCGACTGGACGGCCGACCTGATTGCGTGGCAGGTTGATGGCACCACGATCCGCAGCATGACTCCAGAATCTGCCGACTCCGGTCAATATCCGCAGACGCCGATGATGATCAAGATTGGGATCTGGGCAGGAGGTGATCCTAACAATCCGGAAGGCACTATAAGTGAGTCTGCTGCGAATCTTTGGTATATTCTTGCATAATCATCAACATACAAGTCACTGACGAATTTTTTGTAACAGGCTGGGCCGGCGGAGTAACGGACTATAGCGATGGGCCGTTCACCATGTACTGCAAATCAGTCTCAGTTATCAATTACTCTACCGGCACAGAATACGTATACACCAGTGAAAGTGGTACATCGGACTCGGTTTCAGCTGTGGATGGTAGCATAAACGGTAATATAGGCGCAACAGCTTCAGTGGCCACAGCCGCTTCAAACCCGACTATCACTTCATCAGGCGGCGATGCACCACTTCCCTGGGATGGCACTCATCGAGAGACTTCATCCTTCGTTACCCCAGACATCTGGCCTTGGGTGGCGACAGCCACTCATGGAGCAACAAGCACCGATACTGCGGAGGTGACCAGCTCAGGCGGTAATTCTTTGGCGCCATTTATGGGGTCTATAAGTGAGTCTGCACATCCATGGATTTTAACCCGTTATGAATATTTAATCTGAAGCTTGGCTGACTCTTTGAACCTTTCTTCTTTCGTATAGACTTTTCCCCCGTCTACTGCCTTTCGATATCACTTGCTATTGGATTTTCCCTCCCACTCTGGCGCTGAGATCGTTCTCCGAAGCAATGAACTTAACCAAAACACCTCATATCTGGAGCCCAGTACCATAGCATTGAGCCGCATCGACGTATCTACCTTGATTTCGCTTTTCATTTCTCTACGACGAAGAACATAACCGTCAGCGGCTTTCTTTCCTCGACTTTTACTCATGTGGTGTGTGCAACCGTCATTTTTTGGAGTTCTTGATTTATTTTCCTTCTTTTGGTTGGGTTTGATGCATTTCTCACAGAAAATAGACGACTACGTACATACGTACATACATATTTCACCTAGAACAGTGGGTGGATCTGGCGTTTTTTGATTTCTCCGTTAGGATTATGGTTCTTGACATGTACTTATTTGTGATTCTGATTATGTGTATGATAATGAAACATTGACGCATTGATGAAAAGAGTAACTAGTTTCCAGTTAATCTGGCATACCTGAATATATGTAACATGCTCCTTTAGTGAGTCCATCTTAGATCATGGAGTTAACTTAAACTGCATCTTCTCATGTCCTCGTTTTCTGTTGGTTGAAGAATAGTGCCCTTTTCACACCGATCCAAGGGGTATTGATAGGACTCTCATCAACGTAGAGAAACATGTCATAAAGCCAGCCACCGAATGCAGTACCACAGAAAGGTGCAACCATTGGAACCTACATTTATTTGGTCACATATAGTTAGTTGACTTCTTTGTCACTAATAAAAGCTTTTCTATCTAGTTACCTAAAATAGGTACTTTCAGTAAAAAATAACTTACCCAGAAGTAATAATTCCCGGCAGTCCAGACATTATGCCCATAGCCTATCATACAACTGACAAGTCTTGGGCCAAAGTCACGAGCAAGATTGATAGCATACCCAGTCTCCCAACCAAAGCAAGCACCGATGCCGAAGACAAGGAAGAAAAGAGCCAGTGGTGTCAATGGGCCGGCACCGATGTTCTTGTTATCTTTGATTGCGAAAATTATGAACATTAGTATTGAGCTAGCGATGAACTCGGAAAAGAATTGCCCGGTTTTAGTCATGAATGGTGCCGGATAAGTACAGAATATTCCTGCAGTGGCATTCTTCGAGTACCCAGGCACCGTGCGAATGTTTGATCCTCCTTCGTATGCATCAATAGCAGATTTGTAGTTGGCGTAAACAATCGCGGCTCCCGACATGGCTCCTAGTATTTGGGAGAGCATGTATATTGGGAATTTGCGCCAGGGAAATTTCCGATACAGACAATTTGCAAATGTCACTGCTGGATTGATGTGTCCTCCTGATATGCCACTGGCATATACTCCTAACATGACGCCGATTCTAACATCCTGAGTAACAAGCAATAAAAAACTGCCAACCATATTCTTTTCTTAAGAGAAATAAGCAACTCACCCCCAACCCCATGATATAGACTGGTAGTCACCTCTCTGGTCCTGGCTCAACGTTACTTGAGCAACAACGCCGTCGCCAAACAGTATCATGACCAAAGTCCCAAAGAACTCTGAGAACGGTTCTCGTAAGAAATGGCGAATTCGAGTCCAGAGAAGTGCTTCCTGAAAACAACCCTCCGAGTTATGGACAGCAAGTTGGAGTCTCTGTCCTCCATCGACAGTAATGCCATTGACTTTGTTAAAGTTTTCTATGGTAGACATCCTATGATTTCAGACAATTCTTCGACATGGGACACAAACCGCTTAGCAACTGAGGGTGGAGATTTTGCAAATTTGTACAGTTTCACGAAGCATTCAAGATAACCATAGTAAGTACTTTTTAGTAGCAGGAAATCTGCACACCAAAGTAGGTATCTAGTATTTGGCAATGTGTTCACTCCCATTTACCAAGCAACCAATGCTTTTTTGTAGTTCCACACTCATCCTGAGTTCCATATAACCTGTGCCACACACAGAAGCCTTTAATTATCATAGAATAATTTCCAGTTCAGAGCTCTCGCTTGGGCTGTAGTCACTGGCCGTAAACTCTCAGCTGAATAGATGTCTTCCCACCAAGTCGCAGTAGGCACAAATATGATAAGAAAACAACCTTGCTACCAGCGTTGCACCACATTATGGCCATCCAGCCACCAGGCACTATACTGACGCAGTGGTAGTTATGCCGTGGTAGCTCTATTAATAAGCAAACGTGCGACGATAATTATGGCGCTGTTACACTCCGAAATGCAAGTTACATCCTGTCTCGCCTAACCGAGGGGATCACAGTGAGAAATTATGCAGCAAGTAAGCTAAAAACTCACACATATTCGTTTCTCATAAATCAAGGGTTGCTGCATACCCCAGATTCCTGTCGATCTGGAACGTGTACTTCCCCGGACCCAATTTTTTTTGTGGACCGTAGGTAGCATGCAAATGTCAGAAGGTGGAGTTGAATGCACATATGCACATGCACACTGCCACGCAGTGCGTTGATCCGAACTGACCTTTTATTACGACACAGCCTGAAACCTGTAATCAGAATTCTATCCCATGGCAAAGTATTGTAAGCGGTGGCGGTTTTGCTGGATTATGCAATTGCAACGCGCGTGATGCAAAAAAGCGGCCGAGTGTCGTACTGCAACATGATTGCAGAGAGTGTGGTAACTCAGGTTTTGGTTGCGCCTCGGACAGACTGCGATGGCTTTCTTAGTACTCCTGTGCAACAGTTCGGAGCACTATCTAGTAATTCTTTTCCACGGAGTACTACTCCGCTTTACTCGGCTCGGTGGAGAAGTCGCCCTTGAGGTCTTAGCACCCACTATGGGGAATCATCCCACAGCCAACAACTACGTTAGTTAAGATTGCACGGACAGCAAATTCTCTCACCGGAAATGTCGGTGCTTTCTTCGCTTGGCACTGGTACATCCTGCCACTAGCAAGCTCGCGATAGCCCAGAAGTCAGGGATTTATTTTTCCCCCAGTCACATGAGAATATTGGTGTGGGGGATCCAGTTATGAATGATAATGAATGAATGAATGCACTTGGCCCCTCTAGTCTTGTATTACGCAAACACCCCCCCCTTGGGTCAAGTCTCTTAAAGGCACCGTTTCGTTTTTATGTACCCTAGGGACACCCAAGGTATCTCCCGCCACCATTTGACTTTGTATCTCCCCAATAATCAATCATCACGGGTTTTCAGAATGCCCGGGTTGACGGAATCCTTCGTTGGCTCTATTGACCAAGGAACAACAAGTACACGGTTTTTGATCTTCAACAAAGACGGTGAGCCTGTTGCTTCACATCAAGTGGAATTTGAACAGATATACCCCAATCCAGGGTATCTTTACTCAAGAGATTCCCTTGATGCTCCAGGATACTGATTGATTATAGGTGGCATGAACATAACCCATTCGAACTCGTGTCGTCGATTGAAACGTGTATCGATGAGGCAGTCAAGAAATTCGAAGAGCTTGGCTACGTTCGGGACAGCATCAAGGCAATTGGAATCACTAATCAAAGAGAAACCACGGTATTGTGGGACTCTGAGACTGGGGAGCCCTTGCATAATGCAATCGTGTGGACAGATACCCGATCACAGTCGATTGTGACAGAACTGAAATCAAGAAATGGCGCTGGTAGTCTGCAACAAATATGTGGTCTGCCTCTATCGACATATCCATCCTCGACGAAGTTGTTGTGGATGATTCAACATGTCCCTAAGGTTAAATCTGCATATGAAAAAGGCCGACTCGCCTTCGGTACCGTTGACTCATGGCTAGTATACCAGTTGAACGGTGGGCCAGCGGCGAAGGTATTTGTTTCGGACCCAACAAACGCATCGAGAACAATGTTTATGAATCTGGAAACTCTCGAATACGACGATCGCCTGCTCGACTTTTTTGGGGTCAAAGGCAAAGTTCATCTTCCTAGAATTGTTCCTTCATCAGACAGAAAGGCATATGGTAGTTTTTCTTCCGGTATTCTCCAAGGAGTACCGATCATGGGCTGTCTTGGTGACCAATCGTCAGCCTTGGTTGGGCAAAAGGGATTCTATCCGGGTTTGGCCAAGAACACTTACGGGACAGGCTGCTTTCTTCTGTACAACGTGGGAGAGAAACCAGTGATATCCAAACATGGCCTGCTAGCAACTGTAGCCTTTCAATTTGACGGTAAACCCGTCTATGCGTTGGAGGGTAGCATTGCTGTTGGTGGATCAGGTATCAGGTTTCTAGAGAACAACCTCAACTTTTTCAAAAAGTCCAAGGAAGTCGACGAGCTGGCAGCAACTGTGGAGGACAACGGTGGCTGCGTATTTGTAACTGCATTTAGTGGCCTTTTTGCACCATATTGGATAGATGATGCCAAGGGGACAATTTGTAAGTCGAAATTCATAATCCACATAAAGGAGAATGTTAACCTGTTCTCATGACGTCAGTTGGAATCACGCAATACACGCAAAAGGGCCATATAGCCAGAGCCACATTAGAAGCAACATGTTATCAGACAAAAGCCATATTAGCCGCCATGGAAAAGGACAGCGGGCATGCGCTTTCAGAACTTGCTGTTGATGGCGGCATGAGTAATTCGGATCTAGCGATGCAAGTATGTGTGTGTGTGTCGAGAGTTGGTTTACCACAAGTCTCCTTTCCATTTAATAACTCGATTTTCTTTAGACCCAAGCCGATCTGGTGTCAATCCCAGTATATCGCCCGAAGATGCGGGAGACCACTGCTCTTGGAGCTGCTATTGCAGCAGGGTTAGCCTGTGGTCTTTGGCATAACTTCACGGAACTGCGAGATATCAACCGAGCCGGCGGTGCGGTCTTTGAACCAAGCATACCCCCTGAGAAAAGTTTTGAAATGTTTTCACTCTGGGAGAGAGCCGTGCACATGTCGAAAGGGTGGGTAAAAAAGGAGAGTAGCAAGGTAAATGGAGCCAAGAACTCCGGCAAATCATCAGTAGTCGTTAAGGTCAAACCGGTAGAATCTGTCTTTGGCAAATATTCCATTTTCAGTGACCTTGACGAGGCGGATGAAGAAGACTTGCTGCTTGAACTGCGAAAGCTCGAGATCCATCAGCGTTTGAAGCGTCTGAGGAGAGCAACCAGTGCATAGATTGCTTGTCTGAGGGCATTCGACCACAAGGATCCATATTACTCTCTGATAATGAATAAATAAATAAATGAAGCGAGATAAATGAACGATCAATGAGATGCAAGAGGTTAATGCTTTGCTTGGTGGATGTAATGTAAACGATGGTCAGGTGATCTACAGCTGCAAACAAGGAAGGTGCACTCCCCGACAACGGACGACACAACACACAGTATCCTGCTGTTTCTCTTCTCAATCTATCTTATAAACTTTGCGTATGCCAGGGGATCACTGTAGAGCCCTCCAAGGCTCTTGAACGCCGGTACGCCGGCTAAAGGGATAAAACGTGCAAGAAAACGAATGCATCGGTGGTCTACTCGTGGATCGGTTTTTGACCATAAACTGTATATCTACGAGAGCGTCAGTGAATCGATTCAAAGATTCAAAGAGTTGTGGAAGGACTGCTAATAGCATACTTACAGAGTTACCGAAGGATGGTCTCTTCGAATGTCATCGATGAAAGCATCAACCTGGCCACTAGCCCAGCCAGGTGCATCTTCGAACGACTCCCTATTCATATCGGAAGGACCGCCATGTAGCTGAGTTTCACTATAAAGACCACCTTCCTTCTAAAGCTTAGCATTTGGACTTAGTACTTTTTCCCGAGACAATGCCTTACCGACTTCAAATCTTCTGCTAACACATCAAGGGGCAAAACCCTTTTAACAATGTGGATGTTGATGAAACCAGCCCCATGCATCCATTGAGCAAAAGTTGAGTCTAAGTGAATGGCCAATTCGCTCAAATCATTGATATTGCAGCTGTATGCAAGCCATTGCAATATGCGGCCTTCTTTGGACACAGATGCTTCATGAGCAACGTATATTGAATCCATGTCCTGAAATTCAACCCAGCCGCCGGAAATGCAGTTACTAACTGATTAGCTTGGTGGAATAAAAAGAAAGGCCAAATAGGGACTTACTCAAAACACTGCCGTATCAGTCTAGGCCAATCGCAAATTGTCCCAGCCATGTAGCGAGCATGGATATAGTCAAAAGAGCGGTTCCAAGTCCATTCTTCCTCCACATCATCGATTTCAAATGATAAATTTGGAGGCACTAGAAATGGCTGGAAAGCTTTGAGGTCGACTCCAATGACCTCGGCACCAGGATATGAATCTGCCATTTCAATGCACCATGTCCCAGTTCCACAACCAATGTCTAATACGCGCTGCGGACTCCAGTCTATAGGAGCTAGGTGCAAATATCCGTCGAAAGCACTCGTGAAGACGATATGTAATGATTCTAATCGCTTCTTTTCGGCCTGCACATACGACAATGAGATACTGGATGCACTAAGTGTGCGTTAAAGAAGCACGCACTTTACCACTTTGATAGTGATATGCTATGAACACTGTGAGCAGATATTCCTCCACTTGATTCCATTTGATTCACTGAGTCTAAACGGAAACTTACTTTCATGATGTGCTAAACCGTCCTCCAGATGAATATCCATGAAACCTGAATCGAGCGATATAGTGGATTCGTTTTCACTATCCGAAATGCGTGTCAACCACAAGAGTCCTTATGCCCATGAATAGGAGATGAATATCAATAACCAACAATTCTGAATAGCCCTCGTCTATATAATGCCCATGCGTAGGCAAATGGATGCCTCTCATATTTCTCGAAGTCACTCGAGAACGGTGCTAAGAAATGATCCGGAAAATGGACTGACTGCGAAGGAAATAGAAAAGAGGACGACAGAAGACCAAAACCTCAGTTCTGCCTCTTCCATGATTGTCTAAATCATTATGGTCTAAATGTGCAAAGACATCTACACATCGGTCGAACGGCAGTGCAAGTTTACGGACCAAGGCTTCGCAAGATTTTGGGGGAAATTTTTCCTTTGACAGATCAACTGTGCTTTCCATTGTACGTTCTTTTAGGGGACGCCGAAGCTCGCTTAAGTTCAAGTCAGTAACAATTATGGTTTTTATGCAAGGTTAAGAAGTTGCATATCTTGAACATTGGCACATGATATCAATATCATTAGGCATTTGGATGTGCTTTGTCTCACGGAGATATTTCTGAATGGAGATATCTTTTGCCAAAGCACTGATCATGCTGGCAACAAATCTACATTGGGAGCACCCTAGGTTTCTTTGTATCGGAATATTTCGTGCCAGTCTCGAGCGCAACAAAGCGAACATGGACAATGATTGTTCCATGGACATCTGACATGACACCCCGTGAATGACAGTTTCCCGAATACCCGGCCTTGGATAAATAAATCGATACGTACGTATGATTGCTTTATTAGATGTTTAGCCTCTTTGTTCTGGATCGGAGCAAAGGGAAAAAGGACAGAAGATTACACAGAGGTCTTACCGACCCAGGCACATAGAGACCCATGGCTACTTACGGCCTTATGGGACTTGCTCGCTTAGACCTTTTACCTAGATAGGTAGTAGGCCACAATGGGCCTGACTCCCACCCTCGCTATTCAAGTATATAGGTATCCGTACGCAATGAATTGTCTGGAGACGATCGACAGACTGACAGCCAGGGGGGTATTTGCAGTTTTTACCCGACCCGACAAAGCAACCTTCGAGCTTCTTGAGCCGTGAAAGACGAGCCTCAATTTGATATGACTTTGCACACTATTACAATGCTAGACACAAGGAGATACATCACATCATCCACATCATCCCAAAAAGAAAGAGAAAACAAATGCGAAACGTCCCGTTACATTTTTCGGCCTACGGCATTTAAGCAATGGCCTTCTTTTTCAAGAATTCCCTTCACCTTTTCTCAAAAATACACAATTCATCTCAGCGCCAGGAGACAGAGTTACTTCAAATTGCAAAACGGGATCCTCAACTTTATCATGACCGGACCTCGGAACAGCGACAATCTTTTCGTACGCTTGCAGAATCCGTACAATAGTATAGCACATTTCGAGCATGGCGAATTGCTGGCCAATACAAATACGAGGCCCGCCGTTAAAAGGTATAAAATGCCATGGCTTTGGCTGCCAGCCCGAGGTCCAGCGTTCGGGAATCCATTTCGCGGGATCATAGTATCTCTCGGCGTTGGGGGGTTGATCGCAGAATGCCGGGTCGCGCTGCATGAGCATCGTTGAATAGACGACTCGTGTTTCTCCCCGGATGCCAATGGGGGATCTGCCGTCGGGGCCGCCGCCACGGGGGAGAGTAGTATCGTGGAGGCTATAACGGACATTGAATGGCACGACGGGATAGACTCGAAGCGTCTCGTTAATGACGGCATTTAGGTATTTCATTTCCTTTAGGTCAGCATATGTCGGGATCTTGGCATCTGCTCCGACACCAAGGCGCTCTGCGATTTCCTCTCGTAGCTTTGCGACGACATCTTGGTTACGAGCAAGTTCGAATGTACAGAAAGAGAGTGTCCCAGCTGTAGTATCTCGGCCTGCGAGAAGCACGGCGACTAATTGATCCCGTAACACTCGTGGGTCGCGAGTGAATCGTGCCAAAGCATCGAGAAAAGTGTCCCGTTTGGAAAGCTTTTTCTCCAGCTCCTCGGGGGTGAGCGAAAGGACAGTTTCGATATAAGGCTGCAGAAAATCATCCATTATCTTTAACTCTTCTCTGAACTTCCTTCGAGAGAAGAAACCGCTGAGTGGGCTGGATATTTTATCAGTTATAAACGCTTTTCTGGAGTACAATCAAGTGCTATATATCCACTCACCCCATGCGGAAGTATTGCGCCTGTCTTGATTGTACATATCGGAAGGCCTCAGCAAATCTAGTCGTCGGATTCTCCAGACTATCTGTGCCTTTGCCTAGGAGGTAATCGGTGGAGGCATCAAGAGTGTAGCGGAAATACAGCCCCCCAACATCGACAATCTTAGTTCCATTGGGGGCTGCACTGCCTCCAAAGAGACGAATGAGTTTCTGAACATTGGTCTCGAAAATCTCGGTATCAACAATGCGGTCTCGAGTAAACATGGGGCGGATTAGGTGTCGAGACGCAGACCACATTTCACCATCGGTGGCAAAGATGCTGTCGCCCAGGAATTCGCGCCATTCCCGATGGAAGGTTTCTCCTTTACCAAAGTCGTTGAACTGGCCAGTTAACAAGGCCTTGATATTCTCCGGGTCAATGGTGAATACGAGCCGGTTCGATATTAATTGATTGATCTCTGCCGTGTAAGGCACGGATGGAAGCTTATGCGCTTGTTGAGCGTTAACAAAAGCCTTTTGCCAGAACGCTAGATCCTGGTTCTTCTTGGCGGCCTTTAGAGACCTGAAGATGAAATCGGCCGCTGTATTTCGAACTTAGGCTTCATCTTTACAAGAACAAAACGGCAGGGAAGGCTTGTACTCACCCACGGGAAGATGGGTAGGAATCTCTGGTGATTTCCCTCCCAGTGACTGGATTTGGTGGGCCACTCGCAGTTTCATCACCCAGAAGACGATGAAAAGAGCCAGACTCACCCCCAAGACTGTTCTGGAGGGCGAGATGCCAGACAGAAGTTCTTCAATCATTTCTTTTTCTTATTGAAATTACTTGAATAGGTTTGTTAAAGGGACGGACGGCCTGGGGGGCCTAAGGGTTGATCAACTTAAAAGTTTGGTGGGGACTTCCCCGCAAAAGAACGAGCCTAGGCTAGTTGGCAATCATATGCTAAATCATACGTAACTATACTTTTTTACAAACAAAACAAGAAAACGAAAAAGAGAATGGAGTAATGATGGACATGATGACCACACATTCTATGATGTGTAAATAGACTTCTGCCGGTGATGCCTGTCAAATGATTGCCATATTATCCAGGCAGCGATCTAGAAGACCTCGGCAAGGAGCCGCGATTTCCAATCAAGTAGAACGCTTACTAGGTAGGAACAAGCTGCGATAGCGCGAATATAGATGTATGCCTTAGGGCAGATATCTCTACTCTCTATCTGATGAGAGTATACGCAGCACGTGTCCGGAACCATATGAATTAAGGGTGTGCAGATTGTGACACATACAAAGTCAGGCCCATGGAAGCATGCAGCCGTCTATTGGCATTACTGTATGGCTATGTTAGCGTGCTAAGCCACTAGTAGAGGAGGGGCTGTCGAGGATGAAGCTATTCCGAATCTTCACCAGATACGCAAGCGAATATCGTCTAGTGTTGGGTACGCATATGCATAATACGAGGTTTCTTCAAGTAGAGCCGTCTATTCTTTCCATTCTATATTATCCTCTATATAGCACTGACTCATTGCTGTATTGTCTTAGTAGTGTTCCTAAGCATAGCTAGGCGAAAGCTGGGCGAAGCTGGGCATGGATGGCTAGACCAGACCTATCGACTGTATACAGCTAGTCTATCCGTTGCATACCGAGAAGCCATTGAAAATCCCGTGGCGGTCCGTCTTCCTTGGGGGTTGCTCTGCAAGTGTACGATTTTGAATCAGTCCAAGCTTCCATCTTCATGGCTCTTTTGCCTAACATAACTATACATAAAAATCTACCCATTGTTAAACACACTTAAAAGTCATTACTATAGATTGTGACGACAATCCTGCCTGGCCGTGGTTGGCTAGATATAGCTCGGCAACGGGATGCCCGATATGCCCCCTGTATGTCTTCATATAGCGAGCACCTTAGAACGTTACATATCTTGATGATTATCTAGAATAGTCATTAGCTGGTAAGTCATCTAGGTTTAATATTTCAACCGCTAGGCCTGATTGGGTCTCTAGTCTTGCCTAATTACTACTAGCTAACAAAGCAGGGCTTAGAGGAGCGGGATAGTGCCTACAAGCCAGTCGAAAGGGGGGGGGGGAAAGAAAAAATCATGTATTCTGTCGCTGGCTTGTATGTAGGTTTCGCAGCGGATTTGTAGGTGACGTTGTAGGCTCGATTAGGAACTTGTATATGCAGCTACGACTTGGAATGGCGGTATAGAGTATACTGAGTAGCAAGCAAGTCACACCGGAAGAAACGAACCACTCGGAAATTTCATGTGAGAAGCTTTTCGTCAGGGCCTTTGATAAATTTCTAAAAGTAGATTAACATTTGGTCCGTCAATAGCATATACCAAAGTGATACGTCGATGGATCAGCTGTAATGGATGGTAACTAACTTTAGTAATTAGCCCAGTGATAAGCACTAAGCGCCCGTCCAATACTACTCTTTGATGTGATTCTGCATAATTCCCTTGTACCATACCGGACCGACCTCATCAATTGGACCCTCGCAGATCTGCACATGGATTCGTTCCGAGGTTGCTACCGAAGGTCTCTTCGTTGCCGTCTTCTACCTATCTTGCATGCACCTTCGGACTGTAGGATTTTCCCGATTGACATCATACGCTCTATTACTTCGTGATGCGCCATGGCAAGAAAACTCTTGCATGGCAAAGATAACACTGTTACATTGGGTTGGCTTCTCCAACTGGATCGAAGATGATCCCGCTTATGATATGCTGGAGTTGACGTAGATAAAGGGATTTGTGGATTTTTATGCCCGGTCCGATGTGCTTTTCATATCAAGTGACTGCTATTGACTATGACGCTGGAAGAAAGAGAGAGAGTGTGTGTATGTGTGTGGCAAATGTTGTTCCTGGTCTCTATCTTTCTCTTTCTTCCTAAAAGTTCTTTTGAAGGTGCCAGTGACTTCGCTGTCACGTCCAAATCAGTGTCTTTCCAAAGATTTTCTATCTCTATACGAACTGTTAGTATATAACACTCCGTAGTACCCAGTTGGCAGCAGAACTAGCAAAGCAATAGATTCGTTAGATTTGGCTAATCTCGACCTACGCATTAGCGTAGCAGCATGTAACGTAGCGGCAGAGATACTGTAAGTTCCCAAAAGAATGCCCGATTCTCAGCTGCGATATGGATGGCATAGGGCTAGGCCGGGCCCAGCTTCCAACGTAGAGAGATAATCACCAATGAAGGAAGATTCAAAAATAGAAGTTAGGCGCCATCCAGCAATAGCAACACACCTGCCGCTTATATACTCTCCCTGGATGGGGATTGACATACATTAGCGCCAGCCCTAATTTGGGATAGGTTCTAAGCACGCTAGACCAAAACAGCATAATAGGCCACGAGTGTCCACCCTAACACACGGGATGTAAGAAACGGCGTCGCTGGCGGAAAGCAAAATTCCTCCGACATACTCCGTAGGAGTGATGGCAATTTGTAATAACAAAATTGTAATTTCAGCGTAAAATTGGCCCCTTACCAGTAAAATATTTTCAAAATACATAGTTACATTCCCCATACAAATTACTAGTAAAACTATATTTTGGATTTTTTTTTTTGATTTTTTGGTATCGATTTTAAGCCGTTAGAGGGATAAAGCTTAATTTTATATAGAAATTCACCTTAGAAACAAGTTTCAAAAACCTTTGCTCTCTCTATCTGAGAAAAATGAGGCTCTTTCAGCGATTTTTGACCCATTTTTGGTGGGGGTGAAGGTCAATATCAGATTCCGGAATGCCAGGTTTATGCATATCGAGTTCAAATCTATATATCTCCTGGTTGCATTGGAGTTTTCAAGAAAATTGAAAAAGCGGCAGAAAAGGGAATCTATGTTTTCTGATTGGCTATATTGGCCTCACCGCCGGGCGATGACTAAGCATTGAAAGCTTGGCGCATGTAAAAGGTGGGTGGGCTGTAAATTAGTATGGTGTTGAAATTTACCGTAAAACCATCAGCCAATACGTAATTACGCCATCCCTACTCCGTAGGCACTTTGGGTGGGGGGGAACTCCACCAAGGCTGTGAAGAAACCAAGTCGCAGCACGCAGTCTTGTCCACCGTGTTTGCTCAAGTTATCAGAGTAGGCAATTCTGCAAGATAAGACAAGACGAGTGTCGCACTGCATAATCTTTTTTTCCCTTCCTTCGTTCTGTATCTTCAGAGCAGATACAGAATAACAGTAGAAACTGCCAAATCTAAACTGCAGGGACATTGGACTGAATCACACCAAACTTCACGGGCAATTTCGAGCGGCGCCAACGGCGCGTTAGGCATAGACAGACAGGCTATTGCGTACCCTGAATCCAAAAACAAATGCCAAGAAAGGCAGATCAACCATGACGAGTTCAGTGGTAAGGCATCAACGTCCGTTGGAACTTTGGCGGCGCTGCCGAATACCATGCAGACCACGGCCGAGCCAAGCCGGGTCCTGATGATCTGTGGGGACTGCGGCTTGTTTGTGAGACGGTTCGGGATCGGCAGCCGCTGCCATTGGTGGGATGTGCTTACATTGTGGGGGGATCTGCCGAGGCCTTGTGGACCCTGCCAAGACTGGTTTAAGGCTTGTTCAAGGCTCGGTATTTGATGATCGCCGCCAGTTATTACTGTATGTGAACTCCATCTCTCTTCATGTTGCGGATACTACCTCATGCCGAGAGAAAACCCCCCGAACGACGCAAACTGCAGGGTTAATCGCACACACATACACGGACACGCATGCATGCATGCGTACAGAGGGGAAAAGGACGAGAGGACCGTCCGAAAACAGCGGCAAGACCGTGTCATTCAATCTCTGCCGGTCTCGTCCGAACAATGCTTATCAAGATCCCAGGGCTTGAATGTTATTTGTAGGCCCTATTGCCTGGGATAGGAGGTGATAGAATGCTTACCTGCCTTTTGACTGGCCAGTGATCGCGGGATTGCATCCAATTCAGGGCTAGCTAAGGTTGATACAGGATGAGGACGGAGGATGTCTTATGTCGGGCTTGATCCAATTTTCCGCCCCCTTCCATGGAGATCATGTATTCGCGATTGTGACTACTCTGTAGTCTGAACAATCCACGTAGGTCCGTGTATTTCGTGTGGTGCGAGGGGGGCATCTGTAGGCATATAAGGTGTGAAGGGCTCCTCGTTGAATGTGCGATAGTTGATGTCTTTGACCAACGGATGATTCTTTTCTTGGTGATAATAGACCATGGCGGATATGTCAGATAGTTTGTATGTCCTTGAAAAGTTTTTCTTGAATCTGATTTGAACTTGCCTTTCCCGATTCTAACTCAAACAGCCTCACGGAACAGCTTCTGTGCCTCCGCAATGAGGCCTCTCACCCAGACTCTTCACACCGCCTCTCAGACCTTCTATCTTCCAACTCCGGTCCTTGGCCCATTCGTCAACTAATCCTAACCTTCCAAGACATCTACAAATGCCTCCCCGAGTCTCTCAAGGCCAAGAACGATGAATCAATAACCCGCCTCCGTGCACAAGTCAAAGCAGCCACTCCCAGCATTGCAGACTTAATAGGGACAGACTCTCGCGCCGGTTTCATCGATCCCACCACAGAACGGAGTCTGACACATAATGCTATCCGCCAATTCGCGCAGAGTTTCCAAATACCTGTTGGCCCTTCCCGCCATGGAAAGCCTCGCGTCGCCGTCATCCTGCCTAACGGCCTTCTTATGGCAGTCGCGGTTCTCACATTCGCCAACAGGTATACCATTTTGCCAATGGTATCAAATATGGTGCCGGAGCAGCTACACATGGACATCGAACATTCACAAGCTGACGCAATCGTCGCACTGGATGCTGACATTGGCAAGTTGCACTTGGACAACGGTAGTCGGCCGGTGTTTGGCATCGAGCAACTGGAAGACTTGACTTTCAGGGTGGTTTCTTCACAACATGCCCCTAGTACGACATCAAATATCCTCCCCAATGCTGGGGACGACATTGCGATTATCCTTTTCACCAGTGGTACTAGTGGTACCAAGAAGCTGGTTCCCATCACAACTTATAGTCTCATTGCGGGTACAATTGCCACCATGGAGTCGGTAGAACTGTCCGAGACAGACGCCTGCTTGAACATGATGCCGCTGAACCATGTGTATGTCACCTGGCCAAAGTATAACACATGAAGATACTAACATATACTAGTGGTGGCATCGTCCGTAGTATCTTCTCTCCCATTCTCGCCGGCGGTGCCACAATTTGCTGCCCTGTTTTCGACCCCAGCATGTTCTGGGATATTGTCGAAAACCCTAACATGACACCAACTTGGTATTATGCGACCCCAACGATGAACCAAATGATCCTTGGTGAAGCTGAGCACCGCCCCGAAGCTGTTAAGCAAAGCACCATTCAGTTCCTTTGTAATGCTGGTGGGGGTCTTCCTCCAACGCTCGCCGTGCAGCTTCGTGATACTTTCCACTGCTCTACCCTTCCCAGCTACGGCATGACTGAGTGTATGCCTATTGCTGCGCCGCCCAGGGACTACACTCTTGACCGCCCTGGAACGTCGGGACGCATCGTTGGTCCTGAAGTTGTAATTATGAGCGAGAGTGGCAAGCCTGTCGAGCGATGTGGGATGCTCGGTCATATCTGCATTCGTGGATCACCAGTGTTCGAGGGATATCTGACCTCCGAAGGCAAGATCGACACCAGTGCATTTAATGAGTCCGGCTGGTTCGACACCGGTGATTTGGGATACCTCGATGCTGATAACTATCTGTACATCACCGGCCGCAGCAAGGAGGTCATCAACCGTGGTGGTGAAATTATCAGTCCCGTGGAAATTGAAGATGCCGTGTTGACATCGGCCAAACAACCTGGCTCTCCATTGTATGGTCGCGTTGCCGAGACATTAGCTTTCTCTGTTCCGGACACGGTGCTGCAGGAAGTCGTCGGTGTGGTTATCGTCACAACCCCTGGCACCACCCGGCCAGATCTTCGCCAGCTGCACGAAGCGCTGCAGCCTATTATCCACCAGCCCAAGTGGCCCGCACTGGTAGTGTACATGGACCGGGTGCCGAAGTCGAACAATAAGCTCCAGCGTATTAAGCTCGCTCAGCGGTTGGGCCTGGAAGCCCTCACTCCAACTACACCTCTAGCAGACCGCCATTACGAAGCTGTCTGCCCGCCCAACGGTACACCACTCAGTGAATCAATACCGCAAAAGGCATGTATCGTCGACCAAAACATAATCCGCTCGTTCCTTAGCGAGATGACCTGCACCCCAGAGGTGCACGTTCACATAAATTCACGCGATGGCTTCGCACAGGCTGTTCTGTTCGGCCGGACTCCGGATAATGACCATATAACACCTGGCGACCTCCACAACCAACTCGATGGCTACCTTATTCCTAGTCGCATCGTTCTGCTCGAAGATCCCCTGCCCGTTGATGAGTTCGGGAACCCTGATCAGGCCGCTATCGACATGGCCATCCGTGCTCGCAACTCAGAGGGCGATCTGTCGCCCCTACAGCGACGCGTGCGTGAGATTTTCGCAGCCGCCTTGTCTTGCCCAGCAGAAGAAATCTCCGCGCTTACTGACTTCTTCGTTGCTGGCGGTGATAGTCTCAGTGCAGGCCGTTTGGTTTCGCAGCTGCGTCGCGAATTCGGGATTTTCCTGGCCGGTGACATTCTCTTCCAGTACAGTACCGTTGGCGATATCGAGAACAAGGTTGCCGAGGGTGTTGAAGCCAAGGCCGCCAAGGGCGAGGACAGTGAAGTCCAATTGCCCGGTTGCGAGGAAACATATAGCAGCACCAACCCAATTGTCTTGGTCCTGCATCTGTTCCCGCTCATGTTCTTCTTTCCCATGAAGCGCGCTTTCCAGTGGATTATATTCTCATACATCGTGGCCGAGTGCTCAACCCGGTTCCCCATTCGTGACCAGCTCATCGGTCGTTTGGTTCTGATTGTTCTAGCTGTGCTGTCGGGCCGTGTCGCCGGATATATCGTGGCTCCCTTCTGCGGCATCATCTTCAAATGGCTTGTCGTCGGTCGCTACACCGAGGGCATGTATCCCATGTGGGGGCCCTACCACACGCGCTGGTGGTTGGCACAGAAGGCATTGCAGGTGTGTGGAAAGGGCATATTCAGCCACTTCAACTGGTCGCGCGTGCTGTTCTACCGCCTGCTCGGCGCGAAGATTGGCAAAAACGTTACTATCTCCAAAACTACTAAGCTTGGCGAGTATGACTTGGTCGAAATTGGTGACAATGTCGTCTTGGATACCTGCCAGTGTCGTCCCTTTGCCGTGGAGCGCAATACCTCTATGCTCTTGAAGCGCATCCGCATTGGCAAGGACTCGTCCGTTGGCCTTAAGTCCATCATTGCCCCCGGTGCTGATATCCCCGAGAATACCTGTATTGGTCCCAACTCGTCGAGCTGGGAACTCCAGGATGCTGACGAGTCCAACCGCGAGTTGCTCTCATCTCGTATCCCTTCGCCGCACTGGCTTTGGAACCTCATTCTCATTGAGCCGCTGCGAATCCTCGTCTGGGTCTGTGCTCGTCTTACATGGATGGGTGGCCTCGTACCTATGGTGCGCCAGATCCCTACTCAGTCGCCTGATATGTTTCTGGCTACCCTGGAATGGTTCACCAGTGCTCGTCGGATTGGCTTCCACATTACCGCGAGAATATGCCGTGCGATTGGAGGCCCGATTGTGCTTTTTATTGCAGTCCTGATTGTCAAGACAATGCTCGATCTCATCTGCGGCAAGCCCAAGCCCGGACCTGCCTCCAAGCAGACTACTCGCCAGAAAGTGCGGAGTGCTGTGCTCGCGCAGATCATGCCAGCGGGCGATATCCACGATCTCACCCGTCTTGCTGGTCGTCACTACGAACTTGCCTCGGTCTTCGTCCGTCTCCTTGGTGGCAAGGTTGGCAAGCGTGTCTACTGGCCCAGTGTCGGTCCCATGGTTTCCGACTTTGACCTCATCGAGGTTGGCAACGATGTTGTCTTTGGTTCTCGCTCGAGTCTCATCACGTCCGATGGCTATGGTCGTGACCGCGTCGTGATTGGTGACGGCGCCATGGTTGGTGACCGTGTTGTCGCTTTGCCCGGAGTGACCATCGGTCGTGAAGCCATGATCGGCTCCGGTGCTTTGCTTCGCCGTAACGGCGACTTCCCAGAGAAGACAGTGTGGACTGGTAGCAAGGGTGGTAACGCGGTGCAGTTCACGACTTCCACCTCGGTGCCCGCCTCGAGTGGCCCTACTCTGGTCGGAAGCAGCAACAGTAGCGACGACGGCAGCAGCGAAGACGAGAAGCATATGGCCGAGAAGCGCATTGGAGAAAAGACCCCAAACGAGAAGCTGACTGTTGTTGGCGAGAAGGACAAGACCGTTACCGAGATCACTGAGCTGGATACCTGCAAACCTTTTGGTCGTGCATTCTATCGCCACGAGTCTAACTATTACGTCCTCCGCATCTGGCAGATTGTCGTATATTCCATTGTTTCGGTCGTCTTCACCACTGTCTACTGGATCATGTCCATCATTTTCTCACTCTTGGCTCTCCGTGCTGCCCTGAGCTACAGCAACGCCGCTGGATTTCAGCAGGGCCCCTGGCGCCCATTCGTTCTGTACGGCACACTCGCCGCAATCCTGTCCGGTGTCAGCGCTGCCCAAGCCTTCCTCGCCCTCGGCATCATCATCTGCATTAAATGGATGGTCATGGGCCGCCGCAAAGAAGGCACCTTTCACTGGGACAAGAGCAGCTACAACCAGCGCTGGCAGTTCCTCCTCTCCTGCGAGACTGTCATCAAGGATTGCTATGGCGGTGCTGGTCTCCTGCCTATGATTACTGGCACTGCCTACCTTAGCTGGTACTACCGCCTCCTGGGCGCGAACATCGGAAAGGACTGTGCCATTCACGCCAACGGCACTCCCAACATCTTCTTCACTGAGCCTGATCTCCTCACTCTCGGTAACCGTGTCGCTGTGGATGATGCCAGTCTGGTCTGCCACTTGAACTCGCGTGGTGAATTCGAGCTGCACACCTTGAATGTTGGAGACCGAAGTATCTTACGCGCTGGATCGCGGTTGATGTCTGGTGCCTCGATGGGCCAGGATGCTTGCCTTTTAGAGCATACGCTGGTTCTTTCAGGTGACCATGTTGAGGATGGGGACACGCTCCAAGGATGGCCTGCCGAGGGCTTTGATGGGAAGCGCGCTTAGAATCATAGAGTCATAGAATCTGACAACTTGTTGCTTTTCTGTTGTTTTCTGCGGTCTAGTTTTGCTTGGATACGTGGTATTGATGTTTCGCGAAGAATGGCCTGATGAATCTGATTTCTGTACGCTTTCAACGGTCGATAGTCATAGAGATTGCAATAGTAGTTGTGTCTTATTTGTAAGGCAGCCAGGCAACAAGGCTCGCACGCAACGTAAGACGAAAATCTGCTATTATTGGTAGTCTAGCCCTCGCTGATGCAGCGTTTGTGAATCCTCAACAGCATTGACTAGTCGGCTTTGAACTAGGTAGCTATTTGTAACTACCAAATATTCCGACGTGCCTCTTCGCGTCCTCAGGCAGCAACGGACATTTGCTGGCAAACAGTGCGAGCCAATAGCAGCGTCCGGCCGGGTGGGGCTAGTGGCGTTCGCGGCAGCCCTTTTTGATATCATTTGTATCTTTCTTTGCCTTCTCCAAGCCGCGACTACACCACTCGACCGAGCAGCAGTATCTCTTCTCCTGGCTGTATATCTGATTCGAACTTGAATACCCTGAAATCACGACCGTCGTCCCGCCTACTGTGAGCATCAGCCCCAGTGGCGCCTCCCCGAAGCCACTCTGCCCTTTTCTTGCTATCGTCACCAACCTCCGCTCTTGACAGAGACATTGCGATAAGTTGTTGCTGAAAAAATGTCGACAACCGTCGCACTGGGCACGCCCCTGGCAGAGGCCTTGAGCAATGTAGTGCAGCCAAAACTGGTAGAGATGGGCTGGAGCTCAGACGTTGGGGAGGACTCCGCGTTGACCGAGTATGTCATTCTCATGTTGGTTAACGGCAAAACCCAAGAACAAATCGCGGAAGAGATCGCGAACGACCTCTTGAATTTAGGAGAGGGCGATACGCAGGCTCTCGACTTCTCGCGGTGGCTTTTTGAGCAGGTGGAAGTCCTCAAGAATAATAGTAATGGACTAGCGTCCATCCCGGATTCAACACCGGCCGCGCCGCAGTCGATACCGGTTAGCAACGACCTTCAACCGCAAGACCAATCAGTGCAACAAGATGCTGAGATGGGTGACGCTTCAGGTCTTGGGGATACTATGTACGTATTGAAGACCCTTTTTTGACAACTTCCGGTTTCGGCGTAAACTAACATGAACGATTTCTATTTGGGCGCAGACCTACAGGACCTCGAGCGATGCGAAACAACAACCAACGTAACAGGGGGCGTCTACTGAATCAAATCAACAAGAACATGGAACGAGGACCTGATGCTATGCTTCATCGTGTGCGCAACCAGCCTAACAACGGGAGAATCAACTCTCATGGCCGGGATTTCCAGAAGGGCCCACGAGGCCAATATGGCGCTGGTCGGTTTGGGCAAGGGAGACAACAAATGGGCGGAATGGGAGCAGGCCAAATGCACGGACCGGGAGCTGGAAATATTATGCAAATGACCCCCGACAACCAGATGCAACTCATGGCTCTTCTTGAAGAACAGGCTAGAATGATGTCACAACTCATGCCAGGCTTCATGCCACCAGCTGTCAATCCGAATTTCCAAAAACAACAACAAGGGCGATCATTATTTGACCGCATCGAGCGGCCAGCACAGCGACAAGGTGGTGGCGACCTCAAGTCTTGGGGTACTCAGAACGGCGGCTCAACCAAGGTCAATGAAGATGCCGATATGGATATGACAGAGGACCAAGGTACAGCCGATGGCCAAGCCAACACCGATAGTGTCTGTCGGTTCAATCTTCGCTGTACACGAAAAGCCTGTCCCTATGCCCATCAATCGCCAGCAGCTCCCGAGGGTGCCCCTGTTGATGTTACAGATCACTGCCCCTTTGGAGCAGCATGCAAAAACAAGAAATGTACCGCCCGGCATCCATCGCCTGCTGTCAAAGCATCTCACCAAGCCGAAGAGATTTGCCGCTTCTTCCCCAACTGCGCTAACCCTCATTGTCCCTTTAAGCATCCTACCATGCCCCTTTGCCGGAACGGAGCTGATTGTACTGCGGAGGGATGCAAATTCACCCATCTCACCACAGCATGCAAGTTCAATCCATGCATGAACCCGAATTGCCCTTACAAACACGCCGAGGGCCAGAAGGGCAACTTTAGCGACAAAGTGTGGATCGCGGGGCAAGAGAAGGCCCATGTTAGCGAGAGGAAGTTTGTGGAGGATGAAAATGCCGATGAAGAGCTTATAAAACCTGATATAGCCGCTGAGGGAGCTCAAGCAGAGCAAGTCATTACCTGAACAAGTCAAGTTTCTTTTTTTCTCTCTGTTATTATTTGAACTATATTGTCCGTTCAATCTCTTTCGATCATGAGGGTGACTGTCAGAGTTGATTTGAAGGATTTGGACGTGTATTCTATTCTACTCTTCAAAACATGCATGGGCGGAACTGCTTGGGGCAACGCGGCGTTGGAGACTTTTGTTTGTTGTATTAATTCATTATCAAGCTCGTCCTCTATTAGCAGAGGATTGCTCTTCTATCAATACTACAAATGGTCATACATTAGAAAATGCCTATCTTAGCACGACTTTACTAGAAAATCTACGTTAGGTCAAGGGAGCTTGTGTACCAAGGTATTCTATAGCAAGATTATCGTCCTCGTGGACCTAGATTCAATCAACCACATACCTGAATTTCCAGGCCTAATGTAGTTTTACTAGAAATGCATTAGAATAAGTGTTGTCTCATAATACTGGACTGTTAAAGGAGGTAGACCATGTCGATTACTAGTAGCTAGGTCATCCTTTGAGAAGACCATGCACATCTCTGAATCAGAAACTAGTTCAAGCAGCCTAGTACCCTTACAAGCATAAATTTGAACATGGTTTGCCAGTAGTGCCCTGGGCAAAGGAAATATGATACATACAATCACATAGAGAGGGTATTGTTCCTTTGAAGTTCATGGCGGGTCCCCACAAAGCTCCGCAATGTATGATCGATCACCTTCCGACAAGCTTACCACCACCCACAACGTCGACCAATTGATACCCCAATCCCTTGCACCGAGGACGTTTCGACCAATGCATACCTAATTCCCAGCGGGCAGCAATGCGGAGGTTCCGTCTCACCCATGCGACTCGATCGTATCCCAAGCATTCCGCACATCGCGTGCGCTTCTTCCACCAGGAGACCAAGCCATATAATGTTGCTGTGATTGGAGGCGGCATTACGGGGCTGACCGCCGCCTGGCGGCTATGCCAGGATCCTAAATGCCAGAAAATCACGCTATACGAGAAGTCTTCGCAGCTGGGGGGTTGGCTGCAGTCCGAAACGGCCGACGTCGATGGTGGACGTGTGGTTTTTGAATATGGACCGAGGACAATAAGGGCGAGTGATCCCGCAGCTCTACCCATGCTAGACCTGGTGAGATAGACAATCCGGGGAAGGGTGAATATTTATAGCCTGATTAATTACTGATTGATGGTCTGTTTGCTATTTGCCCAGCTTTTCAGCTTAGGCATGACCGAACAATTATTCCTCATCGACAGACGGTCACCAGCTGCGCTCAACCGCTATATCTATTACCCCAACCATCTCGTTCGTATGCCAGGACCGGAGCCTAACAGTGGACCTCTGAGTTCCATGTGGCGAGGGCTCAAGACATTGCTCACAGAACCTCTGTTCGAAGGTGCCATTGGGGCATTTCTAAAGGAGCCTATTCGGGACGCTCGCACAGATCGACAGGACGAGTCAATAGGCGACTTTGTTTCGCGCAGACTCAGTCCTAAAATGGCCGATAACCTCGCGTCTGCTGTGTTTCATGGTATCTTTGCTGGAGACATATATAAGCTCAGTGCTCAGACTATATTGGGAGCACAACATGCCCTGGAAAAAAAGCACGACTCCGTTACGGCTGGGATCGTGGAAAACATGCAAGAAAAGAAGAGAGTGGTGACTGCCGATCATTTACTGGCGACGTGGTCGGTGCAGGAGCAACGGTCACTGGGGCACTTTGATCGTTTGCGTGCAGTATTGAAGTCTATGAGCGTATTTGCACTCAGGGACGGCATCTCTGAAATAGCTCGAGTGATGGCAAAGAAGTTTCAGGAACATTCCCACAAAATTCAAGTTGTGACTGAGGCTGATATCAAAGCAATCCGACGGGAAGAAAACCATGACATAACGGTAGATACTGATGTTTAAAGTTGGTAAATGCTTGATGCTAACTACCAACGCAGATCTCACTAGATAAAGGAAAAAATAGGGTGACATCCCAAACTTTCAACAGAGTCATCGCCACGGCACCGCCACCAGAACTAGCCAGACTTATAGAGGCGGGCTCAACGAAGGACAGCCAGCGACCTACGGGAACTATATCCAGACTCAAAGAGCACAATTACGCTGTGAACGTCATGGTCGTTAACTTATACTACGACGCTCCCAATCTCATTCCTCATCGAGGTTTCGGCTACCTTATTCCTCGAAGTGTATCATTTGACCAAAACCCCGAGAGGGGTCTTGGAGTAATCTTCGGTTCCGAGACCAGTCAACCCCAGGATACAGCTCCAGGCACAAAACTCACCGTGATGATGGGTGGTCACTGGTGGGATGGATGGGCAGAATCTGATTTGCCCAGTCCAGAAGAAGGAATCCGTATGGCTCGGTCTCTGCTGAAACGCCATCTTGGGATAGAAGCAGCCCCCGCTCTTGCGCGCGCAAGACTTCAGCGTGATGCAATCCCGCAGTTTACGGTGAACCATCTGACGAGAATGGCAAGTCTGTCGCGAGCAGTGCGCGAGGATTTTGATAGACGGCTTACGCTTGCGGGGAACTGGTATAGCATGCATGGTGTCGGGATTAATGATTGTGTAACTCAAGGTTACCTAGCAGCTACATGGGGAGTTGACTCAACAGAAGGCGTTGGTCCACTTCTCAACACCATGTCTGATCTGATGGAGGACCAAGCAGGTGGTATCCCAACTTCATCGCAGCGCTATCTTATGATGAAATATCAAGAGATAAAACGAGCTTAGTGAATGAAAAATAAAATGTAATATATTCTTTCACTTAATGAATATTAAAAACGGCATGTCTTAGATTCAAAGTGGTATCAAGAGTATCCAGGCATATTTATAGATGCTGGATATATCGACCTTTATTCTAGTAAAAGACTGCACCTAGATCCCGCGTAGTCCTAGGCAATCTACAAAGAATTTGATATTGGAAACTGTAGATTCCTAGATAGACTGCTTCGACAGATGGATGTAATAAGCTTTGTTCTCTGTGTGAATACAGTCTGACCATTTTCCACGCCAAAAACCTAGCAAGCAACCTGTGACAGTCCGCTGAAAGATGCTTAACATGATTCATTCCATGTTCGGGGAGTTATTGCTTCTATTTGAGCCATCTTGACCTATTATTGTCTTGAGACATATGTTAAGTGTCGAGCAGAGAAGTTTCCCACTGAGATAAACTGTATGAATCAAATCCAGCAAATACGGCATAATCGAGTGGTCCGAAAGCTTATGTGCATAGATGAATGACGGGTATTATTTATTGTGTAGCGGAGAGATTGAATCATCGCATCTTCGTATCGCCCACGTAGCATATTGCACGGTATGACGACGGGACACGAGAAGAGTTCAATCTGCAACGTTGGAACAGGATAACGTCTCCTATCTCATTTCTCCGAATCCATGATGCATATACCACCGCTGCTGCTGCCGCTGCTGCTGCTGCTGCTGTTGCTGTTGCTAGGGCCAATATGAGAGAGGGGCATGTGTGAGTGAGGCCTGCGGTTTCACACAGCTGGCTTCTTTTCTCCCTCGGCATCGAAGCCTAATGCATCTAGTTCTCGAATGAGTTCGTTGATTTTGATGACCTTTGCCAACTGCTCGGGAAGCAAGGATTCGCCCTTGTCCTTCTTCTCGCGGAGGTCACGAGCTTGTCTCAACTTTTTCTTTAAGTTGCGTGCTTTCTTCTCCTTCTCAGCTTCGGGGTCAACGGCATCTGCCGCTTCAGCCTCGGTCTTTTTCTCTGCTGCTACTGCTGCTCCCTCGTCCCCCTTTTTTTCCGCTTCACTTGCTTTCTCCTCAGCCTTAGCCTTCTTCCTTGCTTCTCGTCGCTTGGCGTTTTTGTTGCTGGCTGCACTTGCACTTTGAATCTCAGTAGAGACTGTTTCTGCACCAGGCACTCCGCCCGCGCCTCGATTCTTCCACGCTTCTGCTGATGGGTTCTTGTATTTCTTCACGTCTTCTGGAGGCTGGTAACCCGGGCGAATCCGAATTTCCTTGCGCTTGGAGCCGTCGGCGCGAGTAGATGAAGGGACATGGCGTTTGCCAGTTACGGCATCGACCACGATGCCAGAAGAAGTAACCGATTCTGTGGCTGGCATTTTTAGAATTGGCAATCTGAGTGTGCGACGAGGAATATGGCTGTGGTCGGTTCTGAGTTGTTTGGCTGGCGCAAAGTGTGACCTTTTGGGAAGTCTCAAGACCGGCTGAGAGTTGTAGTGTATAGGGTAGAAGAAGCAGTGTGGCGGTAGATGGCAGTGAAGCAACAATTCAAAAATCTAAAAGAGCGTACTCATCCTCAGTCTGTCTTCGTTTCGGTTCGTGGGATCTGAGAGACAATTCTGGAAATGGCGGGAGCTGCAACCATCAACCAATAAGCGAGCCGGAAGTTCTCGGGTTTTCGGGCGGAACCTCAACTACTTCCACTTCGACCTCCCATGCTCTCTTGCCCGCACGCATCATCCCTCGCGCTTTTCCAACGGTCGCCTTTGGCAGTTATCTAGACGTCAGAAACAATGGCCGGAGTAAGTACTGCACTGTTTGACTCGGGTTGATGAGGCCAATGGCTAACGTGTGTCCCAATTCGTTGCAGATTTCACAAGTCCTCTACCAGCAAGTGACCCCTACGCAGAGCCCGACGAATATCACCGCCCATGACAACCACGTTCGTACTAACGTCATATTCTTCACCTATATAGGACCCTTTTCGCAAGGAATGCGGTCTACCTGACCTCCATCTTCGTCGGGGCTTTCGCGTTTGAGATGTACGTTGCAGCGTTTCTCCTTACCCATCTCCGAGATAAACCGAATGCTTACAGACATGAAATACTGCAGCGCCTTTGATTCCACCTCCAACAAGATCTGGGATGCCATGAACCGAGGTGTATGTTACCCCCATTTGCGCGACTGTGCACGTTTTGGAACTGACAACATTCTCTTCTAGCGCCAATGGAAGGATATCCGCCACAACTACATCCAGAATGGTGAGGAGGATGAGGAATAGAGGGATCTACTTTCCAATTGTATCCGATTTTTATAAAGGATGGGAGGGCGTGGTGGAATTCCCTCGAATCTGCTGATGTACGATGCCCGTCCTGTGCTGTCCTGTCCTGTCGATGAGGCGAAAAAGATAGAGATCTTGCACCGTTCATTTGTGCCAACAATGTCATTTGTCTTCACACTGTACATGAAATTTACTCCAGTAAAATAGGCACTGCCATCTATCTGTGTTCTCTTTGTCGATCTCAGTTATTTATTGTGTGTATAACGTTGCTTTGGTTCGGCACCGTGTAGGAATCTATTCGATTCCTACTCCGCTTCGATTCGAAGCCCAAACACTGCGTAATCGGATCAGCAAGGATTATTATTGTTATCTCCTGCCCTAATCCAACCCTTCTCTTCCCTCTGAACGTTCACAATCCGACAAGATTCTTGTTCGATCACGTGCCTGTCGGCTTGGCACGGCTTATGTAACAGTAGTCCGTAGTCCTGTGACATAACATCATATACACCTCCTCCTTGGCTCTTCTTCGCTGTCCTTCCTCTAGGCCGGCTTGTACGTCCGACTTTCTCTCATAACGGTCCAATAAAAATTCAGTAGATTTCTACGAGCTTTTTGAATGCGATGTATGGGCCCAATATGATTGGCTGTTTATTTTACCACGCAACAAAGCAAAGAAGCTGATTGGACTCACAATGGAACCACGCCTTGGCGAAGCGCGGGTAAACCACGAACAGTTAGGGTTTGTCAGAGAAAAGGATAGGTAGCTTTATGAGGCTATAATTTTGTATACAGTATCAGAGGAAATCTACCGTACATTTTTATAGTCAAGAGATCGGAAGTATCGTCAAAGATGGCCTCGTCCATAACCATCAATACGGCCGCTGTCAAGTTTCTTTTGAACTGCCAATTTGACTGGTTCTTCAGTATTCTTCTTCTTCTCTTTCTTCCTTTTTTTTTTTTTTTTTTTTTTTTTTTTTTATTCCGATGTCTTCTGAATTGGCTGCGCGAAGATTAAGAGCAAGCCGGCGCCACATTGTTTTGAGAGTAGACAGAAGCCTTAGTTTTCTGTTTCTCAAACGCATACAGAATATCCATGTCAGATAAGCTATACGTGAAATGGTATTGCCTAATCTGATCGTCTAGTTCTTGTGAATCTTAAGTCTTTAGTTGAGCCGGGGCATACGTTGGCTCTGAACCTCATGTATACAACATTCGGTGGCCAATTGCTGCCGTACGAGAAGGCCTTAGGCCACACGTTCATATAGGTGTTGGCGAGCACCTAAGCCACAGAGAGCAGACTGCTACAGGTAATCGTGCCGGATATAAGAAATGACTCCACGTTTTTGCCGATATGTCCGTATACATTTACCGTTTTATTGCGAACTTAGTCGAAGCAGTGGGTAGCAAACGAGGTCCATCACTTACGTTTATTGGGACTCTAAGCATTCCGACCCCCCGATCCTCCGTGCAAGTTCATCGGCAATTCTTCGCCGACTCGCGGCTGCTCACTAATTTTCAAGACACATTAACCTCAATCACGGCTTTATATAAGACGACAAGATGTCTCAAGGTGTCAGACTATCGAATAGCGGTGATGCTTCCCATTGTCAGCGTTCCTCTTCCTCCAATCTCTGGTTGTCAATACAATATATATTCAGAAATGGCAAAGGACACATTTAAGCCTGCGAAAGACATCCCGAGCCTCAAGGGAAAGGTCATACTTGTAACTGGGGGCAATGCTGGCATCGGCAAAGCAACTATTCGCGCCCTCGCACTACATGACCCCGCGCGAATCTAATTGTGTGCACGTCGTCGTTCTGCTGCCTTGACTGCAGCTGATGCGTTGAGGGCTGAAACTCTGTATAACCGAATCGACATTCTGGATCTAGATCTAGCATCTTTGGATAGTGTCAAAAAGTGCGCGGACGAATTCGACAAGAAGGAAAATCGTCTTGATCTCCTCTTCCTCAACGCCGGCGTTGCCAGTACGCCTCCCGCTCTGACCCAGGAAGGCTTCGAGTATCAGTTTGGGATCAATCATATGGGCCACGCGCTTCTCACACAGCTTCTCGTCCCTAAGATGATACAAACGCGACAGGAGGATCCGAGAGCGGATGTACGCATAGTAGCAACTGCATCCAACGCTGCATTTGCTCCTTTTCTTCCAAAAGGGGGTCTCGCATTGAACGTCATGCGCCAGCCGGATGCATATAGTCCCATGGGTCTCTACGCTCACTCTAAACTGGCAAACGTCCTTTTCATCAGAAAAATCGCTCAAATTTACCCGGGTATTACGGCAATCTCTGCTCACCCCGGATTCGTCAAATCTGATATCTTGACAAAGGTGCTCGCGGCGTGGTTAGCATGCTGTTCAAAGCAGTTGTATGGGCAACAGCAGTCGATACCGATCAAGGCGCGAAGTCGCAGCTGTGGTGCGGTACAGCACCCCTTGGTGGAGTGACAGGGGTCCAGACCGCACAGTACTACGAGCCAGTTGGAAAGAGTCGGATGCTCAAGGGTGTGGCGGCAGACCAAAAGCTCACTGATGAGCTCTGGGAATGGACTAACAGTGCACTTGCCAGCTATGGTGGCAAAGACTGGCCCATTATGTGACCATTAATTAGGTTTTAAATAAGACCTATCGAAGTAAATAGATGTATTAGCACTTTCTATATAATTAATACGGATAGAGTATTAATCAAGTTATTGAAACTGATAAGCCCAAGCAAAGTACCTAAGTCATATGAAAATCCGTATGACTTAAAGAGGTAGTGAATTTCTCAATGTATATATGTTTCAGCAGCTAATCGCTGCCTCACGGAAGGCCTGAGGCCGCCCGCGTTTATATAGTTAACGATTTGTGCCAAGCCGCTAGTCTAACTAGCGGGAACGGCGTTACTAAGCTATTGTTAGATTCTCCGTGGTTGGCCTGAGGCCGAATTGATACAGTCAGTAGTGGGTTAACATCAAATCCGACATCACCCCATCCCACTCGCATATTCGCAGAGAACAAGACGAACAGGCGAGCAGATTATCCCACGCTGACTCATAAACCGGTATTAGCTTGTCTTCCTTTGAAGCCTCTCCCACTTTTCCTCCCCGCCGCCAGCGACTGAGGAGCGCTTTGCTGCGTGGTTCCTTCAGTCATAGCCAATCACCCCACAACTCGCATACTAATTCGCACCTGCAGTAAGAGCCCAACATTATCGACTCTGCCTCTCCTTACTAATCCTGCTGCACAGTGCAGGCTTCTCCGTCCGCATATCACTCGTTACTCCAATACCAAATTTCACTGCTTACTTGCCAGCATTCGGCATCCCAATAGCCTTCTCTACCTTCGCCACATCCTGCACCATCTCCCGCTACTCAGAGCTTCGGCGGCTAGAAAACACCGCCGTTTGTGACTACCCCATGGGTTTTTTTCACCGGGTGCTAGACATAGGATAGAACGAAATTACAATGCTCACGGAATGTGAGAAAATTTTGGGCGATGGCCTTTTGCGCCTGCCAGCTGAGTACGATTGCCATTATAGTGTCCAAGCGGAGGAGGACCTGATAGAGCTCCTCTTTCGATCATTATGCGGCCACGATCCCCAACGGCTACGGCTACTCTTCCCCGATGGCACACCGGACGATCGAGCCTGGAAATTAGCAGAAGCCCAAGGCGCCCAAGAAGGCGCGGAGTACAGCGCCGCCGCTCGTGGTAAACGATGCGGTCATATTTTCAAAGCTGGCGAAGGAACCTATCGATGCCTGACATGCGGTGCCGACGACACCTGTGTACTATGCAGTCGTTGCTTTGACGCGTCTGACCACACGGGCCATCAGTACCAGATTTCTCTGTCGCCAGGTAACTGCGGATGCTGTGATTGCGGCGACGAGGAAGCGTGGCGAGTGCCCTTGTGCTGTGCGATTCACACAGACACTAGCGATGGGAAGGGCAAAGAGCGTGTTAAGCAAGGTCTACCACAGGCATGGGTTGACGATATCAGAACTACGATTTCGCGAACATTAGACTATTTCTGTGATGTCATTTCATGCTCCCCAGAGCAGCTTCGACTGGCAAAAACCGAGGAGGGAATCCGCCATGACGAAATTGCATCGAGACTACGTCCGGGTTGGTATGGCAAGGGGGACGAGCCGGAAGATGAACCGGAATTTGCTCTAGCATTGTGGAATGATGAGAAGCATACGATTCGCGATGTGTCTCACCAAGTGACACGCGCATGTCGAGAACGCTCCAGCTTCGGAGATTTGAAAGCACACGAGACGCATGAAATAGGTCGCAGTGTGATCAAGTACTCAAGGGATCTTAATAGATTGCTACAGGTTTCGAAAACGATCGAACATATCAAAGTCACGGTGACTATTCGCTCGGCTCGTGATACATTCAGAGAAGGAATGTGTGGTACCATAGTCGAATGGCTGTCTGATATTGCCGGCTGCAGCTTTGGCGAAGACAACGAAATTCTGCGAAATGTTATCTGTGAGGAGCTTTTGCGTCCCTGGCGGCAGGGCAGTGGTGCATACAATGCAGATATTGGAATGAAAGGCATTGACGACCACGAACGCCATGAGATTACACCCCTGTACCGCACGGCAATTACCCTGACAGTGTCTCCACAAGGAGGCGTTATCGTTGGGACGGAAGACGACGAAGACGAAGATGAGATGGATGAGAATGAGGTAGAACAGGGCCAGGATGAGGATGACATGGAGGAAGATGAGGATTTTGTGGCACATGAAGATGACGATGACGACTATTCTGAGGTGATGGACATTGAGAACTCACGTCTTCGCCAACTGCTGGGAATAAATTCTATCAATGACGATGTTGACATGGGTAATGCAGATGGCGAAGGTCCAGATACAGATGCAAGCACACCTACAGCAGCGCAAGCTGACAACCAAATAGCATCACAAATACCACCACCTGGACGACAAGGCCGAGATAATCAGTCAACTCTTCCGGAAAGCGAGATGGGAGATGGAACCCCTCAATATGAAACTTCTCATGTCAAGATCCCTAGGACCCCAACTGTATCAGTCAAGCTGTCCGCGGCGAAAACTCCTGGTCATTGGCAAACAAGACCTCCTCGACCTGTTGGAAATGTGCCACTGTATGAAAACCTCAGTCAACGCACTCGTCTTGATTGGATGATCCTGTTTGACCTTCGGTTATGGAAGAAGACCAGAGTTGATCTTCGAGATCTGTATATCAGCACAGTAGTCAATGTTCCCCAGTTCAAACGAGTTATGGGGTTGCGCCTCTCTTCGCTATACACATCACTGGCCCAGTTGTACTTGATTGCTGACCGTGAGCCGGACCATTCTATAGTGAATGTATCTTTGCAACTCCTCACAACTCCATCTATCACTGAGGAAATTGTTCTTCGAGGCGACTTCCTCACCAAGGTAATGGCCATTCTTTATACTTTCCTCACGACGCGTCAAGTGGGAGAGCCATGGGAAGTCAATCCGAATGCAACTTTGGCATTTGATGCTGGCTCCGTAACCAACCGTCGACTCTATCATTTCTTCCTTGATCTTCGCCATCTCCTTCTGTCAGAATACGTACAAGGCCGTATCCGCTCTGAAGATCAGTATCTTCTGCAATTCTTAGATCTGGTCAAGCTACCGCAAGGTATCTGTCCGAATGTCCGGGCCGTCGGGGAGCATGTGGAGTACGAAACAGATGCTTGGATTAGTGCTTCTATCTTAATGAGGGAAATCAATCGTCTCTGCCGCCAGTTTTGCGAATCGTTCCGACATCCGACAGCAGTCAGTGGCCATAATCTGGTGCGCGCAATCAAGGCAGCAGCCGTCTATGCCATTGTTCACTCAACCGGTGTCGAGAGAAAGCGGTTTGATCAGGCTGAGATCAAAGAGTACGTCAAGTTTAAACAGCTTCCTCTTTTCGATTTTGAAGTTTCGCCGGAAGGTCACATCCAACGCCATCGAGTGGTTGATTTTGTCGTCGAAAGGGGCTCTATCAGTTTCCATCATGCTCTTCACTATACTCTTTCGTGGTTGCTAGAATGCGGTCGTGATATGAGTCCCGAATTGATGCGCGATATATTGCTTGAGGCTGCTCAATTAGCCAACGAGAAACATGTGCATGACAGGCATCTGAGTAACGAAGATCTCCTACTTGCCATGTTTGACTACCCACTTCGTGTCTGCGCATGGCTCGCCCAAATGAAGGCGGGTATGTGGGTGCGTAATGGTCTAAGTCTTCGCCATCAAATGTCGCAGTACCGAGGAGTATCGTCCCGCGACTTTGCATATTATCGAGACATTTTCCTTCTGCAAACTGCCTTGGTAACTTGCGACCCGAGTCGGGTTCTTGCCTCTATCGCTGAGCGATTTGGGATGGTAACGTGGTTTACTGGAGACTATCAGCCGCGTCAAGGTTATGAAGATTCTCAGATTGTCGACGTTGCTGAAGAATTTATCCACTTGCTTATAATATTGATTACGGATCGCACCTCCCTCACTATTATTGATGATGATAGCATGCTTACACGCGAGAACATCAGTCGAGATATTGCTCACGTACTTTGCTTCAAGCCACTCTCATTTTCCGACCTTTCTACACGTTTAAGTGATAAATTATTGGAGACAGACATATTCCAAGACGTGCTGGACGATGTCGCTACCTTCCGTCCACCAGAAGGATTGAATGATACGGGCACATTCGAACTGAAGCCCGAGTACCTTGAACTAGTAGATCCTTACAGTGCTCATTACAATAAGAACCAACGTGACGAGGCGGAAAGCATCTTCAGGAATTGGATGGCCAAGAAGATAGGCAAAAAGCCTTCTGATATCGTGTTTGAACCTAAACTTCGACCCATCGTGAAGGGAGTATTCTCTGATCTGTCAGCATTTACGAGAACCCCATTATTCGCCCAAATATTACACTATTGTCTTGACTACATCTTGTGTTCCAAGGAGAAAACACCCCAGATTCCATCAACCAGAGTTGAAGCCTTTTTACATATTGTTCTTCATCTTATACTCCTTGCCACCCTAGAAGATGGCACATCAGATGATGATGACAGCAGTAATGGACCTGCAGCGTCATTTGTACAGAATGCTCTAGCAAAATCGAGACCAACACAAGCGGAAGCCCATCTCTCCATTGTTGGCCTTTTGGAAAAGGTGTCTACCGCTGGCGAATTCGAAAGCTGCGGCGCAAAAGTTAAACATATCATTAAAATGATGTGGCAGAAACGCCCGAGGTCGTACGCAATTGCTACTGAAAAACTGAAATTTCCATATGAGCGACTTGATACCAACTCGCCGGCAAGCAATGCTGAATCCGAGCAGGAAATGAAAAAGAAACAGGCTCTAGACCGCCAAGCACGTGTGATGGCACAATTTCAGCAGCAGCAGCAAAACTTCCTCAGTTCCCAGGGTGCTTTTGATTGGGGCGACGACGACGACTTTAGTGACATGGAGTCTGAAAGCTTGGGAGATGAAGAAACCAAGACTTGGAAATTTCCTAGTGGCACTTGCATCCTCTGCCAAGAGGAAACTAATGATTCCAGGCTCTTTGGCACCTTTGCCTTGGTTCAAGACAGCGGCATAATGCGTTTGACGGACATCCAAGATCAGGATTGGATACGTGAGGCACTGAGGACTCCTACAAGCCTTGACCGCTCAGATGAGCACATACGACCCTTTGGCGTTGCTGGGGGGAACCGCGTCATGATCAAGAAACTGGACTCGTCCGGCGGTGAAGTGATAAGTGAGAAGGTTGGACTCAGCAAGGGTTTCTCGTCAAAGAACACTCTACGAGGGCCGGTAACTACTGGCTGTGGCCATATTATGCACTACGCTTGCTTTGAAGTTTATTGCACGGCGATTCAAAGACGCCACTCTCAACAAGTTGCTCGGAACCATCCTGAGCATCTAAATTTGAAGGAGTTTGTTTGCCCGTTGTGCAAGGCCCTTGGTAATGCGTTCTTGCCTATAATTTGGAAGGGCAAAGAAGAGGCGTACCCGGGGGTCCTGAATACAGAGAAATCCTTTAAGGAATTTATCACTGAAGACTTACGACTCAGCCTCTCACAACCACCCAATGTGCCACTGTTCGTCATGGACAGCGAAAAGATACCACACGATCCTTACTTTAACATTTCTAACAAATATCTCGCGAGAGCCTTAGTCACACCATTATCTGCGGCTATTGATGAAAAGAATAATTGGCCTTTTAATTTCTCACGACCGCCTTCTTGGACTCTTCAAGGCGGACCGAGAATTCTCATGCCCGGTGAATTTCCCAATTCCGCTGCTGAAGAGACAGGCACCACCAGTCCCATCCGACCACCACCTCCTCCTACAGATACATCAACGCCTGAAGCTGCATCCGACCCGCTCTCCGAACTCATGAAGATTTACCAGCGACTGAAGAAGACACTGCAGGCTAATCATATTCAGTCGCAGTTCTCTCATAGCAAGAATCCCAGCGTGTGGGATGATCTGATTTACACGGACTGTCTTTTCAGGACCTTTGGATTTAGTATATCTGCTCTGGAGATCTCCCAACGTGGTGTGGAAGCTGATCCCGGTACTACCTTGCTGGACAAAATCCCGCAGTTGACATTGACGCACCTGCGCGTCCTTGCCGAGACGGCTTATTCTTATGCTGCTCTTGGCTCATCTATGAATTTCTATTACGGCGATAAAAATGGAACAACTGAAGAGATCTATGAGATGCATCGCCAGAAACTGTGTCAACTCTTCGCCGGTCATCCTGTTACTAGCCACACGCCATTACTTGACGGTGTTCGTAGCATTGACCCATTACTAGGAATGGATATTTTTGTCTTCCTAGCCGAGTGCTCCTTGTCACTAGGCCCGGTGTTGAATATCGAGATCAGGCATTTGATCCAGCTTTGCTATATGGCTGAAATTGTCAAGGTTACTGTCACATTTATCCTATGCAACCATCATCTCAAAGAAGAACTTGCTCGCCATGAAAGTGACAACTACTTGCAAACCGAGTCCGCGGAGGCGAAGTACGCAATTATGCGCAAATTCTTTGACGCGGTGGTCTCCGAGCTGAAGTCTAACTCTATTGGACGCGCCGCTGGATCTTCAATCACAAGCGGTTATCTGATGGAAGGCGAAGACTCGAGTACTCCCACCTTAGTGATGGCATTGCGCCGTCTCATCTCCAGCTATGCATTACCATTCCTCCGCAAAACCGTGATACTTCTGCATGTTCAGCACGGAGTCAACTTCCCAAACACAGGGCTCGGGGACCAAGGCATGTCAGAACTTGATCGTCTGACTACAATCCTTCAGCTTCCAACACTAGACGAGATCCTCCTTTCGTTCTCTACACCGGAAACCGAAAATCCTTACTACCGACTGTTCTCCGGGTGGATATTCCATTGGAACGCATCGCGGTCGGGAGTGCGTCTCGAAGATCGTCGTCTCTGGCCTAGCTTGTCTCATCCAGCGCCGTTTGAGCTGATTGGTCTTCCGATGTACTACGACCTATTAATCGAAGAAGCCAACAGAAGACGATGCCCCAAGTCAGGAAGAGAGCTGAGCGACCCGAGCATTTGCCTATTCTGTGGTGAAATCATGTGTTCGCAGGCAGTTTGTTGCATGGACAATAAACTCGGTGGCTGTAATCAGCACGTTCTAAAGTAAGTTTTCCTAACCTAATCAGCCCTTAAAAAGAAGACAGTACTAATTGGTAAAAAAAAAAAAAAAAAAACAGATGCGGCAAAAACATCGGCCTGTTCATCAACATCCGAAAATGCACCGTTCTCTACCTCCACAACCACAATGGATCATGGCATTTTGCGCCGTATCTCGACCGACACGGCGAAGTTGATCCTGGTCTGCGCCGCAATCGCCAGCTCATTCTAAACCAGAAGCGGTACGACAAGCTGCTGCGGGATGTCTGGCTGTCCCATGGCATTCCGGCCACGATTAGCAGGAAACTGGAGGCGGAGATTAATAATGGTGGGTGGGAGACTATTTAGTATGTAAAAATGGGAATCCAGCCCTCTTCACATCTGCATGTCACGAACATATTTCTTCTCTTTCTCGTATTAACAACTATTCATGTCTTTTTGGTCAGTTGTTGGCAGGGTCAATATTGTGTTATGCCTCCAAATAGCGATATGAAAGTTGTTTTATGTATATGTTCATATTTATATTCAGTGCAGTAGAATGAATCAATGAGCAAACAAACCTAGAGATAATCATACTGAAGTAAAAGAAGTTGGTTGACTCAGGTGTTTTAGGGCAAAAAGCACGGTAGGCTAGAAGTTTGAAGTAGAGCGGCGAGCCCACCGCTTTCCGCTTTAGGCTGGACTATTTTTTTTGACATCATTAAGCATTGTCTCGGCCACAGCAAACACATCTGTCAGTCCAACTATTAACTTAGCATGGCCAGATAATAAAGGTGAAACGAACAATAAAAAATTCACATCAAGATGAACAACGACCAATTCCGACGCCTGGTCCTTGACCAACCAGGCAAAAAAAGAGCGGACAAAGCGTCTCCAAATCGCGAGTCAACACCGACATCAACATCGACACCATCAGCTGCAATTCTCGGCTCTCATTTTCGCTCCAGCATCCCTATGACACCGCGCAATGTCAAAGGTGGCACTGCCGACTTTGCGCGTCAACTCGCCGAGCATCGTCGCGAGGAATTGCAGCAGCAACGACCTACAAAAAGATTCAAATCGTCCGCGGCGCCAAAGGGCACCAGATTGGCGAGTGGTTATCAGGATCGAACGGCCTTGCGACGCGAGCAGGATGATGGTAGTCAAATAGATGACAAAAACAAAGAAACAGAAAGCGTTGCGCAAAGACTCAAGGCGCTGGAAGATATGCTCAAATTGGGACAGATTGATAATGCGATGTTTGAGAAACTTCGCAAGGAGATTGGTGTTGGTGGGGACTTGGATAGTACGCATATGGTCAAGGGCTTGGATTGGGATTTGTTGCGGAGAGTCAAAGCCGGGGAGGATGTTTCGAAGAAACAGCAGCAAGAGAAAGAGGAAGAAGCTGAAGTTGAAGCTGGAGATGTGGACGAAGAGCTGGATCGTATGCTTGAGGAGAAGGAAGGTCAGATGGCACCACCGCCACCGAAGGAGAAGAAGGTCAAGAAAGGGAATCTGGCGACTGCGCCAGCGGGTAAAATGTCTCGAGATGAGATTCTGAGACAATTGAAAGCCAGCCGCGCCGCCGCCGCGGCAGCAGCACCTCAATCGACACTAAGTGCAAAATTTAAAAAGATCAAGGACGACATACCCGAGAAGAAACGCTGGATTGAAACAGATCCAAACGGTCGCCGGAAAGAGATACTAGTCATTACCGATGCTGAAGGCAAAACGAAAAGGAAAGTCCGCTGGCTGGACAAAGAGGACAAAACAGCCGTAAGCAAAGTCGATGGCAATGGGCTCCTGCTTCTTAGCCAAGATGCCAAACCCTTGGGCATGGAGGTTCCTGCCGTGGTTGCCGCGAAGATAGCCGCGGAAGCAGCAGCAGCAGCACAAGCTGAGGCAGAAGACGATGACATCTTTGCGGGCGTTGGGACAGACTACAACCCGCTTGCAGGCTTGGACGAGAACGACTCTGATGAGGAGGGGGGGGATGAAGAGAAGGAAGAGAAATTATTGGAAAATAAGCCGAGCAAGGAAGAACCATCTACAGCACCGCCAGACTACCAACCAGCGCCGCGGCGAAACTACTTCAACGACAAAAAGACAGCAGAAGATGCCGCCGACACATCTCGCAGCAACGCGCTAACCCAAGATCCTACCCTCCTCGCTGCACTGAAACGTGCCGCTGCACTCCGTCAAGCGTCGTCGAAAGATGTCGAAGGAGACGGAGAAGAAGGCGAACTTGTCGACGACGCAACCGAAGACCCTGAGAAACTAGCGCGTCGCAAGAAATTCCTTGAAGAGGCGCGTCGTCGCGACGCTCAGGATGCACTCGATCTCGATTATGGGTTTGGCAGTAGTCGTGTTGAGGATGAGGAAGACGAGGAAGGGCCCACGTTTGATGCTGCAGGCCAGCGTGGCGGTAGTAATAAACGTAAGCGAGGACCGAAGAAGAGGAAGGGTGATAAGGATTCGGCGGCTGATGTGTTGAGGGTTATGGAAGGGAGGAAGAATAAGTGAGGCAGTCTATTCGTCTTGTCTAATTACATATATCATGATACTACGTTTAGGAGAATCAATTATAATCAGAAAAGTCAGGGAAGATAATGAGCTTCATTAATAACTATATATCCAGACCTATCCCAGCATTCTAAAAGATTTCTTACGTTAGCGGTGGAATATCTGGCTCAACAAGCAGGAAGATTACCTAGGGATTTCGTACCTGGAAAAAAAAGAAAAAAGTAGGCGGCTAATGCGCCGCCGCCGCCGCCGCTGTTGTTGTTGTCGTCTTCATTGTCGTCTGTTTTCGTTTTGATTTCTGCTGAGGTCTAAAGATCATAGAGCCAGTCAGTATGTATACACATACTGAGTGAGTCACGGGATCCGCTAAGAAATGCACAACTGGAAGGATGTAGAACTAACGTATATATGATAATCCATATAGACTAGAAATAGCGATGGGGTGGCGCGATTGGAGGCTGGGACGGGGGCAGACTCGGGCAAATTGGGCAGTGAGAATGGGCAGTGAGAATGGGCAGGGAATGGGCAAGGGACTCGGAGGCATGACTCACCGGAAAGAAATATGGTCGAAATTGAATGCTAAAGCCTAAAAAGAGATTGCTCGGGCGCGCGTCAGCGTGTCCGGACTACATGCCGAGTGAGTACAACCAAGGCCATTAAGAAATACAGTGATACGATATGTATGATAAGAGATATAAAGCAGAAAGCAGAGGGGAGTATGGCGCTTACTGGGACTCACCTGAAGAAAGCGAAGGGCGTAAATGGAGTCGAGTGTAGTCGAGTCGCGTTGGTATTCGTGTCGTCCCTGGAAGAGATAACTCAGCATGTCTCCATGCTGAGTGAGATACAAAGTAAAAGCAGAAGAAAACGCCAGCCAGAAAAAAACATCGTCTAAGAGTAGATGAAAAGAAAAAACTAGGTGAGTATCTAAGTCTACGTTCTTTGTATCTCACCTTTCGAGAGCCAAAGAGTCAGTTGACAGTGTCGTCGCAGTTGAAGAATCGGACCTAGAATCTTGACACCCCTTTCAGCACGTTGCAAGGCAATCGGACTGGCGAGACAAGGGGAACGTCGACCGACGTCGCACGCTTGGCCAAGCGGTTTGGGGGGGGGGGGTCTCACCTGAAGGGTAGCAGTAGATAGATGACGGTAGATGCCTGATGCTGGACTAGAAGTAGTGGTGGATGGCCTGAGGTTCCTGGCGTCGAACTCAGGAGGGAAGCTGGAGAGAGCTGGGGAAAATACAGAAGAAAGATCGAAATGGGAGGAACGGGGAGAAGGGCTGGTATTTATAGACGAATCTGGGGCTGCTGCCTGGCACAAACAGAGTCAGAAAGATGGATGGAATGATCTGATTACTCCGCAACTCGGCAGTTGCGCCGCTGCCTAGAGGTTAAGAGCACAATCTCCATTGGCTGTGGGAGTCGGGGGAGTCGGGGAGATTCACTTTCAGACCGGCCCCGGATCTACGAACCATGGTTCTGCCGCTGATCATGCCTGTTCCTGGACCCTGAAGCCGTCTTTTCTGCTGTCGGTTGACTCATTTCTTCTAATTGTGGAGACGGAGTGAGGCTAAGCCTGCAGTTCGTGTCAGTTTCTTCCGATTTCCTCTGCGATGTCACCTCGAAAACATGGTTCTGGTGGGGCTGCTATCATGTCCGTTCACTATTTGTAGAGCATCCCACACTCAGAGCAGGCCGGTACTCGAGGTCGGCCCTTGTTGTTCTCTGTCCTTCGCAGATACTAGGCATAGCAAATCGGTCTCTACATGGCGCAATCTGTCATATCGGCGCGGTGGAGACGATTCGGGCCGTTCTCTCCACACCCTGTGCGCGCCGAGATTGCGCATTGACCAACACCGGTGCCCATCCCAGGCAGCGTACTCCATACTCCCTACTTCACGGCGTGGTCAAACGTGCACAGAACAAAACTAGACATGTCGTTGATCGTATCATTAGCGATAAGGATAAGCAAAGTCAATCGCGGACTAGCGCCGATCATCCGTTGTTCACGGGAACAACGGCGCCTTGGCAGGCACAACCGCGGTGTCCGTGCTCCGTGCGACGCCCGCTGCCGTAAAGCTCAGGCATCAACTGGCCTGGGGATGCATCCACGAGTGTTTGTTTCATCGCCGTTTCAAACAGCACATCGACTTTTACTGCAGTGTTTAGTTCGATCCCTAGATCTGTGGAAGTAAATTATCTATTAGATATATCAGCGTGTACGGAGTAGGCTGATACGTGCCAAATTCTTTTCAACTTAACCAGAGTAGTAGTCTACATCAAACACGAGAAGTACAGAAAAAGACCAGTCCAGGCCCGAGTCCGCCAAGTGGAGGCGCGCACGAACCGATATTTGCCGTTTTGAAGTATATCCAGGCACAGCTTGTGATTGGCTGCACTACAGCACCCTGGTGGGCTTGCTAGCCGTGCACCATCCAATGGAATTGCACAGCGGGCAACTACACAGTGGAGTCTGTCTATCTCCACCCAATGAGAGGCCCGCACTTTGTCTACTCTGACAAAAAGCAGCAATTTACCAGTCATGTCATCGCGCCAATGGCACTGCAGGCTCAACTACAAACACAGACAAATGAGATGAAACATGATGGAACAAGCGGGGCGGTCATTCTCGCCTGCTGCTCTCTTTTAAATTTAAAAGACGCCTTCGCCCAAGTCATTCGGCTGCGTCTTTTTCTCTTCCATATTGTTTGCCTCGCTTTGCCCTTTTTTTTCCCCCCTTTCTCCTCGTTGCTTCTTAATTCTCGCTTCTTGATTCTACTGTGCAGAGCACTATTGTCCTTCCTTTCTCACTCCAAGTCTTCGGTCATTCTCTGCGAAGTTTGGGGTTCAACACACACAACACTACATTTGTTCATCATATTCTCAGGTTGATCCTCAGCTAATAGTCTTCTTATTTTTTCTGATCTGAAAGAGATCCCAACCCATCATAAAGTCTATCGCCATGCGTGTCATCAACGCCTTCATTGCCACCACCGCCGCCATGATGGCCACCGCCGCTGTGGCCAAACCCCATGGTCTTCATGCCAACTTCCACAAGCGCGCAACCACCAGCACCAGCAAGGTCGGCTCGGCCTACAATGACGTATCCCTCATCTCTCTGATCAGCGATGCCTCGTGGGCATACAATTGGAATGATGCCTCCGACGGCACTGTCCCCTCTGGCGTCGAATACTGCCCCATGCTCTGGGGGCCAAAGATGTACAACAGCTGGACCTCAGCCGTCAGCACCGCCCTTTCCGGAGGAAGCACCTGCGTGCTAGGCTTTAACGAGCCTGACCTGGGTAGTCAGTCCAACATGAGCCCCCAACAGGCCGCCATCGACTACCAAACCTACATCACCCCGTTGGCTGGCCAAGCCACCCTCGTGTCACCCGCCATCACCAACGGTGCAGGCGAGAACGTCGGCTTCAACTGGATGCAGAACTGGCTCACAGCCTGCAACGGCGCATGCAAACCCAATGTCATGGCCATCCACTACTACGCAGATGCCCCGGCCTCCGATTTCTTCGACCATGTGAACAACGCCACCAGCCTTGCTAGTCAGAACGGTATGGATAGCGTCTGGATCACCGAGTTCCAACATACCGGCAGCGCTGCTGATCAGGTAGCTTTCTTGCAGGAGGTTATTCCTTGGCTTAACTCTAACACTGGCGTTGGTCGTTACGCTTACTTTTTCACGGCGGATGGCTACCTGCTGTCGGACAGTGTGCTGAGCACCGTCGGACAAGCTTACACTGCGTCTTACTAGACTATTCAAATTCTGCCAACTTCTCTCGACGGTCACCAGCTGACCGAGAGTTTTCTTTTCATTGATAGATTTTGTATTAGTGGATACATATGGAGTAACAACGTCCAGTTATATGATATACGAGCAATGAATTCTGTTAAACTTTGGGCTTGACCTTTTTTTTTTTTTTTTTCACTTTTTTTTTTATAATAAAAGCTCCATCTTTGTGGATATTTAGTATTTAGTATTAATTAATACTTAGTAGTCTAGACTGCGCACAAGAACGAGGACCAACATCAATCTGCACTACTTGGCGGGCCAATTTCGCTATCCATGGATTGCCATCTTGCCGAGTGCTACGCTCTGAAAGCATTCCATGGATCAATTAATTAATTACATTGATAGTGAAATAGTAGAACAGATTCATTGTGGCTTTATTTATGTGCTATTACAATTGAATCATAGGCACTGTAATATCACTGTATTCACAATGATTCGCATTAAAAAGGTAGTTTTTGAAGCCAGACTATTGGTTTTATAAATAAATCCATTTCATTGATTTGTACTGACTTATGGTACACCTTTTTCCCCTTTGCTTTCGCCTTGTTTTACTTTTTTTTCCAAGTTAGGGTTTCTTCCCCATCTGGTAATTGAGAAAATCCGCAGACAATAGACGATTTCATGAAAACCGAAAAATTGGAAAGAAGACAAAACATCTCATCAAAATTGATTCATTCTGGATCCCTTTTCTCTCAAAACAAATTTTTCAAAAAATAGTATGCCAAGCGCTATCAAAATCGCCTGTCGCTATACAAAGGATACATACTATGCTCCCCATTCAACCAGCGCACAAGCAACGACCTAGGTCCAAAATTGCGCGTAAACAGCTTTGTGTATGATTCAAATCCGCGTACAGCATTGCTTGTATCCCTGACACCATCGATTTGCACATTTTGCAAATGGTTGAGCGCCCTCGATATCTTCCACGTATTCAGAACAGTCTTCCAGGTTCCATTTTCAAGATGCATGGCTCCTAGGAAGAGCTCTTGAAGTGATTGACTAGCCCGGATAGCCTCGGCGAGTTCGCGGAGTTCGTCTAGCTCTGTTGTGCCACCCGCTACAACTAGGTAGGATAGGACGGGGAGCTTGGGGAGGAGCCCAATGGATATCTGCAAAGGGGTTCTATGTGAGAGTGGGTCGCTGCCTTTGATTACGTGCGTCAGGCTCAGGTACTGCAGCGATGATGCTGAGGGTAGAGTCAGCGCTTTGATTGATGCGTGATATGACACGTCCTCGACCGCGGTGTGAACTCGGACTTCTGGTACGGTCAGATCGAGACGGCGAATGCCAAGTGTAGATCGCCGTAGGAACTTGTACTCTGTCCCTGCGTTGGGGGACATGAGGAAGTCCTGGGGGATGTGGTTGATGTCGATGGATGCCAGCTTTGGGAAAAAGTCTTGGAGGCACGTGCTGCTGCTACTGCCTGCTTGCCTGCGTGCTAGGGCGTCGAAGAATTTGATCCCACGTATAGGGAGGCGGTGCCAGATGTCGTGTTCTGGTTTTTTGATGGGGAAGACCGTCATGGCCAGCTCGGGACACATATACAATGACATAAAAGGCAAGTGAGTGTCACCCACTTTCGTCCAACCATGTTCAACAGGATGTGGCATTTTTCTTCGGACATTCTCAGACAAGCCATTCCACTGCTACATGGCAGGCGACCAGATGATAGAAGGGTTGCGTTTCATTTCGCGGAAATTGTGAGTGATGAACATCACGCTTTGGACGTTCTTCAACAGCGGCAGAATGTTCATGACTAGCATGTAGTCTCGGTTTCTCTCGAGGTTCCATTTCTGAGACCTAGCAAACCCGACCCAGAGGGTGATGGCTGGTCTGGCGATGGTGATACGAGTCTCCAAGACTTCATCTTCGCGTACCTGGTGTAGGTCTCGTTCGACATTGACGTATCTGCCATCCCAGAACTGGGCGTATGTCATGTATATGTTGTCATGGAGGAGCAAGATCTCATGGATAGAATGGTCCCACGAGAGCAGGGTGACGTGTCGAAGCAATCTCTCATTCTTCGAAACCAGTTCCAAGTAGTCCAAGTCTGCCTTGTGTGTGGAGATATGCAAGGTGGTGAGAATTGGGAAATCCAGCATGACAGAATTGGTGGTGCGAGAAACTCGACGCATATTCTTGCGATCCTGGAGAGTCAGGTTGTTCACAAGCAAGTACCTGACCACTGAATATGCCCCATTGTTGAGGTAGGCCAGGAACTCTTCCAGATTCATCGTGCTTTAGGGCTTGGATCAGGTCGTCAAAGGTCTCGAAAGAGGTCGTGACTATTTTGAATAGAAGCAAGCAAGATGCATCAGCACTGAGCTTGCAGTCAAAATATGCAATAAGTACTGCTTTTAGAAGATGAGTGAAGAACAAGTGCATGTACTTAGGTGGATATGTGCAAGGAGTAAGAGGCAGCGAGAACAAGCCAGAAGAGGAATATGCGTTATGTATGCAAGTGAGCGTGGATGATAAGCGAGCAGAAGAAAGAGAGAGAAGAAGGAATAGCAAGCAAGATATCACATCCGAGACAGGACGTAGCCTTAGGCAGCCTCTGGGAAGTAAATCAAAGGCATCTTCCTACAGAACTCTTCACAAACCACCTAATTGGCAGCACACGCCCAAGACCAGCTAAGGCTAGCCATCTGCTCTTTGTGATATCTTAGGCAACACATAATGATGTGAAGCCTAGTGAGTATTTTTATCATTGGCACAAGAAATGTAGTCTTTGTAAACTGTGATATAACATACAAATACCTGGGTATCAAGGAGGACATGCCCCAACCCAGTGAACATTTAACATCAGATGATTGCACTGCTTATTGTCTTTAATTGTAAATAAGCTATTATTCATATCACCTAGGAGACGACAGCAAAAGAGGTCAAAAAATGCATCAAGAAATATTATACAGATTTTGCGGGTATCTCCTTCAGAATGCAGCCAGCAAAAAGATCCCCATCCCATATCCCACGCCTATGCAAAATAAAGTCATAAGTTAGCAAAGATTTGATTAGTCAACAGCCATTTTATCCTCATTGACACCATTCTGCCCGTCAGCAGAACTGTCCTCTGGCTCTGTCTCTGCTGCTGGTGTTGGCTGTGCTGGGTTTGACCCATTAATATTGCCATCCATCTTATCCTCGCCATTTATTTGAGACAAGTTGTTTTCGTCTGCAACATCCTCGTTGACCTCCTCCCACAGACGAACTGTCCTATCCAGCCCACAGCTGGCTATGAGCCTCGTGCCATTAACCTCAGCAGTATCAACACCCAAGACAACATCTGTATGCCCCTCGATCCGTTGCAATATGTTCTTATCAACCACATCCCAGCATACCAAGGCGCCGTCCTCGCTACCACTGACTGCAAACGCATGCGGCGGTCCGCCTGGCGCCCGATACGTGCCGAAGTTCCCACACAGGCTGTATTTGCGATTTATGTGCCCTTGGTACGTCTTGATACACCGCCCTTGGACGTAGTCCCATAACCGAATACAGTCATCTAGTGTCCAGGCAAGAACATACTTGCTATTCGGAGAGAAGCGCACCGCCATAACTGGTGGGTTGTCCTCATGAACGAGCGTACGCAAACATTGCCCCGTCATCGTGTCCCAGATTCGAATCAGTCCGTCAGACGAGCAGGAAACGACCAGCGTTCCATCGTGGCACACGTCAATCCCAGCGACAGGGTCCGAATGAGCGGGCAAGGAACGCATAACTTTTGCGGAACGTACATCCCATAAGAAAACAGCTTCGTCGTATGATCCACTAACAAGGATGTTTCCTTTAGGGGAGAACGCGATCGAGTATACATAATTATGGTGCCCGTTGAAGGCTCTTGGGTGAGCCTTGCCCGTCAAGGCATTCCACAGCCGAATGGTCTTGTCGTCAGAACCTGTAGCGATTGTCTCGTTGTCCGGACCCCACGCGACAGTTGATATACCGGCCAGATGTCCTTCGAACGTATGAATCAATTTTCCCGTCAAGGCGTCCCAGACTTTTAGTGTGCCGTCAGCTCCTATAAACCGATTAGTACATTTGTCCGTATTGCCAATCGCAAATGCAGGGGCATCTATTTAGGGCATACCTCCACTGGCAAGCATGGTCCGATCGGGAGAAAATTTAACGGCAGACACTCCACGAAGATGACCTTTTAGCAAATGCTTCTGAACATAATTTATATGATCTGGTTTGGGCGGCGGCGGAGGGGCGGCAGGCTCAGGTGTTGGTAATTGTTCAGGTTGCTCCGTAGTCCGCGCATCAAGAGACTCTGAACTATCAATGTCACCTTGTGCCGGAGCTAAATCGCCGGAATCTACTTTCACATCGGATGTCTCCTGGTTGTTGTCCTGGTGATCTGCTGCATTCGCTGGCTCGTCTTCTTTGGCGGGCGACTGCTCCCGGCCCCAAAGGGCGTCCGCGTCCATGGCGAGCTCGTCTGGACCGTCAGAGACACTGGGGCTGTTTGATTGACGTTTATATTGACGGCGATCCGCTACTGCTTTTTGGGCCGACCAGCTAGCTTTGCGCCGCTGCTCTGTCTCGTAGTCCGAAGCAGCGGCGAGCTCGTCGGAAGAGGACGATTGAGATCCATGGCTAGGGGATTGCGGGTTGGGCGTGGCATCTGAGGCCGCGCCGTTGAGTTTACGGCGCTTGAGGGGCGGGTTTTCGGTATCTGCTCTTGAGCGAGCCATGAGAAAAGGCAATAAGTTCCCTCTTTGACAAAGAGGTCGTTCAGCGTGGCTGCATCTTTTGATGCGGCACAAATTGCCTACCGACCCAACGCGGTGATAAGATGCGCCCCGTCCAGCCAATCAGAGCCAGGGCGGTCAGCTAGCGTCGAGCGTCGCATGAATTCACGTTTACGCATTGGCCCAACGATGCCTTCATTCATTTTAGCAAACAAGAAGTTAGCACAACAAGAAAGCGAAGGCATGGTTGGGATCTTGATCTACGCCATCCTCGTGCAGTCATAACTCAAACATGTCGACCCCCAACAGCGACTCTCCGACCCGCATCCGCATCCTCACCCTGAATTGCTGGGGCCTCAAGTTCCTCTCGAAATTGCGCCATGAGCGTCTCTCAGAAATCGGGCGACAGATTGCTATCGCCGATGACCCTCCCCAGATTGTGGGCTTGCAGGAATGCTGGACCCAGCAAGACTATAGAAGCATCCGCAGACAAACGAAACATCTGCTTCCCTACGGCAAGTTCTACTACAGCGGCGTGTTCGGGGGCGGACTAGCCATTCTCTCCAAATGGCCCATCGAAGAAAGCAGCATGTTTGCTTACCCGCTCAATGGGCGCCCGACAGCGTTTTTCCGCGGTGACTGGTATGTCGGCAAGGGTGTTGCCTGCGCGCGGATCCGGATGGGGCCAAACGCAGACGATGTTGCGGAAGTGTTTTGTACGCATTTACATGCACCGTACGAGAAAGAGCCGCACGATTCCTATCTATGTCATAGAACAGCGCAGGCATGGGAGATTTCCAAGTTGATGCGGCGAGCGGCAGAGAGAGGCCATTTGGTTATCGGACTGGGCGATTTCAATATGGTCCCCATGTCCTTTGCCCATCGGCTGATTACAGCTCATGCCCCCGTCAAAGACGTATGGCGACACCTACATCCGGACTCTTCCGTTGGAAGTGCAGAGTCGGTCGCGGAGAGAAAACGGGGGAAGCCCATCCCAACGGCGGATTTCAATATCTCCGAGAATGGCGCTGCAAGTGACGGTCCCTTCAATACGTGGCGCTGGCCCAAGGACCAGCAAAAGCGACTCCTCAAGGGCGAAGATATTCCCGTTGATGGAAGTCAGGAAGACCCCAAGGGCCGAAGATTGGACTACATCTTTGTTGGGGACGGGGGCTATCCGCCGTCCTTCCCAACCCCTCAATGGAATATAGAATCAGCCTGGGTCAGCATGATGCAGCGCCATCCCACGCTTAAAGTATCTCTAAGTGACCACTTTGGCATCGAAACGGTCATTACACGCAGCCTTGAACACTCTGCTGGTGCGGTCCCCATTCCGGCGGAACCCGAGACACGTCAACCAGAGCCTGGAAATGCCGATGATCACGGCTTTGCCGTTCAATCTTCCTCTCAATTACATCCAACATCCGCCCCCAGCAGTGCACTTGCAGTCGAAACTTACGATGAAATCCTCACCCTGATTGATAACTATATGCTCCGCGAAAGATCGCAACGCAGGTGGCGCTTGGCGCATTTCCTGGTCTCCATACTCGTCTCCATCGGTTGCTTTGTGGCCGTGTGGTGGACGTCGGATGTGATTTATGTTGCGTTCATTCTTACGTTTATCAGCACTTTGAGCTTTGCGGCTGGGGTGCTGGATGGGTTGATAGGTGGTTTGTTTATGTCGGCTGAAATACGGGCGTTGAAAGAATTCAAATGGGAGGTTAGGAATGCGAGGCGGTTGGCTAGTGTTGCTGCTGGGGTTGGCAAGGAGGCTTTGGGCTTGTACGATGATGATGAAGACCTTTAATGAGTTTTGACACGAGATTCTCGCGTGCCATTCTTTTGTATATACAGGGATAGACTGGCCCTTCTTTGCATTTACTTGCTCTACTTGACGGGGTGTTTTCTGGGAGGTGATAATAATAATATTGAATAATTTGCAGCATGTTACTAATCAAGTCTCAAATTGTTCGTAATAGTCTCACATGCTGTGGAATCAACGAGAGAAGCCCCAGTAAATGGGTAAGTTGAACGAACGATAGACACTCCATGGAACTGTCTGTCACCGGGCCTGAATGTCAAGTTTGTGTCATCTACTCAGCACATTCGCGCTTGCGGTCCTCAATAACCTTGAGAGCCTCCTCAGCAGCCTTGACACCACTAAGAACCATGGCGCCAAAAGTCGGGCCCATACGGTTGAAGCCATCAATCTCGGACAACTCCATACCGCCAATAATGAGACCCTTGGTGACCTCACGGGTATTCTTGACGATGGCGTCTTCGGCGGAGTTCATGTCCAAGCCGCGCATGCCGCCGAGTTTCTCGATTGCGGTCATGGAAACGAGCCGCTTGGCACAGAAGGCGCCGAAGGGGCCATCGTGGCCGGTGGTACTGATCACGAGGGGAGCGTTGATGGTGTTGGGGTCCATGCAGGACTGGTCGTCGTGGTGCATGGTGACCAGAGTCCAGTTGGTGACGACACCGGCGATGCGCACGTCTTGAATACCGTTCTGGCCAGGTCGGGTAATCAGGTCCTCGACGCTGGTAGCGTTGAAGAGCTTGATGTTCGGGAAGGAGAGGACCTTGGAAAGAAGGGTGGATGTGAACAAGGCTGCGTGTTTAACAACAACATAGTTGGGGTTGGATTCGTCTTCCTCGTACGGAACGCCGAGGTCACTGAGGAAGACATCCGCAGGCTTGCGCATGACCATGGCTGAGAATAGCTGTCCACCCAGCCAGGCACCACCGCCTAGTGACAGTCAGTGATGATTCATTCTCATAAGAGAGGGGCTAATCATAGCATACCGGGAGAAACATTAGCTTCGACAATGGCAATCTTCAGGTCTGGGCGGGCTTTGCCGAGTACGTAGGCGGTACTGAGACCGCAAGAACCGGCACCAACAATGACAATGTCACTCTCAGCATACTTGTCAAGGTCGTTAAAGTAGCGACGAGTCATAGCACGAGAGACCTGGCTCTCGCGGATCGGGGCAAACTTGAAGCTGTCCCATTTGCCAGCAAACTGTTCCAACAGCTTAGCCTGCTGGTCCTGGCCGGTAAGGGAGATGACTTCAGGAGCCAGCTTGCCCTTCAGACCGTTGGTGGTCATGACAGGGGATGTTGACTCGTAGATAGCTGCTGGAGGAGACATTGTTTTGTTTGGTATCAAGAAACGATTTCTATACAGCGTCAGCATTCCCAAAACCATTCAAACTTATCACAGGGGAAGGCAGAAAGCATGATCCTTTCGCTGGTATTATCCAGATCAAGTTGTGACCGTCTGATTTCAGCCAGAATCCCAGAGCCACAGTAAACAGGTAGTACGTGTATCCGCACTACCTACCGACTGTAGATGGGAATCTAGCACCGGTTCATGCCACCAACTGTACCATAGATACCTTGATGAATCACTGGATTGTATGCATCAATGCCAGTGTGTCCTTGAAGGAGCGAAAGAATTTCCACAGCTTTCCGCCTCCCATTGAAGGGAAGACGAGGTGGTGGTTATTACATCGTTGGTTCCGACGGGACTAGAGGGAATACTATGGGTCAGCACTGTTCAAGGGCGAGTCGATAGAAGGAAGTACAAATCAGATTGAGCTTTTTTGCTGATAGTAAATACCTAGGTACAGGGTGAAGATTGAAGAAGAGAAAAAGGAACAAGAGACGGCGGGAGGGGTTGCGGGGTTTTTATACGCCGCGCACCCCGGCGGTATCGGAGCCCTCACCGGCTGCCGCTTTTATGACGAAAAGACTCGGTTGTATGACGCTGCCATGAATTATATAGTTAACTATACTTCAAGTACCTATACCAGTATGCAGCTCAAGCGAGCTCAACTTCGATGCTCACCCCGTAGTCTCGGGCGTGTCTCTCATCTGCTCGTATCCTGTCCTCTGCCTTAATCCAGTTTTTCATCTTCCCGCACTTCTCGATCTGAGCGACGCGGTCAAGGAGGGCTTCCTTCGTGACCGTCTGTCTCGAGTCCTCATTCAATGTAAATTTCAGGCACAGAGAGTCAGTCGTACCCTGCTTCTTTTTGTATACTTGTTCCCATGTCGTGGCAAAACGAATACGTGATATGCCAGGGGCTACACGCCCGGCCGGATACACGTCTCCTACTAACGAAGCTACGCGGCCAAGGTACTGAGACCACCAGGCCTCTTCAGGAGACACAAACTGCCGAAGACGATGTTGAAAAGACTCTTCAACTGGCGCCAGATCTCCAGGCCACCGTTCAGAAAGTATCAATGCGATGATTGCCCGGTCTTTGTGTGCGATGCTGTTGGCAGAGGCTAAAACTCCCGTCGTGGTGCTGTAAAGCCCGGCAGCTGGTCTGGTTTCCCTGGGCACGGATGCGTGAATAAAGAGTAGATTGCTCACAGCATGTAGTAGACTTGGAGAAAATGCGTGTGGAACGTATCGAGAATGTATAGGCGATAGAGTTTGAGGAAGTGAAGATCTAAGAAGCCCGTAAATGATATCCGCGGAAGTCATTGCATAGGGTATAGTGGCGACAATAAGGGGATCTTGTCTTCGAATTTCAGTCCTTAGTCCATCGAAAAGAAAGCCTTCGCGAACACCTCCTTGACAGAATCTCACAGACCGAATTGTAGGAAGACTCTCTGTCAGAACTCTTACAAGCAGCGCTACAGCAGGGACCTGTGATGTTCGTCTTTTAGATACACGGAATATTTTCTTTTCTTCCGATTCTGCAGCAGTTCTCATAACAGTTGCCGTGTCCTGAAAATCAATCGGCACTGCTTCGAATCCATTGATGATTGGAATCGGGTATGGAGTCAACCTAGATCGGCTCATAAGTAGATATCCCCATCCCCGAAATCCTCCTCCAGATAAATAGAGATCAAATCCGCCTTGTGTCTGAGCAGCCTGCTCTAGATCCTCAGGAACATCAAGAGACTGATACGCATTCCGGAAATTATCCTTCATCTCTGTAATCAAGTCATCTTCCGCTCTTTTGCCTTTGCTTCGAGCATCCTGTAGCCTTCTTGTAAGCGCTGCGGCCCCGTAAGGAAAGCTGACTGACCCGCGGGGGCTCGTCGTCACGTCTCCATCCCGAGCAATCATCCATGTGAGCTGTGTGCTGCCACCACCAAGATCCATGACCAAGCCCTGTACGCCTGCAAAGCTACTGGCAACACCCAAAGCTCCAATGCGGCCCTCCTCTGCTTTCGAAAGCAGTCTTACATCCCATCCGGTGCGCTGTTTGATTATATCGAGGAATTCCTTGGAGTTGGGTGCGGTTCGCGTAGCCTCCGTAGCTAGGATGTGGATATTCTCCTCCAGGACTTCAAAGTCCTCACAGGTGCTCTTGAAACGTAGCAGTCGTGAGATTACTTGGTCGATAACTGTTGTCGAAATCGGGCCACGCTCGCCGTCGGCTGTTGAGAATTGAGCGTCGTATAGTGAGATGCCTGCTCGGTCTTGGAACACGGTGGGCATAATCCTCGCAGTAGGTTCCGCGAGGTTGGAGATGGAGAATCGTATGCCATTGCTTGTATATATCAGCTCATTGACCACATTTTTTCAATTGTTGCTGGTTTGTCGTCACCTGCCCATGTCAACCACGGCGTGGAGACTTTCCGCTTTCAGGTCGTGCATTTTGCCTGCATGCTTTGTCAACTGAGCTTAGCAGGATTAGAAGTTATTGGCAAGGTAAACAGAATTAAGAATTCTTCTCAATATGCAGCCTCAAAATTGTTCCGCGCGAGGAACAGTAGAGGGAAAGGAAAACGGGAGGGAAAAAAGGAACGCGGGGCTCTTATCTTATCGTCTATGACGTATTGTAACTACTAACTACATAACTACCCAAGTATAACTTAACAACTATCTATCTCCAGATACATTTATTCAGGCACGATATTTCACGGTCAAAGAAAGCCTTTTTCGATTCCTAGACTATCTAATCTGGTAAGGCACCAGCATCTGCTCGTCGGATTTCGACATTATATTCTCCAAGCATCCCTTCAGGAACCTGATCGGTTCGTAATGGCTAGGCTCATCCTTGCTCCCAGGGTCGATCATGTTCAAGTGCAACTCTCGCGAGAAGAACAGCGCCAATTGCTCAAAAGCAGTTTTGGGACCAAGTAACTCCACTCTGTCTTTGAACTCTTCAATCACCTTCTTTCTGATATGATTCCAAAACTCTTCGTTTCTAGACCAGTCGTTTCCGATGACAATGATCTTGAGTCTCTCAGGCATATAGCCGGGGAGCCTCGTTATCTGCGACAAGACGTGCAGAAAGATGCTCAGGCTGGACTTCCACGGGTACATTGGCGTCACTCGCTCGATAAAAATAGCCACATGTTTCGTTGGGAGGGACTTGCTGAAGAGTTTCACGATTTCTTCCAGCATGAAAATGGAAAGGAAAAGGTCGTGGTTACGTAAATCCTTGTCGAGGTTACGTCCCTTTATTTTTATGCGCTTGCAAGAGTCAAAGGGAAGAAGTTGGATCAATTCATATATCAGCGCGGCCACCAGGCAGCAAGTATGCCGGTACTCCCACTCATCTCCCTCGGTGTTGTAGTCAACGCAGTACAAGCGAATTTCGGCATAATCCCGTGTTGATATTGGATCCAAGACCGAGTTTGAAAACTCCGATACGAGACGCAAATTATCACATCCAACTCCTTGGTGACTCCGTTCCGAACATTGCCCGTTTATGACACAGAAACCGGATGTATCTGCCTTCGCCCAATTCATGAATACTGCATCATGTATCAGATCATGTGTCACGCTCTTCTCTCTATCAGGATGGGTATAATCAGAAAAATCTAAATTCATAGGTTTGCATTTGCCAGTTTCCCCAACTTGTCGTACAAAATCGCTGATTTCACCCAAAGTGAAAGTCTTCGAATATTTCTCATCGGCATCCCTTGTCTTTGCTTTTTCAAGTCCAAGGATTAAGGTAATCATGTTTTAAAGTAGGAAACACGAATCAAATTTGGTAAAAAGTTGAATATATTCGAAGAGTAGTGGACTGTGAGTGAGTAGGAATGGGAATGCGTTTAGGTATGTAGAAGGAGGTAAAAATAGTAGCTTTTAAGAGAGTGATTTACCTTAAGGGACTAAAAATAAGTGTCTCATTCTTTGACTCATATGGAGTGAGTCAACGTACTGTCTGTATGTATCATCTTTTCTCAAAGAATGATTGCTTCATACTATAAATGTAGAAGCACATGTAAGCTAAATATACTGGCTTCTCGTCACTCATGCTCAGAATCACCATCCCATGTTAAGAGTAACGTTTTCTGTTCCTTGTCAGGCCAACGTACCCATTCTTCCCCCCTGGGCATTTCATCCCTATGATGCTTTTTCGATCGCTCATGCCACTGCAAGTACAAAATGTCCCCAAGATAGATTGACATCTGGGCTTCCAGGTCTACCAAACCCATATCCTTTGTCTTTATTTCTTCCTTGATCATGCCTCGAAATGAGTACCAAACGTCATCCATGAAAGCATCACTCCCGGCCATAACCACCTTGAGTCTTCGAGGCATGTATGAGGGGTGTCTCGTCATCTGCGACAAAACATGCAGGAACATGGCCAACTCTTCAGGCCACTTGTAATATGGACCCGTATGTTCAATCAGGATATTCACATGTGTCGCTGGACAAACCTGTTTGAATCGTAGCATGACTCGACGCATTAGACCAAGCGATGCAAAAAAGTAGTTTGACTTGTCGAGGTATTCAACGTAGTACGGGATTGGCCCAGGATCTAACTTCATAATCCGGTACAAGCCCTGTATCATATTGAGTACCAACAAGGCAGGATGCCGGTACTTCCATTCATTGACGACTTGGTTAAATTTGATACAGCGCAGTTGAATGCTGTTATCAGGGATCGGATAATTGATTGAATTCATTAACCTCGCGAGGCCATGGGGAAGACACACTCCATCGCACGTTTTTGGACTATGATTCCATCATGAACAATATCCGCGGATGATACAGATACCGGACCTCATCTCTGTTACCCAATGTCCAAAGCTTCTTTCCTCCGATAGAGCACGGTGAAGATGGTGTTGTGTATCGGAATGTGTATTGTGGTCGCTATAGGAGTAGTTACTTGCTATAGCTTAGTCGGCAAATGACCTGATTCGATCCATAAAAGCGGCTATCTCGTCCATAGAGGACATGTATGTACCGTTGTCGAGTATATAAGAGCGAACCATGTTTTCGACGAGGAAGCACGAAGAAGAATTTGACAAAAAGTCTGATACACTGGTTGAATATTTGTATATAGAGATCTTGGGTTTCTGATAAGTAGTAGATAGATTTTTTGCTTTCAAAAAAAAAAAAAAGAAACTGGTAAAGAAAGTATGCTGCGTATGTAGAAACAGGTATGAATGACAGCTATTAAAGACCAAGGAACTCGAGGTGTGTGTCATCCTTCGACTCATACGAAGTAAATCAAGCATTCGTCTGTATACATCATCGTTTATAATAAAAGACTTTATGAATCTTCCTCATTGATGAAGATACCTTTTTTCGACGATGCTGTTAGTCATGCTCTGACTCGAACGCTACATTTTTAGGGCTAGTCAGACGTGACGCATTTATTTCCTCTTTTGGTAACGAGAGCACTCACTGGCAACGACAAGGGAAACCGGCGAAAATGGTCATATGAAATGACAGTCATCTTCATTCTGCATACAAATCATTTAAAGCGGTTTATTCCCAAACAATCGAGGGAGAAGCAAACATCAACGTCAACAAAATACGCAAATCCCATCTCAAGCCAACCTCGCCTCTAAAACAGCCTGACTAGACGCCTCACTTTGCCAGACCTTGACTAACTTCAATCCCGACTCGGTGACTAGCCTCTCAAAATCCGACCTTGTGCGCTCTCGTCCACCAAACGCAAACATGTTATGATCCATCCAGTATGGCGCCATATCCTCCACGCCGCCGGGCCGAACGCTGTTGTACTCTGGAACCACCATTTCGCCTATGAGAACGCGCGAATCTGACGCCATAGCTGGCACGATAGCTTTAAGGATTTTGGCGCAGTGCTCATCCGTCCAGTTGTGCAGACAGCGACGGATGTAGTATGCATGAGCGTCTGTTCGTGTAGTGAGATATGGATAAACAAATTTATGCCATGGGCAAACAAGACTTACGTTTCACAGGCTGCTCAGTGAAGAAATCATGCGGCATTTTCTCAATACCGGGCAAATCAGGACACGAATCAAGCACCATAGGGCGATCCTGAAGGATCAATCTCCCCTGAAGCTGGGGCCATTTCTGCTTGATTTGCAACAGAGACTGACCTCGGCCACCACCAATATCAACAAGTACTGCCCTATTCTCCAGATCCGGCGCATTAGCAAGCTCTTCGCCAAAGGGATACATGCCCAGAACGGGCAGCGTGGAGTCCTGCGTCGACATGGCAATGTCGAACTGCTTGATTCGGCGTGGGTCTTGAGAAATGATCTCAAAGAAGCTGGAACCGGGTTTGTTGTTTCCCCAGGAAAAGAGATTTTCGGTCATGCTTGTCGAGTCTCGGCCACCCACTGCGCGGAAGTATTCTGGTAGGCGGGATGTGTTGACGAGGATTTCGTCGCAGCTGGGTTCATTCTAGTGAGCAAATCAAACTTATGTACTAGACAGATGTTAGGGAAGGAAACCCCACCACAATTTGAGAAAGTCAACTTCGTGTCCCTCGATATACGCCAATGAATATGGCGTATGAGCATATTCGTCGGGTCCGGCCATTTCGAAGATGCCCGTTACAGTAAGAATGCGCATCAAGCGGGCTGTAGTTTTCTATCAGAATTCACCATATGGGCACAGATACGGAAATAGAAAGGGCTGTATAACTACCAATCAGTGATGTATCAGCCCCGACCATTTCAGCAAGCTCAGCTGCTGAAACACTTCCTGTTCGAGGAACATTTTGTGGCACATTCAACTCCAGCAATGCTCGCAGGTTGCAAAGAGAAAAGGTCTCAAGCAAATTCAAACATTAGATATTTATTTATATCCATCCTGACAAAAGACGCATTACATACATTGGTCAAATGGTCAAATATCGCCTCCTTCGGATCCTTCAATTGCAATGTCAGCTTTTCCAAGGACTGGATCAGTTGCAGACGCTCAGCACGACTAGGATTTTCCTTGGACGCATCGAATTGTTTTACTTTGGAGGCAATGGCCTCGGCCTGTGCAGATAAACGGCCTGGCATGTTCGATCGATTAGGCTTCCTGGTAACGGTGAAATACCTAGGTCTGGCACGGAGAACGAAGTATTTGAACATTTATGAGCACTGAGCGGTGTAGGAAATATGAGTCACGACTGATCAATGTCAGAACAGACAAAGAGCTCGGTGTTTAACTGGCTCTTTGGTTAGGCTTGCTGGTATGTATATATTCTGTAGTAAGAACCTTGAAAGGCAGTTGAAAGAAAGCTCATGTCAATGCGTACTGAGAAGGAATAATTAATATGTAATCCTTCTCAAGGTCCACGTGCTGCCGGGCCTTCGATCTGCAAAGATGTATTGAAAGACGACAATGTGGAGATCAGACTACGTAAACGAGCTGATCAGCTAGCGTAGCATTAATGTCAATTGTATACATCATCAAACACGTATGTGCCTAGGTAAACGATTTGTAGATGTATCATGATGTCGCGACTGATCGGGATATCTCATGTTAATAGCCGAGAGTTTGACAGTAATCACTCTGAATGCATTGGGGAAAGCTAAATTAAGATAACAATCATTCATCAACTTCGTGGTTTATTGGTATCCAATTAGCTTGCGCACAGTCCTCTGAAGAATCAACGTCTCGCAGTCCCACTCTTTTTCATTGATTGACATCCCTTCAGAGAGGCTACTTAGAAGCCGACAGGCTTTAGTAAGTGTCTATTATGTCAAGCCTTGGAGATATTGCGTCGCATCTTGAAACAACCATAGCCTCCCAGGACATCTGTATCACGCGTTGAGAACAAAATCGATATCAGTACTATTACGAATCAGCACTTGTGTTACGAGAGCATCATGACAAGTCGAATAATTCCAATTTGTCCTACGCTGCAAGTAACTAACTAGCCGCAGGCTGCCCATCACTATTGACTGGGTATTCCGTATTGTTGTCAACTATGACCCAAAAACTGGAGTCGGCTAGTAGCATATGTAACTAGTCAACTTACTAAATCCTAAGATCGGCATGAATAGAGTTACAAGCTATGAAGAATCATGATAAGAAACATCAGATAGCAGATGCAACCTGAGAAGTCCCGCGGAGTATTTGCTCGAAAAAAGCAAAGACAAAAAAAAAAAAAAAAAAAAAAAAAGAAAATATCAAATTATACTATCGATAGAACATACTATTAGATCAAACTCGGGAAATCATAAGTTCCCGCTTTCTATTCTATAATCCCTGCACTCTATAGTCACGAACACGCCGGTGGCTTGAAGCCTTCAGTCATGTTAGTATGCAGCTATGTATACGTCTTGGGAAAAGAAATCTGCAAGTCCCAGAACCACGGACGGGTTCGTTGGTGCGATGCATGTGTCGGTTGTAGATATGTACATACATACATACATAACCAAAAAGGCCCACTTTCATCTCCTCAATGCTGCAATTGTTTGTTCAATTCTAAAGGGACAGTAAGTTTCAGCAGTTGCAGATAACCCGACATCCAATACTCTATAGACGTGGAGTAAGACAGTGAAGCTAGCTGAGACGCAAGGATAGAAGAAGAACCGGAGCACACGCACGGAAATAAAGAAACGGGGAAGTGGGTCGTCCCGTCACACGGTGCGGAAAGCGACTCCACTGTCCAGCTCCATCGACCCATCCGCGATCGATGATGCAATTTAATGTTGGAGGGACTCCATAGACGATCTCGTATATACAGTTTCAAATGCGTTTTTGTTTCAATGAACCGAGAATTTCAATGAATCATGTAGATTATAGCTAGTAGTAGAGTAAATAGTAGATAGTATTGGTGATACAATCTCACAAGGGAACTTGAAGTGTTAGATCAGGCGAGATACATAGAAAACGGCGATTGCACAATCTCCTATAGCCGTGGAAACATGATAGGGTATCGACACGCTAAGAAACAAAGCAAAAGTTTATTCACACCGGTAGTAAATTAGTTATTATTTGCTGGCCATGCAGCATTCAACCAAATTAGAGTCAAATGAGAGAAGCCATATTAGATTGTGGTAGCAGCTTCTTCCGGTTTCTGCCCATAAACAACATGCCTAAATGAACACAAAGTCAATTCGGCTATATGCAAAGATAGAGCATCGAAACTTACACAGCGATGTACATCCGATTACTTATATCGTTGAATTCTGCGCGCACCTTGGCCAGTAAAATTCGCACTTCGTCTGGACTCCAGCCGAGAAAGCGTGTGTATAAGGCCAGACTGTACCCTTCGACACCTTCGTTCATTGCGATCCCGCGAATTCGCCCTATTTCCGTCATTCGCGGATCGGGATGCCACGGGCTCAGTGGTAGCTATCAGGTCAACAATCAGCTCAGATGCTCACTCTCAGTCAAAAAAAAGCATTATTCATACCTTGAAAATTTCATCATGCACGTTAACAAAGCCTGCATTTATCATATGTTGTTTCTGCTCTTTGGCAACATTTAACCGCCTCCCGCTCAATACGCTCGCTTCATCCAGCTTCTCAAGAAACAGTTTCGACCATTCTGGGCATGTGCCATCATCACGCTGGAACCAGGCGTCATTCTCCTGCATTTCTAGCCAACCACCCGGCCGTAGATGACTAAAGGCCTGTCTATGAAACCGTGGCCAATCCCGGATGGAGCCACATAATGTTCGGGTGTGGATGAAGTCAAACTTTTGGCTATAAAGCCATTCGTCTTCTGCATCGTCGATTTCAAAAGTCAGGTTTGGAGGGACCCTACAAACAAGTACTCGTCAGTACTAAAATCCGTGCACCATTTGTATGCAAAACTGCTTCATAGGTAATCTCATACCACAGAGGCTGGATTGGACTTAGGTCCGTGCCGATGACGTGAGCAGATGCGTTGGCCCTAGTTAAATAAGAAGTGAATAAGATAGCCCTTGAGTGAAAGAAAAAAAAAAAAAAAAAAAAAAAAAAACGCAAGCACGCATAAAATGATAAATGAAGATAGCCATACTCAGCAAAATCAATAGCCCAATCTCCTCTCCCCGTTCCAATATCCAGAGCGTTTTGCGGATTACTCGAGATGGGTGCTAGTTGCAGTCTCCCTTCAAAGACAAGCTCATAGCATAGATGCATCTGACTCAAATTTAGACTTTGCTAGTTAGCCACAAAGAGGCGCGGCTCACCAGCATCAACTTATTTTGTTCCTGATCGTCATTGGGCTGAAACATCTATTAGCACCGAACAAAGTTTCTTGATGTCGGATCCGAATTCCAGAATCTCCTACCATTATATATTTCCCCTCGTGATAAGCATGATATCGACGCCCATTCTGCGTTGCGTCAGAGGATTGTATTGATGTGCAGATAGATCAAGTGGTGATCTCAACCGGCATGGTGTACCTCGAAATGATAGTTTAACACGCTGGATGATAAGGAGAAAGTCGACTCTGCACCATATCTATTTGACCGGTCACGTAGACAGAACTTCATCAGCTAGCCGTCGAAAAAGTCCGGGGAGAGAGGACAGTCGTGAAGTAAGAACAGTAGCAATAATAACGTACATACTACTCAACACCGACATCCCATCGCTTGCATCGACTCCTTCATCTGCAGTCCATTCCGTCGGTGCAGTAGTGGTAAATTTGACGGTGGATATCGAGTCGGTATCCGAATCAGAATGCTCTGGATACATTGTCCGCTGAGAACTGAATTCCGAGTATATAGAACGGTGTTTGGATATATAGTTCTCTTGTTTAGATCACTCACAACGCCATTTGTCATGAAGCAGCTGCAGGCTAGATGAGTAGCCTGATCAATCAGGTAGAGCAGAGAGAGTGCTGAGATAGAAGAAGAAGAAGGGGGACGAATGCATGACACTCAAAGCAAGAACGACTGGCTGATGGGTGACTTAGTCAGGGCCTTCTGATTGGCTGGCTGGGCCTGAAGAAGCACAAGAGGTGATTTGACGCCGCTAGTCTGCTTACGGCTAGAGGGAAATGGTCCCTTGTCCTGTCTGAGCAACCAATGGGCTGCAGAATAGATTACCGTATGAGGCGTATGTCGGCATCTATAATTCGCTGCATTTCGTATTTGACTGTCTGGATTCAAATGTGCCAACTCTGTAACAGCCGTGATTTTAATTACGCCGCTATGAGTGCCAACATGTGACACAACGCCGAATGTGACATGATTTCTTTCTGTATTAATCAATCAATTCATTCATTCATTCAAACTAATATTATATGCGTATACAGGATGTATAAAGAGGACTCGCTTCTAGACCGTTCCAGGTTAAGCGAGCTGCCAGGGTATTCAATAATCACTGCCTGCGTACAAGGATCTCAATAACCGGCTGTCCCCTTTCCCCTTTTGGACCGGCTGGAGCTTTTGCTTTGATTGATCCGATTGCTTTCAGATGAAACAAATGTCGACTTATGAAAGTGCATAGACTTTTTTCTTTATTTAGCTCGCACATAAGTTATATCGAAGGGCAACAACAGGGATTCACGGAGGCACTAGCTTTTCGCATACGCAAAGAAACAAAATGAAAACAAAGCCTACTTCGTATCTACTCTTTAGACAGGATGCTGTGAAGCTGAGGGCAAGGACCAGGTATATCGAATGAATTTATACCCTGTCAACCCTGTCATGCCATGACACTTATCTGTCTTGTCGTTTGCTTGTTGCCTCTGTCTTGAGCCTGGGAATTGTCTGGTTACATACATTAGTCGTGCATAAATGGTTCATTGTATAGTCAGTTATAGTACAGCTAAAGAACATATCATCAATCCTAGAATCGATCCATGCTGACTTCATAGTCAGCTTGGTAAAAGTAACTCGCAAAGTTCTCCCAACCCAAAAAAACGTACCCTGAAATCCCCGCGCCTCATAATTGCAAAACGACTTTTGCCAGATGTGAAAAATGAAAAAGAGTCGAGTCTATGCCATCTCATCGTCATCCGGATGGTGCCCCATCTCGTGGTCCGATGCATGGAAAGCATCTCCAAAGGCGGAGTTCTCTAAGTCAGGCAAATCCAAGCCGTCATGCTGATCGTCGTACGCAGCAAGCGCATCGCCAGCAGAATCCATGTTGGTGAAGTTGGTAGCGTCTTCAAAATTGCTCGTTTCCATGCCGGAGGCGCCGTGTCCGGGTGTGAGCCCGCTCCCTGATGTATCTCCAGCGACGAGCGGGTTGCTTGGAAGTGCCTTGGAAGATGACTGGGCACTACCGGCCTTATCGTTATCGATTACTACCCATTCCCCAGTCTCTCCTGCGGCGGTACCAGATTGGACGGTTGTAGTTGTTGCGCCACCCATCTCGACATCACCATCTGCACCCACAGCTTCAACCGTGGACTCACCGGGACCTGCGACCGTTGATGCTTGCACTTGCTGATTTATTTGTCCAGGTGTAGATGTTGACGATGCCACAAACTGGTCCAGGAGGCTGGTTTCCATTAACATATCCGTGTCTGCACCAGCATTGTCCTCAATCGGTGCCGGAGGGGGTTCAATACGCTCCAACAATCCACCTTTTTCTATACAAGTTACGCTGGGATCGGAAACGATATTTCGTCCATAGGCCTTCTCCAAATCTTTGACGACATCATCTACTTGAAACCGCGGAATACGGAGTGAAAAATCTTCCTCATTATTAGCCAGCTCCTCCTCGTTGACGGTTTCGATGCGGCCTTCCAATCTCCAGATCTCAGGTCCAGTCTCGGAAGGATTCGCTCCAGCCTCGCGGAGCCGTATCTCGGCATCTCTCAAAATCGACAGCCGGCCAATCTTTTGCATTCTCCGCTCATGGCGCTTCTTCAATTTCTCAATTTCGGCTGTCATGTCGGAAACTTTCTTGGCGACTCTGTCGGCGAATTCCTCTGCTTTCTCTGGCTCCATTTTACTTGCTTGTAGAGATGAGCTGTCATCCTTAGCATCCTTTGGATGGGCTGCCGTCACCGGGGCTTCGAAAAATCCAGCAGTCAAGGACTCAAGCTCCCCTTTACGTCCGAGACCAAGGTCAACCGGCGTTATCTGTTTGATCGTGTATGGCGACGCAAAAATTTCTTCCATCCATTCATGGTGCTGCTGGTAACGCATTTTGCTTATCTCTCGAGGTGTGAGCATGTCTAGCAGATCGCCTGTGGTAACGTCCTCATCCTCCAGCGAAAAATCGGCTGTCGCAGCAGCAATACTGCCTGCAGATGGACGGTGACCACGCGGTGCCTTAGATGGGGGCTGCACGGCGCCAACACCAGGTTGGTGACCAGGATAGTAAGCACCAGGGGGTATTTGGCGTGCAGGGCCTGCATTTCCATAGTAAGGTTGCGGCTGTGCGAAACCCTGGGGACCCATCTGAGGTGGGAACGAAATCGTAGGCCAGCTGTTGCGATCATGAAGCATAAACTCTTTGCGAACTAGCTGGCCTTGTGTCTGCAAGAACCGTCGCTGAGCAAGTGTTGTCTGCACCTGAGGGGTTACCGGAATTCGCTGAGCTGGGAGATGATCGCCCTGTGACGCTCGCGAGTAGTGAATAATCCATAAGGAAGGATCTGGACTCGGTGCATTTGGGTTGGGCACTTTGGAAGGGACTAGGCGATAACGGCGACGCGAGTGACTTGCAACAGCTTCATTTGGAGGTTGGTAGCCACTTCTTTGAACCCACATTTCCACGGTCTATTAGACAAAATTTATTGGTCAGCACGGGTTTTCCAGACCATAAATAATATGCCAGCAGTTATACATACATAGCCTCGGGCTTCAAAGGTGTAGGCTTGCTCTGCATCCGCCCAAATATAGCCGTCGCTAGCGAAAGTAGTTCCCAAGTGGGCAAGAGGCTGCCATGTGAGTAGGGTAGTTCCATCTTGAGGTCCATCCAGAAATGTCCAGTGCATGGGGTACATCTCCCTGACCACCTTGGGGGCAGCCAACAAATAGTCGAGAACAGTTTCGGTCGGCAAGGCAGTCATGGTAGGATACCGATTCCTGGACACCAGATGCATATGCGGCACCTATAATTAGATCAATCAGAGTCAGCGAGTCTGTTACTTAAAGCTGTAATAAAAGATAATGAAAGCGACTCTGGAATGGCTCACCAGCTGCCCGGGGAGTCCTGCCGCCGGGTCCTGCATTTTGAACAGTTGCGCGCGTGGCCGATGTTCTATATAACAATAGATAGAATCGCAAGCGGGGCTGTGAATTTCAAATCAATGACTCATGTAGATAAAAGCAAATGTTGCTGTATTGGTTGCAATAGGAACTGTCATGCAAGCAAGCCAACAGCTAAGAGCTGCCTCTGTCAAGGACGCGACGCGGATTGAAGTCAAAAAGTCGACATGCGGCAGTCCGGAAGAACACATGAACCTAAAGTGCACTTCCGCTTAAGTAAGCTGCAGCACTTTCCGCTAGTTAGTTATGCCTGAGGCAGGAATCCAACGTTGATATCTGGGAATCTTCATGGTTTCAGTACTATAGCCAGTTGTTTGCTAAATGTTCTTCTACGGATGTTAATTATCTTATTCTGTTAACTCTACTGCCCACCCTGGCTGATCGACTAGATTATGTACTAAAGAATAGGAAAATATGACAGCCATTACTCGACTTCCAAAATGTTCTCCCAATCCTGCTTTTCACACCACTCTTTCACAGATGCCAGCTGCACTGGAACGCCTAGATCAGCAGGTTGCACAATACTCTTATCAACTTTGCCTCCATCATAGCCAAACTCAATACAGAATCCAACCATATCCACATGATCCTTTTCCATTTCAGCGTCTCCCAGTTCGAACTTTGGCTCGCGGTCGATGAACTCGATACGTTTTTCCAACACCTGAGCCAGAATAGTTGCAAATTCTCGGAGATTGAGCCACTCGTTGACGCCGATGACCTTCTTGCCTGGCGCAGCGTGAACTACTGCATGGACGAGAGCACCAGTATCCGCGATGGAAGAGTACATAGGCAAGCTCGCCGTGGCTAAAGGCTCTGCGACATACAATGTGAGGGTGGTTTTGCTCTTGTTCTGGTCGCATAATCAATACAGAACGGAAGACATGTGAAAGCGGAATCAAAATCCATACGCCTTACTCACCAATTTAGGTCGAACTATTTTACCCGCAGGCGAGAAGAAATTCTCCAGATAGTATCCAGCATAAAACACGGTCGTCTTCTCCCAAAGTTTTGGATGGGCTGAACTGCCATACTCCTCGCCCAATGCTTTCCCGTCAAAGTGGTAGACATAAGGGTACTTCCCGCCACTCAACTTGCTCGTATTGGGCAAACTGGAGAATACAAATCTTTCGAGCGTGCTAACTTTGGCAGCAGCGTCAATAATGTTTTTGTTCTGCTGTGTTTCATTGTCCCTGCTGACAACTCCGATGCTTTCACCAGATGCAGAGGCTTTCTCGCGCACCGAGGGATCGAAGAAAGAATGCCAGAAATCAGTGACGGTGAAGATGACTGATACTCCCTTGAAAGCAGCGTCGAGTGAGGAGGGATCATCAAAGTTGCCCGCTACCATCTCAACTCCAAGCGAGGCTAACGAAACGGACTTGGGCGATGATAGATTTCGAGTCACACCACGGATTGCATACGGAGAAGACGACAGTGAGAGAAAGTAGGAAACAACTGAGCCTCCTTGGTTGCCAGTGGCTCCGAGAACGACCAGGAGAGGCTTTTCGGCAGACATGGTGGTGTTTGGTCTGCAAGTAGAATATTAATCAGATGAAGAGGAAAATTTCCGTGGTGGATGGAGTGATGGTATGGAAACACTTGTAGAGAAGTGCTGGCTCAATTTATAGCCCAGTTTCTTTGGAAATCGACGGACGAGCTGCGCAGTCCGCATATTATTTCGGAACAACTTTCGATATCATGAAGCCCGATGAAGTCTAGTTCCCGACGGGTCTATTTGTATGACAGATGAACATCCATTATATTTCGCGTAGCATCTCACTCGACTAGTCTGATGAGGGCTGATATGATCAAACCCCAATTCGGTCTAGTTCGCACCAGCTCTGGGCAGTATCGGATTTGCCGTTATGAGCGAATGCGAGCAAAGCTAGAAACTCATCCCCACAGAAACTCAGATCTGACCCATCACAACTTATCGCAAACTCGTGAAAGGAGTTGAGCTGCTCGCCTACTTCTTCGCCTGTTCTAGCTCGAGCTGCTGCAATCCAAGCCTGTGGTGACTCCGCCATCCACAGGCCTGGGCGCTTATCGAATGGAAGAGACTCAATGAATAACCAATGGGAGCAATACCCATAATTAAAGCTAGACACAGCCATCACGAGTGCATATGACATGACAATGGTCCGCCGAATGCTTTCTCCAAATAGCCACTCTTGCCAGGCAGACGGACCTCGAGGCATTCCAGTCTGAGCAGATGCCAATAACGTCTGAGTCCATTCGGATAAAATGTTAAGAAATTGCTCTACTGTATCTTCCCCGAGCTGGCCCGGAGGAAAGAAATAACTCGCCAGGTAGATAAGAAGAGCCTGAAGAGCGGGGAGGGCCTCTTCAACAGGGGCTGTCTTGATATCGAGTTGAATTAGACGCTGAAAATTCTCATAGTTCACGCCGCTCTTTCCACTCCTTTCGAAGATGGCAAGGTGATTGCGGTTGCTGCGTAGTTGTAGCTTAGGGTGTATGAAAAATGCAGGCTTTCCTACCCGGATAAGGTCTGGCAATCGTTGATAACTCATGCGAACGATCTCTAAGGCATCCAAATGTCCCGGTCTACAGTACTCCGGTTCGATGCCAGTGGAAGCTCGTGATTGAAAGGTCTTCATGACGCAGTACCCAGGGGTATCACAGCTTGATGGATTAAACGATAATTTAGGTAGGCTCTCGGGTTGTGCAGTCGGGACGCTCAGAGGCTCTAGGTCGTAGGTACAGTCGAGACCCTTCTGAGCGCAGCGAGCGCATCTTGGCAGCTGTACCACGCATTTCCGCTTGGAGAAGGTACAGTTGCGGCATGCCTTGCGCAGGACAGTCATGATTTTTGTTAATTTGGGGGTTCGTGTGGTGCTCAGTACTCGAGCAGACAAGATCTCGTTCTCCTTCCTATGGTGAAGGTGGAGGAGAAGCCTCTAGTCTAATCCCCATTCGGTTTAGATCCCACGGGTGGTATGTATTACTTAAGTAGCGGCGGAGGAATGTCTAGCCGACGATTGCTTAGCACAGGAGCTCTAGAGTTGACTCATTTAGATGCATCAGATAGTTAGTTATTCAGATTTTCATTATGTTCAGAAGCATCCCTATTCGCCTGGCCGCAGTAGAGGAGTGCACACTTTGTCGAGGTACAAAGCATATAACAGAGAACGGAATGGCCTTGAAAGGGACGGAGGTGTACAAGTATCATGCGGCATAGTCTGGGCATACATCCACGATTATAAGGATGATCAATCAACAACAATCGATATTGTTGGGAGATGGCTGGCGGGCCTTATTTCTCAGGTTACCACTCATAAGCTAAGTCTAGAGAATCAAGAATCCACCCCGGAATGCGGGGAAGGCTTAATTAATTCCCTTTATTGGAATCATGCGTCAATGCGCCCACGGGGTTGTATTGGCACTTCGGAGAAAGCGAATAATAGAAAAGATGGATTGCGGGGAGCGTATTACAAAGGTAGACAAGCAGAAGCCTGTGGGTATACTCCTTGTTTGGGCAGTTGACTCGGACTCCGGAGACGGCGAAGATCAATACAAAATATCAACGCCCAATGGGCTCGCCCCGTCACATGACCGCGAGCTGAGCTTGAGCTGCAGATCGGGGGAACTCCTGTTGGGAAAAGCACAAGGGCTCAGTATCTGTTCCGTCCATCGTGCCATTGGCGAGCTGCTATCTGTCTAGTCTCACACGCACAACCCCGCAGAGAGGGCCATCGGACCTTTTTTTGCCTGCTCGTAAGAGATATTTTGACGTCAATTCATTGATATAATTCTCTGCCGTTCCCACATGGACAAGCCACGCTTTTAAGGAACAAAGAACCTCTCTCCCTGCATGCTCCGAATGAGAACACCGTTGTTGTGCTCGGAGGACTGAGTTATATATATATAAAGGGCACCGAACAGTCCTTCCAACACCGACGAGAAGTATTGTCATTTCCCTCGATTTACTCGATTGAAGATATAGATTGTACCCAGCACAATGGCCACTGTGGAAAAAGAGGATGGCGTCGAGCAGACGCCGACACTAAATCCCGAGGTCGAGAAACCCAACGACATGCAATTCGAACGCGATGCGGAGCTTGCTCCCGTGACGACGACGCCGGCGATCGACCCGGTCATTGAGAAGCGCGTACTCCGGAAGTTTGACACAAGAGTTCCGGTCATCACTGGGTTTATGTGTATGTTGCGTCCGGACGTATTGCTTGGTTTTCGTATAATAATGCGGTGCTAATTGAACGAAAATAGTCTTGCTGTCATATCTTGATCGCAGCAATATCGGGTACGACTGAAAGCTCCTATACTTTGAAGTTGAAAAATATGGTGAATAATAGGCTGACTGGAAACGCTTTAGAAATGCCGAAATCGCTGGGATGGAGCAAGATTTGGGCTTGAATAGCGGGAAATATGCTTGGCTGTTGACGATCTTTTATATTTCTTATACCCTTTTCGAGTTTCAAGCTTTAATGTGGAAGGTTCTACCCCCTCATCTCTGGGCTTCCCTCATCATGTTCGCATGGTATATGTCCTTGGTCTTATACCTGAGTTGAGATGCCAGGACAAGCAAAGAGCTGACAAGTGAGAACAGGGGCGCAGTAGCAACGTGCCAAGCAGCAGCTCAGAACTGGAGCGGCATGATGGCACTGCGATTCCTTCTGGGTGCATCAGAAGCAGGCTTTGGGCCTGGTGTGCCGTACCTCATGTCATTCTTCTATACTCGTCGGGAACTAGGGCTACGCTGCGGAATGTTTCTTTCTGCAGCCCCTCTCGCGACTACATTCGCGGGCGCATTGGCATACGGAATAACGTCGGGACATCCACACATTGCGCACTGGCGGCTTCTGTTCTTGGTAGAAGGCCTTCCTAGTCTTGTTTTTGTCCCGTTGGCATGGTATTTTCTTCCCGATTCAGCTGTGGAGGCGAAATTCCTGACGCCGGAAGAGAGAGAGATTGCAAGGGCTAGAAGTTTGAGACGCAGTGGCGAAGAAGTACACTCTCATAAGATCGTATGGGCCGATATCTTACAGACGCTTCTTGATCCGAAGCCATGGTTCACAGCGGTAAGTAGCGAATTAGAACATTTCTAAGAGGTTCGTCAACTAACTCCATATGTTTGATTCAATAGTTCATGTACTTCAGCTGCAATGTTAGTTACTCATCACTCCCAGTGTTTCTGCCTACGATCCTCAAGGACATGGGTTTTACGGCTGTGAATGCGCAAGGCCTCGAGGCTCCGCCCTTCTTCCTGGCGTTTTTGGTCACCATCTTCTCAACCTGGATTGCCGACAGACTGGAGCAGCGAGGTCTCATGATTGCGTTCCTTTCAGCCGTTGGAGCCGTCGGGTACGTGATCATTGCCGCGTGCAACTCTGTTGGAGTCCGGTACTTTGGCGTCTTTCTTGCTGCCAGTGGAGTATTTCCCGCAATCGGCAACATTTTGCCTTGGGTTTTGAGTAAGTCGGCCTTGCCGTATTTTCGTTGGAAGGTAAAACGAGAAGAACGTCATACTCACACTTGAATAGACAACCAGGGTTCAGACACGCGTCGTGGCATGGCCATGGTCATCCTCAACGTGATCGGGCAATGTGGACCATTCTTGGGCACCAATGTATTCCCTTCGAGCGATGCACCCCGTTATTCGCGCGGCTTATGGATCTCTGCGGCATTTATGTTCTTCAACCTTGCATTGTCGCTGGGTCTTCGAACGCTGCTTGCATGGGAGAACAGGAAGCTTGACAAGCAGTACGGAACCAAACAAGAGCGCCAGGCTAATCAGAAGGGCGACTTTGTTACCGCCGAGGAGAATTATGGAGAGGACTTTAGGTATTTCCTCTGAGCTTGCTGGTGCTCTACCGTGCTTTCCGTGAGGGAGCGAGTCAGTCTACGGCGGTAGTGGTTTGTAGTTATTGTGGCACAGCGTGGCACATTGTATAACTTGCTTGAGCGAGGCTTCTGAATACGTCATTGAATCACTGCTTCTATTAGCCTGCACTCTTCGTGAATAAAACTGCGGTTCTTTTTCCATTCACTGTATACTTACTCGGTCTTGCCGGTTAGGCATACCTGCCCTCCAGCAGTTCGACGGCTTAATCGCTCATGCACCATTATTGAAATGGAACAGAAGAGAGAAGAATCTGTTTAATGACTTAAGCGAGTCTGGAAAACATAAACGGCCAGATCATGAGGCTGGAATGAGTGGGTGAGGAAGCGTCAAAAGGCTCTAGGTAGAAGAGCGTCAATCACCCCACCAGCCACAATCGTCTCGCCAACAACGTCCAGGACAGATTGGTTGGCTATGGAGTGAAGATGATAATGTCAGCAATGCATGTAGCCGGTTGCAAGCAACTTTGCTTGAGCGTAGTTGGTTGACTCAGTGTTGATATTGTGGCGCAGTCCGAACACAACAGTCAGCCTTGACTCGGAGCACGCCTAGACGTGACTTGGGCCTCTTTTTCGCTCGTATGGGATTATGGAATATGGACTATGTTTTTTTTGCTAACTTGATTCTGTCTAGTCTACCCGAAGGAACAGCCCAGTCAGTGTGGCTGTTCATCATCGTCCATGAAGAGGATAGGCCGTGGAGGCTGTATCCGTCCAGGAACGACATGCAAGCCAATGCGAGCTGAGCGTGGAATATGCCAGATCGTTTGGCAGTTCCGTTATGGGTCGCATAGGCATCACGCGCTAGGAAATTGTTTGGGGGTTGTATATAAAGAAACTGGCTGGTCCCTTTGTTGGTTGAAAGGGAGAACGTTGCACTTTCGGCGTCTTTGTTGTTTATCTGCTCTGAAGATCTACTGGTCTATAAATTCGATCACATTGAACTTCTTCTCTCCAAACAATCCGCAAATCCAAGAACACCCTACGAGCCCGCCTACCTAGGTACTGCAAAGCCAAAGGACCGCGAGGAATCCTCACCATGTGCTGGATCGAAATCAACGACGAACCAGCCACGCCCATCAGGGTCGTGCAGCGCCGTCGCCGCGTCTACCAGACAGTCGTATCAACTCCTTCATCGCCAGCCCACGGCGCCGACTATCGACTGTATACTCCTCCTGCTTCTCCGCCTACCTCTCCCAGACCATCGTATACCACCATCACCCGAACCCATCGCCAGCGACGCTCGCAACCGCTTGTGCCTGTGTACATAGAAGAGCGCTGGGGGTCTGCGCGACAGTCCGTGCCGACTTATATTGAATACGGCGGGCGTCGCAGTTCGGGAGTGAGAATTATCGAGAGAAGGAACTGCTCGTGAACTGCTTTCTGTCATTGTCTGCATCTGTTGAACAACAATTTGGAGTTTGATGTGGGTTATTTTGCAATAGCACGAGAGTATGGGAGTGTTCTTTTCCGATTTCTTTTTTGGCGTTTGTGACTGTTTGTCGGCATTGCATTGATAGGTGGATAAATATACCCTGGGACACGGTCAAGCGAACGAAACATGAGGCAGGTTGGGGGGACCATCATTAACTGGTGTTTGTTCTGTATCATAGTTGCTTTGTATGATAGATAATATAGAATGTATGAGGTTGAAGAGAATGAAAACGAATGAATGATGACGTCAGCTCCGCTCTCAGCCTAGCGTCGCCCCTCCACGCCCCAAACGTCACTTGAGCGTGCTCGACTACCAAAGACTGCGCTCGCCGCTAATATTTCTTTGTCGCGGCGTAGATGAGACTGGAGGTCCTTTCACGCAGTTGCAGTATTTTTTGTTCTTTGAATACGGGGTGAAGTAGCACTGGTTGCAAACAATCAGAATGCAAGTGACCTTGCTCTCCCCGCTATTTCTCTGCAATATTAGCTTCAACTAACGGTACAGTCTGTCCAGGAATCGATCCATTTCCATTCGATCCTCCAAAAAAGAGGGCAGGCAAGACAGAGGCAGCGGGCGCCATCGCTTCTCGATGACGACCCTGCGCGGATACCAACAGCCAGAGCTCAGTAAGAAGCTGTACAGAATCATCAAGAACGAGAACTCGGTAATCGGAGCGTACGAAGCCGCCGGTCGCGAACGAGTCTCCATTGCCTCTCAGCTCTCGGACTGGGGCGAGGCATCAGGCGACGAGAGTCTATCGGATATCTCGGACAAGCTAGGCGTGCTCTTGTCAGAGATCGGCGAGCAGGAAGACGTCTTCGCGCAGGGCCTGGAGGAGTATCGCGGCCTGCTCAAGCAGATCCGCAACACGGAGAGCTCGGTTCAGCCCTCGAGAGATCAGCGGAACAAGATCTCTGACGAGATTCAGAAACTGAAATATAAGGATCCTACGAATACCAAGCTGGTGACTTTGGAGCAAGAGCTTGTCAGGGCCGAGGCTCAGAATCTTGTGGCTGAGGCTCAGCTATCTAATGTGGTGAGTGGCCGTTGAAAGTTCTCCTTTCTCCTTTCTTTCTTCTTCTTCTTCTTCCTCACTTCCTGCCATACATGTTATTGACACCATCAGACCCGGCAAAAAGTCAAGGAAGCGTTCGACATCCATTTCGCCGCTGTCGTCGAACGCGCCGAGAAGCAGATTATCCTCGCTCAGCATGGGCGCCGATTGCTCAATTTGCTCGACGATACCCCGATAGTCCCCGGCGACGCTGTCAAACCTTACGAGCAAGGCACTCTCGCACGAGAGATACTAAACGACGCCGAGGGTGATCTGCGCTCTTGGGAGCCTGCCGTCGTCCCTGTCTCGACCCATGCTAATGATGTCGGCTCCAACTTGGTTCCCAAGACAGGGGAATCCACGACGGCAGCTCCTGGTGCGGACGGTGTCGCAGAAGGAGAAACCGAATTGAGCCCTCCCAGGGAGACAGACAACGTTCAAACCGGTACAACGGCCAGGGAGAGTGTCGCTACCAATGTAGATGAGTCGGCTACGGTTGCCACTGCGTAGTCTCATTCTTATATTATTTCCGTTTGTGTTTCTTGTCTTTTGCTTCACGTTATCGATGCAATGATTGTCATGCTTGATGTACTATTTATTGCTATTCGGCACATGATGGGATACCGGTCGGAGGAGCAATGATTGCGATGCTCTTGCTTAGGTATGATCAGCAGAGTGTCTTAATGAGCAGACTTATCTCCTGGGTCCGAGGTATAATGAAATTGATATGTATATTTTTATCTCCAAGAATTGATTCCTCAAAGTTTAGAACTCAAAGGGAAGGTTGATGCCAGCTGGGGCAAGGCATTACATAAGCACAGCACGTGACCCGCTTTCAGGCAGCTGTCCGAGTGACGCGAAGCTCCGGAGCTCCAGCGAGCGAGCAAGCCAGCATCAACCAGGAGCTTCCTTCCAGCAACGCCGCATCGCCCTTCTCTTCATCCCACCTTTGCTAACTGCTCGCCTGTACTATATTGTCCTTCCACGTATCCATATCTCTCCTACTTTTCTGCCTGCCAATAAAAGGTGTTTTGCATCCAAGATGGACACCTTAGTCGCCAAGTACTCCGGCTCTCCATATCAAGATGACATGTACTCCGAAGAACAACAGCGCGAGCTTACACAATGTCTTCCTCCGTTATCGCTCAAGTTCGATCTTCCTCCTATCGAAAAGGTTGGTAGTCAAGTCGCTTAGTCTGTTGTTGGACTTGGGGATACATACCTTTGATGGAATTGGCAAATCTTGGAGAACAAATGCTGATTTATTCATCTTTTTCACTTTGGCAGCCATCTTCATTCCTCCGCGCCATGACAGATGACCATTCGAACCCAAGTGCACCTATCAAATTGGCTCACGGAACGACAACCTTAGCCTTCAGATTTCAGCATGGAATCGTACGTCTCTTTCGCTTCCTAGTCTTGGCCTATCCGAAAATAAACAAACGATGAAACTAATCTCGGAGGTTACATGGAAAATAGATTGTTGCTACAGATTCTCGAGCTACCGCAGGTAGCTGGATTGCTAGTCAGACAGTGAAGAAGGTCATTCCAGTCTCACGACTGAACTTGGCTTTGGACAAGGAGCATGATGGCCCCGTGCCTGGGTTGCTGGGAACTATGGCTGGTACTGCAGCTGTAAGTTGCTTATGCATGTGGAACTGGAATGGGATAACATTGCTAATAAGTCATCTCGTGAAAGGATTGCCAATATTGGTTGAGATATCTGGGCGAGCAATGTACTCTCCATGGTATTGATGAAGTCATGCTAAATAAAAAGAAATATTTGACTAATTATTGAATGCAGAACTCAGACATAAGCGCCGAATCACAGTCGCAGCAGCATCTAAAATTTTGGCCAATTTGACATACTCTTACAAGTCGATGGGCTTGGGTATGGGAACTATGCTCGCAGGAGTACGTTGTCTCCTCCCATCAGGAAAGAGTGGGGATAGTTGTAAACTAACAAAAATCTACAGATGACGCCCCAAGAAGGCCCGGCACTCTACTATATCGATTCGGATGGTACCCGTCTTCCCGGAAACCTTTTCTGTGTAGGATCCGGACAAACATTCGCCTACGGTGTTCTAGACGCTGAATACCGATATGACCTGAGCGAAGAAGAAGCGCTGGAACTCGGCCGACGAAGCATTCTAGCTGCTACTCACCGTGACGCATACTCCGGTGGATACATTAACTTGTACCATGTCAAGGAAGAAGGATGGGTTCACCATGGATTCAATGACACCGATCCGATCTTCTGGAAAACCAAATTGGAGAAGGGAGAGTTTACGAATGTTACAGCAGAGGTGTAATATTTTCTTTTTCTTGTCTACTCATTACGTTTATGTGAAGATAACAAGGGAAGATAGAGCCATAACTTCTAGCAGTATCTTGAATCACAATTTGATTGTCTTTTCCCTGAAGTCACTTTGTCAAAACCATAATAATTGCCTTAGATTTTGCTCAACTGATAATTAAAATTGTTCAGATGAATTACTACAGACAAAAAAACATAATCGCTTTATGCATGCACACACTATGTAAAGAAGAATAGTACAATAACCCCAGTGCTCAGATAGAATAGACAAAATATACAAAACTTTTTCACTGTATTCATACCTAATGATCAACCTTGAACTTCAACCGAATGCCCATAGCAGCCAATTCCACATCCAAATATCTCAACACGCCAGGCACAGCGACAATAGTAACATTGTCACCGCCCACAAACCGACTTCCATCCCCATCTTCCCAGACGTCCGCTCGCGAATCGTCAAACACCGCTTCGCGCGCGCATCGGCGACAGCGCACAATCCCGTTCACGCCGCCAAGGGCATTGACTGCACTGACGCGCGATGAGGTGATTTGATTGTTGGGAGTGGCCTTTGCGGCGGCTGCGAGCGCCCCCTTGTTGACATCCATGGACGTGCCTGCAGACGACACGGCGACCTGAGTAGACAGGAATGAGCCGCAGTCACGACAGATCCATGCACGCTGCGAGTCGGAGCAGTTCATCAATCGGTCCTGCAACAAGAACGCGCAGCCGTGCGCAAGTAGCGAGTCACGCTCCATCTCTCCAACTCGAATACCACCTCCCTTGGAACGGCCCTTGACGGGCTGCCCCGTAACACTGTTCACGGGTCCAGTGGTACGTACTTGGAACTTATCGTTGACCATGTGTCGCAGACGCTGGTAGTGGACGACGCCGAGGTAGATGTCTGCGGCGAACTCTTTGCCTGTGATGCCGCTGTACATCGGCTCGTTGCCGTGGTAGTTGTATCCTGCTTTGCGCAGTTGGTGACCGAAGTAGTCAGCTGCGGTGTTTTCTTCGTCGAATTGGAAGGGTGTCGAGTCCTGTGGGAATCCATGTAGTGCACCGGCTTTACCGGCCATCGACTCGATGATTTGGGCGATGGTCATACCTAGATTGAATTGATATTAGTCTCAATTCAGAGAAGAAAAAAAGGGGGAGGTCAGAAGCATACGGGATGGGAAAGCGTGAGGGTTGATGATTAAATCAGGTTGAATGCCACTCTCAGAAAATGGCATATCAATCTGAGGCCACAACTGCGAACACGTCCCCTTCTGTCCATGTCGAGAGGAGAACTTATCACCAATGACAGGCTTACGTGGGACGCGGAACTTGACACTGACAGCTTGTAGTGGCTCGTTTCCGTTTTCATTCCCGACCAGTCGGACGCTGTCAATGAAACCCTCTTCGGCGTCTTTGTATTTGAGGAAATGTGTATGTCCATCTACATTGATATACGAGTCACTGGCCGCGTCGTACCGCACAGTATGCCAGGCCGCGACCAAGCTGCCCTCTGTGATCTTGACGCCAATGTGAGGCAAGCCGTCCTCGTCAAGCGTTTTGCGCCATTCGGCCTTGATTTCGGAGCCCGGAGCGAATCCAAAGAGCTTGCTAATCTCACGCTTGGACTTGTTTCGTCGCGATTCCTTGTCATCCAAGTTATAGAACTTGGTTTTGTAGATGGTTCCATGACCGAACCCGCGCTCGTGAGAGGATTTATTGATAATCATAGCGTCATCCATGTCGTATCCCGTGTATGAAATAATGGCCACAACAGCGTTCGTCCCATTAGGGAAGTTATCCAGACCATACGCGTTGTACAACGGCGGTCGAGTGATCGGCGTCTGGCCACATTGTAATCTATACAACTTATTGTCCGTACGGAACGCGATCGATGTTCCCGGTGTACCCATAGTCTGCTTGCTCATTTGGCATTGGTACATGTTACGTGGAGATTGGTTGTTGTTAGAAAACGGTGTCATGTTGGCGAGAATAGACAGAATGTTGGTGGGCGTGAATTCGATATGCGTTGAAATGCCCGACCGAATATCGGATTCAAGACAGGCAATTTCCATAAATGGCTGTTCAAAAGGCCCGACGTAGTCAAGTTTATCGAGTGCCAGGTACTTGACCGGACGGTACATACGCGCAGGCTGCGAAAACAAGTAGATGCCAGGGTACTGACCTCCGTTGCTGTTGGGTACATAGCCGATTTCGAGTTCCCTGGGGATGTCATGGGTGCCCTCGACTTTCCAAAATCGGAGTGTGTCATGAATCATCTTCGCTTGTTTCGGTGAACAGTATCCAATGACTCGCCCGTTCAACTGAACGCAAACAGACTCGCCTATCTCAGCTGAAGCGTCTGGTTTGATGCCCAATTGAGCCAAAACACGAGGAATATGCGACACATCTAGATCCGCAGTGGCGATCAAGCATTTATGCGCCAGATGGTTAAGCAATCCACAGGGAGCACCATCGGGAGTATGGACAGGACACAAGAAACCCCAGCTTTCTGGTAACAACTTTCGCACTGTAGTGGTTTTCAGCTGGGCGAAGAAAGTACCTCTGTGAACCATGCGGAAGTGAGCAATGAATCGGTAAAAATTGATCTTCTCAGCTACCACGGTGAAACCAGATGCCTGTTGCATATCCAATCCAGTTGGACTAACCAGATTTCCGGTCGACAGAAAGTATTCTAATGCTCCACCGATGTTCTCGTTGGTACGCTTTATTATTTTGGCGATAAAATCCTTCTCGAATGACGGGTCTGTGAACTTAAGATTGCCGCCCCTGAATGACCACTCTCGAACGAGTCTTCCAAAGCTGAGTAGCCATTCTTCAAGCCTTTCCTTCAGCAGCATGCCGTAAACGTAGCCTCCAAGGAGAATCTCCTGGTTCGAGACAGCATCGGGGTTATCGGCAGCGCAGTCGCCAGCGACAAATGCATAGAGCTTTCGGATCATGAATTGTAGTAATTTGAATTTATCGTAATCTTGCGTAGTCGTCACATTCTGGTTGCCCAAGTGCGGTAGGACGACTTTTCGCAAGAATTCAGTACCGCATTCCTCGTGTGTCCAAGTCGCAGGCGCAAATAAGACAGGACGGAACTTTTTCCCCAGATAGGCTCTGGCGTCTGATCGTGAGTAGATTTTGTAACCCTTGAAGGTTCTCAGTAACAACTCCACACGGTCCGTGATGAAAGTGTTGGAGGGCCCCTTGGACGAGGCATTGCCGACAATGCCTTCAAAAATCTCGCGGTCATTGGTTTCAACAAGCGCCTTCAGGATCATCATGACGGGTATAAGGTATTCTTGTTTGCGCCACGAGAATCGAAAGGTGACGTTGCCGTCGGCGAGATAATGAAGCACGTTCGTTTGCGTAGTCTGATCTGGGCGAGCCGAACGAATCTGCACACCGTATTGGGTAAATCCGGCACCACGTTTCTGGAAAGACGGTCGACTGATGGCCATTGGATAGTTTCGCTTGGGCATGATCAACATTCGGATCAGCTTCTCATTTCCGTTGACAATGAAGTAGCCACCCAGTTCCTCAGATTCCTCCTTGTGGTCCACTAACTGCTGAGGACTGAAAGACTCCAGGTGGCATCTGTTTGTCTATATACCGAGTTAGTGTTAGGGTTGCCAATAGTGGAAAATTTGGTGAACGGAGATTATTGAGCATACCCTTAACATTAACGGAACCTGTCCCAACTCTCGGACGGACTCGTGCCATTCGCCATTGTTGACCTGGTACTGCAATCTCACACGCAGCCTCGCTCTGTACGTAGCATGTCGCTCTCTGCATTCTGCAGGGTATATGTTGCGGTATTCGGAACTGGCATTGCGAGGAACAAATTTATTTGCTGATGGCAGCACAGCTTTATCCAGGAAAATCTCAGAGATGCGCAAATTGAGACGATTGCGCTGAGGTGGCGCTTCACCTCTAGCTTTCCGCGCTCTTCTCTGATCTGGAGTCTCAATTTCACCGTCTAAGAAGGTCTTGGTGCCCATGTCATGCAAGGCCTCCTCCATGATCTTGCTTTCGCCGAAAAGCGCATTGAACGAGTCGATATGAGGTCGGATTGCGGCCTGCAAAAGGGGATAAGGCGATCGGTCCTTCGGTGGGTTCCTGAACAGATCTTCTCGGCGCAAGGTGTCGAACCCCACAGTCCAATCCGTGTTTGTTGCAGCAGGAGCCATTTTGGGCGAGTTGTCAAAGAATCTTTTGGATGATGAGAGGAATGCTGAATGCGATTATACGGTAACACCGGAGGAAAGAAAGCAATCAATTTAGCTGGTGAAACGGTAGACCATCTCTCCCCGCGGCGGCGTCGAAATAGAGCAATCGCCCGGTCTGATTTATTGCCCTTCTTCGAGGTTGCCTTGAAGCTTTTGCGAAAGCGTTTTACAAACGGCGGGAAATTTTTAGAGTGGATCCCTTGGCCTATCATCACGTGTTGATAAGAGGACGCCCATATATCACGTGATAAGATAACCTCATGCGGCTAGTCGGAATCGCTTGGGTTAGTCAGTCCGCGACTCCGCATGCTATTCAGGCAACAAGGCATCCAGATCTATATTCTATCTACTACGTTGCCAAAGCAGAACCTCTCTGAAATGTATTTTATATTGTTCTGCCTATTCACAAGGCGCAATCCACTTTACGTAACTTTTTCAATCTATTTTCTTCAACTGTAACCGCCGGGCTGTTGATTCAACACCAACGACTTATTCACACTCTATTCACAATAAGCGTAATTGTATGGAAGCTTATGCATCGCGATCGACACAGCTATGAATGGATTCACAGGGGAAACGAGCGCCAAAATGGCACGATCTGATTGCAACAAGCGTTACATTCATTATCTCTTCTGTCGATCTTTGCCCAAGCTCCCATTCACTGCGATACTAACCGAATCGCGCCATTTTAGGCGGGTTTTATTTTACTCTTGTCGATAGCTAGAGCGGTCCACCTTCCCAGTCGAGGCTAGGGGCATCGTATTCATATACAAGTCGAGCTTGTTGATTCGCAAGACCCTTGCTGGCGTGTATACGAGCATAACTTGCCAGCAGAGCGGTTGGTTGCAAGCCTCGATTTTTGGAAGTATACTAAGTCACTAGTAGTAAGAGGACCCTTGGCAATGGAACCATTGACGGTGATCACCCAGTACCTACCTAAGCAGGTGCGCGTCTCCTCAGTGAAATGTTGAGGAGATATTTTGCGCAACAGCGTAGAGTGACGTGAGGCAAGAATGATTTCCTATGGCGTCTTGCAGATGATTTATGGGCAGTTGCTGTATATGAACCAATATAACCTCCAAGATGAGTTGGTAGAGAGGAGTTTGTTTCATTTATCGCCAGGAAGACGTGCTGTCAGATGCCTCTCAATGTAACCATTCGACTTTCTAGTGCTGAATTGCAAATCATAACCCTTTAGGTTTGATGTTGTCGACGAGGGTGGAAAGGAGATGAAACAGGTATATAAGAAGTGCTTGTATCCTGCCATCTGGGCTATCGAATATCAGCAACAGCAATTTCATCATCTCAATCTTCAATCCAAGTCTTGAGTATCAAATCTCTGGCCCGTTTTACTTATGTTTGACAAAATGAAGTTCACTGCTTCTTTCATTGCCCTCTTCGCAGCAGGTGCGTTTGCTGCTCCCTCTGGCCATGGCCTTGCTGCTCGTGTTGCTGGACGAAACCGTTCTTCCCAGCCCAAACTGCCCGCCGTCAACGAGCCTGCCACTAATGATACCAACGCCGACTACTCGACCAACTGGTCTGGTGCTGTCCTGACCTCGCCTCCATCTGGCACCACCTTTACCTCTGTGTCTGCTGAATTCACCGTCCCAACTCCCAAAGCTGTCGACGGCAAGTCTGGCTCGTCCTCTGCCTGGGTTGGTATTGACGGTGACACCTACACCAAAGCCATTCTTCAGACTGGTGTTGACTTCAGCGTTGACGAGCTTGGCCTCACCTCTTTTGATGCCTGGTACGAGTGGTACCCAGACTACGCGTATGATTTCTCTGGAATCTCGATCAGTGCCGGTGACTCTATCTCCGTCTCGGTCGTTGCCAGCTCTTCCTCTGCTGGAACTGCCACCATTGAGAACCTGAGCACTGGTGAGAAGGTCCACAAGGCCCTCACTGCTCCCGAGTCATCCGCTACGCTCGGTGGCCAGAATGCCGAATGGATTGTTGAGGACTTTGAGGAAGGCGACAGCTTGGTGTCTCTCGACAACTTTGGGACTGTCACCTTTACCAAAACCTCTGCCGGTCTCTCCAGCGGCGAATCTGTCGGCAACGATGGTGCTGATATCCTCGACATTAAGCAGAACGGCAAGGTCTTGACCTCCGCCTCTACTCCTAGCTCTTCTGAGGTCGTTGTTGAATACTCCGGCTAAGTGCAGTGCTTATTGAATATTCGACGCAGAGATGAGGGAATGAAACTTACCTAGGTGCCTGTTCCCATGTGCAAGCCAGTTTCTGAACATGTGAAGCAATCCCTGTATCTGCACTAGCCTTGAATGTGTGGAAGCGCGAGATCTGATGGTTACGCTCGTTACGATTGAAGATATCTTGAAGATAGCATTGAATTTTTTGACCGGTCCATATGCCAGATGAATTTATCGTAGCCTTAACCGCGAGGCAGAATCGCAGTGTAATATAACGTATAATAATAGACGGACTAAGTCTGTGCGAGTGCTAATTTCTTGCATGCACTTGCAAGTTACCACTGCCAGACAGCAAGCAGCAGCCAATCGGAGCAGAGAACATCCACCTGGTTCACGCTTGATATTGAGGTATCGACGTTGCATTGCGCACGCTATGGTACCTAGGTAGGACTAGATACCAGTGCAAATAACAAGTCGCACTAGGCAAGCCTCTGGCCGAAGCGGCGTATCGATCATCGACAGTGTCGGGTCATGTGCGCCATCAGATTCTTTTTGTTCTGCGCATTCCTTGGTGGTCAGTTTTGTGCGTAGCAAGACAGGTACAGGTACAGGTACAGACACATACATATACACATACATACATGTGTACCGGATCAGGAGGCTGTCGGGGTTTGATTGAGTGGGCGTCTCGAGGTATGACAGAATAAATAAAGTGCGTAAAAGCCAGGGAGTGGTTAATATGTGCGAAATATAAGAAAATCCAAGCAGAATCGTCGGACGCGGTCTGGCGGTTCTTCTTTGACAGCCTGAATCTTGAGGAATCCAGCCTGGCTGCCTGCGTGCCTTCCTGCCTACACCGCATCAGCGCTTGCTTCCTCCTCCTCTCCCTCCGCCAGCGATCAATCAACTCCTTGACCACGTCCACGCCCTCATTTTTATTCATTACTTGTTATTAATTTTGCTCTCCTCTGCTTGCCTCTTGAATTGCTCTACTTTCTAATCGCGCGCTCGACAGCGCCAAAAAAGCTACGACTCTGCTACCCCCCACTTTTTCGTCTCTCACCCCGAATCCACCCATCAGCATTTATCGAATCGAATATCCAGTTCCACGCGCGCGCTCTGTGCCTTTTGCCCGATCTATCCCACTTGAGCAGAAGCAGAAATGCAATAACACTAATATAACGAAATATATATTAATCAATCCCCGATATATTGACCCGTTCAACTCGGACCTGCTGGTCAGCCGATGGAGTGGAGTTGGTTGCATCACGAACGCTGCAGCCGGATTTCCTTGCTGCACTATCAATCGCCATCAACAGCAATTCCGTCGTCTTCATTGACAATTCATTAGCATCTCTCTTTTTCTTTTCCCTCTGCTCTCCCTCTTACTCGGGTTCTCTTTCGATATCTCCCCCAACTGACATCACCGTCACCCAATCAACTCGGCCCGAGTTCTCGCACTATCCGCCATGGCGGGCATCTTTCGCAGCATCTATGACTGGCTATTGCGAATGTTCTGGTAAGTGTAGTCAGTCCTCTGGGATGGATGGATCTGTCACGGAAACGCCCGCCGGAGAGGACCCATTTTCTCCGCCACGGAAGCGTATCACCACCCAGCCAGCAGCTAATGTGAGCGGTTGTTTCGAATCTGCAGGGCAACTGAAATGGATGTTACCATGATTGGTCTCCAGAATGCCGGCAAGTCGTCGCTACTTCGTGTTCTAGCCGTATGTTCCCCCTCCCTCTTGTGTCTAACTTGTGTCATCTGGACCATTTTATTGAATATCTTTTTGTCTGCAATCACAGGGAGGAGAATTCACGGTTGAGTAAGTTCCGAATGCAGTCCGATGGTCACGAGGCAGGCCCTTTTTTTCTTTCCCTCCTTTTGAGTCGTGGGAAACCCCTCTCCAACTTGCTGATCCCCTGCTGCAACTTGCCAGTTCCATACCCACCATTGGCTTCAATACCAAAAAGGTCCAGAAGGGCCATGTGACGTTGAAATGGTTCGTAATTTGCTGCCTTGACCTCTTTCGTTTCTAGCGTCGCCTCGTCTTCTAACTAGTCGGCTCGTTAATATCGATAGCTGGGATTTGGGAGGTCAACCGCGTTTCCGACCGATGTGGGAGCGATATTGTCGTGGGGTAAACGCTATAGTGTAAGAAGAACAGGGCCCAGCCATCAGCAGCAAAACTCGCCCTTTCTAACAACGAAATGTATAATAGATACATTGTCGATGCCGCTGACCATCCAGCACTGCGCGTTGCCACGGAAGAACTGCATGACCTCCTAGACAAGCCCAGTCTAGACGGCATCCCGCTTTTGGTGCTGGGCAATAAGTCGGATCTGCCCAACAAATTATCAGTCGACGAGCTAATCGAGGAAATGGATCTCAAGTCCATTGTTCGTCGCGAAGTGAGCTGTTATGGCATTAGTGCTAAAGAAGAGACGAATCTTGACGCTGTATTGCATTGGTTAATTGCTCGGGCCAGTAGGTAGAAACAAGTTTAGTAGTCTCTTTGGTGATATCATGTTTGATATTTCTTTCATCTTTATTGTCTGCGTCTTTCTCTTCGATTTTTTCTTTCTTCTTTCGAATCGGATTTATTTCAGCGACTCATGATTGATGCGATAATGACGGTTGTTTCATCCAAGACGCATGCGCCAGCGATGGCTTTTTTTTATTTCTCTTTCTCTTGCTTTTTTTCTTTGTTCTTTGTCATTCATAGCCATCTGCACGAAACCATGCTTTTCTTTTCTCTCTTTGTTGTATATGTATGGATAATATAGCCATCAGGCATTGTAGCTATAACTATATAGCTATGCTTCGGCAGGCATTTTGGTAATGTAGATATAAGCAGTATGGGGAGAAAAGGTGATAAATGATAAATGAAGGAAGGATAAAAGCAGAGCGTGTGTGTGATACTAATCAATGCCAACTCATCATACATATACAACCCATCCACTACCTAACGCACTGCAGTATGCAACCATCTTTGAGATCCACAAATCTTCACTCTTTATCTAGATAGGTAGATTATGCGTTGTCCGATACATAAATATGTATCTGGGCTAAGGTCATTAATATAGGTTGTATGTATGCACACACGGGCCAAGTGATGCGTTGGCATTGTTGGTGGCCTATCGATGCTGATCCACTTCGTTTACGCAGGTTATTATACAATTATTTTGCTATAATCAGTTAAGTTGTAAGTATTATGTGGACATGATAAGTTGCAGGCAATTCTCGATCACTATAGATGAATGGTAGAGTGTAGAATATCTGGTGAATCTCATGTGGTGAGGCAAACTAGGTATAGAAGGCTAAGCACTGAACATTGCCAACCCAGCAATGGAAGCAATCGCCAGAATGCTGAACCTGGTTGAAATCTTCCAAGTAGAAGCTATGGGAAACGCATCATTGCTATCTCTGCCTTGAAGTGATTGAAGAACCTTTCATCTTCCCTCAGTACCTCTAACCTGGGCTACCTCTCTTGGATGCAGATTCTATCAATTGTGCAAATACGCATTTGCTGCATATCACTGGGATGAATAATAAATGGCCACAGTCGAATAGAGGACAGAATTCCGGATTTGATACAGAATCCGAGATTGAGCCGTAAGGTCAATGATTATATGAACTGCCCTTGAAATAATCGCAGCTTTCGGCTACTTGAGCAGGAAGTCCAAGTCTTGCAATTTCGCCTTTAACAAGGACTAGAACTGCATCATAATTCACCGTGGATGTGGCAGAGCTTGTGACCGAGATTACTGTCATACTCGAAAAGGCCGTTTTGATGATCTCCTGCGCCTTGCCTTCCATATCCCGACTTAAACTTGGTGTCGTCAGCAAGGAACAAACATAGAGTCTTGATTGCATGTACATACCTGCTTGTAATGTCGTCAATGAGAATAATTCTACTGTTGGTCACGCGAGATTTCAAGACTGTTCTTGCTAACGAAAGTAGCTGTGCTTCCCCGAAGGAGAAAGTATCAGGGTTGATGCTTGCATCTATTCCGCCGATTCTTTGCACTTTTGGCGCTCTCTTGGGGTATAATAACCAGGTCCCGGCGCCTGACAGAGTGCGGAATGACTGATATATCTCTTCCATTAATGACAATTGCCCCTTGAGAGACGTCAACTAGCGATAGGAAGGATAATAGGAGAGTCGACTTTCCAGATCCACTAGGTCCGCAAATTGCGAGTTTTGAACCTAGAGGAATAGACAAGAAGTTGATATCGCGAAGGACGGAGGTTTGGTTTCCTGGTTGATCATGATACACCGCCCACAAGTTGCAAAATTCTTCTCCGTCGTGGAGAGCAGTGTTTGTCCGTCAATGATGTATGCAGTATTGTTATGTTGGTCGCATTCATCGTTCTCGACGGTTGTACTCTCGCAGAACGAAAGCGATCGTTCCACAGCTCCAAGCGAAGTTTCGAACGATGTCCAAGAAACAATCAAGTTCGTCAGTGTCTCAGTTACAGTCGATATATTGGAAAAGGCTACACCCATAGCGGCCACATTGGCCTTTGCGCGAAGTCCAATGGCCGCACCTACAACAACTATAATCATTGCTGTTGTTTGAAGGTTGAGGACGAGCTGTAACCACCTTTTCGCACTGTACAGTAGATAGAGAGGTTTCTGTGAATTATCAAGGTATTGAGAAAACTGGCGTATAGATTCCTCTTGCCAGCCAAAGGCTCGAATAGTGGAGAGGCCAGAGCAGGTAGACAGGAACTGCGCATGGAAGGGTGCTTTTGCTTCAAGTTTGAGGTGTCGGAGTTGCTTAGACGTTCGAACATAGAATTTTTGGATGCAAAATAGAGCGATGAATGTGAAAAAAATCACTGCCACCATGTAGACCGAGGAGATCGAAATCAAGACAGTCTGCATAATCGATGTGAAAAGCTCTGCTGTCGTATTAGACAGGTCTAGTGGCAGTTGCATATCTATGAGCATCATGTCTTGATTGAACCTATTGATAATGCTGCCATCGTAATCTCGCTCCAGGACAGATAAGGGAGCTTTGATCACGGTCTCGAGGACTTTTCGGTGGAACTCAATCCCCGACTTTGGAATAAGACGATACATGAGGTGTCTTAAACCTAGTCAGTAGAAGAACCTGCCAAATTCAAGACTCACTTGCACTTACTCCATGCTGTAAGAACAATCAAGGGCATTGTCTCGAGAACAGCAAATATACTCAACCAATAAGTAGTGTGAGTTTGTCCTGCGGTCTTGATATCTTCCGACCACCATTCAACCTACAAATTTGGAAGATATATCATGAGACGAGTTTCCGTGAGAATAAACTATCAAAGGAGAACTACCTGGAAATTCCAAAGCAAACCCAAAAGATATACCGGCGGCAACGAAAAAGAGCGCATCTATAAGCCCAATTGATTTGAAATAGCCAAGATAGACCTTTGCGTCTGGTATCTTCATTACCTGTTGGTTCTGCTGTCTCCCCCAATATACAACAAGCTCTCTAGCTGCTGAGTGAGATGGAGGAGTTTTGTCATCTATCGCAAGCGAAGGAGCTGGAATATCCTGCCCTACTGTTTTAGTCGGCACGACAACGCGGTCTGTCGACACACCCTCGCTCCAAGAGAAGAGAGAACCGTCTTCATTTAGAAGGAGAACATAATAGGCACGATCAATGACAGTCTAAATACATGCATCAGAAAAGCCGCGCTTCACTCTGATACACTAAGATAGATTGTGAACTGACCATCGTTGGTTGCGTAGATTACAGTGACTCCCAATTGTCGGAGTAAATCCTGCAGGCCTAATAGACGAGACATTACAAACTTCTCAGACAAGAAATTAGCAGTGGTCAATTAGAATTGTACCGTATCAAGTTTGACAAAGGCAGGTAGGTAACCGAGTTTTGAATTTCCTTAGCTGACACATGCGTATATCACTATCCATATAGGCAGGTAGTGAAGCTGATTTGTGAAACATTACTTAGTTAGGCAGCTGCATATGCCGGTGGTTGTCTAGCCGTAGGAAGTATTCATATATCCATGCAAGGCATCTCTAGTACGTAATCCTCGCATAGTATCCATCAGACACGTCCGAAAAGTCCAAGCGCTTTGTCCGACGAGTGGCGAGTCACAGTCAGACTACTGCGCCTGATGAGCAAGCATCATACCATCAGTCTGGCATAAGAACTCATAGTGACAATGCAGTGTACATTATTCCATGCATATTTGTTTGCGACGTCAGACTTAGGGCTTTGATGTTGATAAGATACGGAGAGAGTCGCGTGTGATTGGCTGATGTGGGTTCCGGATTGCCCGCGAGTCCCCACCCCCCAGCCTCTGATGATTCACCGCGCTATGCCGCATGCAGACCTAGCACAGCAGCCGTGATTGGCTGCAGTCCCCTAGCCCCGCCACTGTCCGCTTCAGGTAAGACGTGGCCGGGCTCAGCCACTGCCGGGCGACTCATGATCTCACTTGCTCTCCTCGCCGGTCATCTTTTTTAAACTACATTCTTTGGACTCTCTCGGGACTGCTGCAAGTGCTCTCGTAACCTGGTTATCTGTTACTGATCTACTCTCTGTTGCGCGATAAACCAGTTCTTCTTCGCGATGAGTGACAATTATAATCGTGACGTATGGTACGGTGTTGATCCTGTCCTATCGCAATTTCATTCTCAACTGACTGACGTCCTCCCTCGTAGTTACAATGGTTGGACTTACTGGAACTGTAATTCGGCGTGGACTAGATGGGGCCGCTGGGTAGCCTTTGGTGTGATCGTGGGAGCAGCTCTGCTTTTCTTTCTACTGTTTGCGTGAGTTATACCCAGCTGCGGGCGAGAGCGAGGAAGAAGAGAGGCGGAGGATAAATACTGGAGAGGATCATATAAGCTAACAACATGCCTTCATTTTACAGCTTCTTTAATGCCCGACGTCGCCGTGCCCGCGGTAGACAGCCCTTTTACGGCACTCAATGGATGGCACCTCCCCCCTACCGACGAAACGAATGGCAACAGCCTCCGCCTCAATACCAACAGCAAGATCAGACTCAGGCATATGACCGCCCTCCACCGCATCCTCCGGCCGCCGCCGGTTATTACGGCGGACAAGAGAGTGGAATTGAGTTGCAGCAACCGCAGAGTGCCTATTACGGGGGAGATACAGTCTACGGGCCTCCTGCTGGTCCTCCTCCGGCAAAGAAATAGTGCAAATAATAAATATAGCATATGATCTGTGCATTGGAATGGGCGATCAGCGTGGTTTTCAGAGAAGAACATGGCGCGAAGCGGAACCTCGACTACAGTCCATCTATAATATCTCTCTGGCTTGGTGTTTTGGTGTTTGACTATTGATTTATTTTGCATGATTGCTCTCCTCACCTACGAAGCATCAATATGCTGTGCTGTATTTACTTGGAAGATGAGATGCGATGAATTTACGGACACCCATTTGCATCAGCTTGCCAGCGAACTCCGTTATAATAATGTATATACTCCGTGCTAGTCATATAGCATGAACAACTATTCAATAACAGTTCCTGTTCACTCATCATACGCTTCAGTCTTCTGCACAGCCAGCAGACTCAAGGAGTAAGTTGGTGGAGCTAGGAGAACAGACGTTTCTTAGTGGGCGATCTCAATTAAAAAAAGAAACTTCGCGCTGGAGGAAAAGCAAGCAGCCGTCATACGTACACACTTGAACGTGGCTTGGACGAAGGCGCCTCAGTGAGAAATGGGCAATGGCAGACAAGTGTCGCAGCCTCTGGTGTGAAACAGGCTGGGTGTCTCACGTCTATTTTCTTTCCAGAAGCAGAAAACCCGGCAACGGGGCACGCCCCACCGCATCCCGCGCCAACGAAGTTTCTATGGGGCAAGCGCAACAAACTCATCCTTCGCCGAACCTTGGGACGACGAACGACGTCTTCCTTTTTCCTCTCGATCAACTCCCTCCGGCGACGTCGTCCCTCATGTTCATCGCTGCAAGTGAGACACTGACCTGCTGAGTCAGTGCAGCATCTCAGTCAGTCTTTGGTGAAAGAAAGTCCACTCTCTTGGCAATGTTCGACGTCTCTCCCAGCCTTCGCTCGCTATCTCCGTCTCGTCTGTTGAACTGATCTTGTCGCACTCCTTAAACAGCGTCGCCAATTGATCGCATCACTCATTGAATACCGTTACTACAGGCGAAGGCCACGAATATCTCGACCGCTCGTTCACTCACTCGCTTTGAATGCACCCCGACTCAGCCTCTTTCTGAATCATATGCGACCAGAGTTTGATTAAGACTGTCTTTTAGTTGTTGACTGCGCGTTAAAATCCTTGTGCTTCGGATTCATTCAAATCATTCTTTGGGAACTGATTGTTGCGACTTCCGATAACCCTGTCGCATACTGCAACATTTGTGAGACTAATCGGCTAGTCCTCGCACGGTTTTGGCAATCACGATGAGCGTTACCGAGAAAATGGTTGCATCGCTAGTGCAGCGAAGTCTCTCTAACGATGTCAGTTCAGCCCTTACTAGCTGGGATAGTTGTATGGCTAAAGCTTATTGCAAGTACGTGGGATGGCGCTATATCCGTCCATATCTTAACAACTGCTAATGCCAATCAAATAGGTGGCCCGTCATCGCCGGTATCATCGTCGGGTCTATCATTATCCTGGGTATAGCGGGTTGTCTGATCAGCTGCCTGTGTTGTGGTTACCGATGCTGCGAGGGATGTTGCGGCTGCTGCTACAGATGTTGCGATTGCGGTGGCTCTCGACACAATCGGCGCAGAGGTAACAAATACGTGGATGAACCCCCGCCGCAGCCATACTATCAACAACCTCCACCTCCAGAACCCATGAATTTCGGATACAGACAACCTGTTGCGGCTGCATCATCGCTAGCATCGACCGCGCCGCCGCCCGCATATCGCGGCCCTCAAACTGCTACATTTGACCAACCGAGCAAACCAGTTGTTGTCAATGAAGATGAACTCCCACCAATGCCTACTTGGGCTGATGCCCAAACACGACGCGTGGAGGATCCAGATGCAGAGCATGAAGAGGTGGAAATGGATAATTTGGCCGGGATCAGAGATCAGTCCAAGAGCCCTTTTCATCATGATGCTGTTGCGCCCGCCCCGGTGGCCGGAGGTTTGTCTCGAGGAATGTCTCGAGGTGGATATACCCAAGTGCCTGCCAATTATCCTAGCCCGCATCCAAGCCCTCGCCCATTGTACGACGAGGGATACTCTCCTAACGGAGGAGTTGGTGGATACGGCGGCCACGGCGAGTATCAAGATGGGTATCATAACGAAGAACAAGGAAATTACTATGGTTCCCCGGCGGATGCACATTATTTCAACCAAGATCCCCATTCGCTAGGTACTGGTTTTGGCCAACTGCCTGCAGGCTATAGTCCTCGAGCATTACCACAACCATCTCCAGCGCCGTATCGAGGTTTTGATAACCAGCCTCCTCCTAGAGCCCCAGTGCCAAATTTCAGCGCACCAGGAAATGTTTATGGCGGCCAGATCCCATCTCCAAGGTCACCACCACCGGCCATGGGTGCTGGGTACTCGCCATATGACCAACAGTCACAACAATATCGTCAACTAACACATAGCCCACCGCCACCAGCAATGCATCCAGCCATGCAACCATCATCAATGGGGAGCGGATACTCCCCATACGACCACGATCAGCTACCGCAGCAGCAACCTTCGTCGGGATATTCGCCATACGACCATCAAACAGAACCGCAATACGGAGTACCACAAACTCACAGCCCCCCACCACCCCAACCAACGTTACAACAACAACAACAAGGAGGTCAATACCGCGCGTTTTCACCGCGAATCGCCTCCCCTGGTCCTCCTTCCCCTCATCAAGCAACAGCCCCGACTTCATTACTAGAGGACCCATCTGCGAACAACGAAGATCGACCACCGAGTTTGCTCATGGCTGGACGACGACCTGCCCCGAATAGTTACCGAGCTGTATAATATATATATTTTTTCTCTATTTACACATCTACATGTATGCATGCATGTATATGTTATCCTTTCGAATCGTCATGACTCTACCATGCTATACCAAAACTGGCAAGATGATTTTGGAACCCTTCTTCGTTTTTTTTTTTTTTTCCGATTGGGTCATTCTTCGATTGGTTTGGCGTTATGAAAGGTTATTTTATCTCTGGGTCTGTGGGTTATGTTGTTGTCTTTATATCTATTCTATAATGTCTGCTGGGTTTGATAAGGTGGTCCTGAATGGATGGCAATGGATACTATCGATGGGTATTTATGTATATATACTTGAAAGCTTACCTTACCTAGCATATAGAATATATTTTTGCATGAAGATGTGGGTATTTATGACATATTTACCTATACCTAGAGAGGTAGCAATCGTAGTAAGGAAATGAGATAGGTTATTCATAGATACCCAAGGTAAGTAACTAGGTAGAAAGTCAAGCTTGGAATGGCTCCGAGGGTGTCACATAATTATACTGAAGTTAGGAGGTTCGTAATTGTTGAAGGCAACTTAATAAATGAGACGAAGGAAGTGCAATACAAAAGAAGAAAAAGAAAGAAAATAATCTATTGAATAATATTCCCGAAAGACAGCGAGAGAAGAGAAATGTGTCTGACAGCAAACCCTCTCGGTTTCAAATAAACCTGCAGATATGTGTTAGGCTTTGTTTCTGACAACCACTTAATCTTCGCATTTAAATCTGCTTACATAGCTTTACCGATGCCTAAACTGACTTTCTTCGTCTCGTTCTCTCTCACTGGTGAGTAGATTGGTTGGCAACGTTGGCTTCGGATCTGCTTTCCCGACAGCCCTGTCTTGGGCACTGCTAGTGTTGTCGTTTGTTGACAGGGACGAAACAGACGAAGATGACGATTTGATCCGAGTCAGGTAATTAGCTTGATTCTCGGACGATGTCGGATACTCAAGAGATTCTGATTCGGGCTGCTGCGGGACATAAGTGTTAGATTCCGTCCGAACAATGGATATTCCCATACCGTATGGACGTGAGAACATAAACAGTACCTGAATGGAAAGCTCCATGATCTTTTCAACTCGTAGCCACGAGTATGCTGCTGTTTCGGAGATGGGAATTCGTCCGGATTTGGAAGATGGTGAACGAATGGTTTCCGGATGAGGCCAGGAAGTCGGAGAAAAATAAGAGGCAGGAGTATCTTCACGACGGTTCGACATTTTGTGGGGTCCTCAAACCTTTTTTTTCTTTCTCCGTAGTCTGCAGATCGAAAAGAAAGAGAATAGAGAAGGGGCGAAGATACAAAAAGGAAAAAAGCGAAGAGGTGCTATTAAATGCGAGAGTAATAGGGGCCTGGGTAATGCTTAAGTCGTTGGCTTTCATGTCTTTATATCTTCAAGTCCATGGCAGGGAGCCAAGAAACTAGACATACCGTAGAATATAGTGAATAGGGCCAACTTGTCAGATCGGGTAGAAAGTCTCCTTGCCAGCATATCTCTCATACGAGCGGTCAATGGCGATATCGACGATGCTCTGGCAGTGCAGCTGGTCATGTCATATGCGCGTCCAAATAGCCCCAATCATTGGTGCCAGCTTGGCTTGGCCATCAAGGTCTAAGCATATAACGATATGGGTTGTTAACAGATTGGATGATGATGATGGAGAGCAGAAGATAGAATGAATTTCCTTTGGAGGCGTTGGTAGAGCTTGGTGGCTACGCGCGGGTTGTTCCTTCCTAATGACCCATAAGATTAAGGCACCATCCAGGCATCGAGTGTCTCCTCTTAGTTACTAGGTAGGTACATAATATCAACAAAGCCAGCATCTGCTGCTATTCTTCCTCAAGCGAGAAATCAAACTCCTTGAAAGCAACCTTGAATGCCTCGACGTCTGCCACCTCCTCCTCCATGGTTTGCGCGCACTCCCTCCAATCCATTCGTTTCTCGAGCTGCAAAAGCTTCGCCATGACTTTGCGACCAAACTGCAAGTCAAACCGGAAGTCTGGTGTCAGGGGTAGAACCAGAACCTTCTCAGATCCCTTTTTCGACTCGGTTTGTTGCTCTGAGTTGCTGCTTGCTGGCTGCCATATCCATACCCGGAAGTAATCACCGACCTCGCTGGCGCCATCGTCCCCTGCGGAAGGCTTGAACTTCGGATAGTCTAGATTTTCTCCTTCGACCTTAAACGCTGCTTCTACTAACCCTTTAGCCACCAGATCGGAGGCGACGGGGAGATATTGCCAGTGTACATGGATACCGTTGCCACGGCTAACCTCCCAGGTTACTGATCCCAGCTTGTTTTGGGCCTTTTCCCGAGCCATATCATTCAACGCAACGCGGTAACGCTGCATCTCATTATACGTACTTTGCCGCGCATCCGGCTCGGTTATCGCGGAAAAAGTAGGGGCGTGGATAAAAGGAATGATTAACATGTGACCGGGGAACCGCAGAGACGGATAAGAGTCAGACTTTGTGAGAGGACCTTTTGCTGTGGTGAGATATGCGTCGTTGCCGATTGACGTGATTAAATGAGTAGCGATGTCAGGATTGGACAGGCAGAAAAAGCATTCGCCCGGGCCCGGAGGAGGTCGCCTTGCGCGCTTCTGTGGTCTTTCATTATTTCCCCTTGAAAACCGGTGGAAGCCCTCATTCTGACTCTCTAAGGCTGCTCTCTTCCGAGATACAGTGGCAAGAGGAGATGCCGTCGCACCAGCTGGTATTGAACTGGGCACTGGAGCCTTGGGGTCGAATGTGAATGCATACATCCATTTCTGGCCCTTAGCTTTTCCATATGACGCCATATTGATAAATCGGGTTACAGGCTTTTCGTCAGGGTTACCCTCTGTTGGCAAATGAAAAAATGGCTCTCTTTCGTAGAAGAACTCGGCCTTTGAAGAAAAGTGATAACGCGGCTTGAGGGTTGAGCAGACATCAGCCACACATTGAGCGCCTTCCGGTACCGCTTTATCTTCTGGCAAAGAAACTTTCGAACGCCCAGTTACACCTTTTGGCCACTCATAAGTCACCAGGATGTCAGCATCATGAACCCCATAGAGAGATCGAGCGTCGGAATCCGTATAGCGGGAGTGATATCGGTTGTTAATATTTGGATCTTGCTGGCCATCTGTTGCAACTTCGCCTCCAAGGGTTGCAATTCGGATGCCCTCGAAGGTCTTCAGAGTACCTCTTCTTCCAATGAAATACAAATTGGGACAGACTTCATCGTCCGCTTGAATTTTTTCAACGACTCTAGTCGGGATTGGATATCTGCCGACGCTGAAGTATGTGGGTAGGGGAACGCTGATGTTTCCTGCTAGCAGGGCTGAGATTTGGCTCAGTTCCTCTTCACTTGTACTTTCTCCAAAGAGGTCTCCAACCACGATGGCAAAAGCGAAGTTCTGCTTCGCTTGAAGTTTCGCGATCTTGGTGAATACCTCTTGAAGGGCGCAATTGACGTTGCCCAAGACCAGACTAATGCTTTATGTCAGCTGTATGAGTTTCAATAAGGATTTAAAAATACAAAGCTTACATTTTTGATGCCATTATCAAATGGCAAAAGATAGAATTAGGATGGCTAGTCTTGAACTGAAAGATGTGTGAGGTTTTCACCTCGTCTAGGCCGTGCGAAAGAAGATATGATTCAGATCTCATTACCTCCTGCTGTCTGACGTTGATACAGCATATCAAGCTCTCTGTTGGTATAGTAGTCAGGCTTCTCCAATGGCAGGTCTCAATTCGATCGAACAAAAAGAAATCAGCGGATGCCGTCATTGGAGAATCCAGGCACGTCACGTGCCGGACCCACAGTTGAACTTCGAGGTTGGAGTTTTTCGTCAAAAGCGGATTAGCGTCCGACGATAAGCGGCAAAATGTTTCGCCTGATCCGACAACTTTTTTTTTTATTGATAGCGAGCACCTCGAACGTCTATCAACATGCCACAGAATAGCCGCCTGCCAGCTTAAGAAGGCCAACCCTTTGCGATCATGGTGGCGCCTTCATTGAGCTCGCGGGGAAAGCCTGCGAAGCTTCTGAAGAAAGGAACCGAAACTACAAAGTCTCACCGATTCGAAACCTTTTCACTACGTGTTTCCAAATTGAAGATCGATCCAATCCACCGCGTGCGACGAACTGGGTTTGGCGAAGAGGATGGAGAAGAAGATGAAAACTTCTCCCATTTCCGGTCGTCTCTGGACCACTGGAGCGAAATGAATCTGTCGGAATTCTTTACGGAGTTTGTTCGTCGTGTCAGTCCTCTGTCGGAAAACCTGCCTCAGGTGTTGTACCACGAAGAGAAGATCATGGCGCTATTAATTGAATTCATTGACAAAAGGGACAAATTGTCGATTGAACCCCTTCTGAGTTTGATATCACAATTTGCGAGGGATTTGGGCGTGCGATTTGAGGGGCATTTTGCAGCTAGTGTCACTTTGGTTGCATCTGTCGCGGCGACTCACTCAGACGTCGAAGTCATCGAATGGAGTTTCACTTGTCTGGCCTGGATATTCAAATTCCTTTCGCGCCTACTGGTTCCGGATCTACGACAATTGTTAAATATAATGACTCCGTACCTCGGCAAGGAACGCCAGAAACCGTTCGTTGCACGATTTGCAGCCGAATCCATGTCGTTTTTGATCCGCAAAGCTGGACTCGTCTACCATAAAAATAAAATTCCTCTTAACCGTGCAATCTCCTTTCTGTTTCAGGATCTTCGCAATTCCACGGAGTCACGAAGCTTAGATACCTACCAGGAGGGTTTGATGGTCATGTTTTCGGAAGCCATCAAAGGTGTCAAAGGAGGTCTTTATTCTAATGCTTCAGATATTTTGCAGTGTTTGGTGGATAATGCTATTATCGGCGATGAGCTGCAATCGTCTCTAGCTGAAGATGTGGTTTGCGGCGTGCTTACGAACATCATTCACGCCACAACTTCAGACACATTCTCTGAGCTCCTGAAAGTGGTTTGTGCATACGCTGAGACCGACAACTCAGAGAATTGCGATGCGCGTCTGAATTTATCTTCACATCTTCTTTTTGTTTGTGTGGCCACCCGTAAAGCAACACGGGTTAAGGATTGGAAAGTTGTTCACCGTATCCTACTGGTTTTGTTGCAAAGAGCATTGGAGCAGCTAGAATCAAACCGTGACACCATACCTCGAATTCTTACCTCGATTGCATATGCATTACAACTTTCTCCAATGGACGAGATGATGCCTTTCATGCGGCCTACCATGGAAGTTGTATCCGACGAACGCCTGGCATCTTTGTTTTTGCCCTTTTGCTCAACATTCTCTGAATTCGGGTCCGAAAGGTTTCAGATAATTGTTCTGCCTTATTTCCAACGGTAAGAGGTATTGTCCATAGACCATGCTTATTCCCGCTAATGTGTTGGTATTTCAGTTTTCTGGTATCTTTTTGGAAGACAAAGGAGGAGGATCTATGCTTATCACTCATCCAGCTAGAGGATGCTGGTTGCGTCACTTCCATATCTTCAAGGCCAGGTTATATCAACTGCCCCACTGATTGGAGGACACATATTCTCAAAAGATTGAAAAATCCTGGCACGTCACTGGATGAGACCGCAATGCTTAATGCCTACGCCAGACTTCGTACGGCAGTCTCATTCTCCCATGACGCCTCTATCATCCCACAGCTAGTGCAGCCGTTGCACGATTTGCTAGTAGTATCGTTGAATGACTCAACGCTTGACGATCAGCCTCCCAATATCTTCTTCTGTGGCCAGGGATTTCAGACTTATGTTGATCTTGCAGACCAGTGCAATTGTCTAGATAGGTCGCTTTGGCAGTTGATTTTGAAGACCGGAGCTCGATTTACTCGTCGACTGACCTTCCTTGAGGCAACATTCAACTACTTAACTCGATTGCCCGGCCTTATTACAGAGAGCAAAGAGGACTTAGATTTGCTTGCAACCGCTCTTATAGAAAACCTCACTTCACCTTCTCATTATTTGAGGTTGATTTCATTGAAATTACTATCTGAGTTAGTCAGGGTTACTACGGGGGACCCTCAGAACGCCATCAGCACCGCCATCGAGATCGAGGAAAGCGAATTATCCCTACAGACTGCTCGATTCCTATCTATGCAGGTCCGCAAGCTCGGCATTCTATATCCACAAGTCATTTCTCACAGCTGGCTCAGCAGGATGGTTCCCAAGTTCTGTTTCGGTTTATTTTCCAAGCAACTTGCTCAATTGTGGACTGATTCTGCTGAAACATTGAAAGTCATTAGCCAACATACTGCTGGGGAAGCAGTAGTTACCGAATTGTGTATGCTTTGGTTGCAGCACAATGGCGAGCTCAACAGTGACCTTCCATTGGATGAAGATTCTAAAAGGAGCTGGTCTGAGTTCAGATGTCCCAATGCGTTAAAGATCGAAGGAATAATTGAGGCACGATTTCAGGCTGTCAAGGAACCAAAGGAAGTTCTCATAGAAAGTTTTAACAGCAGTCATGAAGCCTCGGCATTGCTTCCGTCGTCTGCGAGAGCTCGTTCATTGCTGGTGTTACATACCATTCCTGAAGTGGCTGAGAAGCGTTCTAGACAGATCGTTCCTCTCTTCCTTCGGTGGGCCTCAATAGAGGGAGACAGTGGGAAAAGCCAGAACATTGACCCTAAATCTTCCAAAACTCTCGCTGCTGAGGAGGATGCGCCCATTTGGGCTTACAAGGATCGAATGGCGCTCCTTGGATTATTTGAAAAGTTTATTAATCCTCGTTCTCTCTTCAAATCTTCTGAAGTTTATGATGCACTCCTACTTTTAACTGCTCACGGAGACTCCACGGTACAAAAGTCCGCACTCAAAGGCCTTTTTACATGGAAATCACCGAATGTTCGCCCGTATGAAGAAAATCTACTCAACATCTTGGACGAATCCCGCTTCCGTGAAGAACTCTCAGTCTTCGTGCATCTCGATGAAAATGACAGCAAGGTTGAGAAAGGCCATAAACCAGAGTTGCTTCCAATTCTTTTACGACTACTTTATGGACGTATGATCTCCAGGGCAGCTTCAAGTTCAGGATCGGGTGGGCAAAGCGGACGGAGAAAAGCAATTCTTCGCGTACTTTCTCAAATGTCCGGGCCCGATTTCAAACTCTTTGTCCAGATTGCATTTGGTGTGCTTTATGATTTGAATATGTCCAAGGAGGGTCGGATTGACAACAAGTACTTCGACCTTGAGCTAGTCAGCGAAAGAAGACAGGTTGGTTTTCTCAAGATGATTGAGACGATGCTTGAGACTCTCCAGAGCCGCATGCATGCTTACGCTATTAAATCAATGGACGCTGTATTTTACTGTCTTGTGCGAGCTTCCCGCTTGCTAGCCCTCGATGCGCAAAGTACACCGAATCTGGAGAGTAAAGCGTCAATGCTACGAGAGATTCGAAGCGTAGGAATACGCTGCCTTTGCATGATTTTCTCGATTGCTCCAGACATTGACTGGACGCCATATGTCAGCCTTGTTTTCGATGAAGTCATCAACCCTCGACTTGAGAACTTCGCCATCGAGAATGCGCAAGGTGTATCTGCCTTCCATCGGCTTTTTCACGAATGGGCTGTTTCTTCGAAGTCCATATTCTACTTGACGCGATTTAGCAGCAATTTGTTGCCAGCTGTCATCGACACCATGACAGTTCCATCTGCGCGGGATGATGTGAAGGTATACATCATGGAGCAGATCATACAACCAATTGTCAATCACTCCACTGGCCGTATGACAGAAGAAACCGAGGAGATGAGTGACATTCCTCCGGAGACCATACGTGTGGAAATACTGGCACCATATGTGGATCACATTCTCTCACAGCTTAGTAAACTGTTACAATCAAGCCCTGCTCGTCCAGTGCTAGTATCCGCCGTCGAAACGTTATCACTAATAGCGCCTTGCGTCGAGACGTCAAACGAGATTTCAAGTCTTGTGCGTATATGCACCTATCTTTTACGTCAGCCACATGACAAGATTTCACCAAAGACGAAGTCAGGCTTACTGCGCACGCTGCAGCATTTCGTACCTTTGTCTTCTATAGATAAAGATCCTTCATTCGCCGAAGAAGTTTTCTCTACTGTATCTTCCCTGTTTGACTACTTCAAAGATGACCAAAACCGGAACGTTCTGTCATCTGTTCTGCATGAGTTTGCCAAATATGATCCTGAGTTGGAGGAGGTTAGTCTACTTTGTGCGGACCTCAATGCCATTGACACTCAGAAGCTTGACAACGTTGATTACGATCGACGGCTTCAAGCATTCGCAAAGATCAACGAGCAACTATGGATAAGTTTGAGTCCCAAACAATGGCGACCTCTTCTTTTCAATATGCTGTACCATGTCAAGGATGAGCAGGAAATTTCGATCAGATCAAGTGCCTCGTTTGGGCTCAAAAGATTCATCGAAAGGGCAGCACATGGCGAGTCAAATACATGTAGCTTTTCTCTTCTTAGAGACGATGTCTTGTTGCCAGCTCTACAGAGCGGTGTCCGTCAGCGGTCTGAACTGGTGCGATCGGAATTCGTGTCGGCATTCGGCCACTTGGTCAGATTGAATCCTACACTGCCGTCTATTCAAGATTTACACATTCTTCTAGTTGCAGGAGATGAGGAAGCTTCATTTTTCAACAACATTCTTCATATCCAGCAACATCGTCGTATGCGCGCCCTGCGCAGGCTCGCGACTGAGGCATCCAGTGGTAAAATCGGCTCTTCTAATATAAGTTCATTCTTTTTTCCTTTGATCGAGCATTTCGTGTTTCACGTGGCCGAAGACGAGACAGCCCATAATTTAGCTGCAGAAGCTGTGGCGACTTTGGGTGGATTGGCTGAGTGGTTGGAATGGAGCCAGTTCCGAGCCGTATTCCGTAGATATCGCGGAAACATGACCAGCAGGCCTGATGTCGAAAAGAATATGATCAGACTGCTTGGTCGCATGACTGACGCCCTTTCAAATGCCTTCAGTCAACGACATACCAAATCCGGCTCGGAAGAAGATAACATCGAGTTAGACGATTCGGCGTCCAATCAATCGGCAAAATGCCGTCTCGCTTTGACACTTCCTTCACCACACAAAATTGCAAATGAGCTTACAACTCATTTCCTGCCATTCCTGACCGAGTTTGTGCATCACAAGGACGAAGCGCAAATGAGTCTACGTCTCCCTGTCGCTATAACGACCATCAAGTTACTCAAGCTTTTACCGGAAGAAGACATGGCCATCCGCTTGCCAGCTGTTCTGCTTGATGTTTGCTACGTTCTGCGTAGTAAGGCGCAGGACTCCAGAGATAATGCCAGGAAGACTCTCGCAGATATAGCTATGATCCTCGGTCCCTCTCACTTTGGCTATATCCTGAAGGAATTGAGGACTGCATTAGCTAGAGGCTACCAACTACACGTTCTCTCTTTCACGGTACATTCGATTCTCGTATCAACAACGGATGTATTTGAGCAGGGTTCCCTAGATCATTGTCTTTCTGAAGCAGTCGCAATCGTCATGGACGACATCTTTGGTGTCGTTGGCCAAGAGAAAGATGCTGAAGACTACGTCAGCCAGATGAAAGAAGTCAAGAGCAGCAAAAGCTATGACTCGATGGAGTTGCTTGCAAAGAACAGCTCAGTAACATGCTTAGGGGCTCTCATAGCGCCTTTGCAGCTGCTTCTGCGGGAAAAACTAACAGCGACCTTAGTAAGAAAAATCGATGAGCTTTTCAGGAGGATCGGTCTTGGTCTACTGAGAAATCCGCGTGCGGAAAGCCGAGACATGCTTGTTTTCTGCTACGAAGTGATTAAAGAATCTTATGCGGATAATAGCAATTCAGAAACAACAACATCCACAGAGTCAGCTAGAAACCGTCGATTCCTTATCAATATGCAAGGCATGAAGCGCGGCGAGAAACGTGGAAGCACTTCCTCATACATCTACAAATTGTCCCGTTTCGCATTGGATGTCCTCCGGTCTATCTTGAACAAGTTCAGTTCACTCCTCACTGCAAATAACCTAGCCGGTTTCTTGCCGATTGTGAGTGACGCAGTGATTCAGTCGTATGAAGAGGTCAAGATTTCTGCTATGCGTCTTCTCTCAACTATTATCAGATTGCCCCTGGCCGAGCTTGACCGGAATGCTCCCACTTATCTTGCCGAGGCTGTCAAGATAATCAAGGAGGCACCAAGCACTAACACGGAAGCTGCCCAAGCTGCGCTCAAATTCATAGCCTCCGTGTTGCGAGAGAGGAAGACAGTGGAATTGCGAGACAATCATCTTTCGTATCTGTTGAAACGTCTTACCAATGATATCGAGGAGCCCGATCGTCAAGGCCTGACATTCAATTTCATTCGTGCTGTGATGGATAGAAAGTTCCTTGTTCCCGAAATATACGAGTTGGTTGATAATATTGCGAAAATGATGGTGACCAACCAAACTCGGGCTGCTCGCGATTTGGCTCGGGGTGTGTATATTCACTTTTTGTTGGAGTACCCTCAAGCGAAAACTCGATGGTCCAAGCAGCTAGCTTTCCTCGCGAAGAATTTCGACTATCAGCACCGCGAAGGTCGTGAATCGGTCATGGAAGCAGTACATCGGTTGTTGAACAAAACTGGAGGAGATTTGGGTCAAGATATAATCAGCACATTCTTCCTGCCCGTTGTGCTCGTCATGGCAAACGATGAGACCTCAGAGTGCCGGCAACTAGCGGGGCTTCTTCTCAGCGAATTCTTCTCAAGAGCTGATCGAGAAAGGCTGCAAGTCATGCTGAAACCATTGCATGCCTGGCTTGAGCAAACGGAGAACAAACAACTTGCAAACACTGGCCTGCAGGCAATGAGGATTTTCTTCGAGGCTGAAGGCGTCGAGAAGGACAAAGAAAGCCGATTTGTTACTAACACTTTACCTCCCTTGATCACCCCCATCGTTGGTGATACTGAAAGTGAAGATTGGGAGACGCTTTACTTCTCTTGGCAACTGTTTTTGAAGATATGCAAGACTGTACCGTCAGTTGCTTACAGCAAAGAATCCCGAAGCTTGTGGTCTAGTGTTCAAGAATCTCTATTCTATCCACAGGCTTGGGTGAAGACTTGTGCGGCGAACTTGATTGGTCTATGGCTTGCTGATCTAGCAAAAACGAATGCTGCCGATGGCTATAGCAAAGTTCCTTTGGCTGGTGCACATGGTCTCGAGCTCGACAAGGAAGGAATGATTCAACTTACCCGTGGCAGTCTTCGGTCAGTCCAGATTCCGGGCGTTAGTGAAGAACTCGCTATGCAGAGCGTCCGCAACGTTGTTTTCTTAAGCCGATGTTTTGCTGTCAATGGGGTTGAGTTTTCTCCCAAGGAGGCCCAGGAAGCACACGAGGACACGTCTGGCGATGCAAGTGAAGCCGATGCAGCAGAAGACGAAGAAGCCACTGGCGAAGTCACCAACGGAGTTGTATCATCTAAGAGTCTACTTCACTACATCTTCCGTCAGATCTCGGATATATTACGTCGAGAAACGATATCCGGCAAAGCCAACGCGCTCGTGCCCAAGGCTGCGTCCATGGCGCTTTTGGCCGCAATATGTCGCCACCTGGAATCAGAGAAGCTAATATGCTTTCTCTCGATCATTCTTCGACCTTTACAGCATTTGATCGACCCCAACATTCCTGCGCCTCGATCTTCGGATCCGGATTTCCAGACCAATTACAAATCTTTGGTTACGAATGCGCAGGAAATCCTTGACTTGCTGCAGAAGAAATTAGGCACGACTGAGTACGTCGCCCAAATGGCTCGTATTCAGGAGAACATCAAAGCGCGTCGGGAGGAACGGCGAGTTAAGCGTCGCATTGAAGCAGTCGCAGATCCAGAGAAGTTTGGCCGTGAAAAGAAGCGCAAGAACGAAAGGAAACATGTCAAGAGGAAGGAAAGAGGACAGGAATTCAGGGAGCGGAGACGGGGCTTTTAAAGTGGAATGTTCCAGTGCATCTCCGGCGTTTATTCATTGGTGTGTTTACCTTGTTATTATGTATATATGCTTACAGATCTTAAAAGTATGAATTGCGACGTCTAGCGGACTGTAAATAGTCCGGTTATTGTACATGTTGAAGACAAGATATATCTCTCTCCAGTTGCCTGTTAACTCCCAACGTAAAAACCGACTTTTCGTTTCCCCTAATATATGTACACGTATCTCAAAATTAAAGAGTCTATTCCCTAAATCCAAGGTGCGCCCAGCGCTCTTCAGCCGATAAAATGTTCGGGTTGAAAGCCCATGATTTAAGGGGTTCCTCTGCTGCTATCCTCAGCGCTGATATCAATGCCCTCCTTATTGGATCCAGCTTTGTAAACAGAGCCGTCTTCCCAGATCTCCATATCATCGTTGACGATGCCCTTGGTGACAGACAAGCCCTTTTTAGACAGAATATCCTCCAGGGTGCTCTTATCATCCATGAAAATTCCAAGGTGGTCGCTTATGACGTGACGGGCCTGGCATGATGGGCAGGTAATGAGGACTGTCCCTTTGTGATACCCGTGTTTGGACATTTGATGATCTGATCTGTGGCCGCAGGGCTTGCATGTGAATACAATGCGATACGCCGGCTCCTCAGCTCGACGCGCGGCATTTTGCTGGGCGTTGGCCTCGTCGGTAGATGCGTTGGGAACCCGGTCTGTTAATGGTCGTGGGGATGGCTCTGATTCTGATGAGCCGGAGTTGTATCTTCGGGGAGTATTGACATATGTGGCGTTGAGCCTTGTGGAAAGTGACGATGGTCTCTTAGCAATGGAAGCATATGGAACAGCTCGAGCTCGGGGGAGGTATCCGCTTGAGGAGCGGAAGAGACGAAGCAGAGCTGCTGACGAGCGCATGTTGGTTGGCGCACAGTTTGCTTTGTTTTGCACACAAAGAAAACCTGCCTTCAGGCGTCAACGTGTCAATCGGGAGCCAAAGGAGTTGTTGTCGTCGACAGTGGCGGGAGGCAATTGGCCGAAACTGCAAGGAAGCTGCGCCGGGGGAACCCTTTTTCCGGGGCCTTTTCTATGCTGCCCATCCCGGCGAACATCGCGGAGGAGCTTTCGATGCCTCACGGAAAAAAGCGCTGGCAAGCACTCGCTCGTGGTCGTATCTTTATATCGTTTAACCCATACTTGCGTCCTATAATCTCAATCAGATGGGACCCTGATTTGGGGTTGATCCATCAATCTCGAGTCTTTCCAGTGCCAATCTAACCCCTCAACATCGGCTTCGCCGCCCCGCCCAGCTAAGCCCTACCTCCAGTCGGATTCCCTTGCAACCTGGTGTCCTTTGCTCTACACCAGCTCATTTCAAGATGGCAATGAGAGCGAGACAAAAAGTGCGCGCTCCTAGAAGGGTAAGTCACAGGCTCACTGATATCTCACGGCGCAATCTCGCTTGCGCTTCACAAAAGGAAACATTCTAACGATTGAGATTCCCCCGGGTTGAACAGGCACTAGGCAACAAAAACGGCGACTTCGAAGCCATCTGGGCTGTGCTCTCTTCTTCACTGCGTGAAATAAATACCAAAAATGCCTCCTCTCTGTCGTTCGAAGAGCTGTATCGCAGCTCGTACAAAATTGTCATATTGTCTAAAGGCGAGGAGCTGTATGAGCGGGTCAAGCAGTTGGAACAGGAATGGTTAAGCAGCCATGTCTGTCAAAATATCGTGTCTGCGATTTCGCCGGTCCTCCTCCTAAATATTGATCCCTCGGATATTTCAGACCAGGCAAACGAGCGCAGAGCTGCAGGAGAGAAATTTTTGGCGGCAATGAGAGCGGCTTGGGAAGACCATCAGCTTTGTATGGGCATGATTACGGATGTGCTGATGTATATGGTAAGTTTAGCCATGTTATGCGCAAATCAGATGGAGGTAATAGCTTATTCTTTTTGCTAGGATAAAAATATGAGCAACGATCAGAAACCTTCAATATATACAGTGGCGATGTGCTTGTTCCGTGACCATGTTCTCCGCTCCGCTGTACCAGACAGCAACTCGACCATTTACAACATTTTCGAGTCAACTGTTCTTTTCATGATCCAGTTAGAAAGAACTGGAGAGATTATAGATCGGCCTCTCGTCCGGCATTGTATTTACATGCTAGAAGGGCTTTACGAGACGGTTACGGAAGAGGAGTCAGCTAAGCTATACCTTTCAGTATTTGAGCCTGCGTTTTTGGAAACCAGTAGAACATTCTACCAGAATGAAGGACGTCGACTGCTTGAGACTGCCGATGCAGCTACGTTTTGCCGCATCAGCTCGGAGCGGATATCAGAAGAGGATGAGCGTTGCCACGCTACGTTGTCAACATACTCGGAGCAGAAGATCAAGGGAGTGATAGATACGGAAATGATCAGTAAAAATATCGCAGACGTGATCAACCTTGAAGGAAGTGGAGTCAGGCATATGCTGGATCATGACAAAGTGCAAGACCTTGCTAATGTGTATGAACTTAACGCCCGGATTGATGCGAAGAAAGTCGCCTTAACCAAGGCCATTCAGAAACGAATTGTTCAGCTGGGCGATGAAATCAATGCAGCAGCTAAGAATTTTGCTACCTCTGCAGCTCCGGTAGCCGACGGTGAAAAGAAATCAAAAGACGAGAAGGAAACTCAAAAACCTGCGGCGCCACCGGTAAACTACCAAACAGCGGCAGCAATTAAATGGGTAGACGACATTTTGAATTTGAAGAAGAAGTTTGACACGATATGGGCGCGGGCCTTCTCGTCGGACCAAGGCATGCACACGTCGTTCACAAACAGCTTCTCGGATTTCATCAATTCAAACAACCGCAGCTCTGAGTATTTGTCGTTGTTTTTTGACGAGAATCTCAAAAAGGGCATCAAGGGCAAAACGGATGCAGAGGTTGACGTTTTGCTGGAAAGCGGAATTACGCTTTTACGATACATTCGCGACAAGGATCTCTTCGAGACATATTACAAGAAGCATCTCTCCCGACGTCTGTTGATGAAGCGATCCGTCAGTATGGATGTTGAGCGGCAAATGATCTCCAAAATGAAGATGGAAGTTGGCAATCAGTTCACGCAAAGGCTTGAATCGATGTTCAAGGACATGACCGTCTCTGAAGACCTGACAAATAGTTACAAGACACACATGTCGCGGACAGGTTCGGCGGACTCGAAGAGGTTCGAGCTAGAAATCAGCGTCCTCACAAGCACGATGTGGCCGATGGAGATAATGTCCAGTTCAAAAGACGGCGAGATGCAATTACCTTGCATATTTCCGAAGGAGGTCGATACAGTACGTCAAAGTTTTGAGAAGTTTTATCTTGATAAACACAGCGGACGGAAGCTATCATGGCAGGCATCGATGGGCACGGCAGACATTCGAGCAACCTTTCCTCGTCCCGAAGGAAAATACGCACGACATGATCTAAACGTGTCTACCTATGCAATGGTCATCCTGCTCCTTTTCAACGACCTTCCCGTCGACCAGTCCCTGACATACGAAGAGATACAAGCGCGCACACGGATCCCAGACCACGATCTCATTCGCAATCTCCAATCACTTGCAGTTGCGCCGAAGACACGAGTACTTAAGAAAGATCCCATGAGCAAAGATGTGAAACCGACGGATCGGTTTTTTTACAATGCAGCATTCAAGAGTCAGTTCACGAAAGTGCGTATTGGCGTGGTCAGCAGCAGCGGGAATAAAGTAGAGAGCCAGAACGAGCGCAGCGAGACTGAGAAGAAGATGAATGAGGAGCGAGGGGGCAGCATCGAGGCTGCTGTTGTTCGTATAATGAAGTCAGTATCCCTCTCCCTACTTTACGTAACATTCTGGAGTACGTACTAACTGTTTCATAGACAACGCAAAAAACTAGCTCACTCGCAACTCATCACCGAAGTCCTCGGACAACTGGCCGCTCGCTTCGTGCCGGACGTGAACATGATCAAGAAACGCATCGAAAGTCTGATAGACCGGGAATATCTGGAAAGAATTCCGGATTCAGATCCACCGGCATATGGATATGTGGCATAAAGAGTCATTTTCACTTCATTTCTCAACTATATACGTTTTGTTCGTTCTTCCTTTTCTTTTTTTTATCCAAGCAGGACTAGCGCAGGTGGGTTTTTTTGCACATGCGTATGTATAGGTATAGCATACTTGGGCCAGATGATTAGTTACGATTAGAGACGCATAATTCAGGCGCAAGCGGTTTTCTCTTTCTTCTTCTCGCAGATTGATTAGCTTCATTGTTTTTGGACTTTTGAATGAATCCAACGGGTTATTGTTTACGACTGTCAACAATCAACTCCTTCATATAAATCAATGACTATGTACGCTCGCATACCTAAGCAAAATAGGTACGTAAAAAATCTATAATACCCACCCATAACCCCAGTCCATGCAATCTAAACCAAAAATAAAAATAAAAAAAAAAAAAAAAAAAAAGGGGGGGTGGAAGGAAGCAAACAAAATACCCTTAGGGATTTATAAAACTTCAACCTCGCCCCTCTCCCACGCCCTCTTAATACCCTCCCATCTCCCCGCCCAAACCTCGCCCATCCTCATCGTCGTCCCAAACGCCTCATCCGGATAAGTCTCATCAGCAGGCACGACAAGCGTAACTTCAGGCACCAACACGCGCACAAAGACAATCTCTTTCATATCGGGACCCTGTATCATACTCGTCCCACCCGCATTATCATCCAAACGTCTCAGCTGCGGCGGAAAGGAGGCGAGGAAGCTAAGGCGGTAATGCGAAGCGAGCAGGTACTGATGCGAGTAGAGAAACTGGGCTTCTGAGGGGGATAGAGGAGCCGTTAAAGAAGAAGATGATGATAACGATGATATATCGGGGATTGTATCCTCCGTTCTGGTCCCTGCGTCGATGCTATTATTTGTTTGTTGTGTCGACGACGACGATGATACAAGCACTAGGTAGTGCATGGCGAACTTGGTGATTTTAGACAGGCGTTGGCGCAGATAAGAGCGAATGAGGTATTGAGTTCGTGACAGGTCGGTTTGGAGGATTGATAGTTTCAGGTTGAGGGTTTGTTTGGGGTTGGTATTATTTATATTATTCGTGCTGGTCGTCGTGTTGTTGTTATTATTATTATAGCTGTCGTTGTCCATCGAGTTCTCGTATGAAGAGGCTGTTAGATCTTCTATATTTTCGACCTAGAACAGACAGCCATGCCAGTCAGTCAATTTCCCTTCAAGAAAAGCTGAGAAGCAGGGATAGATACCTGCTTCCGGACCCTCTCCATCATCCTTTCCATCAAGGATCCAGGCCATGGCAGCAGCTCCGAAACGCCGCGCTCTGCAACCCATAGGCGCGTCAACTGCTGGTGGTCGAGCGCCGTGGATTCGGGCGAGGAGGCGTAGTTGTCGCGGTCGACGGAGGCGAGGATGTCGTCGATATCCATTGAAGACATTTTCTGTTAGTTCATGATGTCAATTCCGGTCTCCATCCCTTTGTATTGGTGAGTGCGCGCAACTTGCTGAATTGAGATCAGTGTCTTGTCGGAGAGAAAAATGCGGAGTTCGGCGGGGAGCAGTTCGCGCTTATTAACCTAGCCCTACCATACACAAGTCCAAGATTCATAATTTGAACACATCAATGCATGCATCACATCCAATCTGAAAATCTACAGTCTACGTCAACAAACAAAAAGGAATTCAGAATAATGGTTATTCATAGCTCAAGCCACAATTCCCGGCATAATAGCTAAGAACTCTCACAAAATCTGACCGCACCAACTTCCAGGTCTTGATAAACAAAGGAACATTTTTATGTACAATTTTGAATGCGTGAATACACATCTGTGGCAAGATTAGAATGCAACACTGTGTAAAGTGGAGTGAAGCAATATTAAAATACCAAAGGCAGCGAGCGATGCACTGACAAAGGGATCAAAACAAGTATTCGCAAAAGTGTACAACAAAAATTCAAGACACGATTAAAGGGCTAGACTGGAAATAAGTTGCAGGAGAAAGAGAGAATGCATTCCAACCCCCGGGATTCGAGGACAAGGAATAGAGACAATCCAGTTCCTATATGCAGGGATTGTCTGTCAGCTGGTATGCCGCAGTGATTGTGAAAATGTTGATTGAGCAAGTCATCACATAGGAAAAATCAAGTGCGCATTGCACGAAGCAATGCAAGGCGATCGCGAGTGACTTCTGACTTCGTCGCGTTCGTCATGGTAGGGTCAAGTTCACATAAGAAAGGATAGGATGCATAGGGGGGGAAAGTGTTGCTGGCTCGGAGATAGACAATCCGTCGTGTCATAAAAATAGGGAGAAATACCCGGAAAAAAAAAAAAAAAAAAAAAAGACGAAATAAGCAAAACCGAGTGCGCCTTGGGTATCGAAAACATTGTATGAATAGTCGTCCCTGTCTACTTCACGAACATGTACAGTGTGTACTTTCTCTTCGGTATCGTTCGGGTCGTCGTTGTATCGATACAACCGCCATGGAATCAAATGAGCTATCCAACAGACGAAGGGTTCCTGGTCTTGAAGAAGAAATCCGAAAGAAAAGAAAAGGAGAAAAGAGGAAAGCAATGAAAGAGAGAATAGGTGGACATCAGCACTTCCAATAGCGTGAGAAGTGAGATCGACAGATAAACGTAACGCCGTTAAAAGTCGTTGGCTAACCCATCAAGAGCTAACAGTGATATTGTTTGTTGTTGTTTGGTTTGGTCTGGTGCTTAATATGAGAGCATGCGACGGCCAGGAAGACGGCCAGAATCAGGCAATTCAAAGGGCGAATCCAAACTCCGAGTGCGGTCATTGTTGCTGCTGCGGCAGCGTCCAGTCGGGCTATCTTCCATCTGAGGTGACTGTTGTCCAAAAGCAAAGGTCTGAGCGCGGATGAACTTCGATCGCTGTTTAACTTTTCCAAGCCCTCGTTCGCAGGCAAATTCGTGTTCCTTGGATGCCATTTCCACATAGTTCTGGGGGTAGCAGAGGGATCGGTGCTGGGCAAAGAATGCACTGTATCCTCCATCCAGAATGTACATTTCAGGAAAAGTTAGATTGGGATAGCGCTCGACGTTATAGGCGCGGTCCTTGTGGCGGATGTAGGACGCCATGATGGGAGCCCGATGGGCTGAGTATTCGCAGTGGAAAATCAAAGTAGTCCCTGGCTTGGGTTCAGCAAAAAGCTGGTTGGCCAGAACCTCCTTGTCATTGTAGTTAATAGCACCGTTGATGTGGCCACCCTCATATTCATATTCAAAGCGGCAATCGATGATCATGACATTTTCGAAGCGCTCGTTGAATTTACCATTGATCAAGTCCACCAAAACCTCTTTCTCAATACGGGGAAGACTATCAGGCTGGTCAGACGGGATGAAATGCGGAAGTTGAAGAGTATGATGTGGCTCTTCGTCCATGATGGAGGCCAATGTAGGTTCTGGGACTACTTCTGGTTGCTTCTGGCGTACAACGTCCTCTGGGTGTTCAAACATGCTAAGTGATCGTCTGCATTGCTTGCGTGGACGCATGAAAGGGTTTCCACTAGAGCTCTTACGGACAGCAGCGGGTACAGGAGAGGCAGTGCCGCTGCTACGACCAGGAAAAGGCTGTCTCAGGCGAGGCCCAAGCAAATTAGTAGCTGACGAGTTCTTTCCCATGCCGCGGTCCTGTGGTGGCGACGACTCATTGAACATGTCAGCTAGGGACATTGAGTGTGACAAGCTGCTGCTGCCGTTGCCAAACTGAAAGGGAGGGCATTGGCTCTCGGGGGCAGTCTTGGTCGCCCCGGCCTGGGTTGAAAGGGCCTTGGTTCGGATCAAAGAGGGGCGCAGAAGGGGAGGACGTCTACGTCTATGATGGAAAGTTTAGCAACTACGGACAATTGCAAAGACAGAACGGAGGGGCCTTACTCTTGAGTGGGTTGAGCATCTTCCATGGGCGATGCTTGCAAGGACATGCCAGCAGCAGTTCGAGAGCCTTCGAAATCTGGGCTCGGTGACTGAGGCACCACTTCTGTCTTCGCTACAGTGCTAGGCAGCTTATGAGGAAGAGGAGACATGTCCATCATATCCGTCATGGGCGACGAGGCCGGCAACGGGGGCGTCGTCATCATTTCTTCTGTATCCGATGGTTAGCATGGCCTGCAAAAGGAAGCTAGCCAGAAATCTTACCACGCCTCCCATCGCCTCCAAACAGATTCGCCGCAAACAGAGAACGACGAGGAGTGGCCAGTTGCGGGCTGCAGTGTGTGCAGGTTGATTAGCAAGCGGGTCAAGAGAAAGCAAACTAATTGGATCCTCCTCACCTCTGGTCGATATGGAAATTCTGCGACAGGTCTGCAGCCAGACTAGCGGCCGGAGACGGGCCTGTGAACTGCTTAACATTGAAATAATCAGACGTCGGTTTCTTCATAGACAAGTCTTTGAAGTTGAAGCTGCCCGGGCCAAAAGCCCCAATACCTCCGAGAGTGCGGAACTGAGGGGGGTCGTTTGCAAAGCGATGGCCGAACATCAGTGACGGCGGCTGCATGGCAGCTAGAGGTGAAGAGTGCTCCATTGCGCCAAGGCAGAGTTCAGTTGAACGGGGGGTGTCCCAATGTAGTTCAGCTGATGGCTTGCGTTGTTGTCTCTTCCCATAGACTGATCATCCAAATGATGTGGGATGAATATTTTCCTCCCAGCACGGCAAATGAGGCGAACGCAGCCACTCCACTCCTCGTGTCACTTTCTTTCTCTTTTTTTTCCCCCTTCTTTTCTTATTATTATTTCCTTCTGTCCCGCAATTCACCAATATTTTGTCTTATCGACCCAATGGCACCCGGTAGACCAATGTTTTTTTCTCCTCCAAGCAAGACGGCTTATGTGCTAGCAAAGTTCAGACAGACATGGCCCTGGAGAGATTCGTGCACAGCGGAATGTATTGGTGATCAATCGTTAACTGACATCCAAGTCGCATAAATGCAGGCGAATGCAGCCGGCAGGTCGGCGATCCTGTCAAAGAGTGTGTGAGTGAGGTCGGAGCGACGAGGCAAGGCAGGTAGCTAGCTAGCTAGCGAGGTAGAGATAGCGAGGTCTCGAGAGATGGAGAGAGACAGAGAGACAGAGAGGCAGAGGGAGCGGGAGGAAGAGAGGATAAACACCCGGCGGATAGAGAAAAGAAGAGCAGAGAAAGAGAGAGAGAGAGAGAAGAGAATGGTTAAAGAGAAAGAAGCATTGAAGCTGTTGTTGCAATGGGCAACGGAACGGAGCGCGGGTGGGGAGGAGGAGGATCTCCGTATTGGCCGTACCCGGACGCTGCTGCTAGTAATTCTACGCTGGTATTTGCAGTGCTCAAGACGGAGGATTCCTGGAGCAACACGTTCCTTAGCTTTATTATTGGATGCACCACGTCATCTAGCATGGCTGCAAGGTCATGCTGCCTGCCTGCCTGCCTGCTTGCTTGCTTGCTTGCTTGCTTTATGCCTCCCTTGCCGCCCCAGAGGAGGACGCTCCCCTTTCTTGGCAGGGCTCTTTATACTCAAACTATTGCTGCTAAAAATGTTATAAAGGAGGCTATCTGGCTGTCCTTGTTTGGCCTGAGGAATTCCGGGTGTTTGACTTTACTCCTCGTTTGGCTGCTGCAGTAACGACGATTGATTGATTGGCATTAGGGCTAGAACCACCGCATTCGTACCCTGTCCTTACCGCAATTAACTAGCCCTCAGCAATTAGTCGCTGCAAATTTACGTTTGGAAAATTGATTGAAATCTTTCAATAGATGGCTCCTCCAAACCAATGGTATAAAATTAATTTGTCGCACGGAAAGTGAGGCAGTCACTTAGGCGATGGGCGTCAACCCGGCAACAGACCAGGAACCAAAGAACCAGCGCTCTAGTCGGAAAATTTTTCTTCGTTTTCTTCCCCCTCCTGATTTTTATTGGGCTTCTTACGCAAGAGAAATGTTTTTTTTTTTTGTCTTTTACTTCTGTGATTCTCACTCTTCTTACAGTTTGTCTATCCAGGCAGACTTTGGAGAGTAAGTAAGTAGGTAGTACTTGAGGGACTCAGCAGCATTCCTCCCGGTCCGTTTCCTGGCCACACTAGTCAACATCCAAGTGGTAAGTACTAACTGCAGTAGTCAAGTACATAGCCAGACTCGAGCTCGCTGTAGATCCATGCTCAATCCAGCAATTCAACGCCAGCCTGTGGGTTCGCATTCTCTGGCTGGCCCATCTCATTCTGATTGGTCTTCGTGATCTTATCACGGATGCTATGATCGATCGGGGCCGTCGCTCGAGAGAAATCATCAGCGAGTCATCGACTACTAGTAAGGTAGTAGCTAATCAAGGAAATAATAAAAATAACACGAGCGACGAACCCACCACCTCCGTAAGGCTTTGGCCTTTCCGAAGCTTTCTCCTCTCGTCTCCACCGCGTTCCCGTGCTTTGGGTTCGGAAGTTAACTACAGTAATGATGATGAAATCGACCGATCAGATATGCCACACGTCTGGCCTATCTATCATGTTCAACGTGGACCTGATATGCCATATGCCATATGGTAGTTACTCCGTGTATGAGAAAGAAGCAGGTCATGGCTATGATTGGACGAGTCAGAGCCGGACGTGCCGCGGACTGATTTTATTTAATATAAATCGCATCGGTCCAGTGCAAGCTGAGGTGCCTGATCAACCCCGCACTAGCACAGGAACAGGAACTGCTTGCTGGCTCCACGAAATGGGCCGATTAGTTGGTTATTCTCGCAGCCAACTCGGTCAAACTTGGGCGCAGAAAGTATACCACGGTGTATATAAACACATGAACAGACAACTATTGCTGCAACAACTTCGGTTTCTCTCTGCGTGTTGCACACGGTCAATCACATGTCTGATCTGATCTGAGCGGTGTCGGACCGAATCGACGAGTCCAACTCCAGCTGACTCGGACCTTCTCGAACGCCTGCTAATTGGACCCATCACTTTCCGCTTAGCTCTTGAGGAAACCTGCTAAGCCTTATAAGTTAGATAACTAACAGGACCCAGACAGGGATGTGTGGCTAGTCAAAACACGCAAAAAAGCAACGCTGCTATTCTTGAATCTGGGCCATCACACGCGAGCTGCACGACGACGAACGAGCGACATGGGAGCAGGCCAATGACGACGCAGGCGAGCAGCTAACTAGGCTGTCCAGTTCCACCGTCCGGCGTTTTCGCGCAGGCTACTCCCGGCCTCGGGCTTCGTATATGGAGCAGCCATAGGCGAGAGTACGGAGCTAGCGTGCATCAGGGTGAGGGGTCGATCTCGGTGGCGAGCTGAATGATCTCAGAGTCCTGTTTAAACTTTCCCAAACGGCGTACTCCGTACCACTAACTATCAATGGATGAATGAGAGCATCGTGAAGTGGTCGTGATTGTGGCTGAAGAACCCGCGTCGGCGCCAAGACGTAAACAAAAATCAAGCGCGAGTGCGATGCGAGATCCCGTGACCGTCTGGCCCGTGTGGCCCTCTGATTGGCCGCCGTCTCTGCTCTGTGAAACTGGCTCTCGCTGTGACGCAAGCTCTGATACGCCCATGGACGTCAAAGAGCTCAGTCAAAACAAACACCACACTGTTAATTCGCTTACTACCCTATCCCACGTTGCCCCTCGTCTACGAAGGCCGAAGGCATAGAGAAAACAAGGCTTGTGGCATGTACGACAACCGAGCAGTCCCCGCGTAAACAAGATATCTAGCGGATACTGTATAGTTAACTATATCCGTCGGAGTCTTAATACCCAATTGACATCATACGTTTCAGCATTGACGTTATCTGCCATAAAAACAAGGCAGCCGCTCGCCTCGGCATTTAGTTAGTAATAACGTATTTCCGATGGAGTAATAAACAGGAAAACTTGTATTTGTGTTGGTTGTTCTAGATGCGATCGACAGGTCGTATTAGCATTGCATTGATGCTCGTGAGCCACGTTGATGGGGTTACCTTCCAAGGTTGATATATATATAGATAGATAGATAGATAGATAGATATATGGGTATGAGACTAGACTAGATATAATATAAAAATATGCACTGAATAACTAGGTAGCAATGACTTATTTTTACTACTTCGTATATGCATACCACAGCTTTCTGCTGGGTACCCTATGTGCATTATTATATTACACTTTATGAACATATTTATTCCATGGATACTATCCTCCCAAAGAGGTATACACAACTTCTTCCTCATAAAGTTCAATAGCTTCAATGTGGAAGCTCGGAACTACTCTCTCATGACGTACGGGAGTTGACTATAGGATAACACTAAACAATCAATGAATATATACGCAACATCCAAAATTACTTGCAGACATCTGTAACCTTTGAACGAATTCCTGCCAATATATTCATTCCTACTACATACTATCTATAGTCACTGTTCAAGTACTAGGCACACGAGCAAGGAGGAATAAGGACCAACAGAGCACTCATACCGATATATAAGAAATAATCCATTCATAGATAACCTCCTTGCTAAAGACGATCGATCCGAGATAGAGATTTTGTTTCCCCCAATTCGGTAAAATACCCTGCCCACCTCCAATCAAGGGGTGGCACGAGCAAGGGATTTCCCTGGCTCATGTACTCCATATACCACATACTCTAAAATAGAGGATCTACGCATGTGTATGCATCTAATCCCCGCATTCTTTCTAAGTGCCTTGCGATCTTTAACTGATATTTTTGGCAACTATTGATTTCTTGCGTGCCGTGCGGTATGTGCATACGGAGATTTTATGCATGGGCGTTGTTTATTGGTATATTCTTTTCACGACTGTATATCTGCTTGTATATCTATGCATTCCAGTAAGTAGTTGGTTCTTATTTTTGTGCGTTCTCAATGCTATGAGTAGGTTGCATGTTGCATACCTGAGAGAGGAGTACAAGGTGATAGATCGTCAGACCAAACCGTATACGTGTCCTCTTGCATGTACGCACGAGCTGACCCAATCTTGGGATTGACTACTTTGATTGAATCCCAGCCCTACTGTAGGTAGGGGCGTGTAGCCAAGACTGATATTGCAATAAATGCATCCCTTCCAGGATATTTGACGGTTACATTGGCAGATATAGGGATACAATTAGCGTTACTACGTTGTAAGGAGGGTCTATCCGTGGGGAGATGACTTGCATGCGTATATATACATCATTTATTGAATCGAGCATTAGTACCTGTTGGCATGTCCTTGATATTCTCTTGATATATTCCTAGAGATCGAAAGGGGGCTTGTACCGAAATCACATTCAGGTATCAAATGTTACGGCTCCTTTTGATAATGGCTGCATTTTTCTATAAATTAGGTAGAGACTTTGATATAATACCCTTATAAACGTGATGTTTTGCTACTATACGCGAAATGCTGGCTTTGCCTTGGTCGAGCACGCAAGGTGATCCAACCTAGGGTTGAAGAGCTGCTCTTTCTATGTGTTTCCAGTGGTATTTTTACGGGATCCAAAAATTACAAGCGTCAATAAAACAGGTGCATGCGTGCAGATTTTCAAAAGGTTTATCCCAACACCGACCTTTCGCAATTGCAGTCCTGGCAAAACCTCTGCGTTGATCTGGGACTTCATGCTGCCCCATCAATCACTCGGTGCAGAAACTTGAGTCTCTTAGCTTCGTACCTTGAAAAAGAAATTTAAATGTTGATCACCGCGACGTTTACTAGATTCTCTCCCGAGTAAATGTGAACATCATCGACCTGTTGCAGTGTCGTATGAGGGATGGTCTAAGAATTCTGCACATTTGATTATGCTCCAAGATCATGAATGTCAAATTACTTGCGTGTAAAAATAAAAAAAGGCAGGTTTTAACTTCTGTGTCCGCAGTAGTTCGTCCATGTCCCCTTATAGATTGATCGGATTGCCTGGCATATACGAGCTTGACCCAGTTGGGCACTCATACTCTTTTTAGCATGTTAACCATCAACCCATCTGCGGTATTATTTTCCAGACGCACACTCAGTGAAGGTCCGTAGTGTGACGCTCTCAAGTTTATTCAATTGATGCTGCTCTAAGTGCATCTTCCTCAGAGCCGCTCTGTCTGTGGCGCTTTGACAACGTTGAGTAGGTTCTCACCTCGAGCCTGGCGCTTGAGGCTCTCTGCCAGAATTGCATAGGACCGGCCGATCGTTTGCGGGGTGATGGAGCTGACATGTGGTGAGATGAAAATATTGGGCGCTGCCCACAGATTGCTGTCAGATGGCAGAGGCTCAGGATCGGTAACGTCGAGCGCGGCTCCTTGGAGGCCACCATTGCCAGCACCTTTTTGTAGCGACTCCAATAACGCATCTTGGTCGAGAATAGCCCCTCGAGAAATGTTGACCAGATAAGCTCCAGCTTTGGCGTTCAAAATCCGTAGCTCGTCCTTGCCCACCAAGTGTCTTGTGGCCGGAGTCAGCGGCAGGGCAAGCACCAAAATGTCTAGATCCTGACTGAGGAGGTGTTGAAAATCCGCTTTCGTCTTCCCGTGGAAATATTGACTTGGAATGGTCCCGTCTGGATCTCCCGACCCAGACTGGACAAAGCTATTATTTCTCCTCTCTGCTGCCGTGATTCGAGGCGTCGAGGTATAGACAACGGTCTGAATGCTCAGAGCTTGCGCAATGCGAGCCACTAAACAGAAGTCGTCAAATTCGTATGAGAAATTCTTGTAATCAGGGGAGAAGAAGACATACCCTGACGGCCAATCGTGCCATATCCAACAATACCCATTCTTTTACCGTCTAAGCTCGAGGTAAGCGTATTTGGGCCTAGTCTGCCCCAGGTGCTATTATCTTGCCATTCCTTGAACATGAACAGTTGACGATAATGTGCCAAAAGGACGCCAAAAATCCACTCACTGACTGCGATTGCCGGTGCCCCAGTGGAACTAGCAATAGTGATGTTCGAGTCCCGGAACACCTCTTCATGCGCAACACGATCGATTCCTGCCACATTGAAATGGATATAGCGAAGTCGGGGTGCCTGCGCGGGCTTGGGCACATATCCCATGGTGAACAGTGCGGTGATGTCGCTTAGGATCTCTGTCATAATCAGCCTTTCGTTTCTTTTTCGCTAGTAGTACCAGATATAGAATATATTATACCAGAAGGAATTTCCATGTCGCGCTTGAAAAAAGCATCCGTCGGATATACTTCATGGCGGATAAAGGTGATCTTAAGGTCAGGTCTCGCCAACTGAATCTTCCCCAACAGGGCTTAGAGCCGGGGGGAAGGAAGAGTCACTAACAGGTGTTCAGGCATTGGGAGATTTGTTTTGAATAGGCATTACAGTACCAGACAGAAAATGCACTGTCGAGCACACCACAAACGGAGTCATTTTATAGTTCTACTTAGAAGTCTCCTGCCGCAGCAAAGCTTTCCCTGCCCTTAAATTGCCATTATGATTACTTATCAAGCTTCAACTTAACCATTTAGTGATTTGTCTACTCAGAATTATGTAGCACTTAACGTCCGGTGCAGGACTGGCCTGGCACGCACCCAGCCGACAGACAGATCAATTTATGATGGCTGATCACTAATCAACTACATATGTAATCCTAAAAACGGCGTTTAGTAACCCACGAATGATCATCCAACTGCTTTTGCATTCATTTTCATTCTCATTGCCCTGGAGTTCGGGCGAATACTAATCTGAACCGCTGTTTGTCAATTAATTTTGCCACGCGGACAAGAAAAGGATCTATCAGTTGAAGTCCAGCTAACCTTGTCACTGCTTTCATGTCCATTTGAACAAAAACAAAAGGGAAAACAGTCGAGTCCTCGAATACGCCAAGATGGAAACCCTGTCTGAGGAGGGCCAGGTTGGAAATGACAGCGTGGAGAAGGACGAGATACCTATAGAGAAGCTGGACAACTCGCCGGACATGTCCCTGGAAGACAAGCTGGAGTGGGAAACAGCGGTTGAAAACCCCCAGAATTGGCCTACATGGAGGAAAATGGTCCTTCTGGCTGCGATGGTCGCCTCGGCCTTCACTGCGTAGGTCTTCCAAGAACACGGAGTCAGTTCTAATATCCATTTGCTGAACCCTGGTGTCATAGGTCCATAGCAAGTTCCATCGTTACTCCTGCTCGCAGTGCATTTATGGAAGAGTTCCATGTCAACAGCACGGTCGCAATCCTATCTGTCACTTTGTACGTTTTCGCACTTGGCTTTGGGCCAGTTGTTGGTGGCCCGCTCTCCGAAACCGTAGGTAGATACCCTGTATATTTGGGCTCGATCCTTCTTGGCTCCTCATTTACTATAGCGGTGGGCTTTTCTCGGAATTTCGGAGAGCTGCTTTTCTTTCGGTTTCTGTCTGGCTTTTCCTGGTCGTCAATTCTTGCTGTGGCTCAAGGCTCATTGTCTGAAACATTTCGTCCGGCGGCTCGAGGCCCTGTAACGGCCATCTTCATTCTCAATCCCCTTCTTGGGCCAGGGCTTGGGTACGTCTGTTCTTCCTCTTGTTTGGTAACCTTTGTTGACTCAATAGTAGTCCTGTAATAGGTTCGTTCACAGTGACCCGCAAGAATTGACGTTGGTCTCAATGGACGGTTCTTTTCTTCGCTGCTTTGACCCTTCTCTTGACCCTTCTCACGAATGAAACATACCACCCTGTTATCAAACGACGCCTGGCTATGAAAAGAGGCCTGGAAGTGCCAGAAAGACCAAGAGGGCGCAAACAGATTGAAGGAATTTGCCATAGTGGGACTTATACGACCTGTTCGGATGCTATTGTTTGAACCAATTGTGTCTTTTACCAGTCTTTACGTCTCCTGCGCTTTTGGCACTTTGTTTAGCTTCTTCGCGGCAGTGCCTTACACATTCAGCAGTGTTTACGTCTTCACTATTGACCAATCTGGTCTAGTCTTTCTGTCCATTGCCATCGGTTGCTTTCTCGGGATTATCACCATCTTTTTGTGTGATGTTTATCTCTATAGGAAGCAGATACCTAAATATCCACCACACAGCATCCCCCCTGAACATCGCCTTTATTCGGCTATGATAGGAAGTCTCGGATTACCTCTTAGTCTTTTCTGGTTTGGCTGGTGTGCCCGTGAGGGTATATCCTGGGCGGTTCCAGCAGTTGCCATCATACCCTTCGCATTCAGAAATATCTGCGTGTTCGTCTCTATTATGCAATATTCAGGATATACATACAAAGGAAACGTTGTGGCTAGCTCCGCTAGTGCGAATTGTCTGGCACGCTACACATTCTCAGGAATCTTCCCTTTGTTCACAATACAAAGTAAGTGGGGATAGCCTGACCCTTTGACGAATATCATCGCAGCTAATGATATCAATTAGTGTACGAAAGACTTGGAATTGACTGGGCTAGTAGTTTACTAGGTTTCGTTGCATTAGCTCTATTACCTATTCCTTGGGTTCTCTTCAAGTTCGGCTCGAAGATTAGAGCTAAGAGCAGTTACTGATGGATGGAAAGGCCTGGGGAATCAATAGTGAGATATAGCTTGTTGTTGAAGGAGAATGCACGGACTAAAAAGCTGCACCTAGCTTGGAAAATCAGACTAGTCATCGTACAGCCTGTCATATAAGATGCATGAGATAAGGGTGCAATAGAATCCATAACCTCCAGAAATGCTACAGTAGTCACTGTTAGAGAACTTGACCTGTGCAGCTTGATACTATGCTGGGCCGTGACCCTAATTACGGAGCTACTCTCTAACGATCTGCGTCAACCATTTCATTAATAGGAAGAATCCAAATTTCTCTGCTTTTCTTCGTCGCCACATTCTCTGGGCGTGCATCGGATGCTGGCTTCTTCAAACTTACTTGGGGAGTGAGATGCCTTCTTAATGTGGTCGGCATTTTCATGGCCTCTCTGAGCACCAATTTTTGGCAGCTGTTTCTGAGCCAGGGCATTTGCATGGGCCTCGGGTTTGGGTTGATATTCAGCCCCGTGTTGTCACTCATGTCAATCTACTTCACCTCGCATCGATCTCTCGCGGTGGCCTTGGCTGCAACTGGGTCTGCCAACGGCGGCCTCGTGTTCCCTGATATTGTAGAAAACCTACTTCCTACCATCGGCTTTGGACAATGAGGTTTCTTGGGTTTTTCACACTAGGCATGCTATTGCTGTCTTTCTTTTTATACTTTTTTGTGGAACAGCGCGTTCCTCGACGCAAGAGTGGGCCAATCGTCGAATGGAGTTTCTTTCAAGAGCCGGCCTACTTACTGTTCACTATTCAACTTCTGGGGCCTCTACATCGCTTTCTATTACATCGACAGCTCGTCGATCTGATTTTGAGTATAAATGGAGCGGGTATTTTTGCCCGAACAATTCCGAAGTATCTGGCGGATTGCTTCACGGGGCCGTTGAATATCCTGATTCCATCGACTCTTTTATCAAGTGTACTGCCCTGGTGCTGGATTAATGTGACGGATTCAAAGATTCTTTACACATTTGTGCCCTTCTATGGCGCATTTGCGTCAAGCACCCAGTCTTTATTTCCTGCCACTCTGGCCACTATCGCGAAAGACGTGAAAAAGGTAGGAGTCAAACTAGGGATGGTGATAAATACTAGGGTACAGGGCTTAGAAAGAAGCTATGCTAAAAGGTCCTTGTTTTATTGAAGACTATCAGGTCTTACCAAAGGTTGCTTAGTTTTTACTTATTATTAAGGTGACTAATACTGCAGCTATAGTAAGTATTCTATAAGCGCCTTGTATTTATTCATGAGAGACAGTGTACCCTGGTTAACACCTTTATAGCTAATAGGGACAGTCATCTCTTACTACGTCTAAATATAGTTAGGGCTGGACACGGCTTACCTCCGCTAACTCCGCCACGGCGGCCGATGGTTTCCACTCGTCGGCCGCCGCTATTCCCTTTTCGACGGACCCTACATTTGTCCTTGCTTTTCGTTCTCTTCACTTATTCCTCCTCATTTCCAAGCATTCTAGTATCCAGTTCGATACACAGCCACTGTAAATGTTGTCCGCCGACAGTTCGCAGCGTCTGGTCTGTGTGAATTGCAAACTGCGTAAGAAGAAATGTGACAAAGTCCAGCCGCGCTGCGGCTATTGCACTCGGTAAGACGAGAGACTGATATTGGCGAATTCAGGCTTGAGGATACTAATGCAATAGAAGAAGGAAGCTTAATTGCCAGTATAAGTCGCCAGAGCAGTGTCATCTTTCGGCTCAGGTAGAACTATCGCTGGCGTCTACTTCTAGTCCCGTTATACGCTCATCCTTGCTGCTCTCCTACTCCCTGTCGGATGTCTTGCGCTCGCGGCCGACAAATAGCGACTCCACTTTGTATCTACAAATTCTACGCATGATGCAAACAACGGGTCAGTTCGTGGACGATATCAGTGCTCGTTACTTCCGTGGCATTCATGCCTTTGTCCCCGTTGTTTCACACCGTCGTATTCATGATCAACTAGTCGATTTCGGTACACCACCTCCAGCCGGCTTTTCTATTCTGCTGTTGAGTATGTGTCTAATCACCTATCATCCCGAGTTTGCATCTCCAGTCCCTGATCCTCTTGATCGGGAAACTCTCTACATAGCTACCAAGACACTTTTTGCTCAAGTGCAGGTATCATTCCCGCCATCTTTAGACCTCATTCAGGCTGGTATTATCCTTGCGACATACGAGTACGCAAATGGTAAGTTACACGATGCATTTTCTTCTATTGGTCTCTGCGCCAGGATGGGCTACACTGCTCGCTTGCATCTTGCAAAGCCAGTCCAAGACATGAATGCCGAGGTATATCGAAAAGCTCAAGAGGATGCTAATACGTGGTGGGGAATTATCGTATGCGAACGGTAATGCCCTTCAAGCTATGTAAAACTTGAAGGTGACTGATATCTAATGGCGTAGGGTCTTCTTTTGTGAAATACGCAACGACTGTCAACAGCCCTTAGTAACAAGTGTCTCCGACAGTGACTTGCGACTACCAACTGAAAACGATTTTCCGAGTCAAAGTAAAGATACAGTTCTAAAATTACCCTTTGGCTTTGCAGACAGTCTTATAACGTCAAATGCCGGTGGCTTTGCTTGCATAGCACAGGCTGCATGGCTCCTGGATCAAGTCTTCAAAGCACTGGATGTAACGGAGGTCGCCTTGAGGCATACTCAGCTTAATGGACTAGACCACACCCTTCGCACATATTTGGCTGTTATTATGGATCAGACTGGAGGAAAATGGAACGTGTATTGTGCGGCAATCGCTATTATTATCCGGTGAGTTTTCTTCATGTGACCTGGAACTTGGGATGCCATCCAGACTGAGAAACTCCGAAGAGCTCTTTTCATATTACACTCCTATACTCTCAACCATATATCAGAGGCGGATGAATCTATGCACAAGCCCTCACTCGATTGGTCCAGCGTCTCACATGCAGTACTGGATACAATTACTAAAGTAGTGGAAGATATCGCAAATGCTCAAAGTAGCATTACTTTGCTCTTGATGGATATGCATCCTCCTAGTTTTGCGTTTGATATTCGGGCAGCACTTAAACATATCCATGATTTCAAAACTATGGATGATGAATATGTTGCGGCAGAGAAACGGCTCAGGAAGGCTCTTGAACTGTATCATCACCGCTGGGGTATATCCACACAGTAACGGATTATTATACACATAAAGTTCACATTATTTGGCCACGGAATCTGCGTGGGTTCAAAAATTACTATTGCCGCTGCAGATAGTCATATTGAGCTAAGCCTTCAGCCTAGTGCTTATTGCTGCCTACGTGTTTTGCCAGCGTTCCGTCGCACTACGCAAACTCGACATAGCAGGATCATCAAGGATGAGAATGCTTGATGCGGTACGGCAGATGCTGCCCAGCAAACCCTGCTACAATATGAAGTCATTAGCAGTGATGAGAGCTATTTTCACTTGAAATGCAAAATAAGAATAAGAAGATCCCCAAGGTATGACAGAGCGGATTTTTTAAATGACTACCAACTTCAGACCTACGAGATCCGTGTCTAGATTAGGCTTAGGGCTAGGGCTAATGGTTGGCGTTGTGATATTGTGTGTAAGGAACCGACTATTATTCCATAACAAAGCGGAAATTCCTGCATCGTCTCAGTACATCTCGGAGAGACGGAGATATACCCCCCAAAGCTGAAATGTGGTTAACGCATAGATTAAAGCTCTATTAAATAAATGGCAAACTAAAGGACAAATGGTTATTTTAATGGATATTTTTTAAACTAGATTATTTACTACAGAGTGCTTCGTATCTGATTGATATCATTTATCTCACTGATAAGGCATCGCACCTAATGGTGATACTTACGAACATAATAACGCTAAGAAATTAGGTCTCATAGATGGCGGGCTATGGAAGCCAAATGAAGGATCGCCCCAGGGTCATCTTCGTCTAGCAGATATTAACGGTGGTGGCAGAGCAGACTACTGTACCATTACAGATGATGGAGACAGTAGCTGTTGGTGGAACAGTGGTTAGGGTATGCCATTACCTCTTCATTCTTCATTAAACGTTCCGTTGTAAAAACAGCTAATAGGGATACGGGCACCCGTTGATGCTGGGGAAGATTTAGAGATGTGGATGGGCTCTGGTTCTTTGATCTAAGTAGAGATGTCTCACCTCTCTGGCTTCTCTTCCGGATATACCTCCGTATACCTATGTGCCTTGCATTTTCGGAATGACAAAAATTGCATACCAATGTGTCAACCGTGAAGGTAACCATCTTCTAATACTTAAGAGAAATAATCTTCTGTAAAGATGAATATACTTACTTTCAAGGCTAGGTACATATGCAGGAAACAAATTATCGATACTGTACGCCAAGAACATTCCAAAACCCGCCTTACCTACTTGCTTCTCCGTGTCTACGGTGAACACTTCAGGATACAGTTTTATGTATGCTACAATATATTACCGTAGGGTTTAGAGAGAATGACTTTATGTCCATGAAAATGAGCATCAAGCTTCTTGGCTTTCAAGAACGGGGTGCATTGGCTCTGAGAAATGGGGAAACATGCTTTCACATTTCTGTTCTGAAGTGGGTCATCAAAAACTCTGTGCAAACATTGCCCCTTTTTGAGCATTGGTTTTTACTAACTCATCGTATTTCCAAATGGGTTTGAAATGGACTTGGAACATTTCTTCCCTCAGCTAGCCATGGTAGGCAGATCTGCGCTAACTGAGCACCTTACAGAAACGCAATGCAATAAAGTAGCATTCAGAAATACTCTCTTTCTCTACGTAGTAAATGGACTCAGTCAAGTAAACAGAAGACTTTCTGGCTCAGCTAGCCTTTATAAACGGCAAAATATGCAAGCTGTTCTTATTAGGCCCAATGTAGTAAAATCCGAAAGGGAAGGATGAATGTTTGGGTACTTTGCGTTTTACTAAATGTTCAGAACTAAGAGGTACTGGTTATTCTTACAGCTGCTATACTGTGTGCAAGAAGCATCACGGTCACCATCGGCTATCTAGGCATACATACATGGATCTTCATACGAAGATGATTGCCGGAACATGCATGTAGCACTGCGCATACTTTCGAATAGATCTCACCGCTAAGTAATACTTTATGGACGAATGATTTAGATCAATTAAGATATCTTTCAGGTCCAATGAAAGTGTCATATAGCTGCATCTAGTTTGGCTGTTTGGGTTATTAAAGACTAGTGATGTCCCAGATGTTGTCTTCTCATCTTAGATACCTAGCCATCGTTGACTCTTATGAAAAAAGTGTCTTTGGTATTATTGCCTGACTGCAATACTTAACTGAGCCCGAGAACAAGAATTTCAACTACAATGTATACCACTATCGTCTATATTATGCTTCTTGCTGGTGGTGTTCTTTCGCAGAACCCTACACCAACTACTACAGTATGTTCATTTAATTTGAGCCCTACAATGGTACAGAACCCAGCTAATAATTTATTTATTAAACAGCTAGAATCATGTCTTAGTTGTACAGAGCCATGTCCATGGCAGAGACCAACTGGGCAAGCCGTTGGTCACTACAGCTTTCTGTAGCGACTCGAGACTTGGTCCGACAGCGATACCAACTCATACTATGATAGCTTCCATGTTCACGGACTACGGTCGTTTCGGACGGGAGTGTCCACAAGGCTACTATGATACTTGGATTGAGTATGACGGATCTGTGCCAAAGCCTCCTCAAGACGGTTTTAGGCTTGACTCAAATGGCAAGAAAATATCTTACATGACAAGCATTCCCAACAACACAGAGATTGATCGGTTCGGATGGCCCAACGGCAGCTTTGTGTCTCTGGCCGGTCGTCCATTTAGTGAACGTTCTATCCCACCGTCAAACATCCTCAAACGTGGAGAAGACGGGCTGATTTATGGGAGATGGTTGACTATCGAAGAAATCGACAACGTCGAAGCCGGACCTGTTGCTCCCTGGTATAACCAGCCTGGAAACGGAACACAATATCTCCTACCCGATAGTACATGGAATCTTGTCGATCAGGGCTTCCTTCAAGAGATAATCCAATTCTAAAGGTTCTGCTAAGATGCATCATTATGTCGGTCTCCGGCATGATAAATCTTACACAGTTTTACCGTGAGGTAAATTTTTCTTCTTCTGTTATGACCACTGTTGTGATGATTTCAAGGGAGATTGTCTGTCCTTAAGCCAAATTTCATTTCCCATTTCAAGCCAAAGAAAAGCTCAAGCAAAAGAGACAATTGTTGAAAAGGAAGGGAGAAGGGAAAAAAAAGGGGAAAAAAAGGAAAAAAAAAAGAAAAGAGAGTCCTGAAGAACAAAAGCGACGTTATTTACGATTCCTATTATTAGTTTTGCTCCTTCTTATTCCAAAAAAGCAATCGAATTTACAAAACATTCTGAATCGTTCAACATCGGAAAACAGGAAACAGCTTCAACAACAAGATCAATTCAATATCAATGTTTGCAATCGTAATAAAATTTTGAACACATGTCGAAGTTGCTTGCAAGTGTTGAGTCGGTATAAATATGTTTGATCACATTATTTAATTGTCTCGTTAGCCGAAAATAATAGTTCTTAAACCAAGTTTGTAGGTTAAATAAAAGAATTATCTTCCATGATTTATATTCAATGGCAAGTTCTGTAGGATGTGCTAAAAAATAAAAATTGTTGTTGTTGCTCTTATCGATTAGGACCCCCATATTGCACGCTAATCCGCATTGGGTAGCTCTGGACGGGAAGCTTAAATTTTTAAATTTTCTTACTTCACGGCATTCCTCCTTGTCAACAGAAAGGAATTCGATATATCACTCATCATCGAAATCTAAAACCAAAGATCAATCTTGATCTCGGTGTGTGGGTGCGCAAACATGTCGAATGAAGCCAACTCTAGGAAGCGCCGTCGCGAATCATACAATGTCGACGTCCGACAAGTCGAAATCTACGAGGATCTTGCCAGCGAAAAGGACGAGGTCCGCCTGAAAGCTGCACATGAGCTAGTCTCGCGTTTCACTCCAGAGAGCAAGCCTACCGAAGAGCAAATTAACAAAACTCTTCAAAGGCTTTTCCGTGGTCTCTGCAGTGGCCGGAAAGCGGCTCGTATTGGTTTCTCAATTGCCTTGACCGAAGTGTTATCGCAGGTTTTTGCCTTGATTCAACCAGCTGCTGAGTCATCTGCTGTGAAAGTGTCTGATGTGATCCAAGCTTTTCTATCTGTAACAAGTGTTTCAGGTAACACCAGCCAGGTTTGTAGCCTTCGCTTTCTTTTCCCATTCCCGGAATGCTTATAATTTTGCGATTACAGGAACTAAGAGATCATTATCTCGGTACACTGTTTGGAGCTGAGGCTATTATCAAATCTGGTATCTTGTTCCAGCCCGGGGTGCCTTCCCAAGAATGGGACAGAATTGTTGCTGCACTTGTTGACCTCGGCAAGGCGAAGCCCTGGCTGCGAGAAGAATGCGGCTGGATCCTGTGGAGAGCGCTATACGAGTTGGCATCCCGGAATGCCGATGCTAAGTATCCTGAGAGCGTGATAGAGATCATTAACTCAAAAGACCTTGTCAAGTCGCCCGAGGGAGTCGCTATCTGGCTTCTCGTTCAGGACTCGTTCCCTACCGCAAAATTGCCCCAGGAACTCTGGAGATACAACAATGACCCGCTCGACCGTCGCGACATGAGCACGCTTGTCAAAATTATGAAACAAGCTTCTGAAGCCGAAGAAGGTTCCCAGTCAGCTTCATCGGGTGTTTGGAATTCGAAGTTGCACTTTGCCTGGGATGCTATTCTAAAAAGAGTCCACGATACTAAGTCCGGGGAGGATAAGCAGGACAAGCGGGATAAGAAGATGAGAAAAGAATCGCGCATTTCCTTTGAAGAATTTTGGAAGGAAGTCGTTGATAGTACGTACTTTCTCTTGCTACGAATGTTATAATACGCATTTTACTAACCTTGTTGTTGATTACAGATGGCCTTTTTGCCGCTTCTTCTTCTGAGGAGCGCAAGTACTGGGGATTCTCCTTGTTCATGAAGATTCTAGATGAAGCTCCTATACAACGTGCAGAGACAATCTTTACCAAAAATTTAATCAGATGTCTCATCAATCAGCTTGCCGTTGAAGACAGATACCTGCATCGTATGGCGGTGAAGGCAGCTAAGACGATCCAGAAACGGGTATCGACTGAGCCGGAGTTCGCTGCAGCGGCAGTGAATGGTCTTCTCGGATCCTCAGGCTCATTCCAGTTCGATCAGATCACGAAAACCAAGACCGTGGAGAAGATTGTCATCGAGGCTGGCCCCCAGTCGTTGAAAAAGATTGTTCAACTTTTAGGGCGTTTGGTGGCTTCTCCAGGCACTGACGAGATTAAGGCAGCTTCCGCTGGTCGCCAGTACCTTGCGGATCTATTTGTGTCGGTTGTTAGATCTCGAAGCTCTGCTGGTGAAGAATTCGGACCCATTCTACAAGACATACTGTCTGTCCTAGTCCGTTTTGCCTATTTTGGGGGCGAACAAGAAAAGCAAGAACTGATTGCCAAACCACAGCTGTCTCAGACAACTCAAGAGCTGTTTCGAAACAGGATAACTAGTTGTTTGAACAGCGTGGTTAGCAACATCAATGACCCGGCTGAAGTTGCATATAAAGTTGTTCGTCAAATCCGCGATTATCAAAAGTCGGAAGAATACGGGAAGTTCATCATTGAGATCGATGGAGCAATTGCTGAATCTGTTGAGGCGGCTTTCAAGTCTTTGAAGAAACTTTCAAGCAAGGTCAGTAATACCTTTTGTTTTCCTTTTCTACTTTCTGTTTATTAATGACTTTGTCTATAGGTGAAACATGATGGCAGCAATAGCAAAGATGCCAGCATCCAAGCTTTCAGACTTGTCTACTCTCTTACAATCTTGCAAGTCTACAATGGCGACGCAGATGCTGTATCCATGCTAGACGAACTTGCATTCTGCTACTCTAAATTCTGGGGCGACAAGAAATCGAAAAAGGAAGACAAGTCAGATGCATCCAATGCTTTGGTGGAGATTCTGTTGAGTTTTGCCTCCAAGCCTTCCAAGTTGTTCCGCCGTATGAGTGAACAGGTTTTCGGCGTTTTTGCTGGTCAGATTACTGCCGATGGCTTGCAATCGTTGATTTCGGTAAGTGGTCCAATCAAGGCGTACACTCGCTTATTTCTGGAAGATACGCTAATCTGCAATGCTTTGTTTCCATAGGTGGTCGAAGTCAAGGAGAACTTGGCTGGTCAGCGAGAGATGTTTGATCAGCAAGATGACGAAGACGAAGAGATGGAGGATGCCGGTAGCCTTGATTCCGACGATGATTCTGTTGAAGTTATCGATGCAGACGATGCATCTGACGAGGACGAAGACGAAGACGAAAATGAGGAAGAAGAAGATGATGAAGAAGAACTAGCCGCCTTTGACGCCAAACTAGCCGAAGCCCTAGGCACGCATCGCGCGGACCAAGATCTCGAAGGCGACGAATCATCTTCCGATGCCGACATGAACGACGACGAAATGGAAGCCGTCGACGAAATGCTCGTCAAAGTCTTCAAGGCCCGTCGACAGGCAACCAGCAAGAAGAAAGACAAACAAGATGCCAAGGAGACAATGACGAATTTCAAGAACCGCGTTTTGGACCTTCTCGAAATATACGTGAAGAAGTGCCATGCTAGCATTTTGGCACTTGACTTGGTTCTCCCTCTACTCCGACTCACGCGCAAATCTGCCGTAAAGCAGATTTCGCAAAAGGCGAGCGATATTTTGCGCGAATATACGCGTCTATGCAAGGGCAATGCTATTGCGACATTAGTCGCCGAATTAGGTCAAGAAGATGCAGACGAAGATGGAGAGCCCGCTATCGAACCTGTCTGGGACCTTCTTCGCGCCGTACACAAAGAAGCCATGCTTTCTGGACCAGCAGCGCACTCCGTCTCGGCCAGTCAGGCAAGCGTGTTCCTCGTGAAAGTTCTAGTTGCTCATGACAAGCAGAACATTGCAGGAGTAGTTGATATCTATGCTGAGACGAGAAAGGCGCAGATGCTGAACAATAAATGCCATGTTCAGCCTGCGTTCTTTACGGACTGGAACAATTGGTGTGTGAATGCGGGGAAGACTATGAAGAGTTGATTTGCTTTATCGTGAATAGGATAAAGTAGTAACGAAGAACCGGAATATTATCTACCACTGTGGTTTAACTTAAGTAGTATATATATAGCTCACCCAATTGAAGTGCACACAAGTAGATTTATTATACAATAGCACGTCTTCTATATTCGAACAAACTCCCAGAGCATAAATTATCAAATCAATCTTTAAGTATCCGATGCTGATCCGTCTCCTCCAATACCTCAAACAGCATACCAACCTCAACCACACCCTCATTTCGTGGTGCACTATTCATACCAAAGCACGCTTGATACGGGGCACCCGCATCAATCCTACGATAAGACGCAAGCGTACTCGATGGCTCCTTGTTGTGTGCCTTTGCAGTCGCGGGCTCAACGTTGGGTACTGTGCAGCGCGTACAGCGAGATACGACATCAAGGACGATCGAGTTTTTGTCGTCGAGAGGGAGAGAAGATGAAGGAGAAGAATATACTCGTACGGTTTTCCAAGAATCTTCAGCCCAAGGCCGGTTTCCCCGGACAATGATATTGGGCCGAAACCGTTCGATAGTAATGCGCCCCTCTCCCTTGGCAGATAATCGAGAATTGAGCTCGGAAATAGACGGTTTAGAAGCAATAAGTAATGGGAATCCGTCGGCAAAAAAGGTGGACTGAACGCGCCCAAGGACATGCGGCGCACCGTTTTTGCGTAGTATGCGATCCTTGGGGCCTTTGTAAACGAGACGGACATCACGTTCCAAGAATCGAGAGAAGAATTCGTTCACTTCTGGTCCATACATGTAGCCATCGGTGTCGTCACTCCAGACACGGACTTGCTCAAGCGTTGTATTGGCCTGTAGCCAGCTTGGGCTTGGACAGGCCGGGATGCTGATCTGTCCATCACCATCTGCCACACTGACGAGCAAATTATGACCATCCTTGCTGATTTGTGTAATGATCAGAGTCATTCTGGGGAGTTCACGCATCGTGACGAATCTGTGAGTCTTGCCGTCAACTAGCATCCATTGTCGATCCAGGTACAGGCCGTGCATGTGCATGTTCGTCTTGCATAGAGTAAAGCCCCTACATGATTTGATAGGGTATACTCTCAGCTCGGCGATTTCAAACACATTTCTTCTCGGTAATGTCCTTTGAAACACGGGGCAGGCTATTTGGAGTTTGTGGAGCGGTGTCGGCGCGAATGTCACCACAACCCATGACAAGAGAGCCACGGCTGCTGTGCAAAGAACAGGAAATATAGGTATGGTGAGTCCCTGGAAAGGGATCGCTCCTAGATCCATTTGCGCAATGTAATGATATACAGTATAAAGTAAGGTGAATTTGAGTGATGTCAAAATTTGCGTGTTGTCTCTGTCCGATATGTAGCGGAACGACGCTGCAGCATCAGATATATATATGTGGATAGATGTCGCTTTCCAGCGCAACAGAGAAACTTATGATAACCCCAAAGCCGAATTGACCAAGGAGCGCATCCAAGAAAGAAATGAGTCAAAGAGCGAGAGGATTCTTAATTTCATATCCAAACAAGGGACCCACACGCTGGCTTTCAAGCCGTCGGCCGAGACTTTGTTAAATGATTGGCCAATCAGAGGCCGCATCTTCTCAGTGAAGCATCAAAGACCGTAGCAGTACTTCTGCTTTTCGCTGCAGAGAGTTTGAATTTGAAACAATGGTGAATACTTTTGTCGCCTTCATTGCAGCCTTGTGAAACTGGCATGAAACATGTAGATGGTACGGATGTGCTTTGCTATGTCGATACCTCGGGCCTTACATATATAGCCCCCAAGTCCTGGGATTACCCAAATCAACAGTGCAGAGTATAAAAGCTTGAGCAGTTAGCATTGAAATAAGTCCCATGTATATACATGTATACGAGGTTACCAGTCACATGCGTATTTACTGAAACCATACCCTAACACGCGCCGAGAAGATGCTTCCGCAGATAGGGAATCAAAGAAACAACGCATGAAAGAGATGAGAAGAGAGCAGCCAATTCAATGATTCTCGTTACTCGCCATCTACCCAGCATTTCACCATTGATTTGATTAGAGCTACAGCGACTTTGCTTCCCAGTTCTATACTTGTATCGTCTGTGGCGACGGGAACGTGGAAAAATACAACAGACCGATCCCTTCCTTCCTGATACGCCTGTGAAAGACTGGTATAGAATATGAATTCGCAGGCATATCGACCGGCATCCGTAGAAATGCGGATGTCGGTTTCTGCTGGGGCGAGGGACTTCCAGGTTTGTAAGAAATGATCGTTTGCCGGATATGGAGCAAGCTTTAATAGGTCTGATGCCGGGATTGTCCTGGAAGAGGGTGACGATGCCTCCGCAGGGCCTGGGAATAGCACGGGAGGGAAACCATGTTCCTTCCATACTCTCTCGCCGTCATGAAAGCCCGATCTTCCATCCACATCCGGTATGCGGTAGTTGTCCCGATGCGCTTGCGTCTCTACGGAGTAATATTTGCGCGTTGACGCAATGCCTATGTGCACTATCAAATCGGGTCGGTTGCCATTGTGTGTTCGCGCAAAGTCGTCCAGGATGACGGGTATTTGTGAGTGGATGGTGGCATACGAGACTTTGATAGGCTCCGGATGCACATGAACCCGGACTTCTCGAGGGGCAGGAATAGCGGTATCACCAATCGATACAGGCTCCTTGGGAGGTAGGGTGAATGACGAGGGGAGCGACTGCGCGATCAAAGAAGACGCATTGACGTCAAAGCTTCTGAAAGGCTGCAAACAGGCATTCCAGTCAGTTTAGTGAGAAGAAGACACGCAAGGAGACATGGGTTGGTATACTCCGAATCCCGTCACGAGGACGTTTATCGATTGCGATACTGGAATGGCAGTGGGTGCGGGGTCTACCGCGATGCCAACGTCGCCCATGGCTGTGGTCAAAGGATTCGGAGCACAGAAGCGATGTGGCGGTCAACGAGGGATTCCCTTTCTCTTCCTCTGTCTATGTACAAGGGCGGTGGGCTGTCATTTGAAATATAAACCTGGGATTGAGAGATGAACTGACCTGACGACACTTTTCCACGAAGAAGCCGCGCGTGCTCATTGGCTGCCCGCATTGATCTGCTGGGGTAAGTCATGTGATATCCACCCTCTTTGAACTCTCGAGCACGTGATGGCTTCAGTTCCCCGTTAAAAGTACAAAACATTAGCCATTTCCAACTATGAGGCAGGAAGACTGGAAGTACTCCTTCTGGCAGAAACCTGCTTTCACGCGTGCATCACTGACGCTGGGCAGCGGGGACGGTCCAAATCTTGCATAAGAAAAAAGCGACAACGCAGCTGGCTTTTTCATTTTCCACGAATCAAAAAATTGAGGACCACGCCGAAAACTCTTACTGGCGTAGAGAAGGGGGGGGTTGCTGCAAGCCTGAGTGGAATATTTGTGATTTGCGTAGTAACTATATTGACTCTCGAGGATCCTGTGCGGAGTCATCTACAAGCGGTAACGAGCAATACTGGAGACGACGTGGTCTGGTTCGATTGACCGGTTGTTATGTTGTTATGCGCGTTGTTTACATGTTTATGTTTATGTTGACGTGTTTGAGACGACAACTCCCTGAAGCTTAAGACGAATTGCCCTACTGATATCGGTTGTTCTTATGCTGGGTGTTCACTTGACTATTATCCCAGATGACTACTCTGAAGATCATTGGAAAAATATTTGATGCTTGTTCTTACCTAGATAGTACAATGCCAGGCCATCGTTACCTAGATACGAAATCCAGCTCGCAGCCCTATATTTCAGACCCAACCAAGGTCTCCGCAATCCACGTACTTCCTTATGGGTAAGAACTGTTTCTTAACTTGTAAGTTTGAGGTCTTCAGACTTGTCCCCACAACACCGCAGCTTGAACCCAATGCTCTGGATAAATTCTCCAATAATAACATGGGAATACACAGTGCATGGTGGGTCGTTTCAGCTGTTCCCTCGGTATGCTCCGGTCGTACGTAGGAAGAATCCGCGGCAAGGTAGAAACCTGTGTACATCATGACGGAGTGCATAGAGCACGTACATGGGAACGCATTTTGAAATAATAGTTGAATGTGCTTAGGAACGAGGAGTTGACTTTTTTAGTCAAAATATCACAGAAGCGCCCTAGAATAGATTGACTACCTCTGGAATAACTATGTGGCGTGTACACTATCCGTATGTATAGTATACAGGCACTTAGGTATGTGTACAAAGCAAAAAGCCGTGGAATTAAGCAAAGCACACCTTGCAGCGATTCTCATACAAACGAAAGCAATCTCGTACATGCACTCAAGGTAGTCCCCGATAGGCCCGAAACGACGAAGCAAGGTTGCTTCACTTTGAGCCTGCCTGACGCGAGATTGGGAGCGTATGCATTAGCTAAGTTAGTACTTGTGTAGTTAGTTAGACTTAGGGCTAATTGTTTAGTTCTCGCTAGGGTCCAAAAATACATAGACGCGGTTATCGATACGGAAAGATTACTTGACGCGCGCTGGACGCGTTTGTGGGGTCGCGAGCGCGTATCCCTGCGACAACATGAGGTCTGCGCCTTCTGTTTGTGCTTGTGTCAGTGTGCGCTCGCTCCTTCCTGCAATGGCACAATTGTCACGGCCCGTGCCGGCGGACGTTTTCTTAACAAGCCTTTTCTTTCATATGAGTAGTCATAGTATATGGAGTTGTATAATAGTGATGCCAAGTCTAACAAACTTCACTGAGATCATAGTCTCGCCAAGTGGACCGCGCCTGACCTGACAGAACTCCCCAGTCAGCTGATCAGTTAATTCTGCCGGTTGATACGGCAACAAATAAGCACAATTACCGCAGTCATCATGTTCTCTGCCTGGTGAACGCGACCGATTCATCGTCTGTACGGAGTATTCCCCTTGTTCTCGGGCATATAATATCGCCAATTGACGGACGTCACGGTGTCTGGACCGTAAAGTCGACTGTTGCATGCATCCACTTTTCGCGCTTGTGACTTAATACTAGCGCATAATCTCTTTAATTTCACATAATTACGCCGTCTTTCTATTGTTGTATTCGTATTGATACGGATACGTAGCTGTGACCTGTCTGCTCGAGGCTATAAAGTAATCCTAGCCGCCTCAATTATATCATACTGTCGAGTACCTTGAGGCTGGTACGGTGCGGAATGGATTCCAAGTAGAGACGACTGTAGTTCCGACGTAGTCTAGAGTTTAGAGGCTAGTTCGCCGGCCGGCTGCCGCAGAGGTTGAAAACAAGACCGTTGAAACTTGAGACGCACCAGGTACTCCCGTCGGCGTTTTACAGCCGTCATGCCACTAAGGCCTGGCTGAATGATCGCGATTGGCCCGTGAGTGTATCATGGTATGTGCATTCGCGCTACCCGCAGACGATCTATCGCACTGCTTACTAGCGCGGTACCTTTCCTTTCTCCCTCTCCTTTTTTTTTTTTTTTTTTCTTTTTTTTCCTTTTCTTTTCCCCCTTGTGTGTGTTTCGTGGTTGAATCTCTTCTGGTCTCTGCTGCCTTGGAATTTCGCGCACTCGGTCTTTTGCAGACAGAATGGACAGCGCGGGATTTACTGAGGGCAATTGTAGGTGTGAGCTGTTGGCAGTTTGGCCCACCGCAGGCGTAGAGAATATTATATGTCTTGACGTTAGGACTCTTAAGACTTGGGCGGTGAGTGGGCCTTGCTGCCCGTTGCACCTGCCCTAGCACCGCCAGGCCACTAAGCCTAATTTTAATGCTATTCCCCTTTTTGTCCGTGCTTTCCCTCCCCAGCCATTTCCATTTCGCCCTGCCCGCGACTGCCCTCTGGTGCACCTGCACCTGCACCTGCACCTGCCTGTGCCTGCCTGCACCTTCTCTCTCTCTCTCTCTTCCTCTCTTCCTCGCCCCAACGTCGCTTCTCCTGCACCCCTTCCCCCCTCCCCCGACGGACAGCATATCTCTTTTTCCTTTGTGTTTGTTGTGTGTTGATGACGCTTGGTCATTTTGGCGTGTCTTGTCACGACTTATCGCGTTCGCGTGGATCATCAACTTGGTAATCGATAAGCGCATGCCATCCGGGGAGGCTGGGTTGATCGAGCCTTCGTACCCTACCAGACCTCTGACTTGCACCGCACACCACGCAACACTCCAACGACCGATTCCGGCCTCTCCTATTCTTTGACTGCCCCATCTCGTCGCGATAGTATCGTTCTTTTCTTCATTTTCTTTTCCTTCTTCTTGTCTCTTTAGAAACCCCTTGCCTCCAGCGGGAGTGCGAATACCGATCGCCCGGACTGACTGGCTAACTAACAATCGTGGCGCGCAATCGACACGGGCTAAACATTGAATCAGAAGGAGACAGGGCAAGTGCGACATCGTTGTCATCGTTGAACATCAGCCAAGAGGGAAATTTTCAAACCAGCAGACCCAGTCTCGACGCCTGCTCTCAATCGTCATGTTAGGTTCCATCGACTTGCTTTGAATCAATTGAGTGAACAGCGAGCATATTGGGACCAGACGCAGATTGGATCTTGACTGTGCAACCCGGTCATTGTTGACAAGCCTCGTCACTATATCGCTGCCATGGCGCAACAGCCACATGGGTTATCTCGGACTCTTCCCAAGAGCTTCACCTTCTCCTCACTCGAATCAACCTACCCAAAGACTCCAGAACACCCTCGTGTCGAACCACAGATTCCTCCTCCACCCCGTCATTCAAGTTATCGCGCTAGGCGGCCACGCTTCGACAGCCATGCTAGCATCTTTTCAAGCTTGAGTGCTGAACCCAACATTTTTGACCTCAGCCGCCCCGATGACCCTCTGCCATCTATTGAAGTTCCGCATTCAGACACTGTTTCTGAACCCGACATTCCAACCATTCAACCCGTGTCATCTGAATTCCTACAGGTGCCAGCTTCGAGGCGCATGGAATTCAAGACGCCCCCTGCTCAGATTCGCACGACACCTTTCAACTTTCCTCGCGCTACTCCCGAGCCTGTCGATGATGCTGAAGCCGACCCCATCGAAAGGCCGAGCTCTAGGGCGTCAAACTCATCTGTTTCGTCAATAGAGACGTACACCACGCAGCCTTCTCTTGGCGGAAGTTGCACGAGTCCTGAGAGCGAGATTTTCGACCCATTCAGCTTTCAGCCAGCTGATACTAGGAAACATCTTCTTGAGACACCTCCAACTAAGCATGCGAACCGGGGACAGTCGCTAGATCTGCCGAAGAGGAAGTCCCGGTGGACCGCAGATATGGACAGCCACTTGTGGAACACTTATCAGATGTATCTACAAGATCCCACAACGACCCCATTCAAAACGTTACCCGGAAGTCTTCCACCTCTAGGCGTGTCACATCGAGTTGCCAGGGAGGCGAAGAAGACGTGGACACGTCTTAAGTCGAAAACGGACCATGAAACGCCCCTAATCTCAATTAATGCTGATGACAGCGCTGTGCTCATCGAAGGCAGCAGTGGCAGCAGTACACCTACTGCTAATAAGTCGAAACCTCGCTGGCCAAGATCCGAAGCAGCTACAAGAAGACGACTGAAGTACCTATGTAAACGCAAACTTTCAATTGCTCCACATTATCAACGTCTTCTGCAGTCTCGCAGCCCTTCGCCGTTCTTGGACGTCTTCTCAGCGCCTGCCCGGAGACCCGTTGGCCCAGTTTTTGATCATAATTCGTCGGCTGCTTTCATGACTCGCGATCTTGGCGTCTCACTCGTCTCTAGCTCTTTGCCTGCAACATTCACACAATTTGCGGCCGTCGAACCATTATCCACTGAAGGCTCGGCCACAGCCGAACACTCTCACCACTCCGAAAGTCAGCAGTCATCTCACCAAGATTCCGCTATTCCAATACCCACAATCCCCAGTCATCTTTCTGTGGCTCAGGAACCATTTCCTCGTCTCGGATCGCCTTTCATGTACAACACCTGGGGCCCCGATACATCTCGTCGCGAAGCCCATGGTGGAGCAGCTCGTAGACTTCGACGAGATACCATTCATGTGTCTGGGTCAAGATTGAGGACGCCTCCTCGCATGGATGTGCCCTCTAACGTCCACAAACGCCGAGCACACCATCGATTGGACTCTAGTCCCAATTTGACTGATATACAGCGTAACGTCCGTGATCTAGCTCGCGATGGAAAATTGAAAGATGGACAGCGCCGTGTACGACTTCGCAATCGTGGTAATACAACCAGTGGTGGATTCAGTTCCAAAGAGCGCGTTGAGCAACTCTTCTCCCCAACCTCGCCTTTCACTTTCCCTGGCAATCAAGATAGCTCGCCCCAGGTATCTCAGGGGCTACTACGTCCACGAGCTGAGACCATTCGCCGCCTCGGTTCTCCATTCAGACTCGATTCAGGACCACGCTTCCAGTACCCCAAATCGCCTAGACATGCCCCATCGTTGTCCGATCCATTCATGAATTCCTCCATCAAATCCCAAGTCCATCTTGAACATCAAAGTGGATCTTCCTCTGCCGAACCACACGTACCTCCAGGCAGACTCCCATATGACCCTACTGAGGAGGGAATTTCTGATGCTGAACGGATTCGACGACAAATTCTGAATTTACCTTTTACCAAACACTCAATGGTATGTGCAAATCTTTATTCGCTGCTAATCTAAAAATATCTTGTTGACATCAATGAAGTAACACTGCGGATGGGCGGCCACGTCTACTGCAGACAATTTATCTTCGAAACCGCCCTACGATGGCTTAGCCATTTCATCGATCGCTTTCATGTATAGAATTCTTCTTTTTATTAAATGCATTATGACTTCGGAAACGCAACGGAACGAAGTACGACTTATTTTGACGACTGATGTGATCATGTGACACGAGTTCATATGGAAAGCATGAAGATTTTTGCAATTTTTGGTTAATAGTCGAAACGTTCGCCCTAATATTCGGTTCGTTGAAGTTTTCACCCTGACCTGATGATCGGATGAACAGCACCACGACTTTGGACGACATTGTTAGGCCGAGTCGATTTTTTCAAGCGTTTGGTGATCTTTGTTAGAAGCTTTTATGATATTCACGATGGCTATGACTAGTTCGCCTATTTGATTTAAACTGCCATTTTTTCCTCTTTGCCCGATCGATCGCGACGCATACACTGAACTCGTTGTTGGCAAGAGGGATCCTCATGCTATTGTCGAAAGACTTGATGCAGTCAGCCGCCAATCTGATTAACTGCCACACGCCCAACACACTCATTTCGAATTTCTTTTTCCTTTGCTCTCTTCTTCAACCAAATCGACAAGTTTTCCTTCGGTGAACATTCGGTTTCTGAACCATAACCACCATGCTAAATGGATATCTCAACAGTACAACTACCACATAACATATTTGTCATATTGACAACTCACTATCTTTAAACATTTCCTTTTCCTTATGTTCATTGATTTCCCCATTATTTTTGTTTTTCTCTTATCTCTCTACTCCTTTTTGCCAATCAATCATATGAGCCACACTCACCTAATGTATCCAGTCTTTGCGTCGCGGCGATCGATCGTTTCTACTTTCCCCCCTCCCTTTCCTTGACATGAATTGATGATGAAACGAACAAAAAAAAGGAACAAAAGTTTGAGGGACGCCCACTTCTGAGATGAATGAATGATATGACAGACAATGAACGCATCTAAAAATAATAGATGAAATAAAGTGATGGCTTTTTTTTTTGAAGTTGCGTATTGTATTTCGATTCTGAAAATTTTTTTTTTTTTCCGTCTCTCATTCTTTTATCATTCTAGAAAGATTACTATTTATCACCTTTTCCTTAGTTTTGAATAACGAAATTCATTCTATCGTCCATGTCCTTTGAACATCGATGCATGTCGACACTATTGCTTACATTGATTCATTCATATGTTATGCTGGTCTGGGGAAAGAAAGACATCCAGGATGTTTAAAATCATAGGAACAATCGCATTTCTTAGCCAGCTCGTGTAAATACATGAAAATGGGACACCAGGGAAGAAAAGAGAAGAGCGAGATTGGGAAAAGATAACATGCAGGGGTATATTGGTATATAGGTAATATGTACGATGGTGGTGGCAGTAGTATCGAGATGAATGCAAGACAAAATAAAGTAGATACAGAAATAAGGAGAATGATTGTATGTCGTGAATTGTGTTGGTGTGGAAAGGAGCAGGATGAACTGCTTGCAACGGAAAGTTGAAACAAGAATAGAAGATAGAATACAAAGAGAAGATATTCTAACGCTCCTTTTCTAATCTCTCCTTTCTTCGCGATAGGTATGCTTCTAGTTTGCGGATTTGTAGAGAGAGGTTTTTCTTCTCCGCATTAACGGCTAGCCATGCTTCCATTCTTTCGCGCATGTGTTTCAAGGATTGGCAAACAGGCAATGCTGGAACTGCAGCGTTGGAAGCACCCGCGCGCTCCATCTGTGTCCAGCGCTCTGTTGCAGGGTTGAGTAGGAGGTCGAACACGTCTGTCCAAATCTCTCGGTCCCAATATCGCTTGAAAGATTCACGAATACGATAGCGTTTAGTAGTGGCGTTAAAATCGGTTAGAGAATCACGAATTGCGCCACCGGAGTTGCGTGTGTTGTTGTCGACAGGGACAGATTCAAGGTATTTGCCGAATAGCATTGCGTGGATCGTCACGGCGACTCCGTACAGATCGATTTGATATGTCCAGGGTCGCATCTCACGTACTTCGTTGCACTCATGCTGGCTCATTTCCCATTCTGCTATGAACTGAACGTCGGGCCTAAAGGCCTTCATGTCGACACCCCGGCCGAAATCAATCAGTGTGAGACCTCGTTCTCTCCAACCGCGTAGTCCACGAGCCGAGTAGTGGACTTCACTAGGATCAGCTATAGCATCTTCATCTGCTAGATCAAGAAGAGATTCACCTGGGGGAGGTGAAGGGAGCGATGATCTGCTCTTCTTGTCTTCCAACCGCACTAGGCAGTTGTCTGGCTTGATATCTCCATGCAGTATCCCACAAGCATGGAGTCCTTCCACCGTCCGAAGCAGTTCAACGGAGAAGAACATCGCAAGTGCTTCGTCCATGCCGGCCTCTGCATTTCCAGTGTTTGTGATGGCTTCTGTTCTTATGATGTTGACAAGATCCAGCAGTGTACCTTGTCCTTGATAGTCTTCTATCAGAAATGATTCGTCTTTGAAAAGATGGATTTCATGAGCTTTCACAATGCTTTCCGATGCGCGGAAATAGGAGGGCGAAGTGCGAAGACGGTCGTGTGCAATGCTTATCATATAGAACTCCCATGCACTCGGAGGGTCCGTTTCTAACTTAATGGCTTCAAGCCTATGTCTCTGGAACTTCTGTTCCCGCTTGCCTAGGGCTGAAGATAATTTCGTACTCGCTTCCGTTTCATTGTTAGGGGGATAGGCATCGATGTTTCCTACGCTCTCTGCCAGATAGACTGGTGCATAAGCCCCGGCTCCTAGCTCACGTTTTATGGCGTAAGTTCTTTTGCTTCCTTGAAGACTGAGCACTGGAGGAGTAGAGGACAGCCTTTCGCCACCCTTTGACAGCTTTTTGGCCGATTTAGAGTACTTAAGAATATCCCCAGCATGTGCCCCGAAGATGGACGAATGATCATGGTATCCAGTGAAGGTTGCAAGCGGCGGTTCAATCATTTTGAGAATCTTATTGCGAATCGCTCTGTCACTCGGATCACATTGAGAGTCCTTGATGATGCAATTGGCATCGGTGATGGAAAATGGTGGCACATGCTTGACAGGGGTTCGTCTTAATGTCTTCACGCCTAGACTAGGAGACTGCGCGTCTTCGAGATTGACGGTCACTGCGTCTGCATCTGGACTATTAAGCAACAGATCTCCCACCGGGATGCCGGAAGGTGTAAGCTCAACTTCGGGAACAGTTTTGCAAGGCGTTTTATAATCATAGTGACGGCTCCTTGCGGCAGTAAAGGAAGGCAACGAAGACTCGGTTTTCTCAATGATAGGTGTCATGAAAGGAAGTCGATTCTGTGCCATTATTGCAGCATCTCGATAAGGTCCAATAGGAGGATTATAATCGTCAGGTTCTTCTAGAATGTACTTGTTATTCGTGAGATCTCGTGTCCTAGGGTTAGAGTCCAAATTATTTTCATCTTCGTCGTATTCTGCAGCAGAGACATTCGGAATATGTTTGCTAGCAGTGAATTCTGTCCATTCACCATCGTGTTCACTATCGTCATCAATTTGTTCATCGTCATTGACCCTAGTCTCATCATCTCCGAACTCGCTGTGCCCTGCCGATATCCTCCCAGTGCCGGTACTTTCTCCGCCGCTAGTATAATCGTCGTCCTCATATTCACTGTCCAGAAAGCTATCGCCGTGTTCTGCATTTTCAGTCTCGGTCTTCAACGGTTGATTAAAGATACTATATATTTCGTCTGTAGCAGCTCGCGTGTGGAATGTCATCGTTGGCTCAGAGTTGTTTTTTCGCTTTATCCTCGGTCCAGTCGGAGAGTCCAGATTTGTTTTTACTACGTAAAATTAGCATCTTATACTTCCAGCTTCTGCTTCTGGTCATTACTTACTAGTCTGCGTCTCCCCAATCTCTCGAACTTTGATCTTCTTGACTTTTGATAGTCGCCTTTCACGACGCTCATCATGTGGTGATCCCTCCTCTAGAAAGAGTTTTTGCTTTACATCTTGAACGAGTGAGCGGTCCAAGTTCTCAATTCCCTCCGATGAAGAAACCCGTCCAGCAGAGTTGGTAGGAATTTCTTTAAGGGGCTTTTTAGGGTTCGCCCAGTCCTTGTCCAACCATCCGCGGCTAGCAGCGCGAAGCTCTTCGAAACAAACCTCGAAGTTTGGGTTCTTGTAATCCGGATACACAGCTTGTAAATCCACAAAAACACGCTCTTTCCTACCAGTGCGAGGATTTATGGCCTCTCTTACGTGATGTTCGGGGGTATCAGATCGTGAGGGTTGGGCATTTGATTGAATTTGTGCATTTGAGTTCGACTGCATACAAATAACGACAAACGAGCCAAAGCCATACAGTAATTAGTCCTATGATCGTAAATATATGGAGACCAGAAAAGAATTTTCTTTTTGTGCATGACTTACCTCATCCCTGAATACGGTCATTTTCTGGACCGGAACCTGCTTCTTTTCCGACTTCAATATTTCACCGGCCCAAGGCTTTGCCTCGACCTCGTTTTCCTTGCGTCTGTCTCGCAGGGATCCAATGTTATCCCACCCTTTTGACAAGCTACTCGTTGGCGGCTGACTCGAATCCGGGTTGTCGGAGTCGGAAAATATAGCGAGTTTTTGTTTTCCTGATTTAGTTGTTGTTCGCCCCCCCACACCTCTAGGTTGCGGTGCTTGGGGATCAGTCCGTGCAGTAGCGAATGGATCAACTTTTGCTGCCAGGGCTGGGCGGACAGTTGGAAGAGCGGGAGAAGATGGTCCGTCACCACCCTGTGGCTGTTGTTCGAATCGTGCCTGAAATTCGCCGAATCTTCGCAGTAGACGTTCCTGAGGACGTGCCTCGCGCTCTATACCAAGTCTATAGACTTCCTCCGCTTGAGTCCATCGTCCGGCACCTTCAAGCCAGCTGGCGAATTCTTCATAGAAGAGCGCTAGACCCTCTCCGACATGATGGCGTGCTAGAAACGAGAATGTTTCACGTGGTGCGTCTGAAAATAATCTAATATATTGAAGCCATAATCGCAGGTACCGAGGGTCGTTCCTATAATGTGCGGAGTTGAGGAAAGCCTTCGTAGCTCGCTCTAGTAAGGGTAGAAGCCCAGATTCGGCGGTGGCCTGGGATGATGGATATGCATTCAAAGTCCATTTGACATATCGGTCGTATACATCAAGGGGATCGTCTGAGTCGGCGCTGGCTTCCAATTCGGCCTCGTATTCTTGTCGAATTGCATCGTTTAAGGTCCTAGTCTCGTTTGGTGATGGTGAATTATATTTATCGCCGCTTTTTCCTGCTGAAAATATCTGTACCAGGGCCTTCGCAGACCTTCCGCCAGGCAAAGACTGAATATTTTCTTTCTGCGTCTCAATCACGTCAAAGTTGATCAGGTCATCAGAGGCCGACATATTGACGGCCCTTAATCACGGCGCACGGTGATTGCACAGAAACGAACTTGTTTCACTTGCCGTTCTTTAGTGACTGGCCGCTGAGATCGGTCAGCGTCGAAGGATGTCGTCGCTGAAGTTGAAAATTGCGGGTTTCCAGATGGCGGGCAGAATCATAAATGGGAAGGTGCGATCGACCTAAAATATCCACAAACAATCCCACAAGAGTTGCCGCGGTAACAGATCACGTGCCTTTATGGACATCTGCGAATATTCTATCTGAAAAGAGCTTTGGGAATAATTTGAAGCTCCGTAACGTCTTCAGCAACGCGTGGATATTAAATACTCTACAAGTTATTTCCATAACTCATTATTTCGCTGGAAATCGCAGAAACACGATGTCAGCCAATTAGCAGTTTGCATTAGTCTCCACTCACGTATCTGTAGATTGCTGAATGATCTGGAGCGCCCAAACCAGGCAACACCTTGATGAGGCGCGAGCATTTCATCTTTCTCTTTCTCAGTATGCACAGTGGTCGCGCTGTTGATCAAGTCACTTGCATCTCCTAGACCTCCTGCTTTTCAGAAGACTGCAGCAATGCCTGCGCGTCGTTCGCGCCTAAGTTCCGGTGCCGCCATCTCGACAGAAAACAAGAAAAGATCACTTCACGAGCCAGAGGATGAGATAGTATCCCCGAGGAGGAACAAACGCGGGAGATACAGCGCCGAATATCGAAAGTCGAAATCTGCCTCCCCAGTTGAGGCCAACACTCCTAGAAAGTCAACCAAGCAGGGCAGCACAAACAGCAAAGCGAGGAGAACAGCTAAAGAGATCATAACTGAGGAACCGTACGTCGAGGAGGACTCCAAGGCAACATACTATGAAGTCAAGGTTGAAGTCAACGCAGAGGAAGAAACAATTACCACGAAGTCTACAACAAAGCGAAAGACGAAAGGAGAAAAAGAAGCAGAAATGTCGCCTTTAGGCATAAGAACCAAAGGTCTACAAATGTTTGTGGGAGCTCATGTTAGCGCCGCTAAAGGTCTGCTCACTTTCGATTCGCTTAGACTCTGAAACTATACTGAAATACAACCTATTTCTTCAAGGGGTACAAAATTCGATTGTCAACAGCGTGCATATAGGGTATGTCACAAATATACGGTTCCGCATCGTATGAAAACAAATGTCTAATGCAATGATTCAGTGGGAACGCTTTTGCATTATTCTTGAAATCTCAGAGAAAATGGGACAATCCGCCATTGCAAGATGAACACAAGGAACAATTCCGAAAATTCTGTCTTGACCACCAATATGACGCATCCAAGTTTGTTTGCCATCGTATCTGTTTTTTTAGACTTATATTCGACTGACTGCATCGATAGATATATTTTACCTCATGGCTCATATCTGGTTAACTTGGCCCAAGAAGAGGAAGCCAAGGCGAAACAGGCCTTCGACTCATTCCTGGATGATCTGCGTAGATGCGAACAGCTCGGTATCAAACTCTATAACTTTCAGTAAGTCCGAATCCAGACCAAAGGCCAGGCTTGACAAAACTAACTGCCTTTGAAGTCCAGGAGCAGTGGGTCAGAGCACACTAGAATCGGCTATTTCACGGCTTGCGAATGCCTTGACAAAGGCACTTTCCGAGACCGAAACAGTGACTCCAGTACTAGAAACAATGTGTGGCCACGGAACAACCATTGGTGGACCGCTTTCTGAACTGGGTGCTGTTATCTCCCAAATTCCAGAGAAATTCCACTCGCGTATTGGAGTGTGCATTGATACGTGCCATAGCTTCGCCTATGGCTATGATTTGGTATCCCCAGAAGGATTTAACTCATTCATGCAAGAATTCGACGACAAGATCGGATTGAAATTCCTCAGAGCGCTCCATCTTAATGACTCAAAGGCTCCACAAGGTAGTAAGCGAGATCTCCACGCAAACATCGGAACAGGCTTTCTGGGCCTTCGCGCTTTCCACAATGTTATGAATGAAGAGCGCTTTCAGGGACTGCCCATGATCCTTGAAACCCCCATTGATCGTCCCGGTCCAGATATTGGAGGCTCAAACAAAAGCAAGCCTATCGAGGATAAATCTGTATGGGCTCGCGAAATTAAATTGCTTGAATCTTTAATTGGTATGGATCCAGAAAGTTCCGAATTTCGTTCTCTAGAAGCCCAGTTGTCCGATGAGGGACGCGCAGAGAGGCAAAAGCATCAGGAACAATATGAACGAAAACTCGAGACAGAAGCGAAAAAAAAGCAGAAATCACTTGCCAAGGGTCAGAAAAATTTGGATGATATGTTCAAAGGGAGAAAGGGTGGTCCTAAGAAGCCTAAAACGACGGACTTGAATACTTCAGAATCCAGGCCCGTGGAATAAATGGAGTATAAGATGGCTACATAACAAGGTGCTCCAGAAGATCAACTGTTATCTTAAAGGTCGTCCTAGCAATGGAATTAAAAAGTGTATTTCCAATGATAAAATTCCTCAAGTATCATGCAATTCTGCTCTAACCAATGCATAAACCGGGAGTGAATCTCACACCAAGTCTACACAATCTGTATGACAGCGCCTATATAGGGCGTTGATAATATTCTATCCCTTTAAAACACCCCCAATTTCAAGCGTACATAGCTATATATACCGGAAATACATTGAAATGAAATGAAAGACATGAGTGGGATAGAACCAATATGTGTCATGCATCCCACGCACAAGAATGGAACAAAAGGGTGATGAAAGAAGAGAAATACATACACCGGGTATAGAAATGTAAGTTAACACCAGTAGCAAAACAAAATATATCAACATTTGTAGCGCAAAACATGACTTATGTCAACCCAAGAAGAATGGACTATGCAGGCTCAGTATGTTCATTGGCGAGGAAGGGACAACATTTGGTGTTGTACCGCTGGCGCGAACCGAATAGGTCCAAGAAATAAGATAAACGTCGTTTCCAAGCGTACTTTTCACGCTCTCATCGCCCTCCCATGGGCTGCGTCGAGAGCGTCATCAAGATCGGGCTGGTAAGCATTCCAACTAATGCTATTGCGACCACTAAAGTCATGGTCCGGCTCATCGTTCAATGCAATATGCTCGTCGTGCAAATGTCCAGGAGGGGGAGTAATATCGTATTCTTCGTCATCCGTTTGTTGCTCTATCATCTCCTTGTGGGCATCACTCCTCATTTTGCTTATCTTCATGTAGTTGTATGCTGCTATACTTGCGATTGTCACGAACAGGCCAGACAAATTAACTGGTGTTAACGGATCATGGAAGACGACACCCGCAGCACTGATAGTAACAACTTCCTTGAAGATTCCGCAGATACTGAGAGTAACAACGGAAGAGCGTTTCAATAGTGCAAATTCGGAGGCTATCATGCAAAATGCTAGGACTCCCGGAAATACTAAAAGCAAGATTCCGTTGAAAGCTCCACGATTAGAAGCCAATGTCCTGATGCCTTCGGCAATCTCGCTTGGTCCCTCAATACCAAGTGCGATGGCAATCAGAGCGATAAACATGACCGGTGTAAGAAAGAGCATGGTAGAGAACGGATTCGATGTTGCAGGGTGTCGAAGCAAAAGAATCTGGGTCAGACCCCATCTGAAGCCCGAGAAAAAGGCAGAAGCGATGACTAACGCAAAGCCACGAGCATCAAAAGCCGTTTCTCCAGCGACCATCATGATGACTCCAATGGTCATGGCAGCAATTACCAATATAAGCTTCACTGAAGGTGATTCCAAACGGAAAATAAATGCGAAAATAAGGACGAAAGCAAGAGCCGATGACTTGCACATCGTCAGAAACGTCAGAGAAATATATTTCAAGGACATATTGCCCAGTCCGATATCCAATGTAGTAGCAATACCACACGGGACCAAACGAGTCAGGTAGAAGGATTTTGTCATAATTGGTTCGGGAGTAGGAGAAGAAGTCGGCGAATGTGTGGGACGGAGAGAAGGTATAAAATAGAGGATTAGGACGGCGAGGGTGAGTTGAACGAGCATATGTAAACTAGTGGTAAACAGTGGAAAGGGAAACACGACTTCGTCTTCCGAGAACATCCACTTATTATACTGTTGCGATTGAGTTAGCAGCGTTGAGAGATAACTTGCGCTCAGCAGATGCACCTACTATAGAAATCGACAATGAAAAGAAATACCACAAGCCTATCAGAGATGCATTAATCATGAGCGCCATAAAAACGTTCTTGTCCGCAACGAAATTGCTGTGTTTGCCCTTAACTCCAGCAATTTTCGCATCTAGTCGTTGACGTTGCTTCTTCCGCCGCCGCCGCCGTTCATTTCGCTGTTTTGCCGTTAAACCAGTTTCCTCGTCATCGTTAATTCCGTCATCAGACACATCCTCATCTGATTCTGCAATAGATGAGAGATCTGAAGAGTCGGGATCCTTGTTGGTAAGAGGCTGTTGTTCCTCGCCTTTTGCTCCGTCTTCTTTGGGACTCAGTCGGCCTTCCCTATCTACGTAACTGTCGGTGAGCGCCGGATGAACCTGGGATGAACCTGCAGCGGTCAAAACGGAGCTGCGACGCCTATGATGTCCGGTGATATCTCTCGAGGCCCCGACTGCCATGTTGCTTGGTAATTTGACAGCCGCGCTTTCAAGGAGACGGGGAGCGCATCTGACGGCGGAGATTCCGAAAGCGAAATCGCCGCTGACTGTTACAGCAGGCGATAATCTAGAGGAGGTAATATATCCCGAGCTCGATACCTCGAAAATGTAGGAGAGATTCAGTTGCACAAATGTCAAACCGAGTCGCGTGTCACACGAAAACAAAAGAAAGCGCCGATGGCTGGCAGTTAAGAGGAGACTTGATGTACGCAGACAAAGCAGCGAGACGAAGGATAAAGGAACGAGCAGGAAAAGAAAGCAGAAAGGGAAATTGATTTCCTAAGGGAATGACTGGTGCGCACCATACAGCGACCCTAAATTGCAAGAACCGACAATTGGAGCAGGTTGGGATGGTCGTGGATGATGATGGAGAGCAAAACAGTTCGTTATTGTCCCCCTTTGGGCCTTAGCGTGACTCGAGAGTTGCCAAAGACTGTCGGTCGCCTCGGCGGGCCGGAAGAATAGTTGAGCAATCTGCGCGCTGATTGGGCAGCTGGGACGACTAGCTTTGCCCGAAACACACTAGCGCCTAGCTTCCTCGAGGGGGCTTGGCGCCAAGCTGTCGAGACTCGAGGGCGTCTAAAGTGTTCCGTCTGGAGTCACCGCCTTCCGTCTTGGGCCGGCAGAACGAACGTCCAGGAATTGATATCCGATGCGACTCCTCGGATTGCTTCTTGACGAGGAACGCAAGCCAGTGGCTATCCCATGGCGCTGCATCTTTGGGAGGATTACCATGAACCTCTGGCCCACTTGCTCGGGTTGTCAGAAGACACCACTGGCTACTGTTAGCTGTGAGCCTCCGACAAAGCAATCTAGTGGAGAGCCACCGGCAGAGAACCCGTTACTTCAATGAGTATCGTGTTGCTATGATGATGCCATATTCTTTTTTTTTTTTGCCGGAAATCCCGGCTGCACATGGCGCAATGGAATCTCTTCTGCTATATACCTAAGTCTCGTATCTAAAAAGTTCCAGCATCTCTTGCTCCACAAACCGTACAAAAAGTTCCAGTCACATCTCAGAATATCAAGGGGCACAAGCATTCTCATTTTGTAGCTTGGCCGTTCATTCGAAGTGTCAAAGTCAACTATCGATATGACTTCCAAATACAACGCTATTGAAGACTATGGCATCATTGGGGACATGCACACGGCCGCTCTGGTGAGCAAGGATGGAAGTATGGACTTCCTGTGCTGGCCTGTGTTTGATTCTCCATCAGTCTTCTGCAGACTGCTCGACAAGGACAAGGGTGGCCATTTCAGCATCAATACATTAACCCAGGATGGATTACCCCTAAGCAAGCAGAGATATCTGCCCTACACCAACATCCTGGAGACCCGCTGGATCCACGAGCAAGGAGTCATCAACCTGGCCGACTTCTTCCCTGTTTCCAATCACAAGTCTCCTCAATCTGACAGACACCTGTCTGGTTACTGTGCTTGCACCGAGCCAGGCGGCAACCGCTGGAAGACCGGTGCCAAACACTCAGGGATCTTGCGTCGTCTGGAATGTGGTCGAGGCACTATGAATGTCAAGGTGGAGCTCTTTCCTGCCTTCAATTACGCCCAGGACGGCCATAGCGTTCGTTGCAATTTGAGCTCGTCAGAAACAGTCCCACAACTACAGACTATATACTTTGAATCACCCAAAGAACGCCTACAGTTGGACATCTGGGCCGATAACAAAAAGGAAGGACAGGGTCTGCCGAAAGGCCGCTATCGCCTCGAAAACAGGCCTGGACATCTCGGGCAGGGCCTTGTCGCCGACATCGAGATCTCAGAAGGACAGTCCATGATCTTTGTTCTTCATAGTCCCGAGAAAGCCCTCCCGGGGCCTACTCAGCTTTCCTCTTACCTCTCGCGACTCGAGTCGGAAACCTTCCAGTTCTGGACAGACTGGAGCCACAAGTGCACCTTCCGTGGCCATTATCGAGAGACCGTAGAGAGAAGTCTGCTCATTCTCAAGTTATTAACATACAAGCCCACGGGAGCGGTCATTGCCGCGCCGACATTTTCGTTGCCTGAAAATATCGGCGGCTCCCGTAATTGGGATTACAGGTATTCCTGGGTGCGAGATACCTCCTTCACTCTGTATGCATTCCTCAAGAATGGCTACGACGAAGAAGCCGAGGCATACATCTCCTTCATTTTTGATCGTGTCTTTCCGCCATTGGTCGAAAAACAATTCACCAAGGAGCACTTTTTGCCTATAATGTTCACGATCAGAGGAGATTCCGATATTCCCGAGTTTGAACTCAACCACCTGGACGGATACCGTGGCAGTAAACCGGTGCGTATCGGTAATGCAGCAGCTTTCCATACGCAGCTGGACATATACGGCGAATTGATGGACAGTATTTACATGTACAACAACCACGCAAAACCGATTCAATATGACCAATGGCTCGGAATCCGCCGCATGATGAACTTTGTCATCCAGGTTCGCGACGAGCCAGATATGTCTATATGGGAAGTGCGTGGCAAACCACAGCATTTTCTCTATTCCAAGATGCTGCTCTGGGTAGCACTTGATCGCGGAGTACGCTTGGCCGAAAAACATTCTACCCTGCCCTGCCCAGACAAGCAGCAATGGATCCGGGTTCGTGACGAATTGTACGATGAGATCATGGATAAGGGCTATAACAAAGAGAAAGGATTCTTTGCGCAGAGCTATGAGAATACTGAAGTCGTCGATGCGGCACTTATGATTGCCCCCTTGGTGCTGTTTGTTGAGCCTAATGATCGTCGTTTCTTGAGCACTTTGGACAAAGTGCTAGAACCGCCGGAGAAGTCGGGCTTGACTAGTGCAAGCATGGTGTTCCGGTATGACCACGAAAAGGCTCAAGACGGTATGTCTCTGGTGTAGAATTGTTATGAACTGCTTTACCACATGCATTGCTAACATGTTTCATAAACAGGTGTCGGAGGACGCGAAGGCGCCTTTATAATGATTACCTTCTGGGCTATAGAATCCATGTTCCGGGTAGGTCATTTGAAGTAACCTAGAAGAAAAATAAAAAAGAATGGTGAGGGTTAACATCCCCCAAGGCATGCAAATACACCGACACCCTCCCCAACGGCGACGACATCCGCCGCAAGGCCATAGCCAGTTTCGACAACGTCCTCTCCTTTGCTAATCATTTGGGAATCTTCTCCGAAGAAGTGGCAATCAGTGGCGAGGCGATGGGTAATGTGCCTCAGGCCTTTAGTCATTTGTCGTGCATTAGTGCGGCAATGAATTTGCCAGATTACCGTAATTGATTTGGCTAACTGAGTGGACTCATACAGCAATTGGTTCATTTCATTTCTTTTTATTTTCTGCTTTTTGGGGGGAAGTAAAAAAAGATACAGAGGGGGAGAAGATTGTCACACAAGAAAAGATAATATATGTGCCTAGATTGATCTTACTTCATACATGTATGTTTAAGAATTAGATAGATAATATTGATTGATATTGACTCGAGATAAGCAATTGGTTACATAGCAGTGGACACAGCTTCGCCCGTGTAAATACTAAACACCATTAAAAATGGTTCTCGAAGTTTCAGATACTGGCTGTAAAAGTTGATCCGATGGCAAATGATAAGGTATACTAAAACATGGGCAATAGTAATGTTAGTTTTTGTATTTCTCTTATAGAATTTATATGCTTCTCCAGATAACACTTGTAGTCTCGAGAGGGTCTTTTCTTTTCTTTCCTTTCTTTCTCAGGTGGCTCGAAATTCAACATAGATAATACCACAAAGCTAGCTTATAGAAGTTTCAGCGACCAAGCGAACCAATATTCAGCCTGTAGTTTGATCTCCACGGATGACACATACAGCATCAGCCCGCTTCTCTCCATTAGATACACCTAGTCTTCATGCATAGGTGATTTGCTTTCTTAAATCTTCTTCTGATCACCGTTCGAGTTACTCAGCGGTCAAATACATAATGGAATATATTCCTGTAGGAGACTCGCTAGGCCGGTCCTCGAACTGGAGGGATTACACAAACAGCATGTGTCATTGTGCCACTGAGCCGATGCGTAGGGCCATTATTTACTAGCCCAATCTAACCACCCTTTCTTGGTGCGGGAGTGAGAGTTGAGTCGAGACGACTGGGGATGGCAACTCGATCTTTTTTCTGTCGAGTAAACTGATTGCTGTTCCCAATCGCAGCGCTTGCATTGCGAAGCTCAATCTTCTTTCGTTCCATCTCCAGCTATAGCACATATTAGCCAAATTGTAAACACTAGATATTAGATATTTACTAACCACTTTGCGAACACGAGTCAGCGCAGCTGAGTCACCCGCAACCAAAGGTCGACAGTCATCAACCCGATAAGGTTTGGCAATGACGACTGCATCCGCAACAACGATGCTGGTGCCATCCCATCTGGCGGGCATTGTGCGGCTAAAAGCATCGAATATGTCTTGTGCCTCTTTCGTCACTCCTTTGCCACGTTTAGATTCGGCTTCTTGCAGCTTAGCAACGGCATTAGCCTCACGTGCTTTCAAGGCACGTGTATCGAGTGCTTGCAGTGGGAGACCATCGGCATTGGATGGAGCGGAGGAAATAACTTGAAAGGATTGGATTCGGGATACGGGTATGATATGGTAGTCTCCCGGTTGGTTAGAGCTTGTAGGGTTTGGTGATACTTGGCTCGATGTGTTAATGGCAACGAGGTTCGTTATTGGGCACGCTGTGAATAGAGTACCCTCGATTGTGGATGTGTTTGGAGCTGCGGTGGTCACTCGGATGCTGCAAGTCCGCCACTCAGTTACGTTCTTTGCATGGTATTGTGCTATTGTACGTACCGCGCGCCAATTGCTTTGCTAAATGTTTCCTCCGACGGAATTCCAGTTGCATTTTGGGCTTTGGCGCCCAAGCTTTGGCGCTTATGATCAGCCATTGACGACCGCTAGTTTTTGCCCTGAAGAACCAACGTAATATGATCTTCGAATGAATATTTCAACGGGTGTCTCTGATCTACCAGTATTCGGGGTCGTCGATCCGGAGCTCTTCGATCAAGGTGCGGATGCTAAGCCACTGCTAGTAGGGTGAGACAAAAACACAAAGCTATTCTCCCCTCAACCAATCAGACAGATACTCCAACTGTTGCGAGTCGATAGAGGGACCGGTAGATGTGGTACAAGGAACGCAATAATGCAAGGAAACCAAACGAAACGTTGTCAAAAGGAGCGACTTGAAACGAAGAATAAAGTCAGAGAGGAAAAGGGGGATGAAGGAATAAAATACGACGTGCTGAACCGGAGTCAGCAGAAAAGAAGAGAACAAACGTCTGCAGGCGCAGAACTGGAGAAAGGGCAGGCACTGAACTGCTCCCCTTGTAGTGATGCGACGTTGGCTTAGGAAGTCAGAGAGTCATCCATCGATTCTTGAGTTAATTCGGGCAGGTGTGGGCCAGAGGGTCCACGACCAGCCCGATCAGGACTAGCGCATCGGCATTAGGAGCCAGCCCCGGTCGCCTACTATGTATGTATGTATTTACTAGGTATATGGGAAAATAGTGAATGGACCATGCTCAGGACAACACAAAAATTAGCTATAATCGTTGGTTTGTTTGTAACAGAACGCGGCGCGCATAGACCACAGCCTCTAAATACATGGTAAACGCGTTCGGTCCCCCTAGATACTTCTAACTGTAGATTCCACCTGGGAAGTGATATCAATCTCAAGGGTTTGTTTTGATCATTTTCTTTCTGTTCTCATTGACAGAGGTAGTACTTATAATGACTTGTCATGAATTTCTTAAGCAATATAGGTGGAGGCAGAGACATTACCACCGCGGCCGGTCCAGTTGACGTGGATGTCCTTGTCCACGGGGAAGGTTTCGCTGGCGTGTTCAGGCTTGATACGGAAGGTGTGAGCACCGAAGTAGTCACGCTGAGCCTGCAGCAGGTTGGCAGGGAGCTCCTTGGTGCGGTAGCCGTCGTAGAAGCTAAGGGCGGTGCTGAAGGCAGGAGTTGGGATACCCCAGAGGGCACCCTTGCTGACGACATCTCTCCAGCCAGCCTGGGCCTTGTGGATGGCTTTGTTGAAGAAATCATCGAACAGAAGGTTCTCCAAGTCAGGGTTCTTGCGGTAAGCATTGGTGATATCCTTCAAGAAAACGGAACGGATGATGCAACCTCCACGCCACATGAGAGCAATGGAGGGCTTGTTAAGCTTCCACTTGTATTCCTTGGCGGCCTTGAATTGACAGTCAGTTGGCTATTTCGCTTTTTGTTTCTTATAATGGTAAAGGAGCTCACATTCTGGATAAGCATGAAGCCCTGGGCGTAGGAAATAATCTTGGAGGCATACAAGGCCTGTTCGAGGTTGTCGATGAAAGCCTGCTTGTCACCCTCGAACTTGGGAGAAGGGCCAGCGAGAAGGCTGCTGGCACGGACACGCTCGTCCTTAATGGCGCTGAGGCAGCGAGAGAAGACAGCCTCGCCGATGAGGGTGACGGGCATGCCAAGGTCGAGGGCGTTGATCGCGGTCCACTTTCCGGTACCCTTTTGACCAGCCTTGTCGAGGATTTTCTCAACAAGGGCAGTTCCATCGGTGTCGTTGTACTTGAGGATATCACGGGTGATCTCGATCAAGAAAGAGTCCAAGACTCCCTTGTTCCACTTATCGAAGACTTCACCAATTTCGTTGGGGGTAAGACCGACACCGCGTTTCAAGATGTCGTAGGCCTAACGAAGTAAAAGGTTAGTTCGCACGTTCTGTGGGAGACTGGTCGATGGCAGGAAAAAAAAACAGTAAAAGAAAACCTACTTCGGTAATCAATTGCATGTCACCGTACTCGATACCGTTGTGAACCATCTTGACGTAGTGACCAGCACCCTCGTCACCGACCCAGTCACAGCAAGCCTCGCCGTCGCTCTTGGCAGCGATGCTCTGGAAGACATCCTTGATGTATGGCCACGCTTCTTCGTTACCACCGGGCATGAGGGAAGGACCGTAGCGAGCACCCTCTTCACCACCAGACACACCGGTGCCAACGAAGCGAATACCCTTTGCAGCAAGGTATTTGGCACGGCGGTTAGAGTCGGGGAAGTGGGAGTTACCGCCATCGATAATGATGTCTCCCTGTTCGACGAAAGGCAGGATGGATTCGATGAAGTCATCGACAGGCTTGCCGGCCATGACGAGGAGCATGATGCGGCGGGGCTTCTTCAACTTCGACACGAACTCCTCGATGGAGTGAGCGCCGACGATGGATTTGCCTAATGTTTTGAGAGTGAGTAAGATTTACGTCTATTATAAGACACCTTCTTTCTCCAACGTACCCTTGGCCTCGTTCTCGAGGAAACGGTCGACCTTGGCGACAGTACGGTTGTAAGCAACGACGGTGAAGCCATGGTCGGCAGCGTTCAAGATCAGGTTCTGACCCATGACGGCCAGACCGATAAGACCGAAATCACCACTAGGAACAGGTCGCGCCGGAGCACCGACATTAATGCCGGCCAGGCGAGCGCTAGGTCAGTCAATTGATCATGCCAAATGCGCGGGAGGACAAAAGAAGGTGTGCAAACGAGGATGTGTAGAGATGGTGCGGTGCGCAAAAGCAATTCATGAGGGTATGAGTGAACTAGGAGAGGACAACAACTATGACGCTATACGCCTCTTGATGCGTGTCGAGACAGCGGGGCAGTTGCCTTCCATTCTTCCTCCAGTCTCTTTCTCTCATTTCCTCTTGTTGAAATCCCCAAGACTTGGCTAAGAATTCAATCGAAATATCCATTGAAGGACACCATCGATGGAACCACCATGGCTGGCGATATGCCGCCGGCTCGCACCTGAGTGACGGGTCGATGGCGGGGGGGGCGCGGGAGATGGAGGGGCTACTCACACTGCTTGGTCCGCCATGATGACAGGTTATGTCAGTGTCAAGACAGTAAAATATGGATGGAAAGATCAGTAGAAGAGCAAGTTCCACAGGGAAGGGATGAGGATTGGGCAGGGAAAGAAGAAGAGCGAGGGAGATGGAAGAGGAAAAAGAGTTTAAGAGGTTCTGCGGGAGGAAGGACGCAATTAATCATCTGGAGGTTTGCGCGTTACAGAAAGCAGCTCCCGGTGACGGCGGGCCACAACAGGCTACGGGCTTTTACGTACCACTTACATACATACACATCGATACATGCGCAGCCATACCCCATCTGCCGCCTGTCCCTATACAATCTGCGCTAGCGTCTGCTATTATCCATTATTATCACATCCTATTACTTATCGGTGATGGGTATCGACATACTTCAGACCGAGTCCGCGGAGGCGCCGGAGGCAGCGGAAGTGTCAGCGTTCTTCACGATGGTGGGGCAGAAGAAGGCATTATTCACCATTGCAATGGTGGCTGGTAATACCATTACCAATGCCATAACCATAACCATAACTATGGTAACCATGCCGTAGCAAATGCAGTCAAGACGGGCCCTTTCTAGTTATTCCCTGTATGTATACTGTGTAAAGGAAGCTCTCCGCATAGATCGGTTATGACGTATGTGCGGCTGCTACACGATCTCGCGCTCGCACCGTCCTCGACCTGGGAAATACCATCGTGATACCTCTTCTTACGCTTTCTTACACTCAAGAGGCATTTCTCACCCTCCCAGAGATCAATAGCCGACTCCCGGAGACCTGTCCGGGACACTGTTGTCCGGGAAAATTCCCATCGTGACCGCGAGCGTGGAGGGGCAGTGCTTATGTAAGCTACTCTTCGCGGCCGCCGGTAAGTTGATTATCCGGTTGCGCCCCTCCATGGTGCTGGCCAATCATAGGCCGCTTAGTCATGGCGGCCGCCAAGCCGCGGCGGTCAGACGCTAGCCTCTTTGCGAAATGCAAAATCCTTTTTCCGCCTTCCCAGTGACTTGACTGACTCTCTGCGGCTTCCATCTATCAACGATACGATAAGACGATCACCACTCCAACACTGCACACACACTCACCCTACACCGACGATCAGGTGGCCTTTAGGCTGTGACTGGATCATACACGTCATCTCACAAGCTGCGTTTGCTCGTCAATCAGAAGAGAGGAAGTATATCGGTAGTTACGTCTTGTGGTGTAGGGTTTTGCTGAAGGTACGTTGCTGTCAGCTGCTCGCTTTGCACCTTTGGCGCGAGCATACTATCTCTACATATCCTTCTCTTTGCGCTCTGAGCGAACAAATCGTTCATCATGTCGTTGCCACCACCTCCAGGTCTCAAACAGCCTTCTTCACTGCCCCCACGCCCTCCGTCAGCGTTAAATTCGTCATTCAAGCCGGCATATTCGTCCGCGCCTTCTTATTCGGCGCCGGGGACCGCTCCTAGCACTAGCAATTATGGAGTGAAACATCAAACCTCGCAGGCGCCATCGACAGCCTACAATTCCTTTACTGCCTTCGCGCCTCGCGCAGTAGCTTCGAGCCAATCCCCCTATCGAACCAGTAGCCCTGTTGTTTCTGGCCCTTCACAACCAACAACAACAATTCAACAATCCGCAGCCGGCTATCCCACGACGTATCAAAATCCCCAACAGTCATATCAATCTAGAGCAGCCTCGTACTACAATCAGTCGACTTACGGTGATGGTAGTTATGGCGCCTCTCAGGCTCCCCAGATCGCGAACCCGTTTCCATTGCCGGGTCAAGAACGCAAGAGCTACGGACGTGATAGCGGTATGGACCCAGAGATGGAGGCTCAGATTGCCCAGTGGCAGAGTGCATACATGACGAAGGAAAGTGATGACATGGCTGGTATACAGGCAAAGCCGACCGGACGCCCTGGGACTGTGCCTCCTGTCACTAGCTCTAGTACGCCGTCATTTAACACACCTGCTTCGAATACACCCGTTCCGGGTAACGTTAATGAAACTAATTCTAAGACTGTTGTTCGATCCGGAGGAGGCCAGACATGGACAGACTCCACGCTTCTCGAGTGGGATCCAGCACACTTTCGACTTTTTGTTGGCAACCTTGCGGGCGAGGTCACCGATGATTCGCTGAAAAAGGCGTTTTCAAAGTATCCGTCCGTCCAAAAGGCGCGCGTCATTCGTGACAAGCGAACAGAGAAGAGCAAAGGATACGGGTTTGTGAGCTTCAGCGATGGCGATGATTATTTCAAGGCTGCTCGAGAGATGCAGGGCAAATACATTGGTTCGCACCCGGTTCTCCTGAGACGAGCCATGACCGAAGTTCGACCAGTGTCGGGGGATAAGAGAGACAAGCGAGGCAAAAAGAATGGACACGGGGGCGGTAAAGGTCCTTCACAGGGTGGAGCTGGTGGTGGGAAGCCCAAGGGGGACGGAGTGAAGAAACAGGGTTATACTCGGGGTGGATTGAAGATCCTGGGTTGAGTAAGTGTATTTATTTTATTACGATGTTGATAATGAAAAACTATAATTACATTCTTCCTTTTTAGAATATAAATCAATATAGTATACATTTACTGAGTCAAATCGAAAAAAAAAAAAAAGAAAAAAAAGAAAAAAGCAGCTCGTTTCGACTACCAGTATTGTGAATCATCCACACCGTTGCAACTCAAAAGATCATTTCCGTTCTTTCGATTCCGGATTCCCGTGCATGCATTGACTTGGATAGCTACAGTCATCCCAACAGTTATGATGGCGTGGTGGTGCATGAGAAGTCTTAATCTCCCTTTTTGCGCCTATAACTAGCAGTCGGCCTTGAGCAGGGAGTAGAGTCATGATTCGTCTCTGTTTTTTATGATCGTTGTTGTTATCGTCGTCGGTGCTAGTATTACTTATAGTATCGCTATCGTCATCGCTATGGCCAGGGTTATGTTTGTCGTCGTCTTCGTCTTTAGCACTCTTCCTCCACTCATTCCAATTCTCCCAACCCGCGAAATCGAATTGGGATCGACAACTTCTTTCCATCTTGGACTTTTTCTTCCTCGCTGGACGAGTTGGTGGCGTAGCAATGGTAGGTTGGGGTTTTTTCACAGGGGGAAGAGGAGGAGGCGGTGGCACTGGTGTTGTCGCGCCTTGAATAACTGCTCGACGGCCAGCGAGAATACTACCACGAGCAGGAGGACTGGCAGCTTTCTTTCTTCTCTTTGTTCCTTCTTTCTTTGGATAGTCTTTGTCTTCTTCTGTCCTTCCCCGTTTTTTTGTGCTTGGTACGATGCATATGCGATGGCCGCAAATCAGGCAGCGCTGTGTAGTCCCTACTCTCCAGATACGGCGGCAGAGGTGGCAAGTCCATGTCCACGGATATGGGGCCGGGGGTTGTCTTTGAGTATAACGGTAAGTGTAAGAGGAGGGATCTGGTGAGGTTATTGCGAGGTGGGGGGTTGATGACTGTGAAGATGGTATAGAGACTGAGAGACAGTCTCTCCTCTTGCTGGTTGTTGTCAGCGTTGGTGTCGGTATTGGCATGGCTTTTGGCTGCTTCTTCTTGTCTTGGGCATCCTTCCCTGCGCTGTGGTGATGGGTTTGATGATGGAGAAAAGGCATAGTGAGGAAAATGGCTTTTCCTGCCTTTTTGAAAAGGTTGTCGATGGAGAGCATGTGTTTGTCTGAGAGTGGAGAGGGAGAGGGGTTCTCGGGTTGGCTTTGGCCGCGTCCAGGAAGTGACGGAGCAGGAGAAGTGGCAGTCATTCTAGGCAAGCAGCCAGCATTAATCAGAGGCGCTCTTTTTTGTATACGCAATTGGAAACAACAGCGAGGTATAATCGCATTATCCCCTTTATCTGTCTTGGAGACGAGAATGACAGCCACAAAAGCGAATACAATGGCTTTATTGCGTATACCCAAAGAAACGATGTGCGCGATTGTTTCAACAAGCAGTTCTAGGAGTTGCGATTTCTATTTAGACACTACACTGTCTGAGTCAGTTTCATCTCTTGATGAAAGACAGTCGAGTCAAGACAGACCTTTGTCTGTGCATCTGACAAAGGCGCTTACATGCAAGGACACATACGTATACGCCGCATGAATTTCTGTTTTCTGCATTCTATATTCTATATTATGCCTTCTATCTTCGATAACTAAGTTAATGTTCATATATAGAGATTACATAATCTGGACAATCCACGATCCTATTGGTCCAGCACGAAGGCTGGCACAGTGGGTCGGGCGCTAGCTCCCGCTTTAAGCAACAGCCAATCAGCGCGCGGGCCTCGTTGTCGGGCAGCCCAGCCACCCCGCCGCGAAAAGTCAATGGCTGGGGACAACAACCAAAACATGGCATTATATAGACGGCATTCTTGGGCGTGGTTGTTTTCTCTTCCTGCACTTTCTTCAGTCCAGACCACAGAGTGACTACATTGAACACAAGCCATTGTTTGGTTATACGTACCTTATCCTGCAAGAAGCTCTGCGCGGCACCCGACATTCCTCGCGATAAGCTTAGATAAACAATCAAGCTCTTATCAGTATGTACACCATCCTCATTTTTTCTTTGGAGGCACTAACCGATGATCAGATCGACAGAAAGAATATAATATAATACATATATATATACACCCGTGTACATCCATCAAAATGCAAGAAAACGACGCCATCGCCCTCATTGTCATTCTGCTGTTCGTCATCCTGGCCATCGTCGGCTTCATCATCTACGCTATGCAGAACCGCGTTCTGTTCTTCTCGCGGAGACGAGTAGTGGACGAAGAGGAGGCCGAATGATCCACACGCCTCTCGCATTTTGATTTCTATTACGACATATATATACCCATACATACATATACAACCGGATCGAAACATACGTCTATGCTACCCACGAGAAGACATAGCCTTACCACGTCAACTACATACATACTATATCCTCGTCTATCCCCTTTTATATATCTTACCAAACGATATCCCATTTGACGAATTGCATATTTGCCGCTTATCTTAACACGGCTTGGAGTTTTGGTGTTTTTGCAAGCTACAACTGTTGCTTTTATGGCCTGTGATGGGAAGATATGAACATAAACATGACATGACATGACATGAACATATACCCAGGTATATGTTACGTACAGAAGCCTGGATTTGAATATAGAGATTAGGAATGAACACGGAACATTGCATTTGTTGGTACATGAGAAGGGACTCCGTTTTTGTTTTCGTGTTTCAGACGCTGTATGACTATTTGATGTACTTAACAATGACTTTGAATATAGCGGATACTAACTAGTTATCGTCTTGCCCGATGACTAATGTGTAAGCATCAAATACCCTCCTACCTAAATCGTCGTATCTACGGAGGTCCTTCCCGGGCAAAGACACAAACCAACCCACCAATACCTGCAAATAGCTGGCACACGTTTGCTTATCACCGGTGTATTCCATTGTTATCTTTGTTATCTTTGTCATCAAAGAAAGAATGAAATGAATGATGTCAACCAGGGCGCTGATTTCACCACCTTTGTCGCGCTGTAGGGCATATTCTGTCCGCCATCAGAGAACAATTTGAGACTTCACTCTTTTCTGACACATCTCTCCTACTGCAGCAGGATGCCTCTCATCAAGGGCGCATCGAAGACTCGGAGAGTCTTGATGAGATGTCAGCTCTCCAAGTACCAGAAGTAAGCGATCCTTACAGCTGCTTCCTCCGCAGTGAACCTCCGCTAACGAATCTCATGACTGAAGCTCTAATTTTCACGACAAGCCAGTAGGCTATTCTAAGCATGTCACCAACAGTGTTAAGGCAGAGTCAGCAACAGCCCGTTCTGCTGGGGACGAAACAACAACAGCATCACCACCATCAACGAGATTATGTACTCCTTGCCCCTATCCTACCACATACGTGCCGAACATAGACCAGTTCAGTGCACACCAGTACACCGAGCTAGCCTTCCATTTCCATGGCCTCATCAAGGACTTGTGGCGAAAAGTCTGGTTTGGCCTGTATCAAGTCCAGGACAAACACGGACCGAGTCACGCCAGCCAGATTCGAAAGCTGTATGCGGGTGCTGGAATGGCCGAACTCCTCAGGAGCAGAAGTAACGGTAGCGGACGGCGACTGGAAGATATGTACAGACTGTTCTGGGGGAAATGGGAAATGATCGGATTGGGAGATCTCTCGACGGCGCTTTGCGAGCATGCCCGTGGCAGCAGTCACCACAACCGCCAGCCCGCCCTCGCACAGCTCAAGATATACGACGGTATTGCCCTGGACAATCTGCAGTACACCGTCATGCTATTAAAGGAATACGAGCATCAGGTGGAAGCGATATCGGAGCTGTACAGGTTCCTGCAACAGCATCAGGCGGATGATACGACAGCAGAAGACCGCCGGCAATCGACTGTGACTCATCAGATTTTTCTGCTGCGCGAGTTTCGACAGCGGGCAGACACTATAGCGGCTGCGCTGGCTGACTTGGATGGGCAGACGCTGGTTCTGCAGAGGGATATGGACAATGAGGCTCGCGAGATTCATGGCCGACTAGAGGGGATTGAGACGATGGTCCTGAGGGAGGAAGTCCTGTCTCCGGAGTAGGAGTATGATCGAAACGAGCATTGATCAATATGAAGTGATTGGTGGACTTGGCTCCTTTATCAGCCATGCTTTCTTGTCAACAGCAACTAGACAGCTCAAAACTTGCGTACCTAGATAGAAGGGGCGAATTGGACGCAAACACGACGGATGATATACCATAACTCTATTATAAAGACAACTCTAGACAGTAGCTTGACCTGACCGTCCGGTTCGTCCTCCAACAAATATTGGCCATTCCATACATGAACCGCCTGCGAGACGGAAATGATTGGCTCAGATGCCAGCATTTCGTGCAGCGCTGCGATTTAGTAACTTTTGCTAGTTCGTTTCGCGTTGCGGCGTAGTCAGTCAGACTAATCAGGGCACTACTCAGGTTTTGGTTAATTTCTTTTTGGCACGGACGACAACAACAACGTCGATACCTGGCTACCCAAGAAAGACGACTCGTAACATTATGGGCGGTGGGTGTGAGTCGTCGTCCAGTCCATATCGCCATCAGCTAGCTATGTACGTGTGTTGGGCTGCATGTGAGATCACCCTGTTTTTTGTTGTCCCTTTTTTTTTTTTTTCTCGTGGAACCACTAACTACGGCCTTGGGCCAATTCTTCAGCCGCCCAGCTTAGACCGCCTCTTTCTACACGATCTGACACTTGCGGTGTTGGTGCTGGTAAGGCAGATTCTGCTGTGCTGTGCGCCTTGCCGCGTGTTGTTACAGAGATACCATGCGTGAAATATCGCAATTGCCCCTCGTCGCTTCCTGATCCGAGCACAGAACTCTTCCCATAATGGCTGCTACCAAGGGTCTGGTGGTGTACTCTATGGACAGTGAAATTGCCCAGTTTTTCGAGCAGACTTCAGTGCCGCGCTCGGTCTGTGACAGCTACGCAAAGGAGGAGCTTGGTGGCGAGGTTGTTCCAGTGGCGGTGCAAGGCGTATGCAGCTACACCGTTTATGCAGGCCCCAAGGGCGAGTTCGTGGCCCAGTTTCGCCTCAAGTCTTTGCAGCTGAGGATGGAAACCGCCGAGCTGGCGCAGGCCATCTACGGCGACTTTGCGCCGCAGGTTGCCTTTAGAGGCCAGATCGGGGATGATGGGGTCAAGGGGAAGGATCCCCTGTATATCTATGTCATGAGCCGAATGCAAGGCATTAGTTATTTGACTTTTCTTCTGGCGCATAGCACTAATATACCGGAGAACTCGTGTAAGTTTTCGTTTTGGCGGAGGAACCTGATCAGCGACATTGCGAGGTATGGCATGTATCGCACTTTTTCTTTCTCTCCTCCTCCC